TGTAAGAATAATAATTTTGATCATGATAAAATAAATGGATAATGTTTATGTAATCTAATTAATTTTAGTGATAAATAAAATTGTTCATGTTTAAATGGATATTATCTTAATAATATTAATAAAAAATGTTTACGTAATTTATTTAATTAATTAATTAATTATAGCCTGTCATTATAATTGTAATACTTGTATATATTCAGCTACTAATTGTATAACATGTAATGATTATCATGCATATCCACCAAATTGTGAATGTTCTCCTGGATTTTATTTATAAGATTCTTAATGTTTACCTTGTACTAATAATTGTTTTTAATGCAAATCCTAATTTGAATGTTTAGATTGTTCAAATTAAATGTAATTAATCAATAATAAATGTTATTGTTAAAATGGATATTTCAATTTACCTAATTCTTATGAATGTTAACCTTGTTCTACTTAATGTTCTACTTGTAGATATTCAATTAATAATTGCACATCATGTAAATTCAATAGAATTTTACCATAAAAATGCATATGTCCTGATGGAACTTATGAAGTTGATATATATACTCCTTGTAATGATTGTGATAATAAATGTAAACTTTGTGAAATATCTTCTAATAATTGTTTATAATGTTCTATTAATAGAATAAATCCTCCAAATTGTAATTGTATTATTGGTTACTTTGAAAATGATTAATAAACATGTTAATAATGTAATAAAAGATGTAAATCATGTCAAAATACTTCTGAAACTTGTGTAGAATGTAAAATGAATATTGCTACACCTCCAAATTGTACATGTCCAGATGGTTATTATTATGAATCAGAATAAGGTTGTATTTAATGTCATTCAAGATGTAAAACTTGTATTGGCTCAAATGAATATAATTGTTTATCTTGTGATGAATCTAAAAATTTCGAACTTCTCTATAATAAATGTGTTTGCTAAAAAAATTATTATTTTCAAAATGATGCTTGTATTTATTGTACTATTGAAATTGAATAATGTTAAACTATCTAATGTGGAAATGGTATAATTTAAAAAAATGAATAATGTGATGATTGGAATAATGATGATAGAGATGGTTGTTCTAATACTTGTAAATTTGAAGAAGGATATTTTTGTGAATCTATATCTAATACAAAGATTCATAATTCAATATTGATGACTAAATGTACTAAATGTATTGAGGGATGTAAGACTTGTTATAAAAACAAATGTTTGACATGTTAAAGTGGTTATTTTATGACTCCTAATTTTGACTGTTTAAAATGCAAGTAATTCCTTAATTCTAATTATTTTATAGTTTACATTGTAAAGAGTGTTCTGGACCACAATAAAAAGATTGTTTATCTTGTATAAAAGGTTTAGATTATGGATTAGGTTAGAAATGTGCTTTTTGTGAAGAAACTTAAGGATTATATACTAGTAAAGATAAGTGTGTTTCAAAGTGTGGAGATGGAATGAAGAAGAATGATGAATAATGTGATGATGGAAATATTATCAATAAAGATGGATGTTCAGAAAAATGTAAAATTGAAGAAGATTGGGATTGTTCAAAATAAATTAATACAATAAGTTCTTGTTATAAATTAAATATACCAATAGCTTCCATCTCTTTTAATAGAGCTAAAGATTTCTATTAATCTTAAAGATAAGGATCTATTAAATTTAATAAATTTATGGCAATACCAAATACATCAATCATAAATGCATGGAAATTCAATATACTCAATTAAACTCTATCTTATTATAATATTAATATGACTGCCATTTTGAATATAGATGGATATTTGGAAGAAGTTTAAATTGATTTACAACTACTTCAATCTATGTCATAAATTATATTCCAAGTTGATTTCACAACTTTTATCATTAAAGATGTGGTTGATTCATTTCAATTAAAAACTACTAATTTATCTATAGAATTGACTAAATACATTAAAATTGGATAAGATACTTTGAGTACATCAAAAGCATCTAAATAATTTGCTGCCTCTGTTTTATATATACTTGCAAGTGTTTCAATTATAGGATTATTAATTGGAAGTTTAGAATTTTATTGGAATGTACTCGATAATTTATAAATTTTATCTTATATTACTTTTATTAATGTTAATTTTCCATATATGCATAACAAATTTTTAGAAATATTTGAATTTGCTAGATTCGAATTTACTAATGACTATTTTAATAATTTTTATATTGTTTAAGACCTTGATTACTAATAAAATAAAGATTATCCTTTGATTGTTGAAAGACAAGTAGAATATAATTTAGTTGTCAATTTAAGTTCAATTGCTGTACTATGGATTACTCCTATAATCTTATTTATAGTAGTTAAGATAAATTTATTTATTATTCATGAGATCTTGATTAATAAGTTTAAAATTATATAGCTTTAACCTTTTGAAAAACTTAATAGTTTAACCTATTTACTCTATAAACTTATATACTTTGTTCATTTTATAAGCTTTAAATATTATTCTAGTTTCTTTTATAGTATTTTACTTAGAATTTACTTATCTAGTCTTTATGACTTAAATTTTTCAATATTTACATCATTCTATTGTTGGCTTTGGAATAAGAATCCTAATTTAGTAGATTAAATATCATTTGTAGTTGCTATGCTCCTACTCTTGATTTAATTTGTAATTTTATTTATATTATCATCCTCATTAAAAGTATCTAATTATCAATTGAAATCTAAAAAATTTAATTCTTAATTTAGTTCTTTATATGAAGGAGTTAATTTTACTAATTAAATAATTAGATAAATTTAATTTCTACAACCATTAAAAAAACTAATTTTTATGGGAGCCTTAATTTTATTTTATGATTAAGCTGTCTATTAAATATCATTCTTAATTTCTATATAGATATTATCTTCAATTGTTCAAATATCTTTTAATCCTTATTTAAACTTTTTGCAATCAATAAAAGGGATCACTTAAGAAGTAGGACTGAGCTTGTCCTTAACCTTAATTTTAATTTATTACGCTTAAGATAAATTTAATATAGTTGACTAAAATGTGATTGAAAAGTTATCATATATTCATGTTGGAATTTATACTTTAATGCTTTGTATTAGTCTAGTAATAGACTTATACCAATAATTTAAGATCATTTTTGTTAAATATAAAATTTCTAAGATTTGTAATAGGAAAATTAAGAAGGAAAAATAAGAAAATTAAGAAAATTTAGAAAATTAAGAAAATTAAGAAAATTTAGAAAAATAAGATTAACTTTAATAATTTAATTTATTTATTGATTTATCTTAATTTTATCAGTCTAAAAAAAATCAATATAGCTTTAAGAATTTAAGAATTAATTGAAGTATAATTATATGATAGATATAATCCAATATATTTTATTAATAATTACATTTATATATATAAATCTTTATAAATTATTCAACAAGTTAAAGCATAAGAATATTAGAGAATAAATGAAATAATATGTTATATTTATTAAATATTTTAATGTCATAATAATTGTACTAGTTTATCAATAAAAAAGAAATAAGTTTTTGAGGCAACTTTAATTTATATTGTATGGTAATATTATATTTTGATAATTTATTATGAATTTCTTAAAATTTTGATTATTATAATTAATTATTAAGTGAAATTATCAATGTCAAGACATTAAAATTTTTAATACAGCAATTTAAATGGTTTTATGGCCAACAACATTTAACAACCCTTGCCGTAATATAGCTTTTTATAATAATAGAGTAAATCAACCTTCTTATAGACAAAATTTTACTTAATGTAGAGGTCAAACATAAGAGAAAAAAGCATCCGAATAACCTGTTAAGTAAATGAGTCAACCTCAATCTAATTTAACAGAGACGAAGCCAAGTCCATTAATAAAAATAGCTGAAAGATCATAAATAACTTCACCTAATAATTTTGGAAAGAAAAAAAATCATCTATAGTTATAAAAAGTTGTAACAAGAATGGAAAAAAATAATGATGATAGTGCATTTAATGGTATAAATAACAAGATTTCTAATCCTTAAAATTTAATCTAGAAAATACAATATAATAGATATTATATTGATGATATAATTACAGCATTTTAGGATGAAACATAGAATTTTTCAAAGTTGTTTCGGGATAATTTTGCAAATTCCTTTAATTTTATACCCACTATAAAATAGGTGTAATTTTAATAAGTTGAAGATAAGGAAATATAAGAAAAAAAAATAAAATTAGAACCTTACCCTTAAAATTTAAAATGTATAGTATTTTAAAGATTAATATAGTTAAGAAGACAGTTATTTTTGATCTAGATGAAACATTAGTTCATTGTAATGAAGAAGAGACTATGTCTTCTTAAATTGTATTACCTATTACATTTCCAACTGGAGAAAAAGTTAATGCTGGTATCAATATACGACCATTTGCTGAGAAAATGATAAAATTATTAAGTGATGTTTGTGAAGTGATGATTTTTACAGCTTCTCATGAATGTTATGCTAATGAAGTATCATTTTCTATTAAATTAGGTTATCAATTATTTGGATCCAGAAAAAAGAGTAAAAAGGAGAATTTTTAGAGATAGTTGTGTTACTGATGAGAATTCACATTATTATATTAAGAATTTAGAAGTAATTGATCGAGATTAGAAAGATATAGTAATAGTGGATAATGCATCATATAGTTTTGTGTAATCTTTAATTAATTTTAGTCATCATCTAGATAATGGTATACCTATCATATCCTTTTATGATGATAAATTAGATACTTAATTAATTAAATTATATAGGTTTTTAATGAATAAGGTCTTACCTTAAGATGATGTTAGACCTTTTCTAAAAGAATATTTCAAATTAGATTAAATTGATCAATTCTAAACAATAATTGAAGCAGTTGAAAAGATGTATTGTATCGAATGAAGTTTATTTGGATACTATTTGTTTATTTTTATGTTAATATCGTTTATAATTAATAATTTGTATTACATAATTAACCTACTTTTTTTATCATATTATTATCTTTAAATTACAGATGCAAGTTGATAGTGAAAATTTTATAGATAGTTCAAATAATCCTCAATTAATAGGAAATAGATATGTATATCTTTAATTAAAATAAGTGTATGAGAAGTAGAAGAAGGAAGATATACGATGATGGAGATTTTAGAGAAGTAGTAAAGAATTTTTACGCTTTGATATCCGAAATAAATAAAAGTACCTTATTTATGTAATAATTATCAAAGTTGCCAATAAGAAAATTCAAAAAACAGTTCCTCTAAAAACTAAATAATAATCCAATGTTTAAAATAAAAAACCGCAACAGAAAAAACCTTAATAATAGGATGTAAAGAAAAATGATCTCTACAATTTTAAAAAAGAGCCAATATATTCTTAAGTTGCGTTTTAAGCTTAGCCTTATTTTAATCATCAATAATATTAATAGTTTTCCCATAATTATATGAATCCCTTTTATAATAGTTTGCCATCATAATTAGTATAAATTATAATTATATCTAGCAAATAATTTCTAGAAATTAACTTAACAATGGACAATTAAAAAGAAATTCGTATCATATTGCAATATCATATTTCATATATATTCAATCAAGTAGTTAAGAACAGTATGAAAGTAGAGATCCTACGATGAATGCCAAAAGAAAAATAAAAGAAACTAACTCAGATGTTATAAAGGTATTATTTCAAAGATATTATTTTTTCTTTAGTAATTAGATAATTTTATTACGAATCAAAAACAGCCTCCATTTTAGTAACCAACTCATTAATCTTATGATTAAGAGGAATAGAAGGAAGATATTATAGAATAGAGCAAATGAATTGAATTTTATATTTTATAATTATTTGAAATATATTTACTAATAATAATTAATAAAAAGCTTCAATAAAAATATTCCTTCATATTTCCAGAACTTTCATCTAATTAATATGCCAATCCTTATTTTAAACAACCATTCCTGTAATAACTACAATCTAATCTTTAGGTTATAATAAATTCTTTTCAATCAATCTTGAAATACATTCTTAAATAATTCTTTAATAAATAGTAAATTAAATTACTCTTCCTAATTTGCAAATCCATTTACTAATTCTGATTATACATTATTAATATAATTTAAGCATCTACAAATCTATTAGTTATCACTAATTGAAATGATTTTACATGATGCTCTCAATTTAGATAGTTTCAAAGTTGTTTATATTCTTCTAGTTAACATTAGAATGGCTTTAGCTTATAAACTTAATTAATATAATTTCTAATACATATAAGCCATTTCAACACATGATTTGGCAATTACTGTAGCAATTGGTTATCCAGTAAAATTTACTTAATATTGATCCCTCTGTTAAGGAAGATCAAAATGTTCTTAAAGTAATTTTTTTTCAATTTTTCGACAAATATTATTAAGAGTTTGTACAATTAAAACTGGAAATTTCCCAAAACTAGTTTCACCTGATAATAAGATTCCATCTATGTATTATTTAACAATATTTGAAATATCTCCCATATCTGCAAAAGAGGGTTTCAGTTAAACACTCATAGATTCTAAAATATATGTCGATACAAAAACCTATAAATTATTAATATAAATACAGGTTTAAATAATTATCGACAAATTGATATTATTTAAGTTTAATATTTTACAACGTCTTCCACTGGCTAAGTCATTGAAATATGTGATCTTGCAATAATACATCCATCAGATAAATTAATTATCTCTTCTAACTATTCTTCTTTTAGCTTTTCTGCAATCCTTGCAAATATTTACATATGTGGATAATTTTTTTCTAATCTTTCTTTCACCTTTCATTAATATTTAGATTACTTTTATAATATCTAATGCAGTATTGACTTTTGAAAATGTTATACTATCGAAACTGCATTCACATGCAAAATCTATATCTAAAATATCTTATTCTGTCAATGATAATTATTCTTATTGTTCTACTTCTTTTTATGCTTTATTTTCTATAAATAGTGATATTGGTTTAAATGATTTTAAAGTTCCAGTCTTACAGCATCTGCATATATATATTTTCACTCCACTTAATAAACACATTTAATCTATCCCAATTTTTTCATATACTCTAAATATTTTAACAACTATTACTGGTCAAACATTTATATATCTATCATTTCTAATATTATATGACCATAGTCTATTGCTAATTTGTCATTTATATTTAATTTTTCAAGAAATTCATTTGAATCTATTGGAATAAATTAATTATTTCCTACTTTATGTTAATCTGAAGTCAAATATACAATATTTCCTTCCTCAAAATTAATAAAATAATTACTTCTATTAAAGTTTCAGGATCTTATAATTACCCTACTCTTATAACTTGTCCTCTTAAAATTAAATTTAATGGTATTTTAGTTTTGAATTCAGCTTCTAATTAGCATCTATTTTAATTCAATATTTATAAACTCTCTTTATTTTTAATATATGCCATATTAATGCTAAAATAATTAAATTATTTCTCTACGTAAAACCGTTGCATCCTGCTTCAACCATACTCCTTAATAAATCATAATTAGAACAATTTTCACTCACAGAACAAATAATTCTAGTTCTTTTTGGTTCCTACATGTGAAAAGAAATTATAATATTTATTAAATATCTTTTGATTGTAATTCTTTACGTATTAATATTTAGAGTAGAGAATTGAAGTTGTTTTTGGAAAATGTATAGAATTTATTTATTATTAGAGGATCAAACTCATAATTTACTATTTAATCAATAATCAATTAATTAGTGTGATTATACCATAAATTTTTTGACTTAAAATAATAAATTATAAAATTGATTTTTCAATCATTAATACTTAGATATTTTAGTTCTATTTTAATTTTATGATTCATTTAATCTTGAGCTAATAATTAATATGAAATTAATACATTTCTTTTTTGTGAGAATATTAGTTAACATACGAGAGTTTTTGGGACATTATGGGAAACTTTTCTTTTTATTCTATCACTTAGGACGAATTAGTATGTTAAACAATCATATAATTATTCATAGGTTATGAATCCCAATCTATCTTTTGTTTTTTCGGAGGAGATTACTAAGCAAACATTTATTCAATTTCTTAATCAGCCAAAAAGTCTTCTTGTTCAAATGATACTTATTATGCCTTTAAAATAGTAGGTTAAGAAGCATACATTTTATTTTTTAATTAATTATTACTATTTTTAAACAATAATTTACTTTTATTATTAACTACCACTCCTTTAATTATTAGCTAATAATTTTTGGCTATAAGGAATAGATTATTATACTGGATTTACTTTATTTTATACGGTTTAAGAATAACTAAAAGGTGTTTATTATTAAATAGACTAAATAATTTATTGTTGAATCTCTTATTATTACTAAAACTATTTAGATAATATTTTAGGGTCATTTAATTAATTTTAATGATTAGTTTCTGGCAATTTAGGTAATTAAATATTGTGATTGTATCTTGTAGGTTTCTTAATATCAACATATTTAAACCAATAAGATTTATCATATTTCTTAGTAGGATGATTAATAGCAATTCTATTTTTAAGTTGATCAGGTTCTGGGTCTTTAGGAAAATAATCTTTATACAAAGGATTACTTTTTTATATTTTTCTTTCTGCAGAGATTAACCAAAAATTATTTCCAAGTTCTGATAAATCTGCTGTTGTTTATTTTTCATTAAGAACTTCAAAAATAGTAACATCTTTCTTTTCATTTAAATTAGATTTAACATTATCATTTTTTTGTACTGATATAACTGATAAATCTTGTAGATGTAATGTCTGATTTCCATTTCGATATTACTCAATATCATTTTCTTTTTCTTTGAGAAGTTTTTCTAATTCTCCAACTTTCTTAAAAAGTTTTTCTAATTTTTCTTCATATTTTTTTTCCATAGTTTCAATGTGCCTTTATTTATCTAATTAAGATTGTTTCAAAACTGAAATTTCATCTTACATAGTTACTATTAATTCATCTTTCATTTATATAGCTGATTGTAAAATTGTTATTTTTTCTGATAATGTTGATTTGTTTGATTTTTATGAAAATTATTATGAATGTTAAGATTTTTGGAGTTATTCTTGATCATTTTCATTGTTTAATTCATTTTGATCCTTCTATTATTAATTTTAATCTTACTCTTAATTATTGTCTTATTCATTTATTTATGATCCAACAATTTCTTAATCATTTATTAATTAATTGTTATTATTAATTTGTTCTTACTTCTATTCTGTACTATCAAATGATTGTCTACCTTTTTATCTAGATTAAATTTGATCTCTTTATACAATTGGAGATACATCATGTTAGGAAGTCCTTGTTGGTGTTGCAACATTAGACTCCTCTTTTGGTATATATGTTTACTCTTAATTTTCTTCTTCATTTAAGTTCTTCAATTCAACAAAAGGAGCCTCTATTCTTGAATTATCTTATATGTTTCCATCATTAAGAGATTAATTTTATTAAATGGCTGTTTTATCATCATTCTCATTTTCATTCTAGATATTTAATTCTTCTTTTTATTCTTCTGTTTCATCTTTTTAACTCATATATCAATATATTTAAGCAAATCAATAAATTATTTATAATAAAATTTACTTGAATGAATATAAACAAAATAGTAAAAATATGTTCATCATTCAAGTTTTTATCTTTCTAAAACTACTGTAAACAACTTTCTGCTTTTTATCGAAAGTTACTTTTTTTATAGATCTTTATGAACCAAAAGTTTGAGATTCTTTCAGTTAATTTTTAGGGCTTTAAGGGTTTGATCCATTGTATATTTTATTTTTAAGTATCGATTTATGTTTAGACATATCTTTACTTGAGCCTTTTACTTCATTTTTTTGACTATTTGCTTCTTCCTTGGAGTTGTTTTACTGCTCTAATTAATCACTCTCTTAACGAAAGAGAAGTTCTTCTTCTAATGAATTTTTGACATTCTTGATTGGCATTTCCTATTCAGTAAATGTAAATTCCTTTTCTTAAGATAAAAGTTTTGGTATTGAGATACATAATTCTTTCTCTATTGTAGCATCATCTGTTTAAAGTTATAAAATCTTAATTGGGGAAGGTTTGCAAAGTTTAGGTGGACCTTTGATATAGATTTTAGGCTATTTCTATATATTATTTTCCTATTCTGGAATGTTAATTTACTTCTAACACATTCCTCCCATTTTGATATAGATGAAATATTATTATTGATTCAATATTATTTAAGATTAAAGGAATAATGACTTATCAAATAAGAATAAGAATATAGATATTTCAAAAATTACAGAAAAAAATATTTGCAAAAGTTGTTTAAAACTGAATTTTTTTTAATTTTTTATTGAATATACTCAATTTGAGTTATGAGAAACCCTCCAAACTAAAAATAGAATTCTTAAGAAATGTTTTCTTTGATATTTATTTAGATAAACCAAAAATTTATACAAAACAAATATTATTATAATAATAAGTTAAGTAATAAAATACTTAGAATAGGATTTTTAAAAATTGTAAAATTTTAAGTATTTATTAATTGATTTATTTTTAGTAAGTTAAAAAACAAAGTGTTATAATAAATATCTACAAAAAAGAGATTTAATTATAAATAATAAATCTATATAACTAAATTTGATATAAATAGTATTATTATTAATAATATCTAAATTGTCAAATACAATTAATTCTATAAGCCAATTCTTGATCTGAAAGTATGTCTATTTAAGCAATATCTATTAGTTAAAACAAATGTTTATTTGGATATTCATTTTCATACTTGATCATTTCAATTATATATTTTGACATTAGAATAAAACATAATTTTGCATGATTCATCTAAGCTGATTATGTAGTTATTTAAATGATAGCATATTCTAAAAACTTTTATAATTCATTTAAATCAAATTGATTAAAAGTAGAATTAAGAAGTTATATATTTTTTTCTTAGATCATTTACTTTAAAAATTAAAGCTATTAAAGACAATATTATCCTTTTTCTGTTAATATAAATTTATCGAATTCCTTAAATAAAATAGATTAATCAATAAGATTAAGATGAAAAAATGCACAACCTTGAAGATATTATGCTAATTATTAAGCATATTAATATTATCTTTATTATGCATTCACAAATATGCTAAAATTATAAAGACTTCTTGTTGTATTAATGATGTTTAAATACAACTTTTAGTTATTTTCAAATTCAATTTCTAGATAATTTTTAATCATAAGTCTTTAATATTCCAATAAATTTTGATTGCTTATTGATTATGATTCACTCAATTATTAACCTTTTTCTTCTTCAATATTTTGTATTTATTGCATATAATAGTCATTTTAACAAAACAATTCATGATTATAAATTTCATCCCAACTGATACGTTCATCTTCATTAACTTAAAGACATTTTTATATTAAATCCTACAGAAGTTAATTGTCAATTTTAGGTACAATGATTGGCAATTTGATTTATTCTTATAATTCTAATACATTTTATGCTTTAATAGGAGGCTTTTAAAAAATAAGTTCATATAGTATCATCCCAAGAGACCAAATATCACATTTAGAACAATAAGGCTATCTAAGCACTGTCTATGGTGCCATATATAAAGGAGTTCCTGCTACACTATTCATTAGATCATTTTCAAAATTGATTCGTTTAGAAAACCCAAAATCTGCAATTTTAATAACGTTCTAATGAATTAAGATATTAGCTGGTTTTAAATCTCTATGGATTATAGATTTATTTTACAACTCTCGATATCTAACAATAATGTTAGACTTTACCCATTTAAAATTTGCTACAATATGCTTATTACTAAGTTGTCATCTTATTTACCTCTTTTAATCAAATCTCTTAAATCTCCACCATCACAAAATTCGGATATGATATATATATTATTTTGTGTTTCATAATAATCTAAAAATTTCACAATATTAGGATGATTTAAAGTCCTCATTGATTCTACTTCGTTTTTTAAGTGTTTTTCATTCTCCTTAAAATGATCAATTTTATTCAAATTACTTTATTAATCATTCTTTTGTCTATCACTTTGACTGCCACTGGTTATCCTTATTAGGTTTTACCTTTGAAAACGGAGCCATAAGCTCCCCTACCAATAAGATGATTCATATTAAATCTATAATGACCAATCAATTTATCCATTGATATTTAAAAAAATAAAATATAATATTCTTTCTTTTTAATATTTAGTATTCATCAATTTAAGATTCCTATATTATTTTCTTGCTGATTATAATCACTATACTTTTTTAAATGTAGGTAATCTTATTTATACTCCAATAAATTTAACTAAGTCATTTATAAGGGTTTTTAAGTCTTATAAAAGAATTCTTATAACTTTGTCTTACATTAAAGGATATGATAAGTAAGAAGATTTATATATCAATATTTATTTACAAAAATTAAGTATATAAATTATATTATGTAATAGTTTTCAACCTAAATTGAATTTTAAGAAGACTTTGATTTTAAAAATTCAGTTTTACTTGGTTAAGGAACATTTGGAAAGGTCTTTAAAGCTAAGGCTGTAAAATCATTACCTCAAGGGTATTATGCTTTGAAAATAATTGAAACATAAAGGTATACAATTTTATAGCTTAGCGAATAGGCTTATGAGTTGGCTATTTAAGAATTAAATTTGTATTCAGCAATAACGTATCACTAGAACGTTATTAAGGTTTACAAAGTTTATTCTTGGAAAGATGAAATGCCATTTAGAAAATTTGTATTAGTGTTTGCAATGGAATTAGCAATAAATAGTCTTAGATAGGATATAGAAGAAAGAAGAAAAACATCAAAAGAATATGGAGGTTTATAATATTTATTATTTATATTAGATATGTTGATAATAGATATAATGAATTAATGTTTAAGAGCATTTCATTATTTGGCAAAGAATAAACATTTATTTCATAGAGATATTAAACCAGAGAATATATTAGTTACAAGCTTATAACCATACACTGTAAAATTAGCTGATTTTGGGGCTGGGAAAGAGAATTTTCATGGATAAGCAATGTTAAATACTTTAGTAGGGACACCTTTATTTTTATCACCCAAGTTATATGTTGCTTATTCTTTGAATTAACCTGGAAAAGTGAAGTATAATATATTCTATTAAAGACATGATTTAGAAAAGAGTGATGTATTTTCTTTGGGTATAACTTTTTTACAAATGATCTTATTACTTAATGATAGGGAATTGTCAAAATTAAATGATCCTATTATATATGATGATAAAACAGGGGAGCCTATTGATACAAGTGAAGAATTTGCTTAGAGAAAAGATTGTTAAGGATGGAAAAAACTATAAAATCATATAAATATTATTAAACATCCTTCTATTAAAGCATGTATATATGGAATGACAGAATTTAGTGAAAGAAATCGTTTTACATGGTTCTAAGCTTTATCTACTTTAGATCCTGATTTTAAGGATGAGTAAATTAACAAATAAATTTAGTGAGAAACTATAGATCCAGAAACCAATATAATCTAATGAGTAAAAAAAGTAATAGGTTATATAATCTTATTCAAATGAAAATACTACACTTAAATTTTTAGGAACTTTGAATGATGAACATTATCATGATAAGATTATATCAGCAGGAAATCAAATTCTGTCTCATTCAAAAGAAGGTGTAAGACTTATTTCAATTGGAGGTACAGTAGAATGGATTTTTAATCAACGTACTAATATATTGTATATATAGATGTTTGTTTTTTATCTTATCTTCCTTCATTAGATATTTGTGTAGGATTAACAATGTCTGGAGAAATATTTGGAATAAATTTAAAAAATAAATCATTTATTTGTGAAAGAATCATACATTTTCAATATGATACAATAAGTGTATGAATTATTGTGTAAGGTTTTAGGTTATGAAATATATGAGGAAGGATCTCTGTATATTGGGAACAAAGTTTGGAGAAATTATGATATTAGCATTTGACACTTAACCTCCATGTGTAATTAAAAAATACAAAGAAGTTGATAGAGCAGTTTTAGATCTAGTATATGATGATGAAGTCAAATATATAATATCAACACATGAAAATTCAGTTATCTTTTGTAAATATTTAGCATATGAATAATCGTAATTATAAATTCCTATCATATAGAGCTAAATATATTTATGAAACCTAATTGACTAATTTAATCTTGATATCATCTGAGTATTTTACAGGAACAACAAAAGATTAATCAGAAATTCCTATGTTTTAAATTAAAGATGGTAATTAAAATATAATAATATAAGGTATAATAAATTTAGTTTAAATATATCAAATTCATAACAAAACAATACCTTTAGCTTTAACAATGTCAGATATTTACCTTGTATGGGTGAGTTAAAAATTCATAGGGTCAATATAAGTAGATGGTGATCTTAGTAAATTAAATGAAGAAAAGGGTAAAGAGTTAATTGTTAACGCCTCAAAACCAGCTCATTTATTAACAACATTATAGAATGGAAAAATAATTGCTGCTAGTGATGGAATTAAATTACATTTATACTAAATAGGTATTTATAATTTAATAAAATTTAGTATCTCAAAATTGTGAAATATTTTGATAATGTCTTAATTAAATAATAAAGATTTGATTAGATTTATAATCATTAAATAAAGTCATAATATCACTCTATTAAAATTTTATGTTTAAACTTTATCCGTAATGTTATTTTAGCAATAATTATTGAAATTTGCTTAATTATTGTTCTAAATTCAGTAGCTTTTGTCTCAATTTATAAATAATTTAATCCATCTTAAAGATTTTAATATTTATTTAATATTATATAATTTCTATAATAAAAATCCTAATTCTAAATAATCTTTTAAATCAATATAACTTAAATATTATTCTGAATTGTATTAATTTAAAACAATAGATAAAATTCTTATTCTATGAGAAATATCTTATTTTTTAGCTTTTAAACATTTTAAATATGAATGCTATTACTTATATTCAATTTTGTCCATACTTATTATATTTTTTATAAAAAAAAATGTAATCGAAATTATGAATTTATTTTATAGACTTAATAATTAATTTTTGAAATTAAATGGTTGAATACAGATTCAGAAAATAAGATTTATAATTTTTATTATACTACACAAACTTCATCATTATAAATTATTGTATATCATTTTTAAATCGCTGAAAAAAGAATTTATACTTTCTTAATAAGTAGTGTTATTAATTAATTAACTAAGGTTTATTAATTTGTTATTCAAATAAAATTAATGACTTAGAAAATAAAATCTCATTAACTTTATTTCTTAATACTTAACCATTTATTTATTTGTATTTATTGTAATCTTAAAATTTAAAAACTAAACAATCCGACATCATGAACAGTAACTGGTAGAATGAATTTAATTGGATTCATGTTTCTGGAATTTTGATAAGTTAAGAGAATGAGAATATGTAGATTGATCTTGTACCTTAACGGAAAGATGTTCTTAATGAATTGAAAATGGAAATCCACCCTTCTGTTTCAATAAAGAAATAACTAAATTACGATGATGAAACAGGTTGGAGTTGGCATAAATCATGGAATTTGCCTGAAATTGAATATAATATTAATGTATTTACATTCTTAGGTTTTAATAGTCACTGCCTAACTAAATTCAGTTGTAATAAGGAACTTTATTTGTATAAATCTTTGCGGTTAAAGCTTTAGAAAAGCCATTATAATATAAAAATTTAGGTATTAAGGGAGAATCAAAAAAATAAATAATAGACCAATAGGTCAACTTTAGATGCCTAAAATTTACAACAACATCTTATAATAATGATGTATAAATTCATATAGTAATGTTAGCATAAGAAATTCCATTTAATGATTATTTTGTTATATTCCCCAGTAAATGATTAAAACATGGTCCTGAGTTCGATAATATCTCCTGAAATCTATGTGGATTCTAGAAAATTTGCTAGATTTCACAATATTCCTATTTATTAACCCTCCTTTACAGAATTATTCCATTACGACTTACTTTATTCTATAATTACAAAAAGAGAAACAAAAAATAAGTCTGTAAAGATGATCAAAATAGAAAACTCAATTATAGGATTTATTAATTATTTTACTGCCTCAAATATCAGAAATAAAATTAAACATCCAATATTTTTGGCATTAAGATTCTCTAGTTTAATTAAAATATTTGTTGATTAATAATTATTTTATTAATAAACTAATATTGTGACTACTATATAAATTCATTTAAACAATATCATAAATAAAGTGGAAAACCAAAAGAAGATTAAGTTATTAATTTCACTTTAAAATGAAGATAATATACTATAAAAAAAGGTACTATTCCTTATTATCCTAGGCGATGGAACTAATTTAATAATTAGAAAATGGTTGCTATGAGATTTATACACAACAATGTTATTTACCTGCTAATATTATTTAAATAGAAGATCTACAATTGCTTATTTTGTAATATGGAGAGCTTTACTAAAAATCTTAGAAATAAAATTAAAAGAATAAAAATTCTACCAATATAAAAACATAATCTTAATCATAAATTGATAATATTGTTGTTCAAAAAGTTAAGATTGAATAATTTCCTAATACAAATAATTAACCTATATTAACAACTAAATATGAATTTCAAAATTCAGTAAAAAAAGAAGAAGATTAATATGTTTAATAATAGATCTAATAAAACATTTATTAATAATATGCCTAGAATGCAAATATTAATTAATCTCAATTATATTTTTAATCATATCTCAATCAAACCTATTAAAATTATGTGACAGTTTAAAATTCATAAAGTTTAAATTAGTATTTTTATCCATATCCATTTACAAGTTCATAGTATATTTAATGGAAATATATTTGAAATATAAAAACTATATATTGAATTATTAATTAAATATAAATTTAAATGCTTTAGATTGAATGTGAACTATTAAAATTTATATGAAAAAAAACAAAAATAAAAGCAATTAATCAATACATCTCTACATTTTTAAAACATGAATGTGTATGTTTAACTCTTTTTCTTGATTCCTTTTTAATTGGCATTTCACAGTTTTTACAATCATCACATTTACATAATTCAGAACATTTTACTCCCATTTAATAGCATTCACAATATTTTTTTAAACAATTTGATTTCTTACAATTACATCCCTTAAAATGTCTAGGCTTTTGATCTATTTCATCTTCAGAATTACTCTACAAATTAAATATTTATAATACTCTAGATTCAACTTTTGGTCGAAATGCTTATGGATTTCTTTCCATAATTTATTAAATTATATTTTCTCTTTCTTTTGTATGATCATCATTATTATGACAAGAACAACAATTACAATCTTTTCCACATGGAACTCCAGCAGCAAAACAATCACAATATAATTTTAGACATTTTGATTTCTTACAATTACAAACTATAATTTTAGGTTTCTATTCTGTTAATGGTTTTCTTCTTTTAGAGCTAGTCCTCTTTCTATTGTTAACTTAATCACTAGTAAATTTGAGAGGTTTCTTGAGTGTAACAAAATTTATGAATTTTAATTTTGTGGCTCTTTCCAATTTTCTATGTGGAGATTTAGGGGGACTTCTAAATTAAGAATGAATATCTTAGTCATCAGATAAAATTTCTTCTTCCTCACATAATAAATCATTTGGAACTTTAAGAGAACTAAGTGGTGAACTGATATTCACAAGTCGTTGTTCTGTCTTAGTGTGATCGAAATTTATTTATCTTGCTGGTGATATTATAAATATATTAGCTTTTTTTGTTGTTTAATGATTTAATGGAGAATAAGGTTAAAATCTAAAATTGATTTATAAAATAGAGTACTAATTGGGAGACTTTAAGCATGGTGTAAACTCTAATTTCTTACATACTTATTCAGGTGACTAGTCTTTTATATATATTTCATCTTGGTTGTGAATACATTCAGCATTAAAAACTGGAGATTTATGAATTTTTTCTAATCTTTAAAACAATTTTGTAAATGGAGTTCCATCCTATATAAATTCTGAGCTCATTTGTTATATGAATTTTCCCTCTGAATTTAAATTCAAATTTTTATATATAAAATAGCAAACAATTATTACCCGCATTTAGAGTAACGAATCTAATAGAAAGCACCGCCATTTAAAGATAGTTTTGATTTGAATTGCTGAATTTAAATTATTTTAGTTTTTATAAGGACTTAATCATGATTCGTTAAAATAGTTGTTTGATAATGTCATAATCATTTCCCGCATTATTTTAGGTATTTGTGGCATTATTAATTTGGTTATAATTTATTCCTAATTAAATTTATCTAAAACATAAATAAAATTTAACAACTTTATTTTCATCAATTATTAATATTGTAAAAGTAATTAGAATACACTTAAATCTTGATATTTCATAATATAAAATTGTAATAATATGAATATATAATTTCTATTGATGAAAGATAATAATCATTAGAAGTGAACAAGAGAACTTTATTTTATTAATATTATATAGGGTCTGTATTAGTTAGTTATGAAATAAATTTATTTTAAAAATTTAAATAACGGAAGATATGGGTCATCTTTTTAGACATTAAGAAGGAGAAGCAGGTAAATATTTATTTTGAATATGCAACAGCACCTGCAATAGCAAATATTCCAGCACCTTAAGCATCAACTATTGATTACGATTGGGTTCTTATTTCAGGGTTCATTATCGTGTTGACATAAGTGGGATTTGCATTTATTGAAGCAGGATCAGTGAGATATAAGAATTCATAATCAATAGTCATAAAAGTGATATTGGGTTTATTCTTGACAATTTTAATATGGTGGTTGGTAATAAATGAAGTTAATAAATATAGTTTGGATATGGATTCTCATTTGGATATGATTTCTAAACAAACTTTATGGGAGGTACAAAATTAGGAGGTTCAAATTGGGAAGCAAATCAATACGGAAATGATTATACAAACTTTGGTATTTCTGTTAATATTCAAATTTTGTTTAGTTTTCAGAGCATCAGGTGCAGCAATTGCAGTATCAGTGTTATCTGGAGCAGCAGCAGAAAGAATGACATTCTTAGCATGGTCAGTATTAGCTATAGTATATGCAGGATTCATATATGCTGGATTAGCACATTGGACTTTAGGATAAGGATGGTATTGATTAAATGAGAAAATAATTAGGTTAACAACTTTGGGATATAAAGATTTCTCAGGAGCTGGTGTTGTATTTTTTGCTGCAGGTGTTGCTGGATTAGTTGTTACAGTATTATTGAAACCAAGAAGATTCAGATTTGATCCAAATACAACTTTATAATTCTAAAGACATTCTCCAATTTATATTGCTTTTGGATCAATTTTAGTCTTTGCTGGATGGTTATTCTATAATGGTGGTATTGTAGCATAAGGAGCTAATTCTAAATATACATAAGGATTAGTTGCTGTCAATACTTTGATTGCTGGAGCAACAGGTGGATTCTTTGCCTTCATCATTAGATATTTCTAAAATGAAACCACAAGCTTAGTTGCCTTATCTAGAGGTATAATTAGTGCTTTAGTGGCTGTAAGTGCTGCTACTGATGATATGAAACCATGGACCGCATTCATTTATGGTCTTTTGGCTGCAGTCTTTTATAGTGTTTTGGCAAAAGTAATTCCAAAAGTACATATTGATGATCCTGTTGAAGTTGTACCTGTATTTTTGGTATTATAATGCATTTATTTTAGGGTAATGGATTTTTGGGAATCTTTTTATCAGCCTTCTTTGATACTAAAGCAGGTGTTTTCTATGGATTTGGTGCTAAATTATTAGGAATGTAATTGTTGGGATTATTGATAATATTTGTATGGGTTGCCTTCTTTGTTTTGATTACATTACTTATTTTAAAGGGATTTGGAGTACTTAGAATAGATTCAGAAACTGAAAGTGTTGGTATTGATAAGGCACATTGTAATTAAATTAAGTTAATTATTAGGTTTGGGTGAAGCCATTGTATTTGCTAACTAAATTGATGAGGTTCCTCTTGTATAAAAAACCGAAATGGTTCAATTGGGAAACAGCCAAATTGGATCAGGATTTAGACCCGGTTTCAGATGATATTAAAATCATTCATATATATGAGCAGTTTTTATCAAAAACCTTTAATTTCTTTTTTGATATCTTATAAAATATATTTATATCCTAAAACATCAACTCCATAAATATTATGTATAATTAAAGAATTTGGAACAAAGTAGACTAAAACTATTCTAATTGTATTAAGGGTTTATGTTTAAAGCTCTTGAAATCAGGTAAGAATTGTCATTTTGTATATGTACAATGCACAGATAAATAGATAATGCTATTTAAAGTAACAAAAACTTTTATATAATTAGGATGGTGATTTAACAAAACCTTACAAATATTTACCAATAAACTTTGAATATAAGTTTTATGTTTTAAGAACTCCACCTTTATTAATAAACCCGTCACTTTCTGAAAATAAAGGTGAGAATGTTATATCTCTGGGAGAAATACTTGCTATAAGATTTATTAGGGAAAATGTTGAGAAATGGAGTGAATTTAGAGGATCAGTGAGTGATTTGGAATAGTTGAGACAGTTTTTAGGAAAGAAAATGAATTAGACAGGATTTCATTAGTATTTTAAGGTGTACAAGAAAATAGGGAAGGGAAGCTTTGCATCAGTGTATTTAGCATAGAGAATAGAAGATGGAACAAGAATGGCTGTTAAGGCTTTCTGTAAGAATGCAGTTTATAAGGAAGAGAATGGAAAGGTAAGTATGAAAATAAACAAGTTAGGAAGGGTTAATTAATGAAATTCAAATAATGAGAATTCTTGATCATCCAAATTTAATGAAGCTGTATGAAGTTTATGAAACCTAAAATTCTATCTATATGTGTTTGGAATTATTAGAAGGAGATCAATTATATGGATTATTCAAAATGAAAAGATCATTTAGTGCTCAATAAATACATTCAATTATGAAAGGATTATTAGAAGGATTGAATTATATTCACAGTATGGGAATAATGCATAGAGATCTTAAATTAGAAAATATCTTATTCAAAGAGCCAGAGTAAGATAATTTTAATATAGATTAGTAATTACGATTCTGTTGTTATAGCTGATTTTGGATTAGCAACTAATGTTGATTAAAAACCATTTCTATATACAAAGTGTGGAACTCCTGGATTTGTTGCTCCGGAAGTTATAAATTTAAAGGATGACTAATTATTTTATGGTTCTGTTTGTGATATGTACTCATTAGGAGTGATCTTATATATTTTGATAACAGGACAACCAGTATTCAAAGGAAAGAGTTATAATACTATTGTAAGGAGGAATCGAGAAGCCATTGTGGATTTTCAAACAGAAAAACTTAATTAAGTGTCAGATAATTAGAGAAGTTTATTGATTAAGATGCTTTAGGCAGATCCAGAATTAAGAATTACTTCTAAATAGGCATTGAAACATGAATACTTTTGTGCTTATTATGAAGAAGAGTTTGCTTAGATGTATACTGATGATGATCCACATTTGGGTGAAATGCTTATCAAATTGAATGCAGAATATATTAGATTGGATATGGAAAGATTGAAAAGATCTAATGATGAAAATGATATTTGCAAGACTGAAGATTTGAAAGTTGATTAGAGTTAAGAAAAGAATGATTTACTTAAAATAATCATGAGAACCCCAGTCATTACTGGAAGAACTAGATCTATTGAGAGTATTTTTCTATCTCTATTTAGATTCTCCCTTTAATGGATTTTAATCACCTAATCAAAACAATCACATTCATCATATCTAATAAATTTAAGCTAAGTGGATTAATCCTTTAGTTTTATAACAGTGAGAAAAGGTCATTTATATTTGAATTTAGATTGTACTAATATTCATTATATAAATATATAAATTATTTTCTCTCAAAAGGTCATGCAGAACATCTTATCTTAATAATAACAATTTTTTGATTTGTTAGACAAATAAGTAGATGCCTATAAGACATTGCTTGATCAGTTGAGTTAAAGTTAAGACAAATTCAATAATCTACTTTAAGACTATTTGCAAAAATTTCAAACGATCAATAATAAACTAGTCTAAGGCCGTCAAGATTTTTCTTGCTCATAAATTTAGATAAAAAGAAATGATGAGTTGTACACGCATTCTTAATTACATATATAATTCAATTTAAGATCTGTAATTCTTATTTTTTAATGTATTAGTTACTGGAGAAGCAATATAAATACAAACTTACTTTAGCAGACTCCCTTGAAACTCCACTTTATCGAGATCGGATATTCTAATTAAGAGTCGAACTAAAAAATAAGAGTGGAGATCTTGTTAAAAATCCTAATAAAATTGAACTTGTTGTTGCTATATATTCATAAGAACAATATCCCAAGGAAATCAAAGTTAATAATAAAGGAGAATAGATATTGAAAGGTCATTTGTGTGTGCCTCTTATTAAAGGAACTGCTTTCTTTACAAGAGTTCAAATTAGGGAAGTATCTTCCCATTATTAAAATGGCTCCATTATTTTAGCTATTCTACCTTAATTCAAATCAAATGATGAACCCATCAATAGTAGAGATGTTCAACCACTAATAGTTGAGAATATTAAAGTTAAAGCAAAAAAATTTTCAGAACGCCACATTCCTGTATATGTAAATTAATGATTAATTATAATGTTTGGGAAAATCATAATTTCTACAATTATCATTGTGATTCTATCATCTTTTGTCTTTATTTATCAAAGCATTCCAGAATATCAAGGAGAATGGTCATCCCAAAATATAGACAATGATGTAAAGTATTAAATAGAAATGAAGTTATTCTAGGATATTTAGAGATAAACAATTTGGTATTCCCCATATACATGCAAAATCCTTAAAAGAAGGATTCTATGGATTAGGATTTGTACATGCTTAAGATAGATTATGGTAATTACATTTAAGAAGGTAATCTATAAATTTCAATAATTTAGAATGTCATCATAAGGTAGATTAAGTGAAATCTTTGGATATCGCTAAGAAATTTTAAATATAGACAAATATATTAGAAATTTAGGATATCTTTAATCATGTAAAAGAATAGTTGAAAAACTAAGTGAAGGAGCAAGAATTCATTTATAATATTATGCAAATGGAATAAATGATGGAGTGAAATCCTTATAAATATTACCAATTGAATTTAAAATATTAGGAGTTTAATTTCAAGATTGGTAAATACTTGACACTGTAGCATTCATTAAATTAATGTCTTTATTGAATGTAAATGATATGTTTCATGAATTTATGAGATCAAAGTTTGATGAATTGTATGGAAGAGAACTAGCAAATATAATAGGTTCAGTTGGACCACATAACTAATTTGATTCAGATGTTACAGAAGTTTAATAAAATGAATGGAATCAATTTATATAAAACCACAATGTATCATACAATTAAAAGTTTGGATAGAATACTAATAATAATTAGAATACTGAAAATAAAACTAAAACTAATTACAATATAACAGAAATTTTATAATCAATACCAGAATATTATTCCAATTATATATTCCCAACTCTTAAAGCATCTAATGCTTGGGTTATTAGTGGTAATCATACCAAAAGTGGAAAACCACATTTAGCAAATGATCCACATTTAGATAATAACATACCATCTTAATGGTATTAGGCTGAAATATATTTTTAGATGGATAACCAAGAATATAATTATATCATAGGTGGAACATTACCTGGATTACCAATTTGTATGAGTGGAAGAAGTAAATATTTAGGTTGGGGACTGACTACTTTATATTCTGATGGAGGTGATATATATGAAGAGGAAATAATAAAAAAAGATGAAGAAGATTTATTCTATAAATTCAATAATTAATGGATTCCTTGTAATAAAACAGTAGAAATCATTAAAATTAAAGGGTAAGAAGATTAATCTATTACTATTTTTAATACTCATCATGGCCCTATTATGTAATACTATATAGAAAATAATAAATTAAGAGATCATAATGGACATTTTTATTCTTTATAATCTATAGTTCATATAGATGATTATGAATCCTTTGATGGATTTATTAAATTTGCTTAAGGAAAGGACTTAAAGTAAAGTATGGAACTTTTGAAACATATCTGTTATCCAAATAATGGAATGGTATTCATTAGTCATGACAACCATATTGGTTATTTATCAACAGGAAGATTAGTAATAAAAGAGGGACATCCAGATGAGAATGCATATGTTAAGAAAAACAATAAAGAATGGATTAGATATGTACCATATAAAGAAATTCCTATGATTATTGATCCTGAAAAAGGTTATATTGTAGTTGCAAATAATAAATTTATACCAGATAATGAATTAAGTTGGAACTCACAGCCAACAAGTAGAGGAAGAAGAATAAATGATTTAATAAATTAAATGATTAATAAAGGATAGAAATTTTCTGTTTTAGATCACATAAAATTATAATCAGACACATACGATAGTTATGCTTGTATTACTAAAGATGAATTAATTTAATTACTTAAAAAATATGATAAAAATAATGAATTAATAAATGAAATAGTAATATTAGAAAATTGGACTTGTAAATGGGATTCAGAGTCTTCAGGTGCCTTATTATATGGAGTATTTGAATATTTTTATTCATTCAAATTTCACTCTTAATTAGATGAAGCTGTAATCAAACAATGGAATAATTTTTATATTTTTGATTCATTCCATTTTAAAAATCTGATTGATATGAATTTTGTATAACCTAATGATTAAATTCTTAACTAACCATATTGTAATGGTTCAGTTCAAGATAAATGTGCTTAAAATTTGGTTGAATCATTAAGAGAAGCCAGATAATTTATACATGAAAAATTTGGAAATCAAACAAAAGATTGGAAATGGGGATCATTACATAATTAAGTATTTCCTCATGCATTTTCGAATACACCTTTCGCATTCATTTTTGAAAGAAAAATACCTTATCACTCAAACAGAAGATCAGTAGCAGTATCATCTTATGATTTAGATGGATCATTTAATGGTAAAACAGGATCCAATTATAAATAAATTATATCAATGGATCCTGATGAATCTAATTTCTTTGTAATTGATACAGGAATAAGTGGTAATCCTTTTAGTAAATTATACACTAATTAAATGGATATTTGGAAAGAAAATAAGTATGTAAAGATGAAATTTGGTAATAGAACAGATTATGATTTATTATATGTTATACATCCAAATTGAGTTAAATATAGATATATATATACTTTTATGTAAATAATAATTATTAATATAATTTCACTCTTTTTTCTCTACTTATTATGCTGCTTATCTCTCAGCCTTTTTTTCTGCTTTCTTCTTCTCAGCTTCTAATTTTTTTTATTATTTTTTGCTTTCTGGATTAGGTTATTCTTATTATTTTTATTATTTTGGTTATTCTTATTATTATTATTATTATTAATCTTATTTTTATTCATCCACAGTTCCAGTTTAAACAGATTTCAAATCTAATTTGGTTTATATACTAGCTGCTTTAGTTTTACCATCAGGAATATAAATCAATTCATATTTATCTCCAACAATTTTATCTATTCTGAAAAAACCTCTTCTCTCAAATTATAATACAGATCCTAGATAATTTTTAATAATTATATTTACCAACTTAAAGTGTTTTAATTCCAGCATCAGCTAATGCTTCTGTAACATATTTACTATTTGGATTATAATAATCCTTAAATTCGTGATGATCTTCAATTGTTTTAACTTTAATTAGATGATCATATTCAACCAAATCTACATTTACAATTGGAGTATCTTTAGCAAGCCAAGTATATTTATTGGTTGTTTTGAAATCCTTATCATCTGGTAAGTTTTCACCAGTCAATAAGATTTATCCATCAACTTCCTTTTTTTCTGTTATTTTAACATTACCCCACTTCATTAATGTGATTTTCTCATCTACTTTAATATCTTTAGCATCCTAAGCTTCTAAGTACAATTGGTTACTTCTAAATAAAGGTCTTGTTCCTAATTCATTATTTTTAGGATGTTATGGAACAGTAACTACATTAATACCTTAATCTTAATAATTTGAAATTGTTAAAATGGAAATTCCTTCCTTTCCTACAGCTGTATATCTTGGAGCAATAGAATCAATCTTTGTAAAATTGATTGCCCAAAGCTTATCCCAAGTTTAAAGATTAGCATTTTTTGATGGTCCTTATTCTAACATAAAATCATGTAAGGCTTCAATTGTAATTCCTCTTCTTATGATACCTCTAAGAGTTGGAAAACGAGGATCTTACCATCCTTCTACAACCTTTTAATCTACAAATTCTTAAAGTTTTCTCTTGCTCAAACAAGTATTAACAAAATTCAATCTTGAAAACTCATAAATTTCAACTGGTCTTAATTCTAATGCCTATTATACCCATTAATATTATTCTATTCTATCTGAGTATTCATTAGTTCTCATAGCATGTGTAACTCCTTCAACACTATCCAAAATAGGGCATACAAAATCATAAGTTGGGTATGCCTTATATTTAGTACCTGTTCTATGATGTGGTGTTTAGTTTGTTCTATAGAGTACTGGATCTCTCATACATTTATTTAAAGCCTTCATATCAATTTTAGCTCTTAAACAATAATCAAATGCTTTTCCATTTAACATTAAATCAAATTTCTCAAGATTCTCCTCCACAGATTTGTTTCTATTAACACTCTCTATACCATCAAATCTCTCTTTCTTCATAGTTTCTTTATCTGTATTATCACAATAGGCCAATCCTTTTTTAATTAAGAATCTTGCTTTTTCTTCTGCAAGGTCGAAATAATCACTTGAGTGTGATAAGTTTGCCCACTCTATTTAAAGAGTTTTTAAATCCTCTAAAATTGCATCTTAATATTCAGCCTTCTCTTTTGATGGATTTGTATCATCAAAACGTACTAACATTTTGCCTTCATACATTTTGGAATATCTATAATTCAATACAGATGCTTTTATATGACCAATATGTAAATAACCAGATGGTTCAGGTGGAAATCTAGTACATACCTATCCTAATTGAAGAAATATAAAAGATAACTACCTTTGATTGCTCCTTTCAATACATCATATTGTGCTTATCCTTATTGTTTGGCTTGTTTCATTGTAAAATTTTTAAAAATAATTTTAAATAAATTCATAAGTAATTCTTACATAATTTAAACACATGTATTAATTAATCATCGTATTAACAACACATAAGCACCCATAATAAAACATAAACCTGATACTAATGGTGATAATCTATCCTAGATATTATGATATTGTTAATATACTCCAATTACAGCACTTCTTCTAAAGAATCCTCTAAATCCATGTCTATGTGAATTAATTAAATCAGGTTTCATCTGTCTGATATAAGTTGAAGTACATATAACTAGTAATAAAATCACTATCATTGTTGAGAAATTGAAAATTCCAAACTAATTATCATGCAATCAAATTACCATGTTTTCTTTAATTCACTACTTATTTAATTATAATTTTTATAATATGATCAAAAAAATACTTTATACTTGAGAGATTAGATTATATAATAGTATTTACTATTGAATAAGTGATAAAATCTTGAATTAGTTGGTACAATTATATATTTATTTCATAATCATTTAAATTCATCTCCTCTTCTTTTGATATAATGTTTAAGTTCTTTAACATTCTCTAAACATAATGATAATATCCTTTAAATAGTTTCTCTTTCTCTTTAGCTAATATATAATATTAATTTAAATTACTTTTCTTATAATTTGAACTAATAAACAGTATCTTCTTATTCACATTCAACTGCTCTATCTCCTCTTTATTTTAATTTATTATCCTATTTTTATACAGCTTCATCTCTGTCCATAGTCAGTACTTTGATTTAGGCTTCCAAAACATTTACATCTGAATCTAGTTCCTCAATAATTGCATTAACATCTCTAAGATCTTGATTTAAATTTTTGTATAATCTTTAGAAATATGACTCTCTGATATCATCCACAGATCTTAATAGACTCCTGGCTATATCAATATAATTTTCTAAATCATTGCAAGTTTCTACTAATTATCTTACAGTTTCTTCATGTTTAGAAATTTAAACTACTTTTAATTGTTCCATCACTGTAAACAATGAACTATAACCCTATAAATGTTTAAAATCACCTATTATTTATTTAGAGATCATAGAATACCTGCTTTAAGACTTGCATAACCTAATAAATTTGTAACTTTATCAACATCATCCTCTTATAGTTGAATAAACGCTGTCTCTCCATTATCATTTTCATACAAAGCAGACTCAAATATTTCTCTAACTGCAACAACAGCAGATATGGCTGTTTAATGTTCTCTTTGATATACATATATATTTACTCAAGTCTAGATTCAAAGATGCACTTTTATTTCTCTCTATTTTATTAGATCTCATCTATTCTATTAATTAACATTGTCTTTTCTTTCTTTTTGTTTTAAAGAGTATTAACTTTTTTTGTTTTTTCAGGTATTTTATCATCTAAAGCTTATTACATGTCCATAATACGAGCTTTTAATAAAGCTGCATAATTATCAAAATCTCCTAGATCTTTAGCACATTTAGATGAGAAAGTCTTATGCCTCTCATCAATTGTTAGGAATTCTGTTTCATAAGACTATGCTTAATCTCTCAATATTTGGAAGACTCTATCTAATGGCTCTTTGCTTCTTACAGCAATTTAGACTGTATCTAAGAATGTCTTGCCTAATTAAGTTTGCTCTAATTTAATAATTTCCTCTTCAAATTTAAGTTCTATATTTACACTTAGACCTAAAAGTAGAAATAATATTAGCATGTTAATCGTTTTTATTTATATAATAATGTTAATATTTATTTAATTGATAGTGGGAGTGATTTCAAATGAAAAAGTAATCACATAACAAGTAGCATTATAAATGGCTTCATTAAGTTTAGTGGGAACAGACTCATCACCAGCATTTTTAGAATTTATAAGTCTTCCTCATTCAACATCTCGTATAACAATAGATCGAGCTGTGAAATGGACATTTAATGAGGACATAGTATTATCTATATCACCATTGGAATTTTATACATCTGCAGAAAAAGCCTCTTTTCATTCATTAAGAATACAAGGTAACTTTTACTATAAAAACCAACCTTAATGGATGCTTTGGTGGTAAGAAAACTATTGGTAGTAACCAGTAGATTGGAGTGATAACTCAATATCTACATGTGGAGGTATTAGTATGTTGGGTGGTTATGGTAAATTTGCAGGAGGGGAAGTTCAGAAAACCTTTGTTGAATTACCTCAACATAGTAAAGTGAGAATTGTAGCAAATTATCATTTTATAGATGGATGGGGAGGAGAAACAGGGTTTTTAAGAGTCAGCATAGGAAGAATGGATGGAATGGAATATGTATGGACAGAGAAATATGACTATTCTAAAGTGAAGAATGGCATTTCTGTATGTGGAAGTAGATATCCTGAAGGAAAGTTGACTTCAGTTATTGATGTTTCATTTCCACATACGAAAGATACAATTAAATTGGGTTTTGGAAGTACCTTAGATAATGATCCACTGGAGAATTCATTCGGAATATCAAATTTGTAGATTTATCTGATCTGATCTGATAATTAATTTATTTATTTTGTGACATTTTTCACAAATGATAATTAGAAGATGTTCAATTTCTAATTCTACATCTTAAAGATCATAGTCTTAAAAGTAATAACATAAGTTATACTGATGTAGAATGTCAGAAAATGAATAATGCAATAGTAATTCTCACTTCTCAACATGCTGTAGTAATGCTTCATCAGAAATCGATGAGATTGATGATCCTTTGAATTATGCTTCCTTTAATGATTTCAAGTCCGTCCTACCTCTTGTTATTAATGGTGTTAAAATAAAGAAAGTTACTTGGGATCTCTTCTCTGCTCCTCCAAATGTATATTCACAATGGAAAGCCCATTGCTTTTGGACTGTTGGTTATACATATGACATTGCCATGAAAAAAATGAAGCAAAGCAATAAAATAAGATATAGATTAACTATTAATGCATGGTGTTGTTTAAATAGTAAATCATGGGTTAAGAATAAATGGGATCGTTTATTGGAACATGAAACTGGGCATTATCTTATTGGATGTTTATGTGCTTTAGAATTCAAAGCAAGGTATAATTAACATAACTTATTATAGAGCTGAGAAATCTAAATTTACTAAGAACTATCGACTTGAATCTACATAAATCTTCTAAGATACATTCTAAGAGTATCTAACCTTAGAAAGAAGGTATGATGAAGAAACAAATCATAGTCAAAATATTAGTAGATAAAAGGAGTGGAATGAATTCATCATTAAGGAATTACAAAAATACTGATTTTATTATTATTATTAATATATCTATAAATAAAACTTGGTTGTTTAAGGTATGTATTCATTTCTTATATCTTATCTTATTTATAACCATTAATAAGTTATTATATAACTAAACAAAATTGAAACAAAAAGAGATTACACAAAAGATGATTTTGATAGACAGAGATGCATCTTCAGAATTCAATTAAGCCTTGGATAATAAAACTAGAAATATTAGAGATAATGTTGAAACAAATAAATTATATGATTTTGGACAATCTAAAGTACTAGACTCTGATGAAATATTAAAAATATAAAAATAAATCTTTAGAAGGAACTCCCTATATTAGATGCCTCCTGTGTACTCTAAAATTAAAAATTTAAAATTATATACATTAATGATTCTTTTAACATTCATTTTGCTATAAATAAATTTTGAAAATTGAGCAACTTTATTGTTCAATTAAAAAAATTGATTTTTTAGATCGCCTAAAGCAGCAAGCTAAAAATATATTTAAAAAATTTTAGGATTATATTATAATATAATCCTAATTTTTTTTTTTAAATTAAGGTTTTATATTTAATATCAATTATTTTAGAATTTTAATTGTTACATCTAATATTTCATAGTAGTATTAAATTAATTAGTTGCACTTCTCAATATATTGTTATTATTTAATTATAATTATGAATGTAATCGTAAATTAATATCCTTTTTAGTTTTTGAATTATCAAGACATAAATATAATGATTATTATTTTAATGTTCAGTCTTTAAATGTAATAAGCTGTATAAATTGTGAACATCAAATAAAATACCAATAAGTGGCTTGTTAGTATATCGGTAGTACGCTTGCTTTGGGTGCAAGTAGGTCGGGTTCAATTCCCGAACGAGCCCAATTTTTTTATGACTTATTTAGATTCGGATTTTATCAGAATTTATTGAGTACACTAATTCTTTAATAATTAATATTAAGTTTGTATAATAATAAAAAGATTATGAACAAATTGGTTCTAAATATTTAGTTCTCTTAATAAGTTAAGTTTAAAATCGCTTTTGATGCTTCAAATTAAAAGACATTTGATTAATTAAAGCAAATTTGTGTTCAAAGATTAGAAGCCTTTTATAAAGTAATGATAATATTTTAAATAGATTTCGCCTGATAATATTAAGAATACATTGCCTAGTATTTTTGATCCTTCATAATACCATCTGACAGATTAAACTAACTTTATATTAAGTGATTTAGATTTAGTTGAAGACTTATGTTCAAACAATGAACTAATAAATCTGGTGTACAACTAATCTTTATCAACATCAATTTTAGATCCACTTAAAACTTCTAACTTGAGTATAGGATCTTAACTAAATACTTAATCAACATAATAATAATAATAATAATAATAATAATAATAATAGACAATACCTCCTTAATAATAAATATAATCCCCTCAATCATCATAATAAGTTAAAAATATTGTTTAACCTCTTTATAAGCCTTAATAAATAGATGATGGTATGATGGATGAAATTGGTAAAAATTAATTAAAAAGGAAATTCTATTTAGATACTTCATAATGGAATTCAATTTAATAAATCTAAAGTGATATAGAAATAAGCATTAAGTTCTTATAAGCTGAAGATTAGACAATTTAATATAATTTTGGTTGTTCATTAGAAGATACTTTATTCAATGTATCAGTAAAGATTTGCAATTAACTTTAATTGAGTTAAGATTAGAATCATGCTATTTTATATAATTTAAGTGGTTTACCTTTGGTTAATAATATGAATTAACTTCATCAAAAGACTGTTGATGATACAATTAGCAAACTTTAAAGTAAGGTTTTCTATGTTATAATTACCAAATGTTCAGCTGGAGATAAATCATTTCCTAAAATAGATTCTGAGGAAGGAAAAGATCAAATTTTTATTCTTCATTAAGGTCCAAAAGTAATTAAAGTAGATATTGAAACAACAACTGTATTATAATTAAAATAAAAATTATATCATAAACTTAATATACCTACAAATGTTTAAACTTTGAATTATGGTGGTAAATTACTCACAGATACCTTATTACTTAAAGATTATAATATTTAAAACAATTCAAATTTGAATTTAACATTTAAATTAAATTAATTAGTTGGTCATGCTGATAGTTATAATTATAATTTTTATATGCCTTGGTTAAACCATTATGTAAAGTAGAGTGATGATGGCATCAGATAATTTAGATGCAATATGCTAGTATTACTTGCTAAGGAAGATCAACCCAAATGGACATATACTATTAGATAATACTCAAATAATCCTGCACTTACATTAGCTTGTGTTTGTTTGTTTAGAAAATATAGACTAAATTAAAATGCTCGTATAGCTTTTGAAGAAGGCTTTCTTAGATTATTTTTTGATTTAATTATTTAAAGTTCTTAAGTACCTGCTACATTTGATATTGGATCTATTTTTGAGTATACAAGATAATGGATTCAATTTTTACATAATGAAGCAGCTAAATTTAAAGAAGCAGACATTAAACCAGTTGAAATTTATAGAAATATTGATTATTCTTGTTAAGTTACCTTAAGTCCCATAGAAAATCCAGCTTTTCTATCTTTAAATTAAAATGATGATATAAATGCTTATTAGATAGTAGATTACAATATTGTAAAAGGTAAATAAGAAACACAAGAAAAACATGCTAATGGAAAATTATTTTCTGAATTACAATTAATTTAAGATCCTAATTTAACTGAATAATTTAAGATAGTTAAATTCTTAGAAAAAGAAGATCTTATATGGTTACCTTAAGTTGATTTAAAAGACAACAGAGAACTTTAAGCAATACCAGCTGAATGGCATAAAAATGAAGATTTAAAAATAAACATTTTAAAGATTTATAGTTCAGTTGAATTGAAATAACATCCTGTTGCTCCTGTTCTTACTAAGAATTCATAAAAATAATTAGTTATATATACATCTATGAACAAAGATGTAGCCAAGCCTGTTAATTTATTTGATCCATTATCTGGTATGGAATAACCTGAAAATCCTGATTAAATTGCTTATAATCAAGTCTTACCAAATAAAAGTACTTCTGTAAATGATGATGATGATGATGATTCATCTATTTAATTAGTTACTTAGATAACTATTGAACCAGAAGAAGCTATTATTGTATTAATTGATATTTCTGGTTCAATGGATGAAGAATTCTATAAAAGTGAAGATTTGACAAGATTAGGAGTTGTTAAAGCATTTTTTAATGCTTTTGCTGATAGAACTATGGCATATAATCTTAAAAATGTTATTTCTCTTGCATATTTTGATGATAGATATATTTTGAAATGTGGTTATACAGAACTTTTCATGTAATTTAAGGATCTAGTTAATAAAGCTAAACCATAAGGTATGACAGCTTTATATGTGGCTCTTAAAAATGCTGTTGATTCCCTTTTATAATTTAAAAAGAAGTATCCAAATTGTATATTGAGAATTATTGCACTTACTGATGGAGAAGATAATAAAGGTAAATATAGTCCAGAATTTATTGCATAAACAATTGTTTAAAATTAGATTATCCTTGATTCTTTTGTAGTATATGATAAATGTGATGGTTTAAAATAAATCACAAAAGCTGCAGGTGGATAGTGCTTCTGTCCTAAAACAATTTAAGAAGGTTTGAAATTATTTGAGTATGAAACAATCTTATCAGCTAAAATAAGAAAATCATAGGAACCATTAACAAATGCTTAAATTACTGCAATTTTCTAATAAAATCCATAAACAATATAATTTGATGTTTAACCTAGAGAATTTGAATTACCTTTAGAATTAAAAAAATAATCTATCAATCCTAAATAATTAGTTAGAAGAATTAGTTCTGATTCATAATAACTTAATTTAATTGCTCCTCATAATTATTTAAAAAGAGTGATGAAAGAATTGATGACATATGAATAAAAACCTCATCCTTTTGTTAAAGTTTTCCCTTGCACTCATGATGTTTCATTCTGGAAGATAATTATGGCTGGTCCTGAATAAACTCCATATTCAGGTGGGATTTATATTTTGTATATGAAATTTCCTTAAGAATTCCCATTACAACCACCTGATCTAAGATTTTTAACTTCTATTTATCATTGTAATATCAATAGCTAGGGAAGAATATGTCATAGTATTTTAGGTAGAAACTATACTCCTGACACAAAAGTTCTATAAATCTTTGAAGCTGTTTATGGTATTTAAATAATATAAATTATTAGGTCTTCTCATGACTCCTGAACCTGATGATCCTTTAGATACTACTATTGCTTCTGAGTACATGCAAGATTTAAAGTTATATTAAGAAAAAGCAACAAAACACACTCTTAAATTTGCCAAGAGACCTATGGATGAAGTGTTGAAAGAAATATTAGGCACTGTAGGAGAGGATCTAGATTTGAGTGATATTGAGTTGTAAGAGAAGATTAACGAAATTAATAATTGGATTAATAATGCCAGTAAACCATAATGATTTATGAAGTTCATAAAATATAATTTAATATAATACATTGAAATTCAAATAAAAATTTAGAAATCTCAATTTAAGGCTGGATTTTAATCTAAAATATAATGAAAATTTATATTTGCCATCCATGATAAAATAATTAATTATTTTTAATTACTCTAAAATATTTATTTATTATATGGGAGTAGTATAATCTTGTATAAAATAAAGGAACTCTGCTCCCTAAATAGAGTACAATGTTCCTACAATTTTAAAACGAAAGTAAATTGGAAAACACCCACATAAGTAAAATATTTTGATTCCTCCACTTTCATAATTGGGTGAATATCATGAATCACTAGAACAATTAGAATTAGCATTATAAGAAAATAACATTAATTTTAGCATTCATAAAACAGCTACATTTAATAGTAGTAGTGCAAATCGTTAATCTATTTCAATTAATCCTAGCTTAAATCTATCTCTTAATACAACCATCCCTAATATGCTTCAACCATAAATCAATTAGAATTTATAATTTTAAGAATAACCATAACATAAAGATGAACAAATAATTTAAAAGAAATAAACTTACAAAGATTCTTAATTTAAGATTCGTGCTGAGGTGTAAATAGATAAAAAAGATAGTTATGCTCGAAGTCTAAGTAGTAATTCAAGAGCATAAAAAGCATAAAATCCTAATAATGATGAGTCATCAATCTCATTAAAAAGAGATTCAGAAACTAATACAAAAAAAAGCATTTTGAAAAACAAAAAGCAAATTATAACAAATTAACTAAATAGAGGAGTAAGTTTAAGACAATAATAATAAGTAATAAATGATGATACCCAATCTCAAAGAACCTCAAAGAGTTAGAAAAGAGTTAAATTCGATCCAAAAATATTTAGACCCAAAAACACTCATTTCTTCTAATGAAATTAAAATCTTGTTATATTTATTTATGTTTTTAAGTTTATAAATAAATATTGATATTATAAAATTTTATGAGTAAAACTACCTAATATAGTCGCAATAGTAAAAACAAAATAAAAGAAGCTATGTATTTCATCGTTTTAATATGATAGCCAATAAATATCTTAATGCATCAGTACTAAGAGTTACTAATCTGCTAATAAATTGTATTGAATTTTTGTTATTATAGATTGGAAGAAAAGAAAAGAAGTGCATCCTTAGCTAATTAATCATATTCAAATAATTCTAAATCTAATAAAAAAGATAATAATAAATGTTTTTCAGTTAACTTGGATTTTCTTGAAACTTTAACGATAGAAAATCCAACTGTTTAAGAATTATTAAAATAACTTAACATAGATGATTAAAATATTGATATTAAACAAATAATTAGAGAGAATCAAGATTATTTTCATCATCTCTAAAGTAATTCTATTATCCTATCAAAGAAAATTGTGCTTGTTTCAGATGTGCATGTTGTAATTGTAAATGCAATTATGTAAACAATGCAAAATTGGTCTACAAATCAGGATATAACACTTCCTATAAGAAAAGTTACTAATTTGGATTAACATCCTCATCATTTTATACTCCAGAATTGAATTTAAGATATTATGAATAAAGACCAATCCAGACTCCATTTTTAGAAATGCAAACCTAATAACGCAAGGCTTTTACTGCACATCCTATTTAGTAAAGATACAAACGATAATACAAAAAGAATTCAGCATCTAGATAGTTTTTGTCTACCACAACATATCAAGTATTAAGAAAGAACAAGAATTATAGAAAATGTATCCTGATTGGAAAGATCATGATCCAAATAGGAAGATTGATGCTCCATAACATATAAGTACTCATTCAGGGATCCCTATCTTGACCGTTACCAGTTATAATAAAGATTTTACTAAAAATCGTCCAAAGACTTCCATTCTCTCAGCCTCAGATGTTAAATAAATGCAACATCAGTAACCTTTTCATAATTTAAATAGTTAAACATATGCTCATATCACTCCTAATTATTTTGAAACTACTTACAACTCTGATTTTTAAAAACATAATTAGAATAATTTTATTAATTCAAAAACTGAACCCAATATTGAAGTCTATGTACCTTTAAGAGGTTTATCTTACGATACAGTTAATAAAAAGGCTTTTTAAAATGGTCATATCATTACTGAATGTTAAGGGACTAAAATGAAGAAAATTTTAAAGTTAAGAAATCAAAGTGCTTCTATGCTCAATGCATATCTCAATGAAATATATCAAAAACAATGAAAATTATTTAAGTGAAGAGATTATTATTTATTGCTTATTTTAAAAATACATATAGATTTATTTAAAATTAGTACTTTTTTTCTCATAAAATTTATAATCAAATAAATTATCTATATTTTATGTAGAATTAATTACATTTCATAATCTATTTTATCAAAATTTTGATATCATTTACTCACTTATTTAACGAAATGTTTCTAAATGAGGTTCTTCAGTTGGATAATATTTTTATTTTTCTATTTTATTTACATTTGAAGATTTCTTAAAAAGTTTTTAATTAGTTATTAAATTATCTGAAGGATGTAATGATATTATTGGAATTAAATGAAAGTCCTCAAGAGATCTAAATATATAAAATGAGAGCATATTTTATTTTTAAACAGCATTTTATTTAAATTAAATTTATGTATAAGGTCCAATTTATCTAATTATCATTAAAGCAATAGGAATTTCTAGATTTAATTATTAATAACTATTATGTCTTAATTCTTCTAAACTTTAAGGATTTAAAATAGGTAATTTACTTATTTTCTCAGCAGTGAAAATTTAACCAGAGTAAATTATGTCAAATTGTATGAATTTTTAATTTAAATCATCTTTATTTTCCTCATCCTTTAATTCAATTGTAATTTATTCTGTATTTTAAAAAATAAAGTATAAGCAATTAAAAAGTAACTGCTTAAGTTTCTTTTAATCAGTATATATATGATTATCAGTCAAATAAGATATTAATTTAATTTTTTTAAAATGATTTTTAGGAAAAAGCATATTGAAGATTGATATACAATCCTATATACAATTTAATAAATCAAAATGATTTAGAACAACTTTAGTAAATTTAGAATTCAAGTTTGCAAAATCTTGTATGTTATTAATATCAGTGTAAGTTTTAGTAATTTAACTATTTAAAAATAAAATAATTTTTTGATTATCAGATACTTATTATATATTATTATTCTTCAACATCTCCTATTATATAATTTATTTAAGATATATTAAACATATCCTAATTCTAGATTAAATGCTTTCTTGAACTTAATTTAACAATTTATTAGATATTTTCAATTTATATTTTAATGATTTATTTTATGATTCTTTTCTATTTTCTTTAATCAAAATTATTAAACATGGTTTTGTATCTTCAGTACGTATTATTTTAATATGATGTACATCTAATCCTATTAATCCTATTAATTCATAAGTTAAATTATCTATTGTACAATTCTTTGTTATCTCTTACATTTTTTCATGATTCATAAATAAATAAAACAAAAATTATTCTAAATTAAGTTTATTAGATTGATTAAGCATTTATGAAGATTGGATAATAGATTTTCTTCTTCTTTAGCTAAATAAAATTACTTTCATACTCCTTATCAAATTAATGAAATTATGTTATTTATTTTCAGTAATTTAAGATACTCTATTTTACCTGACTAAATCAAATTAATTCTGTCTAAGATTATAATGTACTATATATGATTAAATTTCAATCTATTTATATAGATTTTCTTCAATAATGTCTTTATTATTCATTATAATAAATGAAATTCTAGTTTATTATTCATTTATGTAATAGCTATATATTGCTATAATACTAGAAAAAATAAATATCAAAATTTGTCTCCAATGATCAGATTCTAAACAAATACTAGTGATATTAAGAATTAGTATAATAATTGTAATGAAGGTTTTCATTAAATAACTCCATTAAGAGATTATTCTAAAATATTTCATAATTATACCCTAGAGTTCCTAAACAAATGAAATAGCTTTACAATACTTCTTTATCATTTGAATGGTTTAAGAAACCTTATTTAATTGGATGTTAAATATTATAAATTATAATGGCTATTAACGTTAAAGTGTTATTTAAAGAGGCCAATTATTATTTAAAAATATAGCCAAGCAACATGATCAAAAGGGCAAACAAATTTAAAATAGTTTCAAACCATAATTTTTATAAAACATTTCCAAAGATTTCTAATGATATTAAAATTATGAGAAATAGCCTATAAACAGTTTAGCTTTATTTTTAAAGACTTTTTCTTTAGGAAGAATATCGATGTTCAAATTCTGAATTATTGAATCTTAATGTAATAAAATTCATTTAATAAATTTAATTTATTCAATAAAATGATCAGTGACTATTTTATTTCAAGTATTTTGAGTGTAAGCCTTCTCAAATTCTTAAACAAATGTATCAATTTCTTATTTTGTTAAACCTATAGCACATGCAACAGTAATATAAGGTGTAAAATAATTATCTAATATAAGTTATAGTATTTACCACAATGACTTCCATAATTCTTGAATTCAATACCACAAACTATTTTATTTTTTTTATTTGTAATTACTCTAGATCCCATAACCTTTTTTGAATATAAAATAGCTCCTAATTTTGTTATTTAATTTTTTTCATCTTAATTATTCTAATCAATTTTTTAATTCTTTAAACTTATACCAATAGATATGCTATTTTTAGGAGTATTAAGTATTTATTCAGAAATCTTCTATGTAATAATCTAAAGTTTCTCTTTAAAATATATATAATTTTCAACTCTTTCTTTTTATAATTATAAATAACCTGATCTACCCATAGATAAAAATGTAATAAATAAATCTAAAATTGGAGCAGCACTTGCCCTACCTGGATACAATTCACTAATTTATTTAATGAGTTTCTTATCATTACCATATATCAAAGCTCCCCCAACAGGAACCATAAAATTTTTATCAGAACTTGAAACAATTAAATTGACAGTTCCTTAAGCTAACCCTTAATTAATAGAGTTAGCTATTTTATTACATTAAATTCCATATGCATTGTTAACAACATGATAAATTTAAAATTATTTACAGATTTTTGCTATTTCTCCAATATTATCAGGAATTCTTGGTGCAAAACAACTTGTAGTACTTAAAACACAAACAATATTATCTGGCCCAATTTCATTAATTTTTTAGATTAAAATATCTAAATTAGTTGTTACTACATGATCTTAGATCATTGTTTCAATTACAATAGGAATAAGATTAGCTGTTTAAATGCATTTTAAACATGTTTTTTAATCTATTCTTGGCCATAAAACATATTTTGCTTATGGCTTTAGAGATTTCAATGTTAATAAACAAAGTGATAATGCCATTCCTGTAGCTACAGGTACAATAAGTAATTCATTAATTTGATAATTACTTAATTTTAAAGCATCTTTAGCCAAATGTTTTGTTAATTTTGCTATTAAAGAAGATCCTGCAGCTTTAGGTTGACTAGCTATTAGATCTCCTGATCTTCCAATTCCATGTCCCATATAATAATTTCTCTTTTGTACAAGAGCTGAGAAAATTCTGCTTTCTCTTTCTCCAACACCTACTTTGTTAACAAAATTATTAGTATCCATAGTTGCAAATATATTAAGCAAATATTCAATTGTAAGATCATCAAAACCTTCTTCAGGTAATTGTCTTTAGGATAATAATAATTTAAACAATTTCTCCTTTGCATTAAGAGAATTTGAAGCTATTTTTACATATTTATCATCAATTATTTCAGAGCATAGTTTAAGATTTTACTAATTCATTTTTTTTTATAAAAATAATTCGCGGTATAATGAAGTAAACAACACTTTAAAGGTTCTTAACATCTTCATAGAAAAAGAATGATACTACAAACTTAAATAATAATAAAGTGTCAAATGTTAATAGTTAAGTAGAAGAAAAAAAGATTGAAATCTAATATATAAAGCCAGCCACTTCTATAAAAAAGGAAGAATAAATTAAAGTAATTAAAGAACAATAGATTGAAAATTCACAAGATAAGCCATAATAATTAAGCAGATTAAAAAGAAATAATATAATAGATAGTGATGAAGAATAAGTAAAAAAAGAATTTGATTAAGATGAGTTAAAAATTGAAAAATTTTCTTTTGTAGGCTCTTAGGAAAAGAATAAAGAGAAAAAATCATTAGCTGTTTTTATAAAATAAGATAATACAAAAAATATTACTAAATCATAACAAAAACAAAAAAAATCAGAATATGATAAATCCGGCAAAACTTTAAAATAATCTACAAAATTAGAAGAAGAGGAATTTGATAATTCTTAAGAAAATAAATAAGGAAATATAGATTTTAAACATCCAACAGATAAAATTAATGTTTATGAAGAATTTGATGATGTTACTCCAAAATGGGCAGCTATTGGTTCATCAAGAGATAAAAGTGGTAAATTACATGGAACTTAAGATGCAGATCCAACAACACTTTTAATACCTTAAAATGAATTCAATAAATTAACTAAATGTATGCAATAATTTTGGAAATATAAGAGTGAGAATTTTGATAAGATCATATTTTTTAAATTAGGAAAATTTTATGAATTGTTTTATGAAGATGCTTATATAGGAAATAAATATTTAGATTTAAATTGGATGGGAAGAAAAATGTAATTAAATTTATTATTATTATATTAGGCATACAGGATTTCCAGAAAGAGCAGTCCATAAATATAAGGCTCTTTTATTAGAATATGGATACAAGGTAGCAATAGTAGATTAAATAGAAACACCAGAGTAAATGAATTAAAGAATAGCTTAAAATAAGAAAAGTGGAACAGGCAACACTGATAAAATAGTTTAAAGATAAATAAGTGAAATATTGACAAAAGGAACATATTTATATGAAGAAGGAGAATCATAAATGAATCTTGATGAAAAGGTTTTACTTGTTATAAGAAAGAAAATTTTATCAAATACAATAGAAGAATATGGAATAGCTATTTTTGAAAGATAAACAAATAAAATATCACTTGCATTTATTGAAAATAGAGATAAAAATTATGAATCTCTTAAGACTTTATTACTTCATATGAGACCAGTAGAAACAGTTATTGATTAACATAATCTACCCCCAACTGATCCAATAACTAAAATGATATCTGGATCTGTTATTAAAAGTGTTATTTCACATCTAACAACATCTAAAGATAATTGGGATGAAAAAAAAGCATTATTTAGACTTGAATAATATTATTAAAATGGATTTCCTCCAGCTATTAAATTTTATCAAAATAATTAAGTTGTTCTATAAGCTTTAAATGGATTATTTACTTATTTAAATTAAATCTTAATATTAGATCGAGTTTTGGGATGCGCTAAATTCAAATTATATGATGAAGAATTTTCATTATAATAATGTATGATATTAGATAGTTAAGCAATTGTATAATATATTTACTTATTTATTTTAGTATCATTTAGAGATTTTGTAAACAACTACTTTAGTAGAAAAAAAAGATTATTCTTTATTTGGTGTGATAAATAAAACTGTTACTCCTGGTGGACATCGATTACTAAGAAGATGGGTTTGTGCACCTCTTTATTAAGTTGATTAGATTAGAGAGAGATAAACTATGGTAAGTGATATTAGTCAATTTAGAAAAGAAAGAGATTTATTTAGATAGAGTATTAAATAATTTCCAGATTTTGAAAGAAGATGTAGTAGAATTTATGAATACTCAATCAAATCTGAAAGTAAAGCAGTATTTTATGAAAATTTATCTGAATAAAGGTTAAAAGAATTTAAGACTCTTACTAAAATGTTGAGACTTGCTTAGGAAGAAATAACATTATTTGGTTAATTGAATATTAACTTTAGAAGTGAAAGGTTAAAAAAAATGATGACTTTTGAAGCTAATGGAGGTTTATTACCTAATGTTTAAGAATAATTAGATGAATTTGAATAATATATTATATGGGAAAAGGAAAAAGATAAAGATAAAGAAATCCCTAAACCAGTTACAGGAGTCTTAGAAAGTTATGATCAATCACTTGCTGAAGTTGAATTAGTTTAATAGAAACTTGATGATCTTCTCTAAAAAATTAAATAAACATTATTTAAGAATAATAGTAACATTCAATATGTACATACAAAATTTAGATACGAAATAGAAATTCCAGATGAATTAGTAGAAAAGTCAAAACCTGATGATTTTGAATTCACTTCTTCAAGATAGGGTTATAAAAGATATATCACTAAGGAAATTAAGGATTTAGTTACTGAATTAGAATAAGCAGAGGAATTAAAAAAATAATAATTAACTGCCTTTGGAAATTTCATATTCAAGCATTTTCAATCTAATCAATTTGTTTGGGATTCTCTTATTAAAATATTAAATGAACTAGATGCATTATGTTCCTTAAGTGTATTTGGAGATACATCAGATGGAAAAATGACTATGCCAATATTTACTACAGAAAAAATTAAATTAGTTATTAAAGAAGGCAAACATCCATGTTTAACCAATATAAATTTTGTTTCTAATTCAATAGATATGGGAGAAAAGCTTAGTAAATTTTAATTATTGACTGGTCCTAATATGGGAGGTAAAAGCACTACTCTAAGAATGGTTTGTATTCTTGCAATCTTAGCTTAACTTGGATGTTCAGTTCCATGTGAAGAAATGGAACTCTCTCCAATAGATAGGATATTTACTAGAATAGGAGCCAAAGACTATTTAATGGAAGGAAAATCAACATTTTATGTAGAATTAGAAGAAACATTATTACCATTAAAATATGGAACTTAAAATTCTTTATTTATCACTGATGAATTAGGAAGAGGAACTTCTACATATGATGGTGTGGCTATAGCCTCTGCAGTTATGCATTATCTTATTAAGAAAATATAATGTAGAGTGCTTTTTGCAACTCATTTCAGAATTCTAGTTGAAGAGGCAAAACTAATTAGTGAAGTAACAAATGTTCATATGGCTTGTTATATTTAAGATGGGAAAGTTATATTTCTATATAGATTAAAGGAAGGAGCATGTGAAGCTTCTTTTGGAATTAATGTAGCTAAAGTTGTAGGAATAGAGAATTCTATTATAACTAAGGCTGAAGATATGGCGAACTTTTTTGAAAATAAAGTGCAAAAGAACACAGAACAAACTCTACAAAAATTTAATTAAATCTTAAAAGAATATGGGATTATTTGATTATTTAATGAGGTTGATTTTATTTTCTATAAAAATAAATTAATATAACTTGACTGAATTTGATATTTATTTATATAATAAAGCTTTAATGTATTTACATTTAAATCAATATTACTTGAATATAATATCAATTTGAGTTTTGGATCAGTATATTACTTTGAATTAATTATTAGCCTTTTGTGTTTTATTAAGAAAAAATAAAAAAAATTAGTATTATTTATGATGGAAATATTATTATTATTTTCAATGTATATTAATGGTTATTTCTCTAATCAATGATCATGCCAACAATAATATTTACATTTTTATTTTCAATAATTAATGAATGAAATAAAATAAAATGAATATTTATAAAAAAGTAGAAAAGAGAAAGAGTGGTTGAATAGAAAATAATTAAAATATTTAAGAGATATAACTGTTACAAGTGATGATTCTGGGGATGAGTTAGAAAAAAAAAAAGAATTCAAAATTTTATTAAAATAAAGAAGAAAATTTTAATGGGAATAAAGAAGCTTAAATTTTATGAATTCAAAGCACTCTAGATTATATTCGAAAACATGTGCAATGAAATTTCATCATTATCTAATTTTATTAAATTCTTAAATAAGAAAGCTCAAAAAGCATTTAGCTCCTTAACGTCCATATACTATGACACCTGATGGTTCTATAAAATTAATATGGGATTTAATTTGTTTAGGATTTGTTATTTATGAAATGATAGGCATACCCTTTTAAATAAGTTTTGAAATAGAAATCAGTAATGAGATTTAAAATTTATCACTGGGAGTATTTATTTTTGATATATTATTGAATTTCAATACTGGAGTCTACATTGATGGTGCTTTATAGATGGATAGAAGATATATATTTAAAAATTACTTATAATTTTGGTTTTGGATTGATATGATTTCAACATTCCCATATGAAATTATTATTGATGAGTCATAATAACTTATATAAAGCGCTAAATTATTAAGACTATTTAAATTTTTGAAATTTGTTAGAGTTTTAAAATTACTCAGATTAGCAAAACTTAAAAAAATAATAGATAAAATTGATGAATACATATAAACTTCTCGGATTATTGGAGTGATCATAACTTTTATAAAATTATTTGTATTTGTACTATTTTTTGCTCATGTTTTAGGCTGTATATTTCATTATACTGCAATTTAAGAAGAATATTCTTGGTTAGGGGATTAAGAAGAAGAATATGATTGGTAAACTAGATATATAAATTCACTTTATTGGGGAGTTGCAACAATGACAACAGTTGGATATGGAGATATCAGTCCATAAACTCCAGTTGAAAGATTATTGGGAATATTTCTATTGTTAGTAGCTTGTGGAGGGTTTGCATTTACAATGAATTCAATTGGATTTGCTTTATCGTCATTAGAAGAAAAATCAAATATTAGAAAATAAAAAGTAAGTCTACTCAATAAATACATGAAAAAAGCAAATATTCCAGATGTTTTGTAAAATAAAGTTAGAAAATACTTAGAATTTGTTTGGGATAGTCATTAAATCCTATTAAAAGATATTACAAAATTATTATCTGATGAGTTAGGAAAAGATATCTAAGAATTGGTAAATGGAAAACTATTTGGACATGCAGATATTATATGGCATTTACATACAAAGAGATTTCTTATTTAAGCAATAATTCCAATTTTAGAAGATAAACTATTTTTTCCAGAAGAAATAATATTTCTTGAAATTCCTTCAATCACTAATGATTTATATTTAATACAAAAAGGGAGTGTGGATATATATTTCATGAAAACAAACATTGTAATTGATAATAAAATAAAAAATGATTATTTTGGAGAAATCAGTTTTTATTCTAATTAATTAAGATCAGCTAGTGCAATAAGCAGAACATTTTCTCATATTTTTGTATTAAATTAATAGAAATTCTTAGAGATTGCTAAATCTTATCCAAAAGATCTACAATAGTACTTTAAAGTAAGAAATGCAATAATATTTGAATCAGATTATAGTTATTTACAAATTAGATGCTATGTTTGCTAAATGGATGATCATTTGGCTAAAGAATGTCCAGTATTACATTTTTAAGTGTAAATTCTTTTAATTATATAGTAATGCCCCTCATTTTCTTTCTTTTTTGCATCAATATCGTAAAATAGAAGAAACTGTATATATAAGAAAAGATAGAAGGGATTTTAATGCAAGATTTTCAGCTTATTAAGTATAATAAACTTAGAAACGATTCATTAAAATTAATAATAAAAGAATTTCATTTCTTGGTTCAAAAGGAATTGTTGATACAATTTTTAATAATTATTATAATATTGAAGACGATAATAATTCAATAGAAGATGATACTCCTTCAAGAATAATAACATCTTTATAAGTTTCAATATTTAATAATAAAAATAAAAAAAAGTTTGATTAAATAGAATTTAATTATGAAGAGTCTTCACACCATTCCAAAAAAAAAGTGGGTTAATTAACTTAAAGAATAATAATAGAAGATTAATACATCGATTAAATAGCTACTAATAGGTTTCATGATCTTTTGGAATAAATAAATACATTGAAATACAAAAAATAAATATTTTAACAAATTAATTTTTCAGAAATACCTAATTTTGATAAAGTTTCTAGTTTTCATAATTTTTGTTAAAGATATAATATTGAATGTGTTTTAGAAAGATATCATAAAATATAAAAAAGAGGATCAATATCTTAAATTCCACCAAAATATAGTTCATTTGGTGTTGAGGAATTTTAATCATATTTATAATATTATTGTTTTTACTTGAAATAAGATGACTTGAAAAGATACTTTACAAAATCTCAATTAAAGAAGAAGGAAATGATATTTGAATTTGAAAATACAAGAGTCTTCAATTTAACAAGGGTAGAAAAGAAAAGAAATTAATTCATAACTAAAAATTCGAAAGTAAAATATTAACATTATCTTAGTTTAGAAGTGTTGTAACTAAAATTCAAAGTTTAAATTCATTAAAAAGTAACTCTCGCATAAGTTTTTGATGTAGTATTTAGTATTTTTTTTGATAATATTGTATTATATAAATATTTTCATTTTTGGGGAAAAAAACTAATGAAAATTTCAAATACTTTTATTCAATTTTAGCTTAATTTTCAAATTTACTCTAATTTTTTATTAAATTTTGGTTAATATAAAGATACTAAGAGGAATAAATTATTTAATTTTGTTTATAATTCTTCTCTTTATATACAATTATACACTCGGTTCTAGCATATTAAGTTAATTTTAACTTACCTTATTCTTTTATTTTTTAGCAATTTAAGAGTATAATGAAAATACTTAAGTTATGATTATATTTGTAATTTTACAGAATAAAACCTTCAAATCTAATATTTTTTTATTTGAAATTTATCTCTTTTTTATTTAGATTATATCTATTTGAATCTTATTGTAAGCTATTTAATTATTAAAATAATAAATAAATGGCATTTCTATTTTGTTTTGGGTTGTAATACAAGTATCAAATACTTATAGTTCAATTCTTATGTTTCAATATTTAATAATAAAGATATTAATTTTTAATCTGTTAGGGCTTCGTGAATGCATTTCGTCATCACCAATAACCAATTTTGGTTGCTTGTTAAAGCGTGAAGAAATAAATTCAGTTATTAAATGATGGAGCGGAGATCATTTTTTATCTCTTTCCTACCAAAAGATTTTTTCATAATTTAGGAGCTATATTTTAGTGCATGCCTTTACTGAATAGAAGAGTTTACTTAGATTAGTTCATACATCACATAATAGTTTTTTATGTAAATTAAAGCAAAATTCCAATAGAAAATAAAGAGTCAGTTTTTGAATTTTATTGATGAATAAAAGAGATAAATCAAAAAAAACAAGGATTAACTTAAATGATTAAGAGATTAAGGGATTTTCTTTTTATTTAAGATTAATAGATTAACTAAATATTAGAGAGCATTATATCATTACAAACAGATTATAAGAATAATTAAAGTAGATTAGAATTTATTATCCAAAAAATTTATGTAGATTCCAATTGTAAATATAGTGATATCGAGTGTTATGTAATTTTGTTTAAATGAAAATGAAGAATTAATAAGAGAAATATTAGTCTTAAGAGAAACTCTTTAAAGTTGAAATATAAGATATATTTAGGATTTATAAAAATTTATATCTAAAGCTAAAGATATAGGTGTAGATGGATCTTCTGAAACAGGAATTAGGAAATGTAAAAAAATATTATTTACTTTAAAATTTATCATGCTAGGACACATTAGAGATACCTAGAGATACTTAAATGTAGACCTATCCTTATATTTTGCTTTATATAATTTTATTGAACTGATAGTTAAAACAAAATAGATAAATTTTAAGCAGAGAAATCTTCTAATAGATTTAATGGATTTGTGAATTTATGAATTACTTATTCTTTTGATTAGATAAAGGTGATTCACATTAAATCATAATAAGTTCAATAAAATTATAATAGTAAGAATAAGCATTATTTAAATTATAAAATCTAATTTTGCTTCACAAATGAATAACATAAAATATCATTGCACTGAGCTTTTGCTTAAAATTTAAGCTGTACAACTCTGTGGATTGTATACCAAGGAATGATATGAAAATCTTTCAGATTATTATATACCCCAGGCAATATTACCAATCATATTGAGTAAAACCAAAGCAAAGTCGACATAGAATACTATGTGTTCTATATTGTACTTTTTAATCATATAAATTCCTAAATTAGTAAAAATCAATACTCCAATAGCCTTAAAATCTAAATATAAATAAATACTCCAATTCCATAAAAGAAAAATTGATAACCGACTGTTAAACTTAAATCCTAATTTTCTTTTACTAAAAATGAAATAAAGACTTGCAAACATACAATGAAATATCCATAATTTGCTGTAGCTGCAGCCGCCGCAGCGACTAAGCCAAATTCTATCATAGTTACAAACAAAGTCAATCCAGCTGCCATTCCTAAGAATCCAGCTATAAATCCTGTAGCCCAACCAGCCCCATAAATCTTAAAAAATCTAGAAATTGGTGTGTAGTAACGTTCATTCATATTAAAATTCACAGTATTTTTAAGAAGTTCTTTCTTACGCATATAAAAGAATACAAAGAATGTAAAAATGATATTTACACCAAATAAAAGAATTAGCATATAAAAATTCCATGGTTCACAAGCAGAAAATTGATCACCAAAATCTTAATCATTTGGATAAAAATAAGGTGATATTTAATATGATGTTGTCCTCAGTAAAATTATTAATTCATTCACTGCAAAATTTCCAAATGCCAAGAGGATAGGCAATAATGGAAATCTTGAATTTGATTCTTCTTAAAACTATTTAAATAAATTAGAAATTCTTTATTCTTCATTTATGTTGCTTTCAACATTTTAATCATTAGTATTTATTGGAGATGGTTGTATTTCACTCTTCTTTTATTTATTGGTTTCAATAACTTATTCCGATTTTGCAAAATATAAAAGAACAGGGCAAATAACTACAAAAAAGATCATTTATAATGTCATCAAAGGCAAAAGAGGCAAATAGTTTGCCAAATCCATTCCAACCTACATTGATATAGGTATCCCTAAGGCATAGACTAATCCTATTTCAAAATTAACTAAAGGACGTTCAGGTTAATCAGGATGACTATAAGCATAGAATTATTTTAAATACCTTTGAAAAAAGATTATGATTTAATTCACTATTTAGGCACTAAACATAAGACAAGCAGTGATGTCTCCAGAAGTAGATGAGTTTATATTTAGAATTGCTTCTAAAAATGGTCTTTTAAAAACACCACCTAATGAATTTAATATTATTTTCACCTCCTAAAGCTCCAAGGCTGCAAATTCCAATAATTGGAATAATTAGAATATACATAATAATTGAGACTGCATTAGAATACAAGACTCCTTCTCTACAACAGCCTATCTAATTAATGGGTTATCCTTTAAAAGATAAGTTGCTGCAAACAGAAAACTATCCACAAGTAGAGCTATTACAATTTATTGTTCCAACACCTTAAAATAAAGAGTATTGGTCATCCTCACATGAAAAAAATGATGACATTATTAAAATAAATAAGATTGTTCATTAATATGAATAGACTTTAAATAACATATCTTTTTAACCTAAAAACAAATTTCAATTGCATCCAAGTATGATACAATAAAAAATACTATTATTCAAAAAGAAACAAGCAAATCCTTATAAATTGAATTCATATAGAAAAATTCTCTAAAAACATTTTTATATCCACTATTAAAATTATTTAAATTAAATCAATTTAATTTATTTTTGTTAAGGTGATCTAAGACAAATTTTACACTTATTAAGGAAAGTTAATAAAATAAAAATAATCATTTTATCATCATTTTTTATAGCAAATTCAATAGTTCTTAGAAAATAAATATAAAAGTCAATTTAATTTGATTTGACGTATACTAAATTTTCAATAAGTCAGAAACTCCAATTCTTGAGAAATTAAGAAAAATTATTAAAGAAATGTAAAGTTTATGAACATTATTGCTTAATCTTTAGAAGGAGAATTGAAAATTATAACACTTAGACTGAAATTATAATTATAAATTATTAGTTTTTGTTTCTGTTTATAATGCTCTTACTTTAATATAACTTAAGCAACTATTTATTATAATAATTTATGAGATATATTGTAGAATCCTTTCATAATAAATACTTTATAAGAGACTTTCAAATATATTTTATAATAGGTAAAGTTCTATTTATTTTGAATTAATTAATAATAAATATTATTATTTTTAATATAATTAAAATATTAAACCTTTTAAGCTCAATAAGGAATTTATTCAGGAGCATGTCCAATCTTCTATTTTCAATTAAGTAAAATGTTCAAATAGGTAGTTTATATGCTAAAAAATTGGTAATTGATTTATCATTTTTAATGAATTAATATTTTATTGTTCCATTAAAAATACATAAATAAATAAATAAATAAATAAAGCTCATTGCACTGAGCTTTTGTTTAAAATTTAAGCTGTACAACTCTGTGGATTGTATACCAAAGAATGATATGAAAATCTTTCAGATTATTCTATACCCCAGGCAATATTACCAATCATATTGAGTAAAACCAAAGCAAAGTCAATATAAAATAAGACATGTCCTACATTGTACTTTTTAATCATATAATATCCTAAATTAGTAAAAATCAAAACTCCAATAGCCTTGAAATATAAATATAAATAAATACTCCTATTCCATAAAAGAAAAATTGATAACCGACTGTTAAACTCAAATCCTAATATTCTCCAACTACGAAAGAAATAAAGACTTGCAAACATATAATAAAATATCCATAATTTGCTGTAGCTCCAGCAGCTGCAGCAACTAAGCCAAATTCTATCATAGTTACAAACATAGTCAATCCAGCTGCCATTCCTAAGAATCCAGCTATAAATCCTGTAGCCCAACCAGCACCATAAATCATAAAAAATCTAGAAATTGGTGTGTAGTAACGTTCATTCATATTAAAATTCACAGTATTTTTAAGAAGTTCTTTCTTACGCATATAAAAGAGTACCCAAAGGGTGATTATTAAATTAACTCCAAATAAAAGAATCATCATATAAAAATTCCAAGGTTCACAAGCAGAATACTTATTACCAAAATTTTAATCATTTGGATAAAAATATGGTGATATTTAGTATGATGTTGTCCTTAGTAAAATTATTAATTCATTCACTGCAAAATTTCCAAATGCTAAAAGGATAGGCAATAATGGAAATCTTGAATTTGATTCTTCTTGAAGCTGCTTAAATAATTCAGCCATTCTTTACTCTTCAATTATGTTGCCCTTGACCTATTGCTCTATTGTGATGATGGAAGATTACTACATTTCATTATTAACCTCTTTATTATTTTCAATTTTTTGTTCAGATTTTGCGAAATATAAAAGTACTGGGCAAATAATTATGAAAAAAAGCATTTATAGTGTCAACAAAGGCAAAAGAGGTAGGTAGTTTGCCAATTCCATTCCAACCTACATTGATATTGGTATCCCTAAAGCATAGATTAATCCTATCTCAAAATTAACCAAAGGACGTTCAGGAGATTCAGGATGACTACAAACATAGAATATTTTTAAATACCTTTAAAAAAAGATTATGACTTGATTCACTAATTATGCACCAAACATAAGACAAGCAGTGATGTCTCCAGAAGTAGAGGAATTGAAATTTAGAATGGCCTCTAAAAAGGGTCGTTTAACAACACCACCTAATGAATTTAATAGTATTCTCACCTCCCAAAGCTCCAAGACTGCCAATTCCAATAATGGGAATAATTAGAATATAAACTATAATAGAAACTGCATTCGGATACAAGACTCCTTCTCTACAACAGCCTACTTAGCCAGTGGGTTTGCCTGATAAAAACAAGCTATTGCATGCAGAGAACTACCCACATGTAGAGCTTTGACAATTTACGGTTCCAACTCCTTAAAATAAAGAGTATTGGTTATTTTGGCATGACAATAATGAAGACATTATAAAAATAATTATAGAATATTTTCTACTTTCGAAGAACTTAAGAATTTACCAATTTAACTGAATGACAAATTAGATAGTTGATATTATTGCATAATAAAGTATTATATGGCAACTTTGTGAATAGTAATAGGATTATTTCTAAAATATTCATATATGATGAAAGTAACCATTTTGAACATTCTGGTGTGCAAAATGAAACTTATTTAAAATAAATTAAAATAAATAAATATAATTCTTCAGTTATCAAGGACCAAATTTCCACATGTTGAAGGCTGTTACTCCAATGAACGAAAACCATCCCGATAACCATTCTCAATTCCCCATACAATGTTACCAATAATATTTAAAACAACAATAGCAAAGTCAATATAAAAAATGATATGCCCTACATTATATTTCTTCAATAATTTATAACCATAATTTGTGAATGTTAGAACTGCTAATATCTATAAAATCTTAATAAAATAATTACTCCTAAAGCATAGAAAAAGAATTATTCACCAATACCCAAACCTTAACTCTATGAAGCACCAACGAGGAAATTTGTAAATACTTAAATGCATATTAAGAAATAACAATAGTTGGCTGTAGCTCCTGCAACAGCAGCAATCAATTTAAATTGAACCATAGTTACTACCATTGTTAATCCAGCTGCCATTCCTACAAAACCAGCAACAAATCCTGTTAAAAATCCTGCTGCATAAACAAAAAAGAATCTTCTAGGAGGTGTGAAGTAACGTTCATGAGGATAAAAATTTACTGTATTTTTTAACAATTCTTTTTTTCTCATGAAAAAGTAAACAGAACCTGTTATCAAAAAGTTTACTCCTGTTAATAAAAGAACCATATAAAAATTCCAAGGTTCACAAGGACCTTTATCCCTATTTTAATTATTTAAATCTCCTTCTGGAAAGAAATATGGAGAATATTGATATGGAGAAGATCTCAACAGTAATAAAAGCTAATAATAGATAATAGTAATTATTACTTCATTGATTGCAAAATTTCCCAAGGTTATTAAAATAGGTACAAGTGGAAATCTTTAACATTGTTCAGCATAAAGCTATTTATAAAGCTTAGCTTAATTTTCAGTATAATCATTCTGATTTTAAATTTATTACTAAGACACTGTCAGAAGTGCAGATTCCTTTACTACATCACTGTTTTGATCTTTTATATCTTCTAATTCATTTTGTCTTCTAGCATAATATATTAAAACAGGGGATATTGCTAAGAAAAATAGTATTTGAAATGATAGTAAAGGTAGTAACGGTAGAAAGTTTGCTAAATCACTTCCTAAACACAAACTAACCGGAATAGCTAAAGTATAAATAATAGCTATGTCATAATTAATGACTGGTCTTTCTGGTACATCAGGATGACTATTTTACTTAATCTGCAAAATTACTTTTAGAGAAATATGAACACCATATTAATTATTTGTGCACTAATCATTAAACAAGCAGTAATATCTCCAGCTATGCTTGCATCAAAATTCAGAATGGCTTACAGAAATGGACGCTTTACTATTCCTCCTTAAATAAATTAGAAAATATATATATACCTCCTAAAGCTCCCAAACTAGCTATTCCTATAACTGGGACAATCAAAATATAAACAAAAACTGTCACAAAGTTTGGCTCTAAAATTTTCATACGGCAACATCCTGTTGTTTCAATAAACTTTTCATTTAAAACTGTAAGACACTTGTTGTATTGACCACATCCATCCATTGAGCATCCTAAGCCCCCATTAAATAAATTGAACTTAGGATCTGAACAAGAAAGTGGTCTATTCATTGCAAATAAATAAATTATAGAATCAACTCCAACCTAATATTTACTTTATTCCAATTAAAATTTACATTATAATATAACATCATATTTCAAAAGTTTTTCTAAATTATTATAAAATTTATAATATTCTAGAAAAAATATTTATTGTTCTCAAAATTAAAAAAAAATCAATATTTGAATCTAATTATATATTATGAATTTATTGAAATGATTTAGTTTTGGCTTTGAAAATAAGCCTAACATTTAAATATCTATAAGATTATGCTACATAATTGTTAGAGAAATAATGTCAATTTAAAGATATGAAGAATATTTCTATCACATATATTTTTAAGATTAATTATTTTTTGATTGTTTACTTATAAAGTGATATAGAAGAGGATTCTATAATTAAAACTATTTAGAGATTGGTAAATATTCTGAGATTATTAATTAATAAAATTAGAGTAATAGAAAATTTGAAGTAAGTGGATATGGTTGAAAGTCTTGTTTATTAATATCAAAAGACATAATTTTTATCCAACAATCTTAATTTTGATTCTAATTTTTTGATTAAAGGATAAAAATTGAGATATATTAAATAAAAAGTATTTTAAATCATCTTCATTTGTTCAGGGAAGTGTTTATAAATGAATAGGATTAAGGAACACCTTATCCTTTTACTTGATTCAAATTTATTGCTACATAAAATCTAAATGAAATTTTACCACTAGTGTTAACTGGTCTATGAAATAAATAGTTAAAGTCTTTTCCAATCACTTTCTGTTGAAAATCCTTTCTTTCTTCATCCTTTCTATTTAGGGCTTCAATTATAATAAGTAATACGTAATTTAAGTAACGCAGCTAATTAATTAGCATTAAATAGTTGAACTTAAGGTATGTATGGTTTATGGTAATAACTTTTTGAGCTATTTATAAGAAAATTAGCTTATTATTAAGATAATTGATTTTCACTTTATTTCATAGGAGATCCATTACTATTGGTTTATTTTTATTTTTGTTTAGACTGATCTTCCTAATTATCAGTTAAGTCTTTGCTTAATTCTACTGTTGTTTTAGATCTTTTATTCTAGATTTAATTTGGATAATCATATCGATTCAATTATTTCTCTTAGATCATCAATGATATTAAATTTTAGACTTTTTGAATTTCATTTTGGTAATTTTACAATTATTATCTTATTTCAATATTGTCTTTCTTATGATTTTCATTATCAGATTTTAATTGTTGTAATTCTTCTTTTGTTTAATTAAAATTGTCTAAATTATATTAATTTATTACTTTGAATTTCTTTGATTTCATTTCCTTAGCTTTCAAATTTAATTTCTAATTATTGAAGTTTTTCTTTCATATTCCTCAAATTTTCTTGAGTTTCTTCTTCTCCTGAACATAAAGGATTACCAATATTTGAATCCACATATTAAACAGATATTTTGTATTATTATGATTCGAGTTATTAAGAAGTTAAAAATGATCCTAATTAACTTTTCTTATTTCTTTGATTAGAAGATTCTTAGATAAGATTAATTTTTACATGAATTTTAAATGAGCTTATTTATTACAACAGACTTTTCATTATTTTCTTCCTCTGTTAACATAGGGTTTTATGAACATTCAAATTCACAATCTGATTCTTCCTATCTTATCAATTATTCTTAATCTGAATTCGAGACATGGCTATTACTTAATGGATTGTTAATTTGAGAATCAGAGTCATTCATAGAAAATAACAAATATTTATTGAAACTAAAATATTAATTATTGAATATCATTGATAAAAATAGTTTTAAAAATACTTATTTTGACAGTTTTTATATTGATCAATCAAATCTATACATGTCAAAATTCTTTATTAAATTTTAAGATCAAATATATACATATATCTTATCCATATTACTAATTAATACTTTTAAATTAATTTTCTGATTCTATTAAAAATAACTTTAAAAATTATGAGAAATTTTAACATATATATTTAGTTTAGGTTCACTTAGTTAAATAAATATATTTAATTTTGTGCGATCTTGTGATTTAATTATTACTTTAATCGTAAGTTTTTTAATGAAATAAACAATAAAATAACTCATTCTTCAATATGAAATTCAATTAAATCATCCAATCTCAATTTCTTTGTATTATATTCTCTAAGATCAGGATACTTAACTGCATCAATTAAATAATCTATTAGATATTTTAATTCTTAATCATTTTAATCTTAATGCCATTCTAAGATTGGTATACCATTTTCAATTTAAAATCCAAAAGAATGAGCTAAATTATCAACAATTAGTATATCCTTTAATTCCTTATTGCCTATTAATCTTAAGTCTTTGATGAAAAAACCATTTTTTGTTTCCATACAATTGTTTCTAGTCATTATACCAGAAATGTATTAATTTGTTGGATCTAAATAATTAATAATAGCTAATGCATAGGCTGAAGATGATGCTGTATATATGTATATAGTATAATGTTAAGATAACTACTACAAGAATAGTGTTGTATATGGACGAATATTAATCCCAATCTAATTATTTTCCAATAAATTACTTTTGCCTCCTCTCCAAAATCTCCAACAGCTGTTACATAAACTTAAGGATTTTCTCTTTAAGAACAAGAATGAATTAAAGTTTCATCTAAATCAAGTACTAAAGTTTTATCTTTTTTTGGATTGGCTTCTGCAAGTTGGATTTTTTTTGATTATATGAATTTATCAGAAGGTCCTTTAAGACATTTTCTTGCATAAATTAAACCTCTCTATGTTAATATAAGATGTTTTTTAAATGCTTATTCGTTGATAATTGGACCAAAAATAAGATGTCTAAAAGGATGGTTACTTAACTTATCTTTGGAATTATTTTGCGAATTCTTTTTACTTTATTCATTGTCTGAATTCACATTCAAATTTTACATAGAGACAGCTTATCTAAAATTGATTTTATCTGAATACTTATTTTTATTCAACTTCATATTTTGTGGAGATTATTAACTTAATTTTTACTATATCCTTTAAGCTTGTTCTTCAATATTGTAATTTCCTTCTTGTTATTAAACTTATACTGGTTTTTGTTTTTTCTCTTAATCACTAAAATCTGGTTCCTATTCAACATCTCCTTCAACCTTTTTTGTATTGACAAGATTGCTGAATCTAGACATCTTAGCACCTAAATATAATCTATATTACCCTAAGGCTATTTCGATTATGGCTTTTAGTTTTTTGGTGTACCTGAATCTGAATCATCAGTCTAATATCCATTTTGCATAGGTGGTTTCGCCTTAGGTTTTATGATTGTTTTAGGAGTATTATCTTTTGATGTTGTACTATCTCCTTCTTCTTCACTATAAAATTGAAGCTTTTGCTCTTGATTTATAACTTATTTGATATGACCAACTTAGGTTTTGGCTTTAAAACTGTAAACCTTATCCATCTTATAATTTTAATATATTTAATAATAAAAAAAGCTCAAACTCTTCCTTTTTATCTTAAAGGAGGCAATTTAGGTTGGCTTTCAGATTTATGCTTTAATTTATAGATTGTTGAATTAGGTTATGGTATTTCTTTAATATCAGTATTACCCCATTTTGGACTTTATAATTTCGAATCAAATTCATTCAAAGCTTTGTGTAACTTACTTGCTTTAAGATTTTGAGGTTTTTTCATATCATCAACTAAATAATTATACATATATAATACAATTCTTATAAGCATTTATTCTATCAAATTAAGATTTTAGTTTTTTGGGACTTGTTTTCTCCTTTTCTTTAGTGTGCTTTTTGAAGTATTTTTTGCTTTCATAAACACTCTTTGCATTAGCTGATTCAGCTGAAGATGAACGATATGATTTTTTGATATCTTCATCTTCCATCATCCATTTAAAATATTATTCATTTGATATTTTGATATTTCTATCTCCTTCACGATTAATAGCATCATATATTTTCTATTCATATGTATCCATTTCCTCAACTACTCCATCTTCTACATCTTCATATTACTTTTTATTTTTTTATTATAAACCATCCACCATTGTTTAATAATCCCTCTTACTCATTCTATCAGGAATCTTATATTCACCTCCTTCCTTAACACAACCATTATCAAAAATGATATTTGTACCTTATTTAGACTAGTATAACTATTCATAAAACCTTCATGGCTTCAATTAAAGAAGGTTATTTTGGATATTCAACAGCTGCTGCTTTTTCAAGTTTCCTATTATCTTCATCTCCTTTAGCAAATGCTTCTTTAACTGGTTTTATTTCAGGTTAGGAATTCACTTCCTTAATAACTTTTTATGGTTAATTAGTTTTTGTTTCTGGTTAAAGTATTTCATTTATTTATAAATCTATAGGTCTATTATTATTATAGAGATGTTTTACTTTGTTGTTAGAAACACCACTTAACCATCATAATCATATGTGTATTATTTATTTTTTAATTATTTCAACTATTCTTTCTTTTTCTCTTCATATTCAATTTATTCTTCTTTTATTTTACGCATTCTTTCATTTTCTTTCTATTTATCTAATGTTTAATATTCTCTCTATTCTCGAAGTCTTTCTATTATTGCATCTGGAGTAGGAGGTTTTTTAGTATCTGGCATTTTTATTAGATTAGGTTTGTATTCTTCTTGAATTGTCGATTAAAGAGTTGTCATCTATTGAGAAGATCCACCCAATTTATTTAGAAGTTTCATTTTGCTTACAGAATTCTAAAACCTCACAATTGAATTTCTTGAGAATCTTGAAGAAGATTAACTTTTTTATGATCTAGCATCATCTTATGTTTCTTAACCTGTTGTTGGCTGTTAAATTTTCATTATTTTAACTCCCTTGGCAGTCAGATTATCAATTGTCTTAAAATGCTAAAACATAATATATAATTAAGTACAGGTTCATCTTCATCTATCCATTTATTTAAAATAGCATATTTAGATTCACCATGATCAAATGGCTTTTATTGTTATTTATTTTACATACTAAGAAATCCTATTATACAACTCCACACTGCCAATTTGCTATCACTTCACAATTATAACCAGGTTCTTTTTCACTTAAGTAATGTTCATAAAGATTTTATGAGCATTTTATAATTAAATAATCAACAGTTGGATTTACAATCTCGACAGTCTCAAAATTTTACATTAAATTGTTAAAGTATTTAATATTTTTATTATTTATAGTAATTAAATCCTTAATATTAAAATTCCTCTTGATTTTATAAATGGATTTTAAATTTAGAATATACACATTAATATTGGAACTTTTTAAAGATATATATGTAATTCTATTTTAAATTAATTACATAATAAATATCATTTTATTAATATTGTATTATATTTATTTTGTTAATAATGAATTTAATTATATCTTTAGTTTATTCAGATCAATTATTTTCAATTTATAAATCGGTTTGACATGAAATGGAATTCAAAATCATTAATACGAATACATAGATATTTTGAATACAGAAAATAATAAAAATATTTTAATTTTAAACATTAAATCAAATAAAAATTATTGAATAAATGATAGAGGAATTATTTCCATTAATTGTAATAATATGATTAAATAAGTAATTATTTCATAATAAAATTTTCTATATCACAATAATTTAATTTTCTGAAGATTTAATTTTGAATAAGAAATTTAATTTTAATTTGATACAATAGAAAATTTTTAAGTATTTTTTTGTTGATTATGTATTTGTACACATTTTTGATATGATATTAACTGATTATAGCTGAAATATGCTTACAGTATTAATTTTATAAATATTTAAATAATTAATTTTATTATCTTTTTTGAATGTAATTTTTCTACTCCGTCAATTGATAAACTGATAACTAGATTAAAAAATATATATTTATTTAGTTATATATTTATTATTGAGAAAATAATTAAAAAGAGATTATTATTTAAATTCTTTTAGAATTGTTGATGTAATTGATTATATTTAGGTTTAAGTTTAGTTAATTATTTTGATTATTATGCCAATGATAATCTAAGTATATAAAGATTTAGTAGCAAGTAAATTTTTGATTAATTTTATTTTAAATCTCAACTAGATATCGGATGTCAGTGTCTTAAGAACAAAAAATTTCTTCTACCTATACTCTTAAGGAAGATTAAATTGCATTAAAAAAGCAGTGCCAAATATCAAATTTACTTAGAAGAAAAGATTTTAAATCTGTTGTAAAAATTTTACAAACTGATTAAAAGTCAAGGTTAGGGCATTTTCCTTTACTTTAGAACAAATTATTAAAAGCTTAAATACTAAAACTAAATATATAATGTTGGCTAAAATCTATGCATAAGAGGAGACAATAGATCTGTATATATCGCCAAGCTGACCAAGATTGTGAAACTGCACGATGATGAAGATAATTACTTACCTTTTATTAAAATATAGTGGTATAATAGGAAAACTGAGTTGATGGGTTTACCTAAGGATTAATTAGAATGTATTTCTGAAAATGAAGTCTTTAAAACTAATGAATTCGATTATATAGAAATTGAAAGCATAATAGGATTAGCAATCATTTTAAGTTATGAAGAATATGATAAAATAGAAGAGTTAAATGATAATGTATACTTTATGAGAGCTACATATATTGATGAAAAGTTATCGCCACCTTTTGAATAATGGAAAAAGGTTTGTATGTGTAGAAAGCCTGCTAATCCAGATTTAAAGTATCATAAATTTTATGAAAATAGGTATATATTTTGTGAAATATGTTAAAAATGGTTTCATTTGAAATGTGTAGGACTAAGTTAAGATCAAGCTATAAAATTAAAAAAATATATATGTCTTGAATGTAAGAACTGAAATTTTAAATGATATATTGTATATATATACATATTCAATTGACTGATCTATTAAATAATAATATTGAATATCTTAATTCATTTTCTAAATTTTTATAATTATAATGAGGTTTTATGTCTTCTCTTTAATATTCTTTATATTAATCTTTGCAAGTATAATAATAAAGGTTTATTAAAACTTCCACTAAAATAAACAGTAAGATTGCTTGAAATGCTCTATATGGGAATTAATCTTTTTCCTCTAAATCATCAAATTTGCTTTTAGAAAGAAATTTAATATATTCGAAAAAATTGAATTTATCAATGTCAATCAAAACCTCATTATCATCTGGCCATCTAGTCAAATTGAGTAAATATTCCTTTCTAAAATTTGCAAGCTGGAATAATTAAAATAAATACTTTTTAGAAATGAGGTTCATCTAATAATGATTTATATTTTGGATCTATAGATTTTAATTTATTTAGTGATTTATGATATTAATAAGGATCCTATAAATTCTATCCATAATTATCTATTTTTAATTTCTTTTTTGTAAAATTTTAAAGTACTTTTCTGAACATAATTATTTTATATATAAAATAGTAAAAAATAATCATAAAAAAAGTAAATTTATAGTTTCTTAAAATTTTTCATTTTATTAATATATTACTATATAACAATAATTAAAAGAAGGCTATCAAAAGACTTAAAAACTTCTTAATTTTATTAATAATAAATAATAATTAAAAGGAAGATAATAATAAATAAATTTCAAAACTTGAAAAATAAAAACAAAAATGATTAAAATATCAACGCCTTTAACATCATTCATCCATTTAGTTCATTAAATCTCTTCGACCCTGTAATTTTGCATACTTCAATTAACAGATTTGCTTTTATAATTAATATCTTAGTCTACTTTATCATTTATACTCCATTTATTATTATTGTATTTTTTGAAAAACTTCAATACAATTTCTGGGGAAATAAAATTGACAAATGCATAACCTAGATTTCCTTCATTCTTATCTGATTAATTTAATAATTACATTGTTATCAGATGGAAGGTAAAGAAAATCAAATTATGATTTGAAGTCTTTATTAAGAAGGTTTTTTAAATCACCTGGTCTCATATATTTAGGTATATTTTTTAACATTAGAGTGGTTCTTTCATCATAAAGAATCTCAATTAAGAAATTAAATATTACATTCTCTTCACAAATTTCAAGGTTGTAATAAAGTGTATTTTAATACAATAGCTTTTCATCACAATCAAATAAGAACTTCATTTCAATGAGTTCTTAAAAAAGTAATTTTTGGTTTTAGAGACTCCCTTCATCAGGCATAAGCAGTTTAAAGTCTCATGATAAGAATGTGATACCAAATGCACATAAAGAAGCTTCAAACTTTTCTTCTTAACTTAGCTATGGTCTAGGTATTTATAATTTAGGCATATATTTAGATTCAAAGGAAGAATCACTTGAACTAGCAGATGAAACTGTTGTATTTGCTTAGGAGGTTCTTCCTTTTTATGGTGTTGAGCTGAGTGCAATGTCTATAATATTACAAATCATTATTAAATATTAATAAAAATAGAGGACACACATTTTTATATTTAGCAAAACTCTTAAGACATAATATTTCTTAAGTTAAGTAGTTTTAAATTTCTAAATTTATCAAACAAAAATATATATTTTTAAAGTAAGAATTAGATGGATATTAGTTTGATTATATCAAATATATTAAGTATGAAATAATATTAATCTCCAAACATTATTTGTGAACTTTTATTATTATTCTAATAGTTGTAATAAAAGAATTAATTTGTTTTAATGAATAACCTAATAAATAAGCCTTAAAAAAGTTATTTTTTAGGAGAGTTAGGAGATTTCTTAGAATGTAATATTTTTAAGTTTAACGTGCGCTATTTATTGAAAGCTAATAATTTATTATTATAGCTTCATGATTATTTGTTTATTCTTTTAAGAATAAGAATTTTGCTTTTTTACAAATAATAATGAGTAAGTAAAATGAATACTATAATTTTATTAATATAAAATAATAAGGATATAGAATTTATTATTTAATAATATTTTATATTTTATATGAAAATGTACAACCTAATTGATCATCATTTAAAATGATCTTTAATTTTTGAGGAAAGTTCATCACAGGTTTTCTTAGCATCACCCAATAACATATTGTTATTTGGTTTATAGAATACTGGATTATCAATAGCAGCATATCCAACACCCATGGATCTCTTCATAACTATACATTATTTAGCAGCCCAAACTCTTAATACAGGCATTCCTAAAGAATTTAATTGAATAAAATACCTGCAATTGGTGAATTTGGATTTTCTTCTGCAGCTGAATTTACAGTGTCATTAGCTCCAATAACAACAGCTAGATCAGTATCTGGGAAATCATCATTAATTTCATCCATTTCAAAGACAATATCATATGGAATACCAGCTTCGGCTAATAAGACATTTAATTATCCAGGCATTCTACCAGCAACTGGATGAATACCAAATCTAACTTTAATTCCTTAATCAATAAGTGTTTTGCACATTTCAGCAACTGGATATTAGGCTTTAGCAACTGCCAAACCATATCCAGGTACAATGATGATAGATTTACTATTAACCATCATTTCAACAGCTTATTCAACATTGATTTCAGTGTGAGTACCTTCAACTTTAGTAGATTAAATAGCAGCTGGATTAACATCAAATCCACCAAAAATAACACTTGTTAAATTTCTATTCATGGCCTTGCACATAATATAAGAGAGAATAGCACCTGATGATCCTACCAATGCTCCAACAATAGTTAATAATGGATTATCTAACATAAAACCTTCAGCACATAATGCCCATCCTGAATATGAATTCAAAACAGTAATTACAACTGGCATATCAGCACCACCAATAGCATTTGTTAATGTAACTCCTAAGACTTTACTAGCAGCTGTTGCTGTTAATAAGGCAGTCATTCCTACAGCAAAACTACCTGTTTAATTATAGATTAATAAAGATGCAACAGATAAGGCTGCCAATGCAATGTTAACTTAATTATGATAAGGAATAACAGTTGGATTTGAAGGCAAAAGATTTTATAATTTAGCAAAGGCAATGAGTGATCCAGTAAATGTAATACCACCTGTGAAAATACCAAAGAAAATTGATAATTTATGAACAAGTGCAGCTGGATCTTCAGCCAAATGAGGGAATACATGTAAATAATTACCAATAGATGTTAATACTGCTGCCAATCCAACAAATGAATGGAAACAAGCAACTAATTAAGGTAAATCAGTAATAGCAACTCTTGTAGCAACTGTACCTCCAATAGTAGCCCCTAACATTACCATTGATGCCCATTAAGCTAATAATTCTGGAGAATATCCTTTATATCCTAAAGTTGCAGCAACACCCAATCCAACTCCCAAACAACCAAAACTATTACCAATTCTAGCTGTCTATTATTGTGCTAATCCAGCAAGTGCTAATATACAAGCTATAGATGAAGCTAAATATGAAAGATTTGTCAATGGTTCTTTTGGAATTCCATAATAAAGTCCACCATAATATCCAAGTACTCCTGTAGCACCTGCTAATGCCATTAAATAATTGTATTCAGCAGGGTCAGTTGGTCTTCTAAACATATTTAACATTCTTTATGTGACTAAGAAACCACCAGAAATATTGAGAGATGCTATGGCAACAGAGATGGCTGCCAATAACCCAGTAAAAGATCCTGGTAAATATTTTCCATCCATCAATTCCATACCACCAACTATAATTATACCAGATACTGCATTTGTAACTGACATAAGTGGTGAATGTAAGGCTGGAGTAACACCCCAAACCACTTGATAACCAACAATACCTGCTAAAGCAAAAGTATTTAACATTTTTAAGAATTCCATATTAGGAGATTGATAACCTAAAGCCATCATTGCCATAAGTGAAGCTGATGTATTAATAACATTTTTCCAAGCTTATTTGTATGGATCTACTTAAACTTCTTATTTTTTATGAGAAGCAGCTTTAGATGTATCAGCTTATTAGAGTTCACTCTTAGATGTAACTATAGGAGGAGGTGGCCATTTCAATTCTCCATTTAATGTTACTAATGATTATCTTACAACATCATCATTCAAATCCACTTATGTCATTTTTCCATTTGGATCTTTGATTGTTCCTACAATGTATTACATCAATTTTCCAATATTATTAGCATATAATGTTGAACTTTAAGTAGGTAATCTGCTTGGTAAATCAGTATATCCAATAATTTTAACTTTTCCTTAATGATTATATAATTCTCCTGGTTTGCATAATTCACAATTTCCTCCTGTTTCAGCAGCCAAATCAACAATAACTGATCCTTATTTCATGTTTTCTACTAATTCTTTTGATAATAATTTTGGTGCTGGTCTTCCTGGAATAAGTGCAGTAGTAATAATAATATCAACTTCTTTTGCTTATTTTAAGAATAATGCTAATTCTGCTTCTAAATATTCTTTTCCCATTTCCTTAGCATATCCACCAATACCTGCACCATCAACAACTTCTCCATTTATTTTGACTTCCAAAAATTCAGCTCCACAAGACTTTACTTATTCTTTAGTTGCTAATCTTGTATCAAATGCTCTAACAATAGCTCCCATATTTTTAGCAGTTACAATAGCTGATAAACCAGCAACTCCTGCTCCAATTACTAATACTTTAGCAGGTGGAACTTTTCCTGCAGCTGTCATTTAACCAGCAAAGAATCTACCAAATTCATTTGCTGCCAATAAAACTGCTTTATATCCTGCAATGTTAGCCATAGAACTCAAGGCATCATATGTTTAAGCTCTAGTAATTCTAGGAACACATTCCATAGCAAATGTTGTAATCTTCTTCTCTTATAATTAATTAAGTAATTCTTTATTCTATGCTGGGTATATGAAAGAGGTCTATATTTATTAAAAATAAATACAATAGTTTGACTTTCTTTCAAAGCCTTTGTATTTTCAGGAGGTCTAATTTTTAAGATAACATCAGATTAATCATAAACTGAATTTGAATCAACTACTTTTGCTCCTACTTCTTAATAAACATTATCTGCAAAATTGGCCTTTAAACCAGCTCCACTTTCAATGAGGACCTAATTATTAATAAATTTTCTAAACTTAATGTCCATCTTTAAGCAAATTTTTAATGGATTCTGGTGTTGCTGCCACTCTATTTTCATTTGGATATGTTTCTTTTGGAACACCAAATATAAACTTAGGGTGACTTGGCTTCTTATCACCTTTACTTGAAAAGCATGTTCTTGCACTTAATAACAATTGCTTTGTTGCTTGGCGATGAAATCCTAGCATAAAATAAATATCTTTTTTTATAAACAATATGTTCCTATTTATACAATTAATTCAAAAGAAATCTTTGCCATATAATTTATTTTAAATATTTGTTATGAGAACTGCAAATTCAAATTAAGGATAATCCATAGTCCCTGATACAAATGAAATTAATGATTACATTAAAGAGTACTTGAGATATTCTAACTATTCAAATACTTTAGAATGTTTTGATGCAGAAATAAAGAGTAAATAGGTATCCAATAAAGTAGATAATTATATTAATATTCTAGATGTTAAATAAATAATAAGTTATTAAATAAACAGGTGATGATATGCCTCGTATATTTTAATTGCTCAAAAGCGATAATATAAAAACAAAAAGAGAAATCAATTTAGAGAAGGAATAAAAGTAATTTAATAAGAAATACTAATAAATTTTATAGGCAGGCAGATAAATATTTTCTGTTAGCATAAATTTATTATAATTATTACATTCATTAAAAGAGACAGCTAAAAATGAAAATCTAAGCGAAACTTTAGAAAACTATAAAATATAATTGGGAAAATATCATAAAGTTATTATAAATGAAGGTAAACCAGAAGGTACAGAATTAATTACTGAATAAGTTATGCATGAACATAAAACTAAGCTATTTAAAAATTATTAGGATAAACATGTAGATGGAATGATAGAAGTTCTGTTATCTCTTAGAGTGAATGCATTATAAATTGCACCAGAATTAAGAAAAAACTTAGTTTATGAATTAATAAGAAATGATGTATTTAATATTGAAGCAACAGATAAATTTGATTTTGTTGTTCATTTATTGGATATCAATAATTAAAGTTTAAGACATGCAATTACTAGTTTAATAAGTGTGATCAGCAGCACATTAAGAGGTGTAGAATACTTAACTTATAATGGAAATATGATAATCATAGAAAAAATAATAAAAATTTTAAAAGAATAAGAAAACGGTTCAGTAACTTAAAGATTCTGTTTAGCAATTTTATAAAAAGCAAGTATTAAAGATACTGTAATTCCATCTTATGTTTAAAATGAAATGATTCAATGGATTATTAATCTCATTCAAAAATCAGTTAATTCTAAAATTCATGTATTTTGTCTTGATTTTGCTTCAGCTACATTAGCTAATATTATTCATACTCCATATACATTATAATATTTGGAACATTAACCACGATTTGCACATCAAGTAATGGAATAATTGTTAAAATTTATAAAAGATTAAATATAAGTTTCAGTACTTATGCATATTTTAATTTGTTTATCTTATTTAAGTAAAGAAAATTTTGCAAAATAAATGGAGGAATGCAGATTTGTAGATAGAATAAGTTAATTTGTTGAATTTTATAGTGTCATTAATACTGGTATAAATAGAAATGATATATTTCATAGAAAATGAAGCAGCAGAAATTGATAAAAAAACAGTTTTAGATTTATGTGCTCATATGTTTCATCCGAAGGATACTTCTTTAGATAATTCTGAAACTTTAGAATTAAATGAATTAAAAACTGAAGATAGAATAAGAGAATATGAAAATGAACAAGGAGAATTAATTTTTGAATGTTTCCAAGATGAAGTTAGTTGAATATTTATTTTTATATATTTATTTAAAATTGAATTATATATTGATAAATTTATTATTTGGTTTTATATCTTATACATTTATACTTCTAGTCGATATTTCGTTTTAGAATTATTTGATCTTTCTTACAAAAATTCAAAACTATTTTTCCCAAAATACATCACAATAGGAAATTTATTTTTCTCAATTATTAAACAAGACTGATGCTAAATTTTTCACTAATTTTTATTTTAACTTATTGTCTTATTCATGCAATTTTCTTTATCCGATAAAGATTGCCAATCAGAGCTACCTTAAGGCTTAAAAAATGCTAACTTCAGAAAGAGAAAACCCATTGATTCAGATACTAAAACCAACTTGATACTTAGTGTAGTCAAAGATCATTTGCCAATATATTAGGTGTTAAAGTATCTCTATATATTTAGGCAGCAATTATCCATAAAGTTAAATATTCATCAGCAAAACACATTTTAAGAAATTACTACAGTGATACTGCTAACTACTTTTCCCTTCAAAAAAAGAGAAGAAGAAAGATACAATGTTGTGGTGTCTCCGCTTTAATAGAAATTAACAGTGGAAATATAGCTTTAAATTCTCAAGGGTTTTCTACGATCCCCTTTATTAAAAATGGTGTAAATGCCCAAATCAAATAAAAAGTAATTGATCATTTGGGTGTTTCAATATATAAACAAATAGGTAACTTGAATTTCAAGAGGTTAAATAAGAAAGTTAGAATAGACCCAATTAAACAGTTGAATAATATAGAAAAAATTGAAAACAAAGTTAAATTTCTAATTCAGACACTTGAAAAATAACATCAAGAAATGATATAATGATAAATTACAAACTATCCTTATTAATTACATATTTTCTCTGTTCATCAAATTTCTTAACATCTTTATAAATAATTGACAAAAAGATTTAAAAAAGTGGAATAAAAATGATTTATTTTTAAATAATAATTAGTATATATATACATATATATAACTATTTTTAAATTGTTTGTAAAAGAATTTATGTTTGAAGACTTCATTTAGTTTCATGCTTGTTTACATATATATGAATAAAAATTTTATGAATCAAAAACTAAATATATTTAAGTTTCATGATTTAAGATTAGAGAAAACATTTAATTATGGTATTTATGAGTTTTATAATTCTACTATAATTACCATAAAGTTTTGTAAACACCTTAAATATATACAATTGTAACTTATTATTTGAATTAATCTGTAATTAAAAGTTTATGAGTGAAGTATTAAAGAATTTTATACTAATGTTATTATTTAATAATTAAATATAATTTAACACGTACTTCATAATAAGAAATTAAATTTAAATAAAAAATTATCATTATGATTGTTTAGTTTTAAGTCTATAATAATTATTTTACAATACTAGAGGTAAACATGTTGTAAAATAAAATTTTGATTTTTGTGTATTATCCAGATCTAATTTGCATGATGGACTTGTCTAAAATCTTTAATTTGAAGAAGTTTAAGTTGGATGTCTTCTAATATGATAACTAATATTTTCTAAAGCAGTTCCTAGAATTCCAGGAGTAGATGCATGTTTTTTTGTTTATTTCTTATTTTTATTTTTCTATTTTAATGATTATTATATGATTAATTCTTCTGTTTTTTATCTTGAATGTTAAGCAGATTAAGCAGATTTTAATAGTTTATTTAAATAAGCTTATTCAGATTCAGCAGGATTATCTAATGTTAATGTTTGTTCTCTTAATCTATTATCATCTAATTTGATTCTGCTACTAATCTTAAAAATTTAATTAGTGCTATTAAATAATAATTTTTATTAATTTTCTTAAATTTGGAGTAGATTTTCTGGTTTTAAGAATGTTTTATTTTAAGTTCTTTCAAGTAAATTAATTTTTTCTGTTTGATCAATAAAATTTTTTTCATATACTCTAATTTATTATAAAATCTATTTTAATTTTTTGTCATTTAAAGCAGTCAAACTTTTATTTAATGCAGGATCACAATATAAGACTCTCATGAAATCTCTCTTAGAAACTGAATAAACATTATTACTTTCAAAAGTTGAAACTATACTAAACTATCTAAATAAATCTGGAGCTTTTAAAATTTCTAATTCTCCAAACATTTCTCCTGCCCCCAGAAATTTTAATGTCATAATTAACTTTTTATCACTTGCAATAAGATTTCCATACTTTTTTTTCTAATATAATTTATCAATTTTTTCTTAATTTGTTAATGAAGGTTTATTATATGCAAATTATTGTTTTAAAAATTCTACATCATCATCACCTTCTTAATAATTATTATTTTGTTCTTTATTCATTCGTAAACATTTAATTACCTAAAGATTTTTAAAGAACATACTTTAAATTCACCTGTTTATATAAAATAAACTTCATTAGATGGATCACCTTCTTTATAAACTGTGTGATTTAATCTAAATTTATTTAATTTCATAACATCAAACAAGGATTTAACACTCATAAATTTCCAGTCTTTAAAAATAGAGAGTTTTGCAAATTCTTCAAAATACATCTGTCTTTATTAATTTATCTTTTAGATTAGTAAAATAAATTACCACAGTTTTTTTGATAACCATATAATCCTCAGCATCTAAAACTGCTAAATGAGTTGGAGTTACAGCTGTAATAGAAGCAGATCTAGGTTCATTATTTTCTAATGCAAGCTCACCAAAGGCTTAACCATCACTCATTTGGATTAACTCTTTTTCTTGATAGCAATCTCCAACAAACATTCTTTTATGAATTGACACTCTACCTTACAATATAATATAAAATGTAGTTCCCACATCACCTTAAATATAATTAATATTAGCTCACCTTCTCTAAATAGAGTTTCACCCTTTCTTAGAGATTTGTAACTCATTTTTCTTAAACATCTCTCCCAAAGTAAAACTCCTTAGTCTTTTTCTAGTAATTTCTAAAAATAAACTATATGTTTAGTAGCTTTCTTCAAAATCTCAATCTCATATTATGTTCTATGATATGAAGATTTAGTAAGTATAATGAAAACTATTCCAAATATTTAATCTTGATTCAGATTCTCATAAATTTATGGTTCTTATTCCATTTATAAGATATACTACTTTAATTCTTTAATCTCATCTTCTTTAAATTAATGAACATTTTATGAATTTTTCATTATATTAATTTTATTATAACTTATAAATTCAATTAATTTAAAATCTTTCATTTTATATTCAAAGACTTTTTTATTTTCTCCAAATTAAGATTAGGATGTTAATTTTAAAATATTACTATATAAATTATAGGAAATTAAAAATTAATATCCTAATAATTTATCTATTGATATTTTAATTAACAAATATCATTCCTCTAAATTAAATAAATTAATCTATTTAATAAACAATAATTTATCTTTATAGTTTTTAATTCATAATGATTTTAATCTAATTCTCCATTTTATTAAATGAAATCTTGAAACTACATATTCAAGTATCTTAATATAATATAACTAAACTAATAAAATTAATAGTATTATTAGAAATATAAATAGTAGAATATTAATGTTAAAAGTGAGTAAAGAAAGTGGTTTTGCTGTAAAAAAGTAATAAAACAAAAGTTTTTTTATAAATCGTAGAAATGATGAAAAATATTCATCTTTTAAAAAAGAATAATATTTTTGTATATCTCAAGTCGTAAATTGAACTTTGATAAATATGATCTTCTTAAAGCAAATTAGAAGAAGCTAAATGTAATATATTAAATGATATATGAAGACAAGATATAATTAAAATTTTTTTATCAAGGACTATTAAAATGAAAAAGATTATTTAAGTTTTTGAAGATATTCTTTGACAAATATGTAAAATCTAAGATAAATCTGACATAAATTATCAGTTTAATCTAAATGCAATTTATCAGATGTTTATTTATAAATAAAAATCATTTGTTATACTAGGTTTAATTTATAATAATATTTAATTATGTAAAAGATGATTTAAAAATATTAGATAATCTATAAAAAATCTTATAGTTAACTAAATTATATAATAGTAATTGAAACTCTTTAAAAAATAATAAATTCATTTACTTTCATAACTTACAATTTACAATGACTAAATTAAAAGATAGTCAAAAAAGCTGTTGTTTTTTTATGGATTTATAATAAATTGAATATAATTTTAAAAAATATTATAGATATAGAATTTGTTTCATATTTTGTTGTAGAGTATAATCTATTTTGATTAAAATGATTATTATAAAATATTAATCAGGTTATTGATTTTATACAATCAAAAATATGGAATAGAAGTTTAGCTTTATTCCCAAGGTTGTAGTTCTTCGAAAATTGATGGTTCTGTAATATTAATTTTAGAAGGAAATTATTTCTTAATTTTAATAGGAGTGTATAATTAAGGAAGTACAACATTTTAATTTGCTTTATAAGGTTTTGATTGTGTTTTCAATAGATTAGAATTGGTACAGGAATTTTCAAAATTAAATTTTTTTGGGCTTTTCTTTTTTGTGATTTCATTAATATAATATTGATAAGAAGAATCTTTATTTGGAAGGTTTTTGGCATTGATTAATTCAGGATTAATAAAATGAGATTTTGTAGTTTAATTGTGATTTGGGGATAGTTGTAAATTGATAGGTTGATGTTGTAATCGAGTTGATTATAAGTTAATTTTATATCCAAAAACAGGTAGCACTTTTTAATTGTTTATTTATCTTGTTAATGATCGCTTAAGAAATAATTAATATGTTGCAATTGGAGTGTTTTATGTATTTTAAAGATTCTCCATATTAATATAAAAATCGTAATCTAAGATATAATTAATTTTAAAGAAATATCTAACTTTTTGATAATACAAAAATTTATTCTCAGAATTCAATGTTAGATTTATAGTGCATCTTTAAGAATTGAAGAGAACACTGGTTTAACAACAATTTATTCGACTCCAGCTTCATAACATAATTATTTAGTTTCTTCATCTTCATGTGCAGTACATGCAATAATTTAAAATGGATTTATTTTTTCTTAATCAATTAAATTAGAAAGAATTGAAGTTGCTGTTATGCCATCCATAACAGGCATATCAACATCCATTAAAATTGTTCTTATTTTGATATTTTTTTATCTCTTTACAAAATCTACAATCTCTTAGCCATTATAACAATGAATAATTCTATGATATCCTAAACTTTTTAGAACCATCTCTAAAGAAATATGATTAAAAGGTTCATCATCAACAACAACAATTGCTCCAGATTCTTCTACTAAATTTTATTTACTCCTTTTCTATGTCTATCGAAATTATGATTGTCCTTGAATTAATTTAGTATTTCTTTAAGTAACTCGAGTATTTTAACGAAAATAATTATTGTTTAGACTTTTTAACATGCTTGGTTTAACATGATCTAATTTTTTAATTTGACCAACAACTATTTTTTCATCTTCAACTACACAATTAGCTTCTGATTATAAAGTGAGAAAATCTACTATCATATTATTAGATCTCATTGATATATTTCTTATTCTTCTTGTAGATTAAGGATGTAAACCACTTGGTAAATCTAAATCTCCTATAGTGAATGAAAACTTAGAACCTTATCCAGGTAAGCTCTCTATTTTGAATGGACATTATCCATTTAATTAGTATATTAATTTAGTAGTAATTTTCAAACTTATTCCTAATACTTCATTTTTTTAATTTTAATTTTATTAACATTTTCCTTTATCCACTGATTAAGTTTATAATTGACTTTGCTAATATATTTTATTTCATAATATACTTTTCTTGATCTCAATTATTGTTATTGTTAATGCATTTACATCTATTTAGCAATTTCATCTTGAGCTTATTAACTTAAACCAACACCACTATCAGAGATAATAAATTAAATTAATCTAGAATTTCCATGTTTTACCTCCTCTACATCTAGTTCTATAAATCCTCCTTATGGCGTAAATCTATAAGCATTATTTAATAGATTCACTAAGATTCTCATCAACTTATTGAGGTCTGACTAAACAAAGCAAAATCTGTAATAATCATTTTAAACATTACATATCTTGTTTGGATTCCAAAATCTTATCGAAATCTTCATTATTATAATTGATCCTAAATTATATACTCTTCTAACTACATTAAGTAATAATTAAGTCTTTAATTTCTGATATTAATTTCATTATATTTATGGTCTTTACATTCAAATTTTGCCTCTAATATGAATAATAAGAAACATAATCTAAAATATCTTAGATAGTATAAAGCAATATCTTTGAATTCCAATAACAAGGTTTAATAAAAGTATCTATAAATTACTTGGTTAAGTTTTAATCATTTAAACAGATTTCTAAATAAGTGATGACAGCATGTAAAGGAGTTTTCAATTTATGACTAAATGAACTTATAAGATTATTCCTAAACTTTTAATCTTTTTTAAAATCACCATAATTTTCATTAATTAACTAAAATATATATTAAAAATGAATATACTTAAAAAGAAAATATATATAATGTTTAATTTTTTTGAATTGTTTATGAGAATTTTAAATAATATCTAAGTTTTTCTTAATTAGGTCCTAAAATTTTAAATTTATAATAATTGCATTCAAAATCAATATTTTAAGCATTTTCAATTATTTATCTTAAAGAAAGTGTTTTTTTAGTCATGTTTTCATTTTAACTATAACCACTGACTTTAATATCTTCTAAAAAGGATATATTATCAGTTTATTTTTGAGTTAATAATTTGAGATTGACAATATTTTAGGATTCAGATCTATTGGGATTATATGTAACATTTTCAGTTTAATTTTAAGTTTCTAAAAATGATTCAATTTTATCCATATGCTAAGTCTTATAAATTAATTTGTAATTTTGATCATATACTAAAATTCCTATATTTAAATAATTAACCATTCCATTCAAGTAATCTAATTAACATTCTATTTCTTCTTAATAATTAATTGAATGAGTTTATGCTTAAATATTAAATGCTTAGATTTAAATTTCATTGAACAAAGCAATTATCATAAATAAGATCTAAAATACGAAAGAGATTGATGTCGAATTTTAATTAGCTTAATCTGTAATTTAATAAACTATATATGAGAATAAAATAATTGGAAGTATTATTTTAAAATGCTATTGTTTAAATGTTCCTTAAAATAGATGAAAAAATATGAGTAAATAAATAATCCCAAAATAATTAGAGGGTTGTACATATATTGCTTAATATAAGCATTTTGAAATGAAATAGAAAAAGAACAGCATATCAAATAAGAAGGTTTAGTTTCTCTTTCTTGTTCTAAATTAAAAATATACACAAACATACAAAGCTAATAATATATAAGTACAATCATATACTTAAAAGTATTATATACATTGAAAAATTAATCCACATTGTTTATTTTGTATTGATTTCTTCTTTAAAAGTCTCAATCATAAGAAATAAAAGATCAGTAGTGCATGTGAGTAGTAATACAAGATATCTAAAATCAATTATATTTTAGTCTCTAAACATATATAAATATTTATCTTTATAATATAATTAATGTAGCATAAATAGATAAAAGCAACTACCTCATAAAATATTCGATAAAAACTAGCTATGAAAGACTCCTTAACTAATATTAATTAAATATATAGTCAACCTCATTCTTCAAAAGGAGCAGAAACTAGAAAAAAGGAAGTAAATTCTTATTTATTTAGAATGTATAAGATTGCAATACTATGAAGAAAAAATTATTTAATATGTTGGGATAAAACTATAATTCAAGTAAAGCATTCTCTATATCCCCTACTAATTCCCTTAAACAGAATTATTTTGTTTCCACATCAACACAATAAAAATCAAAATAACTTATACAAAAATAAAATCACACACTAGATTGTCATACTTCCATTGCTTAAAATCCTTAAGGAAATTTAGTAAGAAATGTATAGTCATAGTAATCATTAAACTAATTTGAAAAATACACTTCTTTTTTAGAGAATTAAAATTTTGAAAACTAGAATCCTTCAGTTAATCCATCTAAAAAAGTTGGAATTGTAAAACCTAATTCTACTCAATCTAGAAATCATAAAACTGATAGAAGTTCATTAATAGCATTATTTGAAAAATTACATTAAAAGGATAGTTCTAATATACATCGAAAGTAAACATCCCAAAATTCCAATTATATTAATAATGTTTAAAAATAATAGTTTCCAGAATGTTTTTATACAGAATTAAAATTAAGACAAAAAATTAAAGGATCATTATCTAATAATTCATCTGGTTAACTTTGTTCCCATCTTAATCCTAATTCATCATCTACTCAAATTCAATAAAATCAATAAAATACTATTGAAGATAATTTACAATAAATAATTGAAAGAATGTCATATATACTTAAAAATTATCAATCAAAATTGAAATAGGTAGACTTTGAAAAGGAAGTATTAATATAAGAAATTCAATATTGGAAATCTAAATACCAAAAATGCCAATAAAAATCATCAATTTCTTGAATTCAAGATTAGATTAAAAATTGATAATATAATCTTTTTAAAATAATAAATTACAATTAAATTCAATAATCATTTTCTTTTTAAAAAAAGATATGGTAGAACTTAATTATCTTCTAATAAGGAAATCTTCTCTTTATCACTATGTTAACTATATTTACAATTCCGATTTGCTTAGAAAACTATTAGAATTAAATTTTAATGCGACATAAATTTTTCTAATGCACACTTTGCTTTAAGTATAAACAGCATATTCTTTGAGAAAATTTCTTTATAAACCTTATCTGGTTTTTATATAACATAAAGGTCAATAATTTAATTTGCTTATCTATAAAATTATTATTTGTAATTTTAGTCTACATAAGGCTAATAAACTAAAACATTTTGGTTTGGGTATTATTCTTTCAAAATTTGTGCTAATTCAGAAGCTGGAGGGAGCTAATATTTTTGTATAGATTTTGTAAATTCTGCTAACACATCATAAATTTGATTTCCTATGTTGAATACATTTGCATTGGAATCTTGATCACTGATTTCACTTCTAGACATTCTATCAAATTAATCTTAAATATTATATGAGTTCTCTAAAAAACCTGAATTTTCTATATTTCCAATTTATTATATTATCTATTTATTTCTATTATCATCTTTATTATTGTGTTTATTATCTAGAAAAGTAAGAAGACTAATTTCAATATCTTAATAAGAATTTTGTTAATCATTTATATTTATTGCTGATTATCCCATCATTTCTATATTTAATATATTACTATTTCTTATATTTTATATTGTGTCTTGATTAATCCATTCAATCAAATATGAAAAAATCATAACTAAAGAATTATATATTAAATTACATTTTGATTACTATAGTTTTGTTTCAATAATCCACTTAATTTTGGTAGCATCAACAGTAAATCCTTTACTTTCTAAAAATTTTTTAAATTTATTTCTAGTTTATGTTTTTTGAATAATATTCCTATATGGTATAAATTCCTCAATATAAAAACTTATTGATATATTAATGAATTATTCATTTGATAAATCTATATTTTGAAATAATTCTTCTATTTTCTAAAAATTTTTAATATTTCCTAACATTGTTATGTAATAATCTGAATATTATTATTTTTATGAGACATATAAATCAGATATATCTATTATTTTTTCAAGGATTTTTTTTCCAATTTCTGATTTAGTTTTTAATTCTAAAAATATCTTTGATCTTATCAAACTCTAAATTTATTCAATACATTTATCAAATGACTATTCCTAATTAACAAGATTTGTATGTATAATACAAAAGGAACTTATTTCCTACTCCTCTCTAAACTCAATTTCTTTTATTTAAATTAAATTTTATTTTAAAAACTCCTAAATTTTATATTTAAAATAGTTTGTTCTGGCTAAAACTAACTAATGATATTCAATGTTTTCATTCAAATTTGTTGCATTCAAACTAAGCATCTAAATTATTTTTCCTTTATATTATTTGAATTCTTAAGCATACTTGAGAGATTCATTATTTCTTGTTATCAAATACAATTATCCTTATTCCATGATTTTCCAAAAAATAGATCTTTTCTTTAATTCTTTTTTCAAATAATGACTAAGTTCAAAGCAAGATAAAGAAGATTTATCCAAATTTAATTTAACATGTTAAAATTTATCAAAATATTGCTTAAATTAAGTAACAACCTAATTATTCATACATTAAAGTTAATATTTGCCTTATAATATTTTTTAGAATTATATTGTCGAATCATTCTTAACCAATTAATCTAAAAATTCTTAATAAAGATTTTCTTAAATGATTTCATCTAAAAACTCAGGCTGAATAAATTATATATAATTTTACATTCAAAGTAATTGTTTGACTTATTGGAAATTACAATATTTCAGATCTTATATTAAGAGTAATTACTTATTATTATTGTTATACTTATTCATTATTATTAGGATTGATCTAATGTAAAAATGCTATTTCTTTCTTTAGATCCTTTTAATCTATTGCAGTTCTAAATTTCTTATGCAAAATCTATAATGCAATTCTATTATTGTTTTATTCTCTAATATTACATAAACAATTTAAAATTTTTACTAAAATTATCATAATTACTTACATGAATTAACAAGAGTAATCAAATTTTAATTCTTATTTGATTAAGTAGAAAATCTAAGCTTTTTATTTTCCTTTTACTCTAAACCAAATTCTTTAAGCAAATCTAAAAATGACTTAAAATCAATTTTTTATTAAGCTCCCTTTAATTTGAATAAAAAGTTTTATTTATCAAATTCAACTTCAAATTTTTTAATTGGAAATTTTAATTCCTGTGTTTGTAACAGAGATAACAATTTCTGAATATCTTCATTAATACCAAATAATATGAAATCATCATTATTTTTATAAAATAAAATTTTTAATTGTAATTAATTCATACAATTTTCAAAAGTTTTTTGTATTTTTATTAATATATCCTAAGAAGTTTAAATAGAAAATTATAACAAAAATAGATTTTTTATAAAATCTCCAACATAATCTTTAATATACTTTTCAACTAATTCTCTATTTTCTTTAATGTTTACAAAATTCATTTCGATAAAAAAAAGATTCTCATTAAAATATTAATTAAAACTATATAGTTATACATCAAGAGTTAAGTATTTCTTATAAAAAAGATATCTTGATTTTTCTAAAATTGGATTATTAGATATAGTATTTGAATATGGTTTTGCACTTGTAAAATTAAACATATAACCTCTATAATTTTGATATATTTATGATTATATTTCTTCAAGGAATTACAATGACTACTGTCTTGAAACTAGATAAAAGTCATCACCTACTTATGCTACTTAAATTTAATGAGACTATAAAAATTTATTCATCATAGATTATTATTCTTTCATTGTATAACAAGAATAAAAGCAAAATTGAACTTCGACTAATTAAATACTATCAATAAAATTCTGAATTTCTTGATTTATATAAAAATAATCAGTAGGTTATTATAATCTATAACAATTCATTGATTGTTTATTAAGATTTAATTATTTTATTAGTAGATTCCATTTTTCCAAATATATTTATTCTATTATCTATAAAATTTAATTATTTTTTAATTAAATTATAAAGTTTTAATCATTATACTTTAATTTTATTTTGTCATCAAAAATATTTAAGCTTTAATCCAATATTTGACTTATTTTTTCACTCTCAATTAAAAAATCATGAGTTGAGTGATTTTGAGAACCTTCTAATTCAGAAATTATAGATGATTCCTATTTCTAATTATGGTTGTCAATTTCTTGTTATGGTACTTAAAGATCTTTTAAATTTGATAAATTGATATTACCTTATTATTAAATTTTCTATTGAATTTATTCCTCTTAAGAATAATCATCTCCTTAATTAGTTGGTGTTTCATAAAATTTTTAAAGGGTTTATTCAACTTTAGGATTGGTTATGCTTAAATCTGAATTCATTTAAGTTGATGAATTCTTTTGTAGAAGTTCATCTTTTTCTTTATTAAAGGATGCTGTTTAATTATTAGAGCTTAATTTAGGCTTTACCTTCATTTCAAAATTAGGAAATAAATTTTTTAATGCATCAATTGTAGATCTAAATTTTAAAAACCTTGAGAATTAATTATCATCTTTAAAAGTATATCTTTACCCATTAAATTAAATATCTAAGCTGAGAAATGAAATAAGTTATTTCAAACAGTTCTAATTCTCAACTTCAAAAATTCTTGAATCTATTTGCATACTCATATTAATTTTATTAGAAATATTTTTAATTAATATCATTTATCAAAACAATTATGACCACATCCTAAAGGACATGAAGTATTATTTTTAAACCAATCTTTCATTTCTTTCATGTGACCTCCATGCATACAATTTTGGCACCATAAATAAAGACCTCTTACTGGTTTAAAACTATTTTATTTAATATTTAATAATACCATATTGAACATATAAAATCTGTCTTACACATATTACAAAATGCTCCTGTAATTTAACTATTTTTACATGGGCCAAGACATTTATAATTTGTAACATATTTATTACTAGTTCTAAATTATTCAACTGGACTTTCTAAAGCAGCTTTCATTGCTAATGTATGTTTTCCAAATGCAACTAATAATTCAATATATGATTGAGTCCATTTTTTAGCATTTAAATCAGGAAATTATACATAATTTTTTGCACATGCAGACATCCAAAATCCACTAGGAAGTTCACCTTAATCAATAACATGTTAAATTAATTAAAGAATAGAATTAGAAATAACTTGCCTATATATTATTTAATAATTACATCATATGCTATTTATCAGTCAATAAATAACCAATAGGAGTCATTGTTCTTAATAAATTTTTATAGTAAGGTATTCTTTCCATATGAATTTTTAAATGATTTTAATCTTCAATTATGATATTCTTGCTATCTAATTCTTATCTAAATGCTGCTGGATATTTTTCAAAATATTTATAAAGTTTTTATAGATCTTATGAATCTAATTACTTTTTTTCATGTTATCTATTATTTTTTGTAACTTATGTCATTTATTCTAAAGGAGACTTTTAATCATCATCTGATTAATCATTACCTTTGTTTGGTAATTATACAGGACAATTCTACATAAAAATATTTGGGCTACATTCTTTAGATAACTTTTTAAAATCATTAATAAGATGTTCTAAAGCTTTCCAATAATGTGCTATTTCTGGTTTATCTATTTGTAATGCAACATTACTATTATATGAAAAATCTTTTTTTGAATTATAATTCTTTTAAAAATATTTTAATTCCTCATCAAAAGGAATTTTAGGATCAAATTTTTAATCAATAGCTTCAATATAGAAAATTGATCTAACATTATTTTTTTGAATTTATGAATTTTATGGAGATACTGATGTTGCTTTTAATATATCTTACCATGAATTTTAATTTAAATTATTTTGAGATTAATTTTAAGTTTTAGCCTTGTAAATTCCATCATTTGAGGATTGTTTTTGAATTGGCTACAAATTCATTTCATAGTGATTAATCTTTTCTGATTCAGATTAACTGGGAAATGGAGATTCTAATTTCATAAGCAAATCATTATATTGATTAAAGGAAACAGGAAATATTGGACAATTATTGTATACTTAATATGCCTATCTAACAGATTACATTCTTAAATATTTATCTTTAGATCCAGTAAATACATATTATTCATCTTAATTAAAAACAAAAGATGTAATTATATCATTATGACCTTTAACAATATGCATAGGTCGAAATGGAGTTCTAATATCATAAGTAGTAACTGAGATATCTCTATTTAGTGATGATACACTTAATAAAGAATTGTTCTACACATGCCATTTAATATGAGAAGATCCATCAATATGTTAAATTATTCCTTTTTCCCTAATATCAGTGTGATTCTCTACTTATAATATTTTAATTTCTTTATCATTTGATCCACTAGCTAAAACATTATCTTTAGTCCAATCTAAGCATATTATTAAATTTGTAAATGGATCCTATTTCCTACCCTTTAAATTAATCTCAGTAACATTCTCTTATTATTTTCTAATGTCAAAATATTCTAACTAACCTGTATCTGAAGCAGCCATAAAATAATTGTCTCTTGTTATATTAAATTTAATATCTCTAATAGCTTCATTTCTTTATAATGTAAAAATTGGTTATGCAGTAGATTAACGATAATCATAATAATTAATTGCATAATCTTATCCACCACTAATAAAACAGTTTTCATTATGCCAATTCATTCTATGAATAGCAGCTTAATGATTTCTATAAACTGTTTCTTTTTGTTTATCAATATCCCAAACCTAAAATTACCCTTATACAGATGCAGCCAATAATAGAGTTGGTTTTTTACGATTAAATTCAACATAACCTATAGCTAATTTAGTGCCTTGTCTCCTCATATTCTATTTGATATTCATTTTTTTATTCATTTAATCCAAATCGATTATTTTTAAGATTTCCCTCCCTCCAACTACTAAATTCCTTCCTTATTAATCAATATCAATTGAGGATATGCTTGTTTGTAAATCTAATTCTTAATCCATATTTATTTATATAAATATTTTATTATGTAATTATAAGCCAAAATAACCAAAAGAACAGATTGCTATATTAGTCTACCCAGAATGTTCTAGTAATTTAAAACTCTTTCATTTTCTCAAGGAAATCTATGTTAGGTGATAAAAGCGTAATGATTTCATACTTATAAGAGTGAATTAATGAAGACCTAATAAATTGTATATTTTGGTTGTTAAGGTATTTCTGATGATAATCATATTGAAATTGGATTTTAATTTGCTTAGTTGTTAAATATTGATGATGATGATTATATACAAATAAATACAGGTAATTATATTTTTAGAATAAATTTAAGTCTCAAATTGCAATCAATATAATGCTATAACAATATATGTTTAAAAATGGTCAGATTATATGATAGTTTAACATTAAAAGGATTAATTTGAAAAAGATCTCCTTAATAATATTTAAATTGTCTATAATGAACTAAATTTCCCCATATTTTATTAGGAAGGATAATTTGTTACTTTTACTTTCAAAGATTAAGATAACAATGGCCCTATTGCTATTAGTCCTACTTGTGAAATTAATATTTTAATTGAAGAATCATAAAAACCAGAATAGAAATTGGATTTAATTGAATTAATTGTGTTATTTTCAGATTAAGATTATTTTGAATCATTTATAGAAATAAATAAAGAACTATATAACAAAAATAAATTGGAAAAATTATATTAAATAACATATTCATCTTCATTTCCAAAATCTTATAGAAATTTTCAAAAATATGCAAAGAATTTGAAAAAAAACAAATAAAAATAAAATATTCCTAAAACTGCTATTGTTTAATTCAAATATAATACTTAAATTAATACAAAATTTTGTTTTATTTCTAAATTTTATGCTAAACAACTTGGCATAAGAGAAGGATAAGTAATATTAATTAATACACAAGAATATGACATTAATAAGGAATCAACAATTAGAACAATTAAAAGAAACTAACTTATTTTTCAAAAAATATATTTTTATTTCTATACAGATTTACCTTTAAATAAAGAGTTTGTCAACTAATTGATATTAGAAAAAATTGAAAAAAATTAATAGACTGTTCTATAAAGTAATGAATGATTAAAATATTAGGCAGAGTTCATTTGAATTAATTGAATCTTTATTTTTTGAGAATTGTCTAATTAATTGGTAATCAACCAGAACATTTCTTATAAATGTTATCTATTATAAATGAACATAATGAGCCTAAAGTAATAGGAGAAAAAGAAAAAGGATTACTTATTTAATACTTAGATGAACATGTAAAAATTCTAGGATTTACAAGTCCAATTTAAAAAGAAATTAAATTTAGTTAATACTAAGGTATCAAAAAAAAAGAAGTTAAATAATAAGATTACAAATTATTTTAACAATTATTTGATGGATCAATTAAATAAATACAATCTATTTTAGATTAATAATTTAATTCTTAATGTTTGGTTATTTGTAAAGAAAGTTAAGCTATTTAAGTATTAGTTTCCTATTTAAAAACAAAATTTGAAGTAATTAAATTAAATTTAGACAAATTGAATCAATAAGGATAAAATGAAAAATTATAAAATGGTATTATTTTGATATTTACAATAGTTAAAAAGTTTATCAAACATATTTTCTGGTAATCTAGATAAGTGTCTTTTAATGATATACTTATAGTAATAAAAGGAATTGAATCTATCAAGAGTCTTGATTTAATTGATTTTTAATAATCATTCTAAATACTTATTTCAAATGTATATTGTTATTATTGTTTTAGATTTTAAGTAAACTTATAAGAAATTAAATTATGGAATATCCATTAGTTAAATTAATAGTTGTATCACCATCTAAAGATTATTTAAATGTAAATCTTTAAAGTATGTTTATATTATTAAATTAGAACAATTTTAAAAGGATTCAATTATTGAATTTAATAAACCGAAATTAGAACATAGATAAAGAATTTTTGAATAATGTTATTAATCTTAAGAGATTAAAAAATCAGCTGAATTGTTAGCATAAAGATCTGAAAACTTCAATTTTTCTTAATTTCATGCTTTATAAAATAGAGAAAAATACTAAGAAGAATTGAATCAATAAATATCAGAGGAATGGATTTTATAATAAATTAATGATTTACAAGATTAATAAGTGTAATTAAATAAGAAAATACCAACTTTTAAAGAAATAGGGGGTCTTAAAGAATAAAAATAAATAATTTTAGATCTCTTTGATTTACCTATGAAATATGAACATTTATTTGCAAAATCTAAAATTAAACTTCCAAAAAGTGTTTTAATTTATGGAATGCCAGGTTGTGGCAAAACTTATTTTAGTTTGAGTATTTGTAATGAGTTAAAAATAAATGTATTAACAGTAAAGGGTCCTGAATTATTAGATAAGTATATAGGTATATAAATTAATAATAATATTAAGGATCTTCTGAATAAAACGTTAGAGATCTCTTTTAAAAGGCTTAATCTTTATCTCCTTGCATTATATTTTTAGATGAAATAGATTCTGTTGTGCCTGTTAGAACATCCTCACATTCAGGAGTTACAGATAGAGTTGTCAATTAATTTTTATGCTATTTAGATGGAGTAGAGGAAGGAATGAAGGGAGTATACATAGTAGCTGCTTCAAGTAGACCTGATTTAATTGATCCAGCCATTTTAAGACCAGGAAGAATTGATAAGCATGTTAGAATAGATTTACCTAATAAAGATGAAATTCTTTAAATTTTAGAGATTTATAAAGGTCCTTTAGAATTTGATGGAATTTCAGAATAAGAAATAGCTGATTAATTGTTTGGGTTATCTTAAGCAGATGTTGTCTCATTTTTCAAAGAAGCCAGAATATATTTAACTGATAGAATAGTTTAATTAGAAGATTTTAGTTTAAAAAGAAAGGTGTAAAAAATAGAAGATTTTAAATTAACAAAGGAATTATTTTAAGATATTATGAAGAGTATGAAACCAAGTTTGAGTTAAAAATAGATATTATTCTATAAAGATGTTTATAATAGATTCGAAAAGGGAGGTATAAAAGATATGAGTAATCAAAAATAAGCATTATAGTGATGATATTGTTAAATTATTTATAAAATTTGTTTCATTAAATTATTTTTGATTGATTTATTCTTTTAGCTACTTCAACATAATATAAATTATTTGAAGTTAATAATTAAACAAATATACTAAAAGCTGATTAGTATATTTTAAATTCATATTCATAATCAAGTTTCTATATTAAAATTCCAAATTATTTTTATGATCCTGATTTTGTTGAATCAAAATATAGAGTATTCATATAAGAATTAATATTTTCTTTACTTCCAAAAGTATCATATTGTTGACCTCTTTACACAGTGTCTTAAATTAATCTTGGATTTAAATTAAATTTATTCATTAAGTTTAAAAATATTTAATATGCTTAAGATGATAGATATTAAAATTAACCATTTTACATTCCCTTTAATAGTAAAGCATAATCATAAGAATTAGATTAAGTAAAATATTTGTTCATAATACTTGCTACTCTTCCGTCTAATAAATCAATGTAAGCAGTTTCTAACCACATTTATGATTATTAAGTTTTTTATAATAATTCAGTATGAATGACATTTTAAAGTTGAATAAATTACAATTATGATTATTTTTCAATTCTTTATATATACTCTTCATAATCTTATTTTTAGATATTTGCAAATGCTAAATAAGATGAAACATGCCAAACTTAGTTAGTTTATTAAACATTTAAGTTTTTTAATGTTGTATCAATTTAATCTTTGCCTAATAAAGTTTATAGATATTCTGCTATACAATTAGAATTATACTATATTAGTCCTTCAGCTATTTATTACAAAGTAATTTATTGTTTATTATCTAAACTATTTAAGAATTTAGCATGATTATAATCAAATTATTTGATATAAAATAAATTTAAGTTTTCCAATTAAATTTCCATAAGAGGATTAATTAAATTTATTGAAACCTATCTTGAATATTCAACAAGAATTGAAATTTTATTAAAAGATTGTATTTAAACTTAAATTTTTGGTTAAGTAGATACTAACAATTAGCCATCTAAATACATTGTGATCCAAAATTTTGTTGGATTCTCCTCAAAAAATTAGACTAATGATTTTTATGAATATGGATTGATATGAAAGTGATTTAACTTTTAATTTGAATTGTAAATCCAATTCATTATTCCAACTCCTAATGATTTTTTAAAAGAAATCAAATAGAAATTCTAAATAGAATCAATTGTTGCATTTGTTGAATATACTATTTCTCCATGATTTTAATAGATATTGGTTAGAGTTTGGTTGAATATTTCGAAGGTTGTATCCTATGTTGCTATAGAAGAAAATTAGTCATAGATTGCCTTAAAATTTCCTTTGTTAGCAAATTTTATTACCTGTGTTATAAAGGAATGTTAAATCTTCAAATTAGGATGAATGCTTTGAATATACTAGTAATAGCATTGTTAGAATTATATATGAATGATGAGTCATTATAAAATTTAATTATAATATTTATGATAATAGTTTTTTATTTGTTATATATTCTGTTGAATTGCTAGTGTGCTTTTGAAATAATCAATCATTAGGAAATATTTGAATATATATTACGTATGAATGAACTTAGAAGCAAAAGATACACAAGTCAAATACAATTGTTGTACGATGAATAAATATATGAATTATATGAAGAGAATTTAGAAAATTAAATTAAAAGAAATAAAGAGGTGATGGAGAAGTCATTTTTCATGATTGAAAAGTATTACTTGCCTAAAAAGACTTGTTTGGAAGGAATTTTAGATTCAATTCTAATAATGGAACCTTTATTTCATCATATTTAATATGATAAAGAGACTTTGAACACATATTTTTATTCAGTAGATTAACTAAATTTTAGATCAAGTTGCTATTAAGTTTTATAGACTATAACAGATTAAGATGTTGAATTAAAGAGCAAAGATGAAATAGAAAAGATGGAATTATTTTAGGAATTTTATGATAAGTTTTATTAAAATGATTTTACTTAGAGTAAAATGTATTTAGAATCAAGAGCAATGGATTTTAGAAAAAAATTAGAAGAGTTTACAGAATTATTTAGTGATGATTTCCAAAAGATTTTAGATGTCACTAAATAATTAATGTTAAAGGCTAAATAATCATTAAATAATTTAAGATTATTAATTTAACCTGAAACAGATTAAGCTATATGTATTTATTATATATTAATATAGATTCTTACAATATTTAAAAATAAAGATATGATTTATTAAGAGAAAAGGAAGTGTTCTTGAAATAGTAGATTTTATATAATGATGAAGCATTCTAAATAGAATAGACATAACATATATAATTGAGAGATAGTGTAGATAAATTGATAGCTGAATAAGAGGTTGGGTAAATATTGATTAAAAGAATAAATTAGAGATGTTATATAAAGAATTGAGTGATGAAAATAGATAGAATGTTTTGAATATGATGAAAGTACAAAATTGGGATATTATGAAAAATCAAGAAGAAGAAGAATTTAGAAAACAATCTCAAAAATTTAATCCTGGAAAAAGACATGATTATGATTTATGATATATTAAATATAATAATAAATAAATTGAAATTTTTTGTGTGATCTATTATAAGTAATAATATTAAGATCATTAGAGATTTATTTTTAATAATTGAAAAAATTAAATCAATATTTTTTAGTTTAATAAATAATAAATAGTTATAATCATGGGCTGTTGTTAAGGACATTAAAATGGTTAGAAAATACAATATTTTAGATATGAATTAATTAACAGAATTAGCTAAGGAGTTGACTGAATATCAGTAACCAGAATATTTGGCTGATATTTTAGATTTGAAAACATAAAATAAATTAAAGGATAAAATGAATGACTAAGAAAAGGATCTAGAACAGACACCAAAAAAAGAGACTAACTATTCTTAAGATATGAAAAGTGGAAAAAAAGAAAATAATTAAGATTCTAAATCATAAAATAAGTTATAAGGATAAGAGAAATAATGGACAATTAAATAAACTATGTTTGTTAGAATTAATTCAAAAAAGAATGTAAGTGAATTCTACACTGTAAAAGAAATGATTGGATAAGGAGGGTTTGGAAAAGTATATAAAGTAGTTCATAGATAAACTGGTTTTATTAATTCTTATATTTAGGTATGGTGAGAGCTATGAAGTTGATCTTAAAATCTAAATTGAAAAAAGAAGATTAAGAGAAATTATTAGAAGAAACTAATATTTTAATGGATATTGATCATCCAAATATTGTCAAATTATATGAAATGTATTAAGATGATAATTCTTATTATTTAATCAGTGAATATTGTGATGGTAAAACTATTAAAAATCTTCTATGAAGGTGGTGAATTATTCGAAAAAATTAAATTTGTTCAAACCTTAACTGAAAAAGAAATAGCTAACTATATGAAATAAATCTTAACAGCTGTGGCATATTGTCATTCAAAAGGCATTGTACACAGAGATTTGAAACCTGAGAATATATTGTTTGACTCTAAAAATTAAGGTGCTTCTTTAAAAATTATTGATTTTGGAGCAAGTGCTAAATTAATTAATGATGAAAAATTAAAAAAAAGAATTGGAACAGTATTATATATAAATTATTTAAGCCATTTTATGTTGCTCCAGAAGTTTTGAATGGTAGTTATGATGAAAAATGTGATATTTGGTCTTTAGGAGTTATACTGTATGTTTTGCTTTGTGGATATCCTCCCTTCTTTGGACATAGTGAAGGAGAAGTATTAGCCAAAGTTAGAAAAGGAACCTATTAATTTGATAGTAATGATTGGTCTAGAGTATCTATGCAAGCTAAAGATTTGATCAGAAGAATGTTGTTTTATGATCCCTCATCTCGTATTAGTGCATCAGATGCTCAATAACATAGTTGGATAGCCAATAATAAAGCTAAGGGATTAGTCAATAATATCAGTTTAAAAAGATTATAAGATTTTGATTCCAAAAATAAACTAAAATATGCAATTTTATAATTCATAACAGTTTAAGTTGTTTAAAGTTAAGAAAAAGATGATTTATTAAAGACTTTCTAAGATATTGATAAAAATGGAGATGGAACTGTAAGCAAAGAAGAATTATTAGCTGGTACATAATCATATAATCTTAGCTTATATGAAAATATATAAAGGAGATTCTATTGCAGCTTAATAAGTTGTAGAAGAATTATTTCCATAACTAGATGCTAATAAATCTGGAAAAGTAGATTTTAGTGAATTTGTTACTGCTTCAATGAATAGAGATAAATCTTTAAGTAAAAAAAAAATAGAACAGGCTTTTAAATTGTTTGATTTGGATGGAAATGGTTTTATTACTAAATAAGAAATTAATGAATTATTTGGAAATGAAATTGATGAAAATATGTGGTAAGACATTTTGAAAGATTGTGATATAAATAAAGATGGAATGGTATTAATATATATATATATACTATTTAGATATCTATGAATGAATTTGTTAATCTTTTAGAAACTAAAATTAAAAGAACACCATAAATGTAATGAATTACTAATTTTGTTAACCATGTATATTTTGCATGGCTAATTAATATATATACTTAAATAATACATATAAATAAAATTATATTACTATTGATTTCTATCTTATAATTATATTAAAAAAAAAAAATATAAAAAAGTTGCGTCTATCGGGACTCGAACCCGACCTAAATGCTTGGAAGGCATTCGTACGAACCTCTATACTATAGACGCTGACTGATATTATAAAATGATTTATAGTATATCAACAACTCTACAATATAATATGATTATGATTTGAATAGTGTGCATTTCAAAGTATTCATATAAGTTTGACTTAAAATATAATAAATAATAAGAAATTACAAATAAAGTTATTAAGAAATATAACATTACTCATTTTTTATTATTTCTGAAACTATTTTATTATTTTTAGTTAGATAATTTTCTTACTTATGGATTTTCCTTTATAGGTTACTATTAGAGAATTTATACTTTGCTAATTTTAAAAAGAAAGTTATTTACTCATTTATTTTCACTTATTGATTTACTCTTTTGATTGCTGACTCTAAATAATCATTTGAAGTAGACATAGCTAATTTTTTAATTATTCTTTGATTCTAATCAATAATTTTTCTTTTTTCATCTAATTTTTAAAATTTTTTATCATAACCTATTTTCATCTATTAATTTATAAATAGATTATTTACTTAAGTCATAACATCCTTTTCTTTTTATAGTTACTCTATTTTATTGGTTTAATGTGATTATTTATTTTTGAGATCAAAATGTAGCTTCTTAAGAATGAGTAATTCTGTTTCTTAAACTACTAATTTTGCTTGTAATTCTGCAATGATTTAAAGTTATTCATTTTCAAGTTCAGTTTAAGGAGGAGAATTTTATTTTAACTTCTCATATATTTCATCATAAGTGGCTTTTATAGATGGTTTTTCTTTGAAATATTCTTCATACAATTATTCTTCATCAGATGAACTTCCATTAGCTGAAATATCTAGATTTTCATTTAAATTAATAGGCTCTTCTTCATTGATTTATAATGGTACTTCTTCTGGTTTATCTTAATTCTCTTGTATTTGTTATTAAATAAAATCTAAAAAGTTCATAATTTTATATAAAATTTTCATTCAATCAATTGTATTATTTATAGAATATATAAGTTACATTTATTATGATTCCTATTACAATTAATAGTAAATAAATCTTTTATTCACACTTTATTTAGTTTTATTACTCAAATTAAACACATTTTAATCATTTGAATGGATTATAAATAATTGATATTAATAAAAATAAGAATCTGAATTTGTAAATATGGATAAAAGATTTTTCTCCAATTAGACTTTTCATTTCTTGACTATCTACTTTATCAATTTTGATCATGGCATTCTTCCAGCTTGCATAAAAAGAATTCAATTAGATTTAGAAATTAATGAAATATAAGTAACATATTTAATTATTATGATTAAAATAGCTCGGTTTATTAAGTTCATCTGTTTATGCTGGAATCATTATAGGATCAATGATAGGGACAGGAATGTATGATAAATATAAGACGAAATCGATTCTTATAATTTGCTCTTTATTTTACATACTGAGTTTATCAGTATTTCTCATTACAAAGAATATTATGTTATTACATTTTTCCAGATTCTTTACAGGATTGTTTTAAGTATGCTTCATTAATTTAATTGGTATTTTTAGTTATTTATTTTCCTATTTGGATTGATCGTTATGGAGGAAAATAAAAAGATTAATAGTTGATATACATTTAAATAGGAGTACCCTTAGGAACAATATCAGGATTCTTAATAAGTTCGTTATCTCTTTAGATTTTATAAGATGTAAATTATATATATAAAAGTTTAAGTGGAAATATGCAATCTATTTCTAAATTGTTGCCTTAACTCTCTGTTTATTGTATTATGGATTTTCTGATAATAATATATTTTCAATACAAATTCAAGAGGAAAGAGATTAAAGTCAAAGTTTTTCAACAGTTTTACTATAAAATTGTAAAACTTTTTTTTCAAATCCACTTTTTGTTTTATCGATGTTAGCATTATGTTAATTATTTTTTGTATTAACAGGAGTTTAATTCTGGATAACTGATTATCTCAATAGTGTTATGTTAATGGAATATAATCTTGCTTCTTAATCATTTCTAATAATCTCAATAACTGCTCCATTAAGTGGAGTATATTTAGGTAGTTAAATTTTAGATAATGAAGGTGGAAATAAAGGATTTAGAATTATGAAAATAACTGCAATCGAATTATGTTTAGCAAGCATTTCCTTAGCTTTAATTCCTCTATTTGATAATTAAGGGATAATAGTATTATTAGTTTGGTGTTTAATATTTTTTGGAAGTAGTGCTATTCCATCATTAATGGGAATAATGATTACATCATTGTAAAGAGAAGAAAAAACATGTGGAAATTAATTAAGCCATTTATTTTTGGATTTTTTTGGTTATCTTCCAGCATCAACTGTTTATGGATATGTCTAATAAATTTCTGGAGGTTCAACATCTAGAAAGGGAATGGTTATGCTTTCCTGTATTTGTTTCTTAGGTTTAATCTTTTTATTACTAGGAATATACAAGAAATATAATTAGATAAGATTGATTTATATAGATTTAAATGAATCAGAGTTTAAAAATAAATTACGTTCACTTTCTCATCATTCTGGTGATAATATGGATGATTATGAAAAGAAAGATTTCTCATATATAAGAATGTAAACGGCTAGTAAAAAATTTAAATAAATTATATTTCCACATTATAATGATTAAATTGAGGGAGATCAATTATCAGAAAATGAATCACCTTTGATAATTGGTATGGAAACACAAAGGATAAGAAATGCATATAGAAGTTAATGTTCTTATTTACATATTTGTTATAATGTTTCAAGTATTATAGGAAGAAGGAGTTTAGAAAATGATTTGTTTATGATCAAAGATGATTAACTTCAAATTAAATTAAAAAGTTAAAACTCTTTTTAATTATAAGTTATTGGAGCTAATCATCTTATTTGTGAAGAGAGAGTTGTACATTAATAATAGTATTGATTTATTATTTTATTAATTTATAAAATATAAAAAATATAAATGAGTTTAGAAGTTAAGAATGCACATAGATAAGCATTTAAAGAAATCTTTTCAATGAAGGCTGTAGAAGGAAAATTAGATAAAAAGGGTTTGGCTGATCTTTTCATTATGATTGATTATAAAGTAATATTATTATTATTATTAATATTATTTAGATTCCATAAGACTAATTTGATGAAATGGTTTAAAGAATATTTGGAAAGAAAGAATAGATTGGATTTGAAGAATTTTTAAAAATATTTAATTTAAAATTGACAGATTACACTTTTAATGATGTGAGAAATGCATTTAAATTATTAGCAAAAGATGATGATAGGTAATAATAAAATATTATTTAGGTATATCCCATTAGAGAAGATTAAAAAAGTATTACTCAAAAATAATGTTCCTGCTGAAGAAGTTGAATTTTTGTGTCATTAATTGGATCCCTTTACTGATACAATGAAGAGAGTAAATTATGCAGAATTCTTAAAGAGTTTGAGCAATGTTTGATCAATATCCATTAAAAATATTACTTAATATTAAATTATTTAAATAAATTTTAATAATGAACTTTTCCCCACAATTAGGATTTCTGGCCTAAAAATTTTAAGAAAAACAATAGAATAATAGGATTACAAAAACTGATTTAGAATAAATATTAGAAACTGCAAATTATAGTTTATATGATATTTAGTCTTTAACCTAATAAATTAATGAAGACGAAATAAGTAAAAGTAAATTTTTATATAGCCTATAATTAGTTTTTGTCGATTGTGGGAGTTTCTGAAAACAATCATAATATATAAACCTATTAATAAAATAATGGATATGAAATGGTTTCTGAATATTAATAAAAGTTAACATCTGAATAATTACAAAATATTTATGATGATTACAAAATAGCTTTAAAAAACTAAGATTTCGAAAAAACAAAGTTTATTTTAAGTATCTAAATATATAAATCTAAGATTAATATAGAGATATTGATTTAGTTAATAAAATTGATCCATCTTAAAGATAAATCTCAACATACATAGCTGTTTAAGGTCCTGATGATAATATAGCATTATAAACATTAGAATTATTGTTTGATTTTGGCGCCAACTTAAATTATAAAGATTAATTAGGCCAATCAATTTTATTTTATATTTGCAGGGATGGAAGAATAAAACTTCTTGATTTTGTATTATCAACTAATACTGTAAATGTCAATGATTAAGATCGATATGGATAAACACCTCTTTTTTATGCTGCAAGAGATAATAGATATGATATTGTAATTAGGTACTATTATTATATAATTTAGATTAATATAATATGGAATCGATATTAATATTGTTGATAAACTTTCAAATTAAACAGCTTTATTCTATGCAGCCAATGGAGGACATGTTGAAATATGTAAAGTATTAATAGAAGTAATATAATAATAAATAATTTAAGAATGGATGTAATCCTAATCATGTGGATTCATCAAAAAAGAATGCATTATTTTTTGCTAGAAAATATAATAGAAAAGAAGTCATAGAACTATTTAATAACTATTTTAATAAAAATAAAGATGATATGTCTAAAAATAGTGGAGGAAATGATAATAGTAAAGGTGAAGCACCAAGATCATAATAATAATAAAAAAGGAAATTTAGAGATCTTCCTAAATAGTCATACAAATTGATATTTACTGATAATTAAGGAAACTAAAGAGAATTAAATTCTATTGAATTTTAAAAGTTTCAATAAGAATATCCAGAAGTTGCTAATCTAATTGTAAATGCAGATGAATTGATAGATGATACAATTATTAATTAAATTAAAGATGATGATACATGGGAGAAGATAGCCAAAAAAGTATTAGGTATTTTTTAATATATATACTATAGGAATTATTTGGAAATCAAAAGGAGCACACTTATTTCATTAACCTGTTGATTAAAAAAAGTATGGAATAAGTGATTATTATGAAATAGTGACAAAGCCTATGGATTTTGGAACTATTAAAGTATATATTCATAAAAGATTAGAATAAATTACATTCAAATGTTTATAGTTCTTGTTAGGAATTTTATGATGATGTTATGTAAGTTTTTGAAAATTGTATTTTATACAATGGAGAAACTAGTGAAGTAGGTTAAATTGGATTGAATATAAAATAAGAGTTTGAAAATCAATTAGAATTGACATTATTAAAAAAATATTTATGATAACATAATAATATTATTATTAAAATCTTGAATAAGAATTATTGGATAATGATGAGATTTAGAAAATCAAAGTTTGAATTAAATTACTTTAGTTTAATAATAGAAATATTAAAATAAAGAAATAGTTATATTTTTGAATGTTTAGAATTAATATTTGTAAAATATATAAATTTCAAGAATTGTCTTCAGTTTCTTCTTCTATTTCATAATCAGGTGGTAAAATAATTCTTACTAAATCATCCAGTTAAAGTCTCCCATCTTTATCATTATCATGTTATTAAAATAGATTTTCAACTTCTTTTTCTGTAAATCCATAAGTAAATGTTTTCTTCATATCATCAATAGATATAACTAATAAATTAAATATTTAATTACATCCTTTACCATCCTAATCTATTAAATTAAATAATTATTTAACCCTAATCATACTTTGTTTTGGAAGTATTCTTTTTCTTTTAGCTGGTTATTTCTCTACTCTTAAAAATTCCATTTCCAAACTTTCTTTTGAACTTTTAGCAAAAACTTCATTGTATTATTGAATCCATTAATTAATGATTTTCAATTATTCTTATGTTAATGAAGGATACAATTTTAACATTAATTCATCAAAAGTAACAAATCCTCTTTATTTAGAATCTAAATAATTATATAAACTTGCAGTAACTCTTTTCATATGTGGTTTATTTTGAAATGATTTAGTAAATTCTTTAACTTAAATAACTGAATTTTTATCTGATAGACTATCAAAATAACTCTTTAATTTAAATATCTCATTTCTAGTTAAAGTACATCCTTTTGTAATTATTATATTTTTCATGATTTTATTTGGAACAATGACTCTTCTAGAAGTACCATCACGTTAGGTCACAAATCTAATAGTAGGAGAATCATATCTTTAAATTTTTCTAGAATGATCACCAATAGCTTTTTCTAAAATTTATAATTCATCAATATCATCATCTAGAATATGAGGTTTTGTTTAAGTAGGAATTTTAGGTAATGAACTATGAGAAGCTGACTATTTTGATCTAATTTAAAGTTATCTAACACTTTTAGTTGTAGCTTTATAACTGTCTTAATTTTTTTAGTTTAATCTATCATTAAGACCTTTCATGTAGTATTCATACTTATTTGCTTTTGTTATCATGTCTAACATTTGTTAAGCTTCTTATTCAGTATATGATTTAAATGATTTAAAAACCTCAAAAGGCTCTTAAACTTTCTATTTTGGTTCATATAATGTAAATAAATCTTTCCCAATATCATTTTCTTTTTCTAACCATTCAATGATTCTAAATATAAATCTAAAATTTACTCGCTTAACTCTAATTAATTATCAGTTTAAATATCACTCTTCAAAAACATCAATTTTGCAAACTTTTCTAATTAAACATAAGGAGGTAATTCAGCATTTGTTAATTTACAATATCCTATTATTATTGATTTAATAATTATAAGGAGTTCATTTAAACTTATATTTCCATTACAATCTAAATCAAAAACAATATATAAAACTAATTATATCATAAATATTTACAATGAATTTTATGAATATGTTAAGTATATGAACAAATTGTTAAAACACAAATAAGTTCATAAATTGATAAAAGTTTAGATTTTCTACAAAAGTTATCAAATATATATCCTGCATTAGGACGTGAAAATGGAACTATTTTACAGAATAAACTTTTATCAATGAAAGGAACTGTAGCTCTACGTTAAAACTATTCATATACAGCTCTAATTTCAGATAATGACCCTATATATAATAATAAAAACAAATACAATATAGTAATTATTTTAATGCTGGATCCACCTCTCTAGAGATGTCAAATTTTAGTTCCATTTTTCTTAAATGCATAGGAAGACTACTCAAGTTACCATTCTCATCTTAAGTCGAATGTGATGAAACACTACCCATTAATCAATTATAATTAACAAAAATACATAAAATGATTATGAATTCAACTAGATAATTTCTAATAAACTTATAACTATTGTAAATTATTTTTATTGCCGAATTTAATAAATATTTATTTTTATGTATTCTAATTATAAAGTAAAGAGATTAATAATAAGATCAAAAATCAAAGAATATTTATTCTTAATTTGCTATTGACAGATCATTTTCGTCATCTTCAATTTATACTTCCTTCCAATATTGATTTGAATTAATTTCTGTATGATTGTATTCATAATCAAATTATTCTCTTTCATATAAAATAGGTGATCCTTCACATTCAATTTGAGTTTCAATTATATATCTATCAGTATTGAAATTAGAATCCTCTTAATTTTCATCATTAGCTTCAATTATCAAATTATTCCAACTATCATTTGAGGGATTTCTCTCTTCTATTTCTTCAATAACAGGTGCAGCTACATTTAAATTTTCTTCCTTTTATTTTAAAAGTGATCTTAAATAACCCATTTTCTTTTATAAACATTAATTTATATCAGTTATTTATGAAGCTTTTCTAATAATACTATAATAATCTTCTAATGTTTTTTTTGAACATCCTATAAGATTTGCAGCTTCTTTTAATGTAGGTTTAATAAAATTTCCTGCATAATCAGTATAACCATTTTTAAAGAGATCTCTCCATTATTAAACTAGATTGCAAGCTTCATATATAAATCTTTCTTTTGATCTTCTTTATTTTTCTATTTTTTAATTTTTAAACATGTAATTATTTTTATTATTGATTTTGTAATTAAATAATAGTTATATCAATTTTATTTATTTAATTAGTATTAAACAGAATTGGAACGTATTGATAAAATAATTATTATTTTAGAAATAGTTATTCTAATACTCAAATTTCTAATTAACTATTCTTCTATGAATCCTATTTTATAACCTCCTAGATATCTAAAATAAATTGCTCCTTCCCAATTTAGAAGTTTAAATTAATTAAATATCCGTCATGAAGAAATTGAAGAAAAAGGATTTATGACAAAATATGTTTAAATCTTAAAAAAGAATGCGAATGGATAAGTTATAACTACAGCAAAAATTGTTAATATTTTGAAATTGCATTAGTTATTGAGAAATTAAGAACAACTTGAAACCCTGAAAAAATATTTTGAAGATCACTTTCCATATATTGGGTAAAATAAAATCAAATAAAATATAGTAAATTTAAGGATAAACTTGATGGTAATAAATGTTTGGACATTTTTAGATTTATGACGGTTGAAAAATATAAAGCACTTAATATTATTTTTCGTTAAGGAGAACCAGGAAGAAAAATGTATTTTTTATTATCAGGGGAAGTAGGAATATTTGTTCCAAAATCAAATCAAAGTTAAGAAATCTAAAACTTGATTTGCCAGTAATTAATAAATAATATATTTAAGTGATTTTAAAGACATTCAAGAAATTCAGTTTTAAGAGTTTAGATTAGTTGCTATTAAGAAATTTGGAGATGTCTTTGGAGAAATTGCTATTGAATAAAGAGTCACTAGAACTGCAACTGTAATAGCTAAAACTGATGTTTTTGTGGCATAATTATCATATGAAATGTATTAAGATGTAATTGGAAAACATTAGAATGAATTAACTGCTTAAAAGCTTTAATTTATTAATACTATACCACTTTTTTAAGATTGGGAATAAAAACAAAAATTAATAGCCTTATCTAGCTTTGAATAGAATACAATTACATGTGGATAAAGTATTTTCTAAACTGGATATTTAGATGAATATATTTATTTAGTAGTAAGTGGAGAAGTTGAGATAATTAAATTTAATAAGGTTTAATCAAGTTTGTCTTAAAATTAAATAAAAAAGATATAAATTATAGCCATAATTAATTCTGGATAATTTTTTGGTGATTATGAACATATAAATAATATTCCTAATAGAATTACTTCTGCTAAAGCTAGAATGGAAACCGTATATTATAAAATTAAGTATAATCTCTTTATAGATCTTTTAGAGATGTATTCAAATGTAGAAGAATATAAAAAAGCTTAAATGATTAAATTTAATATATAATAGTCTTTAGTTAATAATGGATAAAATTGGTAAAGTGAAAATTAAGATGAATAACTTTCATTGAATATAGATCTAAGTCAATTAAAAAATAATTATTTCAAAAATTAGAAAATAGAAAGACTAAAAAACTAATTAAAAAAATAGATTTTTAAAACTGATGATTAAATTAAAAAAGATTATTTTAAAGAACAACTAAAAACTGTAAGTTAATCTTTAAGTGTATTCGAAACTATTTAACTAAAAAAATACTCTAATTTAATACCTCATAAGCATGATTTTTTTGTTAATGAATAAAATTGTATTTCATCACCTAATCATACTCGTTCATAAAAGTTTTTTAGTAAGGTTTTTGAATAAAATTAAGAATAAAAAGAAAAGAAAAAGTAAATTACCAATAAATTTATAGATAATCAAATTAAATATCATTTGAATAAGAAATTTAAAGGAATGTCTAGAAAACATACTAAAAGTTATAATGTTAAATTAGAATAATCAGATTCAATATCATATTCAAAAATTATTTAAAGCAAAGTTGCTAAACTTAATCTAACTAAATCTTATGAAAAGATGTAAAGAGCAACATCTGAAAATGCTTTCAATCAAGAAGAACGAACTCCTCATACTCATTTATCTCTTCATATTCGATCCTATCATAAAGAAAATCTTACTACTAATAGGTCAATTTTATTTAGAACAAATAGATTATCATCTAAAAAACCAGACACAAAAGAGTTCAAATTTTAGAAAATGATTTAATTTTGATTATAATAATACATATGTAAATTTAGAATTATCTACTTAAGGTTTTAGAAAAAACTTTTTGAAAAAACAAGAATTCAATAAATAATCTAATCTTTTATAACTAAATAATTAATACAGAACAAATTTTTATTTGTTTTCAAGATGAATTTAGTTTTTTTATATTAAAATCAGTAAAATTATATATGATTTTTTTCTTATATCTCTCATTCTGAATTCATACAAGTATAGAATAAGAAAAGTAATCAAAATTAAATCTAAACACATTTATTTATCATTTCAAGATATCATAATAATAAAATTAATACATAAATGCAATAGACATAATTTCTAGGAAAAAGAATTAAACTTCAATAAATTAGTTTGACTGGGAATTATGAATCTCCACCTTTACCAACCCTTCCAAATATTCAAGGTTTATTTTCTCCAAGATTGGCTCATCAAAAGGAAACCATATAATCTCCAAGAAAAAAAGTATATGCTAAGCCAACTTAGAGTGGTAAGACTAATGTACCTCTTATTTCATAATCTTCAAGAAATCTAGATGGATTTAACATTACATAATAATTTTCAATATCTCCATGTAAAAGTTATAGAACTAGTTTACGTTGTTTAACACCACATGAAATAAACTTTAGAAAAAATCTTGATCATATATATATTGTTAAACAACCTGTTAATGATATTAGCTAACTAAAGATTATGTAAATGAGTAGATAAAAAGTAAATAGCGGATATAAGGAAGATGACATTTATTTGAAAAAGAAAAAACTATTACTTGAAGCATAAATAGCTTTGGGTGCTACTAGACTCCATACATAATTAGCATTATTTGATTATCAATAAATTAATTTTTTTGAGGAAATTCCATAAAACTGCAAACTTGTATTTTTAGGTAATAAAACTATGATGGATTTTTGGGAAATTTTATTTGCTTTTCATAATTTTGAATTTTTAATTGAGAGACAAAATAAAATCTTGAATATTATTTAATATGTTAATTCCACAGATGAGCTTCTTAAATTCTTATAAGATAAAGAAATATTTCAAGAAGTAATAGAAAGCAATGATATTTGTAGTCCTATGGAAAATTTAATTCTTCCAATAACAGCAAGATCTAAATAATAATAATTTTAAAAATCTAATACATCAAATGATTTATAATTTAAACTTGATTAAAATCTCAAAAAATAAATGCATATCTTAAAAACTGAAGAAAATGAAGAAATCTAAATGATTAGAAATAGATTAGATGAAAGTCTTAAGGATTATAAAATAGAAGTAAAATCTGATGCAATTTAAGATCTTTTAGAAAAATAAGGTTTAAATAAGAATATTAAACAAAACTAAAAAAAATGTAACTTTAACATACATAAATAGATTTAAAACTGTCTAATTTTAAAAGTTAATGTAGTACAATAGCGAAAACACAATCTAAAAATCAAACTTATAAAAATCAATTTACTAAATTCCCTCTTTACATAGCATAATCATAACCATTAGCAACTTATTATAATATTCCAAAATTAATGGAAAAAACTGGACTTAACAGAAGTGAAATTCATGAAATATATTCAAGATATAAAGCATTATTGAGTTTTGAATGTACTTAAATACCAGGAATGACTAAAGAAAGTATAATTTAATATTAATTAAGTGTTACCAAATGGAATTAGTAGAGATTCATTTGCAGCAGGACTTAATGAATTATCAATGGCCCCTGCAGGAGTAATTGATTAATTATTTAATTTATTTGCAATAGAAAACAGCTTAGATTTTGAAGGATTTCTTTAGATTATTAATTTAATAACAGCAAAGAGTAATGAAAAAAAAATTGAATTAATTTTAAAAGTAAATATTGAATTAATTAGTTAATTGATGAAAATGGAAATGGGTTACTCTCTTATGAAGAAATATCATAAAGATGTGAAATGATGATGGATTCTATAATGAAATGTAATATTGGAGAACCATGCACTAATAATATGGTTGATATAATAACTAAATCTATTTTTGATGTATAAATGATTACTATAATAAGGCAGTCGAAATGAATTATGATGAAGAAATACCAATAGAAAAACTTAGATTACTAATTGAAAGTAGAAGTTAGGCTTCTAAAGCATTATTAATGATGTGTTGTGGAGATATAAATTATATTGATTGATTACTTATAAATTATATGCTTTATTTTTAATAATTTTATTAAAGCAGTAAAAATGCTTAAACATTTATATGTCAAATAAATTAATTTCCTCTTTTTTATATTAAATTATATTTATTTCTTTACTTTATTATTTTAATAATAAATGGTGTTTATTCTAACTCTAGAACAAGCTTAAATATCTATGAAAATTGATAAACCAAGTTATTTTCCTGGAGATATTATAAAAGGAGTCATATACATAAAAGTAAAGACAAAAGATATAAATGCTGGTATAATGAACTTAAAAGTAAAAATTGATAATAAAATATTTTAGCTTTGTGGCCAAGAAAAAGTAAATCAATTAGATTAACAGAATTAGTTTTTCAGTTTCAAATAGTTTATTTATAAAAAATAAAAGAAAATCACTGATTTTGGAAAGTATCGAAAAATTAAAGTAATAGGAAAATGCCAATCATAGCATGCAGAAAATACTTTGAAATTGAGGTTCCAAATATATCACCCAGTTTTACAATAAACTATTATAAGATGGTACAATGCAGAATCTTATATTTTCTCTCAGTTACTATTTAAAGTGAAGATGAAAAATATTTATATAAGCCTCCAAAGAAACATAGAATAGTGATACACATCCTTTAAAAACCTCAAATTCAACCTAATTTATCATTAGAACATATTGGGGAATCAAAGATTACCAAAAGATGTTGCTTTTCAAGTGGAGTAATATTTTTAAATGTATCATAGACCACAAAAGTTATGATATAACTAAATAAACCTTCATATGTATTTGGAGAAAATATTGATTTAGTTATGCAAGTTAATAATAGTTAATCCAATTACCATATTCAAAATTTCAAATTTTCCATTTCAGCATAATTAGTAATTTTGTATAAATAGTAAAAACGCAAACTCTCTAACTATTTTGATATATTTGATTAAGAATTAATTTGTAAAAATTCAACTATATGTTAGAGTAAGTTGATGCTGGTGATTAAAAGGAAATTAAAGTCACTTTGAATTTACCTTAGGGCAAGCCAGCAAAAAATTATAATTCAATTTTTCCTTAAAGTTCTATTAAAACTAAAAGAATTATATTTTAATATATACTGACACTTAAAATTATTTTTGGCAAAAGATTATTTTTAAGTTAAGAAGATTTAATAATTCCTATTCCATTAATATTAATATAGAATTAAAAAAGAGAAAAAGACAATATATGTTAATCAATGGATAATATTAGTATGATTGGATCTGTATTTGAAACTAATTAAAAAATAAGTTAAAGTATATTAAAGAAGTTCATTTTTGGAGATCATAATTGTTCAGGTTATGGTGAATAAGATGGGTATGAAGGGCCTGAGAGAAAATATCAACCTATTGAGAGTTTAGATGAGAAGGCTTTAAAAGACTTAAAAGGAGCATTAGAGTAATTGATGTTTAAGAAATAATATGAAATCGATGGTAGCGATGATGAAGATAAGTTAATTGAAGAAATTGATGGAGTGAATCTAAATAATGTTAGTATAAATATTGATCAATCTGAAAAATAATAATAACCAAAAACTATTTTTCAACAAAACAATAAAAATGATATCTTTTTCCCCAATCAAAACATAGAAGAAGCTAAGTTAGATAATGGTATATAGGACCAATTATAGACAATTAAAGAAGAATAAGATAGCAAAGGAACTTAATATAATCTAAATAATGCTCTCTCTTCTTCATAAATAAGAAAGAATTAATAAGGAGAAGATAATGAAGAATAACAAAATTTGTAATTTTAACAATAATCTTTTCCATTTGAAGCTTTTGGTTCATTCTAAAAAGTTATTGTTAAAAATGAAGGATAGGATCAAGTAAAAATGAATACTGAGGAAAAGGATAACTTAAAAAAACCAACTATCTTAAAATAAAATAGATCATTAAACAATTCAATTGATCAGATTGATTAAAAAGAATAAAAGTAATTTAGAGTACAATTTAATGATGCTACATCAGTTGATACTTTAGATGGTAAGACTGGTGAAAGATTAAGCACTTAATGTAGAAAAAATGAAACCTAATTGAAATAAATTTGAGTTATATTATATTCAATTTATTTGTATTTTTGGCAAACACTATTATAAATAGATTAATCTAAATATTTTGAATATATTATTTATTTAATTTTATATAAATATAATAGAAGTAATCGAATTTTTAGAAATATATCTTCTAAAAATTTATCATCAATCACAAATATTGTATATATATTTTTATATTCATTTTAATTGTTATAATATGGCAAATAATTATGGTTTTTTTGATGAAGTAAAATTTATTATCAAATTTTAATTAAATAAATTATTTTATTTATGACAAAAGATCTTTTTTGATTTATACAGAAATTATTTAAATATGGAAGATTTTAATATTATATAATATGATTTAATCATATATTAATTCTGTGTGTTAAAATATTTTAAATAACTATCATTAGGGTGATTAATGTTTAGTATCATGTAAAATTAAAATTATTAGATATTTTTCACAAAACAATTAAATTATTATGGATACTGTAACAAAAATCTAAAATATTATTAGAAATAAATTCTAAAACTTGAAAAATTTTAATAAGAAAAATACATATCATTTAAAAACTAGAATTCTAAGAAAACTTAATAATTTATTACCTAATAATTAGATATTTGAATATAATGATAAAATATCATTTTCATTAGTAATTCTAAATTTAAATAAATTAGTCTATCTTTGTTTTAATTTATTAATTATTCCTATTATTTTTTGAATAACAATTTCTTATTGAATAAAGGAATATTTATATAAAAAAGTTAGTTGACTAATTCTAAACATTTATTTACATATAATATTGTATACAATGTAAATATTAAATATATATTTAATTTTTGTATAAAATAAATTGATAAATAGAAAATTCAATTGTTACTATATGGTTCACTTTCATTTTAAATTTAAGTTTCTTCATTTGCTTAATTACAAATTAAAAGTTTTTCTTATTCCTCATCTTCCTTTTCTAAAATATGACTCAAATCAGCTAAACTTGCATCATTTTATATTTCTGTATAGATTGAATTAGTTAATCTAATGAAATAATAGATTATCAAAGCAACTATAATAATCATTGTAAACTTTAACCAAATAGGAACATAATTACTAGTATCTCCTGATTATAATACATCAGCAAGTGAATCTAAATTAGATCCCATATAAACCCAGAATCCAGCCCATATAACTGTACCAAAAAATGTTGGATGAATAAATTCCCAATGAGTAATTCTAAATAACCCACATGCATAAGTTTTAAAGATTGTAGGAATTGCCAAAAATTATAGAAGATACATGACTTTGGTAGGTTTACGTTCTGTAGCTAAATAGCAAGTGATAAAATAAATGTTTTCATTCATAGCCGTATAAATAAAGTTTCTAACACCATACCTTCCTATCAAAAAGCCTATATATCTATATTTATTATTGAATTATTATATACTTTGCTAAGAATTTGGCTAAAGAAACTGTGAATAAAGCAAACCAAAATGGATGAATTAAAAATCCTGCTAAAATATCATAAAGAACAACATTAAAGCCAGTCAAAACAAACCATAAACCAATCATTCCTATATAAAAAGCTCCTATATATTGTCCTATCTATATTTTTATTATAATTTTACCCTATTCACTAAAATCATTAAGCACATTAAAACAAAAATATCTAAAATCTCTCACCCAATATAAAAGTAATACAAATGTTACCAATATAATTGAGTATAAAACCATTATAAGTAATAATAATTTTTATGCTTTGTCTCTTTTAGGATTATGTTCAGATGTTGCTATATTTGATTAGATTCATTTATACATGATCCATCCTTTGCTTTTTAATACTTCTCTCTTAATTCTTTACTTTAATTTTCATAAAAAAACTGATCTCTAGTTTAATCACTCATTCGTTTTTAAAATTTATCCAAATTTGGAATTATTAAATTTATAATAATTTCTAATTTTTATAATCACAAATGTAATTCTCAATTCAAATGATGGAGCACATTTGTATACATTTATTAAAAATCTTAAATAGAGAGTTAACCTTATTTTTAAATATGATTAAATAATTTAGAAAAAGTATCTAAAGATTTGATATTAAATTATTAACCCAATTAAATTACTATTGATTAAATGATTTCAATTGTAATTCTTTCTCCTGAGTTGATTTATCTTTAGAATAACTTATCAAATTCTTGAAGTATTGTTTCCTCTTTAAAAGAGAAATTCATTAAATTTGATGCATATGATAATCCCTTTCGATCATTTTTAGTTCTTATTTTTGCTTAAATTTTATTAATTAAAAATACATTCTTTATGTCCATATGGATCATTTTTTGGGTTCAGATATTATAAATATTACCCAGATGTTTTTTCTCTATATTTTTTATGTTTAGGCCACATTTAATTAGGTTAATAGCGAGTTTATTATAATCCTGGATCAATTGAACTTTAGACTCTTCTAAAAAAACGAGGTTTATTTTCAGGTATTATTTCATTCTTTGGTTTTACTAAAGCTATCTTCTCATCAATTAATGGATTTTTATATGGTTAATATTTAGATTCTTGAATTGGATATTCACTTTCCATGTATTTCATATGATTTAATGGCCATGCTTTAACCTTATTTAAATATTCACGATGATTGTATTTTTCAAAAAACATCAAACTCTATCCCCCATAATTATATCCTGATGGATCTATTAGTCCTTTATATGGTTTATGCATTGTATGTATATTTTTATATAATTTTATCAATAAATTATTCTCATTAAATAAAATTAATTTACTACTAAATAAGAATTTTACATATTAATTACTAAGTTATATGATGTTTTTTATATTATATAAGTATTAATGTTTTAGTAAATATATAAACTAAAAAGATTGAATTTAGCTAAAATTTATATCAAAATAAAATATTTTTCAAGTAAAATAATCATTCTTCTATCACTCCTGATACAAATTAATAATAGTGAATATTAAAAAATTAATCATCTTAGATGGTTATAATTAAGAATTTTAGAAATTTTTATTAAAATTAATATAATATTATTATTTTATGAAAATATCACTAGAAATTTTAGAAATCTTTAATATAAAAACAAATTTAAATCTAAGTTTTAAATACAAAATTAGAATCTTGATTATATTATTAGATAGTATCATTCTTCTTAAAGGATTTAGTTTAATTTTGTATATATATACAATATATATATATCATTTAATTTACTAAAATTTACGTATTGTGTTAATATGATTCGCATTATTTAATATATTTTCCAATATCCATATGTCAATTGAAGTAGCCAAAGCTATAGGGTATGAAACAGAAGAAGTCAAGGCTTTATGCACTGATAGAGATGCAATTTTATATTCTCTTGGTATAGGATATAGTTCTGATCCCATGAATGCAGAAGAACTTTCTTATACTTATGAATTACATGAAGATTTCAAAGTTTTCCCAACTTATACAACATGTCTTCATAGAACTGATATTTTTAAGGTCAATTGAAATTAGAAATTATTAGGCTTTGACATCTTGTCCAGGAATTCCAAATTTTAATCCAATGATGTTATTACATGGAGAATAGAGAATTTAAGTCTTGAGACCTTTAAAAGCAGGAGTTGAATATGTAACTAAAGGAAAAATAGCCAATATTTCTGATAAAGGAAAAGGAGCTTTAATTTAATTTGATTTATTAAGTTCTGAAATAGATGCTTAAGGAAAGTAAACCTTAGCTTTTGTTAATACATTATCTCTCTTTATTAGAGGATTAGGAGGCTTTGGACATAAAGGAAATCCAGTTGAAAACATTCCTGCTACACCTAAAAGACCTCCCTGCAAAGAGGTTAAATAAGTCACAACACCAAATCAGGCTATCATATATAGACTATCTGGTGATATTAATCCATTACATATTGATCCTGTAATATTAGATAATTTAATATTAGAATATGGCTGCTTTAGGAGGATTTGATAAACCTATTTTACATGGATTGTGCACTTATGGTATTTGTGCCAAAGCTGCCATTTAGACATTTACTTAAGTATGAATTTTTTTAATTATTATAGGGAAATGGTGATGCTCTTAAAAGTATGGCAGCTAGATTTACTTCTCATGTTTTTCCTGGGGAAACTTTATTGATTTCATTATGGAAGGATGGAACCAAAGTTTAATTTTCAGCTAAAACTTAAGAAAGAGGAATAGAAGTTATAGTTGGTTTTGTAGAGTTTAATGAGAAAGCAAAATTATGAAATAATTATAAAATAAATTAGTGGATTTTCATTTAATTTTTAATAAGACTTATTCTAAAGCTTAGGCTTATGTAAATAATGATTAAGTATATTAATCTTCTTCAAAGTAGGGTGCTTTTTCAGGATGTCTTACAGAAGTTCTGAAATTTTCATATTCAATTCCCTTATTAAATATTAATTTAATAATACTATTTGATTAACTTAATCTTTAAGCATTTAAATTTATCTTTCTTAATCTTAAATTACATCTTGATGATTCTTCAAATATAATTCTTTAATTAATTCTCTTAATTCATTAGACATACCATTAGGATCTTTAGATAGAATTAATCTAGATAAATCCTCTATTATTTTCTTTAATTTTGGATCCTTATTGTAGGATTCTTGTTTCACCATTTTAGATTAATTTATTTTTTCATCTTAAAGTTCTTTGAAGAGACTATCATATTAATTTTATAGAGCAGCCATATTCTTCTCATATTATTTACCTTGACTATATAATAAATACAATTATTCTAAATCATATTAAAATTCTTTAATATTGATAATATTATTAGCTGTAATCTCTCTAAATAAAGTAGGATATTTCTATAAGAGTTTTTTTATTTTATCCAAAATAGAATGAACAGTTTATAATTGGAATTGTTCTTGAATTAATTCATTATTTTTATTCTCAATTTCTTTATTTAATTCTTCAATTTTCTATTTAAATTAACCAACTTAATTTAATAAACCTGCCACTCCAAGCATTGGTTCATTAATGCTTTATTAAATCTTATGTAACAAAACATTTTAATGTTATACTTGTGTTTTTAATCTAGAAATAGTTCTTTCCTATTCATTTATAGCAATTTAATAGTTAATATTACATTGTTGACTTTCATCATCAAAAAATGTATCTGATTCTTGTGAAACGCATAATGCAATTACAGCTTAATTGTACTTTTGAACTTTCTCTAATTAATCTCTAAAAGGAATTTCTTATTGAAGTAGTGAATTTAACGAATTGTGATTATCTCTTATATTTTATTCAATCTTAAATAACACATTTTTGATGTTACTCTAGAATTTCTCTTTAAATTTTAAATGAAAAAGTAATTTTTAAACAACTTCAAAATGATCTAGACGTAATCTTTCATATTTTCCATCATATTATATTGAAATAGGGTCTAAGTTAAAATAACCTAATTTATAATGTTTCACTCCGTTTTAATAAAGCTCCTTTACAGTTCTATCATTTTAGAGTTTATTATTTTTCTGAATCTCACTATTTGGAAGAAATTTAACATCTTATTGCAAACACGATTCACAACATAATTTCTTTTTTTTAGTCTCTACAATCATTTTTCCTTGATCTTAATTATAAATTTAGATATTGCTTGACTGAATTCTACTTAAAATTTTATCTGTGATATAATCTTTAGTTGGTGTTTTATTTCTCATTAATTATAATATGAATTAAAAAGTAAAACATTCTAAAGATGAGGATGATGATTTCAATCTTAATACATCAAGTGCTGAGCCATTAGAATTGGATGATTAATATACAAAGCCAAAGTCGATTTGTTGGGGTAGATGTCACCCCATGATGTTTAGGAAAGGCAATCCTGCTGTTGTTATTGGACCACATTGTAAGTGATAATATAATCTAGGGCCTTTGTTTATTTGTGCTTTTCTTTTATTTTTATTAATTGGATGTCTATTTATTTTCCTTAGAGTTAATGATGATCCATTAATATTTTATACTACTCTTTTTGTTGGTATTAATCAATGTGTTAGTTACTTAATTGTTTCTCTAATTAACCCTGGAATTGCAAATATAGAGAGAATTGATATTGAAAAGAATCAATAAACTAATCAAAAAACATGGTAACTTAAAATTTATATGGAAAGGTATTGTAAAGTGTGTAAATTGATTTAACTCAAAGAAACATAACATTGTTTAGATTGTGATATTTGTATTTAAGAATATGATCATCATTGTCCTTGGACTGGTAAATGTATTGGGAAAGGCAATATTAAATAATTTTATTATTTTATCTTAAGTACTGTTGTGTTTATGATTTTTAACCTTGTTATAATTTTGCTAAAACTAAAAGAATAAGAATCTAAAACAAATAAATAATAATGAATTAGTTTTATTAATATTATAAATAACTAAAATTATCCTATCATCTGATAAAATTTCCATTATTCTCATTTTTATATTCTTATTATAATTAACAACTTAAATATCACTATCAATTTAATAACTATTATTTATATTAAGCTTAAGATAAATATTCAGTTCTTTTACATTAACATCAAATATGTTTTATTAATATAATATTAATTCTTTATGAATTTCATACCTTAAGAAATCATCATATAATTAAATGAGACGGATATTTAGATGGTAGGAAATGGGTGATAATTTTTATGGACCATAAGGATTTATGGATTCTCAATCAGGAGATCTAGTTCTCCTTACAAAAAAACAGATAAAGATTTCATTAGATTGTTTTTAAAAAATGAATTTGTACATTATATGATATAAACTTGATTATATACTTTTCATAATGTTGGTCTATTGAATAAATCTTAAACTGGTAATCTTATCTCGTTGACAACTTATTCTATATTTCTATTGTTTTCGTATTTACTAGCATGGATTAACTAAGATTATTTGGTTTCTAATTACTTTTTAATAAAATGTTTCTTAATCATTTTAGCCTAATAAAATTCCATAATGTTCAAACTCATAAGAATCAATTAATAAATTTAATACTGTCAACAATTCTTAAGCATTTTATCCAATTTATTATTTAATTAAATTAATATTTGTTATATTGGTTTCCATTAAGGATAATGAGATAAAATTCTAATTTAATAATAATCTATCTAAAATAAAATTAGAAGCTCTATATCTTCTGAATGCCAGTAATGCAAAGAACTTTTAAGAAGCAAATAGTTCAAAAGTCAATTAGGAAAACTAATAGGCTGAATATGAATATTTTAGATGTTCTTATTATAATAATTTCTCTTTTATTTTTGCAACATGATAACCAAATACATGAAATGGATTACTTACATTACTTTAAGTTAAAGGTCCAAGTTCTGCAAACATTGAAACTGGATCTCCCATAAAATATTATCCCAAATAATAAAGTACAACTTATTTATTCTAAAGATATATATTATATTTATAAATACTTTTTCAATATCTAAAATAGTATTTAAATAATCTGTTTATTTTTATATTCTATTATTCTTATAAAATGAAGATAACCATATGAGTTTTTCTTAGATTTGAGGGATTCCTGATATTCTGAGAAAACCAAATCCTCCAAAGACATCTCTTAATTATTCTGCCACATATACACTATGTTCTGTAATATAAAGAGAAAAGAAATCAACAAATTTTTTACTTACTTTTCTTCTTGCCTTTTTCATAAACACATCCTAAAAGAATTCTTTTCTAGCTTCTTAAACACTGATATAAAACATGACAGCAAATGAAATAGCATTAATTAATCTTGTTAATGTAACTTAATAAGTTAAAATTGGTCTTTCTGTTTTATCATCTGTTGTTCTGAATTATTTTCTCATTGAACAATACTTATAACAAATATCTGTCAATCTCATAATTTCTCTTAATGCAATTTAACAATCCTCAAATCCTTAATGAGATTCCCATTATTCTATAAGTTCAAGATCCTCTTAATTTAATTCTATATATTTCATCACTTTTGATCCTTCAAATTAAATAGCATAATTTTAATATATTGATATAGTCTTACCTAACCATTTCTCTTTAACTTTGTTATCTTTTAATTATATTAATGCCAAGTAAATCTTATCTTAATTTTTACAAGTAACTAAAGCATGGGTTCCAAATTTGCCTTAATAATTATTCCCAATTTTGTATATTCCTTCTTTACTATATAATGTTGCTTAATTATTTTCAAATTAGATTGATGTAGATAATTCACTCAATTAAAGTGATCCATTAAATGCTTATTCATTTGATAACAATGAAAGTGAGACTTTTAGAGTATTAGCTTATGCAAGCAAATTCTATAACTCCTTATTTTGGGTGATTGTTTTTAGGATCCTTAGATTTAATAATTAAATCTAAAAAAATCTTTAGACATTAGGAGAAACAAAATCCCCAAAGTATTAAACATAAGATTCAGCTTAATATAAACCTCCTTTGCTTTAAATAAATTTAGTTAATCTATCTACTTGAATGAGATCTATATTATGTTATTCATTCAAATTTAAAGAACTATGGATAATCTAAGGTTATATCTCAGGTGTCTCTTAGATCAACTTTTTGAATTCTTAAAATAATTGAAATTGTGGTTATCCTCTGTAGATGAGATATGTCAATGATTATTTACTTACTTAAAAATCTTCACTATTCATTATTAATTATATATATATTTAGTATAAAGCAATACATAATCTATATACAACTCAGCTCATTTTATTTATTCTAAAATGCTAATTATAAAATTCTCTAATGATTTATTTAATTTTTATTGTTTCTTTTTTCCTAATACCACATAGTTACAATAAAAATCTTTCTTGATATCTAATTCCTTCAAAATTATTTTAAAGAAATCAAAAATTTTATTAATTTGAACACATGAATGTGTTAGTAATTTTCTATTGTATGGATTAAATATCGTAATTGGTAACATAGGCAAGCAATAATCTTATAAATTGAAAAAGTAACTAAAAATTTATAATAATATTAATTATACCTAGAGTTTGGATTATTAATATCTGCCAATAGACCTATTCCAGTAGATGATGAATCAAAACAGTTTACATAAAAGTTAAGCATATCAATAAATTGTTCACCAATTAAATTAGAAGTAATTCTTTATTCTCTCATATAAGAATATACCATAATTATTAATGAGTAGGAGGATAGACCCCCTAATATATAATCAAATGAGATTATTACCTGTATATGATTCTGAAAGCTTAAGCTTTTTAATCATAGATTTTAAAATAAGGACTATCTATTATAATGATGGATATTCTTCCATCCATTTTTTAACCAACTCAGTAGTTATTGAACCTAAATGAGTAGAATATATAGCATTCCCATTAAAGTTAAATGAAATATCCACCTTTATTCCACTCTTTAATTTCTATTTTAACTTTTTCCATTATTGAATTTATTATTCATCTAAATTCCTTCCTTCATATTCAAATATATTAATCTAAGGATCTATTTCTAATTTAATTATTGGAACAGATGAATTAAATATTGGACTAATAATAATCATTTTTAAATATATACTTTGCTTTGACTACCCACTTTTTTCTAGAGAATTCAAAAAATAAGTTATCAAAATGACCTTTTAACATATTTCTATTATAAACTTCTAATCCATTTATACCAATATCTATATCAGAATCTATTAAAGCTAATCCTGTTGCACAAGACCCAAAAAGCCTAGATTTAATAAATAATATTTACATAATCATTCCATCAGGAATACCTAAGAATACTTTCTAAATTACTAATTTAACTCTTTCAAAAGCTAAAAATCTAAAGGGTAACATTTCTTCATATTCACTCATAATGTTATCTGTGAAATCAAGAATATCTAAATTGATTTATTCAATCAATTTTTATTTTCCCTTTTATTAAACATTTTCTAATTACTCTTTCAAGCTTTTTTCTGAATTTTATTGATGTATGGATACATTCTTTTTTATATCAAATTACTAATTTTTCTTTTAATTTTTTGGAGCAATATCATCTTCTAAGGTTTTTTATGATATTTATTCACTTTCATTTGAAGCTGAATTTATATCTTAATTAAATTATTAATCTTCAAATTAATTCATTTTAAAAGAATTTATCAATTTAAATATATTTTGTTTATTTTCATTACTATTTTTCCTTATTTTAATTTAATTTTTTATAATGTTTAATTATTATTTCCCTTCTTCTTCTTCAGATGTAGATGATGTTCTATTAGAACAATGACTTTTAATTGTTTATGCTTATGTTTCAATTGAAAATCTTGTTATTTCAGATTAAGGTGATTATAATTATAATTGCTCATCTCTACTTTCTGGTATTGATTTTTAAAATCCTTTTTACTTTTTTTTAATTCTTTTCTTTTCTTTTAGATATTATTCCTTAAATTAATTTTCATCATTTAATGAAATATTTGCAATTTCTAATATATTTATTGTAATAGATTAACCAACATCAACAAAATCATCATTGGTTGGATTTTCAATATTTGTATGAAATTATTATGATATTAATGGTTATTCAACTTAAATTAAATTAATTTTTGGATTATTTGAACTTTAACATTTAGATAATTATTATTATGTATTTGAAACTTTATTATATTCACTATTATAAAAATAATTTATACTTTTAATCATCACTGGTTTCCCAGGCTGATGGTGTATTAGGTGGAGTCACATATGTATATGCTAAATTACTTTATGAATATGATCTTTAAAATCTTAGAATATTTGATTCCTAAAGATTTTTACTTGATAATCTTTTATTTAATTCAATTGGATCTAATCCTTTAAATGTTTACATTTTTTAGTATTTCTTTTTCTTCTTTTTTTTATCTTTTTTTTATTTTTTATCTGAAATTTCAGTTTTAAACAATTCTTATTCTAAATGTTCTTAAAATAATTGTTGTACTATTTTATAAAACTTTTTTAATATATATGTTTTCTAATCTACTAAATCATTCATAGATGTAATCAACATTGAATTTATGATATTTGTATCAGTATGACATTTTTATTAAAAATTCAATAATAATTCTACTTATGACTTTAATAATTTAATTGCTGTGCCTGAGAATATATTTTCATAGAATTTATTTTCTAAATGATCAGGTTGCTATTTAATTTCTGAATAGATTTCCTAAAAATAATAGGTTAACTAAAAGTAATTAAATTTATATTTTTACTCTTTCTTTATTATTGGCTAGATTTTATATAAAAAATTCTTTAAGTTCATTTGAAGTATTCTTATAGATAGGTTATCTAAAGAGTCTCTATTTTTTCTTTTTCTCTCTATGAAGATTATAATGAAAGGAAATATTTTTTTCAAATTCTTTTATGATCCAAACTGCACAACTATGAAAACTGTTTTAATGAAACCATATAGGATCTTCTGCTTTTTCTATTATGGCTTTTGGAGATGTAGATAGAAAATATTTATCAGAAAGGTCATTCAATAAATCTAAAAAAGAGTTTAAATTTTCTAAATGTGGCTCAGCAACAAAAATAGTATCCATAAAATTTTCATCATCAACTATGTTCAATTTAGTATACAAATCCTTAATCAATAATTTTTATTAGATACTTCTGCTTTAGGATGTAGCGCTTTGAACTTCATCATGAACTAATCATCAATTTTAGACTCCAAATTAATTGTTGCTCTAAAAATAGTTTTAATATTAACTGTTAAAGTAATGCATAATTTGAAGGGTTATTTAATTTGTCATATATGTACATTTTCATTATTGGAAAGGTTTTTATTTATCCTTTAATCTGAAATAGTTTATACAATTCAGATTATTCAAGTGTAGAGAGCCTATAAAATGAATCAACAAAATAGATACCATGATATTACTTCTGATTTGTATGTTGCAGTGGATGAATTCTATTCTTGGATGTTATCTGAATACAAATTATAATAATAAGGAGCTCTATAGGGATACATGCAATAATTGAAAGGCTAGAGAAAATTCATTTAATTTATCTGATTCATCTATCTACATTAAGATTATGATTACATGTTTTGATATGAGATTGTTCTGATAAATTTAGTTTATTTATTATTATTATATAATAATAATCTGAGAATCTTAAAAATGAGAGTGTATTAATATTAATATAATAAAAAGATATATAATTTATTAAATATAACAATAATGTTGAGTTTGAACATCTATTTAAAATTGTTCTCTATATTAAAATTTTAATCAAATCAATTATAATTTATATTTTGTTCTCAAGAAATATAATTTTAAATTATTATTTTATATAGTGCGCCATCTTCATAAGAATTATTAAATATATACTATATTATTTCATATAAAATTATAATGTCTTAAAAACATATAAAAATGAATACCCATATATAAAAATAATTAGATTCAATTAATAGTATAGAATTCAATCCTCTTATTTTCATGAGCACTATATAAATATTTACCATCCGAAATAACTTTATTACATCCATAAGGATTCATTGAAATTTCTTAAACCTTTTATGGTTAAGTGTCTAATTTCCATACTGATATTTTCCCTTCTTATTCAAAACCCATCAATCCTACAAATAAATATTAAGATTCAGGATCAAAACTTATAGAATGAACTGGATAATCTTCTTCAAGATTTCTTAATTCTTAAAGCTTTGGATATTGCCATATTTTTATACAATTATCTTTTGAACCACTTATTAAAATTCCACTATTTTAAGAATTATTACTAGACAATGCTAAACATAAAATTAAATTCTTATGACCACTCACATCTAATATTTTATTATTTGTTTAAGTATCATATAAAATAAGATTTTTTCCACTTGCTATCACTAAATTATGTCTTTCAGCTACTAATGCACTTACTCTAGCATTTGTTTTAAAAGAATGTTATAATTATCCATCATAATCCCAAAATTTAACATATGTATCATCTGATCCTGATGCAATATAGTTTCCAACAAATTCTAAACATCTTATTCTATCTGCATGTCCTTCACAAACATAAACTTATTTCCAAAAGGGACATGGTTTCCATATACGAACTGTTTTATCAACTGATCCACTAGCAATAATTCTTTTCTTTGAAAATGCAACACATAAAACTTAATCTTTATGTTCCTTAAGAGTCATTTTCAATTATCTTGAACGTCTATAATTTTATATATATTTAAATATAATACTTGTCCCATATTTTAATTGAAGTATCTTTGGAACATGTGATAATTTTATCACCATCCATTAATGCAAGATCTTTTATACTTTTATCATGACCTTTTAGTGTTTATTCATATTCTATTGATAAAGGATTTAATAAATTTGGAGTTAATTTAACTTAAGGTGGACCAATAGACCTAATTTATTAATTGTATTTACTTAGAACTAATATATGATAAATCTAATTATGATTTATTATCTTTAAGTTATTAACCTGAAAAGTTTGATTATAATGAATTAGATTATTTAATACTATTTTATTATTAAATTGCAAATTATTCTGTAGGTTCGAATAGAAGTTAATTTGAAATGGAAAAATGCTATTCATAAGTTTATTAATTATCTTTAAAAACTGAATATTGATTTTTTTAGTTATTATCTTCATTAATTTAATTGTCTTAATATTAATTTAATATTTCACTTGTAGCAGGAATAAAATCAGAATTTTATTGTTTCTCATCCTTTTATGAAGCATTAGAAAGATAAAACATATTATCTTTTAATATACTTTTATTGTCATTTTATGTTAAAGGTATTTAATTAGCAAAATAACCAGTTTAATTTGGTTATTCTTATTAAATATATTTGAAAACACTTTGTTATTATTAAGACTTATTAGTTTTTGGAGATTTATCAAATGTTTTGGATCCTGGAGATTTAGGCAATATATCTATAGATTGAGTTTACATATTATTAACTTTAAAAGGTTCTACTGGTCTTTGTATTTCAAAAGAAGAATTTTATGATTTTTATTTTGATTGATAACTTTCCTAATTTTATACTTTATCAGATGATTTATCTAAATCAAATGGTTTGGTAATTTTGAATGAATTTTATGTATCCTATTTACTTCTAGCAGATTATTAAGAATCTTATTCAGTGAAATAATTCTTTAATTTTGAATTATTAAATGAACCAACTGGCATTAAGTCTCTTTATAATAGTTACTTTCTTATTGGTGAAATACTGGCTTATTTTTATTGAAAAATTGGTTCTTTTGATCGATTTGATCGATTAGTTAATTCTGGAGAAATTTCTTTTCCTTCAGATAAATTTGATTTATAATTGAGAATACTCTAAGATTATGAAGGTGTTTAAGGTATTAATACAGGTTAAACTTATTTAATAGGTAATTAAGAAAATGCTTATTTAATCTATTTTTCAATATCTATAATCTGTTCATAAAAAGATTCTAAATATTCTCTATCTTTTAATTAATCTCTTTAAACTAACTCAATCAATTTAGATTAGAATTATTAAATACTCATTTTCTCTTATTTTAATTACTTCACTAATTCTTTTTTTCTTTTCTCATCTATTTAACTCACATCAATTAATAATTAAGATATTTTACTATGAAAGAATGCTTTAAGTGATTCAAGTTTCTGTAAAATATTAGTTTAATATTCAGCGTTTAAATATTTGAATTATTCATTAATATAGACATCCAAATTTTTAATCATATGCGTATCATGAGTATCAATACACATGTCACAAAGTGGTCCTTTCCTTGTACAATCAGGTTGTAGACATACTTAAGTATATGGTAATGAATGCAGTTAGCAATAATATTACATAAAAATATTTATATTATTATTGATATTTTACTCTTAAAATCAAAAGAAGTGAATATCATTTATTTTTAATATTTAATAACTCTAAACTTAAACTTTAATATTTATTTATTAGATATAAAGTATAAATTACTTATCTTTATTATAATTATTACTTGTTTCTAAGACTTATTAAATTGGATCAAATAAAATATCAATATTTAATTAAACTAATATTTACAATTTAAGGTATATCAATACTTTATCAACCTTATTATGAAGTTTAAATACTTAATATATTTATAAATAATTAAATTTTATGTTTTCAGAAAGATTAGTAAGAGTTACTTTGACTCTACCGAAAGTTGAAGGTAATCTCAAATGGGAATCAGATGCTTAAACAACTACTTCTAGATCAAGTATCACTCTTATTTATATTTAGGAATCATTTCAATCAATGCTAGACCTTAATAATTTGGCAGTAGATTTCATAAACATACCATGACTTCTATTGTCTCTCCAAAATAACTCTAATTATATACTCCTATGTAAGAAAGCAAAAGAGCAAAGAAATTAAAAAATATTCCTTATGAACTCTAATATTTTACTCCAAAACTTCCAAATAAAAACTTTACTTCTAGCCATCTAATGAGTGATGAATTACTTAAACCTTCATCTGATAATATAGAAAACAAAGACAAATGGCAGATTAAATCCCATATTCCAAAAACAAATAATGTGTTCAGTTTATGTTAAATAAAAAGACTTAGTAAATAAGAGAAAAACAATGAAAAATCATAAGATTTAACTTAAATTAGAAAATAAAATATTCGAAATATTGAGAATGAAAAAATCAAAGTAAATTTAAACTATTCATCATATTTAGAGATATAATAAATATAGATAAGCCACTAAAAAGTTGATTGATCAATTTGCCTAATAATTCAATACTCGTGCTAAAATAGATAATTTCAGCTTGAATCTATGAAAATCAAATAGAATGTTTATTTGTTTGAGAATCTCAATTATCTCAATAACTTTTTATTTTCAATTTAAATTCTATATTAAAAATAATAATAATTTTATTAAAAAGAAATGCTTCAAAATTTTATTCAATTTTAATCATCTATAGGTAATTATTATTTTATTATTCTTAAAGAAAATAGAGATAAATTACTTAAATTTTTATAAAATTGGCAATTGTTAAGAAGTTATATGCTTATAGGATATAATAATGAAGAATCAGAGACTAAATTTTATATATATTGTATATTAAATCTTTAAAATAGAACAATTATATATATGCAGAAGATTATTTAGACTTGGAAAGAGTCTTTAAACAATCTTAAATATCTTAGAAAAGAAATAATTATAAAATTCAAAAAAAGCATACAATTAAATACCACACACTGTGAATGAAATGTCCATATATTCAGTGTATATATTCTATTTCTTTTTTCATTTGATTGAAAATATCATGGTCATTCATTAAATGGGATTTTTTGGCAAAAGATTTAATCATAAATTATTAAAAATAGTATCACATACATTTTGGACTTTGGGATTACTAACATAACTTATATATTATTTCAATAGACTTAGATCAGCATTTCGAAGGTATTTTAATCTTTATTAGAGAGAGAGTAAGAATTGAAATCTTAAATCTAAAATGGAATGACTAATGGAGAGTTTTTAGAATAATTGAAATCTTTATCTAAAGAAAGATATTAATATGGATTATTAATATTAAGAATTATTGGTGATCTAGCATGTGCTATGTAGAAAGCATAGATTCCAGAAAAAATTGTATTGAATTCTTATTATTCTAGTTACATACTAGGTTTAATAGAGGTCTAGTTGCATGTGGAGGAATATTGAGTTCAACCATTTAAATCTATTTACAAGCAGCAAAAATAAATAAAAAATAGAACTTCGTTGAAATATGAATAATGAAAGAGTTTACATATTTAATATTAAAACCTTAAATTTTTAAAATCATATAAAATATAATCTTAGTTTAATTATTAAATGTCTAATATAGTCTTTCTGTATGGTTATATATATATATATATATTCAAAATCTAAAATGATTATTAATTCAGCATAATCAATTCTACATTATTTATTCTATTAAATAAAACAGAAAATAATTATAAAAGATTTATTTATTAATTATTAAAATAATCCTCATCATTTATTAACTTTATATAAATATATTATATCATAAAATACCTATGAATTATTATGTAAAATTGAAAAAAATTAAAAATAAAGAAAAATGAAATAATTATATTAAAATAAGTAGCATTAATGGATTTATCAAATGTAAATAATTAAGAGAATAGAATATATATTTAAAAGTTAAGTTTGTATATATCACTCCTTCTAAAAAAAGACAATAATATTATTCATTTCATTATTTAAATAAGTTATTATATTTCAATATATAATTTTCATAATAGTTTAATTTATAGATAAATTAGTAATTTTTAATATCTTTAATTCATAATCTAAGATTTCATATTAGATTATTAATATAAGAAGTCATCATTATTAAGTTTTTTTTTTTGATTTGATTTCAAAAATAGATTTAAGAGCATATGTACCTGGACCAGGTGAATCATTTTTCAATCCTGGTAAAGGTCTATCTCCAATTCCAAAAGTAATTTATTTGAATCTATTGTTTTATATAATTTTATCGGTAGGAAGATAAGTTGTAGGTGAAGCTGTTTTTGGTAATTTTATATCAGAACTTATTAGTTAAATAATAATTCATACTTAATTTTGCCATATATACTAAAGACTTTTGTTTTATTAAGCAATTTTAAATCATATGATCCAGGTCCTGGAACATCAAAACCTCTTATTGATTATAACTTCATTCCAAAGCTGCAGGATCTACAAGAGGTCTATTTTATATCATATGTTCCAGGAGCTGGATTTAATTAATCTCTTTTGTCAAGGTCTAATGGTCTGAGCTATTTGTTTCCAAATCCAAAAGATGTGGCTCTTTTAGTTTTAGTATCTGTTAAACAGAGATATTTTGGATTTGGAAGTTAAGGAGTATGATGAGATTAGAATCTTTCTGCTCTAGGAAAAGACAATTATGGATTTGTTTATTATAGAATGCTTGAGCTAAGTTAATTGGGTTCGCTAAATTATCCACGAAAAGTATTGTTATTAATAAGTTTCATGACTGAAAAAAGAGGTTTACTTTTCAGATGTTATGAGTTATTCTCATTGTTAATCATGATAAAATATAAAATAAAATAAGATTGTAAGTATTTTATAAAATAATTGTGAGAGATGAAAAATACTTAAGATTTTAAGTTAAATATATATCTTTTATTGATTAACCAAACTTTAAATATTTTTAATGATGTTCTAATATAAAGATCTAATATATTATATATAAATAATGATTAAAAGAATATAGTTAACAAATATATAAACAAAATTAGTAAGTAAATAATAATTAAAATATCTGAATAATAAATAGTATTAGTTTGAATAAGGAATAATTTAATGTTAACTTGTGATATGAAATCATTTTCTAATTAAAACATTAAGAATTTTAAATGATTATTATTTTTCAATCATTACTAGTATTTAATTAAGTTGCTTTATATTTAAGTCTGAAATAATCTTCTATTTAGAAATCTACATTATTTACATTTAAGTTTAAAAAACTTTTTGAATTAGATAATAAAATATAAAATAATAATAAAATGTAAGGATCAAGAAGGCATCCAGAACTTGATAATATGCCTGACTTTTTATTCGAAAGTAAAAGTATATTAATTTCAAGATACTCTAATATTATCTGATCCAAGAGAGGAAAATTGTTATTCTACTATAAAAGATTATTGTTGTCCAAATTTTAATTTAATGTCATTTACAGCTATAATTTCATTGATTCAATTGTCTATATTTATTGTTATGTGTTTTTTGGGGGATTTTAATCTTTAGAAAACAATTTTGTGTATTGTATTTAAATATTATTTACTAAAGAGTTCTCAGATGAAACACTTGAAACTTTTGGGAGATGTTCAGCTTATAATTTGAAATATAAATTAGAGTTTTATAGACTAATAACATGTCTATTCATTTTTAATAATGTTAAAGATTTATGTGGATAATTATTATTATAAGTGATTGTTGTTTCAATGGTGGAGAAGTTTATTGATAAAAAAACTACTTTCTTTTTTTATTTAACAACTGGAATTGCAGGATCAATTACATTCATTGTTTTTTATGATTAAAATATTGAAGGAAATTCATTTTGTGTTTTTGGAATGGTTGGCTTAATGTTTGGTTTTATAATTTAAAATTCATAATAAGTATTTAAAATTAATATATAAAAAAAAGGATGAGGCAAGATAAGTAATCATGCAAGTAACAATTTTTATATTAATTATTGGAATTATTGGGTTTTTTTATAAAAATTCATTAATCTTTGGAATTTATGGAAGTTTCTTAATTGGAATTATAATTGGATTGATTTAACCAACATAAAATAGAATCTTTTAAAGAACTAAAATGAAATTTGTTGGAATAGGAGTAATTTTCATGTATTTTACTGGATTTATATATATTTTTTTTTCTTTCAGGATGCCATCACGTCCAATTGAATAACAATGAGTTTTAATTATTTGATTAATTAGTTGTTTATATGAAATACCAAAATCACTGTATATAATTATATTAAAATAAAAAACTAAGTTAAAATGGACAAAAAAGGAAACTTTGAAAGGTTAAGATAGAAATTAAAGAGTGATTTATTTAAGAATGAGTCTAATTAAAAATAGTATGCTGAAGAAATAATAAACTAATGTCCCTAAATATTAGATTATGTTCATTGTTCAAGTTAAAGTGAATTTAAAGAAGAGCCGACTTAATTAATAGATTATATCTCAAATCAGAAACATTTAGAGTAGATGAAACATTCCTTCTAGAATTAATATTAAATAGGTAAGATATTAGGTGAAGGTGCACATGCAGTCGTTCGATAATGTTGGTAAATTACAAATCCTGATGAAACCTATGCTGTCAAAATTACTAGGAATCCTGACCCTGAAATTACAGAAATTATGAAACAAACATTCCTAAATACAGTCTCTTTGAATCATCCATACATATGCAAAACTAATATGCTTTATATAGATCCTAATATGGAGTGTTCATATCTTGTCATGGAATATTTACCATATCCTAGTCTATAATAAATACTTAAAGAAAGATAGAAACTAGAATTTGAAGAAGTCCGCTTAATTATGAGATAATTATTTGAAGCACTATCATATATCCATAAAGTTGGATTATGTCATAGAGATATTAAACCAGATAATATTGTATTTGATAATGATTCAAACACAATTAAATTGATTGATTTTGGTGTTTCAAAAAGATTTCTTGTTACTGAAAAAAGTTGTAAAGACATTAAAAATAACCTTTTATGGACTGTTACTGGAACTATGCCATATCAAGCTCCAGAATTATGGACAGGAATAGGATATTCTAATAAAATTGATATATGGGCTGTTGGTGTTGTTTGTTATTAAATGTTATGTGGAAGATTACCTTTGGATTAAGAAAACTAAATGGAAAGTTTTTCTACTTAAACTGAATATACTGGACATTTTCAAGAAGAATCTTTTATTAAACTTCCACCTTTAATTATTGATTTTATAAAAAGAATATTAAAATGGGATCCAGATAAAAGAATTACATCCTAAGGTATTCTCAATTTATAATTTAAAAGAGGCTCTCCTTCATCCTTGGCTTTATTAACCAAAGTTAATGCCTAAATATTACAAAGGAAAATCTAAAGATGATATATTCTCTCGATCAAGTGACAAACCTCTTTTGGCACTTGTTAGATCTATGTAAGCTAATGTAAAAATATTTTAATAATCTGTTTCAAGTGTCAACGAGCATTTCCTTGATAAAAACAACTTCAACAAAAATCATGGATAAATTATAATTGGTTTTAAAGAAACTAGTCAATAAATAAGAGACAAATCCATACACTTTCAATAATCAATTCATTCAATGAATCTTAACAAATGTACTCTTAAGCCTAACACAGAGGATGTTAAAGACTTTTTTGATATTATTAGTTATTGTGACAGTAATTCCTCATTTGAAGCTTTAGAAGAGAAACAATAATTATAAGTTTAATAATAAAAATAAGCTTAATAACAGCAATAATAAAAATAAGCTTAATAACAACAACAATAAAAAATTGCATTTTCTTAAAGATTAGGAATTATTAAAGAAGAACCAGAAACCCTATTAGTAAACAGTTTCATTCCTAATATTCATTCTGAAGTTCAAAATTGATCAAAATTTAAATTTATATTTATTATAATTTAAAAAGGATTTCATTAATCCCTTTTAAATAGTTTAAATGATATTTTTATATTAAATACTATTTAAATCTTTTTTATATCCGTTATTTTAAACCCATTTATCCATCATCTTTTAAATTTATTTAAATATTTGCTTAAGTGCTGATATAAGTAATAGCTTAATTCCCTTAATAACTATAAAAAATAATTCTATAGGATCCATAAATGACTTTTATCATTATGTTAATTATTAGAAAATAAGTTTTTCTTAATACTTCTATTTTATTCATCTTCATTTAAGATATTTATAGATAAAGATGTTTTGTTTTCTTATAATTTTGAACAATCTATTCTATACATATATGTGTTTATGCATGATTTATTCTTTAAAATTCAAATATTATTTTAATTTTAATCTAATACATGTTTAATAGTAGATAGAGTGGAATATTACTAACTAAGATATTTAATTGATATTGATTGTGCAAACTTAGAACAAAGATATTTAAATTTTTAGAAATAAAAAAAATTGAATAAACTTTGTTATAAGATCAAAAGAGACAATTAATTTACCTAATTTCTATACTTATTTTTTTTTATTAATTATAAATACAGTTTTAGAGAACTTTAGTTTTATAGTAAATATCTTTTTATTCAATAATTTTCTAACAAAATCATGTTTTTATGGAAAACAATCAAATTATGCAAGGCAGAGTGATAGTCTTATTACTAATCATATTTTATAATAAAAAGTAAAATAAGCATTAATCTTAAAACATTATCTAAATTTATTGGGATTGTATTAACATTTTGAGTATACACCTAAAGAAACTTTAAATGCATTCTCAAATATACTGATTAAGACTTATTAGGAATTTATATTATATCTTAAAAGAAATATTATGATATTTAATTCTTTAATAAGATTGAAATAAAAGTGTGAGAGAAAATAGCATAATTTAAAAATAATTTTTTAAATAAATACAATGTAATACGTAGCTGCTTATGCTTTGTTAGTTTTGGGAGGAAAGGCTCAACCAAGTAAATCATATCACAATGAATATCTTAGCTGAGGCAGATATTAAGGGATTATTGGCTGAAGTAGGTGCTCAAGGAGCTGATGATTAAATCAAGGGAATAGTAGATGCATTGAAAGGAAAAACTCTTTCTGATGTTATCAGCGAAGGATTAAAAAAAGTAGGCACTCTCTAATTGGGAGGAGGAGGTATATAGTGAATAATAATCTTAAGCTGCATCAAGTGCTCCAGCTTAAACCTAAGCTCCAGCTGCCGCCAAATAAGAGGCCCCTAAACCAGTTGAAAAAGCCCCAGAACCAGAAGAAGATGTTGATATGGGTGGTTTGTTTGACTGATTTTACATTTTAGTACATTCATATACATATATTAAATATTTTATCATAAATCAATTAGCCTTTGTTGACAATATTGCTGGAACACTAACATTAGTGGATTGAGGCTTAGCATTATTATTATTATTATTGCTTCCATTGAAACTATAGCCACCAAATTAAGCTAAAAATCAATAAGTATGAATACCTTAGATTGAGTTTCTTCTTAAACTTAATACACTTTCTGGATCAATTTCATTAGCAGAATCTCTACGATTTTCGTTGGCTATTGAAATCATTTCATCCTCTCTGGGAATATATGGGGCTGTTATTTATCTATCCAATAATTTATCCCAAGAATAATCTTTAAACCATTAATGGGCCTTAACTTCATCAGGACCATTTACACCCAATCTATTAGCAGGTTTTCTTTAAATGAGCTTACTCTTAATCAAGAACTAATACTTTATTGGCAAAATCAACAGCCTCTAATGACCATCCAGTGGGTATGTCTGTATTTTTAATTTGAACTTATTTTGCTATGACTTGATCTCTAATTTCTTATCTACTTTTGCCAACATATGGTCGTTTTCCCATAATACATTCATAAACAATAACTCCAAGTGCATAATAATCAACACCTACTCCATGATTTTATCCTATTTAATTAGATTAAAAAATTGTAATTCTTACTGCACATAACTTCTGGAGCCATATATCCAGGTGTACCACTAGTATCTTATGCATTTTCAGGTTTCCATTAACGAGCAATTCCCATATCTGTCAATTTTAAGTAACCTTTATCATCAAAGACTAGATTTTCAGGTTTCACATCTCGATGGAGAACTCCATTTACATGTAAATATTCCAATGAGACTATAATACAAACAACAAAGAATTCTATTTTATTTAATTAAATGTACTAGTTTGTTCTTCTGTAAATTTCCTTTATTTACATAGATGATATCTCAAATCTCCACCTGTTAATAAATCCATTACTAAGTAGAGATTGTCTCGATCTTAGAATGCTGCTTACATATTAATAATAAAACTATATAAATTGATTGCATTTACTTATGTTTCAATTAACTAAGTAATTATAATTCATTCATTACTGATTAAACACTTTTCTTTGCTATAATCCTATTTCAATTAGATAGATTAATTACTTAGCTTTTGACATTATTTTCATAGCATATAAACTTTTTGACTTTTTGTTCTCAACCATCCAGACCTAATTTCCTTTATTATTTTCTTTAATCTTACCTTTCCAAAGCCTCCCTTGCCTATAACACTCCTCTGTGTGAAATTAGAGATAGAGATGACTAAAATAAGTTAAGACTAATACCTGTTTAATCTTCTGACTCTGTTGATTTTAGTGTGCAATTTCCCATTTTTAATTTATTAATGACTACAACAGCTGAATTAACTAAATAACTATTAGAATATCATGGCTGCATTTATGAAGAGAATGTTGTTCATCAACTTAATGAGTATGCTAAAAAGCTCATGAAAACTATTTTAGATGGTGCTTCAAACTTGGCTGACATGTAGAAGAGATAAAATATTACCACTGAAGATATAAAGTTTATCATTCATTTATAAATGCTAGAATAGCCTATGAATATCTATAAAATCCAACAATCAGTACGAATGACTTAATTTAAGTTGCATCTGACAAGAATTCTCAACAATTGAATGATCAATTTAAAGATTAAACTAATTATGATGCTAGATTGCCTGCAAGTGAAACCAATAAACTTCTGAAACCCAATTTCTAAGTTATTGTTAAAACTCAACCTGATTAAATACCTCTAGTTTAATAGTAAATGGAAATTGAAAAGAATCCCAATAAATAACAATAATAATAGTAAGCACCAAAATTAGGAAGAAAAAAGATGAATATCGAAATGGACGAGGATCAATGATCTATATTATTATAAACATCTGTTATTAATATTAAAATTCGCTTTAATGGAATTTAATTAGGACGCACTTAACTTTCTATTCAAACAATTATGTTCTCTCTCCTTACTATCCTAAAAAACTACTAACGAACTTAATGATATCTATCATCACTTAGCTAATCAAGAAGCTTCATTATAAAATCAATTTTTTCTACACTAATCCATCAATGGATCAGAATAGAAGTATCTACACTAATCATTTTAATATAGATTAATCAATCGTTTTATAGCTAGAATCTCAGAAGCCTACCAATTGATGTTAGCCAAACGATAAATTGCCAGATCTAAACATTCTAAGTTTCTATTATCCATTAATCATTGTCAAATAAAAAAATTTGACAGCAAATAACTACTTATGACATCCTTAATTTCAGCTGTCTATTAAGAATGTAGACTATAAATCGAATTAATATTAAATAAGCAATAAGATGCTTAAAACTAAAGAGTAATACTCTATCAAATTTAAGATACACAGTCAAGATAGCAACCAATAAGGAGAATAAATCCAGAATCAATATTATTCAATGGAAGTTACAAATAAAAAAAATATCCAAAACGAATGGTCAATTAATATCAAAGATAATAAAAAACTGAACTACTTCTATACTAAAATCTTTCCAAAATAATATGAGGTCATTGAATCAGCAGACAAGTATTAATTAATATATCTTTTCAGAATTTAGGAAGAATAGATACTCTATTTTTAAAGCAGATAATAAAATAAGGATAGAATTTTCAAGTAATTACTTTCATAAAATGAACATATTTAACAATCTCTAAATTGGTCTCTAGATATTGATTTACATAGTTATAATCGACAAATAGAAACTAAATTATAAAAAATAAAGCTGATCTAATTAACTACTAAATAATAATTATCGAATTAATCTTCTCCTGCTAGGCCATCTCAACTATCGAATAAATCTATTAAATAGAATAATCCCATAAGTCCTCTCAAAAATATTAATAATTATCCTAAAATGCCTTAAATAATTATCAAATAGAGAAGCATATCATAAAATGTTCCTTAAAGTGAATTTAGATTTAAGAATTCTGTAGCTTAATCAAATTAATACTAAGGAAATTCTTAATTTACAAGTTAAAATTAAAAATAAATTTAAAATGAATCTGAAAAAACAATATTGTTTGCTAAATTGATTGAAAAGTATAAATAAAATTAGTCTTAACTCAATAAAATAAGAGTTGAATTAGGACCAAAAAAATAGATATGTTCAGTTCTTAAAAGTAAGCAATTGATCGATCTAATCCCAAAACATAGCTCTAAATTAAAACCAAGAGCAACCAAAAACCTTATGTAATAAGTACATTCTATTGTTAATTGACTTTTATATATAAAAGAATAATCAAATTTTAATAAATGAATAGTGTCAATTATTAATACAAATCAGAAAATGAATTAATTATGTAAATATCCTAATTCTTAATACTTTTACTTTTAATTTCAATCTCAGTAATAAGATTTATGAAAATTGATAATTATTCAAGATTAATATAAATATATATATATATATATATCTACTATTTTTAATTAACATTCACTCACATATAATTAATTCTATCAATCTTAGAAGGCAAGATCTAAATCATTTCCTTACACATCTATAAAACAGCTTAGAATTCATTTTATTAATTTTATTGGTTAATAAATTGAACCAATTATTTATATTAATTTAATGAATTAACTAAATAAGTGACTTTAATTTTCTTATCTTTAGAAAAGTACTTAGACTATGCTTTAGCAATATTGAAATAAGCTGTTGTTATGGATGAATAATAAGCTGAATCTCTTTATTTCTCTTCAAGCAACTTCAATTATTCAATTATTTTTTCATAATATTGAATTGTATTAAGACATGATTTATTCATTTTTTCAGTTAATTTTTTACTTTTACCACCTTAAAAATCATCAATTTCATTAAACTTAACAATAAATTCATATAATTCGTTATTTATTTCTGCTATTTCAACTAATAATTTTTCATATGTATTTTGATAAGCTTTTGGATTGATGGCATTAAATACAGGAAGTAGTAAATCTAATCTTTTTTCTAAATATGCAATAACATTATTAGGATCTGTTTCAAGACTCATAATAACTTTATACATATTTGAGATTTCACTAAGCATTTGAATGTGCTCAGTTACAAATCCATCTAATACAAATATAGACATAGCTTTTTTGTATAAAGTATTAGATTATCTAAATAAAGATTTTATTTCATCAAATGTTTTACAAGGTTAGAATACCTAATATGATAATATTAAGTAATACTAATTATTTAACATTAACACTATCAAATGTAATGCTATATTTATTAAATAGTTTAGGAAGACTTTGGTCATTCTATTAATTGCTTTTAATACAATCAACACAATATGCCATCATATCTCCAATTATTTTCCCTTAAGCCATTTGTAAAGTGGCTCGACTATGATTATAATGAATGAATACAGTTTTTTCCTTTTTCCTTCTGGAATGACTGCTTCACCAACTAAGAGAAGGTAAAAAGCCTAGGCGAAGTTCCATATGCCTGAATAATATTCAGATAAGGATATGCAATTTATAACTAAATCTCTTAATTCATAAGTTTTAGACTTGAATTATCTTAACATTGTCTATCCACAATAATAAGCTGCCTAAATTTATTAACTTAAATATACTTTGTCTTTGATTCCAAGTTTGGTATAAGCTTATGCTATATAAAATAGTGTGATAGTGTAAAATTCTTATGCTTTTTCAAATCCTCCTTGTATTTTAAAGGCTCTTTTTTCAAAATCTCCTTTGGCTATTAAATATTCACCTAATCTTTCAGCTTTAGCCAATATAGCTAATCCTGTTTCATTATCGTCTAAATTAACTGCTAGGAACCCTAAATGATTATAGATAGATTAAATATAAGTCAAGTAATTTTCTATGTCTGCTATTTATGAAAAAAGTTATAAGGATTTTGCCATATTCTTTCTAGCTAGATTGAATAAAAGTTGAAAAATTACATTCCCCATTTTCTTCACAATCTAGAAAATTGACTCCTAATTAATAATGTATGATAGCTTATTGCAAAGGGTCTTATGTTTTTTACAATAATTATTATAATAAGGTTCTTGCTCTGTATTTATAAAGAAAGGGTTATTCTTCAATACTTGGAAACTTTTCTAAGTGTTCAACCTAAAAAAGAGTGCTTTCAAATTCGTATAACATATATTAATTGATTATTTTAAATATTTTATTGTAAATGTACACTTTATTATCTCTAATCATTTCTTGGTTTCTTTAGCTTACTTTCTCTTTTCCTTAACTCCAACGAATTTAGCATTGTACCATTCTTATCTTAATCTTCTATAAATATTCTTAGATCTTAATTCTTTTGAGATTACTGTGGCTTTCTCTCTCTTTGGAGTTCTTTAGAATGTAATAACCTGAAAAGTATTTATATGATATATACCTCTGGATTAGTATTCTATGTGTATGCTTTATTAATAACATCATTTGCTGAGTCTTTAACAACTCCATTCTTTGGTTTACCAGCAACTCTTGGGAATAAGACTAATTTTGATAAATATGCCTTAATTCTTTTAACATTAACTGCCAATTCTTCTTAGCTATTGTTTCTTCTTCTGTGATCAACTGCAATTCCTACAGTTCTGGCGACTTAAGCATTAAGACCTGCTTCTTTCAATTCAATAAGTGAGAATCCTCTTCCCAATTTCTAAACTCCATTATATTTAATTGTTTGGCCTCTTACAACTGGTCTAAGTAATTCAACTGGTCTTGGAGAAGCTCCTATAGAGAATTAATAAAATAATTATTTACTTAATGCATTAGCTTATCTTCTTTATTATCTTCTTCTCTTGGCAGCTGGTTGATTGTAATATGTCTTTACAAATCTTGTCCAATGTTTTCTTAAATGGGCATTAGGGAGTTGTTAATTGTGCTTCATTTTTAGAAAAAATTTAAAAAATAAATATAAGGATATTTAAAAATATATTAAATGACTCAAATGAGTATTTTATTCAAATTACATTCTTATGTTTCTAAAAATCCTTAGATTCATTTATGATATATATTTCTTTTTAGATTGTATTTATCTTAATTAATAAATTATTGATATATATCCAGTTTGATATTTATATAAGTTTTTAGAATCTATATTTTATAATTTATTTTATTTACTTTACTTATAATATACAAAGTTTGTTTTTTAGAATAAATAATTAGAATATTATCTATTTTTTTATCAATAGATCTAAATTCTTTAGTATTTTAAATGTGAAACTAATTTTACTAAGAAGAACTCAACAAATAATGTAATATAAAATTCATATATGTATATATATATAGGATAAATTTAAAATTAATTTAGATCTCTAAATAAAATATATATATGGATGTGTTAATATTTTTATCTCAACTTATTCAATCCTTAGCTGCTCTATAAATTTTATTGCATGCATCTTCTAGAAGTCCTAATAGGGATTCTTGAGATTCTTCTCTTAATTTTTTTTCTTCTTCTATTTCACTCTTGACTCTGGAGACAAGGTCTTTAAGCATTTCAAAGATTGCTGTTTCTGATTCTTCTCTGAATAAATTTATTTAATCAGTACCTCAATTTTTTTTAATTACCTAATCCTTCATTCAATCGTTTAATTTCATCTCCAGCTCTTCTAAGAGTACCATTATCACTATCTTCCCTATCTTAACCTTCAGTTTTAACCATGTCATATAATTTAGGTAGATCATTTTCCAAAGATGTTGTAATATTTTCAATTTATTCTTATCTAATTTTTCCTTCAGTTTAGATATCTGACTTCAAATATACAACCTATATATAATTATAATTAATACTTTCTCATCTAAATATCCAGATAATTTAAGATTTCCATCCTTTCTTAAAGCTATTTCTTATTCGAGTTTAGTTGTGATTCTACTTTCGAAAGCAGCAATTTCTCTCACTCTTTATTCAAATTAAGTTTCGAAGGCATTGTTCTCCTCTTCGATTTATTTTTAAAGACGAACTATTTCATCTTTCAGTGAGTGCTATATGTTTTTAATACATTAATTTACAAGTTTTCTATTATAGGAAGTGATTGTGTCTTGCATTCTTTCTTCTACACCTGTAATTCTTCCGCAAATATTATCAATTCTATGGGCTTTGGATGAATCATGTTATAATTAGATTGAGTTAAGCTTTTCAGAGATTTTAGAAAATCTTTCGTTGAAAGGTGTATTTGGATTCATTTTTATTAACAAATTTATTTAAGTATATTTATATTTATAGCTTAATACAGAATTAAACATAATATAAAAATTAACTAAGATATTATTCATAATAATTAATTAACAAGCAAATAAGTTTTTTTCATATATCAAAGCTATATCTTACTTGATTCTCTTCACTAAATCTTTAAAAGAAATTGAGGTTTCTATTACTTAATTATTAAAGATATTGGTTCAAAGATCTATAATCTTGGATAGATAATAAACATCTTAAATATAAGAAGTAAATGTTTAAATTATATATGTATTTATTAATTATTAATAATTTAATTATATAAAATATGCTATCGTTTAGTGTTTAAAAGAATCAAAATTCCACTTACATTCAAATTTCGACCTAGTTATCCTTTTTTAATTAACTAATCAAATACTAATATGATAATTATAATAAAATTATTTTATAATAATGACGTGAAGAAATTTATTAAATTTCCTTTAATTTAATGATACAGAGTTAGTTACGACCTTCTTAATTCGAATTTTTATTTTTAGGATAATAATTATTAATAAATTATCACACTTTATGGACAATCATTTTTTTAAGAGTGAAGATAACCTAGGTCTTCAAAATAGTTTGGAAAATCTTAAGTATATGGTTATTTATTTATTATGATAGGAAAAGTAATCGTCCTTCTCATTATCAGAAAGTTGACGAGAATATTAGATAATAAATAATTGATCTAGCTTGTAACAAAGGGTAACCATTAAGATAAGTAAAATTATTATAATCCTTCAGATTGCCTAAAACCTTGGAATCAAATATTCAACTGCCAAGGCTATAGTCTAAGTGTATTAAAATGAAGGAAGGATAGGTAAAAAACGAACAAGAGATAAACGAATTTTTTAAGAGATCGAAACCTTCATTATGGTTGTTCATAAGGAATCAGGAAAAATAGAAAAGCTAAAACATAAGTCAGAGTGTAGTGATCTAAAAAGCAATTTTCAAAGTGCTAAAATGAAGTAAAAAGTATAATTAAAAGTTGCCAGTCTTGAAGAAGTTCACTATTCCTAACTAGCTCAATATTTTGAAAGATATAATCTCCAAGAAGAAGATAAGGTGCAAACATCATAGAATTAGACCTTACTGGATATTGTTAAAATTTTAAATACGCAGTACTAATAATTTGATAATGTTCCTTAGCAATAACGATGATTAATTTAAATATATATATATACAAAATACACTTTATTCTTAATAAAACAACTTTAGCTTTGTATTTTCTTTTTGAAATTTTCTCCTTGACTAATAATGGTATATTCATATTATATCTTCTTTAAAAATATATTATTATAATTGCTAATATATAATTATTAAAACAATATTTGTAAATTATTAAAACATTATAAAATTCTTGATTTATTTATTAAGAATATTATCTTCCTATAAGTACATCGGCTATTGATTAATATTAAAATTAAATTTAAAGGGATACCATTTCAGTTCATGTTTTACTTAAATGTTTAAAAATGATAATACTTAAGAATAATTTAATAGCAGCAATTAATATTAATGAATAAACACTTTATTCGTGACTTAATATTTAATTCAATAAATGAATTTGGATCAAGAAATATTTTTCTACTTTCTTTAAACCAAAGCTGATTCTTAATCAAATAATTAAATTTCCGTTACAATTTTATTAATAATTGTTTGAATAATATAGGAATATTTTATTATTTTTCTTTTAGGGGATACTGAATTATAATATTATATCTATTCTTCAACAATTATATCAATCTCACTCAATTTAAAGAAATAACATTTTATTGATGCTATTTTTACCTCAAATTTCTTCCTATTGATATATCTATTTTAATGAACAAATTTTAATAAAATAAAGTATTTTTTTTTTTTTGAACAAAATTGTTACAAAATATCAACATTTTAGCATTTTCTAAGTATTATACACTTTTTTCAATTCTTTTTGATTCTCTATAAGAATATAAATTAATTAAATATTTTTAATAAAATAGCATTAATTCAAAATAATCAATTGTTACAAGAAATAAATACATAATTAATTAAATATATCTATAAAAATCATTATTAACATTTTATTGCTGATCTTCTACAGTAAGGGCAAGAATTCTTAATTTTAAGCCATCTAATTAAACATTCTGAATGAAACATATGTTAACATTCTAATAATATAATTTTCTATCTTTTTTGTATATCATCACCGCAAATGGGACATTATATTGTATTATTATTTTATTCTTCTAATTGGGCTAAATCTATGGCTTAGTTCTTTTTTTATTAGACTTCTAATTAGGAATTAAAGGATTTAATTTCTATTTTTTCCAAATCTTCTTCTCTCAAATTTGTTACTTAAACTTAAGGGTTATCATTGAAAAATCTTCCATCTCTACAATTCCTTAATTACAAATAATATTGGCCCTCGATAATATGTATATATTTACTAATATATGAAGATTATAGATAAAAGCTATGATTATACTTGCTAATGTTAAGCCAGCAATTAAGTATGAAATTTATTCATAATCAATAATTAATTAGATACCATCTATTATTACTTAAAGGAATTAAATCAATACAAATAGGTTAATTACAAAATAAATCTTGGTAATCTCAAAGACATGAAACATTAACTAATTAATGAGGAACTTTATAAAAGGTTTAATTTCCTTTTCTAAATTATCAAATTTGATAGAATAATAAAAGCCTAAAGTTTAAAATAGGATAATTTACTAACAAATATAATCAGTGTTTAAATATAAAAGAGGTATTCATATGATTGAAATAACCTTTTATCACAATAGGGGAGTTAATGTATATCATTTCTTCTGATGATATTTCTTGAATAGTATGAATAAACATGATTGCAAACAAAAAAAGCAAATGCATAATACAATAATTAGTTGGCTGTGTATATTTATAAGGGTGTATCAAAGAATCCATAGAGAGCAATAACAAAACTAAAAATCTAGTTGAATTATATAAAATATAGTACTTCATTAAATAGAATAATGGGGTATGAGACTTTGTAATGATTTTGCCAGATATTGATAAGCAAGTTTCTTAAATTATCTCCAGTTCCTAAATAAACATGCCATATTAAAGTAACCCAAATATAAATTACTCCTAAATGAAACAATATAAAATAAGTCAAAGGTACTTTTACATAAGCTGTCTATATTTAATACTATATTTTACTTGTTATTTGTCTGTTGATATTTGATCATATAAGTAATATGAGCTTATTGATATTGGACAACTCATAAAAATGATAGCTATGGTTGTTTGAAATATGAGTTTGAGAAAGACCATTTAATGTTTATATTGGTTTATAAAAATTAGAAAAAAAAATTAATAACATCGAAATATTGTTATAAGTTATCTGAAGTAATCTGCAAGAATAATTTAGGTTGTACCATTATTACAATTGCAACAGGAAATATATTAATAGGAGATGAATTTAATAAAAAATAAAAACAAAAATCTAAGAATTATAAAAATTTAATGTATTTTTGATTACAAAAATTTTAGATGAATTTTTATATTAAAATGAGAATAAATATATATCAATCACTAGGATTAGGTATTTTTAAATTCTTTATAAATATTAAAATAAAAAATGAATAACAACTAATTTAATTAGTATTTTATAATTAAAAATAGGAATAAAAATAACAAATATACGACAAATATAATTTTCATTGAGTTTCTCCTTGTTATTATTATTGTGGATGAGCAATATATTCGAATTCTTTTTTATTTTACAATCCAAGACAATTTATAATCCATTTTGTTAATTCTTCTAATAATTTTGGATATTTATTCTAATCTTTAATCCAAATTGAGATTAGTATAAAATTCTTTTTAGAGTGACCAATCTTAATAATTAATATTATTTTTTACAATTCCACAAACACCTTATAAATGTGGGTTTTCATCACTTAAATAGTGTAAAATTAGTTCTTCCCACACTCTATTTTCAAATCCTCGTTTAACTCTAAGTATTAATCTGCCACCATTCATGTTTTAAGGATCTTCCCATACAGGTTAAATTTGCTCTTGGAATAAGAAAAATTATGCCCCTAAAGGTAATTTCTCAGGTTTGACCATATAAGAATATATTGACCAAAATTCTCTAGCTGTTCCAAAAGAGCCTTACATATGCCAATATTTTACCTATTTATTTCAACTGGTCACTAAAATTATCAACATTTTAGTCTTTACTAACACTTAGCCAAAAGGTAAATCTTGCTCTTAATTAACAATCCTAGTTCATACACGTAATTATGTTAAAATAANTGGTTGTTTGAAATATGAGTTTGAGAAAGACCATTTAATGTTTATATTGGTTTATAAAAATTAGAAAAAAAAATTAATAACATCGAAATATTGTTATAAGTTATCTGAAGTAATCTGCAAGAATAATTTAGGTTGTACCATTATTACAATTGCAACAGGAAATATATTAATAGGAGATGAATTTAATAAAAAATAAAAACAAAAATCTAAGAATTATAAAAATTTAATGTATTTTTGATTACAAAAATTTTAGATGAATTTTTATATTAAAATGAGAATAAATATATATCAATCACTAGGATTAGGTATTTTTAAATTCTTTATAAATATTAAAATAAAAAATGAATAACAACTAATTTAATTAGTATTTTATAATTAAAAATAGGAATAAAAATAACAAATATACGACAAATATAATTTTCATTGAGTTTCTCCTTGTTATTATTATTGTGGATGAGCAATATATTCGAATTCTTTTTTATTTTACAATCCAAGACAATTTATAATCCATTTTGTTAATTCTTCTAATAATTTTGGATATTTATTCTAATCTTTAATCCAAATTGAGATTAGTATAAAATTCTTTTTAGAGTGACCAATCTTAATAATTAATATTATTTTTTACAATTCCACAAACACCTTATAAATGTGGGTTTTCATCACTTAAATAGTGTAAAATTAGTTCTTCCCACACTCTATTTTCAAATCCTCGTTTAACTCTAAGTATTAATCTGCCACCATTCATGTTTTAAGGATCTTCCCATACAGGTTAAATTTGCTCTTGGAATAAGAAAAATTATGCCCCTAAAGGTAATTTCTCAGGTTTGACCATATAAGAATATATTGACCAAAATTCTCTAGCTGTTCCAAAAGAGCCTTACATATGCCAATATTTTACCTATTTATTTCAACTGGTCACTAAAATTATCAACATTTTAGTCTTTACTAACACTTAGCCAAAAGGTAAATCTTGCTCTTAATTAACAATCCTAGTTCATACACGTAATTATGTTAAAATAAAATTAGTTTTATTTAATAAAATTCTTACATTTCTTAATTTCCTTATATTAAAGTTTGTTAGAAAATATATTAGTATTGCAAAGTAAACTAAAAATAAATAAATGCTATATAAAACCATTTAATATATAGTAAGATTATTTATTTACTTTTATGAAAAATAAATATAATAAATTCAATCTGATATAAAAGCTTTTTATCTATCTAAACCTTTCTATGGAATTTCACTATAAATTATAGAATTAATAATACTCTTCTTCATTAATTTATGGTTTTTTATCTGAATTTTATTTTTAAATAGATTCCTTCTCTTATTTTAATTTATCCACATTTAATCTATGAACATTTCCTGGTGTATATGGACTTGATCTTCTTTAAGAATATCTTCGTTCTGGAGTTGTATCATTTTTGATTAATCCAGATGTGTAAGGTTTTTGAGGAGAAAATCTTCTAGTTCGTTTATTTTCATATTCATCTAATTTATTTCTAACCATATTTTCTTATATACCTAATATTTTACACTCTTTTTTGTATATTTTGAGATTCAATAGGTTCACTGGATCTTAGATCTATCCTATGTTGTACTGCCTTTAAATTCTTTTTACAATTAAAACCTTGTAAGCCTTTCTATTGAAGTTCATATGGATTTTTCTAATGATAGTCTCCATGAAATAGCTCTCCTATGTAATGTTACAAATCTCCCTTTAATCTTTTAGTTTTCTGTGATCTTCTAATTTGTTCATTTTCATCAAAATTAATGGGTTATTAGAAATTCTTAGGACTTATGAATTATTCTTTAGGACGTTTAAGTTTAGGAGATAATATTTTGATATTAGATGAATCATTAATAAATGTTTTTGTTTAATTTGTTGAATAATTACCTCGTTTATGAATGATACTATGTTATGAATCTAAATAACTTTTTTTAGGCAATGTCACTTTCCCAATTACTATAATTTAACTTTCAACTAATGGTTATTCTGGCTTTTATTTAGATGCACTATCTTATATTTCTGACTATTATGGAATTTCTGCCAATTTAGTTTACATTTTACTAATTGATAATTCATTAAATTAAATTTAGCTCTTTTTTGCCAAAAATTAAGAGAATACATCACTTTCATTTGGAGCTATTTCATCTTTTTGTTTTTAATCAGTATTATTTTATACCATTTCACCTAACTTTTTATGTAAATCTTCAAGATTTTCACATCCCTATATCTAAGATACTATTAACTTTTTTTTATAAGGATCTCCCTTAAACATCTTAGCATCTTTATCTTCCAATATTACAAGAACTTCTAACTTTTCATCTATCATCTATAGTTTATGTTAATTGGCTTTATAATTAAATTCCCATGATTCCCAAATCTTAGTAAAAGCTTCTTCATTTAAATTTTAATCCTTAAATAAATCATTTCTAGAATGATAAATAATATTACAGATTAATTCCTTTAGCATAATCTTCAAAATCTTAAATCTTTAATTCTGAAGCATTGTCTTACACCAAACATTTAAATGCTTCATATGGATTCTTGAACTTTGACTATAAGTTCTTCTTAAGAAGAATCCAATTCTCAAGAATTGCTTATGAAGCCTCTAAGACTTGCTTCTATTTAGTTAATTCTTCGATTTCAGACATGATATTATTAATTAATTAAAATAAATTTTATTCAATATTACTTTAAACTATTAATGAGTGCATCATTTTATTTTTTTTCCTCTTATATTTTATAATAAGCTTCTTGTAATTGTTTTCTTATATATTCTTTCTAATATTTCCATTCTTATAATGTATTTTCACTTTATTTTTACATATTATTTATGAATGCACAATCATTAGTATTATGTTTTTATTATTTTCTGGCTGAATAATAATTTTCATTCTTTTTATCACTTTCAATATCATTTCTATTTTCTTTAATTTATATTTAATAATCTGAAATCTAAGAGTTTAATTTTAATATTTCTATTTTGAATTCATTTAATTCTTATTAGTGTTCTTTTTCTTATTGTTAATATAAATTTAAAAATTTATCAATATTAACATTTGAATCTATAACTCTTTATTCAAATTTAGATATTATGGATCTTAATTTATTTAATTCTTATTTATTTTGATTATCTATTGATTTTAATTATTAATTATGATCTTATTGTAACTATTCTAATTATAATTTTAAATCAGAAATAAGAGTATCTGAGACAGAATTTCTTTTCTTTATTTATTCATTTTCAAGTTTTAACTTTTCAATAAGTTTATCCTTTTATCTATTATCCTCTAATTGAAATTCTTAATAACTCTACAAATCTGTTTATAATCTTCTAATTTCAAGTTCTTATTTTGATTAAATTTGAATATGCAAATTTGATAGATTTTTAATAATATGAAATTCATGCTATATTCTTTACACTGTACTTTCCCAAATTTATGTAATATATGTTTAAAGTTCATTAGTATTGATATTTTTAGATAAATATTCTGAAACTGCATTATTTGCTATATCAACAATACCCCAAAAATCCTCTTTATCATAATGATGAATTTCATCTATAAAATTGTTTTTTATTGTATCTAATTATATTAATTATAGATCTTAATATCTTCGTTATGAATCATTAAATAATCTTTCTAAATCTTTCTTTACACTCTTCCATTTCTTTATAAAAATTTCTTTTTCACTATTGGCTTCTAAGTAATTTTTTATTTTCTTTAATAACTAAAAATAAAACTAATATATTTACTATCTAATTTAATTCAATCAAATCTCCCAAATCTTGTTCTTAAAAAAACTCTTCTATTGCTTATTTGTAATAATCAATTTAAGTATTAATATGATATTCAAATTCTTATTCTTGAATCATTTGCCATTATGTTGCAATCTCAGGTAAAGTACCTTAATTTATTGCATCAACAAAATATCTAAAAAATTAACTTATTATTATTACTTTGACATTTCAATAAATGTAAATGGTGTAATGGCTTTACCTTTATATTATTTGAACTAAACTTTAAATGATAATTTCTTTCTCAAAGCAAGCACCTATTCTTAAAATTCCTCTCTTAATTCTTCAAATTTTACACTACCTAATTATTAAAGAGCTTTTTCATCTTCTGTAGGTCTTACAAGAGTAATGCAATCCCTTTCAGAAAAGAATTAAGATATATGTCTCCTAATTTTATTTTTATTCTCTATAGTTTCACTTATTCCTTTTAAAGGCTTAAGAGCTGCTTCTAAATAATCCTTTGGAAGTATCTTATTCCCATATTCATCCTCAAGTCTAAGTGTAAAATCTCTCAAAATCCATAAAAAAGAAGGAAATGTCTCAAATAAATCCTTCTATGTATTTTAATCTGCCTTCTATAACATTTTTGTTAAATTAACCTATATATTATAAGTTAAATTTACAATTAAACCCAAATTCTACAATGCCATATCATCTATCGTTCCAACACTATTATAAATAAAATAGCTGCTCATTAGCATTGCTAAAAGGAATACTTTGACATCATGATTCATATCTTCTTCAACTGACCCAATTCCTTCAGTATCAATTAAAATTGCTGGAATTGGTTCTTTATTTCTACCTGACTCAAAATAAATCAATTCTGACCACATCCATAAACCCTTTAATAATATATTAAAAAATGCATTACTTTAGTACAAGCATTGATAGTAGAACCTACTTCAAACCCTTTACTCTATTAGAGTAATAATTAATTAATTAAATAACTCTTTCCAGTTCGGTATTTACCAACAACGACAATAACAGCAAAATTCTTGCATTTATCATTAAATGATTTTATTATCTGAATAGCTTCCTAACAAAGGACTAATTCTAATAAATTCATTTAGTTTAATACTTTTTGTTTAAGTATCGATGGCAATCAATTAAATAGCTCTTGGAGTTTGTTGCATAGGTAATTAATTTAACGATAAAGTTTTATAATTAATGTAATTTTATCTAATTGTGAATAGTTCAATTTCAAAAAAATTGTGAATTATAATATAAATACTTTTTATATACTTTTACTAATAAGCTAGATTAAATAAAACATTATTAAATAACTATAACAGTTGTTAAAACATAAATTATATACTATTTAAGAACATTAATTTTTATAATGGTTTAATTTATATAACAAATTACTCTTATTATTAGTGTATATATCACTATTTTTAAATAAATATAAAGCCTTTGATAATAATATTTTTAATAACTAAGAAAGTATTATGGAAAGAATGAAATTAAAACACTTGTTAAGAATGATATATATAAAAAATTTATCTAGAATAATTCTCAATATAAATTGTTATTCAAATATATGATGAGTCCCAATTTTCTATAAAATTCAGTTTTTCTTCACCTTCTTAATAATCTAAATCTAGGATTTTCTAAAACTTATATTGTTTATTTACATTTTCTTCTTTAGTGATTTATTATCCATTTCTAGAAGTATTATGTTATGCATAAAAAACAAGACGAGGAGGTTTATACTATTTTGTATAAAGTCTATCCCAATCAATTTCAGCGAAAAACATATGTTTTTTCAATACAGAAACATCATTATATCCCAATCGTTCTTCAGGATCTTTTTTAAGCATTCTTTTTAATAGATCTTATGCTTCTAAACTTAAATTCTTAGGTATAAATAATGTGTCTAAGAAATTAATTATTTAATACCATATTTAATCTTTTCCATAAGACTTTTTAAATCTTAAGAATAAAATGGTGGATAACCTGTTAACATTTCATAAAGAATGGTTCCTATTTAATAGATATCTGTGGCTTTTAAAGATACACCTCCTGTCACTAATTCTGGAGGAAGGTAAGCAGGTGAACCACAAAAACTAGTTGCTGTAAAATCATTTCCATCAAATTATTTGCATAATCCAAAATCAGTTAATTTAATATAACCATCTTAATCAATCAAAATGTTTTCAGGTTTTAAATCTCTATATATAATTTATTATGAATGTAAATATTCAATAGCTAATATAATTTAAGCTATTATAAATTTAGCAGTATATTCATTTAAAATTTACCCTCTAGTCATATATTTTGATAGATCTCCTGCAGGACATAATTCTGTCACTATATATAAATAGAATTAAGTCTTATTTATTAGAATAATAATACTTGAAAAGATAGAAACAATTTTACAATAAATGGATGTTTTATTGTTCTTAGTATTTATAATTCTGAGATAATATATTTAAGAAAGCCATTTCTAATAAGTTTATCTTTTTCTTATTATTTTATAGCACAATTTATATGTTTATATTTAGCTTTATATACATTTCCAAAGCTTCCTTTACCTATCATTTCTATTATTTAAAAACTCGAAAGGTTAATTTTATCTAAAATACTTTAGGAATTGCTTTTTTCTATGATAATATCTATATCTGAAACTTCTTCATTAACACTATTCAAATCAGAATTTTTTTTTCTTTTTAGCATTGCTTATTTTTATTTAGATTATAAATTATCATCTACTTTACTATCTTCAATATTAATAATAGTATTTGGTTTAGCCATCATTAAGGCAAAAGCTCTTTATGCTATTTTTTAATCTTCGGCTGATTTAATATTCTACATAATGTATCTAGAATATCCAACACAATTTTTTAATCCTTCATACCATCTTCTAGCTGCATCTTTACTTTTTAATGCAATAAAAATATGCTTAGAAAAGTATTTGATTTCCAAATAATAATAATCATCTTCTTAAAACCATTCATCTTTTGATACTTTAATATCATGTATGCTCTCTAAGGGTATTATTTGACTTAGAATAAGTATAAAAATATACTTAGGGTTATGTGGAATATCTTGAATACTCTTAAATTTAGCAATAGAATCAGTATCTGGATCAACAATCATATATCTTTCATACATTCTTAATTTAAAATAGTTAACTTTAAAAACCTTCCCTTTTATTAATGGTGGACGTTATGGTTTATTTATAATGAAAGTCTCTAAGTAATTTGATAAAAATTTACATCTTTGACTATATTATCTAAACTAATTCCAATCATTGAAGAAATGAATGAAGTTCTATGACTTTAAACAATTTATAATTCATTTTCATGTTTTAATAATTATTTTACTTTTGTACGTGCAATATCAATAGCCCTTTTATTGTTTTTATCTTATATACTATTATTTATATTTATATAAATACTTCAAATCAATTTTTGGATGATTAAGTAATAATTAAACAAATTCTGTATCATCATTTTATGCTGCTAAATGTAATGCTGTTCCATGTTTACTTAATTGATTTACATTTAATTTTGATTAAGCAAGTAATAAACAAAATACTTAAATTAATGAAAATTCATACTTGTTTTTTATTTTAGACATACAGATAAAGAAAGACAATCCCAACCATCTTTAGTTTACAAATTAATATTTGCTCCTTCAGTTAATAACCATAAAAATAATTTATCAGAACCTGCTAATATTGAAACATGCAAAGCTGACCATCCAAAAACACTTATATCATTTAAGAAAAATTCTTTTTATTCGATATGTGATTAAAGCAAATTTTTAGCTTCTTCCAAATTATTCTTATATATATATTCATAAAATTATTCAATTTAAAGGGCAAGAAAACTGTTATAGATTATATTCTTATCTCTTTATGAAAATGAATTATGAATTGATTTTTTTAGAGTTGAAGCAGTATTTTAATTTAATGATTCAAAGGAATCATTTTGATATATTTAAGATGCTCTAACACTAAATTAGTCTTCACTATTTTTAACAAACAAAACACCTTCATTAAGAAGTTTTATTTAACTTAAGTATTCATATTTATAAATTTGTTTCATTTCTCTATTGTGAACTATATAAAGTTATTGATCATCTACTTCTATTCCTGTTACTCTTTCTATTTAAAGTCTAAGAGTTTACAAAGTTTCCTTTGAAGAGATTTCAATGATACAATCTTACAACTCTCCCCATGCATTAAAATATTTGAGCTTTAATTTCATTTTATTAAAATAAAGTTAATAATAATATATAAACAAAATTTAATTATAGGGTTATTAAGTAGCAATTCAAACAATAAGAGTTCTAATTTTTATTAAGAAACAGAATAAAATTATTCATATATATATATGTTTTATCAGTAAATATTATTATTTTTAATTAAATATGAACGTTTAATCAACTCACTAATCTACTTTACAAGATTTCTAAGTCATTCAAGAATTAGGATCTGGTTCTTTTAGCAATGTTTATAGAGTATTAATTTTTTTAATATTTATAGGTCAAAAGAATTGCAGATGGATAAGAATATGCTTTAAAAAAAGTTAAAATAGCTAACTTAAAATAAAAAGAAAAATAGAATGCATTAAATGAAGTTAGACTATTGTATTCTATAAATCACAAACATATTGTTGCATATAAAGTAAGTTCTTTCGAGAATTTTAGGAAGCCTTTATTGATGAACCTTCTTAATGTCTTTGTATAGTTATGGAACTATTATCAGGAGGAGATGTCTATAAAAAGATATCTCAAGCAAGAGGTTCCACTCCCTTTTCAGAAATGGACATTTGGAGAGCACTTATTCATATTACTTTAGGGTATTTCGAATTTATATAACTGATAGATTAAAGGCACTTCATGATTAAAAAGTAGTACATAGAGATCTTAAATCTGCTAATGTTTTTTTATCAAATGATGGAACTTTCAAACTTGGAGACTTGAATGTATCCAAAGTTGCAAAAGGAGGCTTTGTATATACATAAACTGGTACTCCATATTATGCTAGTCCAGAAGTATGGAGAGATTAACCATATGATATGAAAAGTGATATTTGGTAATTATTGTTTTTAATTTCTCAAAGGTCACTTGGATGTGTAATCTATGAAATGTGTTGTCTTTAGACTCCTTTTAGAGCAAAAGATATGGACTTACTATTTCAAAAAGTTTAAAGAGGAACATATGATAAAATACAAAGTCACTTCTCTAAAGATTTATCTTAAATTATATCTAGTTTATTGTAAATATAACCTAATCTACGACCAACATGTGATTAAATACTTGCAAATCCAATTGTTTAAAAATATATGAAAAATTTAGAAACTAATATAGAAACTAAACCAATCAATAAAACACTTATTGAAACCATTCAATTTCCAAATAACTTTAAATAATTGAAAAATCAATTACCTAAGGTATTATTAATATATAATTATTCAGTCAAATTATGACGAAGTAAATCCCAATGTTAGTGCTGAAAGAGTATAAGACAATAAATCTACTGATAAATCTACTAGTCCTTTTAGATATTCTTAATAATAATAATATATTCCAATTAATGAATCTAGAATAAGTTAAAGTTAAGTAAATGTAATATAAACAAATCAATAATCTCCTTAATAAATTAAGAATAGTTCTATATTGGAAAAAAATTAAAGTATTGTTCAATAATCTTAATAAAATCTAAGATAATAGTCATTAAATAATAAAACTGAGAAACCTTAATCAGCATAAATAAATTAAAGATAAAATCCATATGAAAGAGCACATGAATTAAGAGAATAAAGAGAAAGAGAAATCAAGTAATAAAGAGAAAAAGATTAATTATTAAGAGAAAAAAGAGAGAGAGATGCTAGAGATGCTAAAATTGCAAAAGAAGCTAAAGAAGCCAAAGAAGCTAAGGAAAAATAATAATAAGAATCTAAGCTTCGTGAAAGTAGAGAATAATAAAGACTTTTAATGGAAAAATAATAAAGAGAATAATAATAAGAATAATAATAATTTAGAAGAGTTTCTCCAATCTCTGCTTAACCTCGAGATTATTCTTATGCCAATTACATTAATTAATAATAACCTAGAAGTCAACATTCCTATTCTCCTATCACTAGATCAATGGATTAATAAAATATTTAATTGGGACAAAAGTATAAATGTAAATCTATATAGTGGCTAAAGAGCTAATTATAACAATTAGATTTAATAAAGACCAATTATAAGCTAATCAATCAATGTTAATTAAAATTATCCCAATCAATAAAATAGACCTTATAATTAAGAAACATCGTAACATAGACCTTAATATACTCCACAATCTGCTGCTCCTCGACAATAATACAGTCCTCATTAAAAACCTATTACTGATAGGTATGCTGTTGCTCATCCACAATCAGCTTTACCTTCTTCAAATGTTAGAGAAGTTTAAAAAACTGAAAGACCATAAGTATTTCCAACTTAAGCTAAAGTTATTAAATAAAGATAATCTGATTACAATTAGAAAAATGATTTTACATCTCCCAATTAATAGGCTATTAGACCTGCTGGAAAACCTTCAAGACCTTAATCCAATAATATATTTTCTTAAAATGATAGAATTATTAAGACTGATTCTAGACCATAGAACAACTTTATCACAGGTAATTATAATCATTATTATCCAATTGATAATTATTAAAGACATGCATCAGATCAAAATTTAATAAGATATTAGTAAATATTGAGTATATTTTAGACTTCGATAATAGGATAGATAAGTATTACTACGACCATAGATTAATAATAGGAAATATTGAGTTTTGAATTATATTACTCAAGTTAAGTAAATTATCGTTTTTAAATTTATTATAATATTATTCTTTAAATAGTATGTTCAGAAAATATAGTTTCTCTGAAGAAATTGTGGATAAAGATTTTAGCAGAGAATGGAATTGGGATGATTTTATATAAGATTCTAATTCAAGATTGATTAAAAAAAGGACAGTTCATTTTACTTAATAAGAAGATGATCTATTATGTTAATAGGTTGCATAACTAGGAAAAAAATGGAAGAAAATAGCATAACAATTTCCTAATAAATCAGATAGGATGTTAAGAAATCGATATATAAAATTACAATAATAATCTGATATAAGTATTATAAAACTTTATACATAAAGCTGAGACAATTTTATCGCCAAAATTAGATTTAAGTAGTCATGAAGAAAAAATACAAAAAAAACGGAAAATTAATGAACAATAATTATTGATCTAAATGAAGCATTTAAAATCAATAAAACAAAAAATTGAAATTATTTCTATTCTCGTTTAATAAACAAAAATAGAATTGATAAATTTACTAACTTCTCGTACTTTATGATTATCAATCAAAAAATTAACACATGAATTGCAATTTATTTATTTCAAAACTAAACATAATTATTTATTCTAATTAATTATTAATGTAATTAAATTGATCAATTAATTTATTTTATCATATCTTTATTTTTGATTTAACATATTGAAAACTTCTTAATATTAATATTATAATAACTCCTTAAGTTATAATTTAATTTTACTATATTTACTAATTATATTTATATAGATTTGATTAATAAAATATAGAATTATCTTTTATTTTTTACCTATTATTTTTTATTCAAATTTATCATATTCTCTAATAATTCATAATAAAAATATACTATTTAAATATTTATGAACTTAAATGTTCAATAAATTTACTAAATTATACATAGTTTTAAAAATTAGTAAAAATAAATATGATTTATGATTTCAGATTATTATATAAAGTCAATTAATATTTAAGTGTAAGTTTATTTTTTTTAAGAATATTAATTTGTAGAATATGTGGAATTTAATCACTCTATTATATCATATTCATTATAATGTTTTAACATAAAGATTAAAAATATAAAAATTTTGACTCAACCTTCTGTAATTTGATTACTGAATAAAAATGGAGAAGACTTCAATTTAAGCAATTTCCCCATTCTTTATTATAATTAACATTCATTCATCTTCTAAATGAATTCAATATCATGTTATTAACCCTTTTTACTCTCAAGAGTCTCTTGAATTATCTCATTTTTTCCCTATTAACTTTTTTATCCATTTAGTATTATATTAGCAGCTCTAAGTTTTTAAATACAGGTTTAAAACTTAGTTTTTTTTAAGAAGTTTATTTGTTTTTTCAAATCAAAATGTTCTAAATAAGTTCTAAATATAAGTTACTTTTTCTTGGTTATAAATATTTATTAAGATGTTGAGGGGTCAAAAGCCCTTGCTGAACAGCCTTTTTTTCCATCTAATAACTCTAATAGATGCGATTAACAAACTTTCTTTATTCTCCTTTCTTCAAACAAGGTAATGAGGAATCAAAATTGGATGTATGTTCAGATGAAGTATACAAATTTCTACCAGCTTAATGAATGTCTTAGATTAAAGTACTCAATTTAATAGATTAATAAGTCTTAAATGGTTCAAAAGATTGGTAATTTTTATTTCTCATATATATTATAATAATATTTTCTATCTTTAAGTTTGTAAAATTTATGGTAAGATTGTGCAGAATAAAGTAAGAATTCATTTATAACAACTGAATTCATTTAAATTTGAAAATGTGAAAATCTATACATTTAGTCATAATTAAACAAAATTTTGATAATTTTTAGAGAGAATATAGGTAAATAAAATTTAAGAGTAAATAGTTTTGATTATTTATAATTATTTTATTTCTAAAAATGATAATTTAAAAAAGGAAATATATAATATAAAATAGCAAAAGAGGAATACTTGTATGAAATTGATATTATTATTCATATAAAAATAAAGAATATAAGATCTTGAATTTCTTTAAGACTTATATTTTGTTAAGAATATAAAAATAATTAATTAAATTATATATAATGTTAGATCAATCTATTGAAGTTCAAATTAGTAAAATAATGCTTTAAGTATCTAAACTTTATATTCCAATAAATAATAATCCAAATGATAAAATATCTATCTTATATGAGAATATAGGAAATAAGAATGTAAAAGAAGTTTGGAGATTATAATTTTTGAATTAAAATGTTGACTTATTAATGAGATAAACATATGATGAATTGTTCTATTTAAATTAAAATAGAATTCTAATTTTGAAAGGTCCAAATTTGATAACTTATAATCTTAGTGAAAAAATAGAAGTAGATTCATCAATATAAATTGAAAAAGGAGAATATAATCATTTCTCTATATATAATAATGGAAATGAACAATATCTATTTTTTTTAACTAAATAAAGTATTAATACTGAATAGTAATAAAATGTAAGTCAATACACTTTGAAAATTTATGACACTTAGAAATTAGAAGTTTTATAAGAGGTCAAATTTTCAGCATCTGTAAGAGCTTTAGTAGTATCTCCAATTAGCAGAACGAGATGCTTTATGATGAACCCAAATTCTCCTACAAATAGAACTGTTTAATTTATAATATATGATGAAAATTAAGTTTAGAGAAAGATTATTTAAGTAAAAGAGACAAAGAATGAATTAAGAGGAACTGTAATTAAAGTTCTGAATGTAAAATAATTATTTTAATATTTAGTATTAAGATGAACTGATTTTTATATATAATTCAAATGGAGTTAGTAAATAGTTTCTTCTCTTTTATTGTATAGAGAATGGAAATGAGAATATTCATGAAATTGATTTATAATTTGCTTATTAAATTAGAGATGCATCAATTAAAGAAAATATAATTTTGATTAGTTGTTTTAATAGTTAATTGAATAGTGAAAATGCTTTTTTCTATGATATTTTGTAAAAGAAAGTGAAAATGTTAACAAGTGGAGAGATGAATTATTTTTATAGTAAGAATATAATAGTTTAACATAATAATGAGAGTATAAATTTATAATTGATGGCCACTCCAAATATGATGATGACACATTATTTAGACAAAATAGATTATGATTAATATATTAAATAAGAATTAAGTGAGTTTTGATATTTAAATATATTTATTTTTAATGGCATCTTAAATTTAAGAGCCTCTTTTGAATATATAATCTTTGACTGATTTTGGAATGACTGCAAAAGAGTTATCGTAAGATATATAAATAAAATATTTAGATAAATGTTTGTTCCTGATAATATAAGAGATGGATCAAGTTTAGATATATTATCTAGATTTGGAAAGATTGAAGGATTAATAAAGAAATTGAAAACAGATGCTAAAGTAATTAAGTATAATAATATAATAGAAAGGATTAGATGAAACAAATATTAATGATTTGGAATTGAGAGTTAAAAAGTATTTGCATAATTAAATAAAATAGTTTTGGAGATAATAAACCAGAAGTTAAAGAACCAAAAACTTTAATAGAATATGTATAAATAAAGAGAGATTAAATAGATTCTTGAAAATTTTGAAGATCCAATGTTAAGAATATTGTGTTTAGCTGCAGCAGTAAATTTGATAATAGGTGTATGGACTGAAGGTTGGAAAGAAGTAAATTTTTAATATAATAAAATAAGGGATGGATGGATGGAATGGCAATATTTATAGCTGTAATAATTATTGTATCTGTTACAGCAGGAAATAATTATGTGAAAGATTAATAATTTAGAAAATTAAATGCAATAGCAGAGAATAGAAATGTAAATGTTAAGAGAGGTGGAAAAATAGTTAGCACAAATATTTACGATTTATTAGTTGGAGATATAATGATAGTGGATACTGGAGAAAAAATGCCAGTTGATGGATTAGTACTTGAATCAAGTGAATTAACAGCTGATGAATCTTCTGTTACTGGTGAAACTAAACCAATTAAAAAGATTGTTCCACTTTTATATGATAAGACAGATTAAAAAGATAGTGTTAATTCATTTTTGATTAGTGGTTCATCAATTATAGATGGAACAGGAGAAATATTAATTTTAGCTGTTGGTGAGAATTCATAATGGGGTATTTCTAAAAAATTAATGACATAATAATCTAAAGATGATAAAACTCCATTATAAGAAAAACTAGGTATTTTAGCAGATTAAATTGGTGAATATGGATTAAAAGCAGCTATAATAACATTTATTGCTATGACACTTCATTTATTATATGATGCTGTTTTTAATGAATATCCTCTATTTTCTGCTCATGCTATTAAAGAAATATTAAATTTCTTTATTGTTTCTGTTACTATTATTGTTGTTGCTGTTCCAGAAGGATTACCATTAGCAGTGACTATAGCATTAGCTTATTCAGTTGGAAAGATGAAAGATGAAAAAAATCTTGTTAGATATTTATCTGCTTGTGAAACTATGGGTGGTGCTAATAATATTTGTAGTGATAAAACAGGTACTTTAACTGAAAATAAAATGACTGTTACTAATTTATATATTGAAGATACAGATTTCAATAAATTAGATCCTAAAACTATTAAAAGTTCAACATTATCATTACTTTGTGAAGGAATTTGTTTAAATTCAATGGCACATCCATAAATTGATGAGAATGGTAAATTTGAACATATAGGAAACAAGACTGAATGTGCTTTATTAGAATTAGCTTATAAATTTGGATATGATTTTAGATAGATTAGATAAAATATGGGAGAAAAAATTAAAAAGAAATTCCCTTTTAATTCAGAGAAAAAGAAAATGACTATTGTACTTGATTTAAAAGGAGATAGAACATAATTCACTATATTCACAAAAGGTGCTCCAGATATGCTTTTAGACAAATGCTCTCATTATATTAATGCTGAAGGAAGACCTGTTGTGTAAAATATTTATATTTATTATTTATAGTATTACTAATGATTATAAATAAAAAATAAATGCAGTCATTAAAAATTATGCATCTTAATCATTAAGATCAATAATTTTATTATATAGAGAAACTATGTTATAAGGTAGACCAACAAAACCAGAAGATTTTAATAATATTGAAGACACAATAGATAAATAATATACAATAATTGGTGTTACTGGATTGTAGGATCCCTTAAAATAAGGTATAGTGAAAGCAGTTTAATAATGTAAAGAAGCAGGTGTTGTTGTAAGAATGGTAACTGGTGATAATTTTGATACAGCAGTTGCAATTTCTAAATAAGCAGGAATATTACCATCAAATTATGAACATCATGAAGATTCATTAGCTGTATTGGAAGGAAAAACATTTAGATAAATGATAGAAGGATTAGTTTATGAAAAAGAAGGAGATTCATAAATTCCTAAAGTTAAAAATCTTTAAAATTTTACAATAATTGCTAATGAATTGAGAGTTTTAGCTAGATCTTCACCTGAAGATAAATTTTTATTAGTTACTGGTTTGAAATAACTTGATAATGTTGTGGCTGTAACAGGAGATGGAACAAATGATGCCCCAGCATTAAAAAAAGCAGATGTTGGTTTTGCTATGGGTATTTAAGGAACTGAAGTAGCAAAAGAAGCTGCTGGTATTATACTTTTAGATGATAATTTTGCATCTATTGTAACAGCAATGAAATGGGGTAGAAATATATTTGATTGCATAAGAAAGTTTCTAGTATTTTAAGTAACTGTAAATGTAGTTGCTGTTTCTATGGCATTTTTGGGAGGAGTCTTTTTAAAGGAATCTCCATTAACTAGTATTTAAATGTTATGGGTTAATCTTATAATGGATACTTTGGCATCTCTTGCATTAGCCACTGAACCACCTAATGATGAATTATTAACACGTAAACCATATGGTAGAAAAGAACATATGATTACACCTGGAATGTGGAGAAGCATTATATGTCAAGCAGCATTTTAATTATTTGTTCTTTTAATCATATTATTTAAAGGTGATTCAATCTTTGGTATTGAATCTAGTAGAGGACATAGACTTGATGAAGAATATAAGTATATTTTTAATATTTATTAATAGTCCTGTATTCTAAGAACATTATACAATTTTCTTTCATATTTTTGTATTTTTATAAGTTTTTAATGAAATCAATGCAAGAAAGTTAAAAAAAACAGAATTAAATGTATTTGAAGGATTTTTCAATAATTGGCTCTTTTTATCTGTTATAATTGGAACTATTGTAGTATAAATTATTATTGTGTAAATCAATATAATAAATATTATAGTGAATTTGGAGGAAAAGCTGTTAAAGTGACTCCTTTAGATTTTGCTCATCATTTTATATGTATTCTAATTGGAATGTGTAGTTTGGGAATTGGCTATTTAATTAAATAAATACCTGATTAATACTTTTAATCTATTGAATTATTCCGTGAATAGGTTATTACAGATGCAGATCCAAACACTATTTAAGTATAATATTATATAATATTAAAGGGAAAATTGAAAAGACCTTCTACATTCTTGAGGAAAAAGAGAGAGTTGGAAAACAAATAACCTATTAAAACTAATTAAGAGATTGAAATGAAAACTGGTTAAAGTAACTTTAAAACAAAATGAATAGTATTATATATTTAAGTTAATATTTAATAATAATAATCAAGGATCCAAAAATGATTTTTACTGTACATATTTTATAAATGATTAAGTTAATAAGGTTTGATCAGTGTAAATATAAAAGGAGAGTTTATTTTAATATACATTATGAGTTTAGATTAAATCAATCATAGAAGGGAATATATTAAATGCTTATTTAGTTGAAGTATTTTCATAATAAACATTTTATTATTATTACACAGAATTATATGGTCCTATCTTTTTAAGTAAAAAATTAGTGATAGGATATATTAATATAAATTCTTAATTATTGTTAATTTGATATTCCTCTAAAGTCTAAGGATTTAAGACAAATTATGAATTTGTTTTTAATTCTATGTATTTTTCAGTAAAAAAAGAAAACTCAAATTTAATTAATTTCTATTTCTCTGTTTTTGTAGGACTCTCTTCAGATTCCATCATTACTTTTTTTATAAAATCAAATTCTTAGATACTATTTTTTTCTTGGCAATTATTTTCATTTCTCAAAGGATTTAAATTCAATTCAGTTGTAATAGTTAATGTTATATTTGTATTTACATCTGCTTAAGCTAAACATTATTCAAAAATATTAACTACTATTTAAGACAGAAATTTAGAATTAATTTTAATATTACAGTCTTCTAAATTCAATTAAATTATAAATCTTTTATTTAAGGAATTTGACATATATGAAAAATAAGGTTCTAAATTATTAATAAAATGCTTTAAATTAACAATTTTGTAATTGGCTATTTCATAATTTATTTTGCAAGCATTTACAAAATATTAAAAGTTTTAAAATTAATTCATTATTGATAAATTTAAACATTTAATAGATTACAATTTTTCATTATCAATAGAAGAACAATTAAGTGTTATTATAGCATTAGAAAGATGAGAAAGTGATGTAATCAATTAATTTGCAATAAAATTGATAATTTTATTAAGAAATTTGATTTATTCTTCACTTTTTGACATCATTTATTATGGTTTATCTTCTTTTATAACAAATAATAAATAGTTTTTTCCATAATTCATTTATCTGACATCTATACTCAGTATATTATTTTTTTATTTCTCATTATCAAAATAAAACCCATCTAATTATTCAATAATCTTAAAATCACTTTTGTTTATTGATAAATTTTATTTAATTTTATAAAATGAATACTCTTCTAATGTTTAACGTTTCATTTGTACTTTTTTTATAGTCATATCTCCTGACTTATATATTGGAATCTATGATAAATCAACTTATGTAGGAACTTAAACCTTATTTACTACATATGTATTTCTCAAAATCTCAATCATTGATTTTGTATCTTCAATATTCAATTAATTTTTGACTTATTGATTTATAAATTCCAGTTAAAATTAATTGTTATGCTAGTTTAAACTAATTGCAAAGAAACTATTAGGTACATATTCTTCAAGTATTTCTCTATAATAAAACTACAATTGATTACTTTAATTTAGTATTATAATGCATATAAGAAAATGCCAAGCGAAACATAAATTCATTATAATGGGAATATATGATTACCAAAAATTAGGAAGTAAACACTAATATAATATATGAAAAATCTTAGGCAGTAAGAGAATCCAATTGATATAGTTAAATTATGGGAACAAATAAAAATGTTAATACTCTTAAGCGAAAATTACTAAAGAGAAACTAGATAACAGAGATTGATCCACTATAAAAACCAAATAGATAAAGAGCTCTATAAAAATGAATACTAAATTTACTTTTATTTTGTCTATGTAGCTACATATAAACTTATTGTAATTGAGATTAGGTACATAAAAAAGTAATAATATCTTATCTTTTTATCAAATTTTTTGGTAATTATAAGGATTCCTAAAATGAAAACACCTGAAATTGCTAAAGAAATAATCAAAAACATATGCTATCCATCAATCAAATAAATAGTAAAAAAATAAAAGCATAAAAGCATAATTACTATTTCAATGATGCGAAAGTAATGAAGTCTATATTTACTCATCTCTATCTCATATAAATCTTCATATTCTTGGTTAGCGAAAGTCAAGGTCCATCGATTAAATTGTAATTTATTCATAATTATATCAGCTTTTTAAAGAATTTAACATTTAATGCCTAAAACTTTCTTTCACTTTGGTACTCTAAACAGAAATTTCAAGTGAATTCTTATCATTTCAAATCCTTTAACTTTACTTTAAAAAAATAGTTAATTTAAAAAACAATATAATGATTTCAAATATTAGAAAAATAGTGATTGACATGATATATATATCATTGTTACTATAATTCATTTATTATATATACTATTGAAATGATTCTCAAATTTTTAGGATAATATACATTATTTATAAATAAATAAACTGATTAAAATTTATTTAAAAATTATCAAGGTAAATAAGCTTTACTATTAATGATTGTTTTTACTAATAAGATGAGTATCATAATTAATAAAATGAGAAATTAAAATTAAAATAATTTAAATTTAGTTCTCTTTAATATAAACATGTGACCTATATATATTAAGGATAAAGTAAAATTTTGAAATATTTACAAGCTTAGAAATTCATGTTAGTTATAAAAGTATAAAATGAAATTATGATAAAATGAGATTTTTATTTTTTTATTGAAAATCAATATAAAAAGAAGAAATTTTAATTACATTTATAGATTGTTATATATATATATATTTTATAAATTTAATGAGTGATATATTGATTGATGATCGTATTAGAGACTGGGTATTCTTACCAATAATAATTGTGATGTTTATGATTCAAATGTTTAGAGGATTATTAACAAAATATATGGACAATAGAAAAACATCACAAAAAGTAACATCAAAAGCTTAACTTGCTGAAATGATTGATAAGTACATTGAGTAGACAACATAATTAGAAATATAACATAATAATCTTAAAGATTAGCTAGATTACATGGATTATTACCAGATTAATCTTTTAAGATGAAGAGAGCTCATTTATGTGATCATGAATCAGGCATATTAACAAAAGCAAGTTAAAAGCCAGCAAAAGATCCTATGTAATCAATGTCTATGATGAATCCAGCAGCCATGGCTGATATGCTAAAATAAAATTTAAGTGGAATTGTATTTATGGCACTTCAATATTAATGGGTTTCTTATTTTTTTTCTGGTTTTGTAATTGGAAAAGTTCCATTTCCTTTAACTTAGAAATTCAGAACAATGTTATAGAGAGGAGTAGATGTTTAAAATTTAGATGTTAGATATATTAGTAGTATCAGTATTTACTTTGTTTTGTTGTTTGGAGGTTTATAAAAGATTTAGTAATTGATGTTTGGAGATGATAATGATGAATTTGTTGATGGTAATAAGTATTTAGAGTATTATTATTAGACACTTAAATGTAAATGTAAATGCAAATGATGGGAATGCCAACAATGCCATCACTTGGATAATAGAATGACCCAGGAAAATTATTTATAGCTGAAAGAAGTATTAAATATAAAATAATTTAGCTCGTTTGGAGGGTGTAAAACATACATTTGAATTAAATAAATCACAAGATAAGGCAATGAAATCTTTAAAGAGATTTTTAATGTAATGAGTACAATAAATGTTATATATTATTTTGATTAACCAATTTCAATATTTTACATCTTAAAATAGGTTGTTGAATGTATATTCATATGAAAGGATGATTGTTAATGGAGTTTATTAATTTTAATTATGAAAGAAAGGTAAGAGCTAACAATAAAAATGATTAGAAATATTATTTATTATTAATATTAATTATGGGATATAGATTATCTAATCCTAAACGATTTGGATTGGCCAGAACATCAAAATAAAGATGGCATTTATGGAGAACTCAAATGACTTAATTAGTGACTCATGAACGTATTCATACTACTTGGGCCAAAGCTAGAGCTCTCCAATTTGTTGCTCATAAAACATTCAAACTAGGATAAGATGCTAGCAAAAATAGAAGTAATGCTATCAATAGATTAATGGGTATATTTATTATTTTATTCATATAAGGTATTCTAACTACTAAGTTTGCTATAAAGAAACTTATTAATGAAATAGTACCTAAATTTAAAGATCCAAAAGAATAAGTATTCAAAGTTGTAGAAACTAAAAGAAGAAAAAGTGATTTTGCTAGAATGGGATATATCGAGTTTGCAAAGAATGAAATTGCCAAATATGAAGAATCTTAATACAAGTAATTATAGGAGACAGGTAAGATTGTAGATATAAGTAAATACAATAAAACTTGGTTGATAGAAGAAAGAGACTTCATAAAAGAAAAATTAGACTAAGCCCAATCTAGATTTGATGCTCTATAAGCTGATCCTAACACTCCCAGTGTTGAAATAAAAAGAGCAAATTAGGATGTTAATTTTTTCAAACGTAAACTAGAAACTGTTGAAAAGGATCTTTGGATTGAAAATAAGAATCCATTAGATATGAGAAGATATTTCAGAATTTATTGATATATCGAGATGCATTATTCCTATCAACCAATCTAGCAAAATCCACAACTCTTTTTTTTAAATTATGTCTTTTCAATTATAATATACTTCAACTTTAAGTATGTTTATGTTATCCTCCTATCTATCATCTCTATGATATTCGATCTATTATTTATAAAATATTGCTTTGAATATTTAATAAAGCAAATAATCTCTTATTTTGGTTGATCACAATTAAAATCATCCATTATTATTTAAGTACTCCATAATTTCCTTTTCAATTATTTATCAAGTGGAATATACTTTTAGTTTGTTATCAAGAAATTACAAAATTAATTCTCTTTTTGGTAAATGAAAATGTCTTTATTCTTTTAATATCATAATTCTTTAATTCAATTAATTGAGACTGAAGAGTTCTAGATATAGTGGATTCATATTAAGGTTCTTCAATTTTGTTTCTGAATCTGGATACAACAGATGCTCCTTCTTACTAGTTTTATTAAAATTTTAATGAAAGGCTTTTAAAGTTATAAGTTGTTCTTTATTTTATATTGATTCTACAGGTTCATATACTTTGAACAATCTACAATAAAGATCTAAAGAGAATTATTTATAGAATTTTTGATTTTTAAATGATTAATATTGTTTTATAAATATAATATGATTATCTATGGGCAAAATGATTTTAAAAATGAATTGCCATATAATCATAAATCCTAGTTAGACAGATTGATAATAATTAATGCATTTACATTTTTTAAATATTTATTCATTTCATAGTGATATCAAAGAAGTTAATTTTATTCTAATCCACAATTACCATTATTACTTTATCTTAGTTTTTAATCAATTATACTCTTGGTTTTAATCTGAAATTATATTAATAAATCATACTTAGATGAAAGATAAGTTATACCATCAAATGATAAATCTTTTTATTGTATGTCATATTAACCATTATCCTTTTTTTATATCCTATATTACATACATTAACCAATTTCAACTGGAATACAAATAGCATACATTATTTAACTAAGTGTAAATTCCATCAATACAACATCTACATCATTACCTTATAAAATATCATCTCTATTTGTATTACATATCTTCACACCATTACTAGATGCAATCAACATTTCATTTATTGATAATGGTATCATTGTTTAACTGCAAGGCAATGTATTTGCATTCACTTTTCTTAATTATTTCTCTTTCTCATTTACTTATATTATAGTTGCTCCTTATTCTCCAGCCACATATACACAAAACAATTCTCCAGGTTTAATCAAAGCCATTTTATATTTTCTTAATCTACCTTACAATCTTGAATTACCAACTGTTAAAAATAATTCTAATTTTGTTGTAATATTCTTATATCCCAATCTTCCATCAGAATCTACAAATGCAAATGAATTATTTTATAAATCTAAACCTGCTAATATAGGTTTATTTGAAAATGTATATTAATCCTATATTTTTGCAGTTTATCCTTAGAAAATCCAATAATATACTTAACCATCATCAGCTCCTGTTATGAAAGTATTTGCTGATAAAGGTTCTATCCAATTTACTTATTAAGTATGTCCATCAAATGCCAATAATGATTTCTTTTCAGAATCAAATACTCTCATTTTCAAATCATTTTAACCAATCATAACAAATGTTGTTTTAGATAATCCAATCACAGCACCAATTGTAAAATCTAAAGTAAATTTTCTATTCAATTTTATATGAGGCCATTCTTTTTTTGAAAGATCTAAAGCTCTACTGAATTTACAATATATCCCAGATTTACTTATAACAATAGAATCTGAAAGTTGATAATTTTCACGTAATATTGGTTTTGACTATGGAGAATTCAATACTTAATTTAATTAAAGATTATTTGAATTATTTGAATATTATTATACTAATTAAGGAGGTTAAGGTAAACGATCTTAATTAGAACACCAACCTAAAAAATAATTTTATAAAGGTTCTTATAATGTTGAGTATAATCTTTATTAATCTGATTCAAAAATCTTAGGTGATTCATTAGCTAATAATAATCTTGTAAATAAATCCTATAGACTATCTAAACTAGTATTATCTATTAATTTTAATTTTCTTAGATATTCTTCTGAATTATCCCCCTATTATCCTAATTTACAAGTCAGAGCCATAGGTGTAGACAAAAAATAATTTGCTGCTGCAAAGAATTTAGAATTAAATTGTTTTCTGGTTTATTCAAATAATGATTCATATTCTGAATAAACTAAGTCCAATTTTCGAAATACATTTTCTTTAATTTATTATAAATACAATTAGAATTGCTCTACAATGAATGTCATATCCTAAGCAACAAGTGTCTTTTAAGTATCAATATTATCTTTCACTTTTTTAAGATGATGTTTATTATCTTGAATATATTTATATACTTTAAGATTTTCATCATTATTTAGAAACTATTCTAATGATGTTTTATTCTATTATGTAGCCTAATAAATAGACTAACTAAATTCAGCAATAAATTATTTTATCCCAAGTACATTATTATTGTGTTCCATATGAGCATCCTCATTAAGGCATTATTAACAAAGAAGTATTTTCTTTCGCTTACAATTCTTCTCTACACATCCTTTAACAATTAATCCTTATTTATGGTCTTTACAACGCAATGTAACCTAAAATGCTGAAGGTTGAAGTAAATCTTCTTACATTGTAAAAAATAAATAATTTATATAAAAACTAATACAATTTATAATTGATATGTCAATTTTATATCATTAAACAAAGGTTATTCACATATATTACTAAAAATCATATTCTAATGATCTTATTATATAGAACTTATTAAGTTTAAGTAAGAGTTAATATTATAAATACTTTAATGCATTTTATTAATTAATATGATTATTAAATAAGAGAATTTTTTTATAGAATGTGAAATATTAGTGAAAATATTTATTTATTTTATGTTATGAATTGATATCCCTTTAATCTATATTAATCTAAGCAATTGATATAATTAAGCTAATTCCAATAACATTAATAATTTTCATCTAGATTGCCTAAAGAGAATTGAAATCTGATTAACATTAGAACTATTACAATGTATATATATTAATTTATTAACGGTTATATCTCAAAAAGACTTAAATATGAATTACTATATGGAAAGCCAATTGTAAAAAATGAGTTAACTACTTGACTAAAAGTAATCAGAGATCAATAAATTGAAAGCATAAGTAGAAAAATATTCAAACTATGAATCGTAAAAATACCTCTTATTTCAGATAACTAGAACAATTAAACTAGTGTGTTATGTAGTTAAATTACTAATTTTAATAACAAGAATAGACTCATAAAGAGTAAGTTTATTTTATGCAAAGAGAGTTATCATTTACTCAAGATGAAATAAAAAATTTACAAGTATTCATTTTAATGTTTTTATTAGAGAACAAGAGGTTAAAATGAATAATAATAAATAGCTTCACTTCTTAAGGAGTTGTCTGAATATAAATAAGAGAACAATCAATTAAAAGTAGAATTATCAAAGTAATAATAAAAACCTAGGACTAATTCTATTCAAGATAACAATAATAATGAGATAAGAGTAAAGATACATAATTATATAATTATATAGAGACTATCTCCTTACATGAGAGTTAATAATTGTAGCTTTACAAGTCCTTCTTACAATCTTGTTAAAGAAAGAAGAGTTCCATCGCTTCCTGATGTTAATTCAAATCGATTATCTATTAATAAGACTACTATATACAATATATAATAGAATTAATCTTTTTCCAAGAAACCTCCTCTTTAATAGATGCATAATATCAGTCCTAGTAAGTAAATACTCTTTGTTCGTCAATGATTATTTATATATATGAATATTAGCTTTTAAATATAAATTATAATTATAAGTAGTTTTAGTTTTAAAATGAAATTAAAATTCTGATAGTCATAGCAACTAAGTTGTTTATAAAATAAAATGCAATGTTTTGATATCTCTTTAAAATTTATACATAAGTGGAGCATATTATAAATAATTTAGTAATTAAATTTCCTTTATTACAGAGTTCTTTAAATGATAAATAGATTTTTACATGTTGAAGTAATTGATTATAATATCATACTTAATTTGTAATATCAAATTTAATGGTAAAATTATTTAATTATTCTAGAATAACGAAAGCAATGAACTAGAATATCATTATTTAATCTTTAATAACATATTTCATTTATTACAATAAGGAAGTAGAGATGTAATTATATATACTTATTTATGATTATTTAATTATATATATGAGAAAAAATAAACCAACTTAAAAAATAATTGTAAATCGTGGTATTTCTCAATTAAGAAATACTTCAGACTAAGAGGAGACTGAATAATTACCGATAATAAAACCAAAATCAGTAGCAAGGAATTCTAAAAAAAATTTTGAGATAAAGAAAGTTAGAATAAAAGTAGCTATTTCAGATGATAAATTGGAGATAAACAATAAATAAAATAAATTAAACCCAATAAAATAAGAGGAATCTCCTCCATTAAGTGATAGGAATCAATCTCCTTAATCTAATACTAAGAAAATAAAAGAGGACAATAATAGATCGGTATTAAGTAAATATAAAGTAATTTATATTTTAGAGAAATCAATACATCAATAATATGAAATTGATGATACTTTAGAAGATAATTTAGAGAGTTATGTAAAAATATATCACTCAATTGTTAGTTTGATGGATGCAATGAGAAAAGTAATAAAAATTTATTATATTTTATTAGAATGTAAGTGATTAAGTGGATTAAATAAATAGATTTTTAGAATTCATTGATGGAGTCCATTTTTGTCAAATCGAAAAACTTTTAGTGGAGAATACTAAACAATTTAGACAGATTTTAATATTGATTAAGATGGGGGTATTATTATATTATTATAATTTTTAGATTGTTGTGATCATAAATAGTTTTTTTGATCAACATTTATATACAAGTAATGTAGTAAATTTTAAGAATATGTTGATTTATAATTTATAAAATTATCTATTATTGGGAGAAATGATATTATAGAAGACACAATAATAAGAGCTTTAAAATATCATTAATTAAAATAAAAAGTATTTTGGGAGTAAAAAAGTAGATTCAAATACTTAAATTAGATAAAATGTAGAATTATTATCAAGTATATACAAATCATTAACAAAATAATCAAAAGATCTTTATCAATTTTTAAGTACTTACTTAAAATAAATACCATATCTTAGAATGTTAGAATCTAATTTAGTATTGTAGAATTTCATTTCTCTATATTTTACTATTCAACAAAGTTATCATGGTTTATTAGGAATTCCTTTGATATGTGTAGCAAATAAACCATATTTACCTAAAGAAGAAAGTCATGAATTCACTCTAATATTAGATATGGATGAAACCTTAATTCATTTTTTTGATTAAACCAAAAGTTTCTTAATAAGACCTTATACTGAATAATTTTTATAAGAAATGAGTAATTACTTTGAAATTGCTGTCTTTACAGCAGGATTACCTGATTATGCTAATTGGATCCTAGATTAAGTGGATAAAAATAAACACATTTAATATCGTCTTTATAGATAACATGCTATGTAATATCAAAATCATTTTGTTAAAGACTTATCTAGATTAGGTCGTAATCTTAAAAAAGTTATAATAGTAGATAATATTGCTGATAATTTTCAACATTAACCAGAAAATGGCATATTTATTAAAACATGGTATAATGATTAAGAAGATAAAGAATTATTGGAATTAAGTGTTTTCTTAAAGAAACTAGTAGAAAATGGATGTGAAGATGTGAGAGAGGTTCTTAAACAATATAAAAGTTAATAACTACCTAAAATTTGATACTTGTCTTATATAATTAATAAAAATATCTTTATATTATTAATAATAATTATTTATTTAAGAATGGCTTACTTTAGACCACAGTCATCATAAGTTATTTCAGTCAGATCACCAAGCAGAAGTATACTATTTTAATTATATATTAGTTATTCCAATGGCATCTAACATGGGTAATTCTTACGTAATTCCAGCAGCCCAAAATTTACCAACAACTATAATAGTCAAAGAGAAAAATCCAGTTTCATATGATAGAGAAAAAGAAAATGATGATGAATAAAAAGATGAATTAGAGTTATGGAAAAAAAAATATTTTACATTAGAAGCTTAATTAGCTAAATATGATATAGAAAATGAAATAGTAATAATTATCTGAATATTAAAGAAAGATGAATTACAATCAAGAATTCTAGGTTCTTAGGAAGATGTGAAAAAGTTCCAAATTGATATGTCTAAAATACAGGCAGATATGGATAAGCAAAGATCAGATATGAATGATTTAGTAATTGAAAATCAAAAATTACTGAATTAATAAGTAGAAGTAGAAAGATTAAAAAAATTAGTTTCTGAAAGAGAAGATACTATAGGCTAAGTATCAATTATTTCTAATCATTAGTTATCACAAAAATGTAGAGAATATTAAGAATAATTATAAGAATTGGAAGCATTTCAATAAGCATTGTAAGATATGCATAATCAAAATGAAGGTAAAGAAAAGATGATTGAATAATGGAAATTAAAATATATGGAAAATGATTAAAAGAAATAAAAGGAAATTGATGAATTAAAATTAAAATTAGCTGAATATAATCCAACAGAGATATAATGTTTAAAGACACAATTTGATAGAGAGAGACAAGAATGGTAGAATAATTAAAAGAAACTTTAATAAGATTTAGCTGATGCTCTTAAATAATTAGATTAATGGAAAATTAAATATAATGTAAGTATTTATATCAAAAATAGAATCTTGATATGTAACATTAATAACTCTCATCTGCATAAAAAGAATCTGTTGCAAGAATAGATGCATTAAATCAAGAATAAAATAAACTGACTGTTTAAGTACATACTTTAAATGATGATAAATAAAAATTATAAATAGAGTTGGAAGCTACAAAAGGACAATTAAAATTACATTAAGGATTGATTGGAGAATTAGATAGATTGAAGAGGTTATTAACTGATAAAAGTGCAGAACTTTAATAACTATAATAATAATCATAATAAAAGGATATTGATCTTAATAATGCAGATTTAACAATTTCAGAATAAAATTAAAAAATTAAATCATTATCTTTATTATAATAAGAAAATTAAAGATTATCATAGGAATTAGATTAATAACATAGATTAAATGAATAATTACATTAAGAAAATGCAGATTTATTGAAAAACTTAGATAGATTTAAATTATTGGAAGAAGAGAAGATGTAATTAGAAAATAAAGTAAGTATGTTGGCAGCAGAAATTGAAAGATTAAAAGTTTAATTGAAATAAAAAAATGATAAGATTTTATAAGAATAAGAAGAATTGAAAAGATTATAAGAATAATTGAATGAAATTGATGAATTATAAAAGCAAATTGAAGATTTAATACGTTAATTAGAATAAGCAAATAATACAATTGATGAATTAGAGAAGAAATTATAAGCTATTTCAGAACTTGAATAAAAACTACATGATGCTAATAATAAAATATATGATTTAGAGAATAAGGTAGCTATGTTAAGTGCTGAATCATAAAGATTAAGATATTTAAATGATTAAAAGACTGAATAATTAAAATCAGCTGAACAATAATTATCAGATCTCAATTTACTTAAAGAATAATTAAACTAATTATAGAATAAATATGATGCATAATAATAAATGAATTAGAACTATTAAGCAGAATTAGAAAAATTAAGAGGATAATCAACATAAGCAGATACCAATATTGCAGAATTAAGAAGATAATTAGATGAATAAAAAGCTTAAAATATAGTTCATAAATAAGCTAATTCTGAATAAGTTATTGCAGATTTATAATAATAATTAAGTTCATTATAATAAAGTTACAAAAAAGTATCAGAATCTAATTTGGCAAATGAAGAAGATCCAACTTTGGATTTATAAAATAGAATAACCTTATTAAAACAAGAAAATTAAAGATTGAATTAAACTATTGTATAGAAGAATTAAGAAGTTTTAAATCATTAATAATAAAATTAATAATTATAATAAGATCTTTTAACATAAGATACATTGAAAGTGTAAATTCAACAATTACATGAATAAAATTCACTATTGCAAGAATAAATATAGAATGAAAAATAAGGTAGATAGGGTTTGGAATAGAGAATTTAATAATCAGAATAAGAAAAATATGATCTTTAAAGTAAATGTGCTATGCTTTCAACACATATTGAAGGTATGAAATATAAACTTGAAAAAATGGAAAATGTTGATGAATTAAAAAAGATTATCTAAGATTAATAAGCATAATTAGCTGAGATGGATGTCTTAAAATTAGAAATAGAAAGCTTAAATGAGAGAATAGCTGAATTAGAAAAAGAATTAAAATTATGGAAATAGAAATATGAATCATTAGATTAATAATATTAATAATTACTTCATATTAAAGAATAAATGGAAAATAAATTAGCTATGCTTTCATCAGAAATTGAAAGATTAAAAGTACTCAATTAAAAAAAGCAAGGAGAAATTGATCAATAAAATTAAGAATTAATGAAAATGGATTAAGAATTAAATGATTTACATAATTAATTAGAAGATATTAATGAATTAAAAACATAATTGAATTCTCTTGAAAACCAACTTTAATAATAAATTGATGAAAATTAAAATAAATCTAATGAAATTACTCAACTAAAATAATAAGTTGCTGAAATAGAAGGTTTACTTGTCAATTAAGAAGATCTTTAGAATTAAATTAAAAAATTAGAAAAGGAATCACAATCAAAAGATGAAATAATAGAATAGTTCAAATAAAAAATTACTTAATTAGAAAGTAAGATTGCAGAACTAGAAGATATCAAAGTATATCTATAAATTAATTATATAGTATAAATATGAAGATAAAATGGCTTTATTAAGCAGTGAAGTCAAAAGATATGAGTTTAAGGCTAAAAAATTAGAAGATAAATCTAACGAACTATAAACCTAAGTTGATCAATTAACTCATGATTTGAATGAGGCAGATTAAAAGATTGTTGATTTAGAAAAAGTAAAATTATAAAATTGAATATTTTTTTAGGATTTAGGGTAATGGAAGTTTGAATATTCAAAATTGAACAGTCTTCAATATAAAATAGATGAATACAGTTTCTTATTAGTCGTTTCATTTGCAGAAATTGAAGCTTTAAGATCATAAAACTTTTCATTAAATGAATAATTAGATAATCATTAAAAAACAAAGGTTGCCTTAGCCTTAGCATAATGAGAATTATAATAATAGATAATTTATATTTTATTATTTGATATTCATAAAAGAAATTTCTATTGTTGATTAAATATTATGAAAATTACATAATCTATGTAGATAAAGTTAATATATTTTTATATTTATTAATTTGATAAAAACACTTAAAATTTTATTCATTCTGGTTACTAAAATTTATCATAGAACATCTAACAAAAAAATTCAAACATTTGTTGTTTAGATGGTTGATTTGATGAATAATTTGGACCATTAGGAAATGGAAATGGATTCTAATTAGCAAATTATGGATCATTCATTTAATTGTGATAAGGGTAAGGCTAAACATTCATATTAGGTTGTGGTCCTGGCATATAATTAAAGTTTTAATTATTAACATGTGATTCATTATTTGGATTATACTTTCTTTGTTTTTATAAATGAGGTTCTAATTGATTCTGATATTATTGTTTTTGTCTATAGAAATCTTATTAGTGAGGTTAATTGTTTCTAAATTTTTTATCTCTTTGCTTCTATTAATTAAAGAATTATTATTATTGTTATTATTGTTATTATTATTATTATTATTATTATTATTATTATTATTATTATTATTATTATTATTACTATGGTTAAAACTATACTTGCTAATAATTTTATGGGTATTATTATTATTATTTTTGATAATTCCCTTAATTTATAACTGAAGGTGGTATTTAGGCAAGATCATATTAAGTTGGATTTACAATTTGTTTTTAAACGCTTTTCTACATTGCCTAATCTTTCTTAGTTAAGAATTCTTAGATCCCATATTATTCTAAAGGAAATGCATAACTATTTTGTCTTTAGTATTAATTTTACTAGCCAGGAATTTATTCTATTGAATTTTGATTTATTTAATATTATTGTTATCTATCAAATTGATTATAGTGTTACTAATTTGTTTGATGATTTTTTTAGTACTCTCCATTATTATATTAACTTGTTTAATCAGAAATATATGATACTGGATTTTCCTGGTTTTAATTAAATTATTAAGGTCGATTTCCATTTGATTAACTTTCCTACATTTTTTATGGCACTTACTAATTGTATTATTAATATTTTTAACTAGTATTCAGAATTTATGGATCTATAATTTAACCATCTTGAGACTTTAATCTTTAATTTTACTCTTGAGTTTGGTTAACATTTTTGTAGTTTTATTGAGATAATTATTGTGGTTATTAGTAACTCTTATGTTGATTTTGATTTTATTATTATTATTATTATTTTATTTCTCCAGGTTCAATCTCATTTTATTTAGATTATTATTAAAGATAATTATATTCTTTCTAATATTCTATTTCATCATATCTCATTTTATTTAATCTTTATTCTGCCTTCTTGATATTTTCTTAATGAATTTTTTCTTTCTCCTTTTTTTTCTATTCTTCTTTTTATCTCTCTTTTGCTTCTTTTTCTGCTTACATAATTTTTAAAATATCTTATGCATTTTTTTTTTCGCTACTTTTTCTTTTTTTAGTTTCTTTACTCTTTTCATTTTCTTAAAATTTTTCATAATTTTATGATGAACTTTTGGCTCTACTCTTATCTTTCTCATCATTTTTAGAATCATTTCTTTTACTCTTAGTTTTTTAATTTTCACTTTTATCTTTTGAATTTTATCTCTTATTATTCTTATTTTTTTATTTTTCTTTCATTTCTATATCTGATTCTTAATTTTTTTTCTCTCTAGTTTTTTGCTCCTCTTCTCTATGTTTTTTAACATCATTTTTCTCTAAGATTTTTTCTGGTATCTTTATAGTATCTTAATTTTTTTATTGATTTAATTACTCTTTACCTTCAAATTAGTTTTTATTATTTTAAACTTCATCAAATTAAATACTACTTTAATTACTGATCAAAATTGATTATGAACTTACCATTGAATCTGGACTTGAAAGATCGTTATCATTTTGAAATAATTTATCAATATCATCACTATGTTAATTAAACTCTGATTATATATTAGGATAAATTATATTACTCTTTATTATAGGTTAATTTATTATTTCTACACAATCTTCTGTAATTTATATCGTTTATTATTATTGAGGAATCAACTATTAGGTATTTTTACTTTAAATGATTTCATCATTTGAAGAATCAATAAATATGACATTCTTTTATTTTTCTATATTACTTTAGAATGAGGTTTCTTATTGTAAATATTATTTATTAGGATTTTCAGATTATTACTATCTAGAATTACTAATTTCTGTATTTAATCTATTAGCACATGTTTTAATTACTTTAGATTATTAAATCTTTTAGTTATCTATTGGAGAGTTCTTATAATATATTTCATCATCTATATCAATAATTTAATAAGGAGTTACTTCCTAGATCTCATTTTAAAGTAATAGTTCTTATTCAACTAAAATTTATTAATTTTGATTAATAAATGTATCTTCTTCTAATCTAGATATAAAATTATCGTTTTCTTTATTTATGTTATCATATTGAAATTTTGAATTATGTTATTAGAATTCAGATGAATATTTAAATTCATTTTATAAATTTTATTTTATGCAATCTTCTTATTCATAATTACTAGACTATTTAATAATTACTTCATTCTATTATTATAATTTATTAATTCCATTATTATTTTACTCTATAGGTTCTAAATTAATATTTTCATCATTTTTTTATTTCTTATCTAATGTTTCTGAAGATTAAGCAATATGGATTATTTCTTTTGTCATCTCTTCTGGATCTGAATAATCTAATAATGTATTTTTTGTTTCTTAAATTGGTGTTCTATGTCTTCTATTAGGATTTCTATCCATTTCTGTTACATTTTTCCCTGTTTTGATTGCCCATCTTTTCATTAATATAGGTAATTTATCAAACATTATCATCTCAAGTTCTTTATCCATCATTGCCTTATTACATTTATCCTAAAATTTAGACCACCAATAAGTCTATTCGCATTTATCTTTGAGTAAATCAAATAATTTAATTAATTCTGTATCTTCAGAGAATTCAAATTCTTATTATTCCTTATCAGTTAGTGTATCAATATATGAATTTATTTTTTCTGGTTCTTAATTAAATTTTTTTGCTATTTTTTATTCAATATTGACTCTTTTCTCCACTTTTTCAGTTATTTTTTCTAAAGGTTTTGGATTTGGTTTAAATTTAGAAGGAGATTATAAAGGAGAATAGGTTGACTTTTTCTAAGCTTTTTCTGATAATATTTTTGCCATTTCAAGCACTATATAAAATAAAATGAAAAAATACTTTTTTAATCTGGTTTGTCATCTTTAAAAACTGATTCTAATGAAACTTTTTATTGTTCTGAGAAATAATTTCCTTTCTGATTTTCTAGATTATTTTATTCCTTTTAATTTTTTATACCTAACTATTGCTGTTAATTTATTTTCTATTTATTATTATTTTATTCATTTTATTGTTACTAAGGTTTATCTTCTATTTCAATTGTTGTTTTGGATATCTTATCTTTATTTAATTATTGTTATTATATAACATCTAAATTTTGTTTTTAGGTTGACTCTTTATTTGTTATTTAATTTAAATTTTTGGTATCTTAAACATTTTTAATATCATTCTTACTTTTTTATACACTTGATATTGAATCTTTTTCAAGATTATTCTCTTCAACACTTTTTTTTCTTTGATAGATAGACTCTTCTATTTAACCCTTAAAACCTTGATTTTGATTTATTTAATTTTATTATTATTAATTCTATTGAGATTTTTCATTAATTTTATTTGATTATGTTAAATCTTAATTTTATATAACTTCCACTTATTAATTAAACTCTGGAGTTCCTTATTCATTTTGTTGTTTTTGTAAATATTATTCATACGAATTGATTATTTTTTAAAAAAAGCTTTCAAGAAACTTATATTCTCCTTAAATATATTGATGCATTATCATTTAAACTGATTCTACCTTCATCTACTCAATATACCATTATGCAGCAGGATTATTCGCAAAATCATTATAAAGTTTCGTGTATTTAAAATCCTTGGATGCTAAAATCTATAGTAATCTAAAAATATCTTTTTTATTATGAATAACAAGCAATAGAGCTAGAGTTCTTAATAATTTTGGTAATTTCTCTTTTAAATCAATTCTATTTTATTACTAATCTTATTTGATGTAATCCAAAATTATAGCTACATCATATTATTGTGGTTTAATAAGACTATAGGTTCTACAATCATATATGCTAGTGTTATCAATCCAAAAAATCATTATTATTTTTATAAAATTTCTATTTCATAATCTTAAAACATTAAAAAATCATTGAATTTATTAAGTTTGATTTTTTAATTTTAAGAATCTTTTAATATTGTTATATTAAAAGATTATATTTATTAACTATTTCTTTTATTGTCCATCATCATCAAATATTATCTAAAGATAATTAATATTTAATTTTATCTTGAAGTTTGTTCTAGAACTTAAAAAGAAGACAAATGAATAAAATAAAATCTTGAAAAATAAATAAATCATTATTAATTAACTTCGATAGCTGATTATATTTGCTACTCGTTTGTAAATGAAATATCATTGTTTTATATAAAAGCAATCGTTTATCGATTTCTATTATAATTAAGAACAATACATTTTTATGTTCATATATAGACGCACAGATTGAACTGCATATCTAATAAATAATAATGCTATCGAGATCAGTTCCTCTTCCTGTTCTTATTTTAGGTTTATTGATATTGTTTTCTAAATTACCATCAGAGAAATAATTGTAGTAAATAAAATTAGATCTGTTAGATTATTGTTATTTTGGAGGTAATTCTATTTATTATTATAGAATTACTTCTTTTTAAATGAAAATCTTAACGAGTAGTTCAAAAAAAAATATACAAGTTAGTAGAGATTCTGTAATTTGTAGTATTAAATCATTATTCCTATTTATAATTAACTAAAATAAGTTTAAATCAAAGTGTACATAAATGACTAAGCAGAATATTACAACTAATTGCATCAATGGAAATATTATGCAATGTTTGTTCAAATATATGGAATTGAAATAATAGCGAATTCCCATTAAATTTATAATATTTATGCAAAAATATTTATATTAAATCATTAAATTTGCCACAAAATAACAATGAATAAAGTTGATTCAGCAGATTTTATATTTATTTCAATATAATCATATAAGTTTTTTATTTATAAATGTTCGACACATAATTTAATTTATGCTTATTATATATTTTTTTTTTAATAATTATATATCGAATAGTTTCAATTGAATATATATTCTTTAATTTGATTTGAAGTAATTAATTTTTATTAAATAAATTTGATGAAGAATTTTTTTAATTTTAGACTTCATGATTAGATTATTTAATTGATATAAAAAAAAATCAATTTAATTATATTTTTATAAACTAATTATAATCTAATTCTAGGTCTTCTTCTTCAATTTTCATTAATAATGGCATAAGATGGCTATTTAATAANGATTATATTTATTAACTATTTCTTTTATTGTCCATCATCATCAAATATTATCTAAAGATAATTAATATTTAATTTTATCTTGAAGTTTGTTCTAGAACTTAAAAAGAAGACAAATGAATAAAATAAAATCTTGAAAAATAAATAAATCATTATTAATTAACTTCGATAGCTGATTATATTTGCTACTCGTTTGTAAATGAAATATCATTGTTTTATATAAAAGCAATCGTTTATCGATTTCTATTATAATTAAGAACAATACATTTTTATGTTCATATATAGACGCACAGATTGAACTGCATATCTAATAAATAATAATGCTATCGAGATCAGTTCCTCTTCCTGTTCTTATTTTAGGTTTATTGATATTGTTTTCTAAATTACCATCAGAGAAATAATTGTAGTAAATAAAATTAGATCTGTTAGATTATTGTTATTTTGGAGGTAATTCTATTTATTATTATAGAATTACTTCTTTTTAAATGAAAATCTTAACGAGTAGTTCAAAAAAAAATATACAAGTTAGTAGAGATTCTGTAATTTGTAGTATTAAATCATTATTCCTATTTATAATTAACTAAAATAAGTTTAAATCAAAGTGTACATAAATGACTAAGCAGAATATTACAACTAATTGCATCAATGGAAATATTATGCAATGTTTGTTCAAATATATGGAATTGAAATAATAGCGAATTCCCATTAAATTTATAATATTTATGCAAAAATATTTATATTAAATCATTAAATTTGCCACAAAATAACAATGAATAAAGTTGATTCAGCAGATTTTATATTTATTTCAATATAATCATATAAGTTTTTTATTTATAAATGTTCGACACATAATTTAATTTATGCTTATTATATATTTTTTTTTTAATAATTATATATCGAATAGTTTCAATTGAATATATATTCTTTAATTTGATTTGAAGTAATTAATTTTTATTAAATAAATTTGATGAAGAATTTTTTTAATTTTAGACTTCATGATTAGATTATTTAATTGATATAAAAAAAAATCAATTTAATTATATTTTTATAAACTAATTATAATCTAATTCTAGGTCTTCTTCTTCAATTTTCATTAATAATGGCATAAGATGGCTATTTAATAATTAAATTCTTACTTAATTTCTTGTTAATTTAATTAACTAATGTCTATTTCATTTTTAGATATTAACCCATCATTATTGCTATCTAACAGTTAAAAAAGTTGATAATAATATAAGTTTTATTTTAGTAAGTGAGTTTTAATCATTATATTTAATTAACTTGGCAAATTTTCATTCTTTTATTTTTGACATTTATAATTTTAATTAATTGCAGGTTGAAATGTACAATTATCATCTACTTAATCTAATTTGTCAATATGAATATGCTTGTTTTTATTCCTTTCCAATTATTTAAGTAATCCCTTTTAATATAGATGTTAATATCTATTGAAATCTTGAGATTGATTTGGATAGTTTAATTTTGGATTAAAAGTGCATTGAATACTTAATGCCTAATCCTATTACTAACGTATATTTTCAATGTTTTATTGAATTTTTCTTTAAAATAGTTGATTTCTATCAAATAATTATGGTTTATCAAACAAGAACTCATCTAATTTATAGGATTATTTAAATTAAATATTTGATTAACATTTTGTATCATTATGTCTTTTATAATATTCATTTAGATATTAATATTGAGATAGATGTGAAGCTGATTCAATAATTTTCAATAATTTTTAGGTGATTAATTTAGCATTTGTTAAATCTAAGTTAAATTAATAACAAAATAATTCCCCTAGTTATTGTGGAGAGTAATATGTATTAATGTAAAAGATTTCATTAGTATCCTGTATCTAAAGTGAAAGTAATTAATTTAAGTGCTCTGAGTTGTTGTAATTCATTTATCAACTGCTAAATTTAAGTATTAAATAAAATTTTATTGAAAAAATGGGGAATAGAGTATATATCATAAAATCTGCAGACAATTCAATTTTCAATTAGAATCAACCACTAGAAAATTAATTTGAAAGCATGGGAGGATAATCTTTCCCTCATATTGACCGAGTTGAACTTTATAAATTAAAAAGAGAGAATACTAAATATGCAACCATCTTTGAAAAAAGACATTCGAATACAGCAACAGATGATGAAGGTCCATTGCTAGAACTTCATGAATAACTTACGCTTCTTAAGCATAATCATTTGGTTAAATATTATGGTCTTTGTATCGATCCTAATCTAACAACAAATTAATAAATAAGCAGATGGTTTTATGAAGCAGTGTATAAAACCTTAAAATAAGTTTGTGGACATCATTTTTCAAATAAGAACTATATCCCGGAGAGACAACTTTGGAAGAGTCTTCATGAAATATTATTAGCTTTACATTTTCTTGATGCAAGATAAAAATGGCATACTCATATTCAACCTGATTCAATTTATTTAGATAAAAATGATTCTATCAAACTGATTCCGAAAGGAGTTTTAAGACTTATGAGTGGATATTAGATAGTACTAACAGGAAAAGGATAAGCATTACTATCTCCTTAATAAATGGAAGGATTGAGATAAAAGTTAGAAATTCCAATTCATGACATACAAAAGTCTGATGTTTTTTCATTAGGAATGACATTTTTAGAGTTAATGACACTCAAGGATAGTTTTGAGTGTTATAATTATGATCTACATAATCCATATATAAAAGATTAAATATTGTAAGAAAGACAATTAGAAATTCAAAATATTGGATATTCTACTGATCTAGTCAGGATTGTCTTGACTATGTTATAATATGAAGAAATTGATAGACCCACTTTTCTTGAATTATTAGTATAATAATAATATTATATAGAACTCAAATGAGATTACCTAGAATCTAGAAAATTCAAGAAATCATCCATTACAACCAACTACTCATACTCCTAAACAAGAATTAAAGATATTTTAAAATAGATTTCCATCAGATTCTTCAAATTTATAGATAGTTTAACCTAGCATTCCTATTACTAATAATTAATAATAAATACAATCATCTCCTATTAGGATATAATCATAAGTGGTTCCTCCTCAATATTTACCTATACATAATCTTAAGTAATAGGAAGCGGATCGTTAAAGATAGGAGTAGATTTTAAGAGAACAATAAATATAATAGCATTTATAATTATAATTAAGACAATAATAATAACTATTACAATAATAATAATAATAATAACAATAATAATAACTATTAATTGAATAACAATAACAACAAATAATTCTTTATTAACAATAACTAGATAAGTTAAAGAACTTAAAACCTTAGCCTAAAATAAAGGAATAATAAGCACCAAAATTATAGGATTACATGATTCATCCATTACCTACTCCACCAATTGTTTTAGATCCTAATGCACGAAATTCAACTGTTGATGAGTTCTAAGAAAGCCAAGAACTCAAAAATAGAATAAATTCGGCTTTAGCATTATCGAATTAAGCTATTAACAAATATAAATGATTATATAATTTATTTTATTATGAGAAGAACAACTTAAACATAATAACCAACCTTGTTTGATTAAATAATATCTTAAACAAATAATGATGAGCAAAGTTAAGAGAAATAATCTAAATAATCTAAAGTAAATTAGAGTTAATAATCAACATATAATAAAAAATCTCTCCATAATTTAGTATTTAATATATTTAACTTATAGCAAGAAATAGTTTATTAAAAGGCTTTTGATTATCAGGAATATAAACAATCCTTGCGATATAACAACAAAAACCTAAAAAAAATTGTCTTATAAAACATTAATAATCCTCATGAAAAGCTAATTCAAAGTTTAATTAAATACTCCCTAAGCAGTTTAGAAGAACTTACTTTAGAAAATGTTGAAGTGGCAGATTCTTAATTTCAAATATTTTAGTAAAAAGGAGGACTTTCGAAATGCTTCCAAAATTTAACACATATAACACTTAATTGTCCTATCATGACCTCACTTTCTATTAATTATTTATTCTAAGGCATCTAAACTCTTTAACATTTAGATTTAAGCAATACTTAAATCGATAATTAAGGTATTTACAATTTATGTTAATTGAAATGGCCCTTTTTGATTAATTTTATTATATAATGGTGCAGCAGAATTGATAATTTAGATGAATTAGGTGAGAATGCTGAAAACTTTCCTAATCTACAATATATTGATTCTAGATTTACTTAAACAGATAATTGGGCTTACAATTCAATTATAAATTCAAAAATTAGTGTTACTTTACATCATTTAAGATTATTTGGGACTCATGTTGATTTAGAAACTACTTAATGGAAATCATCCTACTTATTAAATCTGTTTATGAAAACAATGAAAGATTATAATTTTTAAGAATTTAAAATCTAAAATAATCTTGCCTGTACTTAAAGTTCAAGTGATTATAAATAAATGAAAATTAATACATGTAATTAAATAATAAATCAATAGTAATAACCAAAGAAAGTTAAAAAATGAATTTGAATGTTTCTTGGAAAATTGCCCCTCAATATTGCGTGTTATAATTTGTCGATACTGCAGAAAATGTGAGAAATAAATTTGCTAATTTTGGAAAGTTATTTGAATTCCTTTAAAAGTAATGGTAACTTAGAAGATCTTTATTAAATCTTTGCATTATTTTTGATTAAATCTTATGTGATCCAAACAATTTTGATATTGTTTTAAAAACTATTATTGATTTTAAAGAGTTGAAAAAATTGAAATTTTATGTAAGCAATTAATCATTGTTAAATCCTTCAAATTACTTCTTTTTTTTTAATTAAATTGGTGAATTAAAATAACTAATGTATCTTTAAGTAAAGTATTTTAAATATTATAGTTAGATTTATAAAATAATGAAATTGTTATTAATGAATCCTTTTTAAATAGAATTATTAGAACCATTTAATAATTATCATATTTGAATTTATTTTACTTAAATATAAGGTTTAATGAAATTAAGAATATCAAAGATTTACATAACTTCAATTCTTAAATTATTAATTCTATTAAGAACCCTTACTTGAATCACATTTATTTAATGGAAACTAAAGAAGAAAATTTAAATTATAGATTTAAATAGGCTCTATCTTTAATTCATAGTAATGCTTCAAAATTTATAAATATAAATGAATTTTAAAATATTATACTTTAATAAGATGCTCAAAATTATAAGGAAAAGATTTTTAAATATTAGACAGAACTATTTTATAAGAAAAAAATGAAACTAATAAGATGCTGTGTGTTAAGTAATTTTCATTAATTCAATTATGGAAATAGATTTAGATAATAAGTGATTTATTAAATTTTAGACATGATAATTAATTAATGATTTTTGTTTATTTTGATTATTCTCTTATATATGATTCATTAAATAAAATATTGCATCAGTATATAAATTAAGAAGAGCATCTAGAATAAGATATATTTTATCATTTTTAATACTATCCTGTTAATAAATGTGATTATGCTTTTTTATAATATAAAATATTATTATAATTTGATTAAAAACTATTAAATAATTCATCTAGACTTCCTATATTATTTCAGGTTTTATCTTTAAAATTCTTGATGTTTTGACAAATATTACTTATTCTAAACATTCGACCAATTCTTTGTTAATTGTGGCTGAAATGTGAAGAATTGTATTGTGATAAAGATAAGTTGGAAAAAGAACCATGTCTTTTTATACAATCATTAATTCTTCTCGTGATAATTCTTTGAGAATTAGATTTTATCAAAGACACATTCATATATATATACTTTATAAATAATTTGAAATGATAAAGCATATATATTAAATATTATTAATATTAGCACTTAACAAGATGTTTAAGTAATAAAATTAAAAGTATCTAATTTTTTAAAGTAGATGAAGATTTATCCATAATTCAAGCAAAAATAATTCTTTTAGATAAGATTAAAAAATAGATCTATCAATACAGTTATAAATCCTAGAAAGAAATGAAATAATATTATTTTTTAGTTATTTGTAAAAATCAATTCTTTCCCTTTCTTTATTTTTTAGATCGAGCAACATCCACAACATTCTTTGTTGGGGTTGACTGTGTAGTGTTACTCAATTAAGAGGGATAAATTTATTTTTCAGGTGTACATGAAATATTATTGTTACTATTATTATTATTATTATTATTATTATTATTATTATTATTATTATTATTATTATTATTATTATTATTATTATTATTATTATTATTATTATTATTACTATTATTATTATTACTATTATTATTACTATTTTTACTATGATCATCAAGTTCTTTCATTATTTATTCAAAAGTATTTCTTAACTTTTATACTGCTTTTTATTTTTTTAGATTTAATTTCTTTTTATGAATTTCTAGATCCGATAAATCTTTTCTTAAGTCAAGAACAATATTATTTGAATTCTAATAAAAGGAAATTGATTTATTAATTTCATTAGTTGATAATTGTGATATTTATGTATTTTACAAATCAATCTTCTATTCCACTTTTTAATTAAAATCATTGACATAAGTTACAAAATCTATCTTTTCATTTCTTATCTCTTCCTTAATTTAATCTTTGTAATCTGTCAATTTTTAAATGAGATTGTTCATGCAAGTATCAAATTCTTAATCCACTTATTCAGAATTATTGTGGATAGGCTAAATTGAAATGGTAGACAGATTTTCAATTTTTTCTTTCAATTCAGCCTCAAACTCTGATATTAATTTTCTATGATGAGAAACCAAATCATTTGGTACATGAAATTCCAAAAAACAATCAGCACAGCCTACTTTTAACATGTATGTAGTACCTATCTTTTTTTCATGGTTACATTTTTTGTCTAAGCAGATGTATTTAACTTTCTGACAATCATGGTGTTTAATTCTGCACTAATTCATATATAAATTTAATTAATGAGCGCCAAATATAATTAATCAATTCCTAAACTATCTCTATATCTGGCCATCAGGATAAATTATATCTACATTTCCGTTTGGATATTCAATTTACTTTACTTTTTAACTATTAATTTTTTATATTATCCCATCACTAAAAAATGTCTATTCTTCACCACTATCATTAATGTACTTTTCAGTTCCATCCCCAAATCGAATTTCCTTAGTGCCATCAGTAAGATGTATCTCAATCTATTAATTAGAAAATCGGTAAATCTTAAAAATATGTAAATATATTACATTTGGTCCATTTGAAATTGTAATCTAAGTTGTGTTAGCATCAGCAAAGTAATATATTACTGTTCCATTAGGTAAAGTTTATTTTATATCTTTATTTGTAAAGTGAACAATAACATATCCATCAGGAAATACTTCCCTTTTGACTCCGTTATGGAAAACTACTTCTTTTTTACCATTAGAATATTATCTTGATATCTTACCATCAGGTCCAACATTATGATTAATTATTTTTGAAGGAATATCCTTATTCTTTTTGTAGCCTTGGTAGAAACGATTTTGATCATAGTTAAATTCCTATTCAGAAATCAAACTATTTATATTTTTTATAGTAAATGGGATGCCCTCATTCTACATTTCAATTAAATCATATTTTTTTTTACTATTTTATTATTAAATGTTTCTTTTCTATTATTCTTATCTACAATCATTATATTATTAATCATCATCACTATTGTCTTCATTTTAATATTCTTCATCATTGTTATCATCATCAACTTCTGAATTTTATTTAATATATTCTTTTATTGATTGCTTATGCTTAATTTATAATTCCTCCCCAAAACTGGTTGGACTTTGTCTTCTATTATTTTATTAAGGAACTTCTTTCTTTTAAGAAAGTCCAGAAAGATTAGATTTTAATTAGATTTACTATGATTTGCTTTATTAAATTGTAGCTTAAGAGTTTGGTCGTTTTTATTCTAAAAGTCTAAGTTCCAATGCTTTTACTTCTGCTTATAATTCTTAATTTCTTTATAAGAGTTCTTCATTTTATTTCTTTAATCTATCATAAGATAGTTTATTCTTTTAATCTTTTTGCTTTTATTCTTCCATTAATTTTTATACCTGTTATTTCAATGATTCTATTTCTTCTCTCTCTTTTCTATTAGGTAAATTTTATATAGTTTTTTATTGCCTTTCTTAAATTCTTTTTTCTCTCAACATTTTCTTTTTCTCTTCTTCTTTCCATTCTTCTAATTCAAGTTTTTCTATTTCTTTTTACTTTTCCCATTCTTCCCTCTCTCTTTGTAATTATTTCAACTAATCATCACATTTTACTTTTGCTTTCTTAACTTTTTCATTTTCACTTTTAAATTTACCAATTTCAGCATTTAAATTATCAATCTTATCTTAGACATATTTTCTAACAATTTCTTCTTCATTTTCTTATGGTTAAGCTTTTTCTTATTTTTTCTCTTTTGCATCCTTTTCTTTCTTTAATCCAAAATAAGAGGTTGCAATCTTTGATTATTTAGGAGGTTCATCATTCCAATCTTCATTATCATCAAACTAATATTCTTAATATGAATCCTAATTTATATCAGATTCCTCTTTTTATTTCAGAGATTTTTACTGTACTTATGATTATTATTGTCTAGCTTGTTATTATTTAGGTTATTCCTTTATTAATTCTTATTTTTTTGGTCTTTATTAGACTTCTTTTTACTCCTACTTAAATTCAACTTTTTATTATTATTGTTATTATATTCTTTAAGGTTTAATTTAATTGTTTTAATTTTACAAAAGTGGAGTACCTGAAGCATTATTTTCTTTTAAAATTTCAGCATGCTCTTTCTTAGCAATATCAGATCTTTATTAAGCATTTGATAAAAATTATCTTGTTCCTTTTTTCAAGAAAGATTTCTTCTTTACGCGACCTTAATCATCTTAATTAGCCTCATCAAGAGGTTTTTTTAAATTATTTCTTGGAGGAATTTCATCAAAATCTTAGTTTTTATTTGTTTTAATAGGAATATCATCAAATGTGCTTTTATTTGTTTTAATAGGAATATCGTCAAATGCTTAATTTTTATTTGTTTTAATAGGAATATCGTCAAATGCTTAATTTTTATTTGATTTAATAGGAATATCGTCAAATGCTTAATTTTTATTTGATTTAATAGGAATATCGTCAAATGCTTAATTTTTATTTGTTTTAATAGGAATATCGTCAAATGCTTAATTTTTATTTGTTTTAATAGGAATATCGTCAAATGCTTAATTTTTATTTGATTTAATAGGAATATCGTCAAATGCTTAATTTTTATTTGATTTAATAGGAATATCGTCAAATGCTTAATTTTTATTTGTTTTAATAGGAATATCGTCAAATGCTTAATTTTTATTTGTTTTAATAGGAATATCGTCAAATGCTTAATTTTTATTTGATTTAATAGGAATATCGTCAAATGCTTAATTTTTATTTGATTTAATAGGAATATCGTCAAATGCTTAATTTTTATTTGTTTTAATAGGAATATCGTCAAATGCTTAATTTTTATTTGTTTTAATAGGAATATCGTCAAATGCTTAATTTTTATTTGATTTAATAGGAATATCGTCAAATGCTTAATTTTTATTTGATTTAATAGGAATATCGTCAAATGCTTAATTTTTATTTGTTTTAATAGGAATATCGTCAAATGCTTAATTTTTATTTGTTTTAATAGGAATATCGTCAAATGCTTAATTTTTATTTGATTTAATAGGAATATCGTCAAATGCTTAATTTTTATTTGTTTTAATAGGAATATCGTCAAATGCTTAATTTTTATTTGTTTTAATAGGAATATCGTCAAATGCTTAATTTTTATTTGATTTAATAGGAATATCGTCAAAAATATTTTAATTTTGCTTTTATGATTAAATTGGAATTTCATCAAAAGGGTTAGAGTAATTTGTTTTCTTATTTGTTTGATCATCGAACTATTTCTATTATTTCTAATACGATTGTATTTCTTACTATTAATTTTTAGTAAAATCATCTTATTTTTTATTTCTGAGAGTCATATCTTCAATATTATTGTTTTTCATTGGTTTTATGGGCATTTCATCAAATGGATTAGATTATTATCTAAAATCACATTCATCTTATTAAAATAAAGTATTTTTTTTTAGATTGGATCTAATTTATTATTGATCATGATTTGCTTATTATATAGACATATCATCAAAATTTGATGTTTTTTTTTATTGTTATTTATATTATTTAATGTAATTGTCATCATTATCTGATTAATCAAAATTTTATAATTATTATTTAATTGATCTCTAATCTCCTTATTCATACTGTCTTTGTTAACGTTATTTTTGATCTTATTTATTTTTATATTAATTAAAATCATCATTTTCTGGTAAATTATAATCATGAAACTCATTTCTGTAATTTTATGTTAATTATATATCATCAAAATGTAGTTATCTATTAGTGTTCACATTGGTTTCCTACTTAAAACTAATACTTACTTCTTAATATTTGGTAGGATTATAAGTATTTATAAATTTCGAAGACTATTGTAATTAGCATTCTTCAGGTTTCATTTGATTGTAGAATTAATTCATATCATATACTTTATTATGGTAAAATTTTTCTAAATCAAAACCTAAACATAAGTATTTCCAATACCAGATGATTAGCTTTGCATCATCTACATCATTTGTTATTGAAATATTTTCATCATATTCTACATCATGAATTCGTTGGGATTGATATTTGGATTAGTCATATCATTTTAGAAGATTTGTTAACCAAAGTTACTTCGTTGTTATTGCATATGGAAATTGAATTCAAATTTTAACAATTAATAACTTCAAAATTAACTCCAAAATTCATAAAGAAATTGGGCTTGGTGATCATTTTAAATCTTCTTCAATTATTCACAATGTTGCAAGGCTTCCTTAATAATGGCATTAGTTTTGCTTTCATCAATCAATTTTTAAGTACGAAGTTTAAATTACAATAAATATAATACTTGAATATATGGAAATCTATCTTATAAATATAAAAATTTACCTATTCTCTCTTTCTTCTTCAATAACCTATTTAATGAAGTCAATGTTTTCGTCAAGATATTTATGAATTTCATTTATTGCATTTTTAAATTCTTGTTAAATTGTATTAGTATATGTAAATCCATCATTATTTATTGTTAAATCTATTTCACTTGGAACCATAAATTTTGATGATTCATCTTCACTAATTATTGTTTCTTTAGATTAATTTTCATAAATTTAATTATGTATCTTAATTTTTAAGTTAGTTATTTATTGTTCTTCAAATGATATAATGACCCTTATGCCTTCAACTTTTATATTAATTATTTTTAAGACATTTTCCTAATTGAAAATTTCAAAAGAATTCTCAACATTAGTAATAGGTCTATTAAATTATAATTATATTGAATTATTCTAAACTTTTTCAATTTTTGTTACACCAAAAGGTTAAACAACTCCTACTAACCATCTATGATATAAATAAACACCATGTTCTTTAGGTTATATATATATGGCTTATTAGATTAATTCTGTTTCTTATTTTAATCTTTCAAATGGCAAAGGCAATAGACCTAATATTTATTCTGTTTTAATTCTCTCAATAATATTTTCAGATTAATTATAATTTTTCATAAAATATTTGCTTCTGAAATGATAGGCTGAAAAATTACTAAAATTTTATTCAATCTAAATAATTAAATTAAATATACTTTTTTCTTAGTGAATTCATCTTCCTTTCCAAAGGCACTAATTGATGATAACCAATTTCTATAATTCCATACATGAAAATTTCTTTCATCTCTATCTAACATTTTGCTACATAATTCATATTCTTGTTTAATAGCTTCTATCAATTTAAACTAATTTTCTTAATTACTTTATAATATGATTAATTATATACATTGAACTAATAAGTTAATCTATTTCTTAACTTCTTAAAACCATCCATTATCTATGAGTCCAAAGAGTGTATGATTTAGGATGCTATTTTAATAGTATAGCTATTAGCATAAACTCAGATTAAATTAATTTGACTAATTGCTTATATATATCTATGCTTTTTGATTCTGAAAGTAATCCTCCTAAGTGATCAAACTTTGTTTAAAGTACTTCTCTTCTATAATTATAAATAGTAGCAATTTCAGGACATAATTTAGCCATAAGCTCTGAAAATGCTAATTAATCTTCAGGTTAATTCACTTAGTTTTTTCTAACTTTAAAAAAATAGTCTAAAGAATCTAAAATCTATTGTCCTTTTTCTGCTCTTAGCTTTATCTCTTCTTCAGATAATATTTCAGCCTTTAATTTAGATTAACCATGCATCATCTTTTATCAGAATATATAAAATTAAATAAAATAATTTAAAATACATCATTTGAATAAACCTAAGTTATTTCTTTTTCTTCCTGTATATTTTGTTGTCTTTTTAACTTTTCTACCTAATCTAACTTATTTTTCTTTTCTTTTCATAATCCATAATTTAGATTTTTCATTTATTTTCTTATACTTTTTTTATTTCTTTATTTTCTTTTATTATCTACCAATAACTTTAACTTTTTCTTCATCTGATTCTTCAACTAATCCTTAAATAATATCCATAGTCTTTTTTGATGATTATCCTCCTAGTTGTACAACAAGATAAAGCTTTTTGGCTTTAGCAGAATTAGGATAATCAACAACAATGTCACCACTAAAACCTAATTACATAACTCTTCTTTAGAATACCTGCTCTTAAAGCGGCACTAGTAATCATATTTATTTATTCATTGTTTTCAGGATAAAATTAAAAAACAGCTCTTGCATTATTTTTTAAACAATTTCTTAGAGATTCAAAGAAAACAGTACATCTTCTATAAGGATTTTCTGATTTTTTGAAACTCACACATAACCATTAAATAACAGAAATAGAAATAGCAGCATCAAAAACACCTGGTCTAAATTTGAAACCTTGACCAATATCGCATAATAATAATTCTCCTTCTGTCTTTTCTTATTGAGCTACATTCAACATTGATTCTGATATATCTAAACCTACCCAATTCACTCCTTCTTATGTTAGATAAAATCCTGAAATTCCGGAACCACATCCAATATCAAGTACTAAACTACATTCATCAGGATTTAGATCCAATAATTAAATAGCCCTTTCACTTAATTAGGTTTGAATATTGATAATTCTATTGCAATTAGTATATTTAACACTCTCCTATTGATTATAATACTAGAGAAGAATTAGATAATGATATTTACTAAATTTGGTGGTAATTGTGATTCTGGTCGTGACATTAATTTTAATAAATTAATTTTAATGTTTTATATTCTCAGATTAAGCGGAGCATCATATCCTTAAATTCTTTAAGAGAAAGCAATCCATCTCCATTTTTATCCACTTCTGACATCAAAGTCTCCCAAGTTTCTTAAGGAAGTTTATTTCCAGATTAAAACATTTATTTTAACTCTTCGATTGTTATTGTTCCACTATTATCTTTATCTATTACTTTAAATGCCTATTCTAATCGTTCTTAAGTTAAGGCTGTTTTTCTATTTATTGTTGCCATTACAAATTCTGAATAATCAATAATTCCTGATTAATTTTTATCAACTGACTGCATAATCTAGTCAACTTATAAAATGGCTTCTGATTCAGGCATGATCCTCATATAACCCTCAAGTAATTCCTTTTTTGTCAAAACGCCATCAGAGTTTTTATCAAGACTTTAAAATGTTTTTAGCAATTCTTCTTTCTCCTCTTTTGTAGTGAATTGTTTAATAATATACATGTAAGCAGCCTCTTGAATTCTTTAAGTAGTCTATCATAAGTTAAATTTATATATAGTACTCTAAAGGTTTTCATATTGGTTAATACACTTTCAAGAACTGGAGCTTTGACTTCTTCTTTTGTATATTAGAGTATCCAAGGATCATTGAGACAATCTTAAGCTGAATATCGTTTAGATTCTTAATATTCAAGCATTTTTCGAATTAATTATTTAGCTTCTGGTGAAACACCTAACCATTAAGTTGAAGACAATGAATATGTTCCCTTTTTTATTGATTCAAAGATGTCATCATCTGTATCACCATCAAAAGGTGGCTTACCACTTAACAAAATATATAAAACAACTCCAGCTGACCAAATATCACATTTCTCATTATACTATTCGGTAAACATCTCAGGTGCCATATAGTAAGCCTTTTTAAAAGTTAAATTATACTTACTGTCCCAATAATCTCTCTTAAATTCTTTCCTGTAGTTCTTTTAGAGGTACCAAAATCAATAACTTTTAACTGACTATTTTTTTTATCACTCTCATATAATAAATTCTCTGGTTTAATATCTCTATGAACTATCCTTTAATTATGACAATAAGCTAAAGCCTACAAAATTTATTTCATTATTTTTGCTGCATCAACTTCTGTAAAATTATGAATTTCCATTAATTTATCATATAATTCTCCACCAGTACATAGTTCTGTTATTATGTATAATTTCTGATTTATTTCAAAAAAATCAAATATCTTTATTATATTTGGATGATCCTATACTTAGTTTTTTAGTTTACAAGTGATTTCAATATGTTGACTTCATTAATAATATTTTGATATTCATCAGAGTGTTTACTATTTATTTGCTTAATTGCTCTAAATTATCCACTGGCTTTATGTTTTGCTTTCCAAACTACTCCAAAAGCTCCTTCTCCCAAAGGAGGTTGAATCAATTCATAATCACTCAAAGAACCTTATGTACTTTCATAGATGTCTTTATAAGGTTAGCGATGTTCCTACTTATATTTTGATAAATTATACATCACATTCTATTTCCTTTTATTGTTATTTGCATTAACAAGAACCCATTTTATAAATGAATAAAATAAACAAACAAATTATTTAATATCTTGATTTTATAATGAATTATTTTATATTTAATATATTATTTTATATTCTTTTAGTATTTTAATAGAAAATGAATGTAATTAATAATTACACTATTCATAAAGAAATTGGTAAAGGAGCAACTGGAAAGGTGTATCATGTAACTGATGAGAAAAATATTCAATATGCTTTAAAAGTTTAGCATCATCTAACAGAATCTGAAAAAAAAATGAATGAGTAAATTAAGGAAATAAAATTCTAGAATGTTATCAACACTTACGATCAATTTCAATATTAAGGTATTATATAATGCTTTTGCGTTATTATGGATTTTTGTAATTAAGGAGATCTTTATGAGTATTTGAATAAATATCGTTTTAATTTAAATATTTAATAGAAATAGAATATGTTATTTTAAGTAAGTGTCTGTTTCTATTCAAGATAGCTTTTGGAATTTGGGAAATACATTAATTGAATATTATACATCGAGACATCAAACCCTAAAATATACTCTTATAGTGCTTTGATCAGATGAATGTTTAATTAAAAATTTGTGACTTAGGATTAAGTAAATTACAAGAAAATTAAAATCTAAACACTGTTAATGTAGGAACTCCTTATTATATGGCCCCAGAATTAATTGATTTTAGCCAAAAAAAAGGAATATATGACAAATCTGTTGATATTTGGGCATTTGGAGCACTTATTTATGATTTCTTTTCCAATTATTAATTATTTTATGGACTCTAAATATACTAAATTTTTGACTAAATAAAATAAGCCAAAAACTTAAATTAAAAGCTTAGAGAAACGATTAATGATCCACTACTTTTAAATATTGCAATAAGTTGCTTGTCTTATGAACCATCAAAAAGACCTGATATTGAATAAATCCTTCTTGAGCTTAATCAACCTATGTTTTAATACCAATAAAAAATATTTAATGGGTAAAATTAACGTTGGTTATAAAATAAAAACTAAGATTTATTTTAACCATAAGTTTAGGATTAGTTCAAAGAATAATATAAGAATTAATAAAAAATAGAATATTAAAAAGCAAATTAAGTTAATTCATAAATATAAAATTAAGATTTGAGTTAAAATTAACTCTTTAATTAAAAATCTAAAAATCATATTAAAAATTAGGTTAGATTAAGATGTTTTTTATCTGATTAAGCCCTAATAGAATAATTATGCATTATGATAGAGGAAGGCAATCAAAAAGATGAGATTTTAAAACACATGAATGAATCTTTAAGAAAAAAACTTTAAGCTAAACTGCATTAAAGTAATTGATAAATTAATTAGCTTATTATTAAATTTAGAATATAATTAATATTAACAAAAAACTTTTATATTTTAAGTATTATTTATATTTAACTTAAACTTTAAAGAGAGAATAATTTTTTAATCTATTCTATTTTACTAATGAACTCAATAATAATAATATTTAATGTATATTTAAATTTAAAAGTTCAAAGTTTTTCTTATTCTTATTCTTATTATCTTTCATCTTATTCAAGTTCTTCTAGTTTTCTCTTTAATTAAGTTACAGTATTTATCATAAAATCAAAAGAGACTTTTGATTAATCTAAAGTAGATCTTGATGATTTAGATTGCATAGATTTATTTGTTGACATATTTAAGCCTTATTTATTCAGATATATCTACAATAATAATATATTATACTCTTTAAGTACTTGGTATCTTTAATTTCATTTAATTTATCTGACTAGAAGACTATCTTTACAATTGAAAATATTTATTTGATAATGTTGTACTAGGTATAATAGTTTATGGAGGTTATTAATTAGATTAATTAGATTATTATGATTGGTGGGTTTATTGTAACTTTTTATTTGTTTATACAGATGGTTATGATGCCTTTTAAGGAGTTTGATCAAGTTATTTTGTTACTATTTCTTAAGTTGTTATATTTTAAGATTTTCTTGACATCCTTTTTTATTTATCTAATGGTAATTCTGAGATAGATGGGAGATTTGGTAATTAATTGAAGGTTATTCTATTAACATTCAAACTTGTATTAGATAAAAGAAGTTTTTCTTTTTCATTCTCTTCTTTGGTGTTGACAATCTTTCTTAATTTTTAAGACATAATTTCTCTAAAATTGATAAATAAAAATTCATACGCTTTTCTTTCAAATAATGTTTATTCACAACATTAAGTATATTATAAAAAACAATCTAAACAAACTTATGTTGTTAAATCTTTCCAACTTTAATTATTTTATAATTATTAATATTTTTCTTCATTTATTTTACCCCAAACTTTTAGAATTAAAGGAGGAATATGATTAAAATTAAATTTCTAATCTTCTTATTCATCATTCAATAATTAAACTAATTCTTTAATTTATGTATATAATTCATCTTCAGTTAATTTATTTTTGAATATTTTTTTTTTCTCAATCAAAATAGCAGTTTGTTAATTATCATTTTAAAATTCATTTTAAATCTCATATTCTAAATTTTATAGTAAATTTTTACCTTCTTTTAAATTTTATTTTTATCTCATCCGAATATTTCTATTATAAGTGACTTTTGGAATCTATTAATCTTATTTCTATTTAATCTTTTCTAGTTCTTCAGGTAATCTAGTAAAATCTTTCTTCACTAAATTCTTATATTTTTAATTAATACTTATTAAAAGCTTTCAATAATGAATTATAATTTTAATTGATATAGTTAATTAGAAAATCTATCACAATTACTACATATGTTTTTAAATTGATAAAGAAGAGATTGCATTTCACCTTAATTATTTATTTTAATAACAGTCTAAGCCTACTCTTTTGCAAATGATACTGGTTCTTGGTCTTTTCTTAAAACTCTAAATATAGGAGAAAGCACTCTTGGCTATTACAATATGTCATTGAACTTATCCTTCACCTTAATATTAGTACAAAAAAGCAACCATATCCTATTTTCATAATCAACTTTAAAATATAAGACCATTCTTATTATTTAAATATTCCCTCCTGATACTTCTAATATGTGTTTCACAATATTCACACATAATTACTCTAAATCTGCACTTAATAAAGGTGAATTGATTGAATCTCCTTATATTAAATATTCTGGTCCATCAAATGTAGCAACTCTTTCAACTTGAGTCTTCTTCATATCATTCATTTTATTAATATTTGTTTTCCTCATAACCAAACAAAATTATGGAGACCAGGTTACTCTAATCATTGAATTTTAATCATTTTTTGGATAAATAAATCTTATAAATAATTGATACATACTTTTATAGGACTAAATTTAAGTCTTTCTCTCTTTAATGAAGAAATATTTTAAAACTTTCATAATCTAAATACTCAAATGTAATTATCTCTTATTATTTGTTTTGCATCTGATGTTTATTTATAATTTTTATATTATACCTGACTAGTTATTAATTATGCTACTGTATTTTCTTATTTAAATGAACTTTCAACTTGATCAATGAATACTCTCTCTTTAGTTTTCCTTATTACTTAACCATCCTATATAGTAAAATATCCTTAACATTATAAATAATAATTACTAAAGTAAGGCTGAGCCCATCTATAAATTACTGAATCTGCAACAAAAATTCCATCACAACTATGTCCAGTTTTTGGATTTTTTTTCCATATATGGAAGAATAACCATTCAGTACATGTCCCTAATTTCATTAATATTAATTTAACTAATTAATAATCTAACAATCTAATAATGCAAAACACAATCAAAGTTAATAATAAAGAATATACTATTTTATATTAAATTGGATAAGGAGCTACAGGAAAAGTGTTTAAAGCTCAATATTAGAATGAATTATATGCTATAAAGAAACAGGAATACTTTGGAGAAGGAGAATTAGAGTTTTACGATCAGTTAATTCAATAAAAATTCAAAAGATGTAAAAATTTAATACAAATCTACGACTTTGAATAAATTGGTAGGTTCTCATATATTGTAATGGAATTAGGTGATTCTTGTTTATATAACGAACTTATTTAGAATAAAATAGATTAAAAAAATATTCGATTTATTATAAAATAGATTGGCTCAGGAATTAAAGAATTACATGAGATGGGTTTGGCTCATAGAGACTTAAAACCTGAAAATATTTTAATTAAGACTCTCTTTTCAAATGATAAAAATGAATCATAGTAAGTATTTAAAATATGTGACTTTGGAGTTGTAAAGAATATTTCAAACTTAAAAACTAAAGCTGTTGGAACTCCTTATTATTTAGCTCCAGAATTACTAACCAATAATAATGATAATTATTCTACAAAATGTGATATTTGGAGTTTTGGAATTCTAATATATGAAATATTAACTAGATAATTGATGTTTTAAGGTATAATTAAATTATTTAACCTCTTTTTAGGTAAAACATTTTAAGAAATTTCAAATGCAATTTTATCAGCTACAGATGATGATATTTCAGATAAAATCAATAAATTGAAAATTGAAGTTGATTATAAAGAACTTTTAAAAAATATGTTAAAGGTAGATTCTCAAAAACGATATAATATTGATCGAGTTTTAGAAGCTTTGAAACCTAAATCTAGGTCAACTTCTAGGTAAAGATAAAATAACTTTGTTATGAATCCTCCTCCTTAAATTAGTATAAGAAGTTAATTTAAAAATAGAGATAATTAACTATCATAATCTCCTTTTAAATAAATTTAAAATTTTAATATTATTTAATAACAATATACTATTTAAAAACCACAATAATATCCAAATAAGTCTTAATAAAATAATTAATCCAATGTAAAATAACTTGAATTTTGAAATATAAATATAATATAGATAGATATATATTAATGCTAAATCAAATACTATTCAAAATTATTTATTTATTTATTTTAAAAGATCTTCCATTGCTTAATTATGAGTTGCTAAACCTTATTTGTAATCATTACAAAGATTTTTTACAAGCTAAATAATATTTTAGAAATATACCTAAAATACATCATTAAATTATTATCCATCTTCTTCTTGTACTTCATTAATTTGAAGTTTTAATTTTAATAGTTTTTCAGTAATATCTTAAATAATAATATATAATACCTGTAAGCACTTTCTCAATATTTGAAACTGATTCTATATATTTATCCACTTCTTATTATAATTAATTATCTAATTCATCAAGTCTTTAAACTAAATCTTAAATTTATTAATCATTATCTCCATTTGCTCCCTTCTTCTTTTTTAGTTTATTTAAATCATCTTGACTTTTAGCTATTTATTTTTCTAAATCTGATCTTCTTTTATCACTTTATGAAGATTCTTTTTCTAAATTATCAAGTATTGGTTTTTATTCTTAAATAAATTTTCTTAGCTTTTCAATTTCTCCTTTTATATCATCTTTCTTTAGTTATTGATTTTCTTTTTATAATTAATCTATTTAATTTTATTTATCTTTAATTTCATCTTCTTATTATTTAGCTTATTCTTTAAGATCCTATACTTAAGCTTCAAGAGCATTACATTCATCATCTAGATCCTTATTTTCTTTCTCTTTTTATTTTAATTGACTATTAGCTTTATCTAAATCTTTTTTTGCTTAATTTTATGCTTAAATAGCATTTTTAGCATCTTATTCAGCTTTTTATATTTTATTTTTAACTGCTTCAGGATCTAATTAAGCTATTTATTTTTCAGCTTAAGCTAATTTGTTTTAAGTATCTTTTAATTGTTTTTTCAAATCATTTAAATTTTATAATTCTTATTTTAGTTTTTCAGCCTCATTAACAGCTGCTTATCTTTATTAATCTAATTAATCACATTCAGCATCTAAATCTTTTACTTATTTTTCTAATTCTTTTTTTTATTGATCTTTTTCTTTTTATTCTTTAAGATCTTTTTATTTCTACTCTTTTAATTTATTTAATTCATTTTAAACTTTTGTTAATTAATCTTCTTTTTATTTTAATAATTATAATGCCTTATTTAATTCATCATTAAGTCTTTTAATTTCTGAATTTTCTAATTATTCTTTTATTTTTTATTATAATTTAGCATCTAAATCATCACATTCTTTATTGAGATTATTAATTTCATTTTATAAATTTTTCTTATCTTTTTCTTATTCTTTAAGTTAATCCTTCAATTATTTAATTTCATTTTATGCTTCTTATAATTAATTTTTCAATTAATCTTAAGTCTTATTCTATTTTTATTCAGCATTGTTAATTTAATCTTATAATTTTTAAGTTTATTTTTTTGATTCATTTAATTATTTATTTAAATCATTATTATTTTATTATAATTATTTATTTTCTTATTATTTATTTTAATTATCTAATTTAGATTTTTCTAAATTTTCTTATAATTTTTAAATATCTTTAGCTTATTAATCTATTTATTTTAATTTTTAAGCAACTTCTTTATTCAATTAATTAATTTAATCATTTAATTAATCAATTTCTTTTTGTAATTCTTTATTTTCTTATTCATATTCATCTAAATCCTTATTTAATTAATCTGCATCATTATGTTTATCACTTAATTCTTTTTATGCTTTTGCTAATTCTTTTTATTATTACAAAGCTTTTTCTTCAGCTTAATTGTATTTTTAATGTAAATTATTATTATCTTATATTAAATTTTATTTTTCTTTATTTAAATCTTTAATTTCTTTTTCTAAATCTTTAATTTAATTTTATTAATCTTTAACCTTCTATTCTAAATCAGCAATTTTTTCATCTAATTGATCCAACTCTTAATTGGCAGCATTAATTTATTTTGCCTATTCATCTGTTTTATCTTTTAAAGTCTTATTATTTTTATCCAAAGTAGCTGTCTTTTTAAGTTCTGCATCTAATTTTCTTTAGACATCTTTTACTTCTCTATCTCTTTTATTATCAGCATCTTTAAGTTCTTTTTGTAATTATTATATTTATTTATTTTATGCCTCTATTTAATTAGTTTTATTAGTATTGTCATTTTCAAGTTCATCAATAGTATGATCTTTTTCATTCTCTGTTGCTTTAGCATTATCTAATAATTCTTTAATTTATTTTTCATATTAATCTTTTTAGTCTTATAATTACTTTTCAATCTCTTATATATATTAAGCTAATTATTTAATTTTTGCTTGAGCATCATTATATTAACCTTCATAATTTTATACTCTTTATAAATCTTCAGCAAAGAATTATAATTGATCTTTTAGAGAATCTATTTCTGCTTATTTCTCTTAAAGTAGTTTATAATATTGGTCATTCTATGTAACAATAACTTAGTTATCGTGCTACATTTCTGCCAATTTAGCAAGGGTATCATTAATAATTTCTTATTATCTATTTATTTCTCCATCTTTTAATTTAATAATCTTTTCTTTTCCTACTATAAATCTTTCTCTATCATTAACAGAATTTCTTAAATATTAAGCTTCCTTCTATAAAGTACTAATTTGATTAGCTTAATTCAAAGTATTTCTTTATTCTACTTCCAACATCTATCCTAGACTTTGTAGTTGTTCATCCATAACTTATTTACTAAGATATGCATCATCCAACTTAGTTTACAATATTTACAATTCGTTTTTTAAATTAGCATTTTCTGCTAATGCCAGTTATAATTCTCCATTTCTGGATCTTGATTTTACTATTTCATCATTAGCATTTTAAGATTTCAGTTCAGCTATCTCTTTATCTTTACCTATTACAACTGATTTTAGATATTCAGCTTAGTCTTGAGTTTCTTTCAAGAGTTCTGAATACTCATAATTTTCTTCTTTCAGCAGATTGATTTCAGACTCGTATGCCTCCTTCATTTTTTCAACTTCCTGTTGAAGCCTTTCAATCTCGTCACTTGGATTAACCTTTAGTTTTAGTGCTCTTATTTCATTATCTTTTAACATCAAACTTAGTTTAAGCCTAGAAATCTCATCTGATTGTTTTTCTGGTTCTGGAGATAAATTACTCATTTTTATTAATAAAGTTTATTTATATATGACTGAGTCTTAGTGTTAAATTTGCATTTAATTTGAAGCTGAAGATATTTGTATCCTCTCTGAAATGCTTAGTTAAATTACTATTCCAATTTCAGGTATGTAATCATATAAATATAGACCATAAAATACCTATTCAAATGTTTCCTTACATTTTTAAAAGTTTAAAGTTTCGTAAATGTCTTGCTCAAATATTTGATACAAAATACCTTGAAATATGTGAAAAATGTTCACATAATAGACTCTAACAAGTCTTTTTGCCATTATTTTCATCAACTGTTACTGAATATAATGAAACTCAAATAACTTAATAAATAGAAGAAGGATTAGACAAATTATATGAATCTATACAAGAAAAACAATAAAAACTTAAACAATCTAAAGAATAATTTGATAAACTGGCTTCATAATTGTTTAATTGTGAAGATGATGTTGAAGAGAGCAATTCATTAGGAGAGGAAAGCAGTAGTAATGAAGAAATAAGTAAAAATATTTTATTTAAAGAAAAAGAAAAAAACGATGAGGATGAGCAACAACCTATAATGTAGTTTAACAAAAATTCTAATAAAAATAAATTTTAAAAGAGATCTATAGATATTCTTAAAAAATGGTTTTTGGATCATCTCGATAATCCATATCCAGATAATACTGAAAAATAAAGACTCTCAAAAATAACTGGTATGCATGTTAGACAAGTATTACTATATAACTTATAGTTTTAGATTTAAAATTGGTTTACAAACTCTAGAAAAAGATATTTGGAACCCTTAAAAAAAAAATTTGAACATGGATTAATGAAAGAAAGTGATAGTCAAGAAGAAGATTCTTCAAAAGAATAGAAAAAACCTTTAAAATTAATTTAATAACAACCACCATAATAATAATAAATAATATAGCCTTAATAATTAAATATACCTCCATAATAATTACAATAATAATAATAATAATTTTAATAATAATAATAATAATAATAACAATTACAATAATAATAACTTCTTTAATAATAATTTCAATTGTAAATACCACTCCAAAAGAAAGTAAAAATGGAAGAAGGTTGCCAAAATAAATCATCTGATGCTAACAATATTAAATAAGAAGCTAAAACAGGATCATTTGCTTCTGATCTTTCATAATTTTAATAACCTAATCAATTCTAGTAATTCTAATAAATGTAATAAATTGCACAATTATAATAATTATAATGGCTTAATCCTTTAAATCAATTGAATCCTCTATAATTTTAACTTGGGCCATAATTTTTATCTCAATATTATAATTTTTAAGACTAATCTAAAGTACCTCCTCTAAATGGATTACCTTAATTGCATTAAGTTCCAATATTTCCCTTATTACCCTCATTATAATAGGCAGGATTTTAATAATTTTTATAGTAAGGTCCAGGATAACAGATATAATAACCAGTTTAAGTTACAAATATATAGACTTAAATACCATAAATACCTAATCTACAAGCACTTTAAGCAGGATTTTAATAGTTTAATGGATAACTTTAAAATCCTTAAAATGGAGTATTATATCCAATGTATTAGTAATAAATGCAAAATGAATAAAAGAAATGATATAAATATATATATATTGCAAAAATTTTATTTTTATCATCAATAAAATATAATCTTTAAAACCTTCTATTAAATTAATTTAGAATCTAAATTTTAAATAATATTGTGTTTATTTATTTTAATCATTTAACATCTGTCTTAGTTATATTTCACCCATTTTAAATAAACAAGTCAATTATTTTACTCATAATTAATATATTTTTTGCATTATTTATACATTAATATTAACTAATATAGAATCTAATTTCAATAAATTAATTGATTATATCTATTTATAAATAGTAATACTTCATTAGATAAACCAATAAAATATAATATATATTTAAAAATAAAAATTATATATATATCTTAATTTTATGTATCCACTCAATAAAAATTAATAATAAGCATTTCTTATTATATTATTTATTTAAACCTTTTAGTTTCTCCTTTAAATTTAACATATTATATTATAGATATAAATCTAATATTCTTTATAGATATTTCATAGATTATATAATAATACAAATATACACAAAATTGTATATAAAATTATAAACCATTAATAAGAGAGCTTAACATAAAAAATATTAAATAATTAATCTCTTTATTTAAACCAAAATAAAGAAATAAAAAAATTCTCAAAATTGAATCAAAATTTCAAAGGAATAAATTCTGCTTTAATTCTTCCCTTTCAATATAGGATTCGTTATATTATTGTTATATGCTCTCATTTACATAGCTTTAAAGTTAACTATATTTAAGACTACTATGACTCATTCTCCTTTATTTATTAAATGCAGCTGGTGTATAATAATAATCATCACTAGAATAAAATTTAATTATACTTTTCATATTTTTAAGGAGTATGTGTCCATTATAAAAAATTCTCTTTATTTGAATTATTATTTTCTTTTTATTATTTCTTAAAAAGTAGATATTTTTTATGCATTCTATTTCTTCTAGGATGTTTAATTATAGTTCTATTTCTCATTTCATTCTAATTAATATTATATTATAATCTACATATTATTAGATTCTAATAGCTGTGCTTTCTCTACTTTATTAGATTGGTTATTTTTTAGGTTCTTCATCTTCATCTTCGGAATCTGTGAGTAAACTTACATAGGTTTTGTTGAGAAAGATAATTTCTAAAGCTTTTCTTTCAAACTCAATCTCAAATTGATCAAAATAAGAAGGCCTTCCTTCATAAAATTAATTGATACAACCCTTTTTAGAGAAACTATTATTTTATTCCTAATAATTTATCTGTGAATTCTGGAATTCTCTTTTTCATTCCAGAATTCCAATGATTCTTTATGGCATTATCTGTTCTCCCTTCTAGATGTTTTGCAATTTCTGCCCATTTATTGCTTATAGCTTTATGATATAAGAAAAGGAGCCACTCTTCACTAAAATCCCAAGGAGTCTTTTTAATTAAAGGATTCAAATGATTATGCCATCTAAAACATTAATAAAATTCAATACCTCTCTCTACATTATTTTCCAATCCTTCCTGGTAATTTAGAGGCTATAAAAGTCCATTTATGAGGACCATACTATTCCACCAATTACATTACTTGAGTGTCTTCATAATCAGTCCAAGGTTCTAAAGATAATAGGAATTGATACTTTTTTTTGTTTTCTCTATTTTCTTTCGCATTTTTAATTTTGAAATAATATATTTAACTGATGAATAACAAAATAAATATAAATAATCAAAAAATAAGAACAACTTAAGAGATCTTGTATTGAAAATGTAACTAATTTGAATGATAATGTCCCTTACAATATAACTCTAATCATAAATATTAATTTAAATACAATAGTATTATTCTCAAGCATCATAAATATCTATAATAGTAATTGTAATCAATAAAAGTACATAAATAAATATATGTAAAATCAAAAATGATATCAATAAAGATAATACTTTTTAATTATTCCACGTATAAAAGTAATTATGAATATAAATAGACTAGAAAATATGATAATAATGATTATTATCATTTATTGAATGAAATTTTTATTAAACGAATCAGATTTCAAATAGACACCTCATAATTTTGAATGTGTCAATACAGAAGAGTTACACTTTAATTCAATTATTTTAATTTATGTTTTTATCATATCAATAAAGTATTCAATATCATAGTTAAAATTTTGATAAAGAACATACTTAAGTCTTGTTTATTTATCAATAATAAATGCTTTTCAATTAAACTAGCTTTTATAATTATAATTCATATATTTTTATTATAAGTCCTTAAGTTATTTCTAATTAGAAATAAAATATATTTTAATAGAAATTATGAATCCCATTTAAATCAACAGAAAATCTTATTTAATTAAGGAAGTGCTTGGTCAAGGAAGCTTTGGTACAGTTTATATGGCTCAAGATTTATTAAATAACCATACAGTGGCTATTAAAGTATAACAGTAGTTATAATAAAATGAATTCGATTTGCTTCATAAATTTAAAGGATAGAAATTCAAAAATCTTGTAAATATTTTAGATTTCTAAATTGACCCAAATGCAATATATATTGTTATGGAATTAGGTCTTTTATCTCTATAGGATAAAATTCAAAAATCTAAGATTCCTTTTCAAGAAGCAAGATATGTGATGTAGCAAATTTGCAATGGATTATAAGAATTACATTCTTTAGGTCTTGCTCACAGAGATTTGAAACCAGAAAATATTCTTATTTTCACATTACAGGATTAAAGCCAAACCTAAGAAATTTACAAGATTTGCGATTTTGGAACTACAAAAGATTTTTAGAGCATGAAAACACCATATATTGGAACACCTTATTATTTAGCTCCAGAATAATTGATTTCTAATCCCTTTAATTAAAATGTCAATTATAATTAAAGTGTTGATATTTGGGCATTTGGAGCTGTGGTGTATGAATTATTTACAAACACTCCTCTCTTTAATGGTATAATTTAGAAAAATAAAATTAGGTAAAACCGTTCAAGAAATATATTAAAAAATACGGGAACTACCAATAGAAGCAGAGATTAAAAAACTTCATGATTTGGAAACTAAGTATTAAAATTTGTTAATCAATATGTTATAAAGAAATCCATAAAATAGAATAACAATTCAGGATATAAAAAAAGAATTATCATAAATTTAAAACCAGAATATAGTTACCAAATAGACTTAATAAGCAACAATTTAAAAGGTTTGTTAACCTGGAAATATATAAATGTAATCGACATTTTAAAGAGGAAGATAGATGAATGCTGAAGATTTAAGAAATCCATAATAAAATAATATTAATCCTACAATTAAATAAAAGCTTTTGATTGCAGGTAAAAATTAAAATGAAGTATATACTCCATTTATAAAAAGTTTTAAAGAGTTGCTTAACCAGCGTTTTAACCAGCAAACTAATAAAAAACAATTTTTTAACCTGAAAACTAAAAGAAACCAATTTTTTAACCAATAACCTTATAGAAACCAATGTTTTAACCACTAACCTTATAGAAACCAATGTTTTAACCAATAACCTTATAGAAACCAATATTTTAGCCAGGAAACTAGATACCAATATCTTAACATGCCCCCCAAATGTAAAATGAATTTGAACAAGATAATAATTAATAACGAGGAAGAAGTTAACATAAAACTCATTAATAAAAACCAAGACCAATTTTTTTATCACCATAATGATATATTTTACTCTAATTAGTCTAAATATTTCTTATTTCTTCTAATTTTTTGAAATTTATCTAAAATAATTAAATAACAAGATCCTTTTGTCTTTTTACTTAAAATTATATTATTATAAGCCTAAAATATTTAAGATTTGAGTATTTAATTCTAAGAAAAACTATTCCTCTACCTACAATATCAAGATAATTTATTAAAGATAAAACCTAAAGAAATTCTAATCAAACAATTCCATCAAATTCGATCTTACATGTAATAATCAGCAAATTACAATTTAATAGAGAGAAATCTAGAGATCACTAGGAACTATATTCAATAAAATGATGATAATATATAATTTATAATTAATATTACTAGATTTTATATATTTAAAACCAATAATTTTTAGAGAATGAAAACTAATAAAGATAAAAGGATTTTATTAGAAATTAAATAACAAATATGAAACTGAATTTTAAACAATCTTGGCTTGAATAAGAAGACATAAAAGAATAAGTTCAATTCTCTCCTCTTTAATAAATTCTAAAATAGATCTTATTATTTGTATTGATAAGTGTTAATATGTTTTTAATTCATATATTTTATAAACAAATGATAAAAATATAATAAATATTAATTATATATACTAATGAATAAGACCCACAGATTCAACGCTTATATTTTGAAATTTCTCTTAAAAATAACTCTCTTAATCTTGGAATTTATAAATCGCCTTCTTATTCAAAATCAAGATATATAGGTCCTATAAATTAATGAATATATATATACCAGGGGCAGTTGTTTCTTTCTTTTTATCTCTAACCTTTTAAAGCATGGGATGTTCAATTGCTTGATCCAAAGTTATCCTAATCTTTGGACTAAATTATAGACATTTGTCTAAAAAATCCAATGCCTCAGGAGGGGCTCCTGGAAATATTTCAACAAAGGCAACTTTAGGTTTTTTTTGAAAACTCTTCAAATATTCAATAGCTTTTTTATCAGTAACAAAATCCATATCTCTAATATAATTAATTGCTTTGATACTTTTCTCCAGGTGTTCCCAAGACAGAAAAGATGACAGTTAGTTAATCTGTATTAGAATAAGGAAATCCTCCTTTCTTAGCTATAGCACTTCTTTCAGGACTAAGAGGGAAACAACTTGTTCCTGGGAATAGAGGAGCTCTATCTAAAAATGTTGGTGCATTTTCTTTCATCATATTTAACAATTCTGCAAAGATACAACCAACAGACCAAACATCAATAGCAGCAGTATAATCTTTTTCCAATAGAATAACTTCTGGAGCTCTATACCATCTTGTTACTACATGACCAGTTAATTCTCTTTTTACAGCTTTGGCATTTAATTTATTTTATTTTTATAACATTCTAGGTCCTTTTTTTTCATCTTTCTTTTTAGGCTCTTCTTATTATCTAGCAAGTTCTTCCTCTAATGCCTAATCTGTAGCATCAATACCTAGAAAATAAATAAAAATAAAAAAACCTTGAACACTTCTTGCTAATCCAAAATCACATATTTTAACAGTGCAATCTTCATTTAATAAAACATTTGCTGGTTTTAAGTCTCTATGTAAAACCTTAGCAGAATGCAAATATTTAAGGCCGACACAAATATTATAGACAATTGTTTGTATATGTAGAAATTGTAAATGAATGGGTGATTTAAATAATTTTTTTAAGTCACTCTTTGATAAATAATAAATAATTACTTGAGCATATTCCATAACAACGTAAATAGTATCAAATGATTTAGGATCTTATGGTTCAAGAATTTCAATAATTTGAATTAAATTTTGGTGCTTCAATTCTCTTAAAATACATATTTCTCTTAAGATTCTTTTACAATCAATTTCATCATCAAATATTGCTGTTAATCTTAAATAATATACAAATTATATTACACCTTTTAATAGCAACTTTTTTATTTGTAGATTTTTACATAGCCTCTACAACTTATCCATATGATCCTGATCCTATTTATTTGATTATCTCATAATCATCTCCAACTTACCAATCTGAAAAGTTTTTAGGTAATTAAGATAATTTTTAAAGTTTCTATGCGTCCTACATTAAATATGTTAAGATAATAAATAAAATTATTTTATGATTCTTTTTGCAGTGAAAATTAAGTCTTTTCTTTTTTAAAAAATATGATAATTAAAAATTAAACTCAATTTCTAAAATTCTAGTTTATATCAATATTGTGGATATCCTATAAATTAGACAAGATTAAACTTTATTATAACCACAATATTATTTATTAATAAAAGGGCTTCAATATTTCTATATTAATTGATTAAGTATATAATTAAAATGTTAAGTGACGATTAAATATTATAAATAGTGTTGACTGTCGATAGTATGATACTACATTTATAATTTTACCTTACAGATGAAGTCTAATATTTGATAATGGGATTATCTTCAGTTGGATTTCATATAATTCTCTTTATTGCTGAATAATTATGGAACAATACTTCATTTAAAATGATTTTAAACATACTTAAATTAGCTTGGATACTATTTATTTCTTAATTATTGTATCAATATTGGATGGTCCATATAGGAATTCAAATTGTGTGCATTCTAAAATTAAACTAGTCAAAAACTAAATTATTGATACCAATAGTATTTACTATGCATTTGGTATCAATAACATCAGCCAATATAGATTATTTACCTACTGGAATAATTAGAAATTGTCTTTCTTATTTTTTATTACTTTATCTTTTTAAGAAACCAACCTATAACATAAATCAAGCATAAGATATCATTAAATAAATCACATCTAATATTTATATAATTTTGGATAACAATTTGAATCCACTATATGATGAAGAAAGTTTTGAATAGATATAGAAAGAATAAGTGATTATTTAATAAGATGAATAAGTTGATCATATTCTAACTCATAGAGAATCAATAAAAATTGGAATTTATCCTAAATTTATAGATAATAAAAATACCTATGAATTTAAATAAGTTTTATCTTAAATAAAAACAAATAATAAAGAATGGTCTAAATAAAAATATGATACATTTACAGATTCTGTAATAATAATAAAGAAACTTTATTTGGGTAATGATCATGTATATAAATTTTGTAATTGTATAAATAAAAAAAAAGAACTTTACTATCTAGTTGTCAAAAAATAAAAAAAAAATCAATAAAATTAAAATTAGAATTAAATTGATATTGCTGATGAACGCACTAAAAAAATGATGAAAACTTTAAGTAAAGTTTCTCATGATATGAGAACACCATTAAATGCAATTATTAATATGTAGCTTTGTTTAAGAGAATAAATTGATACACATTTATTCAACCGTTATTTGAAACCATCCCTTAATTCTTGTAGATTGCTCTTGAATTTGGTTAATGATATTTTAGATTAAGCTTAATTATAAAATAATAAAATAAGATTAGTATTTAGAAAGTTTAATCTAAAACGGTTAATTGAAAAAACTATATCAATTTTTGATATTCAAAAAGAAAAAAAAGAACTTAAAATAATACTTAATTATTGTAATAATTCATAAGTTAATTAATTTGTTAATAGTGATAAAAATAGAATTAGATAAGTCATTATGAATTTATTAAGTAATGCTATTAAATATTCAGAAGCAAAAAATAAAATTATTATCAATTGTGATTACCAAAAAATAAATTCAACCTTTATTATTTCTGTTACTGATTCAGGTTTAGGAATTAAACCAGAAAATCTATAATCATTATTTTAAGAATTTTCAAGAGTAGATGATCATGCAAATAGAGATGTAAATCCTAATGGAATAGGTTTAGGATTATTAATCAGTAATGAATTATCAAAAATATTATCATATAATAATGAAGGAATTTCTGTTTAATCAGAATATGGAAATGGATCAACATTTTCATTTTCAATATTAAATTAAAAACCTTCTGATGAAGATTTATCAATATCTTAGTCTTCTGAAATACCTGCTTAAGAAATTCAGAAATTACCTGAATCTCATTTTTTGAATTCATAAAGTTTAAGATAAAATTCATAAGACTTTGCTGTAGCTATCAGACATACTTCTTGTGAAAATTGTTAAGCAATACAAATTTCAAGTAATTAAGACATTAAAAAATATAATCTAAGAGTGAATTCATCTAATTTATTATCCTCTAATCGTTTATTACCTTTCAATACTGATAATGAAAAATCATATTAAAGAAAATCAACAACTTAATCTAATTTGATTATTGAATAAATAAATAGTTGGTCAGACCCATCACAAAAACTACCACCTATTTTAATTGTTGATGATAATGAATTTAACATAATTGTTCTTTAATACATATTAGAATAATTATTTTTAACTTGTGATTCAGCCATCTCTGGTGAAATTGCAATTAAAAAATGTCGTTAAAGGATAAAAGATTTTAACCAATATAAAATAATCTTTTTAGATATTGAAATGCCTGGTATGGATGGAATGGAAACAGCAAATCGGCTCTTAGATATTGATAAAACTTTAAAAATAGTTGCCTGCACGGGAAATAGATAATCACCTGAATAATTAGAAGTTTACAAAAAAGTAGGAATGTTTGGAGCTATAGAAAAACCTGTTACAAAAGCTAATTTAAGAGATTTATTGTGCAAAATATTAGAATAGAGAAATGATGCTTAATTTTCTCATTACTTTTGATATTTATTTTAATAATTATTCGTTTATAATTATAAATATTAAATTTTATATATATCAAATAATTTCTTACCTTGAGAAAAAAATTCTATTTAAAATTATACAGGAATAAAACTATAACTCCTTTTTTATCTTCATTATTAAGACAATTTAACTCTACTTAGTCTCATTTTATTTGACATTAGAGTATGTCTATAATATAATTCATTAAAAACAGAATTTTTATAAAACTTTTTTTTGAAAATCAATTTAATTCTTGTCTTGTGTTTTATAAATATCTAGACATCATTTTATTTCTAGATGATCATGATATCCATAAAATCATTAATTTCTATGATATTATCAAGTAATTGTAAAAGAAGTTTTCAAAAAAAAAGCATTTGATATGTTTTAAATAGTAAATTAATTACATAGGAAGATATATTTATTAACATACTCCTTCAAAATAAGGTTAAGGAGAATTCTTTTAAATAAAATTAAAAAATTTTAATTATATTTTTTTTTAAATTCAATAGCCTATCATTTATGTATAAATAAAAATATATTCTATTAAGTGTTAATCCTCTTAATTCAAATAAAAACTAATATTTAATAAATGAAAGATACTAATCGAAAAATTATGTTTTAAATTATTTTATTAAATGGGTTTATTATTATTATTATTATTATTTTTTTTTTTTTAAATATATGAAACCTTTAGTGATATCTAATTCACAGATAAATAAACACGAGTAAGCAAATAAAAGTTAGAATCGAATTCTTAGATATGAAGATAAGAAAGTATTTTAAGAAAACTTCTTTAACAAAAGTAGATTGTAACAAGAGCCTCAAAATTTTCAATAATACTTTTATTTCAATAATATATTATAAAATTAAAGAAAATAAATGATTATTGAGAATAAAGGTTAAGAATTGTAAGAGAATTAATTAAATGGGAACTAAGTAATGTCTATTTAAGAAAAAATCATAAATTATATAATCGAATATTAATAATAATAGTAAATCAATAAGAAGTACACTTATGTTAAAAGAAAGATTTATGAAGAACTTAGAATTGAAGAATCTAAAATAAGTTAATAAAAGATCGAATTAGAATCAGTTTCAACTGATTGTAGTAATTTTGAGAAGAGCATAATCTCGTAAGAGTTATCATTTGAAAAAAGTTTTACTGAATATCTAAGATTAGGGTTTGAGAATTTTTATAAAGGAGAATTTTCATAAATTTTATTTTAAGAAAATTATATTAGTCCAAAGTAGATAATTATTAATTTAAATAAAGCTTTATAATAATTTAATGAGTGTAATAAGAAACAAATGAGGGAAGATTTAAGAGTTTGTTATATTGGTATTAGCGAAGAATTTAATTTTCAATCTATTTAGGAGGAGAAGGATTTTTAATTTTTATAAAGTTTCTCTTTTATGATCCAAAATGAATAGTCACTATTAACATAACCTTAATAAACACAGAACATAAATAATTTAATATAAAAAAATCAATATTACATAAAATTAAATGTATCTAATAAGATTACAAATTAAATTCATCTACTATATAGATATTTTTTAAAATGTAAAATAAGATAATTCAAACCAAAAATAATAGTGTTATTCTTAGAAATTAATGATTTCATTGATTTTGAGACATATTACTTTTAAAAATTAATCACCTAATTAGAGAAAATTTCATAACATTCACTTATGGTTATTCCTTTATTATCTATGTATTCACCATAAAATTTTGAAAAATATTTAAAATACGCTGTGTTAATAACAAATTCATGTTTGGATTATTCATATAAAAGAAAGAATAAAGCATATTATTAATGTGATGATATTTCTGCTTAATAATATAAAGAATACAGTTAATATTTTGCATAAACTTAAAAAGAATAATAATTCTTTACTCGTTAATACTTAGCATTGAAAGTTAGAAATAATAAATATTAATCAAACAATATGGATATTGAAAACCAATAAGAGAATTATCGTTTACCATATGGAAAATCTGTATAAAATAAATAAAAAAAGAATATTAAAGGGTAAGAATTTCAATTTAATTTAATTGGTATTCTAAATTTGAAAAATTAAATAATACTTACTAAAATTTATGAAAAATAATCATAAGAGCCAATTAAAATTTTAGAAGTTCAATACTTTATATCTTATAATTAAGATAAGAAATAATTTATCATTTGCATTGTGAAAGATGATTAATTGTTTTATAAAATATGTTCTTACAATACAGAAAGTGAAACACAAATAGAAGATTCAATTTATTTAGATGAATATACATACTTTAAAGTAATTAAAAAGAAATGCAAGAGTTCTTATTTATTGTTAGATTCAAATTTTTATTAATTTAATGTTATAATTTCTATAGATGAATCAAATAAACAGTTAAAAAATCATAATTCTGGATTTTAGTATTTTGTATAAGTGTATAAATATAATTTAAATGAAATCTAATAACCATAAAAATATTTTAATCAAGAGACTAATTAATAAAATACTTATAACTTAATAAATTTTACAGTTANATAAGATTACAAATTAAATTCATCTACTATATAGATATTTTTTAAAATGTAAAATAAGATAATTCAAACCAAAAATAATAGTGTTATTCTTAGAAATTAATGATTTCATTGATTTTGAGACATATTACTTTTAAAAATTAATCACCTAATTAGAGAAAATTTCATAACATTCACTTATGGTTATTCCTTTATTATCTATGTATTCACCATAAAATTTTGAAAAATATTTAAAATACGCTGTGTTAATAACAAATTCATGTTTGGATTATTCATATAAAAGAAAGAATAAAGCATATTATTAATGTGATGATATTTCTGCTTAATAATATAAAGAATACAGTTAATATTTTGCATAAACTTAAAAAGAATAATAATTCTTTACTCGTTAATACTTAGCATTGAAAGTTAGAAATAATAAATATTAATCAAACAATATGGATATTGAAAACCAATAAGAGAATTATCGTTTACCATATGGAAAATCTGTATAAAATAAATAAAAAAAGAATATTAAAGGGTAAGAATTTCAATTTAATTTAATTGGTATTCTAAATTTGAAAAATTAAATAATACTTACTAAAATTTATGAAAAATAATCATAAGAGCCAATTAAAATTTTAGAAGTTCAATACTTTATATCTTATAATTAAGATAAGAAATAATTTATCATTTGCATTGTGAAAGATGATTAATTGTTTTATAAAATATGTTCTTACAATACAGAAAGTGAAACACAAATAGAAGATTCAATTTATTTAGATGAATATACATACTTTAAAGTAATTAAAAAGAAATGCAAGAGTTCTTATTTATTGTTAGATTCAAATTTTTATTAATTTAATGTTATAATTTCTATAGATGAATCAAATAAACAGTTAAAAAATCATAATTCTGGATTTTAGTATTTTGTATAAGTGTATAAATATAATTTAAATGAAATCTAATAACCATAAAAATATTTTAATCAAGAGACTAATTAATAAAATACTTATAACTTAATAAATTTTACAGTTACTGAATTTGAAAAAAATAAATACATAGTATTAGGAGGTTCATGTTAATCATTTTCAGAATTTTAAGATTTTAATCTACGTACATGTTCTATAATTATTGAAATTGATGAAAAAAATTAAAATATATTAAAAATAACAGAAAATATAGGAAAATTGAAAAGTTATGAAAATTCTATAGCATAGAAAATCGATAATTTTTCTTTGATTTATTTTGAATCGTAAACCAAATATTTAACAGCACCTATTTAATCATAATTTTAAAAATTGTCTATTTTTGGAGCACAATCTAAATTGTAAACAGAAAATTATTAAATTTTAAATTAAGAGATTTTTGAATTCTATTAAAAAAAAAAGAAATTATTTAAATCTAACCAATTAAATAGCAAAATTATTTCTTAAAATAGGAAATAATTAGTATTTTTTGTGGTTGTGTAAGAATTGGTTTAAGATAATTAATAAATATTAGATTAAGAGAATAGTATTAATGTGAAATTCCTCTCAAAATAAGTTTAATTATAAACTCATAAATTTTAATTTACTATTGAATTTGCTAAATAGACAATTGATATTTAATATGAAACTTATCAATTTATTATAGAACAGATAGAAAAAAAAAATAGTCTTAGGGAATCCTGTCTTTATGTTAATGTAATTTATTTTATTTAATTTTCTAGTGGTTAGAGGACAGAAATAACCAATATATATTTCCTTACAATGGAGTTTAAAACTTATATTTATTGTATTTTCATGATAAACCTACACCAAAAACTAGAAAATTTTTATTTGAAGACCCAAAAGATAAAGAAGATTATATAGATTTTGATGAAGTCATTTTAAATGATTTAGATAATGAACAACTTTGGATAGTTAGAAAAATTAATCATTAAGATCATATATCTTTAGCTTTATTTGAAAGGTATATATATAATATTAAAATTAGTGATTGGATAAATTTATAGGAAGTAAAAGACTCATAAGAAGACTCAATTACGAAAGTTCCCATTTCTTTTATATTTACAATTGCTTAAATTAAAGAAGATTTTTGTTTAATTGGCCTTGAAGTAAAATGGTAATTAGAATAAGGAAAAAAATGTCCATATTTAATCATATGTACAAGCAATTAAATTTATGAGATTTCAATATAAATGATTAGAAAAGTAAAATGGGATAACATTTTAAGATATAAACCAAATACTTGGGAAAAAGAACCACTAGAATTTCAATAATCACCAATTTATAAATAAAAATAAGTTTAATTTAATATTAATATGTAAATTCCTACAATAGTGGCAAGTTTGGAAAATGGAGATTTATTATTGTTTTATAGTTATTGTAATGTTAATAAAGAATTTGAAAACTAGTATTAACTTGAAATCTAGTATTTAATCTTAAAAAATTTAAATCAACAAGATAATGAACATATTGAATATGATGATGGTACAAAAGAATTTAAGTTTAAGACTATTAAATACAATTCGAAAAAAGAAGTTAATATTGCAAAAATAAATGCAGTTATTATATAAAACAATGAATTTGAATTTTCAGTAATTGTAGAAGAATCTGATTCAAATTTATACAAAGTATTTTCAGGCGATGATTCAAAGGATAAAAAATAATTAATAACTATCATGAAAGAATGTAAAATCTTAAATGATGCTGCCCCTTTGAAGAATTAATGTATTATAGTTAGCTAAGATACCCAAAATGTTTATCACCTTTAATGATTTTATATTTTTTGTTATTATTTTCTAAATATATATTTATTTTATTAAAAGACTCAAAAGCAATTAGGTTTTCAAATAATTTAAATAAATTAGAACAAAATAAATAATTATAAATTTATAAAAATCTAAAAAAACAATATTCTACTTAATCATCCATATTCTTTTATCATTAAAATAATATTTGGAGAATTAATACATCTTTCTTAATTGTTTTTTTATCATATTTTTGAATATATTACTTAAACATTATCTATATTATATTAAATTTTTGTGTATTAATAATTTTTCAATTATGATTAAATTATATTCATTTATTTCTAATAATTTTGATTATATTTAATTGTAATATCTAATTATAATATTATTAGATAAAAAATCCATATACAATTTTTTGAGTGATGTTTGACTAATTTTATTCTAATTATTTGATGATAATTTATATTTCTAAAATAGAGAAATTAAAGAGTAATAGAATAAATCAATTATTTTTTTATTTAGGAAAGTATTTCTTAAATTTTTATGAAATGAATTATATAATATTTATTAAATTATTTTTAAAAATAGTTTCTTACAAAATTAATTTGTTTTATATATATAATTGAATAAGTATATCAATATATAACATCCTCATATAATTAATAAGTGATTGTGTAAATTTTTAGAATATATTTGATTTTAATAGGAATTTTAATAGATAATAATATTAAAATAATTAGCATTAAAAACTATATTTTTTAGAGTGGGATATAAAAACAAATGTTAATATAATTCCTAAAATAGTTAAATCTTAAAGTAAATTTGATTTAATGTGAAATGAAATTAATTTAAATTATTTTCTATTATGTATTAGTTACAAGATATATTTCTGTATTAATGATAATCTAATGTAAGACAAAATATATATTTTTTTCTCTAATAGAATTAAAAAAAAATGGATGAAAAATTATTTATAAATAAAATTTAATTAATCTAAATTTAGAATAATGGAAGAAGTTATAATGTAATTAATTTCAATAAATTTTATAAATATATTCTACAAAAGTACAAGTATATAATTTTTATAATAATACATAGAATAGTATTGATTTCTAAAAATTAGAAATACCCATTAAAGTAAACTAAGAAATAAATAACTTATAGAAAATAATTTAAAATAAATATTTTAATTATATAAATTACAGTAATCCAGAGGTAAATATACTTAAATATCATTCAAATAGGAGGATAAATGATAACGAAATAATTAGATATAAATCTAAAATAGATAGTCTTTATTTTTTAATGATATTTCTAAATTACTATAATCATCAAAATAATTTATGTTATCAGATAAGCCTTTTGATAGCTGCATACTTCTCTATTATATCTCTGATCTCGAATTCATTAGGTAACTAGAACAAAGAAGGTTTTTTAAAATTGATTGCCAAACTTATTAGTCTCTTTCATTAATAAATTGAATTACATTCTTAGGATTATTAACAACAAATGTATCATGTATATATTTTTACCAAATCTCCTTTTTTTTTTAAGCATATTCATCTAATAATGAAAACATTAAAACTCTATAAATAATATAAACAAATACGTATCAATATGAATATGTGATCTCTCTTCATAATCATAATATGAAGTTATGCCCTTTAATTAAGCAAATTCATAAATGATATCATCAAACTCTTCTTTTATTAATCTCCAAAGCTTTTCCTTAAAGTTTCTTTTTTTGCATTTCATATTCCTAAAATTTCTTTAGATGGAAATTACTAATATTTATTATAAAATATATATATACTCTTTGCTGTCCATCTTTAATATTTGTTCAGAACACTAATAGCCAATATTATGGATTGTAAATAAGAAGTAACTACTTTTTTAGCCTTTTATATAATTGGTTTCTTTAAAATCATGCAAATAGCATTTAATGAAAGTGATGACTTAAAAATTGTTCTTTCAATAGGAGTATCTCCAAAATCTTTAACTGAAATTAATGATTTTGTTTATAATTACCAAACTAATAATTTTCCTCTTGCTTCAAGTCGAATTTATTTTTTTTAACACTAAATAATATATAAATTACGATACCAATAAAAAATACTGTAAATTGTGAAGAAAGATAGTTGTAAAAATACATTTTAACCATGCTTTTTAAAGTGCATTTCTATATGAAACTTTTTATTTAGTCATTTTTTCAATTTCTCTATATTTTATAATCTAATCTTTCACAAATAACTTACTCTTCTTAACTAATAATTTTTCTTCTATGATATTTTTTCCATTATTAAGTACTTTTTATTATTTGATTTATCTTTCTGATTTTATTTATTATAATGTCTCAGGATTAAGAAGATTTTATAATCTAGCTTCAGGTTGATAAAATTTTGGTTAAGACTTTTGTTTTTTAGTTCTTGGAATAAAATCCTCAAACAAGGATTGAGCTTTTTATGGCTTATTAACTTTTATTTTTCTCTCAAATCCAAATGTGACAACCACAGTACATAAAAAATCATTTTGTGAATATAATGTCATAAATAAATAGTCTTCAGTAAAAAAAGAAGTCGTATTGTTCGCGAAAATTCTAATTGATTTACTGTTTACTTAATAATCAGCATTAAATTTTGTTGGAAATTCAATTTTTAATGAAAAATATGATCGGAGACTGTTTATTTGAGCATTTTAGCTAAAAAATGTTATCTGAATAGGAGATTCTTAATCTTTGATTCTAATTCTATAGTACTGAAATCGAAACCTTTAAATTTCTAACTTCATTTCATAATTTAAATCACATTAAGTGAGATAGTTGTTTTAATAATTAATCACCTATGTAATATTTTCTTATGCTTATTTATTTATATTAGTATAGAATTGTTGATCCAAATAATTTAATTCAGAAGTCAATGAGTTCAACATTTTTACATTGTTATAATTTTTTTCGAATTCATCATATATTTCAAGTATTTCATTTGATCTAGGAATAAGTTTTTCAGTAATTTCATCTTTATTTTTAAGAATTCTTCTTTAAGTGGTAGTTGGCGATTTATCCTATTGTATTTCAATAGTTTATTATGTTTTGCATCTAGAAGTAATGAGGGTTCGAAAACTGGGGATTGCCAATTAGGTTTGCTATTTATTTTTTAGATAATATGAATCTTAAGATTGTCGAGAATATTTAGTCTCAGAAGTAGTTAATTTGTCAAACCTTTTTATTGAGTTTTGCAAAGTGTTTTAATACATTTTTTAATATATAATACAGAATTCATTATTTAAGAGAATCAGATGAGTAACACTAACTGTCCCATCTAACTGTTTTATTACTATGTTCTCTCTGAAGAGAATTAACATGGGAAATTTATTTAAGCGAAGGTTTGAGTAATTTTTAATTGCCATCTTTATATTAAGTGGCTGATTCAAAATGTGTACCACTCATATTTCTCTTTTTTCTGATCTCAAATTATGCACTAAACCCAGGTTCAATTTAATTAATTAATTCTGAAAGGCAGTCTTCATCAGCCTCCATTTTATATTTTGATGAAAAAATTTTATTCAAATTACTAGCTTAAACACTTGATTTAGCAAATGCTTCGTTATCCTCTTCAATTGTCATCTCTGTTATACAATAATTTCCCATTTTCAATAATTTTTTTATAGTCCAGAATCAATTTAATTAAGTTTATTTAGTTTTGAATATTTCTATAGTTTTCAAATCAATTTCTGTGGTTCAAGCTTAAAACTTACAGTATTTCCTGACAGATTATAATAAAATTGTAATGAAAATAATACTTAAATAAAATCACTATTATATTTAAACCAAATATCTAATTCTAACTCTGCTCTCATCGTAAATTATATATTCAGTTTAAGCAGTTTTGAAACCATGTGAATGTCCTAGTTTTTCTTTCAGATGTTCAGGAAAAGGTTAAGAAACAATATTACCAATTGGAACAACACATCCGTTTGGTAATTTAATTTATGACATAGTATCTGGACCTTAAGAACCTACTACCCTTAAAGTTATTTCAGGTTCTAATTATTATAAAATTAATTACTATAGTAGTTACTGATATCTTAATCTTGATATTGATATATATCTACTTGATTTTAACAACTGACCTCACATAATAATAAATATCTGTATTTCTGTAGATTTTGACATTATTAATTAGTATTACGATAATTCGATCTAATTGTATTATCATTAGTATAATTATAGCTCTTGGAAAATTGATCTGCAAAATAGATTCCTTTTCCATATAAAGCTCCAGTATTTACAGCCCAAGCAGGTGCGACTAATTAATAAAATTACTATTTTACTTTTTAATCCAAGTGCCATTAAACTTATGAAATTTGATATTTTAGAACCATGCCATAGCAATATTCTGGGTGCATTATTAAATTGCTCAAATTTCTTTGCCTCTCCTTTTCTTTCAATAGCAAAAATATTAGAAATCTTAAGAGATTAAGTTTTACCCATATAAGTTTATATCATCTTATATTCTAAATCTTCTTTTGTTAATGTAAGCATTTTAATATTCAAAGCATTAAAACAATATGTTAATGGGTGAATTACATTTGATTTAAAATGTGCTCCTAAAAGTATTTTAACCGAAAGTTCTATATTTAAAAGTACTTCAACTAATTATAATTATTAATTAATTATATCATCGTTTTCTAGTAAAGGTAATACGTTTTATCTCATTTAAGTTTAGGGTATAATTTCATAATATCTAGCTGATTTCTCATTAATTTCTGAATAATATTATTACATTTTTTTTAGATCTCTATCTGTTAATTACATATATTCAGTAAGTTCTTTAACAATTTCCTTAAGTTCTAATAAATATTCTTTTGCTTTTAAAATTATATTTTTATTTAATTTTTCTAAAGGAACAAAACTTGTGTCAAAATGATAGTTTTATAATTCTTATTGATACAATTTAACTTGTGAGAATTGTTCAATGACAGATTAAATACTTTAATGTAATTAACATTTAGGATATGGAGATTTATCACTTAAATCAAAAGGTTATAAAAATGTCTTATAACTGACATTGTTGCTTAATTGCATTAATTGATATTTTTCTGGTTTCTTTTCAAATTCAATTTCACCTCTTTTTATTAATTTCCAATTATTTCCTCCAGTTTTTTATGAAAAAATCTTACAATATTCTTTAATTGTAGTTTCTAAATTTTCAAAAGGTGTCATTTAAAATTAACCTGTTTCTCCAATTTAACCCCATTTTGTAAATAAAATATAATTATTTCTATTTCGATCCAATAAAATTTGCATTTTATAGAATACATTTTTATGGAAATTCTTATTCACTATATCTACTTTTGACATCAAACATTAAAATAGTCCATATTCTGGATCTTCATAAACAATTAAATCTCCTTTTGTTATATGAGCTTATTTATCAACAATTTATTTATTATCAATTTCAGGTTCTAATTACATATTCATAATTCCTTAATATTATTATGCATCTTCTTCAAAATCTAATTCTTAATCTGGCCACAAAGCAGTTGATATAATTGATGTTGGCATTCTCTACTATCTTAAACTTCTAGTATGATGAGCATTTAAACTTAATAGTTCTTCTTTCATTACTTAAGCATCAAAAATTAATGCATAATCTAAAGGTGTTAATCCTTTATTATCTTAAGTATTATAATCAAATAATGGAATTAATAATTTCAACATTTCTAAATTTTCATAAGATCCAAATTCTAATGGTAATACAACATGATGGATAGGACTTTTACCATCTTTATCTTTTGCATGATATTCACTTTTAAAAGTAGGTTATTCTAGGATGAATTGTAATAATTTGATATTATTATTTTGAATTGCCATTGTTATAATTGTTTTTCCTTCTTCATTTTATTCATTTATATCAACTCCATAATTAATAAAGGTTTTTAAAACATCAACATTAATAATTTTATGATAATTTACTAAAAACATAAAAGGTTTCATATATTATTAACCAGTACTAATTAATTGAAATTGTACATCTATTTTCAATCCATTCTTAATAAAAATTTAGAAATTTGAATTGTAATTTTTTTAGAGTAAAATAGTAAAGGGATTATTTTAAGTTGAATCCATAATATTAGGATCACATTTTCTAGTTTGAAGAAAGTAATTTATCAAAAATTAATCTTGATTTTCAGCTGCATAATGTAAAGGAGTTTTTAATAAACTATCCTACAAATATGGACTAATTTCTTTAGTTTCAAATTCCTCTATAATTTCCAATTTAAGATCTGATTTAACATTAGATGAAAATTTAGCAAATAAATGATATAAATTTTAACCTTTTTCATCTAATCTTTGTACATCTCTTATATTTTTTACTTTCATTAAAAGAGTTAAAACTAATTAAAATTAATTTGCATTAATTGCATCTTGAATAGCTTTGACAAATTCATATCCATCACTAATTAATAAATATGCTACTCCTTACCAACCAAATTTAATAGCTTATGAAAAATAACTATATTTTCCTGTTGATAATTTATTATGCAAATGTTAAGGTATATCTAAATCATTATTAATTCTTTCTTAAACAAGTTATTCAATAATCTTATTTCTCTATATTATTTTATCTTTACGTCTTCTTCTAAATATAATAGGTTATTCATTTTTAAGTTTACTATTAACTTATTCATCATTATCAGATTCTTCTGAAATTTGATCATTTTTATGATTAGTTTTTTAAATTTCTTATTAGATTTTCTCCAATTATGCTTTTCTCTCTTCCTATTATGTTTTTAATAATTTGGAATTTATTTCTTAATCTTCAGCCATCATAATTCTATTTACTTCAGGATCTTTTTTAACTTCTTCTTTGTAAATTTTATACTTTTCTGATTTATAATCACTTTCACTAATGATAGTGATTTCTTTATTAACATTTGCTTTATTATCAATAAGCATTGTACTAAAATTAGAATGTTAAAAGAATGCATATGCCAAAGGAGTATTATTAAAATTATCTGGTTCATCAATTTTAGCACCCATTTTAATCATATATCTACCTGAAATGGCACTTCCCCTTAAAGCAGCATAATGTAGAGGGTATCTTCCATATTTATCTCTAGCATTTACATCGCATTCAGCATAAGCCAATAATGATGAAACAGATTCAAAAGGATCTATTTCTTTAGTACTTTTTGGATCATCAAATTTTGTAAAAGCATAAAAGAGAGGAGTTCTATTATATACATCTAGTATGTTACATTTGGCTCCAGATTTAATTAGAATCTATTCCATTTAAAAACTAGCATTTGCATTTGGATTACTAAAATTAGTAGCATAATGCAAAGCTGTTCTTCCATACTTATCTTAATAATTAGGATCTAATTTAAATCTCTAAAGTAAAGATTTCACAGCTCTTATATCTGATTAAGATACAAATTTATGTAATGGTACCATATTTGAATTATTAATATCATTAATTTAACCTCCTAAACTCACAAGTTTTTCTAATAATGGTATATAGCTATCATTATATTTTTAAGCAATCATCAAAGTTGGTGTATTACCAGCAGAATTCTTTTCTCTAAAATTTATTCCTAAAGAGATTAAATAATCAAAAAAGATTTCAGAAGTCTCCTCTTTTTACCTTTCTAAAATAGCTTAATTTAATTGATAATTCTAAAAGAAATAATGGACAGGTTATCCAAATAAATCATGTTCATATATTAAATCTTGTGGAAATAAATTCTAAAGTTCTTTAACAAATGAAACACTTGGAAAGAATTAAAAGGCTAAATGAAATACATTACTATTTTAAAAAGAAGATGTTTCTTTTTCTTTATCTCTGCACCATTTTTATTTAATAATTTTGACTCCTGTATCAGCACCTTTAGATATTAATAATTTCAATATTTCAAATAATTAGTTTTAATATTTATATCCATCTTAAACTCTCTATCCATCTAATTCAACAGTTTCCTCTAAAGTTAATCCAATCTGAACATTAATTTTCTCAAATGTATATCTTGAGCCATGATGTACTTATTTATTATTTGTTAATCTTAATTAAATTTCATTTTAGAAAGCATAATAAGGATTAGCTTAAGGATTCTATAATAAAATATTTTTAAATTCTTCTTCCTTAGATTTATATTCCTCAATAATCTTATCCCAAATTTACTATTTATGTTGTAATATTTTTTAAGCAAAGTCTTATTAAATTCTTTAAGCTATGCTTTATACAAAACTATGAACTAATCTTAACAATGGTAAATATCCATCTTGATCATAAAAGTTAATTAATTAGGAATTTATTTTATTTAAAATTATCTCAAACGTTTAGATTGCTTCCATATCATAATAAAATTAGTTTTCAATCATTATATGTAAAAAGGTTTTGTCAGCATTATTAACTAGATTGACATCTACCTCTGTAATATTTAATAATTCCTTGATTAGAGTATAATTTTTTTATTGTAAACAAAGAGAAAAAGCTGATTAACCATTTTCTTTTTCTTAAGAATTAATATTTGCTCCATTTTACAATAATAATTTAACAAGTTATGTTTGGATCTAAGATTACTAAGAACCAAGAATATGCAATAAACAGGTTCTACCATCTTTATCTTTGATGTGTATATCAGCTCCATTCACTAATAATAATTTGACTAATTCAACTTATAAATCTGATTATTTACACAACAAGGCATGTTGTATACATGTTTTTCCAAATTTATCTTAGATATTTATTTCAGCTTTTTTCTCTTTTATAAGATATTTGATGAAATCAAATTGATCTTAAGTAGAGTTGAATCCCTTTATCAAACTAGCTATCAAAGTTAATCCATCATCATCAATGCAATTAACATCAGTATCATCATATTTAAGTAATTCTTTAACAATTCCAAAATGATTTTTGGCTAATGCAACATTTAAAGGAGTCAATTTCCATGAATTAAATTAATTTTAATCAACTTTTACTTCAATTAAAGTTTAAACACATTCTAAAAAACCATAAGCTGCAGCATGATGAATAAGATTATTTTTTGATGAATCACTAATAGTTACATCTGCTCCATAATAAATTAATTTAGTTAAAATAGTTTAATTTCCATTTCTTGCAGCCATAATCAAAGGAGTTCTACCAAACTTATCTTTAGCATTAATCCTAGCTCCTTCATCAAGTAAATATTCAACTAATTCTAAATGATTATATGCACATGCATAATGTAATGGAGTCATTCTATTTTTACCTGCAATATTTATTAACACACCATTATCAATGAGTAATTTAACACATTCTGTATGTCCATTTTAACTAGCTAAATGAATAGCACTATTTCCTTCTTTATTTTTACCCTTAAGATTAGTATCAAGTAATAATTAAATATTATGTGCTCTTCCATATTTTGCTGCTATCATAATAGGTGTCGTTAAGAATTTATCTCCTTCTCTTCCATCGACTCCATTATCTAATAAATATTGTAAACAATTAGAAGTTTATGATGCAGCTGCATAATGGACAGGTTTTCTACCATTTTCATCTTAACAAGTATATTCCATAGTTTATTGCATAAAATATCTCAAAAATTATTCTGATGGATTAATGCAAGCACAAAAAATAGGAGTAATTAAGAAATCATTAGATGTTTTTTTTGTAATTGAAACCTTTTTAATTTAATCCAATTTATATGTACTAAAATTATCACCCAAAGCATCATGATGGAGATAATTAAATCCATATCCATCTTCATTATTTACAATAGAGTAATTAATTAAGTATTTAGCAGACTTCCAATTTCCACATCTAACAGCCTTTGAAACATTTTCTATTAATTAATTATCAAATTCATAATTTTTGGAATCAAGGAAGAATAGTTCATATAATTAAGGATCAGTTTCAATTTCCAATAATTTTTAAAAATAATAACTTTCCTTCTCTTCATCATTTAAATCATAAACAAATGCATTATTTCCTTCTCTATTTCCTCTTCCTAAAGCAACTTTTCTTAATTTTACTCCATATGCATGTTTATTATTATAGCCTGTATTAATTTCTTTTAGTGTGCAAGCATTTTCTCGACCTAAAATAACTTTATTTTTATTTTATAAATAATAAGACAATAATTCTTTATCTTATCTTCTTAATAAAATTTCTTCTGCTGATATATCTAATTCTGGTCCCCATCTATCTTCAACTGAAGATAATTTATATTATTTTGAAAATATATCTTCCATTAATTTCTTATTTCCTGTTTATGCTGCTCGAATCACTTCTTTATTATTTGCTTTCATACTTTGACGATCTATAAAATAATCTTCAGTTCCTTCAAATTATGAATTAACACTTTTTAAATTTTTATATAAATCCCTGAATTTCTTACTCTTTTATTTTCCTTTCTTTTAATCTTTTTCTTCTTTTTTTCTTGATATTCTTTATTTTTTTGGAACTGGATCTTCTTCTGCTGAAGAATATGAATCATTTGAATCTTCATCATTTTCAATCTATTTATCATCAAAATCTTCATTTTATTTATTATTTTTCTTTGATTTTTTTTGAGGAAGCTCATTTTGATTGTCTTCATCATCATAATATTTTTGAGTTTTTTCAATTATTGATTTCTCTTCATTTATTAGACTACGTATTGCTTATGAATATATTTCTAAATCCACAACATATATGGTTTCCTCAGTATTGATTATTGATACACCTTCAATCAAAGTCCTTGAATTATAAATATATCAATACCATTTATTTTAGAAATCAAATGTTCTTTATTCTTAACACTTATATTACTGCTTATTTCTTTTTATTCCTTCAAACTTAACTAATTCTGTAACTTTAATTATCTAATCATTAACAATCCAATCTTCCAATATTTTTAACAATTTATAGTCAGTTTCTTCCTTGCATAATATTATTTAGTCTTTTTTTAGTAATTATTCCTTTTTGCCTCGTTAACTTCTTAAATTTCTAATCATTCAAATTATTTGTAATAAAATTAATTTATTATTTTACCACAATTTCTGAAATCAAACTTTTATTTTCTGATGGAAATATATTAAAAATTAAATTATAAATAAAATTATATATATATATATATTTAAATCAGTACTATTGTCCTATTTTATGATGGATTAATAATCCTAACCACATCACTACTATGAAGAAATGACAATTTAATAATATATTCATATATATATTTATTAGTAAAATATATAAATAATATGAAAATATTTTTATCTATTAAGTTTGATTAGGTAATATTAAAAAAATAAATTTCTTAGTTATTTAGATTCATATTATAATTTAATCATTTTTATATTTTCTTTTTTTTACTTTTGTTTTATTTTGAATCAACTGGAAGGTTTGCTAAGAGAATTCCTGGCTTAGGTAGAGGCACTTTATAAGGATTAGAATGTCCTTAAGGTATCAATATAGATTTTTAAAGAATATTAATAGGAACAAATTTATTAGCAGATGCTAATCTATTTTTTAATTGTTTAATTTCTCCAATCTAAATAATTGAATAGAATTATTTATTACTTAAGAGTCTAATTCTTATTTAATACTATGTGTTTTTAAAATCGAACTAAATTATCTCTTAGGTTAAGTACTCTTAAAACAACTAGAAGACATAATCCTATTACTTTAAATAGTTTCTTGATTAGGATTATTTATAAGACCACCTGGTAAACAAGCTCCTCTAGACATTTTTAACAATTGAAGTCTTTATGAATTAATTTATTTTTCAAGATCAGCTTATTTGCTTTAAAAATCTTCTGCCTCTTCCTCCACTTAAGTAGGTATGACAGTGTTTTAAACTATCTTAGCCATAGGTACTGCACTCTATACCATTCTTGCTTTTGGTAAAGAGGATCTTTTAAGATAATTAGAATATGCTTTTTCTTCAGCCAAATCCATTTTTTTAGATTCATATAAATCAGAAATTTTGATTCCAACATTAGAATATTGTGAACCCATGGCTGTTAACTAATAAAGATTATAATTTAAATATACATATTCAGATTGAAGTACCATTTCATCAATTCTACTTTTATTAGATGCCCAATCTTTCATTGATTAAACCATTTCTATATCTTCTCTTTATTCTTTTACTTCTTTAACTCTTTATTCAGTATAATATTAATTTAATTTAGCAGCTACCATTTTATCTTCAATTTGAGTAGGATCATAATTATGAAATGTTCCTTAAAATTCTCCTAATCTACTCTTTTATCCAATTTAATATGCATTTTATGTTTCGATATCAGTCTTATAAGTTTTATTTGTAGGAGCAATACTAATATATTTATCAGATCTTCCTTTTTTTTTAATCTTTTTTATAGGTGCTATTTCTTATTAAGATGCTAAATTTTTGTTTGATTCTTCTAATTTATCTGGAGATTAATCTTCATCCTCTTCTTGTTCTTATTCAATACCTTCAATTTACTCTAATTTATCTCTATCAGTTGGTTTATCAGCTTTTAAAGGAGATTCTTCCCTTTGAATTTATCTTCTGGTTGATTTTTATTATTAATCATCATTAGTTTAGAGTACTGGAAAATTAGGATCATACATCCAAGATTATTATTATTTAGGAAGTGTATATTATTAATTAGTTTTAGGTCTTTAGAGTTTTTCAACTTAATCAATCATTTTATAGGTAGTTTGAGAAGTTTAAGGTCTAGTAAATTGTGAAATTCCTAAGACTCCTGGAGTAGTACCAGGACGAGTACTAGTATCTGATAAAAGGTTTTTTCTTTAATAGGTTTTAACTCTATCTTCAGGAGGATCAAATTCAGGATGAACTGATCGAAATTTAAGAGCATAGTCTTCAATTCCAGATGCATACTTATTTTCATTATATGTATTAGGAATAAAGTGAAGAGTCTTAAATATTAATAAATTAATTACAGAGTCCTTTTTCTCAAGTAGAGATTATTTCAATGAAGCAGTTTAAGATTTTGGCAATTAAGAAAAGAACCAATTAGATACTTTATTTAGAAAATCTTATTGTTATATTTTGTTCCTTGTACTAACCACTTCCAATAGTGAATTCTTAAGTTATCTATAAAGATTGTCAGAAACTAATGGATCTTATAATTTGATTTGTTCAGCTCTATAAAGTGTTATTTTTTCATTCCAATTCATTATTTCCTGTTTCAACATCTAAAATAAGGGATTTTTATTTAAGTAACCTGAAGTAAGACCATCAAGATCTATCTAGTCTATATATTAAATATGTACTATTTGTAAAACTGGCTTTTCATTCAATCTATTTAAATCATCAATCTTATATCCTGTTCTATCAAGTCTTTCATTTAATTGTTCTTCAATTGTCAATGGAGGAGGAATCAATGGTTTGCCATTTAGAATGAGAGCTCTCTCCATTTTCATTTTATTTATATAAATTTTATTGTTTTATGTGTATGGTGAAACTTTAACAATCTATGAATATATAATCATTTCTAAGGTTGTTACCAATAATCATTTTGATATTATTATTATTATTGATAATGTTGAGGATACTATTGATATTATTGGTAATCATAATATTAATATGGATAATAAGGATAGTATTATTATTGATTTCGTTACTGCTACATCTAATATTTGTATTATCTTAATGCTTATTCTCTTTCATCTATCACTGTAAAATCATTCAATATGCTTTTTTTATCTGAAAATTCTTCAAATATTTTCATCATCTACTTCCCAGTTTCCCAACTCAAAAATACACCATCTCTAGATCTAGTCACTTCAATATTATCACTATTCAAAGTTATAATTAAATTCTAACCTATTTCTTAGATGTTCAAAATGTTTATTAGGTACATCCTTTACATACAGCCATTACACATTGAAATGTCCTTTCCATTTCTTTATCTCCCACCAATATTGGAAACTCTCTTCTTTATATCCAGATGTCAACTTTGCCACTCCAACAAATTATCCACTTCTAACTACACTGAAAAACAAATAAACTGGAATTCCTTCTTGTTGAGCCTCTAAATATTTTGCATTCAATTTTTCATTGTTTTCTTTACTTGATGTCCAAATTCCATATTTTATAGACTATTTTCTATTATTTATACATATTACCTTATGAATATCATCATCATTGTTACTACGAAGAATGTATGTATGTGCATTATCAGCATCTGCCAAATGTCTGTCACTTTAATTTATTTACTTCAAAGCAGGTATCAATTTTGATGCCTATTCTAAATTTGTATAATCTTAGCATGAAATGTATGGAACTTTTAAATCTCGTTTATTTCTAACATATGGTTCAAAATGATTGTTCATTAATTTTTAATCAAATTTAAATAATAATAATTACTAATATATTCATTTCCACTCTCTAATAACACTTTCTCATGATTTATTATATTTTTTAAATCACTAATTTTTTATTAAATTAATCTATTTTTTATAAAGCATCATTGAAATTATTTCCTTAATAATCTAATAAAATCATTATTAATTGATGGTTTATAAAATAGATTTTATTTATTAATCAATATAAATATTATATGAATACAAACAAAATAACTTATAAATATTTACAATAAATTTTTATTATTGTATTTTCAATCAAGAAAATTTAGAAATTAGTCTAAATTACTAAATATTATAATTTATTTATAAATCTTTAAGTATAGATATATTCTTCTCTTTGGTTAGATTAAAACAAAATAATATTTTTATTAATATTTTTATTCATGAAGAATTTAGTTTATATTATTATTAATTTTGCGCGACGTTAATTATTTTAACGAATAAATTATGGAAATTAAATACAACCGATCCCTAAGTGGAGTACCAGAAAATCAATCATAATAACCTCTTAGAAGAATAACCAAAACTTATATAGAAAACAGAGACCCTGTAAGAAGAAACTTAACTTAATTGTATAATGAAGGTAAAAAGATTATATTATTGGAATTAAGACACCCAACAAATTAATAAGTCAATGCTTGGTAGTAATAATGATTTAAGGAGGAAATAAGAAAGAGTTAAGAGATCTTTCAATTAAGATATACTAGAAGATAAAGAGAATGTGCCTTAACATAAAGCCATTTCGTCTAAAATTTATACTCTTCCTTAGGAATTTTCTGCTATTACAATTAAGTAGAAATTTGATCATACTATTTAAGAGAATAAAAATCTCTAAAAATGGTATACAGATGAAATATTTTTCTATTTAAAAGAATAAGAAGTATTTATGAATATAATGTTATTAGAAAAAATCAACTCCATTAGAATGGTTAAAGAATCATTCCATTCCAAATAATTTAAGGGCAAAAATGATAGATTGGATGGTTGAAGTTTTATGTTCATACAAATGCACTGATTAAACATTTTTTGTTGCAGTAAGGACAATGGACTTTTATTTTTCAAAATGTGAAAAACAATTAGAAGTATCAGATTTACATTTATGTGGTGTAACTTCAATGTTCATTGCTGCAAAATATGAAGAAATTCATCCTATGAAATTATCTGTTGTTTATGAAAAAATTGCTCATAAAAAATTATCAACAGATCAAATAAAAAAGAAAGAAAGTGATATTTTGTAAACTATTGGTTTTGATCTTGTTGGTGGTACTCTTTATGATATGTATAATCTTATACTAACAAATTGTTTTATTGAATAAAGATTACAAGATAAAAACTACAAATATCTCAAAAAACTTTGTTTATATCTCTCTAAAATGGTACTCTATGATTATGAAATTTGTGGTAAAACTAATTACACTTTATTGGCTTCTGCTTTAATTTTTGTTGCCTTTAAAATTGTAGAACAATTAGATTCTAGTTTTAATGCAGATAGTTAAGTATAATTTTATATTAATTATTAGATTAAAGATGTAGCTTAAATTATTTAAGTTGATTAAGATTAGTTAATAGAAATTGCAGCAAAAGTATTGAATCTAGCCAAAAACTTTGAGAAACATTTTCCTAATTTGGAAAATTTAAAAAAATTTAATGGATTTTAGTTAGAAGATGTTGAATAATGATCTAAACTTATGTATATTACTTTTATTTAATTATATGTAGCAAACAAAAAAATATTTCTAATGTACTTCTATATTTAATAAATCAATCAGCTTTCTTAGTGCTTTCAGTGGTATGTTTCTCACCCTTTCCTTTTGTTGAAACTTTGGCTGAAGCCTTTCTTGCTAACAATTATTTTCTGTCTTCATTAAGGTAGGGTTTTGTAATGATGCATTATGATGGTCTAATTGGGATTTAATATGGCATTCCTAAAATAACAATTATTAATTTACCATTGGCTTTTGTTCTTGTGAGTTTCTCGATTTAAATAACCCATCTCTTTCTATAAACTGATGAAACTTTACCCTTAGTACCCTTATGTGTGCCTATTATTCTCAATTTATTATTATACCCCTAACAACTGTGACTTCATCATCCTTTCTTACAGGTAATGCTCTAACATTGTATTTCTTTCTTAAATCCTTTGAAAGATGAGCACTCATTAATTTATATCTAATGTTTGATGGTGCTCCCAATTGGGCTCTTCTGCCCTTTCTTCTTTAACTTGAAACTTCGATGTGGGTTTTCATTTTGAAAAAGATTTAATTAAAAATAAATTTTTTGTTTTTTTCTTAGTACTTTCATGCAATAAATTAAAATTCAATAAATTCTTATAGAAATAACATCTGATTCTAATCTAAAGCTCATTTCTATTTTTATATTTTACATTTATTCTATTACTTATTCATTTTACAATCTAAAACTAAAGATGATGATAATGCAATCAAACTATTTAGTAATATTCAATTGAATATACAATTGATTTCTCTAATTTAATAAATATTATTGGTAATTAATTTTAGAATAAGTTTGTGTGAGAATAAGTAATTCATCTTCCAATCATAAGTATTTTATCAAAATCATATTTCAAATTATTAAAGTGCTTTCAAACTTCTGATAACACATAAAAAAAAATAAATTACAGAAATTCTACTTTAATAATGGTATTACATTCTATTAATTTGTTCATTTCAATTAAAGATTGTATTTTTCTTTATCTATTCTTGGTTGTTATATGTTAAATAATCCAATTTAATTTAATCTAGCCAATTAAAAGTAAGCTTTATTTGGCTTTTAAAATTTTGAATTTCTTCGAATAGAAAGTGAGTGAAGAATCTATTTTAGAAAACATTATCTAAATGATAATCGTTATTTAACAATTTTATTTGAGCTCAATAAATAGTAATAAAATATAATTTAGTTTTTAGCAAAAAGTGAGAGAAAATTATTTTAAAGAAAAGAACCATATTTAAAGAGGAAGTTAAGATTAATTAATTAATCCTGAATGAAAATAAAACTCATGCACCAAATCCATAGAGAGTTCTTCCTTATCTCTTTAATGAGTAAACAACATCCATAACAGTTACAGTCTTTCTTCTAGCATGTTCAGTATATGTGATAGCATCTCTAACAACATTCTCCAAAAAGCTCTTTAAAACATTTCTTGAGTCATCATAGAGGAATGATGAAATTCTTTTGACTCCTCCTCTTCTAGCTAATCTTCTGATAGCAGGTTTTGTGATTCCTTCAATAGAAGCCTTGTTTGGTTTTCTAGCATGTCTTTTTGCACTAACTTTACCGATTCCTTTTCCTGATTTTCCAGCCATTTTTCTTTATTTTTGAATTAAATAAATATAATTAAAAACTGGAGGTTGTAAATAGGATCAAAATCCAAATGGTGCCAAAATTAACCAATCAAATTTTTCTTAACAATTTCATTTTTATAAGCATTGTTTAATAATTATATGCGCCATTCTTTTTATATTTAATTTATTCAAATAAATCATTATAATAATTCTCCATCTCTTACTAATTTAATAATTTTTATATAAATAATTCTGTCATCTATTTCACTTAAACTATTAAATTTTCAAAAATTTATTATGAATTTAAATTATTTATAAAGTAATTATAAGTTTTTATTAATTAGTTGCATCTCTATATTATGTAGTGAAATTCATATCATACAATATTAATAGAAGCTATTATTATTAAAATTGAGTATAATAAGATATGATTAGTAAGATGAAGCATTTAAAAATTATAGATTTGGTAAAATTATAATCATTAGAATTATTATGTTTGAACTTCAAAAAATTTTTAATTTAAAGGATACATATAATTTATTATTATATTACGTAGGCTAATTTAAAGGATGTTTGTGTTAAGATAAAGAAGGTATTAATGATTTATTAATATGAGACTCATATGTAAGTAAATTCTCAAATTTAGATTTCTCATTCACTAATTTATTAAGATAACATTTTCTCTTTAAAATTTTAATAATTATATTAAGAAGAATTATATATAATTAGAATAGTTAAATAATTAATTAATAAATAATATTGATAAAATTAAATGATACTCATGCTAATCCTCTTTCTTTCATAACTTCCAACATTGTTTTACCAATTTAAGCAGGTGATTTCACAACTCTTATTCCAGCTTATTCAAGAGCTCTAATTTTTTCAGGTGCACTTCCCTTTCCCTCTATAGAATATATAAAATAGTAATATTACTAGATACAATGGCTCCTGCATGTCCCATTCTTCTTTCAGGAGGTGCAGTGATACCAGCAATGAAACCAACAACTGGTTTATTTTTTGGATTATTATTTTTAATCCATTCAGCTGCCATTTCTTCATTTTCACCACCAATTTCTCCTATCATAACAATTCCTAAAATAAATAAAAATAAAATAAATACCTTCAGTTTCTGGATCAACCATGAATCTTTCTAAAACATCAATAAAATTAGTTCCATTGAATGGATCACCACCTATTCCAACAACAGTTGATTATCCTAATCCAGCTCTTGTTGTTTAATCAACAGCCTCATAAGTAAGAGTACCAGATCTTGAGACAATACCAATTTTTCCATTTTAATGAATGTATCCAGGCATGATACCAATTTTGCATTCATTAGGTTTAATGATACCTGGACAATTAGGCTGAAATATAAGTAATATAATCGTACACCAATGACACGAGTGACTGATTAAGATCTTAAAGCATGTTTGACTCTAATCATATCATGTTATGGGATACCATCTGTAATAACAACCTTTACATACTAATAGAAAATATACCACTAAACCAATTTAAGCTTCGATTGCTTCAATGATAGCTGCAGCAGCTGTAGGAGGAGGAACATAAATAACTGAGGCATCACATCCTGTACTTTGTTTGGCTTCTTGACAATTCTTAAATACAGGTAATCCAAGATGAGTGCTTCCGGCCTCTATCTTATAACTTCAATTTTTACTCTTTGGTGACACTCCACCAACCATTTTAGTGAAATAGTTTAAGGCTTGTTCTGTTTAGAAGGTACCCTATAATTATTTAATATCAAACAATACCTAATTACCAGTAATACCTTAACAGATCACCTTGGTATGTTTATTAACCCACACATAAGGAGCTGTGGTCGATGAAAATGCACGAAAGATTTATCTGCCAATCATTTATTTTATTTAATCAATATTTATTAAACTTAAATAAATCACTTTCTCAAATTAAACAATATAACTACATCAATTCTATTCTCTTGTTTTAATATATATTTCAATCATTATTTATTAAATATAATTGATTCACCTTTTCAAAAAAAATTTTTATGTATTTATTAAATGAAATAATATTAATCATAACCATAAAAGTCTCCTTCAAACAGAGAAAAGAGTAACACTGTCTTCACTTAAATGGATTCTGTTGAAAATGGATGCTTAAATGAAAATAAATAACATGATCAATATTTCAATCAGATTATCTAAATGTTATAAAAAAGACAAGAGTTTTAAGAATAAGAATACAGAATTAAAGTTGCTTCTTTATAAAAAAGGATTAAATATTTAATTTAAATTAGTTCTTAACTAACATAATAAAATACTTAACTAAAATTATAATATTCTGATTTAGTCAAAGAATATGACATTATGAAAGACAGAATTATTAATTATGAAGGAATTATGAAAACTAAAAATTCAGATTATTAATTAAGTTTAGATGAAGTAACTAAATTAAAAACTGAAAGAGAAAAACTAATAGGATTAGCCAATAAGTATCATGAAAGATCAAAAATTAGATAGAAATAAATTATTGATTAAGAAAACACTATCACCATTTTATAAAAATAAGTTAATGATTTACAAAAGGATAATCTAATATTAGTTTCTGAAAAATAAAATTTATTATTGCAATTTTAATAAAACCCTTAATTTGCTAATTAATAATAAAATATATTGCAATAAGAAATTGTAACTAAAACATAATAAAATATAGATCTATCCAATAAAAATGAAATACAATAAATTATCAAACGATTTTTGAATGATTATTGTATTCATCTTACTTATATTAATAATGAGACTAATCAATTGATAGTTTTACTAAAAGAATATCATGACATTAATCTAGATATCAATAATTAATCTAAATATAATATGCTCATAAAGTAATTTGATTCATTAATTAATAAATATAATCAGATGTTAGAGTAATAGATTAAATTTCAATATTAATTTAATATTTCTACTTAAGACACTTTATTATTAAATAATAATAATAATCAGAATTTTTACAACAATAATAATAATGCAAATAATACTATTTTAAGTAGTAAAAGAAACAGTTATAATAATTTTTATCAAAATAATGTTAAATAAGATATACTTAAAACGAGTAAGTTTATTAAGATATAATAAATTAACATGTTTCTAACTTAAATTGTAGAATCATTTATTATCTATATTTTTAGAGTTAGAAATTTGAATCATTAAATTCTCTAATCAGACCCGTCACATAGTGAATAAAAAACTACTCTAAAGAAAGTCATAATTATGATTATTGCAATAATTAGAATGCAAAAGAAAAAAAAATATCTTGATTATAAACCAATGGTTATAGAATTGCCTATTGAAGAGACTATGTATTAATTGCTAGAAATAATAAGCACTTAATAATAATTAATAGAGAAATTTTAAGAGTGATTAATATTTCATCGTAATTATTCACTAATTTTTAATAGTAACATATCAATATTTTTATGCAATCTCTAAACTATTAGATTCATTTAGCAGTTCAATTATATAGTATATTTTTCTTATGGGGATTATGCTTATACCAATTCAGATAGGATTTTAAATTTATGCTCAATCTTTTTAATTTCACTTAAATATTTCCTTTTTGTTCCTGCCAATTAATAATTGAGAGATTTAGCCTTTTCTGAATCACAATTAATTAATTCTTCAAGAAATCTTTGAGTATTTTAATTTTCATATAAATCAAGTTCTTCAATAAACGTTTCTAATTCTAATAAATTTATAAATAATAGCTTATTATTGTCAAGATTAATATTCTAAGATTTAATTTTATTAGTAATTTTTTACTTTACTTAAGTGTTAATTACATAATCTAAATCACATCTTAATCCATTCATTTCCTAGATTAAATAAAACATATACTTTATATATATTTTTGTATTCTTATTGTACTTCTTATTTAACAGAGTTCATATTTTTTTTAAAAGTATTTTCAATTTAAAGTATTTCAGGACGTCTAGGTTATGTTTTAGAATTTAATATCTAATTATCCATCTCTATCATTCTTGATTCGAGTTATTTAATTTGATGTGATAATTAAGAATTATTTTGTTTACTAGATTTATGATTCCCACCATTTTCATAATCCTCTATTCTGTTTTATAATAGATGGATTAATTCTTCAATTTTATGAACATCTTCAAATAGTTTAATCTATCTAATTAATCCATCCTATTCATTAATGATTTTATTGATATTATCTATGTTAAAATACTTATTACTCTCTAAACATGTTAATTTTGAATTAGCCTCAATTTCTTAATTTAACTTTGCATCACTTACAAATTGCATTAAAGAAGAAAAAAAATTTAACGTATAATAATTATCAATTTAGTAAATTTAGAAGAGATAGTCAAATAAAGGATTATTATAATCTAATAAATCAAATTATAAAAGAACATGATTGAGAGTTTAAAAAGCAAAGACTTTTGATAAACTATTCAACATATCAGATAGTTAACATAAATGTCACAATTCGGAATTAGATACCAAGAATTTAAGTTTAAAATATAATGATAAATTGGAAAATAGATAGAATACATTTTATTATTTTTTAATGTAATTTTGAATCAATTTACAACATTACTTAGAGTTTAGATCAATTGATTCTCATTAACTTTTAAGATAAAAGTCACTTAACCTAATTTATTTATAATTATGCTTGATACTTGCTTATGGATCTTTGTCTAACCATTTTACTGAAATCATTCCTCTTCCTTCACCTTCTAGAATAACATTACAAGGTCTTTCAACATATTCAGTGATGATATCTGGCATAGTGGCTACAAGAATGCATAATGGATCTTGTATATCATATCTATTATTTGCATTTTTCATTCCTTCATAAATTTCTTTAATGAATTTGCCTTTGATTGTTGTATCTTATTCAAATACTTTAGTAATCTGATTTTAAATGCTATGATTACTGTAAATTCGGATACTGAAATAACTCCTTCATAAGGTATTACAATAAGCTTCTTAGCTAAAACTTTAAAGACAAGATGAGCAGCTTCTGGATCTGTATGTACATTATATTCAGCTACTCCATCATTCATGAATCCCAATCCTAAAATGTTACCACATAAACCAATAACTAATCCTATATTTTCTTCAAAATCTGCAGTCTTCATCATTGCACAAGCTACATTTGTCAGAGCACCTAAACATATTATTATTAATTCTTCTTTATATTTTACGGCACTTTCAATCAAAAAATCAACAGCATGTTAAGGTTAGAGTGGATATTATGATATATTAAGTTCTTTTAGATATTTTTCTTAATGTCCACTTAATCCATCATCACCAAAAAATTTAGAACTTAAGGTTATTTTTTATTTCAAGTTTCTATCACAACCTTTATAAATTGGAACATTAATTCCAGCAATTTTTTAGACTATTGTAATATTCTTGATTCCATCATCTATTTATGAATTTCCACTATTTTATATAATATTGATAATTACTTAATGCATGTGATACCAATAATTTCTATATTTTTCTTGGCTGCTAAATCAAATGCTGTCAATAAAGCATGTATGTCATCACCTCCAGAATCTGTATCTATAATCATCTTTGTTCTTTGCTTCAAGAGTTTTTCAGGAATACCAAATTGATGTTTAATAAATGAAGGAAGTGAAATCATTTATAAATATTATTTTTAATACTAATTTAATTTGCCTTTGGAGTGAAGATTTTTGTTATCAAATTTTAATTTTTTCTGTTCATTCTATCTACACTTGATTTTGGTCTTAATAGTGTCTTTTTCATAACAACTACATCATTTATTCGATCTTTTTCTTATATAATTGGTTTAATAAAATCCATAACAAAATTAATTTTATCTTCAATCACTAATTTTGGTTAATGGAAAGATTATTTTAAAGAAGCACTTTTTACTTTCATCTAATTATCATTACTATTAAATAGAATTCTTCTTACTTTTTTACCTCTATATTAAGTATTTGTATTGCTAAAATTTTAACATGAACGTATATGTTATAAATCAAGATCTTATCCAGATATTATCCATGTTTATTGTTTTAAATAATCCCAAACCAAAATGTGAATATATTCAAAATAGCAACCAGCACATAATTTCTTAGTTTCACATTTCCAAATATTGAGTAAAAAGTTTTTAAAATTTTATTATACTTCCATATTTGATTACATTCCTTATATCAAACATATGTATATACATTATTAACTCTATTTTGGAGTGATATAGAGTAATTTAGTTTATTTTAATAACTAATTTTATTTGAAACATAACTATCCTTTTGATGTAATGTACCCGCTCTCTATTTCTGCAATCATAGTTTGAATGTCCATAAAAGTTAAGTTTATTTCACATTCTGCTTGTTGTAATAGTTTTATTTCTTTTGGAGATTAAGTAAAATAGAAATCTCTCTAACCTAAAATAGACCATAAGTCAACACTCCCAAAGATTGGTAAAAATTCATCTTCAGTAGTACAAGTACCATGTTCTGTTTTTAGAATTGTTCCTTCTGTTTTACATCTTATTTAAGAACGGGATTTTAAATTGATTCTACTTATATCTAATGCTGAAGTAAACTAAGTGAGAATTCGTCTACTGTGAATAGCAGACGGTAAACGAGAGTCTAACTATTTCATTAAAATTAAATAAAATTAAAATTTCATGTTTAGAAATATATCATTATATAATTATTTTGAATAATAAAATAATCCTTTAATATTATAATACTATAAAATGAAGTGAGATTATATTACAGTATTATTATTAATATATTAAATTTGAAATCTATTTGTCCAACTTTTATTCTATCTATTTTTAATAATAATTAATCTTTATTACCAAAAAGAAATTACTCTCATAATCTATATATGTATAATTCACTAATATAACAAATTTTCTAATTATATCAGGTATTTAATTTAGAGAATATAAATAATGAAATCTTGAATAAAAAATATCGTAAGTAATATTGAAATTATTAGAATTTTGTCTTTATGAATAATATGATAAATAATTTTAAATTATAGATAAGCTTTTTTTAGAATAAATATATTATAGAGACTCTTTTATTAATTCAATCAAAATAATAATATTTTCTCAATTAGAAATTAAATAAATCTAAAAAGAATAGAAACTATAATTTATTAATGAGGAGGTCGATTTTTGATAAATTAAAATACAATTAATTTTTACAAAAATTCAAGAAACCTCAATATGCTTTTAATAGAGTTTGAATAAGAATTTGAATAATTTAGATTTAATTAAAGATAATCCTCTTAAGTATTGTAATCTTCAATTACAAATGAAGTGATTTAAGTAGAAATATTGTGAATTTTATTTTTCTTTTTTATATCTTATATAATAATTAATTAATTAATTAAACAAATGGAGAAATTTAGAGCATATGCTGATTCTTAAACAGGAATCAATCTATTTGTACCAGCTTTTGTTAATTAAAAATTATCCCCCCTCATTCTGCTACTTCATATTGTAATTATTTCATCATAATATCAATTAGACCATAGGATCCATATTGATTTTGATTAGAGTTCCTCTATTAGCAATTTTGATTTTATTACTAAAAATTTTGAATACTTTGAAAATAGAGACTATAAACTCATTAATAGGTAAATTGATGTTGTTTACATGTGGATTTTATAATATCGAAAATTAAATTCCAATTCAAGATAAAGGTGGATAACTTATATTATCAAATCATTCAAGTCCAATTGATTGGATTTATTTCTTAGCTTAATCATCACCAAATTTTGCAACTTTTGTAGAAAGTGGTGATGAAATAAGATATTAAATATTGTCTATAACTTAAGTGATAAAGAATATGTTTTCAATTACTGTAGCTTAGTCAGGAACTGGATTATAATTAAATGAGGTTATATTTTAAAATAAACCAACATTACTATTTTTTGAAGTATTTCAATAGATATATTTATTAATAGGGTTGTTAAACTAATTAATTAGGAGTATTATCACCTCCAAAATAGATAATTTCTGAATTACAAAAAATTGGATAACTTATTGTAAATATTAGTAGAATATTATATAGAACATTTACATATTAACATATCCTGATAGATCTATTTTTACTCCTATCAATACAACAAGGAATGGGTTATGGCATTTTATAATGTTGTTAACAAATATTTGGAATGATTTAAGAGTTGTCAGTCAAGAGTTTGAAACTTCCAAAGACTATTAGAAGCTTATAACTAATTTTTATGAATGTGAAGGATTGAAAATAGTATTTTTATAGTTTATACTTTAGATCCATTAAAAATATACTGTATAAACAGATTTTTTAACATATTATTGGAGAACTTCAAGTGGAAATTATATTAAATTAGATTGAATATGCTATTTATGTTTTGCCAAAATTTTAATATTTCGAAATATTATCAGATAGAATAATAGAATTTTTGAATAGCAAATACAAAAATTAAAATTAATAATCTAATTCATTTTCTGAGTTATTAAAAAGAGTTAATTTTGTTATCACTATCTAAATTATCTAAATTATAAATTATTCCATTAATAATACATAATCTAAAATTAGTATGATCCTCTAAATATATTATAAAGGATAATTATTTAATGTATAATTAATGTATATATATATCAATCCTTGATACTCATATTAATAAATAAATTAAAAAGCTCTATGTTTTAATTTCTAGTTTTATTTCTTTGTTAATGCTAAATGTTGGCAATTATTAATGTCGATGTTGATTTTATGGAAGATGGAGAACTTTTTGAATTAGAAGAGAGTGAATATCTCATAACGCAAAATATTAATAATGCAACCTTCTATCTTATCGTAAGTACTTATGACATTCCCAGATATATATTTTTGGAGTAAGATAATATTGATATGATAGAATATAATTTTCATATCCTAAAGATAGAGATGTGAATTTTCTAACAGCAGTAGGCAGAAATTAAATAACTAAATTAGAAAACACTAAGATTATAACTACATATGCTGATTTTAATGGTTTTTATCTCAAAAAAGACTATCATAATATTGTTATCCCTCCTAATTCATTTAAATCAGGAGATAAGTTTTTCCTTACCAATCTCATAAGAAATGATAGACGTTCATATTAATACAATCTTAAAATAAAAAAAATACCATATCAACCTTGTCCTAATAATTGTTCTTCAGGTTCTGGGAAATGTGTGAATGGGATATGTGCATGTAATTAGAATATGATTGATTTGGATTGTTCTAAATAGGCTATAGCTTTAAAATTTGAAGAGAAGATAGAAAATGTTACTATCTTAGGAACTTAATACTTTTATTTTGAATAAACAACATAATTAGAAAAAATATAATTTGAATTTGGTTTGTAGTTTAATTAATAAGAAGAAGAGGGTAATTAAGTTATGCTATATTATATGTTTGAAGATTATAAATTAGGTGTTCCTACTTAACTTTATAGGAATTTCACTTTACAAAATACTTTGATGTCTACTATTCCAATAATAATTGATATCTCATCATTAAATTATAATGCAAATCTAATGAGGTATTTTTATAATTGATTTAGATTTGATCGTTTGATATTTTAATTAGTTTCTGAGAAGGAAGTAACATGTAATTTTGAGATAGTTTCACTTTCATCTGATGATTCTGATAATCAAGTAATTTCAATAATAATTTATGTTACTATTTCAATAGCTAGTTTTATTTTTATAATGATTATTACTATGATCATAGTTAAATGCAAAAATAGAAGGTAACGCAATTAACAAGTAATACCAGAATAAGAGATTAAACTTTCATTAGAATTCTTAGAATAATACATGAAATTAGTTAAATTAAAAAAAAGTCTTAATAATTAATAATGTTCAATCTGTTTATCTGAAAATCAAGATTAAGAATTGAGATTAACACTTTGTAAACATGCATTTCATTGTTATTGTTTATACAATTGGTTAAATAAATCTGATGGAAGATTTTTATGTCCAAATTGTAGATAAGTTATAGATTTAGAAAAAATGAAACGCTCTGGTAAATAAAATCCTAAAATAGAAAAATACTAATAAAATTACTCATAAAGTGAGATTAATTTAAATAATAGTTAAGATTATTGAATAGTAAATATAGAATAAAGAAATGAACTTAATCAATCATATAATATTATAAAAGTTTAACTTTTTAATGACATTATTTAATACTTGAATTATATTCTAAATTTATAATATATTAATATGAATCCTCAATAAGTAAAGAATAAAGATAAATAACATTTCAAAATTTCAGAATTTATTCTAGAAAAACTATTAAATGATTTTGGTTAGAAACCTATCGATAGAAAAGTATTATATAAATATTTAACAAAGTTAATCACTTGCTATGTAAATGATTATAAATCTAAATATTCATCCTATAACGAATAAGGAGTTAGATAACTAAAAATTGAACTCAAATCTGCAATAAAGAAATCTGACACTGAAAAAGAGTAGATAATCATTAACCTTATTAACAACTCTAATTCTCAATTGTTACAAAAGGATTAACAATAAAATGCAAAAAAATAGAATAATAATAGAAATAAATAATTAAATACTCTACCTTAAGAAAAGCTTAATTAAAATACTAATATAATTGACAATGAAATACATAGATAAGAATCTTTGCCTTCAGAAAATAGAAAATCCATATATGAGATTGAAGATGAAAATTAAGATGAATGGGCTGCAATAATAAAATATGACACAGCAAAATATTAAAAAGAGTAATTAGAAACAAAGAAGAAGTAATAAATAATGAAATAAAAATTAAAAGAAGATTTGGATAAACAATTAAAAGAAAAGGAATAATAAAAAAGAGAAGAAGAATTAAAGGAAGCATAATTTGTAATATAAAATTAATAAAGAAAAATTGAATTTGAATAATTAGAGAAATAAAAAAAAGATTAATAAAAACATAAATAATATGAAGAGAAAAAATTAAGAGATGAATAAGTTTAACTTGAAAAAATGAGAAAGTATATTTAAAATTATATTATAATTTAGAAAGGAAATATAAATGTAGTCTAAATTATAAGAGGATGAAATTTTATAATAATTAAAAAATGAAATAAATCGAGAATCTCTTGAACTTAATAAAAAAAGATAAGAATAAAAAGAAAAGTTCTAATAAATACTTAAAGAGAATGAGTTATTAAGATAAAAGGTAATATCTTATATGAATTAAAAAAGGCTTAAGATGATTTAAAACAATAAAGAGAACTTGAATAGAAAATACAATAATAAGAATTGTAAAAATAGCTTTAAGAGGATGAAAAAAGAGAAAATTAGAAAAAGGAAAGAGAAGATAAAATTAAATAATTCATGAGTAATTATAGTTTTCAGGTACTTAGTAAATAATAAGAACAAGAAGAAAATGAAGGAAAATATTTAATTGAATAATTAAAGAAATAAGAATAATTAGAAAAATAATAAGAAATAGAAAAGAAATAAAAAGAAAAATAAAAAATGGAATTGATCAAATAATAACTATAATTACAAATCTAATAAAAATAACAAAAAAAATTATCAGAAGAGGAAGAATAAAAGATGTTATTTATTCAATAATAACTTGATTTACTAAATTTCTCATAAAAATAACAAGAAAAATAGGAAGTAATTTTATAATAAAATATAATTAATAGTAAATCAAATAAAGTCATAAATAAAATTAAGATGATATAAAAAAATAGATTGAAGGATAGAGGAATAAAAGTTTACATGAAAAAATGTCAAAATTAGAGTTACTGTAAAATAAAAATCTGTTAAAGAATATAGCAAATGATTCAGAGATTAAAACAAAATTTAGAAAAGTTAATGTTTCTTTAAAATGATTCAAATTTTTAAGTTATTATTTTCATAATATGCTTGTTAAAAAGAGGAGATTAATAAAATGCTAAAATATTTTAACTCATTAAAATTTAACTGTTATAATTTTAGGTATAAAATTATTTAATTAAAATAAATTATTACATTAAATTAAATTGAAGCTAATCTACATATATCTATATTAATATTCATTCATTATTTTAATATATCTCTAATTAATCAATTATCAATAATATTTATTTTATTTATCTAATAAAATTTTCAATAAAGCTGTAATCATCTTACAAGTCCAAATCAAAAATAGATAAAGATAATATATGATATTAATAATAATAAATTAAATTCAATCATCATTTCTTTCTTAACAGTGTATGAAATTAGGTTAATTTTCATCATCAGAAACTACATTTAATACTTAAGAATGTACTAATGCGACAGAAAAAAATGACATATCGCAAAATTTAAATTTTAGAGATGCTCAAAATTTATATACTTGTGATTAACAATCTGATAAGTCTGTCGAATTACTCATACTTAGTAATCAACATCCAGAAAATGAATGGATAAAAAAAGAGTAATAGATAGTAGTATATTTAAAATAATTGGGTATACAAATGAAAACAGACCCTTTAGAAAAACAAGAAAAGTTTTATAAGAAACCTAAAAGAAGAGTGAATAAATCCAGTACAATGTAATTCCATACTACAACAAATAATGAAGATAATGATAATATGGAAACAAACCGACAGGCTATACAATAAATGAGTATTGAAATGAATTCGATCAAATAACGACGAACACCAAATACAACTCCTTAAAGTTCTCCATTAATTACTTAAGATTTAGAGAAATAAGAACCTTAAAAAAAACAAAGAATGTCAATATTTTAGAAGATGAAAGGTTAATCATAAGCATTCTCTTCTGATGAAGATGAGATTCAAGAAAATATTAAAAGAAATAAGTATCAATATAATGAAAAGTATGATGGAAAAAGTGATTCAAGTGAAAATAATTTAGAGAAAAACTATTTCTAAAATATATGTGAATGATACATATATAGTAACTATATCATTTAATTCCTGCTTATTAGAGTTTTTACATTAACTATTATATTTTACTATCCTTTAACTTTACAAGTTATTCTAATTTTTATATTTTAAGTTCTAGAATCTCTATAGTTTCCTTCTAATCTTATATTATCAAATCTTTCTCATTTGATTTGTTATTGGGGGCCTATTTGTTGTTAACTTTATTTTAATTTTGCTAAACTTCAACAGGCTTCTCTTATTAATGAATCTAATTTTGTTCCTTGTTATCCAAATACATTGATATTTTGACTTAAACTACTTTAAGAATTCTTTCGACTGCTTCTGGTACAACTGAAATTACAGCATCTATATTTTTTTAAGTAATTTAGAAACCCATCTTTCTAAAGACCTATAATTTGGATTAGTATACTTACTTTTGTATTCAAAGTATTCCAATTATATTATTTCTATTGAACAGAATGAGCTAAGCTATAATTATGTATATCAACTATTCTAGGTATATAATGTTAAACTATTTCAGCCATTAAAACTCCATCTGCAAAATCTCTTCCTATATGTCTTTTTGGTCTTGATAAAGGTATAGTATCAACCCAATTATAAATTTCATTTAATTCATCTTCATTCAAGGGAGGAGCATCCATATCCCTGTTTGTCATTATTAATTAGATATAATTTTAAATTTATTCTGCAACTAACTAACTTTTTAATAAATAGAGAACACAGAACCATATAATCAATTATTTAATGAATTCTAAGATTTGTTCAGCTTCTATAGATTTGTTTTAAGGCATTATCTAAATATAAATAATATATATTTTACGAATTCACTTCTTCCAATCTAATCAATTGTTTTATTCTTTTAGCAAATCCAGCATCATTTTTTTCTTTTAACTTTTTAGTTAATTAATTGGATTAATCATATAAAACATCAAGGTTAACTTCATATATAGATTAAAGTGATTAATCATCTGAAATCTCATCTGTTTATTTTTCAGTTTGTATTCGTTTTTAAGCTTCTAAAGATCCATGTTAACGATATTTCAATTTTCTATTTTTTAATTGATTTAAATATGTTTCCAATTATTCATTCAAGTTTTATTCATACTCACTTTCAACCATTGTATGAAATTTCTAAGTCATCTCTTTAACCCTAAGATAAAATAATATATTATACTATTTATTCAACGTATAAATATTTCTATTGTGAATATAATCGTATAATTTAACATCAAAATTCGTTATCAAACCTCTAGAATTTTTCAAATTTTTATTAGCCTCTACCTATTTTGTAAATAGGTAAAAAGGTTTTTTTGTAATAATATATTATTTCCTTTTTCTTGGATCAGAAATAGAATCCTACAATTAACAAACTGATTAATATTAATTACGATGATGCTTAGGACTAGCCACAACAACATCCAAAGGACAATCAGATGATAATTTTTAATTACTTTAGAATTAATAATCTTATTATTATTTTGCTATAAGTGGTGATTATGATTTAGAATTTTAATTGCTTTTAATTTTTGATTTTCTTAATTCAGATTAAAATTTAATATTTTGTTATTCCAATAGTTTTCTTACTTAATTTAGAGCTGATTTAAATTAAATTTATTTTTATTATTCTAATTCCAATAAATAATCTTTAGAATATTGATTCATTTAATTTTTTAACATACCCAAAGAAGGATAATCAAATTTATCAAAATATTTTTCTTAATGTTTAATTATTGGTTACACATTATCATAATTTACTAATAATTATTTTAATTTCCGTTGACATGGTACTAATTTTTTATAATATTATGCATCATCTTTAAGTTCTTCTTATTGTTATTATATATGTAAATTATAATCGTTAGTGATGTCAAAAAATGTCTTAATAAAATGAATATTTCTAATATCTTCTTCTCTTTGTTCTTTATTTAAGGATTTTCTCAAATCAATCTATTAAATTATATTTTACTAATACTCTTTATTAAACAAAGTCTCTCAAAACCTAAATCTTTTTATTTATTTTAGTTTTAAAAATGTCCAATAATTTTCCAGCTTCAGTAAATCTTCTTTAATCAACAAGACGTATTTGATGTGCCTTGAGTTGTCTTGTTGAACTGTTTATATCTAATAAAGGAGTTTAGTCATTGGTTTTAGTGAATCCATGATTCTTAAATTATTTTATTTTTTAGACAATTGACAATTTTCTCTATAGAGTTTTAGAATCCTCAATTTACTTCTAGTTTAGAATATATTAGATTGACATACAGAATGAACATGAGGAAAATTAATTACTTCCATTAATTACTGAATTGATTATTCTCCTTCAAGATACTTATAGAACTCTAACTTGAATTACTTATTAGTACAAGGGATTAGAATAGGAATTTCATTTACTAATGGATCTTAGAGATGCTATAATCATATTAAAAATAGGTACTTCTTTGGCCTCAGGAGAAAAGTGTTTCTTTTTTTGTTTCAAGTTAATATCATGTAGGAAATTGCCAAACATTTACTTCCAAGCATCTTTCTGATTTTATTGACTTTGTTTTTTAATGTTCAAGTAAGTCACTTTCTTACCATTGAGTATTCGTTGGTTATTTTAGATTATGTTTTACTTAAATTTACTAGGAAGATGATCTTTAATTGAATCTGGTTCAGTTTTCAGATAAGCCGATACTGATTCTTTCATATTTAATTAAAAAAATTTATAATCCTTATGAATGAGGTATATATATATAGTGTAAACATTATATAGAATCTAAATCTACAAAAACTGTTGAATAATCATCTTAATCCAACTATTGATAACCTCTAGATTATATATTCCAAATTATAGCATTTATAATATTTTAATTCCTTTATTGAAAAGAATCTTAAAGGAACATAAAGGGAGAGTTTATTATATGTAAATAAAATACCTATATTAGTTATGTGGCAAATTTAGAATGGAACATTTCAAAGGAGGAGAATTAATATTCAAAGAGGGAGACAAGTCAAACGATAAATTATATATAATATTTAATGGTAAAGTTGCATTGATGAAGTCCAGACCCTAATAAATCTAATAATATAATGAAAAGCCTCCTGATATTCAAAAAATACCTTCAATCTTATTAAATTAGACAACCAAGCCTGCTCCATTAATGCCTCAGTATTCATATAATTGTGATTGATTTAGGAAAACTATGAATGCTAATGTTACTGGCATAAACTTTTTCAAATAATTTGCAAATTCTAAAAAGTTTGCTGATAAAATGAAAGGAAATATAGTACAGGGTTAAACTAATGAAAGAGTTTAAATAAGTCAATAAGAAATTTAAATTTTAAGCGAGAAATATGGAGAAACAATTAGAATATTGAAGAGAGGTGAAGGATTTGGTGATAGAGCTTTATTGGAGAATGTTCCAAGAGCATTAACAGCTTGTGCCTATACTTAAGATTTATTCTTATTGATTTTGAAAAAAGATGATTTCGATTTAATTCGACAACAATTCATATAGTAAATGAAAGAAAAGAAAAGTTTAATATTCACTAAATTCCCTGTTAAAGCGATTATTCATCTAAATAATTAGAACATTTAGCCTATAGTTTTGATGTTGAATAATTTTAGAAAAACTTTATTTTAACTGTAGATGGACTTCCCAAAAAATCCTTTTATTTAATATAATATGGAGATATTTTAATAGAAAAATTGATAAATAATTAAATGACAAAGATTTGTATTTTAAGTAATAGTTATTTTTGATTCAAATAGCTAAGGGATAATTGCTTGGGGAAGAAATAGTAATTAATGAAGATGGTTGTTGTGAATATAACTCAATTGTTCTATCTAATGAAGCTACTGTTATGGTCATTCACAAACATGAATTCTTTTAAAAGTTTCCAGAAGAATGTAAATAATGGGTTAAAGAAGAATACTATAAAAAAAGTTAATTCAGAAAAATATTTTAATCTAAAAGCATGGAAAGTGTATTTGGAATTGGAAAACCAAAATTCATTACAGTAAAACAATTTATAGATAGAAAAAATTATCCAATCAAAATTAATAGTAAGCAATATGAAGATAGAGTTGAAATTGGATCTTTGATTGAAAAAAAAACATCAGTTTATCTTTAAAAATATCAAATTGAACCATAAAAGGATTCAACTGCAACATTATTTGGATATAATTTATATTAAACTCCAAAATTAGGTTACATACCATAATACGATAAATGTAATAACATTCCACTTAAAGCATTTAAAGAATAGTATCTTAAGAAATTATGTTATAAAAAAAGAAGATTAGAATTTCTAAGACCTCCTCCTTTAACTGCAAGAATATTATTAAATTTGTAAACCAATCAATGTGAGTAATTAAACAAAATTTAACATACACACACACACACATAATCTACTGCTGTTAATTCCTTCACTCCATGTCTCTCTTCATCACCAAATTATGTAAATAAATTAGATATTAATTGAATGATAAACTATTTTTATGTTATATAATTAAATTAATATTTATTTATATCAAAATCTTTCATTCAATCTCTCCTTAATTTATATGCTAAACAGATTTTTCTGTTATTTTTTTACCTTAGCCATAATCACTATTTATATCTGTTAAACCACATTCACTACTTTCTATTTATGTAATAAAGTTGAACCATTCTGTAAATAAACAAATTTATTATTCATTAATTTTTAAGCCACAATAAATTAAACTATTAATATTTTTTAATGTTGCCATATTTTGATTTTATTTAAATCTGATAATAATTTCATAAACTCAGTCAAAATTGCATTTGTGGTACATATATGATGTAATAAAAAATATGCAATCTAAATTATTTCTTCATTTCATTTTAAAGGATTTATTACATATAATCTTGTACTTAAGAAAATTGATTGGATTGTTTTTCTAATTGAATTCTCTTTTATTAAAGGATTGATGCTTATTCTTTTACTTTTTATTATGATTACTTTTAAGGATGAGGACCTATTTCAGGAATTATCTATATTCTTAAATATTAGATTTCATTACCTTTGTTAATCATTATTTATTTATCTTTTATTTACCATGATCCCTTTTGAACTTGCGAATATGTCTGTAATAAACCATGAACTTATTAGGAAATTTTAAACTTAATTTAATTATTAGAAGAGGTTAAATATATATATAAAACCAATAATACTTTTTATTAACTATAAATAAGGTCTTTAAAATAATAAAAAAAATAAATTTGTATTGTTTATTTATTATTATTTATATATTGGAATATAAATAGTGGAAATTAAGATACATAAACTTTATTCAATGAATTGGATGAGAATAATCTATAATTGACAAAAAATGGGATATTGGGGAAAGAAATCATAATTTTAAATAATTATTGTAGTGAGACAATTAGAAATTCTTACGGTCAAAATAAAATTACAAGATTCAATTTTCACTCTTTTATTTACTTAATCACATCCAGATATGTTATTATTAAATAAAAATATAAATAAATAAATTAGATACTTATTTTAGTGCTTTTAGAATAGGTTTATAATTTTTTATTTATAATATATTTATTTTTTATACAAGAATTCTTTGGAATAATAGTTTAGAAAGTATTAGTTTTATAAATTAGGTTAAAAATAATAATTATGTTTAAATAATTAAAGTGATAATTAATAGGAATTTCTAAAGACAATAAATTATTAAATTTACTATCCATTAGGTTAGATTCTAATATCTATGATTTGATAAATTTATGGTTGGAATAATTTGATTAAGGTTTATTACATATCTAAATATATTTGAAAATAATTATTAATAATCCTCATGAATTTCGATACCTAAACTACGGAATCCCACTAATAAAAAACCTATAAAATCATAGCGTTTACCTAATTTTAAGAGGAGGTGAGCGAGTTTCACAATTTCAAAAAATAGTTAGCATTAAAAATATTAAGAAAAAGTAAGCCACAAAAGAAACAATCTTGATTATGAAAAAAAGAATTTTGATGATTATACTTATTTAATAAGAGTATTTTCAATTATTTATATAATCTCCTTCCTGTCTAAAAACATAACACAAAATTACTATAAAAAATTATTTTTAGTGAAAAAAGATTTAAAGAAGCTTTATTATAAGGAATACGTTCCTCATAATTAGAATTTGTTGACTCTCTTATTTATATAAATTATCATCTCATATATAATTATACATTGGATCATATAAATGTTGTGATATTTTAGTGGATCACTATCTTCATTAATTTGCATAATATGAGGAGATGATATTTCTAAAGATGTGAACTGAGTACAAGTATAATTGTGACAAACAATTAATGTAATTCTTACTACTTTTAATGATACTTATAATAGATGTAAAATTCATTTATAATCGAAATGCGGCTTAAAAAAATTAATAATATAATTTTTAAAATATAAATATTGTATTAATAATTTATTATTTTATTTGAATGGATAAGGAGATGAGTATTAGTTATTATTTTTTTTTAAAGCTACTTGACTAAAATTGATAGATAGTCTCTTGCATTAATAGAGTTTTACAATAAAAAAAATTATTATTAATATTAAATCAAGCTCCAATTATCTAATATTTTCAATGATATTGTAAGATAATATATTGAATAAGATTCATAAGCAATGAACCCTGATAATATTTAATATTATAAAAATGATTATTTTTTATTTAATTAATATTCATTTAGTCTCTTAGGCCCAATCAAATACATTATCCCATGTATATTCCTATTTAATAAATAGATCTTTAAATAATCTTTTGATCCAAACATAATCAGGTATCTCTTCAAATTTTAAACTCTTAATATAATTAAAATATTTAACAAACTCCTCTATTATTAATATATTTCAATACCAGGAAATCCTTCACATAATTTATCTATTGGAGTAGCAATCTTACATTCAGCCACTTTTTCATACTTTGCTTTTTTAGTTTCTGTCTTAATTCCTGACCAGGGTAAAGATCCTCTTAAAAAGTATATTAGCATATAGCCTATGGACTCTAAATCATCCCTTCTGCTTTATTCAATTCCTAAATGCGCATTGATACTAGAAAATCTACATGTTCCAACCAATTAATTATTTTCACCATATTAAATATGTGTTTCTATAATTTTAATAAATGCTTACCTGTCCTTTAATATCTATATCTTTTAGCTAAACCGAAATCAATCATATAAATGTTATCAGCTTTTTTATTTAGACCAATTAAGAAATTCTCAGGTTTAATATCTCTATGAATAAAGTCTTTGTTATGTAAATATGAAATTCTTGTAAGTAACTATAGATAAAAAGATTAATATCTACTTGATCTGCTAACATTAAAACAGATTTAAGTGAGAATTTTCTTCCATTATAATTGAATAAATCTTCTAAACTTGGTCCAAGTATATCCATGACTAATACATTAAAATCTCCTTCCTATCCAAACCAATGTAAATTTGGTATTCCAGGTACAGGTCCATCTAGTAATAAGATTCTATAAATTTTAGCTTCGTGTAACAATTAAGAATGGTTATTACTCACATTTTCCTATAAATAATTAGAATTTCAGTTACTAATTTGATAGCAATTTCTTCTCCAGTTTTGATATTATTTCCTATTATATTACTCTATTATACCTAAATATATTTAACCAAATGCTCCTAATCCTATTTTCTTATCTAATGTAAATCTATACTTTTATGCAAAAGTCAACTCCATTAAATATATAAATTAATATTCTAAAATTAACAATGCTCTCAAAATTTTACATAATTTTATAAGAAAAATAATTTTATAGCTAAAAAGATTTTGATAAAACTTAAGTTTATAAATCATCTAAACATCATGAACAAATAGAAATAAAAAATATTAATTTAAGAATGTATTTTAAAGAGAAATAACAATAAGAAAAAGAATTAAAATTTGTTTGTCTTAGTGATACTCATACTAAACATCCAAATATTTTAGAAAAAGGTGATGTACTAATACATTGTGGAGACTTTACTAATGGAGGTGATTATAGAGATGTTAAATGTTTTAATTAATGGCTTGATAAATAGACAGGATTTAAATATAAAATTATTATTGCTGGTAATCATGATTTATGTTTTGATCCTTTAAGATTTCCATAACATTATTAAGATTAAAAGGCCTAAAGATAAATGAATTATTTAAAGAATAATTTTATATATTTAGAAAATTCAGAAGTAGATATTGAAGGATATAAAATATGGGGTAGTCCACATTCCTTAGAATATTGGAATGGATCATTTTAGATAACACCTTATTAAGCTAAAAATATTTGGGATCGTATAAATGATAATACTGATATTGTATTAACACATGGACCTCCATTTGGTCATGGTGACATGGCTTAAAGTGAAGTTAATAGGAATGTTGGTGATGAATATTTATTTTAAAGAATTAAATAAATAAAACCAAAATATCATATTTTTGGTCATATTCATGAAGGATATGGATAATCTTAAGAGGATGGCATTACTTTTATTAATTGTGCTTATCTTAAAAAGAATTATTCAGTTGGAAATAAACCAATTACATTTACTCTTCCTAAAAAAGAATAAATATATAAATGAATAAATTTTAAAAAATTTTAATATTATTTTATAGTAATCCAATTTAATGTTTATATCCCTTATAATACAATTGATTTAATATATATGAATTTAATTTCCACTTGTTTAATTAATGACAAATAATCTTCATAGATCACTATTCTTATTGTTATTTCCCATTCCTAATTATTTTTTTAGCTCTTGAATTTATTTCTAATATAATGTTTCTCTCTATTTATATTCCCTTAATTATTATTCAAGCTTCTCTAAATTTATTAAATGTATACTTAGCTATCATCATCTTCAGATCCAAGCTAAAAAAATTATATAGTATTATACACTATCATAATTAAGCTTTTGCTATTAATCAGCCCATTGATATCCTAAAAGGAAAAAAGTTAAACATGCCACTAATAACACAATTCCAATTTCAATTTATTAAATTTATATCATTATAAAATATAAATAATTATACTAAAATATATAAAGTATTTTATCAATCTGTCCATTATTATTTGTATTACACATTTTATGATCATTTAGTAAAATCTATTCAGAATAATAGAAAAAATTAATTAAATTAAAAATCTTCGAAACATATAACATTAATAAAATTTAGAATTTTAAATAATGTATAAATAACTTTGGATCTAGATAATCTAAAACCTCTAATTCAATTTTTAATGAAATATTAATAAGATATATAATAAAAAAACCTGATTTTTAATATTTAAACAAATAAAGTGCTTAATACAACAAATTAAAATTAATAAGTGTATATTGGAAATGGATACTAGGAAAATCTATATAAATTTGGCAAAACTTTATATTAATACACTTTCAAAATTCTCCATATAAAAATTGATTTTCCTTTTAAATTTATATCAAGATCATCTCTTCTTGATCTGTTTCATATGCTAATAAAATGTTTCTTTATTATAATGAGTCTTAACATTTTTGATTGATAAAAAATTATTAAAAGTTTTTAATTAAATTTCTGAAGTACAAGATGAATTAAGATTTTTTTTCATATAATTTAACTTTGATTATCCTAACTAATCTATTTCATTAAATTAAACGAAATAAAGAGCTGAACAAAAAAATAAGAGAGTAATCGAAAGAAATTAAGAGTTATTCATTTTTATTAATTTGAGTTTATTTATTTAGTATTTTTATTACTTAATCAAAAATGCATATAAAGGAGAATGAAAGTAAAAACTAAATAGGGAAATTGCATGACATAAATTATTAAGAGAAAGTGCTAATAATAAAAAATAAATGATAAATGATTTTAAATAGATTATGATAAGTAAAATAATAATTTATTAACAATTTGATGTGAATGATTCAACAGCACTAAAGAGATTAAAAATGCTGAAGTAAGAAAAGGAATTAATTTAAATAGAAAATAGAAATAATTTTACTACAATTGTTTAATTGTTGTTTTGAAACTAAAACAAGAAAATGATTGTTAAAGTTATTAATAAAAGTAATAGACTATTAATTTGAGTTAGGAAATGAATATTCAGATCAATAAAATTAGATTAAATTATAACATTAAATAGTCTACTACGAATGAAGAAAAAGAATGAAAGCATTATAATTAAGTATAAATTAGTAAGACATAGAATTGGTCAGCACTTCAGATTTAACAAATTAATAATGGTTAATTAGTCAAATAAATGATTAAGTATTATAATATGATGGTAAATAAACTTTTCTGTGTTAATTAAATTTAAATTAAGTTTTTATGATCAATTTAGGAGTTAATAAAAAATCAACAAAGATATATTTAAAATGATTATAATTAAAAAAGAGAGACTTTCTACTCATAGATTTTTATTATCTAGAATATGATTTTTTGGATTAGTAAAGTAATAACAATAAATAAAATATTAATGTTTCAATAATTTTATTTAATATAATGATTATAGAATTAAGTAACAATCATTGATAATAAAATGAATTATTATCTTGAAAAATTATAATAATATAAACAAATGCAATTACGTCATTGAAAAAATCGCAAAGAATATATTAATTATTTATTTTAATCCATTCATTTTTCTGAAATAAAATCTTATATTTTGCCTATAAAAATTGAATAATTAAATAATTTTTAAGAGCTCTTAAATAGGATTTTGAAAAGAAATGTTCATTTGTTGTGGATCAAAATAAAAAAAAGATCAAAAATTAGTAAAGCCCAAACTAAACCCACCTAAGAATATATATAATCTATATTCAAGCGTTCCGAAATTGTAAAGCATTAGTTAAAGCACTATTCTTATCCGAAGAATATCTGGACTTCAAAAAAGTATTTAAGTTAAATCAGAAACATGATTATAAATTATATATAACCAAATTAAATCTATCCAAGATTCTATATGCAATAATCTTGTGATATTCAGGAATCAATAAGAGCAGGTTTTATAATGGCTTATTTTTTTTTTCATAAGTTGTATTTGTAAGATTTTAATGGCAAATAATGTCTTATAATATATTAATTCAATAATTATATAATAACATAACTAATACAAATTTAATAGTTAGAATGCTTATTAAATGCTAACACTCATTTTATTTTTCCCCTTAATATTATTTTTTAGGGCTTTACTGTTATTATTGTCAATTTAATAATATACAACTTCAAAATTTAAAAGTAATCAAAATATATATTTAAAATATAAGATTTTAAATAAATTCTTATTATAAAATTAATTAAGTCTATACCAAACTAAAAGTTCTCAAACTTAAAATAGATGCTGATAAATAATTTTTTCAGTTTTAAGATTGTATTTTATATAATAANTTTTCTGTGTTAATTAAATTTAAATTAAGTTTTTATGATCAATTTAGGAGTTAATAAAAAATCAACAAAGATATATTTAAAATGATTATAATTAAAAAAGAGAGACTTTCTACTCATAGATTTTTATTATCTAGAATATGATTTTTTGGATTAGTAAAGTAATAACAATAAATAAAATATTAATGTTTCAATAATTTTATTTAATATAATGATTATAGAATTAAGTAACAATCATTGATAATAAAATGAATTATTATCTTGAAAAATTATAATAATATAAACAAATGCAATTACGTCATTGAAAAAATCGCAAAGAATATATTAATTATTTATTTTAATCCATTCATTTTTCTGAAATAAAATCTTATATTTTGCCTATAAAAATTGAATAATTAAATAATTTTTAAGAGCTCTTAAATAGGATTTTGAAAAGAAATGTTCATTTGTTGTGGATCAAAATAAAAAAAAGATCAAAAATTAGTAAAGCCCAAACTAAACCCACCTAAGAATATATATAATCTATATTCAAGCGTTCCGAAATTGTAAAGCATTAGTTAAAGCACTATTCTTATCCGAAGAATATCTGGACTTCAAAAAAGTATTTAAGTTAAATCAGAAACATGATTATAAATTATATATAACCAAATTAAATCTATCCAAGATTCTATATGCAATAATCTTGTGATATTCAGGAATCAATAAGAGCAGGTTTTATAATGGCTTATTTTTTTTTTCATAAGTTGTATTTGTAAGATTTTAATGGCAAATAATGTCTTATAATATATTAATTCAATAATTATATAATAACATAACTAATACAAATTTAATAGTTAGAATGCTTATTAAATGCTAACACTCATTTTATTTTTCCCCTTAATATTATTTTTTAGGGCTTTACTGTTATTATTGTCAATTTAATAATATACAACTTCAAAATTTAAAAGTAATCAAAATATATATTTAAAATATAAGATTTTAAATAAATTCTTATTATAAAATTAATTAAGTCTATACCAAACTAAAAGTTCTCAAACTTAAAATAGATGCTGATAAATAATTTTTTCAGTTTTAAGATTGTATTTTATATAATAATTGAGTTAAGTTAGATTAATAAAATGGATATTCAAACTTAATAATTGAATGTATAAGTGGCAGTGAGAGTGAGACCTTTAAACAACAAGGAACTAAATGTTAAGGATGAATGTTGTTTGAAGACTGAAGAAAATAGAGTATAAATTACTATAAATATAGATAATTTTGCCATAAAGTGGAAAAATCTTTACTTTTGACCATGTATTCAATTAGGATTCCAATTAAGACGAGATTTTTGTTTGGTAAGATGTAGTTTTTCTAAATTTAGTTGTGTAACCAATTTAATTTTAAGATGCTTTGAGGGATATAATAGTACAATATTGGCATATGGCCAAACTGGTTCTGGGAAAACCTTTACAATGGGAACATCAGGTTTGGATCAATATTCTGGTTTAATATTGTGATTAATGCATAGACTAAAATGAATGGGGAATGATACCAAGAGCAGTATATTTTTTATTTGATGAAGTGGAGAAAAGAAAATAAGAATAGGACATAATTATTACATGTTCATACGTAGAATTATATAATGAATAAATTATTGATTTGTTAAATGAATCAACAATGAAATCAAATTTATAACCAACAATAAGAGAAGAAAAGGATCATACAATTTCAATTCAAAATTTGACAACAATAGCAGTAATCAATCCATAAGATATGCTTCAAATATTAAATAGAGGAGGAACACATAGAACAACAGCAGCAACTTAAATGAATTTAAATAGTTCAAGATCTCATGCAATATTTACAATTTATTTTGAAATAAATAGGGAATCTGAGGAAGGATCTTTGAATGCCAAATTTCATTTTGTTGATCTAGCAGGTAGTGAGAGATTAAAAAAGACAATGGCAATAGGTAAGCAGATGGAGGAAGGAATCAATATTAATTAAAGTCTTTTAGTTTTAGGAAATGTAATTAAAACATTAAGTGATTAAAAGAAATCAGCACATGTTCCATATAGAGAGAGTAAATTAACAAGGTATTTATAGATCTAAATTAATAATATAGAATTCTTTAAGATTCTTTGGGTGGTAATTCGAATACTTATATGATAGCATGTATTTCACCATCAGCAAGTAATTATGAAGAGACAATTAATACTTTGAAATATGCAAGTAGAGCAAGAGAAATTAAGAATAAGCCTACTCAAAACAGAGTAATTTATATATACATATATTAAGGATCCTCATGCTGCTTAAATATTGGCTTTAAAGCAATAAATATTTGGTTTATAGGGTCAAATTAAATAATATGCTTAAATACTTTAAGATAATAATATAAATACAGATTCTGTTTAATCTATGACTGATTAAATATATGAATCAATTTCTCCAAGTTCTGGACCTTAATAGAATTGTATAGAACATGGAGAAACTATTCTTAAATTAAAAAATTAAAATTTTCAATTAGAAAAACAATTAAATAATTTATAAAGAGAATTATAGAATTCATAAAAAGGATTAAGTGAAAGTATACTTGAATGTTATAAAGTAAAGAAATAAAGAGATTAAATTATGAAATAATTTTAAGATGCAAAGAAGTAATTATTTATTTTATTTTTAGAATTTTATAAAAATACAATATCTAATATAATTTTAATGAGGATTAATAAATGGATACTTATTATAATGAAATAGCTAGTTTAAAGAAGATTGTCTAAGAATATGAATAAAAAATATTCATTTTATAATCTAATAATGATTAACTATTAAAAGTAATGTAATTAGATACATAACTTAGTATAGGAAGCACGCAGAGATCAAAAATTATTGAGATAAAAGCAACATGAATTGATGAGATTAGAGAAACGAAAATAAGATGTTGATTAAATAGATGATGATTTTGAATTGGATGATTCTGAAATAATATAAAAAGATCTATAAATTGAAGAATAGGAATATTAACTTTAAGAATTGGATAAAATTAAGATAGAGACAATATAATTATTATAGGATGATAAACAAAATTATTTAAAATAAATTTCTATTTTAGAAGAAGAAAAGGCAAAATTATAAAAGTAATTGAATACTAAATAGGATTCTGCTTAAATGAATTCACTTAAATTGAAAATATCAGAATATGAAACTAAAATTTTAGATATGAGATAAAAAGAATTGACATCAAAATAATTGTAAAAGAAATTAGAAGATTAAGAATGTTAAGTAAAAGAACTTAGAACTAATATTGAATAAATGAAAAAATAAAAAGTTGATTTGATTAAGAAAATGAAATAAGAAAATGAGAAATATATTAAAGATAAGGAATAAAAACATAAAGAATTAATTTATGCTAAGAAATAGAAAATATAATAAGATACATTAGTGAGTAAATTGAAAAATGATAATACAAAAAAAGATGTTTAATTAAAAAGAAAAGAAGATGAATTATAAAAATAAAAAAATGAAAAACTTATTATTAAATAACATAATAGATATAATCCAAATAAATAATTATAATATGACACATTTGAAAAATAAATTGATGATTTATTTTCAGAATTAATACTTGGTGAATAAGCTGAAGAATAAATAACTAAAGAATATACTAAATTAGAAGAATTATAAGAAGAATTAAGATAAATTGAGGTTAGGATCTGTTCATTATAAATTAAAATTGATTAAATATAATTTGATATGACTTAAAATAATACATCTTATAGTATTGAAAATGTTTAATAATTTGAATTAGAATTAAATGATTTTTAATAAAAAAGAGAAAATATATCAGAAACAATTGAATTTTAAATTTAAAAAATTGATGATTATAGATAGATATCATAAAAAGCAAATGATTATTATACAATAGTATTAACAAATTAGTACTTCAAAGATTTACCAAATTGGTGTACAAGATCATTTAGATATGTTATAGATAATTGGGTCAAAGATCATTATTCTATGGCCTTATATGCTTAATAAATAGAGGAATTAAATTAAACAAATTAAGAACTTATTAATGCAAAACCAAGTCCAATAAAGAAATCAACTAGATAAAATACTCCCATTGATGATTTGAAAAGATCAATAAATGAATATAAGAGAAAATTATAAGCATTGTAAAACTAATATAGAACAACAAGTATAGAATTAGATTATTACAAAAATTTCTATAGTGAATAAATAAATAAATAATAGAAAGATAAGTCAATAGGATTAGGTTTATAATTATAACATTCATAATCATATCATGCAATTAGAAATTCAAATAGTAAAGAATTTAAATAAGAATAATTACCTTTGGCTTTGACTCATGTAAAATCGTTTGGATAATTAGGATCAAGTATGAGAATTAGAAATTCAGTTTCATAATATTGGATAACAGAATAATTAAATTCATCGTAAGAAATCATCAATTATGAGTAATTATTAATATAATATAAGTATTGTGAAAACTCTTTAAGGACATGATTAACCAATATTATCATTATATACAAAAGACAATATATTATGTTCTGGATAATATAAATAATTTAAAGTTTGGGATATAGAATCTCAATAACTTATTAGTACAATAGATTAAAGTAATCATTGTCGATCCATATATTATTGGGTTGATAGGGATGCTTTTGCTGTTTCACATGGTTCTCAAATATCTTTATATGATCCATTAACATTAATGTGCAAAGGATTACTTAAGTCTTCAATAGAAGAAATTAAATCTCTCTCTAGTATTAATGGATTATTGGTTGCAGCTGGAAAGTCAATTAATTCTAATGCTTTAAATATTTGGGATTCCAGATAAAATAAGTATATAATAATAATAGTATTTAAGTATTTTGTATGAATTTGAAAAAGGTTCAGATATATTAAGTGTTTATGGTTCTGATGAAAATTCTGAATTAATCTATGGAACTTTAAAACATTATACTAAAAGAATACCCTTTAATAAAAATAAATATAATCAAATTTAATAGTTATAACCACCTTAATTAGATAAAGTAACAGGAGTTGCTTCTTTTAGTGACTATATAGTGAGTTGGTATAAATATATATGAAGATTAATTAGTTCTTTGAGTAAAAGAATGTTACTTTGGAATCAATAAACAGGTTTAGAAATGAGTACAAATGATAGTATCCATAAAGATTTGATAACAGCTTTAACAAGTATAATTTATACATTATCTTAAGTTGATAGAAGTTTGAAATTAATTTATACATCTTCTAAGGATGGTAATGTTAGGGCCATTAAAGTAAATGAAGATGGAAAATTCTAATTACTTCATGAAATTACTGCTTCAAATGTAATAAATTATTGAATTTTAGCAATAATTAAATGCTTTACATGTTATCTAAGACAATCATTTAGTTATAAGTGGTGGATAAGATAAATTGATTAAAATTTGGAAACCATCAAAAAATTTATTACAAATGTAAAATGCTATTGGTGAATTTATTGTTGATGATTAAAATTGATATTAATTTAATAATCAACAAACATATAAAAATCATTTATTTTTTTCTTTAAATTGAGCTAAATTTTAATTTCTTAAATCTTCAATCTATCTGTCTTTTAATACAATAGAATTTCTTAAGCTATCTATTTCAATCATTAAAACAAACATTATTGATAATTATTCAATAATCTTTTTATTTAATGAACCTTCATTTGCATATTATAATCTCCATTTCTTTAATTCCTCCTCTTATTAAGCAATTAGGCTATTCAATCTATCAATTTCATATGATAATACTCTACACTAAAAATCATTATTCTCTTACATTTTCTTCATATTTTTTTAATTTTTCAATATCCTACTCTAAAATACTAATTTAGTCATATAATTCTTAAAGTTGATTATCATAATTAGCTAATTTAATTCTACTATCTGTAATTTATTTATTCAAACTTTCATTTTCTTGAACTCTTAAAAATAAAAATAAAATAAATTACTTTTAAGAAAGTTATTTATTAATTTTATCTACTTCTTATAAGAGATTATTATATCTTCCTTCAAATTCATCGCATTTATCTTTTAATTTATTATGTTATTATAGATAATCATTATTTAATTTTTCAAATTCTGAAGTCTTTTTAGTTTAATCAATTAATCTTTAATTTAGTTCTTAATTTTTTTTATCTAAATCTTGATTTTTCTTATCATTTACTTTTTAGAGATATTCTAATTCTATAATTCTTTGTTTTTCAGTTGAATTGTCATGAATTCTTTTTGAAAGATTTTCTATTTCAGTAGTCTTTTATCTAATAATTAATTATAATCTATCAATTTCTTATTGCATAATAGCAAATTTTTCATCAAGTGATTTTTTGTTTCTTTAAAAATCTATTTGATTTTTCTCATATTTAGTATTTTTGACTTTATATTCATCAAGTTCTTAAGTTTTCACGGATAAACCATACCTTAATTTTTCAAGTTCTTCTTAAAATATTTTACAATCTACATTTTTTTCTTAATTTTCATTTAATAATTATTACATATTTTCACGAAGATCTTAATTTTCTTATAATTATCTATTTAATTCTTCTTATATTTAATCAACATTATATATTCGTTCTTTTAAATCTTAATTTTCTAATTAATATTTATTCAAATTATGATTAAGTCTATCTATATCATTTTTATATTAAATTATTAATGATTCCAATTCTCTATTTTTAGAAAGATCTTATTATTGTAACATAGTTTTCAATTCTGTATTTTCTTTTTTGATTTAATAATGCAATTCCTTGTATTTTTATAATTCTTTCTCTATGTATTCCATTTATTATTACCAATTGAAATCATTTTCTTATTAATTTTTTTACTATTAGATATGAAAAATCTCAATACCAATAATTTTTATGCTTCAAGTTCTTTTTATTTTATAATAGCTAATATTTCATTTTGTTTTTATTCTTCAAAGTCTCTTAATTTAATTCTAAGTTTTTCAATATCATTTTTTAATATAGTCTAGTTATCTTCACTTTTTTCATGATATTTAATTATTTCTTCATAATTGTATTAGATTTCTTCCTTCTATATTACAACTGTTTAATATTATTGCTCTAATTAATCCATTTTCTATTTTAAATCTATAATCTATTATTCAAGATTCATTGTATTAAATTATTGATCTTCCATATTTTTTAACCTTTATTATAGCTTATAATTTTATTCACTAAGTCTTTCTAATTCTATGGCCATTATAAATATTTGCATTTATTTTGTAATATTTTGAATTCTTCGATCTTATTCCCCATTATTTACAGACTCTATTCTTGTTTGCAAACTCTAGCCATTACTCTTAACAGTTGTAATATTGGTTTCGACTACTCTATTTGTTTTAACTTAATAATATTCCATAGAAAATATTTAATAATTGTATTTTCATTCTTCAGAATCAATAATTAAACTCATTAGCATTAAACATCTCTACTACATCCAATACTTCAGATATTTCTTCACTTATTCTTCATTTTAAATCTATTCGAATGGTACCTACTCAATTTTTCTAAATAATTTGAACCAGAATGGAAATTCCTATAATTCTGAAGCAAATTAAAAGTAACCTTAATCTTCTACAATTTAATCAACTTAAATAATATTCATTTTATATACTTGCATTAAAACCTTTTTCAGCAATATATTTACAAAGTGTAAAATCATCAAAATTAGTCCATTCTTCATTTTTGTATATTATTTATTCTTAATCTTTTTGTACTTTATTTTTTTGGTAATCTAAAAATGATTGATATATAATAAATATACTTTCATGCTTTATAGTAAATTTTGCTTATCTATTTTAATAGAATTGATATTTCTTTTTCAAATACATCAATCCACAAATTCTATAAAATATATCCTTAGGATTTATTTTACAAAATGCAATATTTTTCTTTTCTCTAAATTATTCATAATCAAGAAGTAAAGAATAAAATTCTTTTACATACTTTTTAAATTCTTCATTACTAGGTTTATACTCATGAGAAAAACATTAAGGTTTCTCTCTTTATAATCTATAATATAATAAATAATAAGATTTTACACTTAATAAAACGAATCAATAGAATCGAAATCCATTCCAAAAGATAAAACAAAATCAAGAAATTCTATTCTATGATAAGCAGTAAAACCATATGTAACAATATCATTTTCTACACTAAGTTATGCTAATTCTGAATGTTCAAGAACTGTCTATTAAAAAAATCTCATGATTTATAAATCTTTATCAATTAACTTCTGCATTCTTTCAGATACTACTTTTTAATCTTTCTTATTCTCATCATTTTCTTATTCTGATCCTGTTCCTTAACTTTAATCAGATGGACTATATTAAGATGATGAAACTAATAATAATAATTAATATATATAATATACATTAATGATAATCTTCGTGATAGTTTGGCATGTTTTACTTTTTCAATCTTTTCCCTTTGCCAAATTCATCCTATTCCTTTTCTGCAAATCCTTTAGCTTCTTCATCTAAAAAGGTTTCCCAATATTTATCTAAGTTCACATTCTAATGACTCTCTTCTCCTTCCTTTTCTACTTATTCCAAATTAAAACTTGTAAATTTGAATCCTGACAAATAATAATCATTGATATCATTTTTTTTTAAATTAACGTATTACTAATCAGATTACAATTCAATATCTCTTTACAATAAGATATTTAATTATTCATCAGTAAATTCTTAGTCTTTCTCTTCCAAATTTTTATTGAATAATTCCCATGTGCTCTCTTTAAAGATCGATTAGAAATCATCTTTACTAAATTTATTAATTGGATTTATAATGATTTCTTCTAAAAGTAATTTTTTAGTTGCTATCTAAATAATTCTTTCTTCAGCTGTGTATTTACTTACTAATCTAAACACTTTTACTTTATTTGTTTAACCCATTCTGTGAGCTCTACTAATTGCTTAAAGATCTCTATAAGGATTAAAATCACTATCAGTAAAGATAATTGTATCTGCAGATGTTAAATTAATTCCTAATCCTCCAGCTCTTGTTGATAATAAGAATATTTTTGATTTACCAGATGAATTATTAAATGAATCTATTATTCTTTACCTATCCATTATACTTGTAGTTCCATCCAATCTTTCATAACTATATCCTCTTAATTATAGATAATGTTGCAGCAAATCAAGCATCATTGTAAATTGACTGAAAATAAGCATTTTATGCTACATCTCCAATAATCTAGGTATGATTCTATCTACAAACTTCAATTTATTTGATTAATTAATCATTTCTTCAATATCTTCATTAGGAAATTCTCTTTTATAAGTAAATAAATAAGGATGATTGCATACTAAACGTAAAGACATTAAAATATTTAATAAATTAGCTTTACTAGCTCCCTTTTTTTAATCTAAAACTTTTAATTTTTCATAGTTTCTTAACATAACATTTTTATATAGAAACTTCTATTTATCAGTCAAACATAATTTAATAATAATTTCTTCCATTTCAGGAACTTACAATTTGACATCAGCCTTTGTTCTCCTTAGAATATGAGGTTTTAATAAAGAATTTAATTCTGTAAGAGTAGTCTTTTTGACTTCTTAAAAATCTTCTAAATCTTAATTATTGAATAAAACATTTAATTGTTCTTTTTTAAGTTATTTAACTTTTTATGGAGCAATGAATTCAATTAGATTAATTAATTCTTATAAATTATTTTATAAAGGAGTGCCTGTTAATAAAATAATGTGCTGACTAGAAAATTGAGAACAAACTTTAAAGAATTTAGAATCATTATTTTTTAATCTATGAGCTTCATCTATAATTAAGCATTCCCAATTAATTTTTTTAATTATTGCTTAATCTATGATAGCTATATCATAACTAGTAATCAAGACATTAAATTTACACACATTATTGTTATTACTATAATAAAATTCTTTAGCTTTGATAATATCTCTACTTTCTTAATTTCCTGTATAAACAATGACATTAAAAGTTTCTGCCCATTTTTTTAATTCTTTCAACCAATTATATAATATTGTAGCTGGTCCAATAATTAGAAATGGTCCTGACTTTTTATATTCATATTATAAAAAGTTCAAAAATGAAATAGTTTATATAGTTTTTCCTAATCCCATTTCATCTGCAAGAATTACATTATTACTAGTTTCATATGATTTTTATAACCATTATAATCCTTATAATTGAAATTAATGTAATTGACCTCCAGTTATCCATACAGGTTGATTCTTCTTACTTTTTCCTTGAGCACCTTTCAAAAATTATTTAATAAATTAATCATATTCTGGAGTACCATAGGTTTCTTCTAATATTTTAGATTTTAAAAATCTTTTAAATTCATCTCTATTTTTTTCCATAATAAAATAAGCATCTTCCCAACTACTTTCTTCATAAAACATTCTTGACCATTTAATTAAAAATTTATAATTATTTTTAGTTCCATATTGTGTTATCTTTGGCATCTCCTAATTATAGATTTCTCTCCATGTTTTCTTTTAATCATTTGCTCCTCTTTTACATCCTATAATTCTTTCAGGTTCTAAATATTCTAAAATATCTTCTTCAATATAATTTAATGAAGCCTATAGATCAGCATCATTATCATTCTCTAATGTATCTTATTTACCTTCATTTTTTTCAATATAATTTTTCAATTTCCTTTAATTTACTATTTGTACTTAAGCTTAACTAAAAAAGTGACAATGTAAATATGATGATTATTCGAGTAAAATTAAATAACATTATTTTTCTTTGATTCTCAAATGAGTTAAAATTTATCCAACTCCAAAGCTTTATAAACATCTTAAACAGCAATGAAATATCAAAGGAGAAGTCTTTGTAGGTCTATCAGCCAATAATAATTATTAAAATTGTTCTTCTGAAATTTGTTTCCGATTGACTGGTGATCTAAGAATAGCTTCAAAAGGAATGTCTTTTAAAATGCATTCAAAATGTATAAATGTATTACATTTAGAACAAATTATTTTCTCATTTGTACTTTATTCATCACAATAAGGACAATAAGATTATTCATATTAACAACATTATGGACAATACCAAGAACCTGCAGGCATCTTTTTAATTCCAACACATGCCATATGAAAAGATCTATAGCATGAATCACAACACAATAAAGGTCTATTTTTTTATCTACATTTCCAACAATAATCTTCATTATAATCTGATTCATATTAACTATCTGATTATTCATCTTCTTCTTCCTCTACTTCCATTGATGATTCCTAGCTTAATTTTCTTAATTTCCTAGATTTCTATGATTTCTCACATGATTTGATTATTTAATCTATTTCCTCTTCATCTTGAAACTACATAGATTAAATATACAAAACTTACCTTATATCGACTAGGTTTCCTTACTCTTTTTTCTTGATTCTCGCGCTAATTGTTACTTCTCATTAAATTATAATAAAATTAAAACAAATTTCACTTAATCACATAAATCATTTCAGTATAGTTACCAATTATTATACAAGCATTCTATCATATTATCCTCCAGATTGATGATTCATTTAAATCCATTTATGTATAGCCATCTATTCCAATCTCAATCTTTAAGAGGGATCCTTTCTTAAACAGCATTTTGAAAAATCTTATAATTCATTTGAAACATATTTAGGAAAATCAACTCTACCTTCTATGATCTTTCTCATTGTATCTTCTTTAGATGATTAATAAAAAGGAGTGGCTCCTGTAGTCAATTCATAAGCTAGAATTCCAATTGACCATAAATCAACTGAATGATCATAGTCTTATCCAGAAGCTATCTCAGGAGACATATAATCAATTGTTCCACAAAAGGATTATCTTGGTTTTGATTCTGGTGAATATGTAGCTAATCCAAAATCTGCAATTTTTAAAAATTACTAATTTTATTCATATGTATTACTAGACTAATTAATATATTTTCTGGTTTAATATCTCTATGTATAACTTTCATTTTATGCATATAGGATATTCCCTCAACAATCTATGCTATATAATTTCCTGCCTTATTTTCACTAAATCTACGATTAGGTTGCTTTTTAAGCAATTTGTATAATTCACCATCTGGTGCATATTCTAAAATTAAAACAATCTTTTATGATAATCTTTAATTAAATACTTTAGTTTATTCTTAGAATACACCATAAAGTTTAAGGATGTTTGGGTGATTGAGATAACTCTATATTTTTATTTCATGTGCTAACTAAGCTTCCATTTTATATTTGCTGATGACACTTTTTTGAATTACTTTTAAAGCCACCAAAACTTTTGATGTTTTCTCTCTAAATTAAATTAGTATTTTACTATGCTTAAAAGACATCACTAAATTTACCTTTTCCTAAAAATTTGCCTATATGGAATCTATCAGATATATTATGATATTTTGGACTTAAAACTTCAGCTGCCTTCATTTGCATTCTTAGAATGGAATTATGAGCAATTGATGAAATTGGAGATGGACAGTCTGTAGTTTCAGGAGTTCTAATAGGAGATTTAGATGCACACTGTCTCAGAGCAGGTTTGTCTCTCTTTTCAATAGATCTGCTGTTATGTTAAATGATTAAAGGAACATTTGTTTTTGGAAGGATTGGGTCAGGATTGTTAATTTTATTATTTTCTTCAGATTGAATGATAAGCTATGTCAATGCTGATTATAATCTCATTTTAATATTCTTTATTTATTAATCTATCTTGGTTGTTGTTTATACTATTTTTTACCATTCATTGTCTTCAGATTGCATAATTATATAATAATTTATTGAATATTATTATTCATATGGGAAGTGGAACATCAAACAATTAATTAAACAATTTCAGGTATCTATGATTTAGATTGGTAAGGATGCTATCTCTACTTTAAGAGCCTGAAAGATTGAAAACAGATCCAAGTGATTTTAATCTTAGATGGGATGATACAACGTTATTTTTGCATAAAAATAAACTCAAACATTAAACTAATCTTCTTGAATTCATTAGAAATGTACCTTCAAAAATAGTTCTAAATTAAAATCCATAAAATTTATAAGCCTTTAATGCTAAGTCTCCAGGGATCAAAAAGCCATTTCTTGATTATGCTACTACTAATCTAATTGATTTGATTAGGAAATCAAATAAAATAGAGGTAAGAATGTGTATATTGTATGAGAAAGTAGAAATATCTATGGAAAAATATTTGAGTATTAAAGAATCCTAAATGCTAAGCTCATAAAGGTAAAAACAACCTAGGAGATCTTTATAAGTCTAACATACTTTAGAAGTTGTCTAAACTTCACATTTAGAGAAGAGTGTAAATGAAGAAGGCATGGCATAAATTAACTAATATACTGTCTTAGAATCTTTGGGACAGGGAGCCTTTGGAAAAGTTAAAAAAGCATAAAATTTTAAAGGCGAAATCTTTGTAGATATATTAATTTGATTTTATAGGCAATTAAAATCGCAAATAAAAAAAAGTTAAAAAAGAAACTGCTTTCAAAATCAAATGCTTATACGATGTTAGAAAGAGAAATAGCTATAATGAAAAAGGTATCTAGACTGTTAATTAGATATCTCATGAAAATGTTGTTCAATTATTTGAGGTCATTGATGACCCAAATAAAGATAAATTATATTTGGTAATGGAATACATGGGCAAAGGAAGTATATTAAGCAAAGGATTCTTTAAAAAATAGAAAACTACTTCTAATATATTAGATGAAATTGAGGATAAAAATCCCTTGTCTAGATTAACAGAAGAATAATGTCGACATTACTTTTCTGATTTTATCAAAGGATTGTATTATTGTAAAATAGTATTTATATATTAAGTACATGAATGTGTTAATGTGATTCATAGAGATATTAAACCAGAAAATCTTTTAGTCAACATTAATAATTAACTTAAAATTGCAGATTTTGGAGTTTCTCATATTATGGAAGATGGAGGAGATGGAAGAATATCCAATTAAACAGGTACTCAAGCATATTTAGCTCCAGAAGTATTTAAAGGTATAAATCCTATAAATCATTTAGGATAGAATTTTGATGGAAAGCCAGTTGATATTTGGGCAGGAGGTGTAACTTTGTATTAGATGGTCTATGGAAAACTTCCATTTACAAGTTAAAAGTCTATGGAATTGAGACAACAAATATTGGAAGAGAAGTTATTTATTTTTTTTATTTAGTCCTCCTTTTACTTAACCCATAGGATTTTCTAATTCCATTATTAAATTATTGTAAGGTTTATTATAAAAGGCTCCTGAAAAAAGAATGAAAATTGATTAAATAATAATGGATGATTGGTTAACTGATTTTGGTAAGTAGCCAATTATTAATTAATTTATTGAATATGTTGATGTCACAGAAATGGATATTCGATTTGCTTTAACTAGTCTCAATATTTAAATGGCTTTGAAAATAGTTGTAAAATTGTTGTATTAAGCTAAAAAAGCTAGAAGGAAAATAGCAGAAAGAAAAAAAATGTAAAAATGATCATAAAATAATCTTTATATTAGAACATCAATTTTATTATTTTGTATTTATGATTCATTACATAATGCAGAACTTTAGAAATTATTTTTATAATAATGACTTTCAGGTATTCTTCAGAACTAACACTGAACATTTATGAAAAACCTCCACAAAATCCAGAATGGCTTTAAAAGTAAGAGAATATAGATTTAATCTTGAACAAGATAAAATAACATAATTTGCTTAAGAGAATTCATTATACTAATAATGAACAACTTTAAGTAATGGATCTGTTAATTTTAAGGAAAACGACCCTTTATTACTCAGAAGTCATAGACTTAACAAAAAATTAGAGGAATTTGATCATTACCATGAAGAATAGTTAGAAACTTATAGAAAGATTTTACAATCTGATAGAGAGCAGATAACAAATGCTATGTCTCAAAGAAGAAGAATGGGTTCATTTGTTAAGCATGTGAGAAGCATTAGCACAACAGTTTTGAAGCCGTACTAAATTTATTTTTAACAGTAGACTTATTTAAGTCAATAATATTGTAAATCTATAAGGGAATGAAAAAAAGTCAGATAACCATATTATAATGAGATAAAAAATTAAATCAATATAGGAAAATAGAAAAACAATAGATAATTGTTCTAAAAGACTTTAATAATTATTTAAAGAGGATTCATCTAATTAAGTTTCCAGAGTTTAGAGTCATTTGGAATAAAGATAAAAAAAGAAAAAAATTTCAATTGACTTAATTAGAAACCTTTATTGAATTGTAAAATATAATATATGTTTATGTATCTTTTAAAGAAAATTTAAAGCCATGAAATTATCTAAAATTCAAAGCATAAATTACTTTACTATTTAAAATGCATACTTCTACTTCTATTACTAATAAACACTAATCCTTCAAGAGAGTAAAAGAAAGACTTGTTTGTGAGGCAATTGAGAAAGTTGAGAGATGGAGATTAATGTTTACTGAAGGATTATAAACTAATAATGGTGAAATAATCAAAGTCACCTTAAATTAAGCTGCCGAAATAGTTGGAATTCCCAAAAAAACTCTTGAGGATTATACGCAACTATTTAAAAAAGTGAAATTACTTACGGCAGATATAAAGCAATTTTCTAACGAAAAAATGGGATTTCTAAGAAGCTATTTGAGAAAGAATCAAAATAAACTTAAAAAGAAACTTAAAGAAATGAGGCTTAAAGAAATTGAAGCCTAAAGAAAGACTTAAGAAATCATTTAAGAGTAAAATTAATTACTTAAATAAAAATTACATGATGACCCTGAAACCACAGATATTTGTGGATCTAATTAAGAATCATCAAATCTTATGATAATATGTGATGATCAAAATTATATTGATACTGAAAGATAATTTATACAAGTATTTTCAATTTTTTTATATTTATTAGGAAGAAGAAGATTTAAATTTTTAAGATTTTGAAAGCCACCAATATTATTTTAACAGAGTGGGCAATTTCTAATAAGAAGAAGATATTGACAATTATTTCCAATCAACTTAATGATAATGAATGAAATATATATTTTAAACACATATTAAACATTATTATTTTAATAAAATGATCATATTAAATTTGTGCAATATTTTATATTAAATATTAATTATTAATATGTCTTTTTGTTATCAAATAAATTGGGGATATGCTAAATCAATATTAGAGGAATTAGATGGTATTTCAATATACTTCTTTATCAAAAATTAGATGAGTGAAAAATCTTAATAATTAATTAAAATTATTTTAGATGGTAATTAAAATGAATTAATTTGTTGTTTAACAAAATAGATTTATAAATACTTTTCTTAACTATATAACCTTTAAGTAGATGAATAATTAAAGATCAATACATTTGATGTTTAATTAGCATAATAATTTTATTAATATCTATCAAAAATTCAAATTTAATTAATACAATAGTCTTTATTATTAACATTAAACATGGACACAGATATCGACTACTTTTACTAAATTGAAACTATTAATATAGATTAAAAAAAAATGGATATGCTTTTTTAAGTATTTGAATAGATATATGGATAAGAATTTGGGTACTTAAGAAATTCGGGAAAAGGCATTAAAATTATATTTATTGAATATTTTAGACGAATATTAATAAAAAAGTTTGAAGGATATAAATTGAATTATAAAAAGCAGAAATAATTGATTTTATTATAAAATGGAGATATGTATTAATTAATTTAATTATAAGAATAGTCTCTAAATTCAATAATTAAAAGACAATCTCATTATCAACAAGTAGGATTATACACTATTAATAACCACGTTTCTGTTAATAATAAAAATTATTATTAGAATTATCATCAAGGTAAATTGTTAGTGAAGGTATTTTAGATGATAATTTTGATTAGAATGGTTATACAAATATTTATTCTTAAGATTAATTGATTTATTAAGGTATGATGTAATATGGATTATTTAATGGTGAAGGAAGAATAATTAATAAATAAAATTTAATCATCTATAAAGGAAATTTTGTTTAAAATAAAAAACATGGATATGGAACTATTCTTTATAATCAATAGTATTTTAATGGATAATTTAATGATGATATGATGTTTGGACCATTCTAGATATTTGATGAACAAAATGGAATAACCTATTATTTTTATAATGATAAATCAGTAGATTAATAAGAGTTTTTTAAATAATGTACTTATACAATAACTTCTGAATAAGGAGTTTAGACTATTTCTAGATTTATTCCAAATAAAGAAGTTTCATAAAGTATATGTTCATATAGAGAGTTTAACATATAAATTTAAGCATATAAAGCATTAAATCCTGGCATATGGTTATTTGAAAATTCATTAGATTACTTTTTGGATTATTTCAAGAATTATTATAGTATTATTAAAAAGGTTTCGAATTTGTAAACAGTCATTTTTAATACAAATGAGAGTTCAAATTTTATTAGTTGTGATTATAATAATTAGTTCTATCATAATGAGAAGTAAATAATGATAAAAAAATAATAGATTCTATTAGGAATTGAATTAAAACATTAAGGATAAGAGAAGAAAAGTATTTGTTATGAATTGTGAAAGATCACATTATTTGATAATGATAGAAGACAATAAATAACTATATGTTTGTGATTCATTGTATTGTTAGAAGAAAAATCTTGAAGCTGCCTATTATAATTTACTCAAATTAGAAGATAAAAGATGCATTGTTTTGAATTGTACTTAATAGAAAAATGGATATGATTGTGGTATATTTGCATTGTTTTATGCAATTTAATTTATGAAATATGATAATTTAAATATGGTTGAATTAGAGAAAAAATTGTAATTTAGAGATCCTGCTTAATTTAGATGGGAATTGAAACAATTTGTAAAATATAATCATGATTATATATTAACAAACTTTTGAATTTTAAAATAAATAATGAGTAAACTATTCTTTTAAGATTTCTTATCATCAAGAACAAGATCTATGTAAGAGAGAAAGAAGATAGTTAAAACACAATAAGAAATAGAGAGAATAAGTGAAAGAAAAATAAGTGAAACATTAAAATCTAACGAACATATAGTTGATGAACTAAGACTATATAAAATGAAATTAGAGAAATAAGTTCAAGATTATTAATAAAAAGTATTGCATTTATGAAAAATAGAATTTAGAATTGGTTGAAAAAGTATCATATTTAGAAGTATAAAATACAACATTATAATATGAATTAGAAACATCAAAATTGAAATTAGAAACTATAACTAATGCATAATAATCATCATAAACATAATAAATTAATCTATTGAAAGAATAAGTAGATTCATTAATTAAATATAAAACTGAGAATGAATCTTACAAAGTTTAAGTAGTAACATTAAAGAATGAGAATTAAAACAATTAGAAGGAGATTAAAGAATTAATAGAAACGAATGCCTCAATTAAATCTTAATATTCAAGTATAATGAAAGAAAATAAGAGATTTTAATAATAGTTAGATAATAGTTAAAATGAATTCTATAAATTATCTGAAAAGGTATTATATTCATTTCAATAATATAGTTCAATTAATTTGAATCAATGTATCATAGTAAAATTAAATATTATGAAGAACTTCAAAAATAGTTTGAGTTAGAATAATAAAGAGGGAACTTTTAATATTAAGAATTAGTAAGAGAATTGCAACTATTAGAAAATGAAAATTAATAATTATATAAATAATTATAAATTAGTTAATTAGAAAAAGAAGAGAAAGACAAAAAAATAAATGATGAATAAAATTAATTAAAATTAGAATTACACAAGATTTAAGATGAAAATAAAATATTGGAAAAATCACATAGAACTTTAAAAATAGAAAAAAAAGTGATATATGATAATTAAAATTAAATCAAATAGAAAATTAATAAATTAGAATAAGATATTAATTAGAAAGAATAAATTATAAAATAAATGGAATAAGATTTATAAGAAAAGTGTTTAATAATTCATTAACTTGAAAACATTGCTTATGGATTAAAATAGAGTGCTTAGGAAGGTAAAGAAAATACAAATTAAACATTATTATAATATAAGGATTTAATGAAGGAATGTGATTTATTAGAATAACAAATAGCAAGATTAGAATAAGATAATGATATTGTAAAAAAAGAATATGAATAAGTTTTGTATGAATTAAAAGATTTATAACAAGAAAATAGATAATTACAAGATAGAAATGCTATACTTATTAAAGATAATTAATAAATATAAATTGAAAATACTAATTTATAAATGGAAATTCAGAATTTAAATTAAAGAGTTGTAGAATTATAATAATATGCAGTTGAATTTTAAAGAGAACTTAAAGATCATATAGAATAATAAAGTAAAATAAATTAATAAAGATCTTTTTAAAATTCTTAATATTTATAGAATTCTGCTACTTTAAGTAATCAAAGAAATAGTTATAATTCAATTCAAAGAGGTACTGATGACTCATAAGCTATGGGCAATTAATCACCATTATCTAATTAGACTACTACAGTGAATCAATTAAAAAAGTTAGTCAAATAATAATGTGTTGAAGGAAATCCAAATCTTGGTCAATAATCAATTGAAAATACAAAAAGACATTAAGCAAGAACTGATCATTTTTCGAATTCAAGTAAATTATAAACTGATAGATAATATGATGATCATTCTAAAGAAAATTGTTTATAAATATTATAAGATAAATATTATGCTTTAAGAAACAGAATTTATGAATAAAAAAAATGAAAATTTTAATTTATTAATTTATATAGTAAAACAAATATAAAAATCAACAATTCTTATTTTTAACTCTTAATGGATTTAAATCTTATTCTTAATGTTTTGATTTTATGAGTTTTGGTTTGATACATGTTTGATGATTTGTAATAATATTTAAAGGCATTCGCTGGTTTTATGTAACTCGAGTGGCAGGGGGCATAGATTTACAAGTAGAAAGTGTAATAGGTGACAAGGCTCTTGAAACACTTTTTGTATTGCTTAATGAATTGTTTTGTAATAGATTATTGAGTTGACCATATGTATCAATTAACAATTGATTTTAATTTTCTTCAAGTAAACCTTATAATTAATGTGGACTAGTGAACATAACCAAAAATTTACTACAGAGGATGCAAACGGCATTGTTTTCTCATATATAAAATAATAGCCATTGCTAAAATCTTAGTATTAATTTGCATCAATTAAGGTATTTTGTTTACTTGATAAACTATTTTGGAATGATCTTTTAGCATTTTACAACATACAAAATTAATCATATTATAATCCATGATTCCATCATTTGTATCTGTAGAAAATACTACTCCTATACATAAAAGACTTTAAACTTATTCATATAAAGTGTTAATTTTTAATTTCCTATAAGAATTAGTATATTAAATTACCAATTTAATGTTTTTAAAACTAAACATTCTGCTTATTTGTATTCATTTTTATTTAAATTTAAATCACTTGCTTTTTATAATTTACTCATTCCTGGAATATGTGAATCATCTTCAATCATTTTAGAACTGACCATTAAACATAGTAATGAAATCAATTTTGGATTATAACATTAAAGTAAATTTTAACATCTATCTAAATAATGAATGGCTAAATGAACAGTTTGATCAGTTAATTATAAGCTTTATTTAGTTTAATAAATGAAATCTATTAATTCTTCTCTTCGTTCATAATTTATGCTAATATTGCTTAGATCATCGAAAAGATTTTTGGCTTATTGATGACTCTTAAAGGAAATATGTTTATAAGCAACAGATCCATCTTTATAAATAGCTATTCCACATAATTTGCATATGTTTTTATTTGATTTATGTTGGCAGTTTAGCATTCGTTAAAAATTAAATATATATATATATATGAATCATTAAGTATGTTTGCTTTTGCTTAAAGTTTATTTTTCTTCTTCTAGATTTTTCAATCTTGAATATATATTTCTAATTTTATTTTTGCAAGTCTTCTTTATCATGATTAGACTCCAAAAATCTTCAAATTAAACCTTCTGGTTTTTTTAAGATCTATCATTACAAATATTTGAAATAATATTTATGCTTAAAATTGAAAATCTGTTAATTTTTAGTCATCTTCTTCTGCTCTATGTTACAATCTGTGAAATATCATTCATATATTGTTATCTAAATCTACAATGATTTATTTGTCTATTTTGTACATATTCATTTAATGATATTATGATTTGTTTATAATGAATTTTGACATAAGCTACTTAGAAACTGAGTTTTATTATATTTAGTTTTTGGTTAGTTCTTTATGTAGAAACCTATATCTATGGTTTCTATTGAGGAATAAATAGGCCATAATCAATTAAGGATTTAACATGACATAAAAAATTTGTTAATGATATGCTTCACATTAAATAACTCTTCTTTTTCATTTATACCTAAATAGTTTGATGAATATCTACATAAGAAAGATTATTAGATTTGTTTCTAATCTAAGAAGAAAGTTAGTTTTTGAACTAAAGTTATTAGATAATTAATTAGTATTAGATTTCCTTGCAAGTTTTAATTGACATTTACTTTTTGATTAAGAACAATCAATATGAGACCTAATGTTTAAAATATCTATGGAAGATCAAATTTCTCTAAAAACTTGTGATTTAAAATTAAATGCTTCAATTTTTAATTAATAATCCATTAAATGAATTAATCGGCAGAAAAACTACGACAGTATGCCCAAGAAAATGTGGTGTTTATACTCTAAAAACTAATGGAAGATATTCTGGCCTAATAGCCAAAAAATGTGGTAAGTTAAAAACAAAAATATTAGATTGATTGGTCTATTGCTTGGCTAGATAAAAAAGGAAGGGATATAGTGAAATAAAGATAGAAATAAAATGTACATTCCTCATCCTCTGATGATGAAGTAATAGAATTGCCTAAAAGACCTGCTGCTGCTAGGAAATAAAGAGCCTCTATTTCAGCTGAAGCTTATGGATAATACAATAGAAAGGAGGTGTATATTTAATATTAAAATAACAGTCATTTTAACCTAGAGTGATTATAAAGACTCAATAATAGAAGGAAAAAATAGGTAAAAGGTTAGAGTAATCTTTTATGTTTGCATCACTTGATTAAAGAGAAAAAGATATCGTAATTGATGCAATGGAAGAACGTAGTTATAAGTAAACATTGATTTACAATATTAGTGCAGAGGATTGGGTCATCAAATAAGGAGATAATGGGGATAATTTATATGTCGTAGATTAAGGGGAGCTTAATTGTTTTAAGAGATTTATAAAAGATGGGGAAAACAAATTTTTAAAAGTATATTATCCTGGAGAATCATTTGGAGAGTTAGCTTTATTGTATAATGCACCACGAGCTGCCTCAATTCAGTGTAAAACTGATTCTATATTATTTGCATTGGATAGATAAACATTTAATCATATTGTTAAAGATGCAGCAATGAAGTATACATTAAAATATCACATTTTTAGAAAGAGGGAAAAATATGTAAATGTTCTTAAATAAATTGAATTGCTATCAATGATGGATCCATATGAAAGATCACATGTTGCAGATGCAATTAGAAGTGCCAATTTCTAAAAAGGAGATTATGTTATAAGAGAAGGAGAATAAGGAGATATTTTTTATATGATAGAAGAAGGGGAATTGATAGCCACAAAAACATTGAGTCAAGGATAAGAACCAGTTAAAGTCTTTTAATATAAAGAAGGTGATTATTTTGGAGAATTAGCCTTACTCAAAGACATTCCAAGATAAGCTAATGTTGTTGCTTAAGTAAATTGATAATTTATTATATATTTATAGACAGAAGTTAAATTAATATACTTGGACAGACATAGTTTCAAAAGAATGTTAGGACCTTTAGAAGACATTTTAAGAAGAAACACTGAGAAATATCAAAAATATGAATAATATTGGATCAACTAAGGTAAATGAAAAATATATATAATATCTAAATTTTTCTCTTTTTTTTTGTTCTTTTACAATTTTTGAATCTTTTATGATTTTATTAATATCAATCGTTTCAATTATCCTTTATCAATTATTAAAATCTTTAAAAGTTGAAAATATTGATATTATAAATACTCTTGTTATTTTTTTTGAGGCATAATACTAAGAATTGATATTTATAAAGAAATTAATAAATTTTGTAATAATTTAATTTTTGAATTACTGAAGAGTTTCTTTACTTTAAAATAAGAAATTTCAAATTTAACGACTTTTTAGAATGAAGTGTCTAATAAAAATTAAGATATGAATTTTTATTACTAATAATCATTCATTCACACAGCATCAAAAATTATTTTGATTGCCAAATAAATTATCTTTCTGCAGGAGGAGTCATTCTCAATAGGATATGAGTCTATTAATTCAATTGAATAAAATTACTCTTCTTGCTTACTATAAAATAGTTTTGCCTTCAAAATTATTAGTAGTTGCTTCATTATAATCCAAAATTCCTTTGTTCCAAGGATCTGCTTTGTGATACAATAGTAACTAAGCTATGTCATTATTATTATGTAAAAGTGCAAGAAATAAAGGCGTTCTACCTATCATATCCTATGCATCAGGATCTGCACCATTTTTTAGAAGTATTAAAGCTGCAGTTTTACAATTTCTTACACAACACCAATGAAGTGCTGTCATAAAAGAAGGATCATATTCATAAACGAGATATTTTTCTAATTCTAAGAGCTACTAAATTTAATCACCCTTATTCATTTTACAAAAAGAAAAGAATTTTTCACTTCTTTGGCTTTGATAAGGAACCTTTGGAAATACATCTCCTTTAGAAAATTCTTCTAGGGTTAATTTTAATTTATGTATATGAGTCAACAATTAAACCATTTCTAATCTAATTCTTTTATATTTTGATTATTTTTTCTATTATAATTAATTAACCCATGGTTTCACAGAATTTATTAATTTCTTTACAGTTCTACTACCAAACATTCGAATCTCTAATTAATAATATATATACATTAAAATCTTCAATTGTTTTTTCTAGTGAACCTTCAATATGATAGAGTTACTCTTATTTTTCATATTATCTCACTGATTTGATATAGGCTACACTTTTACTTTATTATTCTGGATTTATAACTGAAGGCAAAACAATTAAATCATGTATTATTTATTATTATTCAAATGTTTATTATTATAATTTCAAGTTCTTTTTAATTTTTTGAACATTTGCTCTTTAATTAGATATATTATTTCGTAAAGTGATATTCTCAAATACTTACTTTGGACTAGTATAGTATTACTTTTTAAATATTTAATTTTCTTAAATATCTATAAATCTTGAAGGCTTATTATTGTTACGAATAGGTTTTTTGTCCTCAGCAATTATAGATCTATTTTTATTTTTTATTTTATATTATAAATTTTTATCACCACTTTGAGTAGGGATTAAAATATCTCTCATTAAGATACTTAATTTAACTTTTGCATTAGAAACATTAAGAGAATTGAAATATCCCAATTAGCTTATTTTTCTATTTTTTGGTTTCTATTAGAGTTAAATAGTTTAAGGTTCTTTCTTTTTGATAAGTTCAATAAGTGTACTCTATTCTGTTTTGACCCTTCTCATATATTTATAAATTATTTTATTTATCACTAGTAATATATACTTATTAATTTAATAAGACTTTTTATTTTGTTAACATAAATTAGGAAATACATTAGAAGATTGATACATGTAAAACTATGCTCTAAACTTTAAATTTGATTATATTAATCTATTTGTCTTTACTGAAATTCTATAGTGAATAATTACAATTTAATTAATCTTCTAATGCATGATTAATTTTTAAACAAGATTATAAAGACTACTCGAATAAATTTTTTTTTTTATTGATTTACACAGATTTATCTCAATTTTATTCTACAACTTGATTACACTAATCATATAGGTTTGATTCAATTATGAGGAGACTGAATAAAGTTATTAATTTGAAGGTACAAATAAGTAATCCTTAATAATTAGATATTATTTTAACATAAAGAATTTATGAATAAAATTATCTATAAAAAATAATAAAACATATTTTTATTTAAAAAATAATAATTTGTTTTGATTTCTAGTTTTAAGGTTTAGAGATGAGTGAATGTTATTATAGTTCTTCCACAAAATTCTTCTGAAGAGAAGGAACATAAGATATATATAAATTTATATATCAAGGATCTTTAATAATATTTCTATTTATTTGATTATCAATATATAAAAAACAATAAGTTAATTAGAAAATACAATTTGATGTTAGAAAATCAAAATGATAAATTAAGGTTAAGTTTATATAAACAGATTATGATTTTAATAAAAAAATTTTGTGAGATAATAAAGAAATTTACAATCATATATATTATGTTTATTTTTAAACTATTAATTATCTTCATTTTATATATCCAGAACTTTCTGAGATATACAACTATGCCAACACAATAATTTAAATAATATCTCTATTTTCTCAGTCAATCAAATGTCTTAATCATTTTCAATTCATGCTGAATAACGAAAATAATTTGTTTTACAAAAAATCAATTAGCTTTAAATTCAACAACTATATTTAAATTTGATTAATAAATGCAAGAGGGTGAATAGATTTTCATAATTATAAGGAGAAAAATGTAAAAAGATATTGTTTAATACTAATACATAAGTATAAAAGAAAAACTTTGATAATGAATTTTAATAGATCAAATATATATATATATTTTATAATATTTAGTTGGTTATACTTTTTTATACGCGTTTCTTATGTTTACAATTTTCTAAAACATATATATATATATGAACTTATCAATAAAATAATAATTAAAATATTTTTAACAAATTTGGCTTATGATGAAATTTCACTTAATTTATTTAAAATTAACAATTTTGAAGAGTAATTATATGAATCAAATAAATATTAAATATAAATTAATTATCAAGATAGGTAGGTGAATTCCTTTGCCTTTAGTTCATATAATTTTGAATTATTTGTTCTGATTTACTACATCAAATCTGTCATCTCTTATTTTATGTTCTACTTTTATGATTCAGATAATTAAGTGTTTTTAGAGAATTACTAAAATAATGTTTAGTAATGATTATTTAATCGAAAAGCTTCTTTTTCTACTTCAATTATTTATTAAAGTAATAATTTATATTCAACATCTTTAGTTGATGTTTATGGTTATTATTAAGGATGTAATAAATCATTTTATGAATGAGATGTAGTTAATAATAATGTCTTATCATTATGCAAGGCATTATATATTTCTTTCTTATCATCATCATTTAATTCTGATTCCTCCTCATAATTTTTTCTCTCCACTTCTAATTTTTACTACAAGTCTTATATCTAAATATTAAATTAATTTATGAGTTCATCATTCATTGATTTTAATTTTTCTTATTGTATTTACAATTATTCTAATTAAGATTTTAAGTTTATTAATTCTTAATCTTTAAAGAGTATTTATTATTTTAATTATTTATTCAAATCTTCTAAGTCTTCTATTATTTATTCTTATTCCTACATTTATTGATGATAAACACTGTTTTTATTTCTCAATTCTTACATTGCACATGATACTTCTTCTTATACTTATTACATTTAAGATTCAAAGAAACTCTTTATATCTGTATATTATTTTTATAATTTTAAGATCTCTTATTTTTAATGAAATACAAGATCCTTATAAGTTTTTTCTAGTTCCTTTATTTATTCTTATTATTCTTACTTTTCTTTCATCAATATAGTATTTTAATTTTTCATTTCTTGATATAGTTTTTATTAATACTGTAATTGCTTTTCATACTATTACTCATTATCCTCTAATAATAATCTCTAATCTAATTTTAATTTATTTAACATTTGCCTTTCTTTTCTTAATTCATCAAGAGTATTTTAAAGTAGAGAATCTTAATCATTTCTACAAACTTCAATGTTCTTATATCGTTCATTTTGCAATTACATTTATTACTTCATCTCATCTAATTATAATCTATATTGTCGATTGATTTAATCAATACATTAATCCTTTTCTTATTTTAATTAATTTAGTTATAATTCATAGGATTACAACAATTATTTATGATCTAAATCTAAAACAACATACTACTATTATAAATTTTAATAAATGGAATTGATTTCATTCATAGTACTTTATTAATTTTAATAGTTTTTTAACTGCTCTTTCAAACTATCATTTTCTGTTTTAAGTTCCATATTTTTTTTTTATAAGGCTTATAGAGCTTATATTTATGAGTTGCTTCTTTAAGTTGTCTTATCAGGTGTTTAAATTCTTGTGTGATAATTAGATCTCTATTCATTTGAGATTGAAAATGAATTTTCCTTGTTAGTAGAATTTTATAGGTTAGGCAAAGGAGCTATTTAAGCCATATATTGATCAAATATTTTTTGAACTTTTACACTACTACTTCTAATAGAACAAGTTGATGTGTCGTTGTCCATTCTTATAACTTATTTAATTTTAAATAATATTTCGAGAAATTGTATTCTTTATATCTTTAAGATGTTTATATAAACAATTTTAAGTCAAGGTATACAATAAATATGTATTTAAAACAAAAAATTTACTAATCTATTAGATTCACTTAAATATTTTTGAATATCTATACAATTTTAATTGTTTTTAGAAATTATATTAATCTGAAATGAAATTCAATAATAAAATCTATTGAAAATAAATAGCCAAAAAAAATTTAAGATTCTAAAATATATTTATTTAATACAATTTAGAACATGGGCATATTAAAATAGTAAGGTTTATTTATCAATTAGAAATCATATATTAAATTTAGAATGGATTATTATTTTTATTATTCTTAAGGACATACAATAATATAATAGCATTTGAGCCTGTAAATTGTAGTAATAAATAAAAGAACTATAATAATAATTATAAAATAATAAATTTCATTATGGACGAAATATTTCAGATACATCTTAATTAAAGGCTAATCATTTTTTATGAGAATACATGAGTCTTAAATTGAATAGTAATTTAGAAAAATATAATAATGTAAACATATTAGCAAACGCTTTTACTTTTGATAAATCAAACTTTAGAATTGTTTTGTTATTAACTATGAATTCAAATAAACACAAAAATTAGAACTAATTATTTAGATAAAAATTGCTGATCGAGGTTTGGATTTATAATCTTTGTATATATATAAATTCAGTTTTTTATTTAACTTCATATTTGCTATAGAAGTTTTAAAGAATGCTAAAATTCAATAGAAAAAATTAATTAAATCTAGAAATATGAATCTTCAATTATATTTTAGAGTAACTAAATATAGTAAATAGAAATATTTTGAAGGATGAATTCCTGTAATTAATTATATATTACTTTAGTAGATAATTTCAGTTGATAAACTCAAAGCACCTGAATTAATAGAAATGTTAAAAAAAGGAGGGATAATAACTATGGATTTATAAATAAAAATAAGAATTGATCATATATTTATACAATAGTTAATAAAAAATAAATGAAGTTATTATTCTATGAAATCAAATTATTTTTCTTTTGTATTTATTGTGAATTGCACTAGAAAGAAGTTTTTTTTAAGACGATTATATATTTGTAGCAGGTTTCTTTCTAAATCCCATATTACTGGATTATAAAGTTCGAGTTTAAGGTATTAATCTTATTGTTTATGAAAAATTCAATTTACTTTTTTGGTGGGGTTAAGTGTGTTTCCACTTCATCTTCCCAATCTTGATCATCTATTTCTCTTTAGAACTTATTTTTAAAAAAGTCTATAGAAAGTTGAGGGTCTTTAATCAATTCTTCTTATTCTGATATTGTGAGTAATTGATTAATATCCATTTCTAGAGTTTCTTTTGGAAGTAGATTAAACAAATTATTAAAGGATTTTTTGATCCACATCTTTGAATTATTAAAGTTCTATAGATTAGATTCTTTGGCTTCTTCAATCAAAATAATATTAGTTTAAATTAGTTCTTTGAGTATAGACTTATCACAATTCATGTTTTAAATTTAAATCAATATTACAAAAAATATTAATATTTTAATTATAATGAATGATACGATAGATAATGAATTGTGTTTACAAGAAATGAAGGAAATCGAGAAAAAAATTATCAAATATTTATGTGAATAATTAAAACTAGAACAACTTACAGATCCTCAGTTGAAACAATTGAACTATGAAGACGCAAAGAAGAAACAAGTATTCTCCTTTAGATCTCTTGATTCTGACACTGAGACATCAGATAATATATCAAGTACTCCAAGTAATCGATGCTCCTTACAAATTGCTAGATCTCCTCTCATTTTAAAAAGGTTAAGTGCTTCCATCTCAGAATAACTCTAATGATGATTGTATATAAATTTTAATGTTTTACTTTGTTAAATCAATAAGTTTTCTTGAAATAAATAGATGATATTGTTATATTTAAACATAAGAGAATCAAGAAAATATTATTTCCATTTTTAGCTAAAAGGAATCTTTGAGAACAATTAAAGAAGATTTCAAGAATATTTTTGTACTTAACTAATTATAGTAATATTTAGAAATAAGTTAATATTTGTAATCATTTAGAGTAATAAACATTACTTAAATTTCTTAATTTATACATTTGCGATAGTTAAAACTTACATTACTTCAAATTATCAGAAAAATATTTCAATTAGAATAAAAAGTACTGGAATCTACTTAATTTAAGAAAACATATGAATATTTCAAATGAAAAAAGAGTAAATCTTATTTTAATGGAATTAAATATAAAATTCTTTGTTTACTAAATATATTTTATATTAGTATATAGTCTTATTAAAAATTTACATTTTATTAATTCGTATTTAAGATGAGAATCTTTTAATCTTAGTTTAGTTATTTATCAAAAGGTTTAAATTTATTATAATTATTATTCTTATTTTCAATATAATAATAATTAAAAACAAATTAGAGAATTTTATATTAATTGAAATGAACACTTAATATATTAACTATCCTATTATTAATTAAACAATAGTCTATAAATTAATTTAATAGTTATTATTAATGTATATGTGTATAATTAACATATGTAAATGATCTCATTTATATTCAGTATATTTATACAAAATAACATTAAATACAATATTAATATTAATATATATATGGACGTAGAACAATAATACGATTTATTTGTAATAGGAGGAGGCTCTGGAGGTCTTGCTTGTGCCAAATAAGCAGCAAAATTAGGTGTTAAAGTTGCTTTGGCTGATTTTGTTAAACCATCACCTTTAGGAACTAAATGGGGATTGGGAGGAACATGTGTAAATGTAGGTTGCATTCCAAAAAAACTAATGCATTTTGCAGCTACTTTAGGAGAATTAAGACATGATTAAGTAGAAGCAGGGTATTTTTAATTTTAAGAATTTTTAGATGGATTGATACATAAATTGATTCAAAGCATAATTGGGAAAAAATGGTTGAAAATGTGAATAACCATATACGTAAATTGAATTTTGGTTATAAAAATCAATTATTAAGATAAGATGTGAAGTATTACAATAAATTCGCAGAACTCATTGATGCAAATACAATAAAAGTAAAGTAATAATATATATTCAAAGTTAACAGATAATAAAGGATAAATTGAAACAGTTAGAGCTAAAAATATATTAATAGCTGTTGGAGGTAGACCATCATACCCAGATAATATTCCAAATATTTAAAATCTTGTGATAACATCTGATGATTTATTTTGGTTATAGGAGAATCCTGGTAAAACATTAGTTGTAGGTGCTTCTTATGTTGCATTAGAATGTGGAGGATTTTTAAATGGAATAGGAAATGAAGTGACAATTATGGTGAGGAGTATTCTATTAAGAGGATTTGATTAAGAGATGGCAGTAAAGATTGGATATTATATGGAAGAAAAAGGAATTAGATTTATTAGAGGTTGTGTTCCAGACATGATTGAAGCAACAGAAGATAATAAAAGAAAAGTAACTTGGATAATTAATGGAAATAAATAAGAAGAAATATTTGATACAGTTTTAGTTGCAACAGGTAGAGTAAGTGATACCTAAAAATTAAATCTTGAAAAAGTTGGAGTAAACATGAATAAAAATGGAAAAATAATATGTTCAGCAGATGATAAAACTTCTATACCTAATATTTTTGCTATTGGTGATTGTGTAGAAGGTAGACCTGAATTAACTCCTACAGCTATTAAATGTGGATAATTATTAGCTAATAGATTATTTAACAAGGCAACTGAATTAATGTCATATGAATTTATTGCTACAACTGTATTTACTCCTTTAGAATATGGATGTATTGGATTTAGTGAAGAAGATGCAATCAAAAAATTTGGATATGATAAAATTATTGTTTATCATTCAATATTTAAACCATTAGAATGGAATTACTTTGAAATGCATTCAGGTGAAAGTTGTTTTGCAAAATTGATAGTTTTAAATGATAATCGTAGGGTTATTGGATTTCATTATCTTGGACCTCATGCTGGAGAAGTTACTTAAGGATATGCAGTTGCTATGAAAATGGGAGTGACTAAGGAATAATTTGATTCTACAGTAGGTATTCATCCAACTTGTTCTGAAGTATAAATTTATTATAATTTAAGGAACTTGTATAAGTGACAGCAGTTAAAGGAATAGATGATGCTTAAAAAGAAGGTTGCTGAGGTTGAATCCCCTAGCCTATTTGGCTAGGGGATGTTTCATAAAAAAACTCCTCCTAACCTTTAATAGAAGTATTCTGAGGCTAATTTTAAGGAAGAAAGACATTTGTTTGTTAGAATTTAGAACAAACTTTATGAAACATTTATTTGAAATAAAATAATAAATAAGTGTTGATAAAAGATGTTTTTTGGAATTGAAATTTGTTTAAGAATAATTCTCAAATATTTTATTCAAATTTTATAATTTAGATTAAAGTCTAAAAGAAAACAAGATTATAATTAAAATAGAATATCTGAATCAATATAATTATTTTCTTAGATTTCTTCTTCAATAACTAAATTATGTATATATTTTCAATTGAGAATATAAGTCAATCAATTTTATCTAAGTATTCTATTTAACTAATTTTTATCTATTTTGAAAAATTATCTAAATAAATATATTAGGTTACATTTAGAATTTTATTAATCATCAGTTAAAAATTATATCAAAGAAAGATTTTTCTATAAAGGGTTTCCAAATATTACAATCAGTTAAAATGATTTTAAACTAACTTTATCTTCATATTTTAAATATGATCTTTATATTATAAATCAAAAAAATCTAGTGAATCTTCAATTTATTTGAGTATTCAATCAAAATAAATACTAATTTCATTTTATCTTAATTTTTATTGACTATAATAAATAAATAAATAAATTGAATATGTCTATACTATTTAGATATCTAAATATTTAATATCTCTATTAGATTTCTGATCATAAAATTTAAAACTTCTGTTTGGTATATAAATAAAAAATTTGATTTATGCATCATTATTATGAAAGAATAGATAATAAGTTATTATTATATACATAATATATAGTCTGTAAATAAAGTAATAATTTTATAAATATTTATAATGAACAATTAAGATAATGCAATTAAAGGGGTATTAAAACAGTAGCTAATTGTTGATTCTGAAAGTGGTCCATATAAAACAATTCAAGAAGCTATAGATAAGGCAGAACCTAATACAGTTATAAAAATAGCTCCAGGACTTTATTCATCTAATATTGTCATTAATAAACCTGGTTTACGTCTGGAACCTAAAGAAAAAGTGGGAGATATTATTATTGTTGTATCATCAAAACCTACTATTTTGGTTGATTTGAGAAAAGATGAGCGTTGTACTTTAATTGGATTGAAAATGTCACATAGTGGAACAAGTGAAGAAGTTGAAGAATTGGAAAAATTAATAGAAGGTTAAGAAATGGCAAAGCATCTTTTTGGGAGTCATGAAGATGGAGGTGGTGGTTTAGAATAGAATCCAGATGAAGAGTTTGTTAGCAAAGTTCCAATAGAACCAAGTATGAATTGTGTAGTATTATTAAATGGAGGCAAATTATTTATGGAAGATTGTTTGATTGCATTAAAGTAACAATAAATTAAAATATAAGTTTCATTGTCAAATCCTTTAAAGGGATATTACCAGGTATAGCTGTAAATTAAGGAGCTGAAGCATTATTCATAAGATGTGAAATAAAAGGAACTTCATCAAAAAATTAAGATGCAAAGACAATAGGAATTTTAGTTAAATTAGGAGATTTAATTATCAAGGATAGTAAAGTTCATAATCATACATATGGTGGTATATTGATATAATAAGCTGTAACAAATAAAAATGTTCGTGTGATCAATAGCAAAATAATCTAAAATAAAAAAGTTGGAATACATGTAGTTGGTTCAGATGCAATACCATAAATAGAATAATGTAGAATAGAAAATAATGAAGGACCTGGAATTAAAGTAGGTATTGGTAATAGAGCTAAAATATTTGGAAATGAAATAAAGACAAATGTAATAGGAATAGAAGTATTATCTGCAGATCCATAAATTTTTAATAATAAAATAGATAAGAATTTTACAGATGGAATATTAACAAAAGTATTTGAATAATTAAGATGTGATGGTAAGATTAAATCAAATCAAACAATATCAGGAAATAAAGAAAATGGTATTCATTGTACTGGTTAAAATAATTATACAAGGATTGATTCTAATACTTTTATAGGTTATAATAAAAAAGCTGGAATTAAAGCTGATACTGAAGCTCGTATTTCAATTCATAAAAATAAAATATCTAAAAATTTGGGTTAAGGTGTATTATTAGTTGAAACAGCATCTGCAGTCATTGAAAAAAATGAAATTACTGATAATATTAAAGCAAATATTGCATTAGGTGGTGCAAATTCTGTGGATACATTTATAGTGGAAAATAAGATATTAGGAGGAAGATGTGAAGGTATTTTTTTGATTGAATGTGGAAAGTGTTGGATATTTAGAAATTAGATTGCTGAAAATGTATTAATTATTATTATTTAAAAAGAATGATGGTATTGTATGTATTACAGCAGTTCCAATAATAAGTGGAAATGTAATATAAAAAAATAAAAGTAATGGTATTATGATTCTAAAGGATAGTAGACCTGAAATTAGTAAGAATAATATAAATGATAATGATGGGATAGGATTATTTATAAGAGATAAAAGTCATGGAAAAATTATAGACAATGTTATAAAGTCCAATGAGATAGAGTTAGTTGTTGAAAGGAGAAACCCTTCTTTAGAATCAATAGTATAAGAAAATAAAGTAACTGGAGATATTAGAATTCCTTAGAATTATGATTGTACAATATAATGAAAGAATTATAATTTTATTTAAATTGCTTTTTGCTATTCAAAAAGGTAGATTATATTTTTTAAAAAAACCACATTTTAATTTATATGGAGCAAAGACATAATTTTTCAATAGTTTTTCAAAAAGAAATAAATTGACAGATATAGAATTATTAATTCAATAATAATGAATAGTTCAATTAATACTATAATTATAATCTAAATGAGATAAGTAACTTTTTTCTTGACATTCATTACTTTATATAAAAACATTTAAAAGTATATACTTTTAGATTATGTGATTTTATTGTAATATTTAAGGGTCAAAATATGTTTTTATCTTTTACTTTTCATTTATTATTGGTTGATTATATTATTTTTACATTCTTAAATAATAATTGAAATGAATATTCATTTTGTCCAAAGATAGTGAATAACTTACTATAGAATTATGTAACAAATGAAGAATTCTTTATATTTTATAAGGATGGTTGAAAAAATATTTATTATTAATAATAATTAAATATAGATTATTGATTAATAAATCAAGAGGCTCTAATTGAATGGGTTTATTAGAATTCAATTGGTCTTACTTATGTTTATTATTTATTCTTATAATTAATGCGCTCTTTTATCAAAAAATAAGTTAGGTATATTAATGTAGAAACAGTAAATATTAAAGTTATTACCCATCCAACTAAAATATTTTTACTAACCAATATAACGAATGCTCCAAAATAGAACTATTATTTATAAATATAAATACATAACATAAGATTAGTAATAAACATCTGTCTACAACATTAAACCATTTGATATATGAAGGATCAAGTCTGAAATGGAAATAAATTAAAGCACCCATCACTAGAAATGAGAAAAGCATTTAATATAAATAAGCTGATTCTTACAAATTTGAAAATACTGAGCTTGATCCTAAAATCAATAATTTTGCTTGTATATATAACACTACAAAATTTGATTTATATTTTAAATCTAAAGAACGATCCATAAATTGAAATGTAGGTTATAAGTATGTTGACAAAGGATAATAAATTCCACAACCTACTATCGCCAAAGTTATATATAAAAAGTGTAAATCACTCATACATTCTACTGAGGGTTATCTTACTAAAATATATGGATATTCACTATAATCACAAATAAAAGCATCAATATATGTTTTCATTACAAATATAAATTATCCGCTAATAATTTAAATAGTTTTACTCAACCAAAATCTTAAACTTTTGATTCCTGCTATTGATCCATCTTCATTATAACCAAATGAATTATCTGCTATTTATTTACTAGCTTATAATCCTAAAACTATATAAGCAATACTCATCAAAAGAGCCATAAAAAAGAAAAAGTTATATTCACTCCAAATAGCTGAATAATCTACTGTTTTTATAGGTTTAAATTAAGATCCATCTCCAAACCATCCTACTTGAGAATCAAATGCTAATGTTATTAATCCATATAGATCATAAATTCTTAACACAACTGCTAAACAATTTGTGATTGTAATCTAAAAATGAAATTCCTATTCATTAGCTTTTCTATCAAATCTATTAAATTCATCAACTAAACAATTGCATATTTTTGGTGCTATTCTAGTCCAATCTTCACTTATAGGATTTGGTTTTGGTTAAATAGGTGCAATTTTACTATATAGATCTGCTAATTGATTCATAAGATTTTAAGTATATTTTTTAGGTGTTATCCAAATTGCTGTATGAATAGATTTACATGCATTCCAAATCCACTTTTCATAATCATGAGGTGTTTTTATTTTGTACTTATTTTCTGTTTCTTGTAATTTTAATTTATATTTTTAATAAAGTTATTCATTTTCTTATTATTATTCATCTAATTCATTTTTATGAATCTTTATTTTAACCAAACATTATCTTTCATCATTAAATTTTTAACTTTATTTAAGGTTTTCATATTAAATTGCACTTTAAGCATTCTTAAATTTTGTTATAAATTTATATAATTCAGGATATAACTTAATTAAATAAAAGAAATTAGTCTATGCTAATGTTTAAAGAATATCTGAATAAGAATTTTATTTGTCTTTAAAATTATCATAAATTAATAAAGCAAAATCTTCTTCTGATATTGTAAATTTATCATCTTCTTCTTCAAAACTTTCATATTATTTTAATATTTCATAATCTTTTTCTAATGCTAAGATCTCTAATAATTTTGAGAAATCACCTTAATCCAATAATAAATTATAGACAGCTATCCAAAATCTTTCTACTCTATGTTAATGCTTTTCTTTTATTGGTTTATATTCATCACCTAATTTTGGATCCTCTACTAAATAAGTTGATTATCTTTTTTCTCTTCTTATTTTTGTTCTTTTATTTATTTTATCTTATTCTATTTTAAAAAACTTTTCTATTTCTTCTAAATCTTTTTTTTTATTATTTTCATTTAATTCTATTTACTCTAAATCATAATATCCAAATCTACACAAAAAACATGAAAACAAACAATCTTGCATTTTAGATAAAATTCCATGATGTTCTTCTTAATTTTATTATTTTATTGTATCTGCAGAAGTTTAAGATTATATATCTGTATAATTTGCACTAAAAGATTATCTTATTTTTTATCTTTTACTTTCTTATATTTATTCTAATTTCATTTTATTTTCATAATCTTATTTTGTTACAAGTATATTTTTTATATTATTATTTTCACTAGGTTCTGGATGCTCATACATATTAATAGGATCACCTTTGATTAAATCTTTTTCTAATTTTATAGAATTTCTATGTTGAACAAATCTCACAAATAATAAAGATGAAATTTCTTCAGTTGCATAAACACCATTATCAGCAAATTCACTCATTACTTTCTTAAGTACTTCTTTCTTTTTCATTTCAAGTTATTCTTTATTTAACAAAACAGAATAAAATATAGATAGAACTGTTACACTTATAATGATGATTAAAATAGAATAAGCAACAGCCAATTAAGCAAATAAAGCAAATTCTGGAGATGAATTCTCAAAATAATCAGCAACAATTGGAAATACAGTTCCAATAGGACCTATTATAAATGTCCAACCTAAAATAACTACAAGTGGTTGAATGAATAATTAATAATTGAATGATTCTTATTTTAATGAAATCTAAAATTTGTAATATAAAAATGATAATGGTATTCCAATTGAATTTGCTAATAAAGCATTTTTAGCTACTTCACTATCAACAGATAAACCTATTGGTAATAAAACTATAAATGGAAGTATTATACCAACTGTTGTACTATCTTACATTCTATTTTTGAACTTTTAAGAATAAGTTAAATTCTATTATTCATCAATATCTTATTATGTCTACTCTTTTACTTCAATAGATAAAGCATTACTTGTTAAAATAAATAAAACTGAATGAATACTTAATAATCCAATTATCTAAATTTTATATATAATAATTTTACTGTTCCTTTTTTAGTTCCTGTGGCTGTGATTGGTTCATTCCATGCAAAATAGCAAATTAAATAAAATGATATTACATAGCATATAGAATTATACCAAATAGCATAATTCTTTAAGTTTATATACTCAAAAGCAATAAATTATAGATTTTCTGCTTATTTAGGTAATTTTATTAAATAGATTATCACTACAACAATATAATAAATTATAAGAAGTAATATTGGAATCAATCCAATACTAGCTAATACATAAGCTCCTATTTCTAATCCAAAATCATCAAAATATTCAGAAAAAGTTAAGAAAATTCCAAAAGGTAAAGCAAAGGAATAACATGAAAAAAGCATTACAAATAGTTTTTAATTTCTTTTTTCTGATCTAAAAAATCCTACTGTAAGCCACATCAATGATATTATTAATGGACATATACCTATTAATCTTGAAATTGATTTTATATATTCGTTTTCTATTGTAACACTCCATACTTTAATACATATAACACTAAAAACAGCACCTAATAATAAAGGTGTGTATAGATATAAGTTCTACCTCTTGAATCTTGTATTACTTATACATATTCCAAAAATTATAAAAATTGGTATAGCTAATAGTAAAAATCCAAAAGTGATAATTTATTCAAAATCATAAGTTTATAATCCAATTATTAAATTGGCATAACAAAAGATTTCAATTGTAGCGTAACAAATAGCAATTAAAATTGGAACAATATATTAGAGTTTTAATTTTCCAAATATATTTATTGCCTTTTTATTCATTTTATAATTAGGATACTCATTTTTTATATCTTAATCTGCATATTTTAATAATGATAGCTAATATAAGTCATATTTAATTGTCTTCTTTGGTAAATTGAATAATCCTTTAAGTAGGAATATTGAAAAAAATAAAATAACTAAAAAGGTTGATGGTGCAATTATTGATGTAATATTATCAATAATATATTCTAATCTTACTGATTAAATCAATAATATAAAGGCTACTATTTTAAAAAGTATGAAATATGACACCAATACACAAAAACTACAATTAAATAATGTAGCAATAACTGCCGATGAAACTTTCTTAATAAAATATAAAAACCCTCTATTTATAAGAGAATTTATAAAAATTGCAATACTTACTATGCAATACCCAACTCCTATATAATCCTATGAAAATCCATCATAATTTCCAAAGAGATTCAAATGGTATCCTACTAGAACTAATGACGGAATAATTATTAAAAATATAAATAAAAGTATCCAAATTAAATTTTTATTTATTTGTTAACATCTAAAATATTTAAAAATTAATACATTTAAGAAGATATTGTATATAAAAAAGCATATACAGGCAGTTAATGAGCTATTTATTAACGTATTTTATCATTTTGTATGATTGAGCTATTTTCGATAGCCTAAATATATATTCATTTTTACTATAGATTCTGAAAGAACACTAAAGAAAGTACTCCAATAGACTATTGTAATGATAAATTAGTTTAGGTCAAAAGTTATTTTATATTTTTTAGGACTACAAGTGAAAAATAAGTTAAATCGTTCTTCAAATTCATAGTATTTTTGAAAAAATTATTCTACATAACCTGGCTCTAATGGATTTTGTAATTTTTGCTTTTACTCTAATAGAAAAGTTAATTCTTAAGCTTCTTCAGTGTCTGGTACAGTGAATTTGATATTCTAATCTTACAATTTAATAACTAGTTATTGTCGAGTTATTTCTTATTCCTTATTTATAATTATTTAATATTATGAATCCCCTTCTGTTGGTTTTTAAATATGATTACTTGTTCCCTCTTAAATATTCATAATTCTAAAATTTTAATATTTTCTTATTTTAAGATTAAAAAAAATAAAATAATTCACTGTCTTCTAGTCTTCAATACTTTTTTTCTGTTAAAATATTCTTATCTATGTTCTTTCGTCATTTATTAATTTACTTTATCAGCTTTTCTTTGTAATTCTATAAATTTAAATAAATATAAATTACAATCTTCATATTCTTTATTTGCCTTTTCAATTAAATTCTTTTCATTCATTTAAAAATATTCAAGCAATTCTTCTTTAGTTACATTTCCCTTTGCAATCTCTTATTAAATAATTTTTTCAGGTGTAACCCCTTTATAATTATCTGAAATATATTTATGTGTAGAATCATGTAACCACTTATTTAATTTCTCTTAATCTTATTTTTTCATTTCATATTAAACTTCTTCTTATTCTATTCGATTAATTTATTCTTTCATTATTTTTAACTCTTCTGTTTCTTCTTTATTATCTTAACCTAAGATTTCACCTTCTTCCAATAATTCATTTGATTTTTCATCATTTAATAATGCCTTTTCTATTTTTTCTATTATTTCTTAACCTTTCTTTACATCCTCTTCCACAGAATTAGTGTTAGGAGTAAAACTTAATTTACCATTATATCTTGCAATTAAGATCATTTACTATTAATATTCAGTTAATGGACCTGGAACTATAAAGAGAGGATATTTTTCCCAATCAATATTTTTATATCTTGGATTCTATTTAATTTCATCTATTTAATTTTAAGTAACAGCAATCTAATGTTTTGAAGCATATTATAAAAACTCTAATATTTCTAAGTCTCTTTCAGCTTAACTTTAAAAGCTTGGGGGAATTTCTTCTTCCAATAGTTCATCATCTTGAAAATTAAGTACTTTCTAAAAAAAGGTTGGATACTTTAGATATTCATCTCTTTATTTAAATCCTAATCCCAAATAATAATGTTTAAGAAAATCTAATTTAGCTGTTTAGGGTCTAATCTTTATTGTTTCACGAAAGAAAAGATTAATAAATTTATAGTTTTATTCTTCAGGTAAACCTTCTCTTGCTTTAATCAACATAGTTCCACCTGTTTTTAAAGTTTTTAATGCTATATTCAATGCAATTCTATTTAATCTAATTTATTCAAAATTATCAATATCTCTATCATTTTAACTTCTGGTTTCTAAATTAGATATTATCTAAATTCTTAATTTATTCTTACTAAATCAACAGGTTTTAAATCAAGTTATTTTTAAAGTTTCATTAAAGTTTCTTTTTTATCTACATCTCCTTAAATGAAAATGACTCCATCTCTATATCTTTTTGGTAATTAAACTTCATCAATAGCAAATACTTTTGGATCATCTCTATTTGAACCAATTACTTATCTCAATGTTTCTGTCCAATGACCCTAATTTAAATAAATAATTACTGAGCCAGAACCCAATTCAATCACTGACATTCCTTTCTTTAGAAGTCCAAATCGAGCATTCAGTTCTGTTAAAATTGAAGAATTATAATACCGCAATTTAAAAATAAACATTAATATAAATAAACCCACAATTAAATTAATTCAACTCCTCTCTTTTTGAGTATGTTTTTCTAATTAAATGATTATCAAATATATATTAGTTCTGTTATTTTTATACCAAATTAAACATAAAAATATTATATTTTTTAAATAACCAATGAAATCAAAGTAAATTAAATATAATGATTGTTAAAATGATCAATATAACCCATTCTTCTTTGCATATGGATTGTTTCTTTGATAATTATCATAATTTTTTGGTTTTCCATCTTAAGTAAATAAACTAAATGTACTAACATTTGAATGAGCAATTTAGTAAGCTAATATTCATTTGTATATTTACATGCTCCACCATTATTATAAGCAGGTCTTCCATAACCAACATCATTATAAGAACTTTTAGTAGATTATTAATATTATTTTTATGGCATTTAAGAAATTGGAGTCTTTTAAATCATCTTTGTTTATTATTATTCAAAATTAGGTTATTTATGAGTTGTTTTAACACTTTATGAATAACCTTATAAATTCAATTATTATTATTATGTTTATTTCTACTATTGTTATTTAGATTAAGGTCTATTATTATATTACTGATTATAATTAGATTTTCCATATTTGGCATTTTGCTATTTATTTGGCATTCCATAAGATTAACCATATTATTGATGACCAAAAGGATTACCTTTTCCTTCTGCTATTTCTTATTATCTAACTTTCCTCATTTCCCTTAAAGCCTATTAAAATTCCAAATGCTATTGTTTCCATTTACCAGTTTATTTTGGCCTTAAATATTTAGCAGCCCTTTTGTTCTATTCCTTTTATTATTCTTTTATTTTTTATATATCTGGTTCCAGTCCTATACATACAGATTCATGTTTTCTGATTCTATCAGGATTAAATCTTCTTCCACATTTTCTGCACTATTAAGTTATTAAATACACTTACTCCAACAAGAGCCATAACTTATTAAGGTTATTCATATAAGACTTGCTATGACTTTTAACCAACCTTTGTTCCAACTTATGTTCTAAATTATTTTTCTTAGTCCAATTTTTATAAAATCTCTTAAGCTAAAAATGAATAGATTAGGTAATATACTTGTAGGCATTTATTATCTATGACCAGGATCCATATTCATTAGATCATTTTAATATTTTTTTATACATGTTTTTTAATGAATTTCTAGAGAAGCTGTTCCAAACTCTCGACCACATATCGTGCCTATAAATTACTGTATTCTGTACAAAGTAATGATTTTGGGCGAATTGCAAATCCTCCTCCATTCAAATAATTCAAATTATTGTCATTAGTTTTTTAATTTGTTTTTTAATTTGATTTTCTCATTAATTTATTATTAAAATATTGAAAAAGGAGACCTTATTCTTTTAAAACTAATTAGAATCATTATAAAAAAGATATAAGAATTCAAAAATATATTTATGTATTAGTATAGTTCAATCTATCTTTTAATGATGAATTTCACTCGAAATCAAGAAATTCTTCTCTAATTTCATTGAAAATATCTTCAATCCATACCATATGTAATGATGGATTATGTATTAATAGTCTACCAAATAAAGCCTCTAAATCATCACTTTTGTAAATTCTATGTTTGAATATTATCACTTAAAAAATTAATATGTTATTTTACTAATTAATTCTTTTTTTAATTCATAATAATCCTTTTTCTCTTATCCTTTTAATTTAGGTAAATCATAAACAAATTCTCCATCTTTTTTTTCTGTTTCTTCTACAAATTATTGTATTTTTATTTATGATTTTTTATTTGAAGATTTAGATCTCTACCATCTTTTTATAGATGCACTTAAATTAATTTTTTCACCTGATTATTATTGTTCTTTTGACTATTTATATTACAAAATTCAATTACAATATATTGCATTAAATTATCAAGTCGACAATTTGATAAATTTTAACCTTCTCTTCTAAAAAATACAGGAGGATGAGCTATAGGATCAAATTAATTCTTTTTTCTTTCTTACATTGATCCAGCACTTCCTATTCTTCTTTTTTATGCTTTTATATTCATTTCATGCTCATATTATTCAAATTTTTCTTTTTTATTCTTATTATTTGGAGTTCTTTTTTTCATGAAAGGCTGATTGTTATCAATTCTAAACTACTATAAATTGTTTAATCATACATTTTTTTAGTTTAAACAACAGCTTTAAATGTTTTAAGTACATTATTAAAATCATCATCAGCATTATATTTACATTCTTGACGCTATTTTTGATCTACAGGCTTTTATTATATATAATCATACAGGTTTTGGTGGTTTTATATTTATAGATGGTTTTGCATTTTATACAGCAATTTAATGTTTATAGAGATGATCAGCTGTTGCTCTAAGACCTCCAATATTTCTAACATCCATAGCAAATGTTTTTTACATTTTTATTTTTTGTTATTTATAATTATTGTATGCATTTATAATAAAATATAATAAAATTATTTGAAATCAAGGTTCTAAGATCCTTTACATAATTTCTTTATCTGTAAATTTTTAAATATCTGAAATATCTAAAACATAAAAACATTCATTTAATTTAGCTGTTTTTAATGTTTTAGATAAGTATTTCATCATATATGTAGCTAATAATTGATGTCTATTTAAAGTACCCAAATTTATAGTAAAAGTTGAAAAGTATTCTTCAAGTAATTATATTAAATTTATTATATTGAAAGTCATCGATTATATATTTTCAGGTGAATTATCAATAAATGCTTATTTCATTTATTTCAATTAATTCAAACAAAATTAACCTCTTTCATCATTGAAAAACTTTTATTATTCTTTTAAAAACTTTGAATTTTCTAGCTAAATTAACCAATTAAATGAAAAACATCTTAATTTTTAAGCTAAATCTAAAAAAGATTTATCAAATTTTTAGATGAAAAAACTAAAATTAAATGCACTTCTTGCAAAATTTAGTTAATTCAAATATATTCTTTAATTAGTTTTAAATTCTATTTATAAATAATTTATTATTAAAAGTCTTCTGTAATCTGTTTATTCTGGTTCTACTTCCACTAATATTCTTGTATATTATCTTTTTGAATTTTATTATTCTTTAATAAGTGGATTCTAATAGATTTCATCCCAATTTATTCTATTCTCTTCATTAATTTATAAACATCCTTAAATTAATTACTATAATTATGAATTATCTAATTAAGGTACAATGATTGGCCTGCAAATCCTTTATTACATTTAAATTATATTATCAGCAATAATGGGAGGTTTTTAAAATAGTAATTCATACAAGATCATGCCTAAAGACCAAATATCACATTTTGATGTATAAGGTTATCTTAAAATAACTTATGGAGCCATATAAAGAGGAGTACCTGCAATACTTGTCATTAAATCATTTTCAAAATCAATTTTCTTTGCAAATCCAAAATCTGCTATTTTAGGGATTCCTTAATGCAAAAGTATATTAGCTGGTTTTAAATCTCTATGAATTATTGAATTTTAATAAAGTTAATGATAACTAAATAGATTTCATTCAATACCCATTTAAGATTTGTTTTAGGATATTGATAACAGATAATGAATCTAATTTACCTCTTTTAATAATTTCTCTTAAATCTCCACCATTACAAAACTCTGATATAATATAAAAATTGTTTTGAGTTTCATAGAAATCTAAAAATTAAACAATATTTTTATGATTAAGTTACTTCATAGATCTAATCTCATTTAATAATTGTTAAGTATTAGTCTAATTTGTTATTTTATATACGTTACTTGATTAATCATTCTTCTATCTATTACTTTAATTGCTACAGGCATTCCATCAGGTGATATCCCTTTGTATACTATTCCATATGCTCCTCTTCCAATTAAATGATTCATGTTAAATGAATATTTTCCAACAATTTTTTACATTTTATGTTAATAAAATTAAACGATAACATTTATATACAAAATAATATTGAATAGTATATTAGTATTATATCACAAAATGGTTTTCTATTATTAAGATATCAATTTAGTACTCTAAATTTATTTATATTTTTATTTTAGTATTTCTAAATTTCTTTGTCTCTCCTCAATTTCTTATTCAATTTATTTCAAAAACTAATTTTGTCTAGTGACTTATGAATTATTACTAATCTCTTTTTTATAATCATTATTGTCTATATCATTTTCTTTTTTTAAAATTTGTTCATAAACTCTTAATTATTTTATAAAGCCTTCATTAGGCAATATTTATTTTCTTAAACACCATAATATTTAATAAGCACGATCAAAATTCCATTCAAAATGTTACATTAAATAACCTAAAATAACTGTTGCACTTCTTGATATTCCTGCATAACAATGAACCATAACATTTGTATGTTTTCTATTTTCATCAATAAAATTGAAACACAATGGAAAATGATCAAGTAATGATTAATCTTCTGAATCAGGAATTGATATTTTAGAATGGATATACTATTCAGGTAAATTAATTTCAGGAAAATCAATCACACTTAAAACAGCTCTTATTTGTAATTTTTATAGCAAATATTGATCCTTAGCACAATCAATGTCTCCTATATAGAGTCCACTATAAGTATTGATTCCATTTGTTTTAGGTTCAAGAATGCAATTCCATTTTGATAATTCGTTAGGGTCTAAGTTCATTAAATTATTATAATATATATATAATCAGTAATGGGTTTTCGTAATATCTACATGAATATTCAGCAGACCGTACGTGATTTTACATCATAAGAATATAGTTTTATTAATCAGTGTAACTATGACTAAAGTCCATGAAGAATTGTCACCATTTGTGATAATCATCATAAAATAAATTTTTATTAAATTAATGAATTTTATTATCAAAATAATCAGATTTTAAAGTTGGAAATCATGCCTGCTACAAATATGCCAACTTATTTAGCATATTTAAAAGTTGAAATATTTTCTTTATATATATAATGTCTACAAATTTCCCATTTACAAAGTTTTTCAACTAATTTATCTTCCTCATTTTCTAAGTTTATGATTTATTCTATTTTATGGGCATTATCCTCTTTTTCAAATAGTTTTTTTCTTTATTCTTCCCATTACATTTCATACAAATAAGCTACTTCATTAACTAAATTAATAGAAACTAGAGTAAGCCAATCAGAACAATCAAGTGTTTATGGTTGATTCTCAAAAAAATGAGTAGGATTTATTTTCATCATTTTGATAACTGATTTTTCATATTTCAATTATCCATTTGGTTAAATGAATTATTCTAGTCTATTAATTATACCTAATAATGAATTTCTAGTAGAAGGCACAATGAATTTATGATATAATCCTACACCAACTCCTCCAACTACACTTCCAATTAATGCTCCTAATACAGGTACAGGTATTAATATCTATCCAGCAACAGCTGATCCAATCCCCATTGAAGTTTTTACTCCTAAATGACCCATGTTTTTTAATTTATTTTACATACTTAAGACTTTATTTGAAAATACTTTATGAACAGAATAAAATAAAAATGTTTATCCCACTAAAAAACCAACAAATGGTAAATTCATAGAAAGTGCAGCAAATGCAGTAGTTTCTGCAGTTCCATAACCTGCTCTCTATAATTTTTTTTACCATGATATATTATCATCAAGACAATCAACTATAAAAATACCAATCCCTGATCCAATAGCTCCTGCTGCAAGCATTGTTGGATCAGTTGGTTAAGCAGTACCTCCTTTTTATGCTTTATCTAATTTTTTACAAAATTATTTTTTTATTATCTTCAATTATTCATCCATATTCATTGAAAAATTTACTATCAATTTTGATTATCCATTTGAATCAATTTAATATCCACAAACATCTTATTCATATAATTTAATATTTTTTACATATTCTATATTAGTTTCTAGAATATGTTAAACACCTTATGATAATTTCATATTCAAATTTGAGAATTTTTCAATTTCAGTCCATTAACTTTAATTAAAATAATCAAATGAAACTATTATTATTTAATGTTTGATCATATATAATACAAGTTATTCTTTACTATGTAAATATATTTTAAATGCTGATCTCTTACCTCTTGTAATTATATTAATCTTTTCAATAAACAATTCATCTTTTTCTTTAACAAAATCTCTATCATTTTTATCAACAATAATCTACATTGTTTATATTGGCATTTTAGGATCCAAACCCATTCTTATTAATGAAGTAAAGAAATCTGTTGTTTTTGCTGGATTATTAATTTTTTCTTCTTTATATTCTAAATAGGATATAATAATTTTCTTAGTAAATTCAAAATGATTAATAAATTCTGGTCTCCAAAAATTTGATTTTTCGATTAAAAAATAATTCTGAAGTTCTCTAACTATGTGTTATGAAGCATCTGTTTAAATTGCTTAAAATGTTCTAACATTAGCTAAAGCAGGATAATCTTAAAATATTTAATTAACTTTTTGCATCTACTCATTAACAAATGTTGAAGTTGAAACTATAAATTATTCAATATCCTTATGAATATCAAAAATAGTCTCTTTTATTTTTTCAAAGAGAATAATAAAATCAGCTTATTCAACTAATGCAAACTCATGCATTTGAATAGTGAATTTACCTACTTAATTTTCAATTTATCCTTCTAATACATAACTTAATTCTTATGGATCAAAATCATTTTCTAATAATAGATCTACTGTTTCTTCAATAAAATTAAAAAATTAAGAGATCATATTTTTAACCAAAATCATTAATTATTAAACAAATCTACCATTTTAACTTATCATTATAGGCATTCCTTTAAATTGAGAAATTGAATTTTCTAAATCTGTGAATGTTAAATTCATAATATCATTTTCTATTTCTTTTTTAGAAAATTTAGGTTTAATTTAGATATATTTTTGAAATAGTGCACATCCATTAATAAGTGTATTAGCTATAATTGCATTTCCAAGTTAAACTTATCTTTATGACATCATTAAAGCTTCTTATAATTCTTCAAGTGTATCAATATAACAATCTTATTCAATAAAATATTCCCATATATTTGATAATAATTATTTTGGACATGTAAGTATAGGTATTATAGATCCAGTAGTAACTTATCTTTCAAAAGTATTGATAAATATTTGTTCTCTTAAATTATATTTGTTTTAATTGTTAATAAGAGTGATTTTATAATTTTCTTATGGATCAAATCCATAACTCATCTATTTTGGATAATATGGAACATTTTTATTATTTGTTGATATTAAAAAGGAACACTTTGATGGATCAATTAAAAATTTGTTTGAAAAGATGATTACTAATTTATAATTATCTAATTTTGCTGCCATTATTTTAAAATTTTCATCTGAGAAAGTTGCAGGACAATTGAATTATTAGGTATACTTTTTGCATTCAGATATGTGATCATCACATAAAACATATCCCTAAATAATCTTATGTTGATCTCCACACCATTAATATGTAATGTTTAAGAATTCATTGATCATAATATTTTATGTTTTTAATAAAAATTATTCATTTCTAGATTTTAAATCTATCCTATTTATTTTATGTAGGTTAAGGTACAACAATTGGTTTTATATTCCTAAAAATTTAGGTTATATATATATATATACCAAATCTTTTCAGCATATTCATGAATAGTTCTATCACTACTAAATTTAGCTGATCTAATAGAATTGTAGAATGCTTTCTTTGCCCATGAAATCTTATCTTGATATAATTAATCGATCTTAAATTATAGTTATATATTAAATACTTTAATTTGAGCTTAAGCATAATGATAAAAATCATGTGCCACTAAATAAAAATCATTTCTATTTGAAATTGAATCTAATAATCCATGATGATCGTGTCCAAATATACCAGATCTTATAGTTTAGATAACATTCCATAAAGGTTTTTGAATATATTGATAAGGATCAGAATTCTTCATGTTGTCAATTAATTTACCAACTTCCTCCACTCTAGCACCAAAAATGAAAATATTATCAAGTCCTACTTCTTCTGCAATTTCAACATTAGCACCATCCCAAGTTCCTAAAATGATTCCACCATTCATTACGAATTTCATATTCGATGTTCCTGATGCTTCTGTTCCTGCAGTTGAAATATGTTAAGAAATATCAGATGCAGGTATAATGATTTCTGCTGATGATACATTATAATTTGGTAAAAATACTACTTTCAAATAATGATTAGTATCTAGATCATGATTAATTACTTCAGCAACAGAGTTAATTAATTTAATAATTCTTTTTGCATTCAAATAACCAGGAGCTGCCTTTCCTCCAAAGAAAACAGTTCTTGGTGCAAATTTTCTTCTTCCTTCTGTTGGAGTATCCTTTAATAAAAGATATCTGTATATAACATAAAGAATATTCATAAATTATCTTTTGTATTCATGAATTCTCTTAACTTGTATATCAAATAAAGTATCAGCATTAACTTCTACATTACAATATTGTCTAACCCATTTTATAAGTCTTAATTTATTATTTCTTTTGACTTTCATAAACTAAATTAATGCTAATTAATCTTCACATTTATCTTCAAGAGTTTTTAACATATCCATATTAAGTACCCATTCATCTGTGCCTAACCATTCATCATATAATTTAGCTAATTGTTGATTACATGATCTAAGCCATCTTCTTGGTGCTACACCATTAGTAATATTAATAAATTTTTTTGGTCTCATTTCGTAATGATCTTTGAATAAATCAGTTTTCAATAAATCTGAATGAATTCTGGCAACACCATTAACCATATGAGATCCTATGATTGATAAATTAGCCATTCTGATTTTCTTCACTGGACCTTCTTCAATAAGTGAAAGTGCTGATAATTTATGTGAATCTCCAGGGAATTTAGCACTTACTTTATTCAAGAAAATCAAATTAATATAGTAGATAATCTCAAGATGTCTTGGCAATAAACTACCTAAAAGATCAACACCCCATTTCTCTAAAGCTTCAGGTAATACTGTATGATTTGTATAACCAAAAGTCTTAGAAATAATATCCCAAGCATTTGCATGAGTCATACCCTCTTGATCAATCAAAATTCTTAATAGTTCTACTATAGCTAAAGAAGGATGAGTATCATTTAATTAAATGGCCACCTTTTCTGGTAATGTAGACCAATCTCTTCTTACTTTCTTAAATCTTCTAATAATATCTTAAAGAGTAGCACTAACTAGTAAATATTCTTATTTTAATCTTAGTTCCTTTCCAGCATAAGAATTATCATTTGGATAAAGAACTGACGTTATGTATTCTGCTTTTTCTCTAGCTTCCAATGATTTGAAATAGTCTCCTTCATTAAAACTAGTAAAATCAAATTCATTAGCTGGTACGGATCTCCACAATCTTAAAGCTATTGTATTGAATGTCATATATCCTGGAATTGGAGTATCATAAGCTCTAGCTACTATAGTTTCCTATTATATCACATAAATTAATATACTCCAGCTTCCCATAAAGACTTTTCCTAACCATTTTCATGTCTCTTAACTACTTTTCCATAAAATTTAACTGGATATTATACATCCAATCTTTCAATTTCCCAAGGATTACCTTTCTCTAACCAATAATCTGGTGCTTCTACTTATTAACCATTCTAAATTAATTATTTGAATATTCCATAACTATATCTAATACCATAACCAAAAGCTGGATAATTCAATGTTGCAAGAGAATCTAAAAAACAAGCTGCTAAACGACTAAAAATTAATGTATTCTTTACCCTAATCCACCATTCCCTAAGGCTGGATCTACTTCTTCATCGTAGAGGTCTTCCAATTTATAACCCAATTCTTATACTGCATCTGTATAAGCATCTTGTAATCCAAGATTTCCAACAGCATTTTAAAGACATCTTCCAATTAGAAATTCAATTGATAAATAGTATACTCTTTTGCAATCCTATTCATGAAAATACAATTAAGTATCATTAAAACTTTCAATCAATCTATCTCTTATTGAATGAGATACAGCCTAATAACAATGTACCTAATGAAAATCAAATCTTGTTCTAGCAAGTGAAAATTCAACATGATTAACAATCTACTCCTAAATACTTAATTTTAAATTGGATCATATACCTTTTTTTATCAGAAGGCAAATAATTTTACATCAAGTGCCACAATCTTTCATGATTAGCTAAACTTTGTGTAGACCCGAATTCAGGTCTAAAGAGTTAATTCATATTTGAATTAGACCCACAAAATGATTTCCTAGACATTAAAGTCTTTGAATCACTGCCTGAAATCTATTTTTATAAACCTGACATTATGTTTAAGATATTTATATAAATATAAAAATAAACAAACAATATATTGTGAAATAACTTAAATTTATTTCAATCTTCATCAAATTGTTGTTAATTTAAGTATTGAATGCCTTATTCATCAAAATTTGTACTCTTTTGATAAAAGTACTTATATTTTTGTTTCTTTTGGGTTTGATTATGCTGAGATTATCCTATCTAAAATTACTTTGTATTGACCCTCACTTATATTTCATCTTAGGACAGTATTTTATCTATGAGTAAATATCTTACTTCTTAAAAAAATCGTTGTTCTCATAGAACTTATTGATTTTGTTAGTTTACTACTGAAATTTTGAGTTGAATAATAATTGTTTAAATTAATTGGTTTCATTTGAATTTTGCATATCAATTCTGCCATATCAATTTGATGCTATTAATTTCTTTGTTAAATTGGATCCTTTGACTAATTAATATTTTCAATAATCACATTATTATTTAAATCTACTCTTAGAATACTGATTTTCAGATTTATTATAGAATATTCCAATTCCATTTAATTATCAATTTTTTTAATTTCAATATACTTAGAATCATATAAAACTACAATCTTTCTATTTTCTTTTTAATTCATACGTGTACTAGTTTAATAATTCAATTCTTGAGTTTATTTTTCAGCAATATCAACTAAATTCTTTAAATATATTAGAAAGAGAGGATGATTTAATTTTTTAATAAGGTCTAATTCTTATGTTTGTGTATAATAATATATAGTATTTCAATTAAAGTATTTATATTCCATATCTTATTATTAAAAATGAATAATCCCACAAGAGTAATTTTTCATATCCTATCATTATCAATATTAAAATAACTAATTACTCCAATAATAACCTCTTTCTTTTAATAACATCGTTAATTTAATTTTTATATAACATTTAATAATTTAAAAATGATGAACACTATCATTGATCAACTAAATAAATAGGATTATCAAAGTATTATTTATAATTAAATTATGATAAGATTGCTTCACTTCTGTAAATAAATTTTTATAGGAGAATGAAAAATAGAAATCATTTCCAAAAGAATATCTCAAATTATTTATTGGCATCTTGAATTCATTAAAGAGTATTATAGTTGAGTAAGAGAATAAAGAATTTAAATTCAAACTGTTCTAAATTCTTAGATTACTAACAAGATCGTAAGATGTTTCATTTAATGTTCAATCTCAAGAATTTATCACATTGATTGATTTAATGTAAATTATTTAAAAATAAACCTCTTAATCTTTTACAATGATGTAAATAGAAAATTTGAGCATTTAAAAACGATTGATTTATTTCAATAATAAGGTATGTGTTTATTTTTATTAAATTATTTTAGTTGTTAAAAACCTTTAATTCTAAATAAATACATTCACTCTTAGATTTAATGACATCTTCTTCAAAGGATTTGAAATTAAGTTTATTAGATTATATTAAATTAGCAATGGAAATAGATGGATAATTAATATAATCTGAAATTTCATCTCTTTATTATGTTGGGAAAATGCTTGTCTTACTTGAAAATAATGATTAAGAATTAAAAATTTAGACAGCAAATTTAATTACAAAATTATTAGATTGTTATCAATTTAGTGAAAACTTTCGTAAATTAACAGGAATGGCAACTGTAATTTAGGAAATAGAAAAGAAAGACAATGATAAATTAGAAGTAAAGATACCTCTATTAAATTTATTAATGAGAATATCTTCTGATAGCAAGAATTATACCGATCTTAAAGTAAAAATTACATAAAATTTTATAAGTTATATGGAATTATAGAAATTTTGCTATAAAATTTAGATCATTAAGAGTACATGATTGTCACCACAGTTATAAATATTTTTGGTTAATTAAGTTTTGATGATGAATTATCAACCAAAATAGCATAGAAAGGATTATGTATAGATATAATATAAATATTAGAAAAAATAATTAATCTCATATTTATGTGTCATCCTCATAGAATTAAGTAATTAAAGTTTATTGATATTAATAAAAAGGATTATCCAAAGGCTATTTAAGAATTGCAAATTTATACATTTAGATTATTGAGATATTTAGCTTCTCTAAATAGACATAGACACATTTTTAAATAATTATTTATTCCTAGATTATTATAATAATTTATTGACATTGAGAATTTTAATAAAACTTTAAATGCATATAAAAATTTAGTTGATGATTTCAATTAAATAGAACCTGAAGATTTATTATGCATGTAAGAAACATTGCAATAATCTGCAGAAAATTTTTATATACAAAATACAATAAAGAAAATTGGAAATTATGAAATATTGGAATAAATAGGAAAAGGTGCATTTGGATCAGTTTATTTATGTAGATTAGGAGGTAATTTTTATGCAATAAAATAAATTAATGATGTTGAAACTTTATAATATAGAGAGGTATAAATACATTCTGAATTGAATCATCCTAATATTGTTAAATTATATGAATGCTTCATTCATGAACATTCATTATGTTTAGTTATAGAATATATTAAAGGAATGAATGTATAAGAATTGATAAAATTAATGAATGAGAAAAATTAATAAATAGAAGAAGAAAATGTATGGAAAATATTGATAGATCTACTATCAGTACTAAGATATTTACATATTGATAAGAACATTGTTCATAGAGATTTAAATCCTGCAAATATAATGGTAGATTCATCATATTCAATTAAAATCTGTGATTTTGGATTGGCTAAACATTTTTAAGAAGATATCATAAATAATTCATTTGTTGGAACATTAATATATACTTGTCCATAAATAGTAGAGAATAAGGCGTATTCTGAGAAAGCAGATGTTTGGGCTTTAGGATGTATATTATATGAAATGCTTTAATAAAAGCCTGCATTTTAATCTGCAAATCCTTTGATGCTTGCAAAAAAGATTGTTTAATTAGAATATGAATAAATAAATTAAGGGATTTATAGCAATGAATTAATAAATATAGTTTAGTTATGTCTTTAGAAGGATGAAGATAAAAGGCCATCAGTTAATGAATTGTTAGAAATGATAAGTTTAAAGATGATTATTTTAATGGATAATATAAAATAAGAGAAAGATGATTTGAAAAGTGAATTACAAGATTTATAATCTAAAATCAATGATTAATAGTATGAAATAAAAAAAGAATAATAAGAACCAGGATTATAAGTTTGGAATATATTTTAGAAACTCTTACAATTGTCACTTCATGATAATAAAACTATTGATGCTAAAAATTAATATTTGATTGAATAATTTAGAAGAAAGATAAGTAAACCAGACAATGAAATTAATATTTAGACTGAATTAACTAAATTAACATTTTTGTCAAAAGAATTTATATCATATTTACCAAAGATTACTTATGAACAACTATTTTTTATAATTGAGACTGAATGTAAATAATAATAAATTTGATTGTATTTTTTTTGTTAAATTAATGAATCTGATATTAAATGTTTATGAACTTGATAATATTATCAAGAATAGAGAATAAATATTGTATAAATTTAATTGTATATAATAAAATTAATGTTTGGTTAGAATGTCGATACTTAAGATCTCAAAATTCTTAAATGTGTTCATGATTATAAAATAATGAGCAAGAAATTAAAGATTCGTGCATTCGCCTAATTTCATTAATGCTAATACAACTGTGTAAAAGACATAAATTCCAAAATAGTGGAGACTTGTTTTAAGCAATGTGAATTAGGTATGAATGAACCAAAAATTCATTAGAGTTGGATAATTATTTTGAGGAAAAAAAAAAGAGAAAAATAGAGAATAAGGTGTTTTATGCATTGCCTATTTATAATAATTCTGATCCATCAAAACAATACGTGATTCCATAAGAATAATAAGGAGAATATCAAAAAAAGACTATACAATTTGAAATAGAATCACAACGTAAATTAAATGAATTGAAAACTATTCTTGATGAACGTGGTAAGATTTATAAGTTGTGATTTAAATATACACATATATTTATATAATGTAAATAAAATTAATTTTTAATTCTGTAGCTACAAATGGCCACTCATTATAGATTAGATGAATAGCATCATTTGCTCTCAACTCATAAAACAAAGTTCCAATTACCAAAAGGACACTTCTTATTTACATCTGAAAGTGTTAGTGCTGGTCATCCTGATAAACTATGTGATTTCATAAGTGACAGTATTCTTGACGCCTGTTTGGAATAAGATCCAAATTCTAAAGTAGCATGTGAATCAGCATGCAAAAATTCTCTTGTTATGGTATTCGGTGAAATCACTACAAATGCTTAAGTACCTTACGAAACAATCGTTAGAGAAGCAATCAAGAATGTTGGTTATGATAATATAAGTAATCCAATTAATTATTCATTAATTTTAGGTAAAGGATTAGACTATAAGAATGCATCCATAATAGTCTCATTAGACTAATAATCTAGAGAGATTAATCAAGCTGTTGTAGGTGCTAAGCATGAAGATGAAATTGGAGCTGGAGACTAAGGATTAATGATTGGATATGCATCAGATGAAACTCCAGAATTGATGCCATTGACTCATCATCTCTGCAATAAACTTATTGCAAGACTTCAAGAATGCAGAGAAAAAGAAATCTGTCCTTGGATGAGACCTGATGCTAAAGTTTAAGTTACTGTTGAATATAAAAGAGATGGTGCAACATTCTTCCCTGTTAGAATTCATAATGTATTAATCTCATAATAACACGATGAAAAAATCACACATAGTGAAATATAAGCTGAATTACATTAACATGTTCTCAAGTACAAGTTAATTCTATTTCAAAAGGCATGTTTTACCTTAATAATATGTTGATTAACATACTTAATATCATTTGAATCCATCCAAAGCATTTACAGTTGGTGGACCATATGGTGATGCAGGATTGACTGGTCGTAAAATCATTGTTGATACTTATGGTGGATGGGGTGGCCATGGTGGTGGTGCATTCTCAGGAAAGGATCCCACAAAAGTTGATAGAAGTGCTGCTTATGCTGCCAGATGGGTTGCCAAATCTTTAGTAGCATCTAAATTATGCAAAAGAGTCATGATTTAAGTTGCTTATGGTATTGGTATCAGTGAACCTTTATCAATTTCTGTTAATTCATATGGAACACATGCTGAAGGTTATGATGATGATGATTTATCTGAAATTGTTTAAGAAAGTTTTGATTTAAGACCAGGAGTTATTATTAGAGAACTTAAATTAAGAAGACCTATTTATGCTAAAACTGCCTCAGGAGGTCATTTTGGAAGAACTGAAGCTGAATTTTTATGGGAAAAACCAAGAATTATAGATATTGCTGCATGGAAAGCTAATAAGGAATAATAACAACAATAAAAATGAATCAATGTGAATTATTTTAAAAAATACATAAACAAGTAATTTTTTTTCATTTTTTCTTATTTAGCTCAGCTCCTAATAACTTTATCTATTCCCTTAACTATAAATTTTCTATCATAGTTTTCTATAATAATTTTATTCTAATAATACTTCAAGTATTTCTTAAATATTTTATCTCTTCTTTAGTTATTGGATTACTTTAATATCCTCTTTTTCTATCCTAATTTTGATATTTCTTATATATACAAATCAGATTCAGTTAAATTTGGATATGCTTTACTAAGATGATATGCTAAAAGTTATATGTATGAAACTCTTTCTTCTAATTCATTTTTCAAGTTAATTATTTTTTCTGAAAATTAATCTTTCATTGTTTTATTTAACATTTCTAATTCTTATACTCTATTTGCCAATGATTCTACTACTATTTTATCTTTTTTTGTTAAAGGAGCATTAGAAACTTATTTTTAGCGTGCTTAAAAATCCTTTTAAATATGCACATCCTTGATTAAATTCTATATATCCTCCTACATCTATTTTATTCTTTGTTCTTTCTATTGTCTATCCTTATTTAACTCATCTATTTCTCTATTACTAATTATATATAACTCATCCAGTTATTACTTCAAAATCTAACAATTCTTAATTGAATCTTTATACTAAGATTCCAAAATTGAAAAATCTTACAATTATGATTAAAGTAACCTTTCTAATCCAATTAATTTTGCATTTTTCTGATCTTGTTCTTATTAAGAAATATAATGTAAATTTTTCAATTTTTCCAATTCTTCAATTGTATCATTCAGTTTTTCTTAAATCTAATAATTTTTATTAAATTTACCTTTTATTTCTATTTCTCTATTTATTTTAATTACTTCCCCAGACTTTCTAATTCTTCAAATTATTTTTTATTTTTCTCTGATAATTCTTGGTTTAATAATTTATTTAAATCTAACATATTTGATTTATTATCTTGTTCTGCTACTACAGTAAGTGCCTATTAAAGTTCACTTTCCAATCTGAATTTTTCTTAAGATATTATTCTTAATTCCTTCAGTTCTTAATAACATACTCTTATATCTTCTTTCAATTGTTCATTTTGCTATTTAAAAAGACCAATCTCAACATTGAGTTTTGAATTAATTATGCTTTATTCATCAATTATTTATTGAAGAGCTGCACATTTCTCAACAATGGTTTCCATAGAAGTAGAGTTTCTTGATTATTTTAGTTTTACACTTTTGTTCTCTCTTCTTATTACTACTTCAAAGCAGCTATTTCATATTATAATTACTAAATTTAATTTAATTATTCCTTTGATTTTTTCTCTAATATTTAAAATTCTTTTTAGGTAATAGTATTTTATTTTTCTCCTGTTTAAGCTTATTAGTAAGAATGATTTTACAAATATGGATTAAAATTAATTAAATTAGATGACTCCTAGTTTTATTTGGATTAATATTATAAAGTAATTGATTATATTTATGCTTATTATTGTATAATTAATTTCTTTTAATCTTAAATATCTCCTTTAAGTTCTACTATTATATTGTTTAATTAATCTCTTTCTTGGATAAACTTCTGTTAAATTTCAAAATGTTCTTATTTTTATTTTTAAATTAATTAATTCAATTCATTTATTTAATCACTCTTCTCTTTGATCTGATTATTATAAATCTCTATTTTCTATTAATCAGGTTGCTTTAACAATTCTTAAATTTTTAACTTTAGCTCTTCATTTTCAGTTTTTAGCTCTTTACATTTAAAATCTAATATTTCCATTTCATTTAAACTATTTTACATCATTCTCCCTTCACTTTCAACAGTATTTAATTGTTGTTTCAATTCCTAAATTAACTTATGTAAGTCATCAATTTAGGATTCATGCTTTTGTTTTTATGACAATATTTTATTTTCATATTTCTATTCCATTTAATATAGCTCCTCTTAAATTATTGAAAATGAGATATTCAATTACCCTAATTAATTTTCTCTCTCTTTTAATTATATCTAAGACTTTTATAATGATTATATCAAGTCATCTTATTCAATTCTTTGATTTTTTAGTAAAGCCAATTCTTATTAGCGTTATTCATGTATTCTCTCTAATTATTCTTATGATTATTGTTTCTATTCTAAATTCTTAAGTAACAATTAATCAATTTAAATTTATAATGCATCATTTTCATCTTGCATTCTTTTTTTTTATTCTTAAAATGCCAAAGCTGCTGTTTCAAAGTCATTTCGTAATTGAATCGTAATTGAATCAAAATATTTTAATTTTCTTGATTTATTTTAAATTCAATATTTTTAGAATTTTGCTATAATTCAATTTAATGTTAATTTTATAATTAAAGTATTTGTTATTCTAATTTCATAATTTAATTGTTTAAACCAAAACCTTTATCTTTCAATGATTGAATCTCAGCTTAATATTATTATTCTTAATCTTTTATATATTGAACTTTTGAATGAAGGTTCAACTAAGTTTCTTCTAACAGTAAACTTTAAGAATTGAAATCATTTAATAGTTTAACTTCTTTTTCTTATTTTTATTTCAAAATTAATTACATATGTTCTAAATCAATATGAAGTTATTCTTGTTTGACTACTAAATCTTAGATCTATTACTATTATTAATTGATTTTTTCTAAACTCTATTCATTATTGCTTTATTCCTATATAATTTAGCATTTTTAAATATCAATTTCTATTTGAAATTTTTGGATCATTATTTTTTTTTAATATTCTAAATATTTCGTTAATTAAGTTAAATCTTCAATATCTTTTTAATAAGAATTTTTATTTAAAATCTATTGATCCTTCAATTATTTTAATTCTTATTAAGAATCTAAAAACAATTATTTTTAAATTTAAATATCATTTGTAAGTTCAAAATTCTATTAATCATATTAATTACTAAGTTATATTTTTTATATATTTAATTTATTTTTAAGCATTTCATCATATTATTTATTTAATTCTTCTCGTAATGTAAAAAATTAGGCTTCATAAGTTTACTTATTAATTTCCAAATTTGTAATTGCTTCTGTAAGTTCCTATTAAAGCTATTCTATTTTTTTATCCTTTTAAATTTCATTATTAGAAACAATAGTTTTGTTTGATTAAGTAATTCTTAATCTTTTGATCTTTAACTTAATGTTTAAATTTCTTACATAAGTAATTTAGTATTTGAATCATTTTTTTATGATAATTATTCTAATTCACTCACCTTTAAATTAACTGTTTGTGTCCATATCACTAATTAAGATTAGAATGATGATTTAATTTATTCAAGTTATTTTATTGTATCTTAATTTTCATTAACTTAAAAATTTAAATTTCAATTTGTTTAATAAGTTCTGAATTATTTTCCTCTGATTATTGTAATTTTTAATTATAATTATTGTTTTCTTCCTATTACTATGAAATATGTTATTATATATTTTTTATATCCAATTTTAAGTTCAATATAATTCTATTCTTATCTTTTAATTTTTCTTTAATATTTTCTTCAGAAATTTTTATTTCTTCTTTTGTATTAGATAATACTTATAATATTTAAGTTTTTTCTATACTGCTACTTTCTTTAATTTATACTAGTTCTAATTAGAGTTAGCTTTTATTCTTCTACAATTCTAATATTATATCTTCATATTAATTTAATTTCTATGTTAATTGTACTTAATAACTAAAATCTTATGTTGACTTTAAATTATTTTCATCTATTTATTAAATAAGATACGTAATTTCATCTTTTTATGATTAATTTTTTATTTTTAAATCCAAAATTAATTAATCTAAAAATAATATCTATTGTGAATTTTATTTTATTTATTTTTCTAAGTCTTCTTTTTGTATATTAAGTTATTCAATTTGAATATTTAAATCTTCTTCTTATTTTCTTATCATCTAATTATTATGTTATTCTTATTATAATAAATTGTCCAATTCCTAAATCTTATCCTCATAAATTTATTTATCTTCTACTAGTTTTTAATTGAGAGATGAAATATTATTTTATAATTTTTGTAAATTTTGAAAAGATATGCTTTCATTTTATTTTTATATATTTTATTAATCTAGTAATTTAGATTCTAATAAATTTATCTTCAATTCAGCTTCATCTATTTCTTCTTATAAACTTTAATATTTTATATCAAAATGTGACTTTTATTCAATTTCTTTCCAACACTATTCTTTTAGTTCTATTATTTGATTCTATTAATCTTCAACTTATTTTTTAAATTAAGTATTTTCATCAATAAATTATGAAATAATGTCCTCTTGCTATTTTACTTTAATTTTGTATTGTTCATTTACATTAATAATATGTTCTTACTTTTATTTCAAATCATTGATATCAATATTATCTTTTTCAATTTTTTATTCTAAAGACTTGTATGAAATTAATTATTGATTCAATTAATTAATTTCATTCTATATCTTTTTTAATTATTCATTCTTTTCATTTAATTGTTTTTAAAAAGATTATTCTAATTAAAGTTTTTCATTATTTGTATCATATGTTTTCTATTCTTCTTTTTTTAGTTTTTTATCTAAATTCTCTATAATTATTTTATTATCTTATTTAATTATATCAAATAATTTATTTTATTCAGATAGTTGTATATTATATGATTCAATTTCTATTTTTTATTTTGAGATTATATCTAAATTAGTTTAATGCTTCTACAATTCTTATTATAATATATCTTTAGAGGATTCTGATTACTATAATCTTTCTATTAATGATTCTATATCTATTCTATGCTGATTATTCTATTCTAATTAAACTTCTTAAAGTTTTTAATATTTTTATTCTGATTTTTATAATTAAACTTAAAATTTTTCAATCTCTGACTGCTTATTGTCTATTTAATTCTAATACTATTTGATTTGGCTTTAATACTCTTTATGTTAATTATTAAATTCATCTTACAATGTTTTAATTTATTTTTATAAGCAAGATTGCACATCATTAAATTCATATTCTAAACTGGTATATTTTTTAATATTTTATTCAATTTCAAGTTTTGCATTCTTAATATTTTCTTATAATTGTATTATTTATTAATGATTTTCATTTTCATTTTTTACAATGGAATCCTAAACTATTTAATGTACCTTTGGTTATTCATCCAATTAATTAATATAATTCTACTAATTACAATGAGCTTAATCCTCTTTTTAATTTATCTCCTCTATTTTTCGATCATCATTTTCATAATGTGTAGAATTCTATTCTTCTACTAAATTATCCATATAAAATTTTTATTTTACAAATTAATATTTTTCATAATTGTTTTCATGTAATTTAATTTTGGTTGAAAACTTAATTATTTTGAAAAAAAATTTATGAATGAAAAATATAATAATTATTTATTAAACCTATTTATATAAAATTGTCTTACCTTATATAATTATTTATAAATTTAATTAAATATATTAAATTAATTAATATATTTCATTTCGAAAAAAAGTATTTTGATTAATATTAAAATTCAATAATAAATATTAATTATAATTATAGTAATAAAAATGTTTTTTTTTAATAAATAACCTTAAAGAAACAGTGATGAACAGTGTTCATTAAGAAGATTATAAATTGACATGTAAGATTAGAAATTAGGAGAATTAAATGATGATACTTGTGAAATTGCAATGAAAATGGATCAAAATATATTGAAAATTTCAATGACTCCTCAAATTGGATTTTATAGAAATAGAAATTATTTAGTAAGATTTATTTTTATTTTAAGTTTCTCCTAGATTTTAGAATAAAATATCCAATCCTCCCTCCGAGGATATAGACTGAATCTGATACTCTACATCCAAACATAGATAGAAGGGATAAAAAATTTTACTTAAGATTATTAGAATAATAGAATTGGAAACCAATATATGGGTATATTTTGATAATAAATATAGATTAACTGAAATTGTTAAAGAAATGAAATAGACATTGATTCATGTGGATTTCACATGCATCCCAAATGAAACTACCTCTCTTATTATGGCATAACAGATTCTGAATTAAAATCAAAATAATGATGAATATGAATTAAATAATGATTAGAATTATGATACAGAAACTAATGATTTTGAAATTAGTAAAATTTTTAAGATTAATTTTGAAATTGAAGATAATGAATAATAAAATTAAGAATCTTAATATGACTCTAATTATATTTTTTATAAAGAACCAAATACAATTAATTTATAAAAGACTTCAAATCGTAGATAAAATGATAATATATTTTTTATAAAAATTAAAAATTGAATATATTCTTATTCTTTTATAAATATAGATTAATAAATATTATTAAAGAAAAAGTGAAAAACTTCATGAATAAATCACTCTAACTATTCAATATCTTTATTTAGTTGTTCAATTATATAAAGTTCTGGCAATAATTAAAGCATACATTATCTGGTTTCATAACTATATAATTTATTTTATATCAATACTTTAGTAAAACTCTTTAAGATTCTTCGTTTAATAATTTGTAACTTACCCATAAAATGAGTTATTTATCTTTTTCTTAATATTTAATCTAATTTTCAAGTTCTTAAAATGTGTGTCTAACCTTTTAGAATTTTTTGGCTCTCAAAAATCTAATTTATGTCTTCATATATACCTATATTTAATAGCAGTTTTATCTCTTTCCCAATAATTCATCAATGCCTCGCTGCCTTCACCATACTTTAATACAAGTTCTTTTTAAAATATTCCTAATTCTATTGACATTTCAGTAAATCTTGGAAGAGTTAACATTTTATCTCCATTTTCATCTTGAAAATCTGCATTGCTTGTAAATATTTAAAGGAGTTTAGATTTGGATAGTTTTTATTAATGAATAGCTCTATATAAAGTTTTAAACTAAAATTATAAAGCTAATAAAGTACCTCTGAAAATTCAATTAATTTATTTCCATCTAAATCAGCTGCTTTAAACAAGGATTCTAATATACTTTATTGATCTTTTTTATTATTTGAATATAATTCTAATATTTTAATAAGTAAATTATCATGATTAATAAAATATCTTTAACTATTTTATTGTTAATTTCTATATTATTATAATAAAGATTATATCTATTATTAATGTAACCATCTAGATGATTTCTCTGTTAGAAATTCACTGGCTTATTCATATGTTAATAATAAATCAACCTTACCATAATTTAGATCATTTTTTGATGAAAAATATTAATAACTTTCTGTTAATAATTTTTATCCAATTTCATCCATTTCTCCAACCATATAACAAAATTATGCAAGTAATTAAGCCTTGATATGATTTCCTTTTTCATAATAAATAAATTAATAAACCTAACGAATTTTTTTTTCTGCAACCTACTTAAATCCATATTTATTTTTATAATAATCATAGATACATACATGAAATGGTATCTTATATCCTTCAGCTTATTTGCAAATATCATTTAGTATTTAAGTAACCAATTTTTATAATTATAAAATTGAAAATTGTATTTTCTTATTAGGCTTTTTTTTCATTTTAACATCTGTCAATAATCCATTAGCTATATCTGTATTTTAGCTATAAATTCTTCTGAATCTTTTTTAATTTTTCTATTCTAATTAGATTGGATTATATCTACTCCTTATTTTATTTTTCTGATCTTTATATTACAAAATTACTGATTTCACCCTTTCATTCTAATTATTATTAAAAATACTAGGAGAAGATTCAAAATCAAATTCATCAGATTGAGACTCATCATTTTATGATGAATTGATAATATTCTTATCAAATTAACTTTGCTTTTATCCTTTTTATTTTAAGTCAAATTAATAAGATGATCTTTAATTTGAGAATTAATTACTTGAATTATTAATCTCATCAAATTCTTAAGTTGACTTGATCTAAGACAGATTTTTTTATTCTAAAATGGAATGCTTTTGAGTTTTTACTGACTTTTATTTTTTTATATTTAAAAATAATTCATTATCTTAAACAAGTTATTATTTTCTTTATTAAATTGATTATTAATTCTATTATTATGTATTCTATTAAGATCCATCTATTAATTAAGATTAAGAAGCCTATTTATTAATTTTTTCAATTTTCTTTATAGGTATTTATTAAGGGGAATTTCTTTAAGCATATTATTACTCATTTGGAATAGTATTATGTTCTTCTTTAAATTATTCAATTTGTAGAGAATATTTAGTTTATCTAGGAGTAATTGGTTATTTTTTAGGTTTTTAAATATTTTATAAACTAGGTTATCTTCCTTTCTTTATTTAGATACTTTAATCATTATTATTTGTTCTGATAGTTGGAGTTTAATTTTCAATAAATTAATTGAAACCTGAAGAATTCTTTGTTTATTCTTAATTTAATAATTATTCTGATAAATTTCTTTCAAAATCTTCATCATTTTATTTTTTATCATCTTCTGAAACTATATATTATGAATCATTTTTTTCATTTCCTTATATAATTCTTTTTAGTTATTTTTTAGCTTTTGAACCTTCTTCTTATTCTTATTCTTTGACTTTACTTCTATCTGTTAGTTAATAATCTAATTCATCTTATTCATCTATGTATTCTTCCTCTTATTAAGCATTTTTAAGATCATTATTTATATCTGATGATTAATCAAAACTCTTAAATTAAGATGACTCTTTTTCTTCTTCCATTATTTCTGGTTAATTTATCTCAATATTGTAAGTTGTTGTTATTTATTTTAATGTACCTTATAAACTACTTTTTTATTTCATTAATTTCTTTATTTAACTTTTTTTCTTTTTAATTATTTCAATAAAATCCTAAACTGCTTATGTAAGCTTAGATTCTAATTCTTAATTTACATCTTCTTTTTCCATTAAATCAATTTTCTATTGAGTCTCTTCTTTTTCTAATTGAATCAATTTTTATGAAAGTTGTTAAGTTTATTGAATCGATAAATTAAGAGTTTCACAAATAGATTCTTTACAATCCAGTTCTGATTCTTAAATTAGAGATATTGCCTCCATCAATCTTTATTCTAATATTAATTACTCTTAAACAGATTTTTAATTTTATTACTATAACTCATATTACTAATTAACAATTAATTAATCTTTATCTTATTATTATTATTCCATTTGTTGAATTTAGGATTATAGATTTTCTAATTATAAGATTTAATCATTTAATTATTATGAGTTTAAGTCTGTTTATGTTTATTTTTATTCTAAATCCAATTAAACTTATATTTCCTCATCTGCATATTCAATATCAGGTTCTAAAATTTGTTGATTAATTAAATCAATTTTGAGTAGTTATTCTTGTTCTCTAAGTTATTCAAATTTTTAAAAATTAGTATTCTTAACCTTATTCTTATTAAATTTATATTCTGTAGCAATAGATTTATAATTTAGTAAATGAGATACAATACTTTTACCTTTTGCTAATTGAACATCAATTTTCTAATCTTCAATTTTCTTATTATCATTATTATCTTATGTTTTAAGTAGCATAATTTATAATAATAAAGAGTCAATCTCATTTTTTTATGTTTCATTAGTTTCTATTAATTATCTCATTTCTGATGTTAATAATAACATTTTAGTTTTGGTCAGATTTAATTCATCAATGGAGTCAGAAGTTTCGTTTTTGATTTTTATAATTTGATTTTAGTATTCTTAATATCTCTATTTTGCTATATCCATTTAAGAATCATGAAAATTTTAGATTCTTTACATTTATTCTAAGTAAGATTTTTCTGATTCTCTTTGTTGTTCTGAGTAACATTTAATAATTTGGCCAATCAATTCCACATAAAAATCCCAAACAGTTTATAGTAGATCTCCTCTTTCTGTGCATTCAATACTCACTTATCTATTTGATGATTAATACATACTTAATTAATTCTCTAAGACATGATGCATATATAAGTTATATTCTTTCTGCTAATTCTCTTGTATTCATATTTGAACACTCTTATTTAGTATATGCAATCATCATGAATAACCAATCTCTCAAATCAATGGCTTATTACCTATTTGGTGGAATCATTTCTTTTTCTTGAATTGATTATTACATCTCTAATTTTAAAATTTCTCCAAAGTATTTTTACAAGTTTGTTGATCTTTGATTGTCTTAAAACAATTCTGTGAAATCTAATAAATGACCTTAAAACCTTTCTTTTTCCAAATTAGTATTAAAAGGAATACGAGTATTTGTTTTACGATAGAGAGTGCCATAAAATGATTACATATTCTTGTCGTATTTCTAAATTATGTATAATAATGTACAGTTTATTAGAGCTCAGGTTCTTTGTATATGCTAGTACCAAGTTTAGCAAAGTTTCTTTTAGTGGATCTAAGATATGAAATATCAGAACAAGGTCCCAATTTTGATAAATTGATAACTGTTTAACCTTTAGGATTTAACTATTGTTTGACTGAATTTGGTATAGAAGTATTGATTAATTGATCCCATTCTATTGAAGAACTAGGAGAATGCATTTTAGATTTGCCTTTAGTTTCAAAATGATGGGCTGATTGTGATTATTGAATTTCAGGTAAATAATTTTTTTGCATAATAATTAGAAATTTGTGTTAAATAACATCTTAAATAAGACACTTTAAATTTTATTAGATTTGTTATCAATAAATTTATTTAATAATGGGAGCATGCGGTGGTAAATCAGGAGATAAACAATAACAAATGTCTAAAGAACAGAAATGTAAGTAAATTAATTTGAGTCTTAGAATTGGCTGTAAATAAATTCGAGGTTGGCCCCAACATCTTTGTTAATTTAAAGCAGGGTGATATAACTGATACTTATATCATTAACAAAATATTAGGTGAAGGTATTATGATTAAATTATCAGTTAGGTTCATATGGATAGGTGAGACTTGTCTAACATAAGAAGACTGGTTAATAAAGAGCAATGAAATAAATTTAAAAAAAGAAAATACTCAAGGAATAAGAGGATGCTATGTTTAGTGAAGTGGCCTTATTAAAAGATATGGATCATTAAAACATTGTCAAATTATTTGAATTGTATCAAGATAGTCAAAATTACTATTTGGTTACCGAATACTTAAATGGAGGGGAATTACTAGATAAATTAACAAAATTATAAACTTTCAATGAGAGAACAGCAGCAGAGTACATGAAATAAGTATTATTGGCTCTTTCTTATTGTCATGCCTAAAATATAATACATAGGTATATCATAATTTTATATTTTATAGAGATATGAAACCATCAAATATCATGTTAGCTTCTCCAGATCCAAAATCCCCTATAAAAGTAATTGATTTTGGTACTGCCAAAAAGTAAGTAAGTGGAGAATCATAGACTTAAGTTATTGGAACAGTATTTATCTAATCTTATTATTATTATAGCCATTATATATAGCTCCTGAAGTCATAGACAAAAATTATACTGAAAAATGTGATATCTGGTCATGTGGGGTCATTTTGTATTAAATTCTTACTGGAAAATTCCCATTTGATGTCAAAGTCTAAAGTTTACAACAATTATTCGCTAATATCAAATCAGGAAAATATAATTTTAATTCAAAAGAATTTACTAGTTTATCTTTTGAAGCTCAAACTCTGATTAAATCTATGCTTTAATTAGATCCAAAGAAAAGACCATCAGCAAGTGAAATTTTGAATGATCCTTGGATCAAAGAAAAAGCAAAAGAAGATAAGATAAGTTTAGATGTAATGAGTGATTTGGGTAAATTTCATGTAAAAATATTATTCTATTAATATTTTAGAATGAAAGTAATATGAGAGCAGCTATTTTATAAATGATTGCAGGAGAAATGATGTCTAATGAAGAGAAAGATTAATTAAATTAAACCTTTTAGAGTATGGATAAAAATAAAGATGGATAACTTTCAAAAGAAGAGTTAATATAAGGTATTTATAAGAGAAATATTAAAAAAATTAGCTTACACTCAGGTATTTAATGATGAATTAAAGGCTAAACATTTAGTAGAGGAGATATTTACATAAATTGATTAAAATAACTCAGGAAAAATAAGTTATACTGAATTTTTAGTTGCATCAGCAAAACAAAATACAATTTTATCAAAAACTAAAATTGATCAAGCTTTTAAAATGTTTGATAAAGTATTTAAATTAATTATAAATAGGATGGCAATGGTTAAATTACTAAACAAGAGTTATAAGATATTATGTGTGGTGTAGATATTGATAATACCTAATGGGCATAAATTATAGCATAATGTGATAAAAATGGGGATGGAATCATCTAATATGATGAATTTGCGAATATGTTATTATAAACTGCCAAAAAATGATTTATTTTACATAAATAATATTTGCATATTTGAATTTTAATAGTTTATAAATAAAATTTGTCTATTTTTTTAAACATTAGATTAAACTAAATTAATAATTTTTAGAATCTTAAATGAATACTAAAAAATTTATTAAATAATTACTCTAAAATCTTATTCTTATATATATATATTTAAAATTATTTCCATTTTAAATAAATATATTAGATGATTATAATAAATAATCATTTTTTAGTCATAAAATAATAATATTTTTTAATTGATTCATCATTTCTTATTAAAATTATTCATCTTATCTTACATAAACTTTTTAATGACTGAATCTATTTTTTCATCTAATTTCTTTTCCACTGTTTTTACTGTATCAACATAGATTCCTGTTTTTTAATTATCTGGTCTGGCATCTATAAACTTTCCTTGTTATGCTGCCATTCCTTCAACCCATTTAGATTATATATCATCTTTGATGTAATCTTTTAGATATGGAATTTTAGTATCATTTTCTTGTATTTTTAAAATTAATTCATCTCTTCTCTTTTTCTCTAATTCTTACATTCTTTCATCAATTGTTTCTTAATCTAGTTTCCCCCATTCATTTTTATTATTTCCTTATTCTAATGGTTAAAAATATCTTTTTGATTCAATAAATTCCTTTTACTAATTATTATCTTATTTGAATCCAAAATACTTAGCTATTTGATCTTATATTTCAGTTTCTCTTTCTTCACTATCATAATGAGTTAAATTATTTTGCATATAATGACTATAATATTCTAAATTAAATTTTAATTCTTTAATTTTAACTTAATTTGATTTCAACTCTGCTTATTCACTATCAAAATAAAATTCTTTTTGAAATTCATCACTAGATATGTAGACTAAAATTGTTTTAATACAAAATTCGTATTATCTTTGTTCATTCTTTAATTATTCAATTTCTGAATATCTCATAGTATTATCTTGTTTTTAAGTATCTATATGACTTTCAGTTTAACTAAAATACTATTCCATCTTCAATGATTTTTTACTTAAAGCAGCCATTCTTTCCTTAACTTATTTATGAAGTGTAATATACCTATCCATTTCATCTAAACATTTCAAAAATAGGAACATATATAATAAATCTGGCATTTATTTTTTTTTATTATATTATTATTCTTTATAAATTTATTACATCTATTAAACCATATTTTCATTAATAAAATATGAATCTTTAAATCCTTTAATAATTTAATCAATTGTTTCTTATTTATCAATTTGAAAGTTATTTTTGAACCAATCAAAATAATCTATTTAAGACATTTCTGATAATTATACCTTAATCTTATCTGTTCTACTTGTAAATTCCATTTTTTTTGATTTACTCATCTTAAATTGAATATCTTCTTATAAAATTTGTAAATCAATAAATTTATCATAAAATTTTAATTATTTAAGTTCTACAAGTAATAAATATAAAACATTAGCAGCCAATTCATATTATGAACGAACAATAGGTAAACAATGTGAAAGTACATAATTACAATATGGAGTTATTAATGATTATCCCTCTTCTTTTTTTCTCTTTTATTCATTTGCTTCATGATTCCAATCAAAGAAAGTAGTTTAATTATCAAATTGTTAAGTTTTGATTTGTTCTCTTTCATTTTATATTCTAATTTAATGTAATTAAAGATTATGTGGTATGATTTTAAATTCATTCATATTAACTTTTAATAGTTCACAACATTAATCATTTGGCAATATGGAATTAAAGAATCTAGTTAATCTTCTTTCAACATTGGTTTTACTTATATCCTTTTTTTAATCTATTTAAGAAAATAATTAAGATTAACCAAATTCAAAATTTGAGGATTACATTTAATTCAATTCATCATGAAAATTAGCATCACTTTCCAATTTCTCAGATATATATGCATTAATATTCTCAAAAACTTGCTTATAATGTTTTTTATAGACATAACTAATATGTTCATATTCAGGAGTCTTAATTTTATATTTACATTCATAACCATTCTCTTTCCTAATAATATCTCCAAATCCATTTGGAAATTCATCATCACTATTAATTAATTCCAATTCTTTAGTAAATTTTGCTAATTTGATTCCCCAAAAATATGCAATCATTTTAGATCTTCTATCCATATACTAACTAACTCTAAACATTTAATCTTCAAAACTCTTTACTACCTTTTTTTATATTTCTTTCTAAGTTTTATTATGTTTTTCTTCAACATGTTTTAATTTCTCTGATTTAAGAGCTTCAAAAACACTATATCCAAAGTCAAATACTTATCTATAGATTTCTAAAAGAAAGTTTCTACCTGGATATTCTTGGCAATCAAATACTTAATCAATTTCACCACATTCTATTCTTTCAGGAAACAATATTCTATATTAATAGACTACAGGAGCTCTTTATGGAAATAAAGAATTTATTTTCATGTAATACCAAGATTATAATTCATAATCTTAAGAAAGTTCATAAGTTCTTGTATATTTAATTTGATCATGCATAGATCTAATACGTATTTCAAAATCTCCATATGAAACACTTGAAACTTTAAAATTTGTATGTCTAATTGTAGATTCTTAAACTAATTTTTCGCATTCTTTTTCCATATTTACTCCAATACAATAAGCTAATATGTATTTCAATAAATATAATAATTATTCATTCATACTTTCTTATTCAAATGTCTAAGCATCAAATTTATAAAATCCATTATTGAATTAAGCAGAAATAAATCTAATTATCTCATAATTTAAACAAGGAATCAAATATGGTTTTATTTCATGTATAAGTTATGGTTTTGTATAAATGGGAACTTAAAAATTAAATCCTGTCAAAAAATTTCTCATTTCTTTCATTCCTGCTTATTTCATAAGACTTAACATATAAAGTGGAGCCTATTTGTATTCTGCAATGTAATTTTATTGATCCTATTTATTCAATTTGTAAGGACTTATCAAATTAATAAGTTTAGCTAATTCCTCATCTTGCAAATTAAGTTATTTACAATCAAAAATAGAGAACTTCATTCTTGAGATAAGTTATTTTATATCATCTATTACACTATCTTTAGAATTCTATATAACAGGTTTTACTATCAAATAGATATGTTCTAGTATTATAAAATAATTAAATACCAATTTGAGTACATTCAGGAATAAATAATGAAGCCAATTATTCAGTTACTATTTCATCACTACTAGTATAAAGATAATAATTATAATCTATTATTATATAATTATTTTATACTTTCTTTAGGTAAATCCCTGATTAATTACAATTTTACTTATTAAGATAATCCAGTTTAATCAGCTTAATTTGGAACTAAAAATACATGATCATCTTCATTTACAAATATATTTTTATTAATTTTTGTTGTATTCTCTTATAAAACTAATTCTTCTAAATTAAAAAGATCTTTTATTGATATAAATATATTCTGTGATGTAAACTATTCAAAGAAATTATGAAAATTCATTGGCAATTTCTCTATAAATTATCCTGTTTTAGCAGAATGTTAAATTTATAATTCTTATAATTTTTTAGATTATCTAACTTTTAAACCTGTTCTACTTCCATCTGATATTATCTTAGCTCCTTAATATGCTCCAGGTCTAGCATATAAAACAACTTATGAATAACCTTCAGTCATCATTGTTAAATAATTATTGAGATTTTATGGATGAATCTTTTCAATTTATGCTAGCATCCTAGCCTCTTATAATGATAATCTAACATAATCTGAGTCAATCTCTATAAAATCATTTAATTTCCAAATATTATGTAATAAACCAGATAAATTACTTTTAATTACTATAGGTCTATATATAATCAATATTCTTTGATTGTAAAATATTTCAGGACATAATCTATCACATAATGTTTAATTTTATGTTGGTTAAGATATTTTATAATAATTGGGTAAATTTTGAGACATAATATTCAATTATTAAGTACCTATTTTATATCCTATTTTAATATTTACACCACTTCCATCAAATTATATACTTTTCAAAAATCTCTCTTAATTTGGTATAAATTTAAAGGCTTCATTCAATGTTCTTTATAAAACTTAACCAAAATCTTATTTAAAAATACTAATATTATTAAAGTCCAACATATCCATAAATGTATCATTCGTTTTACGTCTATCATTATGTATTTCATCTACTTGTTAAGTCATAAGGAATGAAACAACATTTAATTTATAAAACTAAGGAAAAAATAACAAAGTATCTCTAATAGATTTATTCTTAGTTTAAGAGGAATAATAATAAATCATATCTTAGGATCTTTATGATAATTTTTATTAAAATTCTTAAAACTTCTATTATTATTATTATGTATAAAATAAATCTTAAGTAGAACTAGTTTTGATTCTTTCAGATGGTTAATATGATTGATCAGAATATTTAATTTCTTCATATAAATACTTCTAATAATCAGTATGTAAATATGATATTTAAGATTTAGCTGCATATAAAAACTTCTTAAAATCAGCTTATAGCTATAACTAATTACCAGATATTAAAAAAATAAATGCTACTTTATTTCTTTAATATGCCAAACCCAATTTTTAATTTACTTTATCTAACCTTTTCAGATAAAATTCTAAAATCTTAATGTCATCTGGATTCTATAAACAATCTTATAAAGCAAATTTATCAGCTACTCCAAATTTAGCAATCAATTCTAAGAATGTTCCATAAAATTGATAATATTATTGAAACTCTTGAGCTTTTATATTTGATTTTTTGCTATAGAGTGATTTTTCTAACCATATTTTTTGTAGTGTTGCAATATCCATTTCATAAAATGAAAGAGCATTAAAACCTGCTTCATTTAATGATGTAATAAAACTCTCTATATCAATTTTAAAGTCTTTTGCAGTATTTACATCTACAAAAAAGATAGAGACACAAGCTTTGAATTATAAATGAGATTCATTAATATATCTACGATTCACTTATTAGCAAATACTGTTTGAAAAATTATAATCAGATTATAATATGACATGACTATTCATGGGACATCCACAATTCAAACAAGAGAAAAGATCAATTCCTCTAAATGTTTCAATATTAAAGCATGCTCTATAAAAGGGACATTTATTTTCTTTGTTAGAACATATTCTACAAGGTCCTCTTTCTACTTGAAAGAGATTTAAATAATTTTTTTTTTTGAAACGATCTCTATTCTATTCATTTTCTAACCCATAAGTATCCGACATATCAGTATGATGTAAATCTCTATTTTAGGCTAACTTCATAAGTTTACTACCTAAATGTCCTCCTCCTTCTTTTGCTGCTTTTACTAAAATAAAATCGTATAATTACACTCTTCTTCAGAAGGAAATTACAATTCAAGTAAATGATCCTTAAAACATTTTAGAAAAGTTTCATGTTACTATCTTCTTTTAAGTAAATCAACTTAAATATCTGAAGACATTAAATTTAAATTAATTATGGACTTAATTGATACCAAAGTAATTGAGTTGAGTTCAAAAACAGGCATTCCAGATGATTAATTAAAAATATTCATTTCCTTGATCTTTTGCACCTTGTTTGGATTCCTTTTTAAATTATCTATTAGAGGTAATAAATTGAATAGATAATATAGGAAGATAAACAAGATTGATTGCAGGATCAGTATTTGGTGTCTTAATAACTTATTATATTTATAGATCTTAAATTATAAATGTACTATTTTAGACTTTTGTGGTTTATATAATGGTTAAGGTTTTGGGAAAAAAGAGTCCTTGGCCTGTATTTGTGGAATCAATGATTTTTGTGGCTGTTCATCATATATACAGATAATATACTGACTATGGAGGTTGGAAGATGGATGTTACAACAATTTTGATGATGGATACTCCAAAATGGACTGCTTTTGCTTTTTGTGTAAGTGATGGATTGAAAACATAATTGAGTAAAGAATAAGAAATAAGAAAGATTGTTAAATTACCTTCATTTTTTGAATATTTCTCTTTTATTTTCTTCTTTGCTGGATGTGTATTAGGACCATGTTATGATTATTTTGATTTTGATTAATTCATTAATGAAGATAAAGAATATAAAAATATTCCATCAACAATAAAAGAAACATTAAGACTATTAAAAAATACTTTAATTTGTATGGGAATCTTTTTATTTGCTGAAAAATACTTTCCTTTACATTTTGTTACAACAGATGAATTCGGAACATACAATGTTTTATATCAAACACTTTGGTTTAATATTATGGTAGCAATTCAAAGAACAAAATATTTTGGTGGTTGGCAATTAGCAGAAATGAGTATAGCTTCTTGTGGTATTACTTATTAAGGAAATGGATAATTTTAGAAAATTAAAGCAGTTGATGTAGATTGGGATTTGACATACAATATGAAAGATAAAGTAGAGAAATGGAATATATCTATTTAAACTTGGTTAAGAAGATATGTATATACACGTATTTATACTGAAGAAGAAATGAAGAAGAGTGCAGGTAAATAAAACTTTGCTTATCAAATGACATATGTTGTATCATCATTGTGGCATGGATTCTATATTGGCTATTACTTTTCATTCTTTTAATGGGCAATTATGAACAATGTCAATAAAGCAATCTTTAGAGTTTCATGTAATACCAACTATTTAAAAATATTTGAAACCAATCCCTTAGCCAAGTTTATTAGATGGTATGTCGCCAATACTTTATTCAATGTATTTGGAATTACATTTTTATTATTAAGTGTTGATCCAATTCTTAAATTCTATAGCAATATTAGGTATGTTCCTCACATTTTATTGTATGTTACATATGCTTTCTTCTTAATCACTAATTTCGGTTAGAAAAGTAAAAAATAAAAAGAATGAAAGTATATATATAATTATATAAATGTTGAATAACTCTTTAGTTATCTTTATGAAATATAAAATGATAAATAATTTTAATTTAGTCTTTTGAGTTAAAAATATTTAATATCTACTAATATAAATATATATTGAAAGCATCATTTTTATGTTTGTTTGGAAATAATATTCGGTGAAATTGAATTAGTTATTTCAGATGACTATTCTTTTGTTCTTTGAACTTCACTATTCCAAAGAATTTGAATTGGTATCCTTGAAGCAGGATGCTATTAATCAAGAGCATAAGGCATCAAAATTATATCATGAGAGGATGGTACTGTAGGATTAGGAGATGAGATTATGATGTCATTCTTTGTATATTAGTGTTTCTAAATATGGCACCCCATTATTAATATAATAAAATAATGAATTGTAAATCTGCATCGTATAAATTTAAATAATGATACTCGTAAGAAATAAAATATGTTTCAAACTTTAAATATGAACATACCTATGTATTTAGATATAAATTGTATAAAATACTAACTTATTTATTTGATATGTATATTTAATTTATTTAGATATTCAAAATATATAATAATGATTTCTCAATTTGATCTTATCAAAATACTATGAAATATATATATATATATATTATGCTTATTATCAATCAAATTCTTTTATATGTGGTAATTTCGATTTCTTTTAATCATAACTTTAAATATAATAGATCCATGTATATATGAACTATTCTTACTACTTAATAAATTTTAATGTTATATACGTATTAGTATATACAACAGTTTCAAATAATATATAAAATTAATGAAATAGGGTAAAATATTCATTCATTAATCAATCAGAATTTAATCTTAATATTGACATTCAATTGATGATTATAAAAATTTATCATATGATAATAAATCATAACTCCTAATAGAGTAATGAATGTAAGTAAAATATTAATATGTGTAAATTAACATTGTGAATAAACATATTAAGTAATATAGGTGAGGAAAACAATAAAAATTAATATATATATATATAATTAAAATTATATCAGTTATTTAAAATATTAATCATTGATGATCATAAACCATCTAGTAATAATCTCATCATTTTAATTTTCGAACTTTAATAATTTTATATTGAATTTCAAGTGTTTTACTAAATATAAAGAAGATGATTGACTTATAATAAAATAAAAACACTTATAAATAAATATGAAATCATTTTTTTTTCTTTGGTAATGCCTTTTTTTTTTTAGGTAAACTCTTTAAATAAACATCATATCTTCTACTCTAAAATTATATTTAAAAAATAATTACATTCAAATCTTCCTTTTCCATTATAGCTCTTTCCCTTATTCTTTAATACATTTCTTCTAAATCCCAAGATCTAATGAGATGATCATATGAACCAGAATAAAGGAGTCCATTAGCAAGTGCCAATGTAGTAACTCCATCAATGTGTCCTGAAAACTCCTCTTTTAATTCCCAATTTTTCATTTCATAAACTTTGATTTTTTTATCATCAGTTCCTACATAAAAATAGGGATCATGAACCAACATACATAAAGCCCATCCATGTAAACCAACAATTACTTTAATAGGTTAAGGATTAGGTTGATCTAATTATTAAAGTTCATAAATGTGTATAAAATTATCAATAGTACCAAGAATCAAAAGGGTTTTATGGATTAAATATGACATAATAGTAAAATTAGGGAATTAAACACTTCTAACAATAGATTATTTATAAGGATCAATTTAGACTATAGTATTTTTACCATATAATAAATTAATTTCCTTATCGAAGATAACATTCATTGAATTGATTGGATATCCTATATTAAAAATAACTTCGCATTCATTGCTAGTTGTATCCCATAATCTCACAGTACCATCTAAAGAACTAGATGCCAATTGTCTAATATTTAACAAATTAATAGATGTGATTTAAGCTTTATGTCCTTGATAAGTATAGACTGGTTCTCCTGTTTTAATGTTATTGGATTTGATGAAACCATCATCATATCCAACATAAATATTGAATTCAGAAAATGTTGCAGCACATATTATATTTCCTTTCATTGTTTATTGATTTTCATCCTAATCTTATACTGTAGTATCATCTGATATTTTAGAAATCAAAAATTTGGATGCTATTTATCTATTTAAGAGATCCCAACCTTAAATAGTTATAAAAATACTTTTAACGTTTCCATCTCTAGAAGCAGAGTAAAGATAATTACCATTATTTCCATAAGGACTTATTAATGTAATTATAGCATCTTTATGTCCTTTAAGTCTATCTTTAAAAGCCTTACTCTTAATCTGTTTAGGAGGTTTGGCAAATTATTATTAATACATTTAAAATATGAATATTAATATATGTATGAATCAATATGAAACTGATTTTATTATGTTGACTTATTATTATGGATCTTCATTAGAAAATGAAATGGCTTCATAATTACCTAATAAATAATATTTAAATAATACATTTTTCTTTATCAATACCTGCTACTTCAGCATCTGAATCAATTCTCAAAACAGCAAATCCTTTGAGAACTATTAAAATGAAAAAAACAAAGAAAGCAACCCAAACTGTGATAATTAATAATCCTAACAATTAACAACCTAATAATTTCATTCCTTTTCCATAAAATAATCCACCATTTACATCCAATAATCCTGTAAATAAGACTCCAATAAATCCACCATGCTAAGATTAATTTAATTAAATACCAAGAAAATAGGTACAACTTAGACTGGATCATCTAATTTTACTTTAGGTAAGGCTGTGGCTGTTAATGTATAAACAATGCCAGCAATTGAAGCAACAATAGAAGTAGCCCAAATCTAAGATTCATGAGCAGCAGCTGAACTTGCCACCAATCCAGCCAATATTCCTCTTGAAATTGAAAATAAACTTGTTGTCTCTTTTGTCAAATATCTTATAACAAAACTCCAAAATCCTCCTGCAGCTCCAGCTATCAATGTATTAACTGCTACTAATCCTTAAACATATGGTGTAGATTAACCAGATTAAATCTAACCACCATTTATGAACATCCAAGTAGCAAAAAGTATAACTGTTCCAAATGCCACATATATTGAACTGAATGGTTAAAAGTTTAAAGTAGAATTTGGATCAAATCTATATTTTCTTGGTTTAGATACTACTGTCACTACTAAAGCAGCAACACCAGCTGAATAGAAAATGAATCCTGATCCTGCCAAGTCTTTATATCCTAATTTAGTTAACCAACCATTAGCATTAGTCCAATGAACTATTGCTGGAGATACAAATCCTGAATAAAAGAGAGCCAAAACACCCCAGGCTAAGAATGTTAATCTTTCAGCTGCTCCACCTGATACTATTGATACTCCTATACATGATAATGTAGCTTTGAACACTATTATTATTATTAAAATTAACTACCAAAATTTGAATAATCATTTTATGCTTCTGTTGCTGCCCAATTATATGCTCCAAGTTTTGTACCTCCCATAAAATATGTTCCAAAATCATCACCATAAGAAAATCCATACCCAAACTATTTTGAATTATTAAAAAATCATTTTACCAACCAATATATTAGTACTGTTAAACACATTCCAAGAAATACCTTTATAACTATTGATTAGGCATTCTTATATCTAACAGAGCCAGCCTCCAAAAATCCAAAACCCAATTAAGAAAATGCTAGTACAATACCAGCAATCAACAACCAATCTTCATCTAAAGTACTTCCATTAGTTATTCCTGCAGCAGGATTTGGGGCAGGAGGTGGATTGGCAGGGTTAGTATGATCAAGATAATGTTGTTACATAGTTTGAAATATAAATTAATATTTTAACAATCATTTTTCTTTAATTTTAAATAAGGGAACTTTGGCTTTTGATAATTTATTTGATTTTGATTTAGGTTCAATCAATCCTCTTCTAACAAACCCATCAAATTCACTCTTCACTAATAAATCGCCTTAAGATACATGTCTTAAGTGACTCTTCAATTAATCATCTAATACAAATTCATCTTATGTTACATCAATTCTATAAATCAAAATAAAAACTTACTTTTTATTTCCTATCTTAATAGGTACCAAATTTCTTCCCTATAATTTTCTTGCCCTTTCTAAGAGTAACTTCTCTTTTCTCTATTATATCCTTTTCTGAAGTCTTAACTTAGCCTCAGCATTTAGTTCTTTCTTTATTTTCTTTATTAATAAGAGTTCATGATTTTTCTTTTTTTCAATTAATCTATCTACCACTTCTTTTCCATGAATTTTTTAAATTTTGCTCATTTTTTTCTATTTCTTTTTTTCTCGTTCTCTAATCTATTTGTTTGATAAATTACCTTTATATTAATTTTTATGCTTTCTCCTCTTCAGTCTCTTAATTTTATAATCTCTAATGGGATCTAATTTCTTTTTTTACTACATCATCTAGTAATTCATTATAATCTTTTAATTAAGGATTATATGATTATCCTGGATGAGGTGTAACAATTGCTTTTACATTAGTTCTTAATACTTTTTTTAATTTTCCTTCTTCTGACCATATATCCTTAAATTCGTTCTACTATTATGTTTATTATTGGTTTTTTTATTATTCGACCATATTTTATATTTTTATTTTTTCCTATTAAGATTGTTTCTTGGGATCTATAAGTTTTTTCTTAAATCTATCCTTATTTTCATATATATTGATTGGTTATGCATCAACTTAAAAATCCATAGGTTGAGCATCTTTTTGTGTAAAATCTATATTTTCGAATTCTCCCATCTCTACAATAATGTTTTTTCTCCATCTTTATGTTCCTTGTCGAGCTCTTAGGTTTTTTTTCTTAATATTTACCATGTATTAATTAAATTTAAATATTCATGAATTTTATAATACAAAAATATATTTTATTCAACTTACTTATATGTTCAAATGATCCATTTTAAATGGATGAAGTTTCGTATACAAAATATTGGAAAGTGACAATTTTTTAAAATATATTTAATCCTTTATACATAATAAAATACTTAAATAAATTAATAAATGAATAAATAAGAATTATAATATATTTTCGACTTAGTATTATATATATTAATACTAATAAATCAATAAAATCTGTGGTATTATTGCATCATGTAATATTATTGTTATTGCTGTAGCTGTTACTACATATTATTGTACCATTATTATTATTAAATTTAGAATTGTTATTATTATAATTATAATTATTATTATTATTATTATTATTAATAATTATAATAATATGAAAGCTAATTATTATAATTAATAAGTTAATTATTATTGATGTCTTCCTGTTATTATGTTTGCTATTGACACTATTTAATTTATAAATGTGTATCTATTTAATTCTCATTCTCTTTTTCGTTTAATTTTACTTATTTGATAATTGGTTATTCTTCTTAATTTTCAGATTAATAATTCACTCCACTTTTTTGATTTATTAAATTTGGATACAACTGTTTATAATAATACTTCAATCTCGAAGTCTCCTCAATTGGAATATAATCATCTGGTATTTAATCTTGCTTTGTGTATAGCATAAAAATATCATTTTCAAAGATTTAAGTTATTTCATATACCTTTAATCATTAAAAAACTTTACTTTTTTAAATTCCAGTTCATTGGTTTAATCAATTTGAAATAGTAAAGCCATTCCTTTATCTGAATATTATCTTTCTTGATTTGATTTCATCAAAATGCTCTATACTTTTAGTATGATGTCTTTTGAATTTTTTACAAGATTTTATCTCTTTAAGTATAATTTTACACATTTATCAAATTTAATAGCCAAGAATAATGGGTGTTTGATTTTATGTCTAATATTTGGGGCTGTGAAGTAATTAATTAACCCTTGTATAGTATTATCAACCTTTAATAAACCTTTTGGTTAATTTTTTCTTTCCTTTTTTACAAATTCTTTATCTAAGTTTTCCGGTAAAAATGGATCAATAATTAGTTGAATATTATTATTAAGAGCCTATTATCTGGCATGTTTTCTAGAATCTACAAATATATATGGAGAACATTTAGCATCGATAACATATTACTGGCTGCTATTGATTTAACTGATGACCACGACTATTTAAAACTTTTGATACTTAAATATTATCTATAACATAATACTTCATTCTTGTATGAAGTTGTATTGAACTTTAATTATCTTAATATTGAAATCCCATTTCTAAAGACCCCTTCTGGACAACCTTTGCATCCTATGCTTTCCATTTCCATTTTATCATAATTATGTTTAACAATATAGAGATTTGCCACTATGGTTAGTGTATTCAGTATATGATGGTCGAAATCATTGTCGATCTATATGATATAAATGATGTTGTTACTTTTAATTAACACTCTAATTCAGGGATGTTCCAAGATTTATGCCAATTCCAACCAATATTTGCACTAAATGGAAATGGCTTCCATAACTTTAAATCAAATGAATAGCCTTGATTAGAGTTCTAGTATTTAATAACTTTAGAAGCTTCTATTCTGAGAGTTTGCCCATTATGTACAATATTATTGTTGAATGGCTGCCATTCCCATTTCACAACTTCATTAGATGATAACATAGACTAATTTTAATTATGCAAAGATTCAATTTATGATAACATTTATATATATATAAAGTAATGCAAAATAAAGATTAATTAACTCTTCAAAACGTGATTGAAAATTTTTAACTAAGCCATTAAATCTAATTAAACTTTATTTGATTCAAGTTTAATTATTAATAAAAAAAATTATTAAGATAAGTTTATTTTAATTATTAAACCATTGTTGTGTTTACATAATAAATATTTAATTGTTTTCTTTTTTTTATTGAAGCTGCTAATTTATTGGGATAAATAATGCTTCTTAATTTACTTAGCTTAATTAAATTATACTTAATCTATTCAATACTATATAAAATGAGTAAATTATAATTTAGTTTAATTTCGAGAATATTAAATTATCATTTATATACTAACAAACTATTCTTAACGAATAAAATTTGAATAATATAACGAAGATTAAAAAAATAATAAACATAAAATTTCTTTTTTTTTATTATTAATGCTACTAAATATATACTTCATTATTGTGCAATCTCCTATTCTTTTTCAGTGTCTTCTTCTGTATAAGGAATAGGAGGATCAACATCTGGATAGAGACGTTTTGTTAAAATATAACAATGAGGTGGATCAATATCTGTATAATAATTTTTTTTGTAAGTTGTTTTCTCAAATCCATGTCTAGAATAAAATTGAAATCCTATTTCATTGCTAACCCACATATGTAAATATATAGTTCTTATTTCTTCATGAGATCTAATTCTATTTATTAATTCATTCAATAATTATGTGCCAAATCCCAAACGACGGTATGCATCCAAAACACCAAATGTCATTATATAAGCAGTCTTTCTACCATCCTTCTCTTCTATCCTTGCTGTTATAGCTCCAACTGCAATGTCATTATAATAACCTGTACATTACTTAAATTTCAATACCAAGAGTAGAAAAATCTGAATAGGTTAGAATTTTTATATAAAAGTTTTCACTATACGTTACTGGCAAGGTCTTTTAGGTAATGACTTTGAACTATTCCAAATTTTTGTAGTTGATCTCTCCAAAAGCCAATTTTGGATTCTATTCCATTAATAAATATATATATAAATTAATAGATAGCTGAATTGAATTTCACAGTTGTATTCTTTTTTTTTTTGAATAATTTTCACTTAAATAAATTTAAGCAATACATAACAATCCACTAATTAAAATAAATCATTAAGAAATGCTTTGCAATATACAATAATATATGTAATATTTCCAATATTCAAAAAAATAGCATACCTAATAGAATTTTGTATTGATATGCCTTATGCTTTTAAGTATTTGTTGAGTATATTGATATCATCTTGTTANCATTGTTGTGTTTACATAATAAATATTTAATTGTTTTCTTTTTTTTATTGAAGCTGCTAATTTATTGGGATAAATAATGCTTCTTAATTTACTTAGCTTAATTAAATTATACTTAATCTATTCAATACTATATAAAATGAGTAAATTATAATTTAGTTTAATTTCGAGAATATTAAATTATCATTTATATACTAACAAACTATTCTTAACGAATAAAATTTGAATAATATAACGAAGATTAAAAAAATAATAAACATAAAATTTCTTTTTTTTTATTATTAATGCTACTAAATATATACTTCATTATTGTGCAATCTCCTATTCTTTTTCAGTGTCTTCTTCTGTATAAGGAATAGGAGGATCAACATCTGGATAGAGACGTTTTGTTAAAATATAACAATGAGGTGGATCAATATCTGTATAATAATTTTTTTTGTAAGTTGTTTTCTCAAATCCATGTCTAGAATAAAATTGAAATCCTATTTCATTGCTAACCCACATATGTAAATATATAGTTCTTATTTCTTCATGAGATCTAATTCTATTTATTAATTCATTCAATAATTATGTGCCAAATCCCAAACGACGGTATGCATCCAAAACACCAAATGTCATTATATAAGCAGTCTTTCTACCATCCTTCTCTTCTATCCTTGCTGTTATAGCTCCAACTGCAATGTCATTATAATAACCTGTACATTACTTAAATTTCAATACCAAGAGTAGAAAAATCTGAATAGGTTAGAATTTTTATATAAAAGTTTTCACTATACGTTACTGGCAAGGTCTTTTAGGTAATGACTTTGAACTATTCCAAATTTTTGTAGTTGATCTCTCCAAAAGCCAATTTTGGATTCTATTCCATTAATAAATATATATATAAATTAATAGATAGCTGAATTGAATTTCACAGTTGTATTCTTTTTTTTTTTGAATAATTTTCACTTAAATAAATTTAAGCAATACATAACAATCCACTAATTAAAATAAATCATTAAGAAATGCTTTGCAATATACAATAATATATGTAATATTTCCAATATTCAAAAAAATAGCATACCTAATAGAATTTTGTATTGATATGCCTTATGCTTTTAAGTATTTGTTGAGTATATTGATATCATCTTGTTACAAAAATATTAAAGCAATTACATTAAAAATAAAAGGAAAAAAATATAGAATATGAATTCAAAATATTTAAATTGTTTGATATGTAATTGAATACTTGCTAAATGATTAAGATTAATTCAGATTCAAAATAGAATTTCTATTATTGAAATTTTAAGAATTTATTTAAGAAATTATATTCAAACATTAAAATTATTTTTAAGATTGTTATAAGAATTTCATAAATACCATTGGGTTTTAAAAACTATAAGATATTAAATATTATTATGAAAGATTTTAGTAAGTAAGAGAATGAAATCACTAATCATCATATAATAAAATTATTTTGAATCATTATTATAATGCAATTAACTCTATTTAAGGTACAAATGATACTGTCGTTTTCTTGAATGAAACTTAGTATTTTTAATTTTGGATTAATTTCATGGCATTAACTGATGTCACAACACATATCTAATAAAATGTTAATTAATTATAAATTACCATAACCAAATCCTTTGATTGATCTTACATTTGTTAAGGTAGAATTTTATTTTCTTTGACTTATGCGAAAAGCTGTTAAGCTTCACTTAAGGATGAACTAACAAATTTAAGTGTTTCTTAGAATGATCCATAAGAATTCATCTTTTGGGTATATTCATCAAATTTAATTGCTTTGATGTAGTAGCAAGTATCAAAAATCTTCATTCTATTAGAATATCTATGATTCATGTCTTGGACTTTTTTGATGAATCCATTTTCCATTAAGGTATAATATAATCTGGATAAACCCTGTTATTATAATAACATCTTACTCTAAAAAGAGAATTCAATCCTTTCCAATATTGAATTTCAGAATACATTTAATCTATCTATGGAGATACTTTAGGTTTCTTTTTGTTTTGATTCTACAATTATTCTCTTTATGAATTTGTTAATTGACTAACATAATTGGTTCTATTTCTATCAAGAATTGTTGTCAAATACTCTAGATAAAAGTAAATACTAGCATAATCTACATCTGAATAGAGTTCTAGATCAAAACCATATTATAATTATTAAATCATAGATTGTACAGCAATTTCATAACTGAATATCATTAAAGGGTTTTTATTTTTAAATATATCTTAATCAATTTAATTGCTATGATGAACAAGTATTGATAAATGAGAATAATTTTTATGAAAATCTCTACTTTTTCTAAATTTAGATCTTAATTATTTAATTATGTATTCATAAGTAACAGGTACTAGACAATCTTGATATTCCTTAAATACATTTTGTTATAATTAATCAAAATTTTAGGAAAATAATTTATTAAGAGTTCCAATAATGATATTAATCCAAGGAGTTTAATGGAAATATAAGAATTAATCATATTTAAATAGATTTTACTCTAAATAAGCTCTAATTAAAATATTCTTAGGATAATCATGAATAAGTGTACAAATTTTTTATTAAATACTAAAGTAATTACGTTCTGCACTTAAATCAAGTACTGCTTCTAATTAATTAAGCATAGTATTAAAATATTCATAATGATTTTCCATTTGAGGTATTTTCCTCATACTTATCATAGATTTCAGATGTTTTAGAATTGTAACACTTTAATAATTTGACATATCTTTTCCCATTGCCTTAGTCTAAACAACAGCATCAAATCTTTTCCTGATAAATTCAATATGATCTGTTATTTATTTTTATGATTCAGAATTAAATGGTTATTAAAGACATTAAACAATTAAACAATATCCCTTAAGCAATTTAATTCTAGAGGAAAGTGCATCAGCTATAGTTAATTACTTAGATTTTTTAATTTTGCCACTTAATTCAGTATCTAATGGATTTAATGTAGTTGTCAATAACTCTTAAATAGTGGATATTCTTTTATTTCTGAAACTGAAAACAGATGGATTATAATCCTCTTCTCTGAGAAATGGAGCATCTTTGATTATTTTAAAGATTTGACTCCCTAAAGTATTCAAAGTATCAAACAAAGCCTTAACAAATGGATGATCCCATAATGAATCATCATATTAATACACTAAAGTGTAAATAGTTTAAGCTAATGCATTTCCATTTAACCAACATGTAATTTTCTAAATCACTAAATCAAAGAGTCCAACAAGCTAAATAATTATTATCATTAAACTTTACTTCTTCATTAGTAAGTTGTGATCCTGATTTTATCTAATTTGATTGCAATAATTTTTGAGGTGTATCTGCATCAGCCAAACCCAGTTTTACATCTATTTTTTTGTCAAATAATTCAGTAGCTGACATAGCCTCAAATAATGAAAATCCTTCTGCCAAGAGAATTTCTCCATTTTTTAGACTCTTAAGTTCTGCTGTAATATCCATTAATTAAATTAATGTCTAAAAGAAAAGTACAATTTTATAACAACTAAGACTTGTATTATCAACAATCTCAATATATTACTAATATATTCAACACTCATAAATGTATTAAATATTAGAAATAAGTGATATATTTATAAAGAATAAGAAAATTCAAACTTCAATACAATTTCAAAAACATAATTAGAATTCTTCAAATATCTAATTATTTTTATAATTGGAATCTGCATTTTATATAACACATCAAAGCATTCTAATTTCATATTAATAATATAATTATTTACTATAAAATGAAAAAGACATTGGTTTTATTAATTTCCTAATTCTTTTAAAGTTCTTAACATTAATTGAACTAAATTATTTCTAATAACTTAGTTCAATTAATCACAAAATAATCCATCTTGATTCCATTTTATATATCCTATTAAACAGAAGAGTATATATTATGTATTTATTTTGGTTTAATTAAAGAGTAAACTAAATTATTCATATAAATAATTAACAATATTATAATTAAGATAATTTATGAAATATATTATATTCAATATTGAAAATAGATTAAGATCAAATGAGTTCTATATCTAAACTTGATTTGTACAAATATTATTATATAATATTTTTAAGAATTATAATTAATATTTACATATTATTCCTGAAGAACTTTAATCTAATTTTGATAATAAATATGAAAATGAATAATTTCTATTATTTTGAATATTTTAGATCTATACATTTTATTTAGTTAAATAAAATAATTATTTTAATGTTAATTACAATAAGAATATACATTTACCTCATCCTTTATTGAGAATTCTCGGATGAATGTAGAACACATTAAAATATATATATATATAGTTATAGTCAGATAGTTTTAAGTCCATGCGTAACAAGAGTTTGGAGACCAGACTTGATTCCGCAATTGGATTTAATTCTCGCTCATCATTTGGTCAATCTGACCAGGGAAGGATCAAGGAAAATTAACATATATTAATTGTTTAAATATTTATCACAAATCTGAGATTTTATGGGTTATTAAAATTAATAATGAATTTTGAAATTCTTGGGCTTCTTTCATAATTGCCATCTAAGAAATATGTGAGGAAACTATTTGAATATGCTTATTTATTTAGAAACAAACTCAACTCATTTTAAGAATATATGGAAACACCTGTAAGTGCTTCATTGCCTTAAGATTTATAAATGACTGAGAAATAAGCTCATACACTTATTATAGGTTTAGTAAAACTATTAGAAAGTGCAGAATTACTATAATGGAATGAATAAGCAATTTTATAGCTATTTCCATCTACTTTTGATTAGTAATTAGCTAAATTGTTAACAGATTCTATACTTTAGATTTCTGAATGTAAGATATATTCTAAAATCTTTAATAGTGTGTGATAAGATTACAAATAGAGAAATATGTTAGGCAGATTCTCTAATTGATATTGATTGGAGAGTGGATATATAAATTTAGACACATAATTAATAGAAGGTATGTTACTTTATAAATAATTAATAGGTTAATATGCCTGTCTTATTCTTATAATTGGAGACTCTAAATACTTAAAAAAATACAAAGGAGAATGTAACATTTCAGCTTAATTAAAATGAAGTTAATAATTTTCACAACAATTTGTGTAAAATAAAAGAATAATTATAAACTTTAGCTTAGTGATTATTATTTATATAAATTTAAAAATATAATGACAGAAAAAGTCAAAATTCTTATGTTAGGTGAAGGTGCTGTAGGCAAGTCATCACTCTTAAATCGTTATGTTGATGAAAAGTTTTCTGAAAATATATAGGCTACATTAGGAGTAGAGTATAGATAGAAAATTCTTACTTAAGGAGAAAATTAGGTGATTGTTTAAGTTTGGGACACAGCAGGTAACTAATGTATATAGTGTTTAGGTTAAGAAAGATTTAGAGTTATTACTCCAATTTTTTATAGAAATGCATAAGGTGTTTCTTTAGTTTATAGTGTTGTAGATAAAGACTCATTTTAATAAGTTTAAACTTGGATTGATAATTTAAAAGAATAAATTGATTGTGAATAAATCTCTATTGTTTTAGTTGCAAATAAGTGTGATATATAATAAAGAGAAGTAACTACTTTGGAAGGTTAACAATTAGCTTAAAAAGTATTTTCTTTTTATATCCAAGTATTAAATTAAATATTTTGAATGTTCAGCAAGGACAGGAGCATAAGTAAAGGAAATGTATACAGAATTAGTTTAATAAATACTTATTAGAAGAGGTTAAAATAATAATTCTTAAAATGGAGAATAAAAATAATAAAATATTAAATTAGATGGAGGAGAAACAAATTCATAAAAATGTTGTTGATAAATCTTATAAATATTTCATAAATTTATAATCCTAAAAATTCTTTATTTTATAATTAATATTTACAAAAAAAATAATATCTAATTACTCTATATATAAATTATATTTTAAAAAAGATAATATTGTAATGAAATATTAATATTTATAGATGTAAATAAAATATTATTACATCTTTATATCAATATATTATTTAAATACTTTTAATTTATATCACAAGTAAGGAAACTATTATAAATAAGTCATGCTTCTACTATTTACTGGTTATAAATCAATTGATTAGGAATTTAACAAAGGTGATAAAGATCTTGAATTTCTAGAATTACAAGTAGCAAGGCTAAAAGTAACTGTATGTTAGCATTTTGCACATTAGAAACTATTAAAAGATGAATTATGTTATTTTTTATGAGTTTTAAGAATACTTTTTGGTTTTTCTATTTTTTATAGTGAAACCTTTTATTTTATTTTTTTTTAATGATTTGTTTTCTAACCCTATATAAAAACATTTTTATTATTATTCTTAGGGTTCATAAACAAGTTTAATTAATTATCTTATTGAAAATCACATTTTTCATTGAAATTAGAAGGACATTCAATTTATTTTGATTTATTGATTTATTCAATGCTTGATCCTAATTTTACTTTACTTGTACTATAATTTCTTTGATTATCAGATTAAATATCAAATTAAAATTCACTTTTAAAAAAGTCTTCTTCAAAAGTATCCAAATTTTATGTTATATTTTATATACTAGGCTCTAAAATTAACTTGTTTGGACAATTTAACTTAGGATATCCATTTATTTTTATCATTTTTTATTTCTAATTGTCAAATCTATGTAAACATGTATTCCCCATTAAAATTAATTTAATAATTTGGTAATAATTTAATTGTTTAAGACTGCATTTAATTTTAAGAAAATAATCATTAGAATATCATTACTTATAAGATCAACTTAATTATTAAATGAAATAGATAACAATAAAAATAATTATTATAAACAATCAACCAAATATTTAAAAATAATATTAAACCACATATAAGAATTATAATAAACTCTATAGATGAAATGGGACTAAATATATTTTCTAAAAAGAATTAACAATATATAAAATAATAACTTAAATTAAATGTTAAATAAAATATTAAAAATAATATTATTTAAATATTAATTGTCTAAATGGAAGCAAAGAATAAAACAAAACCAAAATCAACTAAATAAAAAGCAAAACTTTAGTAAATTATGTCAATAAGTTTTGAAAATATCTAAAAAAAGAATAATTAGCCAGATAATCAAAATAATGTTATTTAGGAAGATTAAGATGAATCAGCATAATAGTTTTAAAAAATTTCAGAAGATGAATATTAAAATTAATTAGATGCTTATCATCAAGAATAGAACAAAAGATTTTCATTTAGTTAACCAATGCCAGATTTGTATTAGGTTTAATTACAATAATAATAGCATTAATATTAACAATTATTGAATAAATAATAAAATGTTCCTCCAGTATCACCTAAACATAAGCAATCTTAAAATTAAAATTAGTCCTAATAAATTTAAAAATAATAATAATAAGAATAGAATATTAATGAATCACATTTAACTAATATAACATAATAAAGTCCTGTTTTTATTCCATAACTTCCTATTAAATAAGTATTCTAATAATAATTGGATAAAAGTACCAAAAAATCAAGTCATCAACATGAAGAATTATTCTAAATTAATTCATAATTAGATGATAGTTAAGATATACCATAAATGAAAAAGATGTCTATAAAATCTGAACATATTAAAAAATAATCTAGATAAAATAATTCTAATACAAATAATATTAGTAACATATTAGATAATTTCTTAAGTCATCGATAAAAAGTAAATGATTAATCAGGACTCTATTAATCAGAATTATTTGAAGCACCTTAATTATAACATTTTGGTGGAGGTTAAAATGAATAATCTGTAATTTAATAATAATCTCTTTTATAATCTATTCATAATGAAACTATGGAAATTGTTAAAGATCAAATCTAATAATATCATTTTGATGATATTTATTAACATGCAAGGAAAGATTCATCAATTTAAAAATCTCTAGTGAATGATAAAGATGAAGAAGACTTAGATAATTTATTATAAGATTTGTATGAATGTACAACAAAATAAATTCCTAAGTAAGTCATTGAATCTAATCCTAAAATAGTTAATTAGTAGGCTAAGGAAATAATGAATACTGTCTTTGAAAATCCTCCTTAAGATAAATAATCATAAATTAATAAACCTATACCTTATCTAACAGGCAGTAAAATTGTAAGTGAGTAAAAAAATGAGAACTAGAGTCCTGCTTATAAAAATAAATTATAGGATGAAGTTACTAAGTTTTCAACTTAAGAATAAAATAAGAAAATGAATATTGAAGATTACTTTAATATAAAATAATAATCTTCATCAAATCAATAATAAAATAGTAATAAAGAAACATTTAATTATTAGTCTATATAAGAAAAGTTAAAAAATTCAATTTAAATCAAAGAAGCTGAAAATTAAAATGTCTATTAATAATAATAATAAATGAATTTTAATACAAAACCTTTTTAAATAAGTTCTACTGATAGAAATTACAAAATTAAACAAAGTTTTGGATATGAACTTACATTTAGATAACCATAAAAACATTTACTCACTATTTCACAATACCTTTTTAAATATTCAAAATTAATATAAGAACCTAATTTGAAAAGATTAACTGAAATTAAAGTTGAAACTGCTATTGAAAATAATAAAAATCATTAAATATTATTTGAATAATATGATGCTTAATTATTCAAAGACTTTTTGAAAGAAAAAGATCCTGAATTTTATTAATTATGTTCTACAAATTTCATATTATTTTAATAAGGAGATTCCAATGAGACTAATTCAGCCTGGGTAAAATGTTATATGTTATCTGAAAATTTAATATCTTATTTATTTTCTTTAGGATTTACAGTTGATGATGTTAACTTCCAAAATATCTTAAAAGAAACTTATTTATATTAAGAAAAAAATAAGAAAGATAAATATCAATTAGATTTGGATGCTGCTTATTTTAGTGTTTATTAATCATTTAAATTGATTTATCCAGATTTCAATAAATTATTGGAAGTAGTAAAATTTTTTTAAAATCCAGAAACCAATCTAATTGATATATCCACAGTAAAATTAGTATTGAATAAAATGATTAATGAAGAAAAAATCAATAATGTTTTTAAATGGCCAGACTCTTCTATTAAATATGATTAATTGTTTAAAGTGTTAACTTTGTTACCTTATTGATAGAAGAATTATTATTATATTAATGATGTATGTATTATATATGTTGATATATTTTGAATTCATAACTATTATTAATTATATGTATATAATTTGTTATAAAATAATATATATATTAAAATTAATGAAATTATTTGAAGGTCAAGAATAGCCAAAACTTAAATTAAAAATAAATAAGCAGTTTGCTGAAAAGTATTAAAAGAAAAAGGAACGGGAACTTTTAGATAAGAAAGGAGAGATTCTAGACTAGTAAGAAAGCAGTGAAGATTAAATTTCAGAAGATGAAAATGGGGATTTGATTAATGATAAAGTAACCTAAAAATTCATTGAAACTCTTGCTAAAATAAGATATAAGCATCCTGATATTTATTAAGATAAAGAAATATTTTAAGAAGAAGATTTTGATGAACCTAATATAAAAAACAAGGATTAAAAAAAGGTTACATATGCTGATTTGTAAGGATAAGAAATAGATAATGAATAAGAAGAAATGGAAGAGGAAGAATATGAACCAAATGTTGGTTTGACTCCAAATGAAGAATAAATACGATTGAAAAATGCTTTTATTAATGCAGCTAAAAATTCAAGCAAAGAACAAAAGGAATTATTAAAAGTAAAGTAGAAATCAATAAAATAAATTGAAGATGAAAATAGAGAGTTTGATAAATTATTAAAAAAGTAGAAACCTGAAGAATAGGATATATTATAAAGATATTGGGGAAATGAAGAAGATTTAGATGAAAAAGATAAATTTCTAAGAAAATATATATTAACAAAAGGATGGATTGATAAAGATGATATGAATGATATTATTGATTCATCTGAGGATGAAGAGAGGATGGATGAATTTGAAGAAAAATATAATTTTCGATTTGAAGAAGAGGGAGGAAATTAATTAATTACATATGAAAGAGATCTAAAGGATACATTAAGATAAGAACCAGAAACAGCAAGACATAGATAGAGATTAGCAAAAGCTCAAAGAGAAATGGAATAAAAATAATAATTAGAAAAAGAATTAAAGTAATTGAAAGCAGCAAAGAAGAATGAAATTATATCAAAACTTTAGAAGATACAATAAGTAGGAGGAATAAAAGATGCTAAATTATTATTAGAAGAAATTGATAAGAAAGAGTTTTAACCTGAAGAATTTGATAAGAAAATGGAAAGGGTATTTGATGAAGAATATTTTGAAGATGAAGAAGAATCTCCTGAAGAATTAGAATAAAATGAAGATGCATAAGAAGATGATTAAGAAGTATAAAAAAATGAATAAGGTTAAGATGTAGATAATGTTATTAAAATAAAACCTACAATTCCAATTTGTATGAAAAAAAACTTAAATTAAGAGTAATTAATATATTTATATTTTTAGAGAAATGGATGCCTTAAAAGAAGAAGATGTAACAATTTGGTGGTTTTGTGATGCTTGTAAATAAACTATTGAACCTAATCATTTTCGATGGGATTGTTAAATTTGTGAAGATTATACTCTTTGTGAAAATTGTAATAAAGAACATCCTTAACATAAATTAAAAAAATCTCTTGTTCCTAAATTTTGTAAACCTCCTCAAACAGAAGAAGCTTAATAATTAATTAATTAATTTAAATATTGTAGAGCATGTTAAATTAAAATGACTGAAGAAAATGAATATTATGAAAGTAAAAAAGATTATTTGTGTGTTGATTGTTTTGAAAAAGATAAAAATTAATAAAGATATAAATTTATAGAAGCTAAGATTGTAGATGTAAATAAATTACTTGATGAAAATCCTGAATAATTAAGAGAGAAGTTACCATCTAATTTAAAGAATATGATTGATGAATACTTTAGTTTAGATTTTGAAGATATTATAGCTGGAGGAATCAAGACAAAATTTTAATATATTGATGTAGAAAAATAAGATTTTGGTTTAACTAATGATGATTTGCTTTATGCAGATGATAAATTATTGAATTAATATGTTTCTATTAAGAAATTGGCTCCATATAGAGATAGTTCAATTAAAATTAAGAAAAATAAAGCTGAAAAATTATTAGCTTAAATTAGAAAGAGTACTAAAAGAAATAAAAAATTAATTCTCAAAGGAGTTGATCCAAAAGAATTTTAAAAGAAGAAATAGGAGGAAGAATAATAAGAATAAAAATAAAAAGTTTAATTAGAAGTGGAAGACGTTGTAGAAAATACAACTTTATAGGTTAATTCCAAGAGACTTAAAACATATGGAGTGTGATTTTACATATTCTTTTGTTAATAGCATTAGTTTGTTGTTTTTATTAAAATAATCTATATTATTTTAATGTAATTTTTAATAATTAAATTAATATTATTAATTAAATACATTGTTATAAGTCAAATTTGAATAGACATTGCTATATGTTATTAATATTTAATAAGATAATTAATGAATTCATAATAAATTAGTATTTTATAAAATATATATGAAATACTGAATTTTATCTCTAAATTAATTTAAAAGTAATAAGGAGCATAAATTATTTCATCAAGAGTTATGGTTTTTTTTATTAAATTCTTTTTTAACAATTCAGTTGTAATATTGAGTTTTGAATGATTAAAAAGTGTTTATATTAAAGTTTCTTATTATCAATTAATTGTCTAATGTCTGATAAAAATACTTTAGAACCTCCATGCCGAAGATTTTTAGGAAATGATCATAACTATATTAATTTTAATCTCATACAGGCTCACCAAAAGCTAAGAGATAGTGGATGCAAGAGAATAAATTCGATTGTAAAATTATATATAAGTTAGAAATTCTTAACAAGGATAAATTGCAAAACTGATGCTTCCATGATCAAAGTTGGACCTCCTAAACATGACGTTTTACGACTTGCCTATAGAAAAAACTAAATACAGAGAGGATGGATATTTGGCCAAAGTTTTATATCTGATTATAGAAGGGTAGTACTTAAATGTAACAAATCCGGCATTCGATCAGTAGCTTTAAACCATTCTAACTAAAAATGAATAAGATGAAAAGCTTATAAGAATTGATTAAAAATAAATATAAGAAATCTAGAATGATTTGACATATTCTGAAAGATACGTTGACTACTTGAATAATAAATATCATATACCAAAAGATTATTCATAAAAAATTAAAAAGGTAACATCAATTCAAAAAATTAGATATAATAATTGAAGTTGTAAATAAAGTAGGAATTGGGGATTAGTCCATAAACATCACCTCGAAAGATAACATTATAAAAGGCATAAACATTTTAATTAAGCCCTAATCATTGTATAGAACCTTCTGTTTTTATTAAAAATTCTTATGGTGCTAAAAGAGTTTCAAAGCTATAAAAAGCTGAAGTTGATAGCATAGTTGATAGTTTAAGACAAGAATCAAAAAAATAAATTGATTTTTAAGATAATGATTCATGTAATGTCTAATCAATGAAGCAATCGAGATCAAAAATGCTAGGGTCTCTTTTAAAAAGAATTTAAAAATAAAATCAAATGGATTAATCAAATATAAATACAGGTTGTGTATCATCACCAATATCAAAAATGAAGAAATCAAATTCTTCAATTTTTGCAACTAGATTTTCAAGACCTACTGAAAGATCAATTGATTAAATCAATATATAATGATTAAATTATTCAATTATATAATTCAAACTCAGTATTTTTGAATTATATAATCTTTTTTTTATATTTCATATATTTCTTGTACAATGCCATTAATATCAAAAGAAGCTTTATAAATAAGTTTTACTTCATGATGGAAAATCAGCTGCAAAAGTTGGTAGCTTCAATTTTACTAAAAATATCTTGTTTAGTACTGATTGGCTTATAATTAAATATGAAGAGTTATATAAACATTCTCAAGCAGAAAATACCATCTTTGATCCTTAGATTATGTTTTTGGTACAATTTCCCTCTATTACATATTGTAGTTGTATAAACAATTATTTTATTGATTTTAGTACGATCTTATTAACTGAGAAATCAATTTTATGGTGGTATAAAGTTAAACTTGATTCAGAAAGACAAAACTTCTTATCAAAAATTTAGGATTAATGTTTCAGCAAAATAAAGTTTAGTCATATTTGTTAATATCAAATAAATCTTTTTTTAAAATGAATATAAAAGATGTAAAAATCTTGATTTATTATAATCTCATTTTTAATAAAGTTAATTTGAGTTGTTAGGATTATTTAATCAACATTAGGACAACAATTAACAACTGGTCAATTAATGGAATTTCTATTTATTTAATACAATAATTTTAATATAATTATCCAGATTCAAAATTGTATATATAGCATATTTACATTCATGTACCAACTGAATTTGCAATTTTTATTTTTCATTCTATAATTTCAAATTAAAATCTTAAAGTTCTTATAAATTTTTACATTTTATTATTAGTTTTGAATCAATGACAATTATATATGGAATCATTAGTTTTGACTTAAAATGAAAGATGGATATTTTCTATTTTTTGAATCCTCATATAACAATATTAATTTAAGAAAACAACATATATTAATAAGAACAGAATTATCAATTTTTATTTGGAATAAAATTTTATTTGTCAGTTTATGCAAGACATTCGCTAAATGAGATAAAAATACGAATCAATAAAATAATCAAATCCAAACACTCCTAAGAAATGTCTCACTCCTACGATATCTGCATAATATATCAAAAATAGTCCAGGATTATAGATGACTCCTCCATCAAATCCAAGACTTAAAAAAATATGCAATAATTGTTTAAATCAATCACTTATGAAATAAAAAGAACATAGAGTTTAATAACAACGATAAGAGGATTAAGTAAATATATTTTTATAGATTTATTAGAAATTGTTCTAATAAGTCAAATAATCAATAGATTAAGAAAATTAATATAGAGATTAGTTGGCTGATAAAAATAGAAGAAAATTCTTAACTTATCATAAAATTAATGGTGATTTAATTCAATTACATTAATAAAGAGTTAAAACTGAATAATAAAATGAATAAGTAGAAGTAGCTAACTTTTTTAAATAGTTAGAGAAAGATGATAAACTAAGAAAAATAAAGTAAATAGAAAAAAAAGAATAATTACAATAATATTATTTAAGAGATCTTAAAAATTAAATTTAATTTAAAGAAGAAGAAAAAAGTTAGTAGAAATTATAAAACAACAAATCTGATATAATAGAGTCTCAATATTGGACATAATTAGAGAATGAATAAATACATAATCAATAAATTAAAGCCTAATAATAAAGATAAATGATAAACTATTGGTAATATACATTAGGGGAAAAATAAAAATTGAAATAATAATAATAAGAAATTAATAAAATAGAATAAGAATAACTTAAATATTTATAAAAAAGTAATGATAAAATGATTTAAGCTACTGAATTAGCAAAAAAGTAATAGATAGAATAATTCAAATAAGATATTTAATATTAAGTTAAAATTAATGAATAAAAAAGAAAAAATGAGGAAATCAAAAAATAATAGGAGTATTATAATATGATTTAGTAAAAATAATAAGAAGAATAAATTGAAAAATAAAAATAATTGGATAAATCAATTGAAAAGTTAACTTTAATAAAGGATATAGAGTAGTAGATTAATTTTAAAGTAAATTATTCTTGTTATGTAGTAAAAAGTTTAGAAAGATGAAAAGGAAAGAGAATTGAGTGAAAATGAAAAGAAATTATTGATTTAGGAAACTCCTATAAAATTAGTCTGCTGTGATGAATGCAAACATAATTGTCCATCAAAAGTTATTACTAATATATTATAATGATAATAATTTTAAAATAATGTAATTGGATGAGAGTAATAAAACTAAGAGAAATGATTAATCTATCCTTAAAGAAACCTCTAAAAACAGGAATGTAATTATCCATAATTATCATGCAAGATAGTTTCTAAATTATAAGGAAATCCTGCAAGATTATAGGGTTTGAAAGATAGTTTTAAATACTTTACTTTATTAAAAAAGAATCAATATTTGGAAAGAAAATAATTTAGAGTTACTAGAGATGAGACTCTTGTTTGTTCCTGTATTATGTGTCCTGAAGATTAAATATAAAAGTATATTAAATAGTTAAAATAGTCGACCTTAAGGTCCATAATATTCATATAATTGCGGTGAGAGATGCTTGAATAGATTTACTTGTACAGAATGTGATGTAGAGTTATGTCCATGTGCAGAATAATGCAAAAATAGAAGATTTTAGAAACATGATGATGCATGTGTATATCCATTACGTTGTGGAGGAAAAGGGATGGGTTTATTTGCTGGTGAGCGTATTTTGAAAGGACAATTCATAATGCAATATGTTGGAGAGATATTTCAAATAAATAGTGCATTTGGGAGAAGACGAGTGCAAGAATATTCGGTTTGAATTGTGTGTTTATCTTAGAAATCTACATGCACATATTTAATGAAACTTAACAATTAAGAAGTTATTGATCCAACATCTAAAGGGAATCTAGCTAGATTTATAAATCATTCTTGTGAGCCTAATTGTATTACTGAGAAATGGAATGTGTTGGGTGAAGTATGTATAGGTATATTTGCAATACGAGATATAAATGAAGATGAAGAATTAACATTTGATTATTAATTTGATGTATTTCATACACCATTAACTAAATGTTTATGTGGAGCAAATAAATGCAAAGGATATTTAGGATTGAAACCAACTGATGTAACATAAGAAGAATGGGAAGAACATTTAGAAAATATGGTATGTAAAATATGTCAAACTAAAACACCTTAAGATGATGAGTAATTATTGTTATGTGATAAATGCAATTGTGGATTTCATTTATTATGTCTTATACCTCCATTATCATCAGTACCAAAAGATGCTTGGTATTGTTAGGAATGTTAAGATGAGAAAAGAATATTAGCAGAATCTGAGAAAGAAAAAGAAAAGATAGAAGATTTATTATTATAGAAAGCAAAATAATTGAATAATGAAAAAAAAAATAAGAAAAAAATGGATTCTTCATCTTCCTCAAGTGATTCTGATAGTGAATATGATAATAGATATAAGATGATGAAATCTTTAGAGAAATAAACAGTTAGAGAATATTTATAATAAAAACAACATTAATAATATTAAATTAATAAATTAGAGGAAGATATCAATTAAAATAAAAAAGAGGATTTAGATAATAATATTTCAAGTCTACCTAATAATTCAAAGGGTATCAAATCTACTGGCATTTCATTTAATAACTTAGATTAATTTGTTAGATCATCAATAGACTTACAACCTTAAAATAGTGGTAAACTATAGTAAATGCAATCTATTGTTGATGTAGCTTAGAAAAAATTTGAAGAATAATATAATGATAATATTGAATTGCAATAATAAATAGAATAGATTTAAGTTTAAAATATTCAAAATATTGATACTAAAAAAGAATGTTTTAAAATTAATATTCTTGAATAGAAAGTAGTCAAAAAGAATGCTCCATTAATTTATAAGATTGGAAACAAAATTAGTTTTGAATAAATAGATTAATAATATGCTGATTTCTTTAAGAAAGAGAATAATTTGACTGTTATTGGTTCTGTTTAATAAATAAGTATCTTCAGAACAATATTAATTATGATTGAATAAATAATAAAAGAACTTAAAAAAGAACTTGGAATAATTGAAGGGTAGATTAAAGTACCAATTATATATTTAAAAAGATTAATAATGAAATTGTAATTATTTAATTATAATTCTTAATAGCAATAGTTTAGATAAAAAATAAGAAGTTAATATTATATATAATAAATCATTGGCTCATAGTGAAGAGATATTTCCTATGGATAGAGCTACTCCAATTAAAATTAAAGGATCTAAATAAAATATTGAATCAACTGTTTAAGAGATATCAAAAATCTTAAAAACATTATGTGTTTAAAGATTGTATATTAGTAGAAGTGAAACTAAAACAGTTTAGTAAAACATGTATCATCTAAAATAACATGCTGAAATACGTATTTCTAGAGATTCTGTTTATAATGCAAAAGGAGAATAAACTTAGAGAGATATAAATCATCCATTCTTTTATATATAATATAGAGAGAAAGAAGTCTGTCTAATTGGTACTCTTTAATAGATTTAAGAGACTAGTAATGCTATTAAATTACTTTTGGAATAAGAAACTAATAATGATAAGGAAATGACTTATTTCACTGTTCTCATTTCTCCATAATATAAAGAACAATGTAAATCAGTTAAATAGAGGATTGAAAAAGATTCATCTTCTACAAAAGTATTATTATTTGAAGCATCACATCCTAGAAAGAATATGACTATTTTGATATTATGTTTAAGAAATCAAATTAAATAAACTAAATAAATGTTTTTTGAAATGATTTAAGAGGATTGTTAACTAAAATTAGAATAATTTTAAGATTAAATGTCAATGTAAATGTGTAGATATGTTTTCAAATACCTTTAAAATACTATGATGACAAATGATATGGCATTTATGAAAAATTGGGATCTTATTACTCCTTATTTTTATTAATTTAATATTTTAAAGTATAGAGAATAAAAATTTGATAATTGGTTTGTTAAACGTTGTTATCCATCATTACTAAGAGATTATGAAACATAATTATATATTTAATATTGTTTAGGAAAAGAAATCTAAAAGAATTTAACTGATTAAGAATAAATATAGAGAAAAAAGAATTTAATTTTATTAACTAAAAAGATTTTAAATGCAATCTTGGGATTTAAAAGACATTAACCAGATTAAATATAAATGGATGGAAATTAATAATAAGATTAATTTAAAAGATTTAATAGTGTATAAGAAGATGATACTCCTAAATTATAAAATTTACCTTTAATTTATTTGATTCCTCAATCATCTTAAATCAGTAAAAAAAGTGATAGATAGAAGAATAGTAGTGATAATAGTTCTTCTGATTCTAGTAATAATAATTAACATTAAAAGAGATAGAATAGTTCAGAATCAGGTAAAAGTAGAGATATTTCAACTAAACAAAAGCATAAATCGCATCATCATAGATATAATTATAATTAAAAAAGTTCTGTTGATAGGTATGATAAATATAAATATGAAAAATCAAACTATTATGATAAATAAAAATAGAAATAAAAATATTAAAGTTATAAATATGATAGACCTAGAACTAGTAGAAGATATTATGATGATAATGATTACTCTAAAAATAGAGGATATAATAAAAGAAGTAATTAAATTATCAAATATAAGGATCCAGTAGTGAGGGTTCATAAAAATCTTAAGATTATAGAAGAAAAAGATAGGATTCTGTAGAATCTGATAAATATAAAAATAATAAGTATAATAGTGGATTTTAATTTGAAAGAAGACATTCCAAAAATTACAAATATGATTATGAAAGTAGTATTTTTATTTGTTAATATTTAGAATCTAATAAAATACAAGACAGTAAAGAAAGATCTCGATCAAGATAACGTAATAAATCAGATAGTAGCGAAGACTATAGAAGAAGATCCAAATCAACTCATAAATCCAAAAAATATTATAGAAAGTATTAGTGAAATATAAATATATAATTTATTATGGATTAAGTTAAGCCAAAAGTATTTTTTGTTTTAGGAGGTATTCTCTAATTGATTAATCAAAATAGGACCTGGAGCAGGAAAGGGTACTTAAAGTGCTAAAATGGTTGAAAAGTATCATTTTGTTCATTTATCTGCAGGTGACTTGTTGAGAGAAGAGGTACTTTAGTAAAATATGTTTTAAGAGATAAAAAAAAACACAGAATGCTGAATTGATTGAAGAAATCATTAAGAGTGGATAAATAGTCCCTGTAATTATGATATATATTTTAATAGAGTCATATTACTATTAGTTTATTAGAATAAGCTATGAAAGCTAAAGGTTTAGATAAAATGTTTTTGATTGATGGATTTCCTAGAAATTAAGAGAATTTTGATGTTTGGGTTAAATTAATGGGTGATAAGGTGGAATTTAAAAAATTGTTTTATTTTGAATGTGATGAGGAGATCTTAAAAAATAGAATAAAAATTAGAGCTTAAGAAAGTGGAAGATCTGATGATAATGATGAAACATTGATTAAAAGATTGAAAACATACAATGAATCTACAAGACCAATTATATGTATAGATTTATTTGTAAAGTTTTAGAATATTTTGATTCTCTTTCATAATGTATCCATATAATGGCAGACAAAAATATAGATGAAGTATTTCAAGAAATTACAAAGAAATTAGATGAAATCTTGTGATATTAAATTTAATAATGCATGCAGATTCATTTCTAACCACCAAATATACTAGTTTTAACCGTTCTTTGCACAAAACTAGATCTTATTCCTTTTAACAACATTCAGTAGATAATGCTCGTCCTAATCTCACTTAAAAGAAAGAAATTGAAAATAATAGATAATAACATCATAGTGTCAATTACTTATAATAAATCCCTCAGAATATCTAAATCATAGCTCTCTTTTAAAAACCAATTGTTGAGTAACTATTATTGAGATAATCTGATTTATATTTGAAATGTAAATGATTATTAAGTATAACTATAGAATTTAAGATCTAATTAAGTTTAATCCTTGATTAAGGTAACTTGTAATAATTTTAGGCACTCATCTGTATGACTGCAGATATTTTACTAAAAATTAAGGATTTTAATAATGCCTGTTATTACTATAATTAATATGTAAACTTAATATAATATTTGAGAGAATTTTAAATACCTTAACAAAAAATCACTCAGAGAAAGCAGTATCTTTTATTGGATTAGCTAATTGTGCAACAGAAGTTAAAATGAATAAAGAGGCATTATTATTATTGAAAAAAGCACTTTAATATTCATGGTTATGTAAAGAACATGAAATTTAAATATATGAAAGAATGGCTATAAACTATTATTATTTAGGATAAATTGAAGATTAATTATATTTCCATGAAAGAGGATTACTTGGTGTATTTGAAGCTGAAGATTCACCAATAAAGAAATTCAGTTGTGAAGCTTTAAGAGATTAATTAAGAAAGAATGTTATTGAAATTAAATCTCTTTGTCCTTAATTATTAAATTATTTGAATCTTCCTATTTTAAGTGAAAATGAATTAAATAATAAAAACCCAAATTGTATGAGAAGATTTCATACCAAAAAATAGATTATATATACAGCTTAAGAATAAATAGAAGTTATTCTAAGAAATTGTGATGAATTTTAATTTCAAATTAATACTCCAAGATATTAAAGATTAATTTAATATGAACCTTAAAAAAAATAAACTGAGGAATTTCGTCACCCTTTGGTTACTAAAACATCATATTCCAAAGAAAAAAGAGTTTATGATATTACAGATTCAACTATTTATAAATTACCTTTTGAAGTTTAAGTAAATAATAGAATTGAACATCCTTATATATTAGAAGACATTAATTCTAAGATGTATAAATAATTAAGAACAAGAAATCCCAATAAAAAATTTGGTCTGAGAAATAAAGTTCTTTTGAATCATTAAAATAGAGAAGATTTTCATTATTAGAAGAATGGAGCCTGTCTTTATAGATAGATTTAAGCTATTTTTAAGAAATATGCATATTTATTTACTTGAATCAAAATATACATTTATTATTTTCAGAATAATTATAAATTATCACAAATTTATTATTAATTGCTCTTCTTAAATTATTATAATATCATTCAAAATTTATACTGAATCCAAGATGCTCAATTAATGTCTTCTATATTTCCTATCTATCTTTTCCCAAAAATATTAGCTATAATAAAATCTTAAATTTACTTTATCATTTGTTCTTGTAGGCAAGAAAGGTTTTAACATTTTATAAAATCCCATTACAAAACCAGACATATTAATGATGAATACTTTATTTTGTCTCTCTGGAAAAAACTATAAAACCATATTAAGAAGGCTTTTAGTCATTTAAAGATCAAAATTGGAGAAACCAAATCCATCTACATCCAAAATTGTAATATAGGAATCTACAAAACCTTTACAAGATCGACAAACATCCTCAAGAAAACCAATAAAATACCATTTATATCTCTCTAGATCTCTAAATATATTAAATCAATTAATACATTTTATCTGGTTACAATTTAGATTATTTTGTATATACAACTTATCTTCCACATAAACTTTCCCCTACAATTTCTAATATTCCATTAAATTCTGGAAATTATTTTGCTGATAAACGATTAATTCTATGTTATCTTCTCCATTCCTAAAATAAATAAAATATATTATACAATCCAATTCATTATTGCAGCATATGAAGCATCAATATCAAATCTAAAATTACAAAATGTTATAATTACACCCTCGTGCAATAAGCCATCTTATCAAAGTATTACTAGACAGTTTGTATTCACATACTTTTTAAAATAATTTATAATAAATATCCTAGTCTTCTTAATCTAATTAAGTAATTCTATTATAAATAATATTATATTTTATACCTAAAATGTTCATTAATATATTTTTCATCTGTTTCTTTAGGTGAATAATCACATGTATCATTGTAATTACATACATATTTATTTGTTTCATCTTCATCTTCATCTAAACGTAACTCTGATAAAATTGATTATTTTTCAAATAACTCTGCATTTTACAAACTTGAATAATTGATAATACATTCTCTTAAAAACTTAAAAAATGCATAATTCGGTTTTGATTTTAAATGTTAAATGATAGTTAAGATTGTTCTTGTTTTTTCAATTTTAGAAAACACTAATTATTAAACCATTATTGTATCATCATACTTTCTATGAATACCTTAACTTGATTCATTAATTTTGAAAAAGTGATATTAATACTTAAGAGAATATATTTAATTTTTGAATTTGCATCTTTCTATAAAACTTCCATCAGATTATTATTGTTTATCCATTCTAAAATATTACACTCTTTCATCTAATATTTAATTGAGTGGTATTAGATTATCAAAAATAATATCTCCTCTTTAATAGAAACTATTAGTTCCTGTATAAAATATTTTCACATTTGACAATTATTTAGATTGAATCCAATGCATTTTCTGGCATTATTTGAATGTATGAAAGAATTCTTGTTCTTGTAAATTCATAATTTAAATATATATATATATAAATTTCGTTTGTTTAATTTAATTGAGGGTGAGTCTTTCGACCCTACAGAAATTGGTGAACGGCTTCACAAGGAAGTCGTACACTCGCATTGGAGTAGTTTTCAATTAGCAATCTCGCGTATCCGTTGGTACGTCACTTACAGCGATATTGCCCCTGAATAAGGATAAGTGTCTATCAATTCAAGTTTAATTTAAATACTTAAGACAATTCTTGAATTTTATGGGTTTCTGTACTCCAATTCATTTAAAGTTTATTTTAGTAAAATATACACAAATAAAACTAAAACTATAATTGGTCATTTTTAATTAATCAAGTATTTAGCTCCCTTCTTGGCAAGAAATTGTTTAATATTTCTCATTTTTTTTTATTACTCTTATGATCCTTTATAATATCCCCATAAATTAATCCAATTCAAACAAGCTCCAATACCTGCTAAAAATATCTATTTCATTAATCAAATAATACATCTATTAATCCAAATTAAAATATATTTGCAAATACAAAGAAAGCCCATAAACAAGAAGATCCAAATTAACAATACCAAAAAACTGTTGAATCTATAGCATTCACTTCCCCTTTATTATAAAATTCATATTTATAAATTTCTTAACCATGAAACGATAAATCTGTGTACCATCTTACTCCAATTAAAAATCTTCCGGTAACATTTTTTACCAAATAAAAATCAATCCCATGACAAATCAATAATATAATCATTTCATAAAACATATTTGAAATGAAATATCCAAGAAATAAGTACCTATAATAAAATCAAATACAATTTACGAAAAAAAGGCGCATGCTTTCAATAAAATATGTAATAACCACATAATAGGATGACTATCATCTTCTTTTAATAAGTCAAGATGGGATAAATAAGTATCCTAATGCTATACATCATGCATTTCTATCTCTTATTGTTACTTACTCATTATATATATATATATGTTAATTAATGAAAATAATGAAGGAGTTAATAAAATCAATAATGCAAAAATAATATAAATAAAATGATAAAATTTATTAACATCTATAAAAAATAATAATAAAGATTCTTCAATGAGTTTTTCTTAATAACAATTTTTGATTTTATAATTAGAAATTTTTCATTTATAAATTATAAATAAAAGAAATCACAATCAATATCGACTACAATATTTCATTAATTATTAGAAATTTTCTTTATTAAAGTATCAATAAATTCTTAATGAGATATTTAACCATCTCCATTTTAATCAAAATCTTTTATTAATTCTTTCCATTAAGTACATTTTTCTTCTGCTCCTGTCATTACTTTTTTTAATTCCGCTATTGTTATTTATCCATTTCCATCCTATTTATAATATTATATAGATATTACTTAATCAAATAATTTAAATACTTTTTCAATCTTTTCCTTATCTACTAATTCATTATATTATGATGCTGCTACTAAGAATTCTGAATACTCTAATGTATCTGAATGATTAAAATCTCCTTTTTTTAATATTTCTTAGACTATTTCTTCGGATTTCAATTCATCATTATAAATTTTCATATATCCTGCCTTCAATTCTTAATGAGATAGTTTTCCATCTCCATTTCTATCCATAGATTTAAATTATTCAATTAATTTTTTTTTATCCTAATTATTCATCATTGTAGATGCAATTAATTATAGAATGGCTTATTGTAATTTACTACAACTCTATAATTGATAATATCAATATATACATGAAATTATCTTAAATTATCTAAAACCTTTTTGTCAATTGAAGCATTATTTTTATTATCTTAAATCCAAGGATCTAAAAGTAATTATTCAATTGTATATCTATTATTGCAATCAAAAATTAGCATTTTTCTTATAAAAGCTTTAGCCTTATTAGTTGTAACCTTATCAATGACTAATTAATTTATAGATAAATGAGATACGGCTATAATCAATTTAATTGCGTTTAATCATATCACATAATCTTTGTGGATCCTTTTCTTCTTTATATGGCAATTTTCCAGTCAAAAATTATAAAGTCATGATTCCACAAGACCATACATCACTTTTTTCATTTGAATCTTCTAGAATTGTCTCTGGTGCTAAATATAATGGCTAATATTTATCGATTTTAATTACTGTTCCAACTACATCAAAATCTGGTTCTCCATTTAGTTTTGCTGCTCCAAAATCAATTAATTTAATTTAAGCATCTGGTTCTTCAGATTCCAATAATATATTTTATGGTTTAACATCTCTAAAGTTCCATAATAAATTTAATTACTTATGAACAATGCCACAAGTGTGACAATGATTTAATGCTTCCAATACTTATTTGATATAATTTGCAATTTATTGTTCTTTTAATTCCTTTTTCTTATTTATTAAGTCAAGTAACTCTCCACCACTTAAATATTCATAAACTATATAAAAATATTAACTATCCTGAAACAGTTCATATATTTTCACAATATTTGGATGATCAAAATACATCATAATTTAACATTCATTTGCAATAATTTTTTCATTTATTTTTTGAGATTTAATAATCTTTTTCATTGCTCTCTTTTGTTCACTCATTAAATGAACAACTAAGTTAACTTCACCTTAAGCACCTATTTTCATTACAAGATTAATACCTTTCCCAAGATGTTTCTCTATTCTATAATGTTTTAAAAGATCTCCACCCTTTAAATTAATGAATAAGGAAGGCCCTACAAAAAATGGATTATCTGCCATGTCTTTTCTCTGTATATTGCTTAAATACCTTTATTTTGCTTATTAGCGAGGCAACCCATTATAATTTATAATTGATTTAATTAATATTCATCATTATAATTTATTTATCATTTTGTTTAATAATTATTTGTATCTCCTTTATTAATCTTATTTTTCAAACTATTCTAAATGCTAAACTATTTCTTTTTAAAATACTAAATTTAACAAATTATTATTTCCTAAAATCTGTTAAATTTATTTAATCTCATTTAACTGTATTTTATTAGTTTAATATTCTTAATCAGATTTTAATAAATTTAATAATTCGTTAAATTCTTATTTAATTTCCTCTGATTTAATAAAAACTTATTAATTATTCATTTAATCTTTTATCTTTTCTTTAATTCCTTTCTAAACTTCTTAAATAAATTCATTAAACTAATAAATATCTTTCGTTAGATTCATTATCATTTAAGAAGTATCACTTAATATTAATCCATCTTCATATTTCTTTCTTTTAGGTTATAAATAATTAACAACTTGTTATTTTTTGACTTCTTAATTAGGAAAACAAGGTTATAGATTTTCAATTTTTAACATAATTATTTCATTTTCCCATTATTAAAGGCAATCTAGAAATTAAAAGAAATTTATATTACCTTCATAAATAAAAGAGTTTTTAGATTCACTAAAATGCAATATACTGAGTATCAGAGCCTCATTTTTTAACACTTACTTTATATAATTTAAATCTTTAAGTAAAATCTTTTATGATTTATGTAAGTCAAATTTTGAAAAAGATTACAATATTGATTCATGTCTTATATTAAGATAGGTATAAGTTTCAATAAATTCCTTTAAATATTAATCAAGTTAAATGCATTATAATAAATATTTGTCAAATTAGATTATTTCTCTATTTATAACCTACCTTGGTGTTACATTATTTGAATTACCAATTAACCATTAATTATGTAATATCTAATTGTAAGTCAATCTTTATTCTGGTTATTCATTCAACATTTCAATTAATAACTTTCTTTATAGAAATGGAATTGTAGGATCTTCAGAATCAAATAATATAGATTTATTGGAATCTTTCACTGAATAAGGATATAGATATTTAAATTTATTAGGTAAAGAGCCTTTTAATAAAATATAAAGTAATATTCCACATTTCCAAACGTTTAATTTTTCTATATCCAATTCTTCAGTTTCTGGAGGATTAAAAATAGAAAGAGTAAATATTTCCTTTTTATATTTAATATAAATTCCAGTTAATAAAACATTTCCTTCAGGTGTTACTAAGATTTGATTGGGAGATTATAAACTAAATCTATACATCTAATTACTAATATGTAATTTTTAAATCATTTAACAACTTTAATGTTTAGATCAATTATTTGAATAATTATTTAGCCTATAATTCATCAAAAATATCTTTAGTAAAGCAATATTCAAATATGGATTAAGCTTATGGTTTTCTGATATATTGAAAATTAGTACGATTAAAATATTATTGAATACGAATCAGTTTAATATACTTTTTCTATTTTATGTATATTTTAACTAGTTATGTTCAAAATAAATTTTAATTGCTCATCAGTTATTTTTTGTACAACAGTCATAATCTTTTCTTATTAATCCTAACTATCCTTCACTATGTATGATTGTATATTTTTATCTTTAATATTGGATTAGAAATCTACCAAATTATATAGTTTTAATGATTGTAATTAAGGTTTCTAAATCAGTAGGGCCTATTTATTTAATTTTTGAACTTTGAATTAGTTTTTTTTGACATATACCCATTTATTATAATAATTAATTTATACATATTCTAATAATTTATATCTATGTCTGAATGAAGAGTTCTTAGTTTATTTTAATATTTTCAAATATATCAATTAAACTAATTATTTTCTTGACAATAATATATATTATTCTTAATTTCTATAAAATGCATTGAATATTAAATTTAATGACTTTTTTGCTTTAAGAAGGTTCTGGAAAGTGATGCAAAAAATATTATTTTTTTTTAAATTATTATTCATGGAAGTTGAACGTAATACAGGAAATGATAAACTTAGATAATAAGCTGAAGAACACAAAAATAAAGGAAATGATTATTTTAAAAGAGGATTATATTCAAATGCTGCAGAAGAATATGAAAAAGCTATAGGTATTCAAATTTATTCATTTTTAGAACTATTTGCAAATGAACCAAATTATTATGGTAATAGAGCTGCTTGTTTTCTTTAGATGAAAAAGTAATTTAATTAATAATATCATTAGGTATAACAAATGTTTAAAAGACTGTGAAAAAGCTCTTAGTTTAGATCTAAATAACATCAAATTTCTTAGAAGAAAAGCTTTGAGTTTATAATATTTGGGACTCTTTAATGAAGCTAAACCTATTTTTGAGCAAATTGTTAATTTAGATAATAGTGAATAATCTCTTAAAGAACATAAATAAATAAAAGAATTGATCAATTATTTGTAATAAGCAAAATAGAAATTGGATTCTAATTAATATAAGGAGGCTTTATAATTTATAGAGAAAGTTGCTAAAGAAGTTCCTGATGCTGTAGATATTTAAATTTTAAATTGTGAATGTTTAGCCAGAACATCAAATATTAATTAAGCATAAGAATAATTGAGACTTATTTAAGATAAACATGGACCAAGAGCTGAAACATATTATTTAAAAGGATTAATAGAATTATATGGAGGAAGTCCAGATAAGGCAAAATCTATTCTCTAAGAAGGAGTTAGATAAGATTAGAATAATAAAAAATGTTTAGCTGCTTATCAAATGGCAAAAGATTAAGATAGTTATAAATCAAAAGGAAATGATTGTTTAAATTCAAATAAATTTAATGATGCTATTGATTATTATACTAAAGCATTAGAAGTTGATTCTAACAATTTTAAATTCAATTCTATAATATATGCAAATAGAGGATTAGCTTATTAGAAATTGAAAGATCATAGAAAAGCAGTAAATGATTTTGATAAATCAATTGAATTGAATGAAAAATATTTCAAACCTTATTTGAGAAGAGGAGATTCAAGATAAGAATTAGGAGATTTAGATGGTGCTTAAAGTGATTATTAAAAAGTAATGGAATTAGATTAAGGATCAATATAATAAATGAGATAGAAGATAAATGATATAACAAGAAAATAGAAATAATTATCAAAAAAAGATTATTATAAAATATTAGAAGTAGACAAAAATGCCACTGATGCAGATATTAAAAAAGCATATAGAAAATTGGCATTATAATGGCATCCAGATAAAAATAAAGAAAATGAAGAATAAAAGGTAAATTCTTTTATAATAATTATAATAGAAATTAGCTGATAAAAAATTTAGAGAAATTGCAGAGGCTTATAGTGTATTGAGTGATAAATAAAAAAGATAACAATTTGATATGGGAGTAGATCCAAATGATCCTATGGGAGGTGCAGGAGGATTTGAAACAAATATTGATCCAACTTAAATATTTAAAATGTTTTTTGGAGGTGAAGGAGGAGCAGATTTTGGTTTTGGAAATATGGGAGGAGGAGAATTTCCAGGAGGATTCCATACTATGTTTACAAGTAATTTAGGTGGAATGGGTTAGAATATGAGAGGAGGATCAGGATTTCCATTTTAATTTGGAGATTTCTCATAATAAGGAGGGGCAGGATTTCCTGGATTTTAATTTCAAGGGATGCAATTCACATAATAACAATAAAGAAGAAAATGATCTATTTTGATTCTCTATATTAATATAAATTAATGTTTTATGCCTATTAATATAAATAACTGTATAATATTTGAAGTGTTTAATAAGATAAATAAACTTATGTCTTCCAAAAAAACGCAGATGAAATAAAAACATTAAATCATGAAATTTTCAATATAATTAAAAAAAAGAATTATCTTCAATTCTATGAATTTCTATCCAATTGACTTTGAAGAACAAGCCTCTTAATGTACTAATTTTATATATTTCTAGAGTTAATTAATGAACCCTTCATTGAATAAACAAATGAATCCTTATACTATGAATATGACCAAAGTGCTTATTAAGAGCCTGAATAACTAAATACTTTTGATGGGTATTTACAAGAAGAGCCTGTCCTTTTGTTTAATTATGTGGAAGAAGCACCAAAAAAGAAAACTAAACATGTTAACAGAAAATCAAAAAAAATTAGAAAAGCTGATTCAGAAACAGACGTTCCTTCAGGAAAAAGAATGAAATCTCGTATTACTAATAATGACGTCTTGAAATTATAGTAATGTTAGAGATTAAAAACAATAATCTCTCAAATGGAGGCTCTCTTACAATAAACAAGAACATCAATTTTCAATCAATATATGAAAAATCACACTAAGTGACCTCCTTAATGATTAAATATATCGAGTTATATATATATATATATGTAGTAACATATTTTTATGATAGTTTCTTTTCAAAATTTAAATAGAAGCAAATTTTGAGTTAGAACATAAGAGTACTAAAAATAACATTCTCAAGCTTTAAATATTATCGACAAATTACAAGTAATATATTTCTTGAAGAAAAGAGAGAGTTAATTGAACAACTAATTATTTTTTTTAAAAAGATATATAATAATAACTTAAGTCATATATTGTTATTTCTTAATATAGGTATAACTTTCTTCAATGTTTTATAAAAACAAGAATAATTAAATTCAACCTATTGAATTGATTTTAATTCAATTACACCATAATATTTCTTGAAATTCTGTATTGCCGAGTTTAAATATATGATTATCATATATCTTTGTATTTATATTAATCTATATTCATATTTTTTCATTATATTTAGAACTTTTATATCGTTACGTTGTTTAATTATTTGGAAAAATGATTAACTAATGCAGAATTTTAAATATTATTTATTTACAAAACAAAATATGTATATTTAATTTATAATCTTTAGAGTTATCATGAAATATAGATTTTTAAATTGAGATATATAATAAAAATTTATTTTATTTTTAGAAAATGAGTGAAATAATTGACCAAAATATATTAAAGAAATATGAAATTTTGACAAAAATTGGTAAAGGAGCATATGGAATAGTTTGGAAAGCTAAAGATATTAAAAGTTAAAAGATAGTAGCATTAAAAAAAGTATTTGATGCTTTCAACAATCCAACAGATGCATAAAGAACTTACAGAGAGGTAATTAAGAAGTTTATTATTATTTAAGGTTTGTCTTTTAAAAAAGTTAAATCATCCTAATATTGTATCATTAATTGATACTTATCCAGCTGAAAACTAAAATGATCTATATATGGTTTTTGAATACATAGAAACTGATCTTCATGTTGCCATTAGAGCTAAGCTTTTACAACCTCCTCATAGAAGATATATAACATATTAAATATTTAAAGCATTAAAATATATTCATTCATCAGGCATGATACATAGGTATAAAAGAAGATAATAAATAATTTAGAGACTTAAAGCCAGCAAATATTTTATTAAATTCTGAATGTTAGATTAAATTGGCTGATTTTGGTTTGGCTAGAATTGTATCTACTTGGGAAGATGATATATTGACAGATTATGTAGCAACAAGATGGTTTAGAGCTCCAGAAATTTTATTAGGATCAAAATGTTATTCGACTGGAGTTGATATGTGGGCTATGGGATGTATGATGTGTGAGATGATTATGGGTAAGGCATTGTTTTCAGGGACTTCAACCATAAATTAAATAGAAAAGATAATTGATGTTCTTGGACTTCCTACATAAGAAGATATATAAAGTTTTGGAGGATAAAAATAATTATTCGAAAAATTCTCTAGAAATTATAAATTTAACTTAAAATCCATCTTGAATTGTAATAATGATGAATTCGATTTAATTACTAACTTATTAGCTTATAATCCAAATAAAAGATTAAATGCAATTGAAGCATTAAAACATCCTTATTTTAGAGAATTTCATAATGTTGAAGAAGAAATCACATTTAAAGGATAAATTAAACTAGAATTAAGAGATGATAAATTGTTTCCTATTCAACTTTATAGAGATTTATTATATAAATAAAACAAAAATTCTAATAGAATGATAAATTTAATAAATAAATAAAAAAAATTAATATAAATAATTGAAAAAAAAGAAATTGAAAGTTTAAAGAAAGCAAAAAGTTAATAATAAATAAATTAATAATCTACTAAGAGTGCCTTTTTATAAAATAATTCAACAACAAATTTTGATAAAAGTATTAATAAAACTGTTGCAATTCCATTGTAAAATAATTATTCAAAATAATAAACAAATTTCAATAATTTAAAATAATTATAATTATAGAATAGATTGAAATAGATATGTTTATCTTCTCCTGATAAAATTGAAAATACTATATAATCAAAATCACCTAAACCATAAATGTTAATACCACAAAGATAATTTATTAAAACAAACCTAAAACCAATTACCTTTAACAATTTAATTGATACATCCCTTAGCCCTTAATCATTATCCAAACTATAAATAATAAATTCGCTAACTCAAATGTAATTATGATTATATCTGCTTAAGCATAAGCTACTTATTAATTAAGTAAACATAAAATTTCTTTTAAATTTTTAATTTATTATATATTCATATTTGTTTTCATTAAAAATACATATACATGTAGTTTATATCTTCTAAATTATATATACAAAATCTAATTTTATAGATATTTTTATTTTGTAACATTTTATTTACTTGGTATCTGGTCCTTTTTTATATTATATTATTACTCTTTCTTTTGAATAATTTATCTGTAGATTTAATTATATTTCTAATTATAAAATCCCTACTTTTTAAATGCTTGTATTATTTAACTTTTAAAATTCTTAAACTATCTAGAGATCAAGCAATAATTATACTATTATTAATTACATTAATCTTCATATATCTTTTAATTTAATAGATAAATAATTAAGGTCGTTCTCTATTAATAGGATATCCTTCAAATTGATTAAGTTTCTAATGCTTTATTCAAAAATATAGCATTATAGTTTCTATAATTATTATAATAATTTCATTAATTTAGTATTTAAATTATATTATATTTTCAACTTTCTTCTTACTTTTAATATCAAACCTTTTTCTGAGGATTTATAGTAATAGAGGAATTCAAAATCATAATTTCATTTAATTTTAAGAATATATCTTAATCAAAGCGACTTAATTTATTTCAGTCCTTGCCATTTGAGATCTTTAGTTCAATTTTACTTTTTTATGAAATATTCATTAAATATAAATATATATTTGATATAAAAGTCATTTAAATATAATTTAAACTATAAAATTAAATATTAGAATATATAAATAATTTAATTATAAATGAGTAAAATAAATGATAACACAAAAAAATATTAAATATCATTAAAAGGAAACTGTAAATTGAGCAAAAACAGGTCTATGGTCACTACCTAAGATATCAAAATTAGCATCATAATTTTATAATTTAATTTATGATGGTTGATTATCTTAGAAGTCTTAAGTATGTGAAAAAGTTTTGGATTTTTTATTTTCTTTAAATAGAATTCTATCACACCATCCAGGTATTCTGAAATCTTTATCAATAGCCCATTAATTTTAGTATTCTAACATTTTATAAGTTGGTGGAAAGAAGATCATTCCTTCATGAAAATAGGATTAATAATCTATTTATGATTAATAATATACTTAATGATTGATTTCTACTTTAATACATTTGATCATTTGAAAGCCACATAAAAAAATCAGAATGATGTCTAATAGTTTAAGTTGTTATTTATTAATTTATTCTTGAATTAAAATCACCAGTCCATATCAAATAATCATATGGTACATTTTTATGATTATAGAAAACTTGATTTTCAAAATGAGTTTCAAGTTTAGAAAATTAAGTCTATCTTTTAGTTTCTGCATTTTATCCACTTTCAAGATGACTATTAGCAAATAAGAATATTTTATCATTAATATTAAGTGATATAGCAATTCCTCCTTTATTACCAACAATTCCCATGAAACCTTATGAGAGTGTATAAGGTCTTCCATTTTTTATTTTAGGTACCAATAATACATGTGCAAATACAATAAGATGCATAGCATTCAGTGTTGTAGATTAGACTTTAACATAATCTTTACCTAATTCATCTTTTAATTTTGATTCCCATCCTCCTTTTGATTCACATAGAAGTGATACTGCTATACTTCTTGAACATTCTTAAGTGCCTATTACAATTAAATCATGATGGACTTATTAAATATTAAAAAGTCTTTTTAAAGGGTAACCAGGTATAATTCCATGCATATTCCATGTAATAACAAGTATTTTAATATCATCATCAAGAGTCCATTCTAATTTTGGTTAATTCATCCATTTATATGAACACTTATGATTTAGATGTAACATCTCTTAATTGAGATGTCCAATTAATTATGAATCTTAAGAGTATTCATTGAAAAATTTCTAATTAAATAAAGGGAAAGGGAGATGATCTTGTTGATTAATAGATTTATTGTTCATATTCAATATTTTTCAGTGAGATTTGTTTGTATATTAAAATATATAATGTAACATAGTTTATCGAAGAAAATAGAAGAATTCTAAGATCTAGATCCAAGTGAATCATTTCCACAGAGAAGAGTGTCAAGAACAATAGGTTATCAAAATAGCTAATCAATTCAAGAGGAAGAAGATGAATAATCCTCTTCTAATGTATAATAACCGAAACCGAAATTACCTTTCATAAATCCATCAATCTAGTAGCCTAGTGAATTAAGTGGAAGTGATATGAAAGTGCCTACCATATATACAAATATACAATCAATTAAAAGTTTGGAAAAAAACATATTCTAACAAGAATCAAAGAAGTATGAAGTTCTTATTGATCAATTTATAGTAAATTAATAGATATTTCAGGATTTGATAGTGCAATACAATCTCCATAATCTGACTCTGTAATTCAAATATTATTATTATTGTTTATTAGATTGAATCATATTTAGTAGATAACAATAAGTCTTCAACACTAAATTCTTAACACATCAAAGCTATGATAAATAGATTTATTTAGAAAATGAAAAGAAAAGTTGATTGGACATAATTAAACGATTTCACTTTAATAGATAATATATATTAAGGTATTTATTTTTCTTATAAATCTTAGTCAATCCTTAGATTTATAAATGGTTTACAATTTTCTACTTTCTTTTTAGTTCAATCATCAATATTTTATCAATAATAATCATACCATTATAAATTGTTGAACAATTAGAATTTGAGATTCTAGCTTACATTGCTCACTGTTTAGTCATCCTCTAAATAATTGCAGATATTTATTTTAAAAGAGGACCTTTTCATTTGAAAGAAGGCAATTTTAATAATTCTTATATTGATGATACCAAATTAATGTTAGATCTACTTAGGATCATATTTGCTATCCTCTTATTATTGGCTTATTATTATAATATGAAATATCTTATTATCCCTTATTTCATTTTATAACTAATAAGATAAGCTGAACGTTTCGAAAACATTTACACTTCAATTTAACTCTTTTTTTATATCATTGTTTTATGGCTTACTATTATAATGTCTTTTGTTTGTCTTTATGAATCTGAATAGGATATATATTATTCAATTACTATTGCTGTCTCTATTCTTACTCATAATGGAATTATAACTGTAGATATCAATCCTACAAATTCCTTCATCCTTCAATCTTATATGATTATTAGTTCATTATCTATGATATATACAGCCACTGTTATATTTATATGGATTAAACCTTCAATTAAATTAGAATAAGAGAAAGAGAAACATTTAGCTTCATTCCTTTAGGGAATCAATAATAAAAATATAGATTATGGATTATAATGCAGATCTTACTCATATCTTGAGTATATAGTTGATGTATATTGGATTCTCAAATTTAGGAAGATATCATGAAAACCCGTGATTTGTTGACCAAGAAATTATCACCTGCTCTTTAAGAAGAATTATAAGTTTCCATACGTTCCAAGATGATTGAGAAGATTAAATTCTTTAAAAAGTTTTCTTCAAGTTTAAGATAGCAATTGATCTATTGGTTTGAAATTGCATAATACAATCCAGAAGAAAATATTGTCTAAGTAATAGTTCATAAAAAATAGTAATTCTAAGGAACACTAAATTGAAGACCATTGTCTTTATTACATATTAAAAGGAAAAGTAAAAATATAATTCCAAGGTTAATATTAAGGGAAACCAAAAAGAACATTTCATACATTGACAGAAGGTTAAACATTTGGTGAATTTTCATTTATTAGCGGAATTCCATCTTATATTTCATTAAATAGTGAAGGATTGACTACAGTATTGAAATTAAGAAGATCTGATTTCTTAGAAATTATTAAGAACTTTCCTTAAGATAATGAAATCTTTTGTTTTTATAAGGATAATTGCAATCATAATCATAACATGTTTGAATGTCATTATTGTAAAGTTTAGGGACATATGCTATTTGAATGTTAATACTTGTAATATTATCCTAAAAAATTGAATGTGATAGAGAAATACTTATATCCTCATATATAAGAACGTATTAAAATTGAAAGACGTATTAAATCACCTAAGTCATTATTAATGTTATTTGTTGTTGGAGAAAGTGCTAAATAATTTTAATAGAAATTATCTTAAGAAATAATGACATCAGAGGATTTCCCAATGTCCTCATAATTACCTTATAGTGAAAGTATTAATAAAATTGATATATATATATTAAATCTATATAGATTAGACCCAACAATCAGCCAGCTATTTAAGCAAGACTCAATCGATCCATAAATGTAATCCAGAATAACTTAGTGAGAATCCTGATAGTGTTGAAGATCAATTATATGAAGAAATGATAATAGACCCAGTACTTAATAATCAATTTAGAAAATAATAAAATAAAACTACTTTAAGAACAGCTGGATTTCCTTTTTAGGGAGATACCCTAGGTACTAAGGTTCATAAGCCTATGATAGAAAACTTACATAAAGAAAAATTATAAATGATTAGTGAAGCAACATAAAGTAAATAATTTGACACTCTAAATTCAAAATATGAAGATTCAAATTAATTGAGTAAATAAAGTAGTGGTTCATAAGCATTTGCTAAAAAAAATAATTTATATTCTGCAGCTAGATCAATGCATACAAAATTAACATTCCGATATCAATAATAATAATCAAATTAAATGGAGGAGTCAATACAATTCTAATAATAATAGAATTCAGTTAGACAAACATCAAATAGATCAAATACATATTCTAATCCACTTTCAAATAATATATCAAATAATCCATCAATCACTTCAAAGGTACATACAAAATCAGCCAGGGTGTCTCCTACTTAATTTTAATCACAGTAAAAAAAGAAGGAAGATAAGGCCTCTCATAGTGATCAATCATTATCTGAATAAAATTAACGTCATACAAATAGAAAAAAGAGTACTAAAACAGGAACTAAAGTTAGTATACTATAATCTCAATTCCAAGTAATTAACACTCCTGATGTATTTAAGTTTGATTTATTTAAAAGAATCCACATTATCAATACAATGAGATATATTTTAATAGATTTGAGAGAATGCATTTATTTAAGTTCTATAATCCGCATAATAATTATGATAATGTTATATCTAGGTATTGTAATAGTATTATTATATTTAAGAACCAATAAGTTTCATAGATAAAAGAAAGGTAAACCTAGTTTATATACAGTAAAGTGTTATGTTTCAACAAGAATAAAAAGAGTCAAGAGATTATTAGAATCATAATTATGATAAAATATTAATATTACTAAAAATGAATATTCTTTATAGGAATATGTATTGATATAAATGTTCATTTCATGCTTTAGTTTTCTCCAAACTTTTCTTCAATCCATCTAAGAGTAATTGATCCTGGTCTTTCAATTGGTAATCCAAATGCTCTTGACCAGATAAGGTTGGCCATACATCCAAGGGCTCTTGAGACTGCGAAAACAACAGTATAATATTAGAATTCTTTCATTCCATAGTGATAAAGTAGTACACCTGAATGTGCATCAACATTTCTATGATAATTATATATAATTACGGCCATGGGTTTTAGATTTTTCCAATAGTCTTTAAAACAGGTGGAATAACATGATAACATTATCTTACTAAGTCAACCAAAGGATCATCTTTAATATGTCTAGCAGCAAAGTCTTTTTAATGAATGAAACGTGGATCTGTATATCTAAGAACGGCATGTCCATATCCTGGTATGACTTTACCTTCTCTGATTGTTGTAAGAACATAATCTTAAATTTTTTCATTTGATATATTCTCACCCAAGGATTCCTAAGAAAAATGTTAATATAGATATATTACTCTCATTTCTAATAACCATTTAAGTACTTCTTAATTTGCAAGACCATGTAATGGACCAGCTAATCCATTAACACCAGCAGAATATGATAAATATGGATCTGCTAATGCTGATCCAACCAAATGTGTTGTATGAGCACTCACATTACCTCCTTCATGATCAGCATGAATGCTTAAATATCCTCTCAAACATTCTCTAACTTCAAATTTATTATATCCAAGCATATGAGCATAATTTCCAGCCCAATCTAAATTTTCATCAGCTGATATGATTTCACCATTCTTAAGGTATAAAAACAACTAAATACCTTGTATTTGTGTCTATAAATTAAGGCAGCAACTCTTGGAATTTTAGCCAATAAATCCATGGCATCTTCATAGAAGTATTCCCAATATTATGGTTTTGAAACTTTTCCTTAATCATAGGTTTATTGGAATTGAGAGTCCTTTTACAAAAACAATAATGCTTAAGATAACATAGTCATTGGATGAGCAGTCTTTGGTAAACTCAAAATGAACTTTTATGTCTCACTATCCAATTATCCTCTTTATTTCCATTCTTATTGAACATCAGCGAATTCTTGTTCAGCTAGAAGATATATAATAACATATATATACATGGGAAGTCACCTGTGCATAATAACCAAAACAAGGCTTCTGGTAAAGGCTCATGTCCATTTTCAGCCTTTTATAGATATTCTTACAATTCTGGGATATTGTAATCTCTCATTGTGATACCCTATTTGTTAAATATGAATGTATTACTGTTTTAGCATCCAACAATGATGCATCATAGAAAAGACCAAATACATTTCTCATTCCTCCAATTGCTTAGTCTACAGTCACTTTACACACTTCCTTTGCTCCATATCTTTTTCTGACATCACGTAATAAAGCTTATTTTACAGGCACAAGCTCTCTCATTCTCTATTTCAAAAGTCCATGTGAACTGTTATACACACTTCTGTAAAACATTTACACTGCATTTCTAGTGTTAACTTACATGATGATATATTATAATTATTATCAAAAATTCAAGATATTATCTGCATTTATACACACACTATGCGCATTAATTATAACATAATTAAAAAGATTCGCTAATTTTCTAATTATTATAAAAATAATTTTTATAATTAGATATTTATTTTGTGGTTAATTCTTTAATAAAAACCATTAATAACACTACCATTATAATAAAACATTATTATAAAACTATCTACAATTTCAAAGACTCTTTATTCCTATTATAATAGTCTCTATTCTAATAAAATAAAAATATGAACAAATATTAGTAAATAAATTTTATTTAATTTTCTTTAAATTACCTTTAACAAATCTATACTAATCTCTACTTTCATCAAATAATACATATTTATGTCTTATGAATATGTAAATAATTTAAAAATATATAAATGCTATCAATAAGATGTTTAATAATTGAATAATTATTATAATTTATCATATATTAAAAGTTAAGTAGAAGGAACTAACTATCTTAATTTTATTGGATTGTAACCCTTAAATGATCCTCTTAAGCCTTCTTTTTAGTATATATTTATAATATAATCTAATACTCCCTTCAATAATTAAATTAATTTATTTACAATTTATTAACTATTTTAATTATTTAACATTAAATCCCTTCTTATTCTATCTATTGGATAAACTAGAGTTTCTGATGTGGTGACCACAAATTGAGCTAATAAAAAGTTGCACAAATTTAATTCATTTCTCTAAGTCAATTAATCATCCCATATTATGTACTAACCAGTATCATACCCTCTTATTAATATTTAAAATATTAATCTACCCAAAGTAGCATGCTTTATATAAAAATGTACAGATAGCTGTCATCCCAAATCCCTTATACATATCTTTTAATATATATCCAAATGTCTATTTTTCTTTGGATACTTTTAATAAATTATTCGCTAATCTAACTCTACTTAAATCTAAAGGGTAAAATATTGTCAACGTAATAATCCCTGCAATTCCTCCATTTAATAAAGAATTAGCAAAATATCTACATAGATAAAAAGTATTATTCACTTAATTAATTGTTTATTCAAATCTATTTTTTATAAGCAATATCGATTTAAAGCATTATAAATTGAAAAATTAAAAGCTTAAATTAATGAATATCTAAATATTCTACTGTTTCTTTTGATTTATCTCAATAATGTACCATCTATAATAAGTTATTTACAACCATCAATATATTGATATTATTTTTAATAGGGAGTGCCATTCTTTATTAAAAACTAAAGTTCATAGAAGGGACTTAGAATTAGTTTAGGTAAGATACCAGAACTTCCACCTAAAATAAAATCTTTGAAAATTTTAGGAATTTAAACATCTTTTAAAGAAGTCATTTAAAATATTTATTTTAATTATAATTAGAATTGGTATCAATTTATTACATTCATTAAAAAATTTGAAATTATATTTTTGAGAAAAATTGATAGTTATATAACTTAATCAAAAATAGAATTATTAAATTTAAGTGAAAGTTGTACAAGAGATAATTTAATTACAAATTTGTTTATATTTTATATATCAACTGAATGATAATATGAATAATTGGAATCATTTATTTATATAACAAATAATAATACATTATATTTTAATAATCCTAATAAATATGTGAATATAATATTTATATTTATCTCTTATAAATCAGATAGATTAGATAACATTTTCATCAAATCTAAGATTGAATTATGATTAATTTAAATAAAATTCATTTATTTTGTCTACAATTCAACATTTTAATGAATAATGCTGATTATAATTAATAAAATTAATGGATTAATGCAAAACATATTCTCACATTAGATCAATATCATCTTGTAAGTCTAAACATAAAATTTCTAATAAGTCTCGTGATTTAATCAACCCTAGAAAGAGGTCTGTTACATTTAATAGTGATGTTGATTTAATTAAATCAATAAGTTGCCAAGAAAATTTACTTGATTTAATAGGGAAGGTACAGAAATAAAAATAAGATTACCTATTATCTCTTTAAAATTCTTAAATGTCTTTACTTCCACCTTTGAAAGTAGAAGAAGAAGAAATTAAGACATCAAAATAATAAGTGAAAAAGTAGACTAATAAAGAATATTATGAATTTACAATACCTATGGATCCATATAAAAAACAGTTGTATTAAAAATTAAATATATATGGGAAATTCATTGAACCAACACAATATAAAAAAATAGATTACTAATAAATTTAGACATTGTATATTATTTATTATTATATGATTAGTGAATCAGCAATTTCATAAATTTAATTTTAAGAATGCAATAAAGAAAAGATAAACAAATTATAAGAATAAGATACTTAAAAATAAATGGATAAGTTAAATTCATAAGTTGATGATACTTAAAGATTCAATCAATAATATTATTCAAATTATAATCAAGATTATGATTTATTTTAAGAATAGTAGAAAATGAACAAAATTATTAATGAAGCGTTAAAATTTAAATAGTAAAAAAGAGAACCTATTAATGCATCAAAGAGTGTTAAATAAAAGAGAACATAAATGAGGAATTATCTTGAAAATTAATATTAGAATGCATTAAATTCTGTAATGTAGGGTATTAATATAAATACAGAAGAAGATAATCTATTTATAAGAAAGAAATACTAAAAAAGAATTAAATTAAATACTTCTTTTAATAATTCAAGAATTACTTCCTAATATACAAAAAAAGCAATTTCTTCTTAAATTATTCACCCTGATAGATAAGACTTTGTTAATAAGACTCTAGAGATCTATGATAAATGCAATACTTATCTTAATTGATATATAAAATATTATATATTTTTTTAATTAATGTAATAATCTATAATTGATTCTAACATTATTTAATCTACAACTGTTAAAACAATAAAAGAACTTAAAAAATTGGGAGATTCTAGAACTAATTTAGAAGGAGAAGAGAATAATATAAATGATTCAACTTTAAGTGAAAAATAGACTCCTGGAGATGAAACTTCTAAAACATAGCATACAAAAATTACACTAAATAAAAAACCAAAGTTGACATTCAAACTTTAAACTTAGAATACAATACCATCTATGAAATAAACAGTTATGAAGACTTCTGATGATGTTGATGTATAAAACTATGGAATCAAGAGAACATCTTTAAAATAAAGTTCAATGAGACCTTAAAAACCTTAACCTTAATTATAATTAGAATCAAATGATCCTATTGATATGAATAATGCACTTAATTTAATATTAAATAAATCCAAAACTATAAAAGAAGAATTTGAATAGTTATAACTCACTAACACATTGATAAACAAATATATAAAAAATGATAAACACTTCCATTTTTCATTTTAAGCATTTCTAGATAATCTAGTTTCATAAGGAAAATTAGCACAAACATTAACAAATATACAAAAACCAGTTTTACAAAGGATAGAACAGTTTACAATAAATCATGTTAAAAAATGCTTATAAAAAAATTAAATTTCTCAATAATATGAAGAAAAAGCTCGGCATGTTGACCTTCTTTTCAATCGATATTACAAAGAGTTAACAAATATTGAATAAAATATCAAATATTTCTGATCTAATTGTTTAAATGTGTATATTAGGATTTTAAGAATGTTTAAAAATTCTCTTTATTAATTATTACTTTATTCCATCTATTTTTCTAATTCTAAAATTAGATTTTCTAAATTTGAAAAATAATACTTATGGAATAATCTAATTATTCAGTTTAAATAGTACTTTAGTATATTTAAGAATGAAGAATAAATCAATTTCCAGGGTAAAATATAATAAAGAATTAAGAAATTTCAATTACTATTATTATTAATTAACTAACTAAGTATTTGTGCTTGTATTACTTCAATTAATATTGATACATGCTTTATAAAACTATATTATATCAAAAATAAAAACGAAAAAAATTAAAATTTGGATATGTTGGTTTAAAATTCTTTGAAGTTGTTTAAAATAAATTATCTAATTCCCTTATTAAATCTAAAGCCATTGAGATTTGAATCAACAGTATAGAAATAAATAATGGATTTTGTTGGACTTACCAAAATATTTGTAGAACTTTAGTGGTAAAACAAGGATAATGGCTATATTAAGATGAAAAATGATTGAAAGATTAATATATAACAAAATATTAAGAAAGATCATTCTTTGTTTAAGGTTCATTTATTTCTTTGAACATAAGATGTAGTTTGTAAGGGACTAATAATGGATTTCTAGGAAGCTCTTCTCTAGAAAATTGGATTCTTTTTTATCACATAAGGACTTTCTTCTTGGCTTTAAAATTAGATTTGAATCTAAGTACGGGCTGATTGAGGAGGTTAAGATTTTGAAGGAGGTTTAGAATTCGTGCACCCCATTTATTTATTTTAAATATTTATTTAAAACTGCATTATTCATGCTTATATACTTGAACATATTCATATATATATATATATATATATATATTAATTAATGAATATAATGAAATTGTTTATGAATAAAAAAGAGAATAGTAAAATAAGTAGTCGTTTAAATATATAATAGAAAATATGGGTATCAAATTTGTGAGGTGTACTAATTTTCTTATAAACTTTTGGCTGAATATTCTGTTTGTTCCATTTCTTCTTCAGGAGTTTCATATAAATTTAGATTTTTAATAGCAAAACTGTTCTTTCTATATACAGTTTGTAAAGGGGAATCACTTTCTATTTGTTACACTATTTCATCAAATTCAAATTTGGATTTAGTATATTATGTACTCTAATTCATTTAGTAATTTGTAAATTTATTATTATTATAAAGAATAGTCAGAATAGCTTTATAATGTCTGAAATATCTTTGTATTTAATTATATTTTATTTTACATACTTATAATATGTCATATATCTTTTTAATTAAATAATTATTATTGATTAAAGAGAAAATAATAATAAAAAATATCAATCAAGAAAATTATAATGAATTGACTTGAAATCTTGAATAGGGTTTTTATAATTGTACAAGATTGATTTATAGAAAAGCAAGTTATACTTAATAGCTAAGTCTTGGTTTTCAGATTCTTATAGTTATTATTCTGATTTAAGAGGCATGATGAATGGGTCTTAAGGATTAGCATCAAGAGTAGAAACTCTAGCTTTATCTTTTTATTATTATTAAATAGGACTTTTGTTATGTTAAGAATATCTAGAAAATTTAGAAGGTTCATAACTAATTGAATATCCTACTTTACTCTTTTTTTCATCACTTAAACTATGTTCTTATTGAAAATCATCACTTGAATGATAATTACTTTTATCTTGAGAATCAGGTTAAAAAAATGTTTTATATTACTTTTTAATAGGAGTTTAACGTTATTAAATGAGATTTTGTGATGATTCTTAAGAATTATTATTTTAAGTTTTTCTGAATTATGATTTGGATTTACTAAATACTTTTGCTGATTTGGATGTTTTAATGGATTTATTAGAAGTCATTTTGCGATTTGCTTTAGCTCTTTGATTCCAATCAAATGGCATATTTGGTTATATATTAACTATTTTAAATAACTCTTTTAATTGTGAATAATTAGGTTTCATTTTAGCAGACAGTCCTTTTACATATTTCATATATCTATACTAAAAATAAGATTATAGGATTTTACTTAAATATTGATTTTGGTAAGTTTTCACATAATTCTTCAGGAGACATATCTTATTTCAAAAGTCCGATTTTTTCAATTCTCTCATTGTCATCTTTTTCAATATTCATCCAAGGTAAACTTCCATTTATAAAATAAAGTATGATATAACCTAATGATTCTAAATCATCTTTTTTATTTTATTCTTTTCCAAGATGAGCAGCTATACTTGCATATCTAGTAGTTCCAATAAATGAAATTTTCTCTTTGTTTTTTTTATTTGATTCAAGATTCTTAGCAATTCCAAAATCAATCAAACATATATTATCTGATTATGATGCTCCTAGGATATTTTCAGGTTTAAGATCTCTATGTATAATATTTCTTGATATTTTCAGATATTAATTACTTATTATGAATTGATTCAAGAATTCCAATCATCTAATAAGCAATATTACAAACACATTCAAATGAAAATTTCTTCATTTTTTTCTAATAATGAATGAGATCTTTTCCCAAAAGATTTTGGATCATAATCTTCATACCTTTTTCTTATCCTGACCAAATAACTCTAGGAATATTTGGAACCCCTTCTAATATTTTCAAAATTTCAATCTATTTGACATTTATTATTAAACATACTTCTCTGATTAAACTATTGAAATATGAGACTTCAGACTTTTCAACTTTAATTGCTACATTCATATTTTTGGTTTAAGATTTTCCCAAATATACTTTACCAAATGATCCTTATGCTAACATAGTAACAATTAAATATTCTTGAGCTATTACATCTCCTGGCTAAAAGTCTTACATCAATATAATAATATATAATTGATTATTTATTTATTACAATAATGTAAATTTAAGAGTCTAAATTATTATTATTATAAAAGATAAAGAATTGAAGACAATATTTTATTAAAATAAATAATTCATCAAAAAAAGATAAGATAACTTATGAGATAAATACATAAATTACTATCTTAATTTTCTATATTTAATATTTTGATATGTTAGTCTGTAATTATGTAGCTAGATAATGATAATTTCAATATGATTTTAAAGATAGATAATTATGAGAATTATTATATGGTGAATTAATACATTTCAATAATTTTAAATTCAAGATTAATTGATTAATTTTATTTACATGTCCATTTATTTTAATTATTTTATGTTATTTTTTAGAATTAGAATATTAATTAAATTATGGCAAAAAACAAAAGCAAAGCTGTTCATGCTATCAAAATTAAACATAATGCTCCATTTAGTTAAAAGATTAAAAAGAAAGAGTAGAAAGGATAAAAGTAAAGGAGAGTAGGAGGATTTAAATCATTAGCTAATTTTGATGTGAGTAGAATTAAGAATAAAGAAAAAAGAATTTAAATCTTAGAAAGAAAATAAAATGAATAAAAGAAAACTAAAAAAATGGAAAAAAAAGAAAAAGAAGCTAATCCTGATAGAGAAAAATTAGATCCATTAACAATTGATGATAAAAGAGAAATTGATGAAAATTTTGTTTTTGATGAAGATGATTAAGAAGAATTACAAAATGAAGAATTAATTGATGAATTCTAAAATTATTTTTAAGAAGGTTAGGATCCAAAAATTATTATTACTACAAGTGAAAGACCTTCTAGATAATTATTTGATTTCTTAAAAGATGTTAAAGATGTTTTTGGACCAGAAACTCATTATTGGCCTCGTAAACAATTTACAATCAAAGAAATATAAGAATATTCCATTAATAAAGGATATACTGAATTATTAGTATTTAGAGAACATAGAAAAGAAGTTAATTAATTAATATATATTCATTTACCTAATGGACCAACTTACAAATTTAAATTAACTAATTATACACCTTGTGATGAAATACATCATCATGGTAGATTCACTGATCATAATCCTGAATTGATACTTAATCATTTCAATACAAAAGTAGGAAGAAGAGTAGGAAGAGGATTAGCAGCTCTCTTCCCTTCAAAACCTCAATTTAGAGGAAGAAGAGTTGTAACTTTCCATAATCAAAGAGATTTCATCTTTTTTAGACATCATAGATACATGTTTTAAGAAGAAGGATAAAAAGTAGCCTTACAAGAATTAGGCCCTAGATTTACACTTTAATTAAAATAACTTAAATTAGGTTTATTTAATGATGATGGAGAAATAGAATTTGAAGCTAGAGATGATTACTATGTAAAAAGAACTGCTGCTTTTTTATGATATTTATTCATTTCTTTAATTTATTAATCAATTTTAATCTTGTAACAGAACTTACCCAAATTCTTCTACTGTAAATTATATTATTCCAATCTAACCTTTTGTGTCTTTCATTATTAAATCATATTATCCAATAAATTCCAAATATTCAATTTCATATTTTAAATCTACAATTTATAAGAGTGGAATTAGCATAGTGCATTTCAATTAAGATGATTATAATAATTAAAATATCTTTATATAAGCTTTATCTGCATCTTCTTACTTCTCTTAATCAACTCCTGCTGTTACTAGTATTTCATATTATACTAAATACTCCTCTTATTCAACATGATTAATTTTCTAATAATAATACTTTGATAATGCCATAGTAGTAATCACCATTTAGTCTAATATTTTGTATATACTATTTTATGAATAAACAAAATGCTCATATCGTTTATATGCAAAAACCCAACAATCTTTTCTCAATTAATGTACTTTCATATTTCTTATGTCAGTCATTCTATCATCTAATTATTCTAAATCAGTTGGTTAGGAATCCTTAACATCATGATACTTTAAAAATTCGGACAGACTGTCTTATCGTACCTTGTAAACATTTCTTTATCCATGAAGATAATTACATGTTATTTTAAAAAATATCTAATCATAAACATTTAATTCTATTCTTTTCAACAAAATATTTTAACTATGTAATATTCCAAGAGATAATTCATAAATCTCTAATTCATTTTTTTCATTCAAAATTATTAATTACTATTCATTTGTAATAGAAAAACTTATTATTATGTCTTTGAGTTTCATTTCTAGTATTTATTTGAACTAGTTATTTAAAAGCAGATAAAAATTCTAATTTATTTTGTGACTTATACAATACACAAAGGATGCTATACTATCAAAACTGATGACTTTTGTGGTTAATTAAGCTATGAAACTTTCTTAACACTTAATGAAATTTTTTTCCCTCCCATTTTTGTAATTTCTATGTCTTTATTATCAGCTGTCTGATCCTCAATTAAAAAATTGTAAATTATCACATCAATATCAGCATCAAATTTTCTATGTAATTAATAGCAGGATTTGCATGTATCTTATAATGAATAAACATTTTTAAATTGTTTTCTATACTCAATAAAATAATCGATAATTGTTTGATTATCAAAAACATACAAAGTATTCTAAAATACCATAACTGTTTAATGCTCTATTACTTTAGCAAATAAACAAAATAAAGGTTTCTTTTCTTCATCAATATTTTTCAAAAATTTAATGAAAACCATATATATATATATATGTAATTTAAATATAATAATAATTATTATTTTAAACACTAATCAATTATCTGATTATTCTTATTATTATTCTTCTTATTATTATTATTATTATTATTATTATTATTATTATTCCTATTCTTATTCTTAATCATTATTTTCATTCTCTTTTAATATAGGATCTTAAAGTTCTTCAAGTTTTGGATTTTATTTTTATTTATTTGTTCTTTCTACATTATTATTTATAAATTAATATACTTGTAAAAATTGGCTATCTATTTTATTCAACAACTTTATGTTCTTTCCATTAAGTAACATCTTCATCTAATTTTTTAGAAGCCTCTAATCATTGTAAAAATAATAATTTACCTTATTTTCTAACTTTTGTAGGTTTTTTCTTTGCTTCAATTTCTATTAAATATCTAAATCTTAACTCAATTCCTGTTTTATCATTAGGCAATGCTAAATATGTTATTAATGCCTCAAGTGTTTATTCATTATAGTTTAATCCTGTTATATTATCAGTTCCAATAATATCATTCAATGCTTGATAATTATCTAAAATTAATGCTTCTTTTTCCATTTTTTTCTTTTCCTCTATTTCCTTTTTAGCAGCTTAGAGTCTTTTCTCTTATTCATTTTAAACTTCTTTAATTCTATTGAGCATGAATTCTTTTGTCTGCTAAGTACGTTTTATTGATTAAGGAGGTGAATCTTAATTTTAAATATCTTCATCTTCTTATTTTTGAGCTTTAGGTTTTTTGAGATTTTCAGCAAGTTTATTAAAGAATTAATATCCTTTTATACTAATTCTAAAAAGGGCTTCCAAAAATTCCACATAATCTAAGGATGCTTATATATCATTTTATCTATAAGTAATAGCATTGAAGACACGAATGAATTCTATTTATGAAATAATATCTGGGTACATTCTAAACCTATCTCCAAACCACATCCATAATTTTAAAGGTATTTCCTTAAAATCAATCATTTCAATTGATTTATAATATTCTAATTACAATAATTCATAAAGATAACTTAATTTAAAATTATAAGTATTGAATATATTTTAGTATTTCTGATTTCTAAATAATTTTTGAATTAATTCACTTGTAGATTTTTCTTTTATTTTAATTTGTTCTCCTTTTTTTTCAATATTTTTATAAATAGCTTCATGCATTCTTTGATATTCTGCTTCTTAATTTTTTCTTTCTTCCATAGCCATTTTTAATTTTGATTATTCTGCTTTAAATATTTCTCCATATTATTCAATTTTTTTATCATTAAATTATTTAAATTCCTCTTTCTTCTTTTAGATTTCTTCTGCTCTTTGTTTTTTTTCTAATATTTCTCTTTTCAATCTTTCTTATTCATCTTCTTTTTGTTTTTATGCTATCTTTTCTTTTTATTATTTTAAATATGTTTCTTACTCTTTTTATTTTTCTTCCTATTTAATTTTTTTAAGATCTCTTCTAGTAGTATTTTAGATCTCTTCTGCTTTTTATTTTTCTAATCTTTCTGTTTTCATTTACTCTAATCTAAGTTTAGCTTCTTCATGATTTTTTTATATTTTTCCATCTCTTTTTTTATTCTCTTCTTCTTCCTTCTTTTTTTCATCTTATTTATCTTTCTATACCTTATTTACAATATTCCATTTTCTTGTAATTGTTTTTTAATTATTTTCAACTGCAAAAATCAAATCCTCTAATACATCAGCAGCCTATTCCATAATAGATCTTTGTTTAGCTTAATTGAAAGGTATTTTAGCAAGTTCCAATTTGATACCTAAACTATATTATCTAAATGGTTCAATTTCTAAATTTCTTTTTGGTAATTAAGGTAAAATAGGTTAAGATTAAGCTACAATTGCATTTTTCTTAAGTAATTTATTCTTTTATTCCATATAGTGATCTTTTTCTAAATTTTATTTTACTTTAGATTCCACATATCCTAATAAATTAGGTTTACATATTATTTAAAATTCTTTAGCAGTTAATGGTTCAATTATATGACATTTACATACATTATAAACAATTTCATCCAAAATTTGATAAGCAAATGTGTGTCCATCTTAAATTTCAAAAACATGATAAAATTTAACTACTTCTTCTTTTTAACTCTTATATCCTTCAGGTAATACATATTTAGGATCTTCAGCCAATTTTTTATTAAATTCTTTTATAACATCTTTTTAAGCAAAATACATGTTGTCAGGATCATCATATAATTGAGTATTCTAACCTTTATTTGCAGTAACTTATTACATTTTTTAAAGCATCAATTCAATACAAACATGAGGTTAAACATATTTATTCTTTTTAGTATATATTATACAAGCATATTAAGTAATTATATGTTTAAATCCTTCATAATTAAAATTACTCAACTCATTTTTACATTTCAATAATTATATTGCAATAGATCTAAGTAATGATCTTACTTATTCTTTTGAAACATTAAAAACTAATTCATAATCTTTCAAAAATGCCCAAAATTCTGCTTCATTAATTGTATCAGATTAATCCTTCAATTCATCAAAATCTTTAGGCTTCCCAATTTTACTACCTGAATTTGCATATTTAAAAAACACATATTTAAATATTTTATGATATTTTCTAAATAATTATTCTACCAAATATCTTTCTCTATCTTCCTCAAATTAAAGATCCCAAACTTCATATTCAGTCAATCCATGTTTATTAAGAGGTGCTCCATTTTTAGAACCATCTCTAAATATTAAATTTGTTTCTCTATCTTTAATAATAGACACTCCTTATTCAACAGATCTCTTTTCTAATTATTTACGAAGATTATTTTTCTATTTTAATTAAGCCTCTTTATATTATTCTGCTTTTTAAGCCTCTAGTATTGCTTTTTCATCAAATTACTTTTTTATTGTTTCAAGTTTCTCCAAAACTTTAGGATCTGCTCTTGTAGTTTTTAATGATGCTAAAGTGTATTATTCTTCCTTTGATAATTTTATTGAACCAATAGATTTTTAATTATAAGGCATAAGTTAATCATCTTCATCAATTGAATTTTGTAATTGATTCATTTATTATTCTCTATATTCAATTTCATATTATTCTATTATTCTTTCAGCATTTCCAAATAATTCCAATATAGCCAATAATCCTTTTGAATTTCTTTTACTAAATTATTTGATTTAAATATTTGTATGAGCAACCAAAGGTTTAATCTTCTCATTCATTTAATGCTATTAAAATTAAACAATAGTCTTTATTATCTATATAATTTAATTTCTCTTTTAAGCACTTATAGGATCTTTACCTTATTTTTTTTTCTCAGAAGCAAATAACATAGCCAAAGCAATTTTGATAAATTTTAAAATAAACTCTTACATTGTTTAATTTTCAACATTTTTAGATAAGACATTAATTATAATTTCAGAAGCTATACTTTAATAGACTAAATTATTAAGAAATATTTTAGCTAAAAAATCAAGTAATTAAATAGCATTTTTAATTCCAATATTCATATTTGATATGAACATAAAAAAATGCATATCAAATATATTCAAAATATAAGTAACTCCTTCTGATGTTTATAATTATTTTATTAAATTTTCCAATACTAAATTTAATGGTATATCTTCCATTGTTTAAAATACCTATATAAAATTATTTAAAATAAATTCTCTTATTTATTAATTATCATGATTCTCTATCAAAGCTAATGTCAAACTAAAATATGTCTTTATTTAAATACTTTTTGTATATTAATGGAGCTTGATTACTCTTTTGTATACTAAATTAAATCAATAATTTAAATAAATGATTTAAACAAAGCAATGAAAGTGATTATGATTTGTCTCTTGTTCCTTTTTTTAATAATGCAATTATCGTATTAATAAGAGATTCATCTAATTCTATATTAACTAATAAGACCTCTGTCAAAAAATTAAGTGCTGAAATTCTTGTGTCAACTGTATTTTTAAATTCATTTTCTGCAATCCCAATAGCTTAAGTAACCCAATCATGAAGAATTCCTGTTGATACTAATTCTTAATTCTAACTTAAAGGTATAAAAATTAATTCTATTGAATTTATGAGGTCTTTAGTATCAGATAATACATGTCTAATTCCATTTGTAAAAACTTCAACAAAATTGTTTCGACCAAATTATAGTATCATTTCTACCTAAAATTTTACTAATTCTGGATGTCTTCTAGCTCCCATTAATGCTGTATATAACCCACCTTAATCTTCAAGAAACCATTCTCTAATTAATTAAACTGGAATTAAAGAACCCAACCTTGTAAATAATCTAACTGCCTCATATACTACATCATATGATTTTGAAATCATTCCTGGCTTTAATGCCTAAACTAATCTTATTTAATAAATACCTGAAATGCAAATATCATTGATTTCTTAGTAGAATCTTCATTAAATAATTTATTTAATTAATTTGAATTAGCATAGACTTCTTTATAGAATGCTACTATTGGTTCAAATACTCCTTTAACACCTTTTGCTAAAATATGAGCTAAATATTTATTATTATTTGTAAAAAGAGAAGCTGCTTATTTGATTGTCAGTTATAGATTCTTAGCTAAAGCTATTATAAAAAATTCCAAACAGTTTTACGTCTTATTTAAGTCCTTTTTTGGATCTAATTTTGAGAGATCCACTTACTGATTTGCTGCATTATTTATAAATGCATACCTTATGAAATTTTATTAGTAGCCAAAATCTTAGTTGCTCCATCTAAACTTAATTGAGAATCATCAAGTAAATGAGATTTTTATTATCCTCTATAATTCTTATCATAGATTTCTAAAAGTAATTAATGAATCATTTCTTTGTCACCTCCTAATATTAATGCTTTAGTATCCTAATCAATCATGATATCCACCTTCTAGTACTCTTCACAAAGTATTTTCCAATTATATAGGATCGATGATTTTTGTTAATTGTCTTTAAGTGTATCTAATTTAGCTAAAGGAGTGGAAGGCCTTTTAAATCTTAATAAACCAACCTATTTCGTAACTTCACAATTTCTTTTAACAATTAACCAAAAGCTATTCCACTTTCTAGTTATCCTAAAGATGTCTTGCTTATCTCTACTTTATCTGCATACTTTTTTCCATCTTATGGTAGTACTCTTAGTTAGCAAAGCCAATTATATAAATTTTCTTAAATTTACATCTATATTATTATATTTGATTTTATAAAAATCACATGAAACTAAGAGAAATCAATTTTTTTGTCTATCAAATATTTTTAATAATCTAATTTGATAAGAATTTTGAAATTCTCATTTCAGAATTACTTTTTCTAATCATAACTCTATTGAGTCAATTTAGGAGACTTCCTAATAGAATTAAGTAAAACTATAACTAGAAACTTTATTCATTACCTTGAAAAAGAAAATCTAGTATTAACAGAAAAATTATCAATGGTTGGCTCATATAAATTACAAAAGTAAAACAAAAACTATTATAATATATAATAACTTAATATATATGGTAAGATTAGAAGTGTTAATATTATATAAAATTAGAGAATGAATTTAGTATTCAAATTTAATCTTATATTAATTACTAAATGAAAAAGTCATTTATTTACATAATTTCAATCCAAAAAGATTTTGAATTAAATTAATACTAATTTTAAAACTTATTGACATGTCTTTTTTTGTAAAGACTCTTTTTGTCATTCCATTAAAGAAAACATATTTTAATTCAATTGAATCGAATAATTCAAATAAACAACAAAAATCACTTTAAGGCTGGCCCACCTTATTGAAAATTAACATTTGATTGATATGGCGGTTGATATGCATTTGGTTGATTTTGAGAGGGAATCTAATAAGGATTTTTTGCTTCTTCTGTACTCCATCCAAATTTTTTACTCTAATGAATGACATTATACAAATTATACAAATAATTGTAGCAATATGTAAATTAAACCAACGACAAACAATACAACAGCAGTAGCTATCTACAAAGGAGAAAAAGCTGATATCATTAAAGTACCCAAACTTGATTAGTAATTCAGATTTACAAGAAACAATACAGTCCTCTTCCAAAGAAACTAGTCAAAATTTTGAATTTTTAATGAATATATGCAAAACGAAACTCTGCCAAGATCAAAACAGCTCCCATCCATCTAAGTCTAAAAAGACAAATTTTACAGATAATGAATTGTAAGGATAAATTGTTATGGATGTTCAATAGACAGATTCGTAAATCTTGATATCGCAAGGGCTATAATCAAACCTCCACAAACTATTGTTAGTATTTTTGTTGCACAATGAATATCACATTTCATAGTTTTTAATAATATAAATTAAAATAAATATTAGATATTCTTGTTATTGATCAAATAATTTATGGTTAATCAATATTTCTTAAAAATCTATCATTTAAGCTTTTGTATTTTTGTAGTAAAATCACAATTAAAGATATATCTCTAATTGTATTTTTATAGAGTTGTAATTAACCTAAATTATTTAATAATCAAAAACACATTAATTATCTAAACCTTCTTTAATAGAATAATAAAACTACATATCAATAACATAATAATAATTTACTATTACAGAATTAATGCCATAATAATTTTAAAACGAAAAATATTTTCCTTTTTAATAGAATAGATTTTTTAATTAAAAATAGACACTTATAAAATATTATTTATAAATACTAACAATATTAGTTATGATAATAATCAAAACTTTTACTTAATCAAAATTTGTCATCTTTTTTTCAACTAATAATCTTTAATAATAGAATATGATTTTTTTAATATATTTAATATTTATATATATTATAATATATATTTGATTATTATCATTGTTATGTACTTAAATTTGATTTTGAAGTTGTTTATTAAAACAATTATTAAATAGGAGGTAGTGATTCATAGAATTATAATAATTTTTTTGGAGCTTTTTTATGTAAATCATTTATATTAATCCAAACTGATCTAGGCTTTAGATTGTTTTTTTATTTTAAATTAACCTAAATAATAAATATAGGATATATACTTTCAATTGTTATTATTAAATTCCATTAATTTTAATAATTCTACCTAAATTTTAGAATGATTAAATTTAATGTTCATTTTCAAAAGAACCTCCTTTTTTAGATTTATTATGTTTTTTTTTTGATTTAGTAATTGTCTTATTAGTAACACATTTTTTAGTAATAATAATATTTTTAGATTAATCTTATTGATCAAATTCTTCAAGAAGCAATTAACAATTTTATAAACTTGATAAAGGTTCCCAAGTCAATTCAGAATATCCTTTCCATTTAATTAGATAATGTGATTCATAATTTTCTATTTTTTTCATAATAATAGCTTCAACTTCATATAAAGGCTCTAAAAAATTATCTATTTATTGATCTTCATTATTATTTTCATTATAAGATAGATCAATACTTATAGTTTCAATAGTTTCTTAAAAGTCTTCTTAATACTTTTAAGGTTATGATTTTATTCTCATGCAATTAAAAATATTAACAGATCAAAATGAAAATATCATCATGCTATTTAATTTATAATTTATTAATTTATTTAAAATATATTATATTATACCATTATTATTAATTATACAATTAAAAAATTATAATCATACATATACTTATTCATATAATAACATCTCTATAAAATATATATTTCATTTTTATATTTATAATATTGCTTTTTTATTAAATCCATATATATTTTAAAATGTTATTATTATTTAAAATTATATGTGGCGAGTGGAAATAAACAATTTTCTTTACAGTTTTTTGGCAGGAGGAGCTTCAACAGGGTTGATTCAGCTTTTTTAAACTCCTGTTGATTTAATGAACTTAATCATTTATTCTTAAAATCAAAATCAGCCTATTCCATTTGTTTGTATTTTTTAAAATAAATCTTGTTAGAAAGACTTTTTTGCTATTTACAATTACTTCAAGAGGATGGAATCATAACCTATTTATGTAAAAATGGGTTTTAGAAAATTATGAGAAGTGCCTTATTATCTGGAGTACATTTTTCAGTTAAAGATACATTAAAGAGCTTGTTTTTGTCAGATCATGAAGTTACAAAAAACACAAGAAAGTTTCTCTTGAGATTAATTTAGGCTATTTTTTGGTACTCTAATAAATGGTGGGATTTCAGGGATTATAGGATTGCTGACAGTATATTTTCTTGATTTCTAAATGATAATGTAAATGAATAATGCTGGACCATAATCTAATAGAAATTCAACACGCTCTAATTAAATTAAGTAAGTTTTTATTGGATTGGGCTTATCTCTGCCAGGTGTCTTTGTCTACAGAGCTTTTTATTTTGGGTATTATACATAATGATTGCTTAGTTGCTATGATGCTGGAAAATAAATTTTGTGGGGAAAGGCTGTAAAATAACGTAAAGCTTCCTTCTTGTTTAAATTTTTCCTTGCTTACATATCTACCTTCATTGCTAGTTCTTTTTCATATCCTTTTGATACTATTCGAAGAAGAATTATGATGTAATAAAATACATCTGGACCAAGAAAAATTGTATTTTATAAATCACATAGTTTAAGGGTATTTTTGGGGTGATCAAATAAATTATATAAAAAGAAGGTTTAAGTGGATTTTTTAAGGGAAATTCCATAACAATTGGAAGATATGTAAACTAATCTTTAGCACTTGTGCTTTATGATTGCTTTCAAAAAATAATCTTAAGAATTTGATATCTTAATAGAGATTTTATACAAGATTAATTTAAAAATTAAATATATTTCTCACTAAAGAATTAAAGAGATAAAAAAAAGATAAATTTTCACTAATTATAAAAAGAGTATTAAAATCTAAATTTCATATTATAAAAATTATAAGACAGAATCAAATTGCAAATTTATTGGTTACAATAAATAATTGCATATTCTTAAAAGAGTATAATTTTTTAGAATATGAAATTTAGAAATTATTCATCTAATAGTTTCTTCCTTAAAAACTGCAAAAACATTATTTAGTTTACAAGATCCTATGATTAAGTAGAGTTACATTTTTCTTTTAATATTATTAAAATTACTTAATATCTTCAAATAAGAAGGTTTATCAGATTTTTGAGGAAGGCTTGAAAGTTTAATTATGATTTAATTCTATATAATAATTCTAAAGCTTAATAAAAAATGCTGTAATATCTTTTTGGAATAGAGCTGTATCATAGATAGATACTCTGAAATTTTTTATACTTTAAACATTTAATAATATTATGATTGGAAAAAAGTGTAAACTAATTATGTCTTTAATTACACCAATTCTCTTTCTGTATTAAATTTCAAGGATAAATTTATATCAAGCAAGATAGTAAATTTTAACAGATTATTAGAGGTTTTGCTCTGAAGAGATATTTATTATTCTACTAAATAAACTAATTATATTTATATGTTCGACTTAATAGTAGAGCAACTTGAAATTGAACTAAAAAACTTAAAAGGAGCCATACATTAAAATATAGCTGCAGAGAATCCTGAAGAAGAAACAAAGTAGTAATAGTTGATGGATCATAACAAAGTGAGTTAAAGAATACTGCTTATGTACAGCGTTTGAAATACAATTTTTGATTTTTGATGGCTGATAAACAAAATAAAAAAAAGATGAAGAACAATTACAAATAATAAACTTAACATTGAAAATGGCATAGTAGAAAAGTCAGTCCAGCCCGAAAGAATGAAAAACCATGGAGAAATGAAAAGATAACTAATTGAAATAAGAACTTCAAAGTTTAATAGGGACATGAATTAGAAGGACAGAACAAATATTGAAGAAGAGGGCCAAGTTGATCAAGACTAAGAAATAATTTACTGTGAAAGATGTGGATCGGGACCTTATAGAAGTGCATGATGGGAAAACACAAAGTAAGAATAATTTTTGGAAAAGTGGAGTAAGAATAAAAGGGAATTGAAAATATTTATGGGGATATCTTCAATACATATGGACAATGCATACGGATATTATAATGGAATTTCAGTTTGATAAAGTAAATAGTTTCAAAGCAATCAAGAAATTTTGCTCACATATTATTAGTTTAAAGGAGGTGAGAAACTAATAATTCTAAGACTCAGTAAAGTATAAATACTGTTACAATCGACCGTAATCAACTAGATCAGGGGGAATAACAGTAGGTGTTCACAAACAGCTTTAATCAAGGAACATATTACTTCCCTGAGTTGGAAAGAGATGAATTAATGAGAATGGATTTTTGATATCCTAAAAATTTAAGATTTCAGTGATATCTGCAAATTAATTATTATTAATGTCTATTTTCTTAGTAATTAGGAAATGCCGCAAGCAAAACCAATAATAAAGATTAAAATATAGCCAATTATTACATAATTTATGAAACACTAACTTATGATAATGAGCGGAGATTTCAAACTCGCAAAATAATCAATTTCAAAAATTACAAGACCTAATACCTTAGGAAAACTCAAAGAAGAAATTATTGTATAAAACCAAAAGCAAAACTAAAGAAGTGAATGAATAATTAATGCATAATCCATTCCCAGAAATGGGAGATATAATAATAATATTATTATTATTATTATTATTATTATTATTATTATTATTATTATTATTATTATTATTATTATTATTATTATTATTATTATTATTATTATTATTATTATTATTATTATTATTATTATTATTATTATTATTATTATTATTATTATTATTATTATTATTATTATTATTATTATTATTATTATTATTATTATTATTATTATTATTATTATTATTATTATTATTATTATTATTATTATTATTATTATTATTATTATTATTATTATTATTATTATTTAGGTTCGTAAACTCTTTAAAATTAAGTAGAAGATTTGTTGAAAAAAAACCAAAAAATTAAATAACAATATAAATATCTTACCTATACCTCTAGACTTGCAAAAATGTAATTTAAAGTCTTTAACAAAATAAAGAAAAAATATTTATTTATGGTCGACAATTCAGCGATAAGATCAATCTAATTTTAATTAATCACAGATATTTTTTTGATGAGATTTACACCATAAAAGTAATATCAACTGACCCAAAAATACATAAGAATAAAATAGAATAATAGTAACATTTTCAATAAGTAGTCAATGATTAACCTTTTCATAAATAAAAATAACAGAGAATACAGAACACAGATTAAAATTCATTAAAAACAATAATCATCTAACTTATTAATTGATCAAGACAATTATGTCAATAATTTAACATATGAAGTACTTTCATAACTAATATATGCAGCAGACGAAAGACTGAACTACTTCTTATCAAACTAACAAGAATCTTAATAATAACCTTCTAAATAAGAAGAGTAAAAAGGTGAAATAAATGAAGTTTAAACTCTGGCCCATATAAAAACCTAGAATTCTACCGTTCACATATATACTCTCGACATTAAGGAAAAACCCCTGATAAGAACATTTGCTCTAAGTCTGGAAATTTATAGGGGAGTAAATGATAGCATTAGTAATAAAGCCCCCCAATAATAAACACACAAATAATAACTTCAAACTAACTAAATCCATTTTAATTAAAACAAAAACAATATAAACTCACAACATCAATAAATAACTATAGTGTGTTGAAATATTTCCTCTTTTAAACCAACTACTTTACAAATAATTAAAGAAAATGATCCCACATAATTTGTCTTTAAGAAACTTGATAGATTATAAACACATCTCCTACATAAAATTTCATTAATAAATTACGTAGCGAGCATTTTTAAGGCGGAGGAATAAGTATAGGCATTCATAAATAATTCATATGCAGAGACATTTCTCATATATTAAAATTAGATGAAATTGAATATTTGTTAGTTTAATGCATAAAAAAATGTAGAACTATATATTTTGAATATCTACTCTGCTAACTCTAAATCTTTCTGAAACTAATAAAAAAAATTGCAAAGCTTCATCGTTCAACTTAAAATCAAGAAACCAAATGCTCTTATAATGATTTTTTGGAGATGCTAATAATAGTACAGTTAAGCTCAAAGGTAGGATAGAATTAATCCAAGAGTATTAATTGCATACTAAAGATATGTCAAGAACAAACTTCGATAATCAAAAACAGACATTTTTCAAATCAATTAAGAGCTTTCGCATTCAATTAGCTTTCAGCAAAATAATCTATCTGATCATACATTAATAATTTATTAATTAAATTTGAAAAAAAACCTAAAAAGTAAAAAAGTAATATAATTTCATAATAAACAAGGAGTAGGTTTATCTATTAAATTTTAATTGTTCTCACAGTGAGAACTTCAGAGAATTTATCTAGAAAATTCAGGAGAATCAAAAGAGATTCTAAATCTATAGAAGGAAAAGGTAATGTCTAGAATCAATAATAAATGGAACTTCTTAAGATTTTTTGAACATATTCTAATTAATTAATAGCAATATCAGAACTAAGTAAAATTAGATAACCCATAAACTAATTAACAAGCTAGTTATATAACTTAACCTTGATTCAATAAAGACAATAATAAAGGTATCTAGAGTAATAATCATAATTAAAAATTATTTCTTGGAATATTTTAACATTAAAATCTCAAACATTAAATTAATTAACTAATATACCCCAAATATTATTTACTTACAAGAAACTAGAACAAATATTTCTCCATTGTCAACCTATAAAAACAGTAAAAGGGTGCGGAAAATTTTGTTAACTAATAATTATTCTAAATGTGGTTTGATGAAAATTAAACACTAGGAAGATAATATCACTATTTAATAGAATTCTATTCCAATATTTAAAACTTATAAATATTTAGGATTGTTAATCAATACTTAAGGATCAATCAATTATTAATTAAATTTAATAAAACGAAGGCTTTAATAGTTAACTAAAAAATTCAATAAAATTTAAAGATTAATAATTAGGAAATAAAAGTTCTGCTCAAAAAATTATTTCTAATATTTATTTCCCATATTGAAAAACTGAATATAAAAAAAATAAAAAATTGTAATTAACCTAATAAAATAAAGTCTAAATTTAATGATTAATCTTTTAAAAATAACACTATATTGGTATATTTTGATAAATTAGGATTTAATGATAAATTAATTTTATATTCGAGAAAAATTTATTTTTTGAAATATTTCTGTCTTAATCCTTTAAATTTAGTTAAATAATATAATCAGTCAAATTCAATAATTGGATTTGCGTATTTAATTTTTCTAATTCAAAATACTTATCCATAGTTTAACAAACCATTATACAAATAAGAAATATATGTTATGGAAAAAAATTCATGCTCGCAAAATAAAGTTATAAAAAGTTAAGGATGACCCAATACTAAAATAATGGCATTCGAGTTCCAATTTAATTATTAGTAGCAAACTTACTGAAAAATGTATTTTTTGCAACTATAATAATTTTCATTAAAAATGGAACAATAAATTAGTAAAAAAGAGAATAACTTAAAAATATTGCAAATTAATAGAAAATAGTTAAATCATATAATATTAAAATATTCCCAATAATACTAAAGAATTATTAATATTGCCATTAAGAAAATGTAAATAACTTAATTTATTATGCCATTATAATTAAAATAACACAAAAATGATATATAAAATTGAATTGAAAATAAGAAATATGATAAAATAAAAAATCAATAGAAATTAGAATTTAGAAATAATTAATTTAGTTTTTCATCTAAAAAAAAACAAGTGATTATTCCTAAAAAAAATTGATATTGTTATTTAATTATTCTATATTAATGAACATCTTTATGGATTAAGTAAAAATCAATCCTGCTTACAAAATTCTATATACATTATTTCAGTGCAATTAACTAACCAAAGACATGGATGACTAAGCTACACATGTGAAGTCCAGTTTATTAATCTCCTCTTAAGGCAATTCGATGATCTATTTAATCATATCAAAGACCTGCAAGAGAAATAGTAAGCCCTGGAGCAATGTCTCAGTCGATAGCATCCTACATAGGGAAAAAGAATTTCAAAGGAAAATAGGGAGTTCGCAAAAGCATCTATGAAATCGTAGCCTAACAACTCAGTGTTGAAATGAAAGAATTAAAAGGATTGGTGCACAGAAACTTGACTGCTGAGGACCTTGCTAAGATGGATGTAAACAAGATAGATATATAAATATTGGAGTAACTATGATGTCTAAATAAAATATTATAGGGAGTGATGATGCCTTAATCAATACAATATATATTATCAAAATAGTATTAATCATTAATCCTAAAAGTTAGAGTAGCATTCTAAAATATTGAAGGCTTATCCTAATTTCAATGAAAAAAAAGGTAGATTATTAGTAAGATCAAAACATGTTTTAGAAGATCAAATGTTGTTGAATGTGGAGTGGGAAGGAGAGATAAAGGCATCCTTTAGACTCTCAAGAGGTATCTAGCTAAGATGGCTTCATAACTTGGTCATCTAAGTAATTTAGTCTTGGTTTGAGCCTAGGGGTAAAAAATAGAAATTTTGAAAATCCAAAAAGATACTTAAGAAACATAGTGATAAATAAAAGAGATTAAACAGGGTTGAGTCTTCCGATCACATTTATTAGGTCCATAATAAGTAAGTTCCAGAAGGTTCTTCTCATACTTTGCAAGGAAGAGCTTCAGTATAAGCTGTTCCTTAAAAAGTAAAATTTTTTGCTTAGCCTGACCGACATAAGTTACTAGACAGGACAAAGAAAAATTACACTCAATCATTTAGAGTCAGAGATTCTGAAATGATTGAAGAAACACCTTAGGTCAATATAGTTCCAAGGTCGAAAGCAAAAAGCACGTCTAGTTCTCTATCCGTACCCATCAATGGAAAATGATTGGGTTTATTGTTTAATAAATAAATAAAAATGGTTAAATTATTATTAAATTTTAACGAGAATCATAGATGGTTCGATCTTAGTGCACCACGACTATGAAATTTACGAAAAAGATGGGCAAGGGGAACTCCTTTTATGTAATTAAGTAATCTTAGACTATTATCAGTCAATAGCATGAACATATTAGAATCAGACCAGATAGATCACATATATCTAATATTGATTAATTTATGATGATATTGCAACTAATTTGTATCATTAATAGATGATGATTTATATGTGTATGTTTATATTCCATAATAGGTCAATATATATATTATTATTATTAACTCCATACCAATAATTATATTATTTAATCAGAATTCATCTGAAATTTTATCTGTGGTGCCATAGCCATTCGCTGTAGCCAGGCCTTCTCCATTCAAATCATGCCAAAGTCAATAATGGGAAAAATACATTCGATCAAATGAGTCCATCACTATGATATGGAGGCAGTTGCTATCCCTTCTGGCTAATTTTATTTTCCTTTGATTCTCGAGCTCTATCGAACCGAATCACTATTGGCCTGATAATCCTTCACCTTTTTCGAACAAAAAAAAAAGAGAAAATAATTGATTAAACTGATATGAAATATATAAAGTTTTATGAAAAAGATGTTGCATAAATGGGTAAATAAAGTTTTCACTAAAAGATTTAGAAAGTGATAGAAAAATTTTTTGATCTAAACAATTTCATTACATGTACAACTGTACCTGTTTAGTATTTGTTTTGAGACAATTTTGCATGCTAGCACTATAAAATTAAAACATAATATCGATTAGAGCTCTGCTTAGTAATTTTATTATATTCATTTTAGATGGTACTAACCTTCATGTTTTCTGAATATTTTATAAAGTTTGAGAAAAGGAAAACTCTTTAAATATTATTTAATTAATGATTTAACAAATATCTATTCTATGGTCAAATTCTTCCTTACTTAAAATCATTTCATGTAAATTAATTTTTCATCCCTCTTAAATAACAGAGAGTACATATTCTAAACCTTACTGAAATAAAATACAGCATCAATTAATGGTCGCCATTCATTTATTTCTACTTCTTTAAACATCTGATTCCATCCTGATTGATCGCAAATTATGGCTGAATTAGATATTTTCAAAAAAAATCAAATTTATTGTTAGCAAAAGGATAAAATTAATTAAAATTACATTATCTATCAGATGTTTTCCTTTCTCAAGACTATATTATATATGAACGATATCATATAAGATATACTAATAATAATCTTTTTCAATTAATAATCTTTAATAATAGAATATGATTTTATTAATATATTTAATATTTATATATATTATAATATATATTTGATTATTATCATTGTTATGTACTTAAATTTGATTTTGAAGTTGTTTATTAAAACAATTATTAAATAGGAGGTAGTGATTCATAGAATTATAATAATTTTTTTGGAGCTTTTTTATGTAAATCATTTATATTAATCCAAACTGATCTAGGCTTTAAATTGTTTTTTTATTTTAAATTAACCTAAATAATAAATATAGGATATATACTTTCAATTGTTATTATTAAATTCCATTAATTTTAATAATTCTACCTAAATTTTAGAATGATTAAATTTAATGTTCATTTTCAAAAGAACCTCCTTTTTTAGATTTATTATGTTTTTTTTTTGATTTAGTAATTGTCTTATTAGTAACACATTTTTTAGTAATAATAATATTTTTAGATTATTCTTATTGATCAAATTCTTCAAGAAGCAATTAACAATTTTATAAACTTGATAAGGGTTCCCAAGTCAATTCAGAATATCCTTTCCATTTAATTAGATAATGTGATTCATAATTTTCTATTTTTTTCATAATAATAGCTTCAACTTCATATAAAGGCTCTAAACAATTATCTATTTATTGATCTTCATTATTATTTTCATTATAAGATAGATCAATACTTATAGTTTCAATAGTTTCTTAAAAGTCTTCTTAATACTTTTAAGGTTATGATTTTATTCTCATGCAATTAAAAATATTAACAGATCAAAATGAAAATATCATCATGCTATTTAATTTATAATTTATTAATTTATTTAAAATATATTATATTATACCATTATTATTAATTATACAATTAACAAATTATAATCATATCTCTATAATAACATATTAGTTAATATTTTATAAAATGGTATTTACTAAAAAATCTCTTAATTGGTTAGTTAATTGATTTTTTTTATTATTAAAATATAAATTTTATTCACATATAATTAATCAAATACGGAACTTATCTCCGCAATTAAAGCATTCAAAAAATTTAGTAGTAGGTTCATCAGCACATCTGGTTTGTTTTTCATCAACTAAATATACTTTTTTTTGATGGCATCCTTTACATTATTTACCCTCAACTCCATCCATTTCTCTTTTAGAGATCTCTTTGTAAAAGCCTATTTAATTAATTTCTAATTCCTCCTTTTGAGCTGCCTTTTAATTTAATTTAGTTTTTTCATCAATCCAATCTTCAGATTTCAATTAAGCTGCTTATTAATAGGATAAGCTTTTATTGAAGACTCGAATTAGTACATCACCAGTTTTATCTCTTTTCATAAATTACACTAAGGTTTTAATATCCATTTCATAAGCCATTTTTTTAGAGTCTTTAAAAATATTTCTCAAATAGATTTCCTTTTCTATTCCAATTGTAACTTCTTTGATTTTATCAATTGAAATTAATTATTCCTTATTTGATTAATCCCAATTTTTGAATATATGTAAAATTAGATTGCTAATAAGGTTAAGATTCTGTATTCTATCAACATATCCTGTAAATTATTGCTAATATCCAGCAAATAAATTATATTTTTTCATTGGTTCTGGTTTTTCTTTTTCCACTTCCATTTGTAATGATTATCTCAATATTTTAAGTATTGATTTAGCTTTATCTATCACTTTTTAATAATCATATGATTTATAAATGCTATTTGGTGGTATTTCATTCAATTATGCTAATTTTTAAATGGCCTATAAAAATTTTTGATGTACAATTCTATTTTAACCAAAATTTTAAGTTCCAATTAAATCCAATAGATTATATAAAGTTGTTGGTGATGAATTCTTCCATTCAATTAGTTTCTTTAAAATTTATGACAAGTCAATTTGATCCATAATAAAAATAAAATGCAGCCAAAATTTGAGTTAATTCTTGAAATAGAGAATTAATCATTGAAATAAAATGCCAAAAAGATAAATATATAATCTAATCAAATCAAGTGTTAAACCTTTTAAGGTATAGAATTTCGATTAATCCTAAATTCCTATAAGAAAAATTCAACATTTTAGACCAGTAAATTAAAGTGATGAACAACAATTTTTGCACCTTGAAGATCAGATAAATTTGTTTGTTCTGGTCTTAAAAAACATGGGGCAAATACAATTGATAAATTATTAAGTCCCATCTTAGTTTAAAATATTAATTACCAAATTCTCTGATTCATAATCTGCTACATGAAATAACAATTCAGCAATTCTTTTAGTAGTTTTGCGATTGACTTCTGGCATATAAGCAAAAAATACTTAAAACATCTCTAATAACTTCTCTTTACTAGTATTAACTAAATTTAGTAAATATTATAATACTTTAAGTTTCTTTAAGAATATCATACATTTCAAATGGAAAAATTGGTTTTTTGAGTTAACATAATAAATTCTTAAATACAGTTGAAACAACATCAGGATCATAATCATCAATAACGGAATAATTCCTTATTTAAAACTATTAAATTAATTTCTATTCTTATTAAACTGATCCAGAAATTCTAAATACTCCTAAAATGTTCAATTAATAAAAGATAATACCTTATTTTTTGAGATAATCATCGTGTCTATCATAATATTATAAAATTGCTTCTAAACACTCTGGTACACCTGTATTAGCTAAAGGATATTCTGAAATGTCCCTTCCATAAAAAGGAATTTCTTCTTAATATGTATTATTAATTCTAGATAAAAACTCCACTTGATATTAAGTAAGTTCAATATTGTGATTAATTAATTAATTCAATCTATATTAATATTTCTTGATACCTTAAGACTAGATGAATTTTATTTGTTAAAATTGTGGACCAAGCACTTGGTATTACATTGATTAGTTATTAAAGTTGAATTGTATCGCTTATAATAATCAATTTATCTATTCTCTAGAATTATTATAAGGGAATATTTCTCTCAATACAATTAAATATGATACTTGCAGAATTAATTCAGAAATTGTTTTACTTCACTAATTTCTAATTGCAAAGTTTACTAGTTACAAATAACCCAAGTATATGGACTAATTGTAATAAATAAAATACTGAAAGGCATTCACTGTTTATAAATATGAATTCATCTTTAAACTAACTTCTTTCATGTCTTATATTTAATTCAAGATAAATATATATATTGGCTAATTTCCATTTAATAATCCTGATATAATTCAATAAATAGATACCTGCATTAAGTAATCCAGGAATTACATAACATTTTTGCTATTGCATTTTTAATAAATTATATTCTGATTTTAAATCTATATTTATTAATCAAATACCATTGTTAAAGTTTCATTTCTGCATTGAAATTTGTAAAAAACATGAAAAAAAATAAGAATTACAAAAATCATTATTTTATTATTTAATTTGCAAGACTAATGATAAAATTCCATATACAAAATAAATAAAAATATTACTTTATTTTTAATTATTTAATAAGGTAATTTAGGATAGAATAAAACTAAATTCATTTAATTTACTCTTAATTTATTAATCTTTCCTGGATACTATTGAATTAATCAAAATTTATAAGGAAATTTAATAAATACTATAATTATACTAATTATTGAACATATTTTAAAAGAGATTAATATAGATTAAAGAATTTGTAGTAATTAAAATACTTACTCTCTCTTTCAATAAAAATTGATAAAAGCTTTAAGTCTTAAAATATATAATTTATTAGAGATTTGAATATTTTGAAAGTAAAAATAAGATTCACGAAACTTAATTGTATTTTTAAAATATCTAAAACAAAAATAAATGAATAGGATAAGAAGAATTTAAATGAAATTTCTTTGGCTATGATAAAGTTTAGTTCATGGATTTAAGAAAGATTATTAGATTTATAACTGATATTTTGAAGAGTTAAATATGTTAATGATGAAATAAGTGAATTAAATGTAAAGAAATTAATTTGATGATTGAATATATTGTAAAAGATTAGAATAAAAAAGATACTTAAATAATGGAGATGGGATTATTTTTGATGAGTTTTGCAAATATTTAAGTGATTTATTATTTAAATTTGAATATAATAAAATGCTTGATTACGCGGGTATTATAAGTTTGAAAAGAGAGCAATTTCATGTGAACATCCGAAAACAAAGAAATGAAAAGCAATTCAAGGAATCAAGAAAAAATTATATTCAATTCCTGTTTTCTCAATAGACATAAATGTAAGAAATGTCCAACTCGATCAGAGAAAAACTTGAGAAAGGTGAAAATCTTTAAGGAGAAATGTTGTAGATGATGGTAGATAAAATTTTTGAAGTGTTATAAAAGGATAATAATCTAAATCTATTAGATGTATATATGAGATTTAATTTAGACAATTGATGCAGCTGTATGGATGTTAAAATCAGTAGAGGAATAAACATATGAAGATGAATTAAGTGATAATTTGAGAATGTTAAAAATAGTGGAGAAAATGATACTATATTCTTAAGGATATGAGATTGATAATGAGCCATTGAATTCATAAATCATTATTTATGCTGCTAAAGTTAGTTTATTATCTTAAATAGTTTTTGAAATATTGGACTTAAATGGAAGATAAATCATTACATCTTAAATTTGGTGAAATAGCAGAAACAGTGTATTTCTTGTTAAGTAAATAAGAATAAATGTTTATTAAGAGAGGTGCAGATATATTGTATAATATGGCTTTAATTGATAATGGATAAATATTAATTAAATTACATGAACTTGTAATTTTTGGTCAAAAATTAGTTAAACCTATTTGTACAATATTAAATACAATTCATAATACAAAAATATTAGGCACTTTATGGAGAGTAGTATTATAAACATTTTTAGATTAAGATAAGAATGGATAATAATAATATATCAATTACAATATATTTGAAAATCAATAAAAAATTAGCTTTTTTAATTTATTGATAAATTAGGTGTTGGAATCAGAACAATAAAATAGAAAATTATTTAAGAATTAAATGCATTTGGTACAGCATATACTTGATTATTATTAATCAAATGATGAATAAATCTATGAAGAGTTCAAGCAATTATTAATAACATCTCAATTCTCAGTTAAATTAAAAGATCTATGGTTATTTCATTAATGGAATTCTATAGCAACTATAGCACATGAAATTTAGACACATTTAGAAGAATAATAACTATGAATTCAATAAACAGTTTTGTTTTTCGTTTTTTATTTTAACTTCATTCTAAAATTATTCAAAACCTATTATTTTTCATCAGATTGGTGTGGTTTAATATTATAACCGATTACATTATAATTCAGAATTTCTTCATTTCTATTCTTCTAAATGATTTTATAATAGTCATTCCATGTTAATGAGTTATTATTATATAAGGATTTTTGAAAAAGAGCTTTGACACAAGAATTTCTATATTTTTAAGTGGAATTTTTTCGAGGAGATAGGCTAGTCATCTAAAATGATTATATATAAGATTTAATTTCAATCTTAGGACAACTATCTTAATGACTTGGATGAGATGTTTCTATTGATCTTCTTCTAGTTTGAGTTGTTGTTCTGATTGTAGTTTTTATTTGCATCTTTTTAGGAGATATTTATTTTCTATCCTATTTGAAAATATTATCATAATTTCCAATCCATGGTTCTACATTTAATGGATTTTACATCTTATTATTAACATTGCTCCATTCTTCTTCAATATTTAGTAATGTAAATTATGGATCATTACAAAACATTAATATAAATATAATGATTCATGGTCCTAATTCTTCTTTCTCTGGTGCTTTTAGTATTGCCAAAAAAATTGAAGGTAATTAAATGATGAACATCCTTAGTATATGGAATATAAAATAACAATCCAGGGTAATGACTATTCAAATTAATCTTAGACCTAATTATTACAATTTGACATCTCCATAAGAAGGAGGATTTAAATTTTCTAAATCTGTTCGCAAATAACTTTATGAACCATAACCTATTCCTGAACCAGGTGCATATGATCCAAATTTATCAGTATAAAATCTTGCAATTAGATTATTTAACCGAATCCTCCAAACATTAAATTTAGCAAAGCTTAAGAATAAGAGAAACCCCCCCTTGATATTGGACCAGGCACTTACAATTGGACTGATTAAAAGAAATCTCCAGCTTTTACTTTCTAAAATAAATTCGAAAATCCAACAAACGATCTTCTTAATACTCCTGGGCCTGGTCATTATGATGTTAAAGAAAGCCATTCCCTTCAACCAATTAACAAAGGTTTTACTACAAGTAATCGTGTTAATGTCTTACTTTCTAATGGACCTGGACCTGGTTCTTATAATTTAGAAAGTCTTAAAGCAAAAAATAGTATTAAGTAAAGTTCTCATTAAACAGATTTCCAAAACAATAGAGGAATATTGATAAAACTGAACAAACTCCTGGACCTGGAGCATTTCTGACTATTTTACCAAACAAATAAGGTATATCATTTGGAAAGAAATTACAAACATAGAGTGAAAAGTAATTTGTCCCTGGTCCTGGTACATATCAATTAAAATCTTTTGCTGAATAGATTTCAAAAGGAACAAAGTATTATTAATTATTATAAATTAAGAATTGGAACCTCTAATAGAAGTCAAATGTAATTATAATAGGGTCCTTCTCCTTTAAATTATGATATTTCTTAATATAAGCCTCCAACCAAATATTAAAGTTTTGGAAATGCAGAAAGAAAAACTATGCAAGAGAAAAGTGAGAATACACCTGGACCAGGATCATATTACTTGGGTGTAAGTCTTTCAAAATTAGGATCAATAATTGGAAAATCTTAAAAAGAATAAATTGTAACTCATGATTCATTACCTGTAATTTATAAAGTGATTTTTAGGGTCCAGGTAAATATAATTTAAATGATACTTATTCAAGAGGACCCAGTTATCATATTGCAGGCAAACATGAGAAACAATAAGAATAATCACTTGTAGGTCCAGGAAGATATCAAATCAATAGGGATATTAATGATGGACCAAAATTTAAATTTTCTACTAAAGAAAAGACAGATTGTAAAGAACAATCTTAATCATAATTCTATGAAATTCAAGCGAGTCTAGGATTTATACCAAAGTATTTATTATAAAATTGAATATGTTATTAATATACTATGTATAAAACGGATCATTAATTAAAATAAATGAGAATTGCTATATTGGCTCTTGTAGTTATTTGTGCATTATGCGGTCAAAATATGAGAAGTAAGAAGAGGTATGTCTTATTAATTAGACAAGCACTGTAGGAGAAGTTCATGATTTAAGTAATAATGTTGGAGTGATAAGCAAATCAGAAGTCTAAGTAACACCACCTCTTACAAAATAATAATTTTAAATTAATAAGGCAGCTAAATCAACTACTTAAGCAATTGAATAAGCACTTAAACATTCAACAGCAACAACATTACTTGAAGTTGAACAATCTTTCAATGATGATGTGATAGATAATATTCCTTATGTTGAAGAAACAATTGATTAAATGTCAAGTACAAAACCAGAAGATGTCTATTCAAATGATGGTAATTCACCAGATATGGGTACAAGTGCTGAAAATTTTGATGGATCAGAAGCTCCAATGACATCTGAAGATAATTAAACTACTCCATAAGATGAATATTATGCTACAGAAACTCTTATCACTAATGAAGAAGTCTCATTAATTTAATTAGGTGAAATAGATGCACTTGCTAATGTTGATACAAGCATGCCCTTATTTGATGAAGATTTCAAATTTGATGAATAAGCACTTTAAGAAACACCATTAAATGTTGGAATAAATGATGTTCCTGAAGTTTAAGTAGATTCAAATTAAGAAATTTCAAATGATTTAGAAAGACAAACAAATGAAATTGTTGAGGCTTTGATGAATGAATAGGATATTATGATAAATGAGGTTTAACTCATTTAAGTTTCAGATATAGGATTCTATTGATTAATTATATTCAATAATATAGATATATCATTTCTTTAATTGATTTTCTTATAGATCTTATTATATATTACACTTTTGTTTTCTTTATTGTTTGAAAATATTAAATTAATTATATTATAATTAATGTATAGAAGTGGAAAATAACAACCAAAACCAGAATTACCTTTTTATGCTGATATCACTTATTGGATAACCTTTATGTTATCAATATATTTTAAAGATGAAAAAATTTTGCATGGAATTTTTTCTTGTTTACCACTTTTTATGATTGTTCATTTGACTTTGAATAGATTATAAAGGGGTGAATTAGGATCAACAGTAATGATGTTATCTTTACTTGCAGAATCAATTGGTATGGATGATAGAAATTTGTAGCTCATTTATTTCATCAATTTGCACATGATGAAAGATTCATGAATTTATATTTCTTTGAACATTTAATATGTGGAATGTTTCTTGCAATGGGAAATTTCATTTATGTATTTGAAAAAAGATAAAAAAAAGAAATATTTCGTAAAAAGAAATCATATTTAAAATCAAAATTGCCAAAACCTTAATCTATAATAGTATTTCCTATAATTGCATCAGGATTTATTTAATGCTATATGAAACAAAAAATGATCATACAAATTGGATATTGTATTATATGAAAGTGTTTTATAGTATACCATTAACAATTTAATTAATTTATGCAATTCAAAGATATTAAACTACATCAAAAAAGAGTTATTGTAATAATTATCATATTATTAATTAGTTTTTGGTTTGGCTGCCTCTATCATTTATGTAATGTCTGATTTATCATATTAACATAATCTATTAATCCATAAACTATTTCATCGTCTTAGTTTATATTTGCAGACTAGATAAATCTTTTACCATATCAAATGGTTTTAGAAGAATAGATACAAATTTGAATGATCATAAACTTAATCGATTGTCTATAAATCATAAATATTCTTATATTGATTAGAGATGGGATTAGACTCTCATTCCTTTTAATAGAGAATCTTCTATTTCTGGATCAGTATAGTTAGTGCTTCTTAGATGTTTGAGTGAAGTTAAATCTTGATCACTAATTTATAACTTCTTTTTAATCTAAATATATTTTTTATAATATATTTACTTTATTATATTCACTAACTTTATCTAAAAAAAGATCTAAATCAGAAAGATTTGGAAACAATTCTTTTCCATTTTCAGTTTTATTTTTTACTATTTCATTCAATGAATTAATCATTTTCTCTTTAATTTTTAAGATAAATTAAGCTTTATTCAAACAAATTTAATCCTTTTTTGATTTAGCTATTAATTCAAAAAATTAAGCATTTTTTATTATTTTTACTGTACTTTTTCTATTCTTTTCTTTTTTAACAGCATAATCTAAAATTTCCATTTTCACATCTTCATAATCGTTAAGAATCCTAAGAAAAGCTTCTTTACTAATTTTCCAGACTTCTGCTTATGATTCAGCTATTGCAGATTCTCCTCTTGCTCTTGATACTAATATATCTACTTCTCCAAAATAAGATCCTTCAACATGTATTAAAGTTCTAATTTTGCCATTTTAATCTTCACATTTTGTAGCCAATCTACCTTCTATAACAAAGTAAACAAAATCAGCAGGTTCTCCTCTAAAAAATATTGCATCACCTTTATTTAAAAATACTGGAATTATTGATCTAAATAATCTCCTCAAGAAGCCTCTTGGTTTATTTTATAAGAATCTAATTTTTTCTATAATGTCTTTAAAAATAAATTCACATACTAATCCTTAAACTAAGGGAGGCAATTCTTATATGATATCTTCTTCATTATAAAATTCTAATATTTAATTAGAATGAGAGAAAATAGAGTTTTAAATGGACATCAATAATCTTTCATGTGTTTCTTTAGGTAATTAATAAGTATGAGCTAATTCATTAAAAAAGATTTCTCTTTCTTTAATCATAGTTAATTTTTAAGATAATTTAGCAAATGTAAATGTCAATGTACCCATGACATAAGCAAAGAAGGCTACTCCCAAAAATTAAAAGATTATTCCTACAACATATTCCATATTATTTACTGGCAAAATATTACCATATCCAACAGTAACCAAAATAGTTAATACAAAATAAACACTAGCTATATATTATTCAACAGCTGATGTACCATCTGGAATATATACAACAATCCAATTATTATTTGGATCAGGACTTATGGTTCCTATAAAATACCAAAAGCATCCAGCTAAATGTATAACAACAAATGTTAAAATTATGAATTTTAAAATTAAACTATATTCTTTATTAAGTTTTAAAAAGAAAAACAATTTTTATATTGTTTAATGTTTTATAAGATTACCTACTCTTAAAACTCCAACTAATTTATATATTCTAGGTAATCTTGCTAATCTTAAAAGTCCATTAACACTAGATGCTCCTGGAAGTACAGAGGGATCTAATATCAAATATAAAGGGAAAGTTGAAATTAGATCAATCCAAAACCATCCTTTCATGTAATTGATGGCAATTTTTTTGAATTCAACTATAACAATACCTCTTTCATCTTCATAGGCAGTGAAAAATGTAAAAACCATATCAAAGAAAAATATACAATCTACAGATAAATCTAATCCTAATAATTCTTGAGTATTTGTTTCAAAAGCTAAACGAACTGGTAATATTAAAACTCTAATTTTGTTAGGAAATGTATTACACATAGATTAGAAGTAGAATCATAAGTCCACTCCAAGTGGATTTAAACTTTCCATATGGATTAATGATACAATTAGGTAAAATTCTTTCTATTGCATTGGCTTCTTGAGTTAATTTACTTAATTTTTCATCTAATTCAATATTTCTAGGAGGTTATTCTTTATCCATAGATTTATCTGGACTGAATATATCGAATTCAGAGCTACTTTCTAATTTTCACAATCACACAGATACCATCTTAATTTTGAAGTGTTGGCTATTTATGACTTTATTGATTTGGAGATCTATTTGATACTCTATTAGGAGAAGGTGTTTTTGCAAATTCTGCCATTGGTTCAGCCATAGGTTCTTCTTAACTTTATTAGTTCTCTTAAACTTAATCCATTTATTCTGATGTATTTAACTATCTTTTATCACTTAATCTAGGTAAGCGAAGTTATTTAATATTATTTTTTCTTGAAGTTGATTCACTTTAATCTGATTCTTCTTCTTCTCTAATACTATTATTTTTAAATTGATCTTAAATTAATGGATTAAAATTACTTGATAAAGCATCTTCTTTAGCTGCATCCAATTCTTCTTAATCTGCTATATCATTAAAATCAACTAATTATAAATTTTAAAAATTTAATTTGTTTTTTCTTCTCATAGGTGTTTCATCTTCATCACTCTCTGATACTTATTTTTTTATATCTTTTTTGTTTCTTTAAAATAGAGATGCAGGAATCATTAAAATATAATATTTAAAACTTATTATTTAATTTTTATACTAAATTCAATTGTAATAATAATATAAAGTATTTCAGAAATCTTTTATTATTATTACATTCATATATACATTTTTCATATATTTCTATTTTGGTAAATATATTAAAATATTTATATAAACTTTTTAGAAATATAAATGATCCATTCAGATGAAAGCAGTGGTGATCACTTCTCTCCTAATTCTTAGTATGAACCTTGACTATTTTAGAAACAATAATAATAATAATTCAGGTCTTAAAGATAATGGAAAGAAATATGCAGTAATTGATCATTAGATCAGAGTATAATTACTTAAACGTATTCTTTCAAAAGAAGCAACAATTAAAGAGGCTGCTAAAGAGTTTGGAGTCAATTTCAGTACAGCTAAGGCCATCTTATAAACTTATAGAAAAGAAGGAAGAATTGGAAAAAAGAAAACTAGAGACAGAAACAAAAAAAAGAAAGATGATTCAGATTATCATTATACTTATACAAGAAAAGTCTAATCAATGTATGATTTAGAAAGAGAAGCTCCTTAACATAGAAGAACATTTTCACCTGATTTGAGGGTTTATTTATTCAAAATAATTATTTTAGCCTGCTGATAGGAGTATTAACTAGCATCCATTAATTGTTTAATAATAATTAAACTATTTAAATTCTTAAAGTCAAGTAGGTTCCACTCCAAATTTAGATGAACCAAATGCTTAAATGGCTTTAGCAATCTGTTAAAGAGAATTAGCCTAATAAAAAATGATTAATATGCAATTATTATTGATGCTTCAAGTATTCATATATATATATACTCTAGACTTATCAAAATTAAGGTTAATAACTATAAATAGAATAAGTCAAAGTTGAATCAGATAAACAAAATTGAAACTTAATTTTGTATTTATTCTTAAATCATTCATTTCTCACATTCTACAATATGTTTATTATCTTATCAAATTAGTTAATTTAATTTAACAACTATATATTTAAAAATGGAATTATCTGAAAACTCCTAATCTATTTCAGGATGGCTATAAGATTATGATAATTAGATTGTTCATCAAATTAATAAACCAATAAATTGTACATATTATTCTTAAATGCATAGAATTAGTAATTAATAAATAGAAATTCTCAAAGAGAAGTATAAGTTTGTGTTAACACTAATAGGACTAAGAACAATAAAAATCAAGTATTACATAAATAATATTTTTTGATCTATTTCTGTAGGTTAAAAATTCAAATTAGTTGCCTTTGTCAAATTAAATAATGAATAACAACATTAAAATATAGGAGTTGAAGAGAATTATGGAATTTTTGTAAGTAAATGAAAAGTCAAAATACGATGCTTATTAATAATACCAACGATAAGCTGATAATTAATAATAAGAAACTATTCTATAATCTAAAGGTTAATTTAAGATTAAATTAAAGTAAATATATTATATATAATTGAGTTCTTCTAATAAATAAATATTGTAACCATAATAATAAATTTATCATATAAATGCTTTAACTGATAGACAATTACATTGTCAGAATAATAATTTGAATCATAGAAGAGTTCATTTAAAAACTGATCATCACTAAGAGTTTGTAAAATCTTCATCCATTCACAAAATATTTAGTATAAAGGAAGTCAAACCTAGAATGACAAAGTAAATGAATGAGGTATAGACTAAATAAAAGGAATTTGAACTACTTTAATTGATGATAGAGAGACACAAAGAAAATGTTTAATAATATTTCCCAAAAAAGAATAGATACTTAAGATGATTTAATTATTTCATTTTCTATTGAGTAGACAATATATATAAATAATGTATTTATAGTTGTAATAAGAGTATTCATTAAATTATTTAAATTTTTTTTTCTTAAAGTAGTTGAAAAATATCTTCAGGTTAGTCATTTTATTATGTTTTAATTGAATTGATATTATTTAAGTATTCAGCAATATTTTCTTTTGATAAAACTTTAAGATCTAATAGCTTGATTTCACTTTGAATCCATAGAATTTAATTAGTATATTTTATAATAATGTTAATATTTTTATTACAAATAATCTCAGCAACTTATTTGTCAATCATATCAGAAGATAGTAAATTGGCATCAATATAAATAATACAGCCGAAATCAGGAAACACAAAACGTTTAGTTTATAGATTGGGGACAGAAGATGAGTAATAGAATAGTTAAATTATATTTAAGTTAATGTATTATAAGTGTAAATGGTGAACCATTATTTACATATAAGATAAAAGATCATGAATTTGAGATCTTGACAGGATTTTCAACATCTGATGGAGTCAAGATAGTAGATCCAGAGAACAAATTTTATTTCCGAGATCTTTAATAACCAATGTTATTCGTTTTAGATGATTTTGAAATTCCATTAGATGGTTGGAGTGATACAAGAGTATCATAATGTTAGACAATACAAAATTATTTTTTGGGAGGACCTTGCTATTTTTCAAATAATACAGTTTCAAAAACATTTGTAGGTTTACCATCTCATGAATATATTACAATATCATTTAATTTTCATTTTATTGATTAATGGTAGGGTGAAATAGGATAATTAAAGGTAGATAAACTAATTGTATGGTAAGATACATATAATTGGTGTGATAAAGTAATGCCATGGTTATGTTATAAATAAGGAATTAATAGTTGTGGAGGAGAAGCTCCAGATTAAATAGGATAAGCAATTAGAATAACATTATATCACATAAATTCATTTGTAAACTTAGAGTTCTCAACAACTTTAGGTAAGAAAGATGCATGTTAAGCATCATGGGGTATTGATAATGTTGCTATTTATGTATATTGATATAAATCATCTTTTCTATTATTACACATAATAGTGATAATTCATTCTATTGTAAAGAATTGTTTTTCTTAATTCCAATCCTCTTTTTTATTCTTCTTTCAAAGAAATAAGTGTATTCAAATGATTCCATCTATCTTTCCAATTTCTCTCTTTTATTTACTTTCTATAATCATTATATCAATATACCTGAACATGAATGCCCATCTAATGGTTTCTATTTCTCTTTGTCTTCTATATCTCATATAAAAGATCATTCCTAATAAAACAGTTACACATTATAATGTATAAGTAAATGGTTCACATACATTCCATCCCCATTCATCTACCATATATATACCATAATAAAATGCTCCAATTTGTAATATAGATAATACAAATAATAGAGTTAACCATCTATAACCAGTTTATTCAGCTTATGCAATCATTACATCTAATTGTTCTCTTTACTTACAAATTTCAGCTTCTAATATGTTAATTAAATGATGTAACTCATATAATTTATCTTTAGTTGGTTATTTTAATATTGATAATCCTTATTCCATTACTTAAACTATTTCTTTTTCTGTAAGATTTTATTATATGTTGCATGAATTCAAAAACCATGATAATGTATTTGCATGACTTGGATCCATTCCCATATTAACCATCTATATATATCTCTTTTATGGAGAATATTTCAATTAATATGATTGATTTAACATTTTAGCTTCATTTAATTGATAAGCTGGTGTTATTGTAAATTCTTCATCCTATATTACCAATTTAATTGCTTTATTTTTTTTGTCATTCAAAATATAATTGAAAAGGTTGCTACTCAAACTTAAATCTGTTCCATCTAAATTAAATTCTACTTTTGTTGATTCTTCTAATTACAATTGTTCTTACAAAGTCAAAAATGAATATTATTAATGAGCAAAAAACATTTTTGATCCCATAATTAATGGAAATGTCAACACAAGTAAATCATCCTTGAATGTTATTTATACATCTATAATAACTTTGTTATTTCTATACTTCTCTTAGAAACGATATGCCAATATTATGATCTATGGTTCAATCCTCTAAACATTTTAGCAAACCTTATCATTTTATCTTATTATTATATAAATCATCTATTCATTAACTATTTAATAACTATATCCATTGATGGCCTCTTTGTCTCATCCTTACTTCTCAAATCATTCACCAATTGTAAGATATTCTTTGGAACATTCCTAGGTGGCAATTATTCATTTTTCATTGCTTTCTGAACAATTTCTTACATTTCCAAACAATCCCAAGGAATCTCTCTTGCAAAGATCTCCCACAACAAAGTACCATATGCAAACAAATCTACACTCTTATCATATGCCTATAAATTAATATTTATTATCTTAAACCCTCTTTGCAAATAGTTCAGGTGCCATATATGTAGGTGTTCCACTAAATTACTAATATCCCTAATTCAATTCAGACTAATCATATCTATATTATATTTTTACACTTCTCTTTGTCAAACCAAAATCACATAATTTAATTGTTTATCCTTACAGAAGAACATTATGTGATTTTATATCTCTATGTACTACTCCTGCTTAATGCATATATAGAAGTACTCTGGCTACTTATATAGCAATAGAATATTTAAATTGCTCATTTATTTGATGACTATATATATCAAATCTAAATACTTTGTTTTATGTAATAAATGATATAAGCTCCCACCTTAAACATATTCTGTGGCAATTACTAAATTAGGTGGTTTTGTACAACAAGCCATTAATAATACTATATTAGGATGTCTAAGTAATGATAACATTTCAATCTCATTATTTATTTCATCCAATAATTATTATGTTATATTTGGGTTGAATATTTTTTTTATGGCAATCTATAATTCAGATTAAGACTTACTTCTGTACCTCTCAAATATCCTCTATGTACAATTGAAAAGCCTCCTTATGATATGATTTCATGCACTTCAAATTCATTTGAATCTATCTCTAACACATGATTAGTATGTTGTAATTCAGATATTTATCTCATGGCTCGATTTTATGTTTTAGGTCTTTCAATTATAATTGGCTACTTTTCCTACTTTGGCTATTGATTTGATCCTGGACTTATTTGAAATACCTTTTGAAGAATTTAATTCAATTAAGGTTAATGGAAATGACCTTATAATGTTTAGAATTTAGGTAATAATGGATTATTGCTTAAATTCAAACTTTATAAACTAGACATGTTCAATAATTCTTCTGGCACTTCTTCAATGCAATTATTGCTTAAATCAATCTCTTCTAAATTCGTTAATCCTGCAATTTTAGATTCAATTGAAGTAATTTTATTATGACTTAGATCTAAATGAGTTAATTTCAATTAATAGATTTCAGGTGGTATACTGATCATAGATTTCCCAGAAAGATTCAAACGAGGCTCACTTGAACGTTTTATTCTTCGTATAATCAATTAAATATCCTCCATAATTTTATATTAATATTCAAAATATTTCCTTTATTGAACTAGTCATGAACTTAAAGTCATTGTTGAAATCAGAATGCATAAGTAATTTCATCATCTTATTCCAATAATCAGAGTGTCCATTAACAATTTCTGTGAAATCACAATTTATAACTTACTTATATCCTAAATATATAGGTTTTAATCCTAAAATTATACTAAATCTATATATATACCACAAGGAGAGTCAAAGAGTTTTGCAACTGTTAATACATAATTTAAGATTAAATCCTTTTTTGAATAGATATTATAAATTCTTCCAGCTACAGCATTCCATCTTCTCTTCTATAACTTATAAACATCAGCTACTCCTCCCATTATCATTACTTCATTAATAAATTATTTTTTTTATTTTTCAAATATTTTATCTAATTCTTTTATGCATTCTAAAACAATCACACTACCTAATGAATGACAAATAATATTAATTTATCTATTTCCAAATAATTAATAATCAGCAATTAAATATGCTAAATATTTTCCAACTCTCTCAGCTTCCTTATGAGCCTTCTCATATGGATTTTATGTTATTAATTATACTGCACTCATTGCTACTCCAAAAAAATTAACTTTACTTAATATTTGAGGTATTAAATTTTAGGCCAAGCTTTATGTTACTGTAGTAAAAAATTCTTTAGTTTCACTGCAATTCCAATGTAATCCAATAACAGTACCAGAACATGAATGCAATAATTCACCCCATTAAGATTATTTATCCTCATCTCCACTCAGAAATCCTGAGATGCATAATGTAATTACATTTGAGTTATGATCTTATTTTGAAAGTAATTAAAAATATATTTATGATGGAAATATCAAAGAACCAGGAAGATCATTAGGTTACATTTTCTTTTTTTAATTTTCTATTAGTTTTAATTTGATTTCTTCAAATTGTTTTTAAAACTAAGAAAATTGCTAATCTTTAATTGCTGTTAAATTATTTCCATTCTCTGGTTAAATTATCATTTTTAAACATTCATATTTTTTATAAAATTCCAAATTAATTTAGAGTTAATTTTAACCTCTACCATATAAAAATACTAAAACTTATGTACTAGCCAACTCAATCTAAAAAGGTAATTACATAACATTATCTAATTAATCTTATGTGTTATTTTTTAATCTATTTTCAATTTCATTTATAATTTGAAATTAGATTTTATGAGTCACTTATTCACATAATTTCATCAAAGAATTATTTAAATATTGAAATTTTCCATTATTTAATTATCTTAATATTAATGAAAAGGCATTTCTTTTTGAAGGTTCATAATCTCCAAAAATTAATTTATCATCCTAAAATTTTATTCCTGCTAATATAAGATAAATTTAACAAATGACTTGTATATTTGTTTATTGATCTACTTAATCAAACCACCATTATATTGCTTTTTCACATCTTTATTTATTATGGTTTTTGAAATTAGCAAGGACATTTACTGAAAATTGCTAATTCCAAAATATTTAACTATTTGATTAACTTATATTAGAATTATAATTTGATAATGAATCCAAAAGGAAAAGTGCTTCATCAGCTTCAACACTAGATTAAATCCATTCAATAGAGTATATTAAATATTATAAATTAGAATTGAGATCTTATTTTGTAATGCCTTCAACAAATTATTTATTATGAAAATATTGCATTAAATAAAACTCTATTAGAGCTAAATAATCTTTATACTTATCTTAAAAATCAAAATTTAAATAAGGAGTAAAACTTTCTTATGCTTTTGATACATAATTTCTTTTTAATTTTTAACAATATTTATATCTAAAATATGAATAATTTCATACATTATTGCATTTGTTAGATTAAATCCATAGTTTTATGAAATGTAATCTTAAAAACTATCCATTTAAATTTTATATTGCTTTTCTATTAAAGTCTTAGCATCTAAAAGTTCAATAGTTTTCAATTTAATTTAATTGCATATAGTTTCAAATTAGATATCTGTATCATGTAATTCTTTAAAATATTACTTTATTTTTTGTTTTAATTTGATATAATTATCTTTTTATGTTGATTTCGCTCTTTTAATCACTTTTTTATATACAAAATTTTAGATTTCAGCAAATGAAACAATGTATTCATCAAAAATCTATTCCTTTTTGAATTAACCTTTAAAATATTCAAGTAGGATTAGTGATACTTCATCTATTGCCTAATTAAGCCATTTGGTCTTATCTAAAATTCCTGTCTATTGATAAAATAATCCAGTTTTATCATTTATTATTTCTTATAAGTCAATATAGCAACATCCAATAGCTTCTTTAAAAAAATGTTGTCCTATTATTTCCGAATTGAATTGTTTATCAAAATTGTATTTATCTAAAAATTAATTTACGATTTTGTAATGTTCTATTCTAAAATTGTTTAATATAATGAATCCACATACTTTAAATTTCTAGATTTTCTCTTATTATTTTCTAATTAAGGATTGCCTTAATATATTGATGAGTAAACTGTTGGGTCATCAATTTAAAAATTTTTTGCATTATTCACATCCATATATTCAGGATAAAACTTGTTAGACATTGTTTAGAAAATGTTTAAAGCACCTATAACTGTGTTGAAATAAGTAGTGAGATTTTTAGGAATGACATTCTATGCCGTTTCCATATACTATTGCATATTTTTTTAAAATAATTGTAATTATTGCTATTAAATGAATCAATGTTTTCCACCTTTAGCTACTATTTTTTGGAATTCGTCATAAAACACTAACACTAATGATGAACCTACAGATCTCCAAATATTTGAGAGATTTCCTTTAAAGAATCCTGTTGGTCCTTCTTTTGATATGATTTTTGAAAAACAGTCAATAGTTCCCTAAATTAAAAAATGCATATTACTGAATACTCAACATTTCCCTTTTGTCCTGCTTACATCATTAATCTTCTTCTAACGGTATCAAGTGGATAGGAAAGTGTTTCAGATGTTGATACTACAAATTAAGCAAAAAAGAATCTGGCCAAAATAGATGAATTTCTTTAAGCAGCATCATCTCCCCAAATAGCTCTTTTACCAGCATCATATCCACTAAAATGATAATAAATTTAGATTTACCCAAAGTATAAAGCTCTATAAACAAAAATACCAACAACTGAAATACCAAATCCTTAATAGATTCCAGTGATGCCATCAGTTTTGACAATTTAACCCATACAGTCCACTAATCCTTTGAATTGTCTTTCATTTGCTGCCTTTCCAATATCAGCTGCTAATCTTGTTCTACTGAAATCAAGTGGATACACAATTAATAATCCAATACTTCCTGCAATACCACCACTTAACAATGAACCAGCAAAGAATCTAATTAATTATATTTAATACCTGCCTGGTCTTTTTTTTGGATCAACACCAGCTAAAAATTATCTATTAAGAGCATCCTTCACAGAAAAATTAATGGCTTATGTTGGAAAGTATCTGATGACATTAGCCCAATTTCCTCTCCAAAATGAAAGAACACCTTCTTCAACAAACACTCGCTTGAAACAATCCACAATTCCTAATCATTTTCTAAATATCTAATTACCTGCATATGGTCTAGCAATTAATTTTGGATTAGTGTGTTGTGTTTGAAGCAACAATTTCACTCTTTCGATTGGAGCTGCTATTGTTTTTGCCAAAGCTCCAGAAATACCACCTGCTAAAAAGTCATATAAGAAATTTGATGATCCACTTGATGATGAGTGTGCCATTTTTAATTAATTTATTGTATACAATAAAAATCAAAAGATTTAAATTACAATAATTATAATATCTCAATATAATTATTATATTACAATAATTAAAATATCACATTAATTATAATATCATCATACTTAAACTATTACATTCCTGTTTCTCTGATATGCTATCATATAAATTATTTATAAATTTTATTTTATTTATAAATATTTATAATACCTTTTGCAATAATAGAGTATTTCTATGTCAATCAATTTTTTATGATCAAAATAAATATCAATTTACACAAAGTAAAATTTATTTTTATTGGATTAATTATTTAAAATCATCTTATTTTTAAATTTTCACTTCTTAATTTTTCATATATTTCAATAAACACTATTTAAAAATATTAGAAAGATAAAAATCAATTAAAGATTCATTATAATATTATGTTATCAATATTTTTAATTTTAACTCTATATAAAATTTACATTTGATTTTCAGAATTACTCAATTAAATAAAACAAATCTGCATTCTTCAAAATTTTATTAATTTATTGAACCCAATGTTCTACAGCAAATCTTACTAAATTTATAAAACAAATATAAGACTCTCTTCTTCAGGAATCAATTATTTGTACACTTTCATCTATTATTCACAAATTCTGATTAAGTTTTGAATTGTTATTTTCTAAATGTAAATTTCTGGATTGTATCTTGATAGATGTATAAAACTAATATCCCTATTAATTCAATTTCAAATAATTTAGATATTAAGCAACTATTTGCTCATTATATTGTTGTTTATAAGCTAATCAATTAGCTCTTCTTTTTTTTAAATCATTTAGTATTATAAATTTAATAATTATTTTCATTTAATTCAAAATTAAATAAATCATTCAAACAAAATATATTAGTATCATTCAATAAATGCTCTTTTATTAAAAATACCAGTTAATAAGGTAGGAACTTTTCAAATTTATTTGTTATATTTTATTTTTAAGAATTCCTTAAAATTAGAAAAATTTATTATGAAATATTTTGATAAGGTCTTGAACATTGAATTTGCATAAAGAACCAGATAATTAATATGTTTATTAAAAGGTTAATTCATAAATTAATCTAAAAGACAAAAAAATGAATCAACTTATTTAAGAGATTTAATTTATAAATTCCCTTATAAGCTTATTATTTTAATAACATACAATTAAACTCAAGAGTGTTCTTGTATTTTTATTTCTTGGTCAGAGGGAAAGATATTATTCATTTATCTAATCTATAATCTTTTTTATTTCCATTTATATTGAACTAGCTTGTTTCTAATGTTACTCTCAAAGAGAATCATAAGAATGTTGAGACTTCATTATTAAATTTAATGAATAATTTATCAGATAACATTAAAAGTCTAAAATTTATAAAATGAAAAGATGATGAATCTAAGCCAATAAATACTTAACAATGCCAATTAAATTTTATAATTCCACTTAATTAATATTAAGTGGAATTGTGTAAAATCGCATTACAAATACTAAAGAAATTTTAGACATATAATAAAATAAATGTAGAGATAAATATGAAAATTAATGACAAAATTCATATTCATGATATAATCTGTTTAAATTTTTATTTTTTCATATAAGAATCTATACATTATTCGAGTATGCCTTTCTTAGGTGGAGAGGATTATTAAGTTCTTGCTATCTTATTCATCATATTTTAATTCCATTGCTTAATTTTCGAAATATATTCATCGCTATTTAAAGAACAAGATGATCCACTTTACTTATAAGCTATTAATTTTAAAGGGGATTTTATTTTAGGAGAGGTGTACTTTTTTTCTGCACTTTAAGTAGATTATTTTTAGTTTTTATATAGAATCCCAGATTGATTTTTGACTCTTAAGTTAGATTGGATAGATTTGCTTTTAGGAGCCTTATTTGCTATAGCTTAGAAAAATTCAGTTTCATTAAATTAAGTGCCGCCCTTAATTCCTTTATAAGTGGTTGGATCATATAACATTCAGTTATATAATAATATAATTTATATTTCTATGAATTATTTACACATTAACAAATTATAATTAATAAAATTTATTTTTGAGATTTGTGAATAATCATAAAAATATAAAATCTAATTAGGATAAGTAAGAATAATATTTAAAGAATTATTTATATATTTTAATAAGAATTTAAAGATATATAACATAAAGAAAATGAATAAATTTAATATAAAAATGGCAAATATAAGATGAAATAAAATACAAAATTTGTTCATGCTTTATTTAATAGATTAGTTTAGTTTCTTTTTGTAGTTCTGGAACTATAGTAATTTGTTTCAACTGAGAATGAGACTTTTTTTTGTTTAACATTTGTATAAGTTGATTTTATTGAATAATTTCTTTTTAAATCTTAAAAAATTTGACTAGTTTTTAATATACTTTTGACACTATGCTCTTTACTAGCATTACTCGAGACTTATTCACGGAAATGATCACTAAATTAAACATCTTAAGAATCTGAATTACGTGGATTATTATTTTGACTTCCAAAACTTGCCAAAATACTCTTTTCTTCATCCTTTAAAGTTTAGATGGTTTTATTTTTATCTCTTGGTGGAGTTTTTGATTTGTAAGAATTTACTGTCTAACTTATTTAAGAATTATAGGTCACAGTATCATTATCTTTTTTAGGTGCAAATTATGAATATTGTCTTGGTAAATAAGTTTTAGATGGAGTATTTTATACATTTTAGAAATCTTATGAATTTTAGAATGAGATAGATTGATTAAAGTGTGCACTGTTAAAATCCACAGAATCTTGTTTTTAATCCTAAAATGACATGGAATGTTATTGTGATTGATTTAACTTGTCCAATTATTCTTTTTCTTCTAATTATCTAGGTAATCATGTATAAACTACATCTATTTTATTCGATATCTTACTTCCTCTTCAATATCCTTCATAAATCTATTCATTCTTGTTTACACTACTATTTCTGTTATTTTTCTCTATTAAATAAAAGTAGGTAATTGTTAACTGTTTTCAAGACCATTCTCATCTGCAATTTAATTATCTTCTAAATCTATTCTACTCTTTTCAAACGTCCCTGTGCCTTTATTCAATGTAGTTTTTGATATTTAAACCATTTTACTATCATCCTCTGATTCAAGGTTAGACTGCACCTATTTTTAGAAAGTGCAGCTATTACAAGAACCCATTAATTTTATGTATATTTATTAAACTTAAAATAATGTCTAAAATTACAATTTAACTAAATAAATAAGGAATCTTAAATTTAATATCTGAATGAAATAGTAAATTGATTATAATTATATTAATATAATCATCAGTTTTCTTATACATTTGAATAAAAAAAAAATGGAAATAATTAATAAATTTGATATAACTTAATAAGTTTAATACAAGAAATAATATAAAATAATATGAATTGGCAAATAAAGATATTAAAGTTTTAATCAAATAAAGAGAGTAGTATATAATTAGTGATTTGATATAAAATCATTTCAATATTTAAATCCCTTTTCTATTTTAAATTGTTATTATTTGATTTTCTTAATTTAATATTATTTCACCTAAAATAATAATATTTTAAATACCTCTAATAAATACTGAGTCAACTGAACCTAAAAATAATCTATTTTTAAATATGTGTTTATCAATAGAAAAAGTAAAAATGTGATTTATTTTTTCAAAATTCAATTTCCATGTTTTAAATGGATCAAATACAACTAAATCAGCTATTTTTCCTTCTTCTATACTTCCTCTATCTTTGAGATTTAAATATTGTGCTGGTCCTGAAGATACAAGTTATTATAATTAAATAAGTTTTAATAACATTCTTTTATATCTAGGATTATTTATTTCTTTATTGTAGAATGCTTTTTTTATGTTATTTGGATCTTGATTCTTTTTACAAAATAATAAAGTCCATAATGCTTAGAATGTGCATCCTATACTACACAATCCGCTAACAGCTTTTCGAAAATCTCCTTATTCTTCAAATTTATATAAACCATTCACATAAAGATGTGAACTTGATATACTACTTATCCAATTATTTTATTATATTCCTTTTTATAATAATTATTTATTATATTTTTATCGAATTGGAGGATCAGATTTGAATTTAGTAACTCCATCACTTATATCATCACTATCTAATAATAGATAAGGATATCCAATATCACTAAATATTGAGTTATTGATAAGTTCTTTTATCTCCACCAAAGAAAAAGAAGAAGAAAAACCATTAAGAATAATCTTACATTTAAATTATTGTTTGATCATCTTTTTCACTTTTTAAACAGCAAATTTTTCCCAAGTAGCAGGTCGAAATGCTAAAAAACATAAGTAATCTCTATTGAATCTATTATTATTATTCTAATTTTAACGAGGTCGTGATTCTGAAAAATTTAGTAATAGCATATCTCCAGATCCATATTTACCATTTGAATTATCTTCAACTTAGTGCAAAACTAATGCAAATCCAGTTTTTGATTATCTTCTTTACAGAAGTCCTTAAGCAGTATAAGCTCTTGATCTTAATCTGCATTCTGATTTTAATGAGAGGCTTTCTGGTGAAGATATATCTGAAGATTGTATGGACATTTATGGACTATGTTTTTGATTAGAATCTTATTAATTTGAATCTTTTTTTGATCCTAAAGGTGATTCTTGATCTTATATGGGAAGTTTTATTTCTATTTTTAATTACGGATTTTATTATTATTATTATTATTATTATTATTATTATTATTATTATTATTATTATATACTATCTGTGTCATCATAAGGAAATTTATAATTCTATTCCATTTTTGGAACTTCTTTATATGTTATAAGTTCAGCTCTACTTATTAATGATATTTATGATTGCTCTGTAATCTACTTAGATTTAATTTTATATATATTTGATTAAAGTTTAGGAGATAATGGAGTATCATATTAATCTTCAAATTCTGAAATTCTTTTCTCATCTGAATTCTTATATTTTTTAACTATATTGATTTTGATTATATACCTATTTCCTTAATAGGAGAATTACTCTCATTTAGATATTCTATTTATTACAAATATTTGGGATCATCATTTTGAATTTTTTCATCATCACTAATACATGATCCTGATACTCCATCTGCATCAACTAAATCTAATTAAGTAATATTTAATCGTTCAGCAAAGGGTTTACTTCTAAAAGGTGATGTAATCCCTAAATCTTTGTCAACAGTATTTTAAGTGTGTATAAATAGACAGGCTTATGAGGGCAAATATTATAAAACTTATTGCAATTACTGAAGATCTTTAAAATATGTCCCTGTATAGGAAGGTAATAAATGACAATCGAAACAAAACGCACCTAACTTCATTAGTTGATCTATCTATGCAAATATAGGACTAGAGTGTGTACATCCTCTGTTTATAGAATTTTGCCCATTTAAATAAAATCTGTTTGTGATTTGGATTGCAATTATTGAATTTGCATTTTGTATGTTTCATATGCATCTATATCAAAATTTAATTAGTAAGGTTTGTTAACAATTAAAGATGCACCTCCGACAATAGCCAATCTAATAGTAAAAAGTTTGTACTTAGTAAATTCTTCAACATGATTCCACATGCTTAATGATACATTAGTGTCAATAGCTGCTGCCATAAGCACTTGATTCAAGTAGACATATTTGATAGGGTATTAAATTAATAATTCATTAGGCTCTTGTAAAATATGTTTGATGTATTCATCTTCTATGCACACATATCCACTTATCAACTAATCTTTGTATAGTATGTATTTACTCTATATTGAGTACTTCATAAATTAAATAAAATATTATGATTATTACTGAAATCAATTCAAAAGACCCTATTGTTAATATAGACTATCACGATTAATAATCAGATGAAATAGAAAATAAAGTAAGGCATTTAATTAAGTAGAGTCCAAATGAATTTATTGTAGTGGAGGTAGAAAAACGACAGGAATAATCCGAATTGTAAGAGATCTATGAAGAATAATTAGACAAATAATAATTAAAGCTTAAGGAAATGGAGAGATAAGAAAGAATCAAAAAGTACTTTGTCAAGATCATTATCAACTAGAATACCAATCACTTTGAAAAGATAGCTCTCTACAATTAATGAATTGTCAGACTAATCCATTAATAATAGTTGTTCTCCTCAAATTGATATGGATCATCATCATACTAAAAAATAACAGAAAGATGTATGAATCAATAAACTAAATAGTTTTTATTTTAAATATAGGAAGAAAATAAATAAACAGAACCTAGATAAGTTGATAAGTAAAAATAGCAAAAAAAGAAATTTAAAAAGAAAAAGAAGAAAAAGTAACTATCTCGTGAATTAACTTAATCTTCTCTTCCTATTCCTGAGATAAAATATTAATAAAACATGAATTTTAAGTTTTATTTTAAAGATTAGAGAATAGATTGTAGTTGGAAATTATTATTTAGTTATTTTACGATAATAATTTTAAGTAATATCACACTTTAGACAATTGAAATAATAAGGTATTCTTAAAGTGTGTGTAAATTAATGGGAATCGATAATATGTTTGTATATGCTAATTAATTATTCTATATTTTGGGTAAAATTGGATTGCTTAGCTTAAATTATTAAGAATTTACAAATACATTACCTACTAAATCAAAAATTCCGTTATTCAATGCAGTTATTTTTAGCTCAATTTTTGTTGTGTTATCAATGCCTTTATATGTTTTTGATTTTGTATTATGTTAACCTAGAAATAGATTGATAACACTTTAAGAAAGTCTTCATATATTAAGGTTTTTTGATTGGGGAGTAATTTCAGTATTGGCAATAATTATTATAATGCATTCATGTTTAAAGATTACAATGAAGAAGAAAACTTGGAAAACATTGAAGTAAATCATTTCAAAATAAATAGAAAATTTCTTAAAGTGATATATTATCTGTTATTACTTCTTGTACATATACTACAAGTATTGGTTACTGTGACATAATCTTTTTAATCCTATTTACCTGCTATGATAATGGAAAATTTTTACCTTTGTTTTTCTATATTTGCTATGATCTATTTATCAATAAGAAAATATTGTTTTCATCTTGAACCTTTTCAATTTACACATTAAAAATTATAAAATGAACCAATGATATTAATTTAAGATGAAAAGATAAATAATTGGGGATAAGAAGAGAAATTTTTAGATAATGACTCAATTAAATTGAGTAAAAGAATAAAATTGAGTCCTACATCAAGTTAATTCAATAGTCTTTAAATTACTCAAATTGGTTTTCTGGCTAAAAAAGACTGAACTTTTTTTATATATTTATTTATTTAAATTTATTGTCCCTCAAATGTTAATCTTAGCTGGAATGAAGTTAAAAGATTTATCAGAATAAACTTAATAGCTTCAATAAAATATTAAACATTTAGATGTTTCTGTAATATCTTTTTTGTCATTTTAGAGTAATCTATTAAAGTCTGGAAAAGATTTTAATATGTTTCCAAATTTAGAAACCTTAATCATAGATAATAATTACTTTTTCAGATTAGATGATTTCCCAATTTTACCAAATTTGATCACACTTAGTGCAAATAAAAATACATTCAATAATTTTGACATGTAAAATCAATATATATATATATAGGTTTATACAACATTGTAAAGAAAAGTTTCCAAAACTAACACATCTAAGTTTAATAAAAAATCCTATATGCCCCATGTTTACTTAAGGAGAAGAAGAATATGTTAAGTATGTTAAAATTTTATCAATAGTTATCGAGCTAAATTCATTCAGGAACTTCCTTTATTAAAGAATATAGATGGTACTCCTGTAAATCCATAAGAAGCTGATCCTAATTTTTGGAAATAATAATAGTAAATCAAATAACAGCAAATATAAGTATAAATTTCTGTTTATTGTTTGTAGAATTATGATGAATAGAAGAGAGGAACTATAGATTATAATGCAAAATACTAAAAACCTAATAGTAAAACTGTAAAAACAAAAAGTGAAGGAAATAGATTTGTAAAAAATACACATTTATGATATTATGATGATCATTTATTTTTTTATAATTTGATTGTAATAAAATATATAATGAGATTATAATAAATTAATTAATTAATTTTAATTNGAAAATTTTTACCTTTGTTTTTCTATATTTGCTATGATCTATTTATCAATAAGAAAATATTGTTTTCATCTTGAACCTTTTCAATTTACACATTAAAAATTATAAAATGAACCAATGATATTAATTTAAGATGAAAAGATAAATAATTGGGGATAAGAAGAGAAATTTTTAGATAATGACTCAATTAAATTGAGTAAAAGAATAAAATTGAGTCCTACATCAAGTTAATTCAATAGTCTTTAAATTACTCAAATTGGTTTTCTGGCTAAAAAAGACTGAACTTTTTTTATATATTTATTTATTTAAATTTATTGTCCCTCAAATGTTAATCTTAGCTGGAATGAAGTTAAAAGATTTATCAGAATAAACTTAATAGCTTCAATAAAATATTAAACATTTAGATGTTTCTGTAATATCTTTTTTGTCATTTTAGAGTAATCTATTAAAGTCTGGAAAAGATTTTAATATGTTTCCAAATTTAGAAACCTTAATCATAGATAATAATTACTTTTTCAGATTAGATGATTTCCCAATTTTACCAAATTTGATCACACTTAGTGCAAATAAAAATACATTCAATAATTTTGACATGTAAAATCAATATATATATATATAGGTTTATACAACATTGTAAAGAAAAGTTTCCAAAACTAACACATCTAAGTTTAATAAAAAATCCTATATGCCCCATGTTTACTTAAGGAGAAGAAGAATATGTTAAGTATGTTAAAATTTTATCAATAGTTATCGAGCTAAATTCATTCAGGAACTTCCTTTATTAAAGAATATAGATGGTACTCCTGTAAATCCATAAGAAGCTGATCCTAATTTTTGGAAATAATAATAGTAAATCAAATAACAGCAAATATAAGTATAAATTTCTGTTTATTGTTTGTAGAATTATGATGAATAGAAGAGAGGAACTATAGATTATAATGCAAAATACTAAAAACCTAATAGTAAAACTGTAAAAACAAAAAGTGAAGGAAATAGATTTGTAAAAAATACACATTTATGATATTATGATGATCATTTATTTTTTTATAATTTGATTGTAATAAAATATATAATGAGATTATAATAAATTAATTAATTAATTTTAATTAAAAAAAAGGGTTGTCAACACGAGGACTTCCCAAGCGGTCCCCCACCTTAGTACTAACCTCGCCTTAAGCCGCTTAACTTCGGAGTTCGAATGGGATCCGGTGCTTTAGGCTTAGTATGGCCGACAACGATATTTACATCTTTTACTATTATTTATAATATTGGATTAATATAAATTCACTAATCAGCATTGGTCTATAATTTGATATGTTTATGTATATGTTAATCTGGTGATGCTTCTTTTGAATCTTTTTTAGATTTGAATGTTTTCGATTCTTTTAAAGCAATGTTTTAGAAAAATGATTTAAATGTTAGATCTCGATATAATTATTCATAAAGATTAATTATATCACTATCAAGTAAAGATAATAGTTTTAAGTCTGTGGCTCCTTTTTATGGTTTTACTTATATACTAACATAAGATTTAAAACCTTTTTATATTTTTATGATTTTCGAATCATCATCAAAATATTATTTTTATTTATTTTTTTTTATTTTCTCATCAACAAATAATATAGGTTTTTCAATGCTATTAAATAAGTTTAATTGATCATCATTAAGAAGTACATATTTTAATTTTTCAATTTCCATTAGTTTCTTAACTAAATAGGTTATATCTGTTTTTTTGTTTAATCTAATTTCTGCTTGTTTTAATTATTTTCTTTTCTCTTTACTACATCCAAATAAAATTGAAATTGTTTATGTCCAAGTCAAATTTATACTAGCTTTTAAATTTTCTAAGTAAGTATAGATTCTAGAATTTTAAAGCAGTAAACTTTCATTAACATTAGCCCAACAATAAGAATTTGGACTTTCAATATTTTACAAATAAGCAGATTTTTGTATTACTTGTTCATTTTCTTATTAACAAATAATAAAATCATTTTAGAGTACTTTAAATCGAAAAATTTTATTTGTCAATTATAACAAATACAATAATCTATTGAGAGGCATTAATAAAATGTCAAAGAATATATAAATAATAACAATATATCCCCCAAATTTACTTAAAAATGTTGAAACTTTTGTGTAATTTATACTAACCTTAGTTTACTTATAACTCAAATCAATTTCTTAATTTATTACAATATCAGAAGGATCAAAAATGAGTACTTCCTTCTAATCTTATAATTATAAACGACTAGTAGATTCTTTTTATATATATATAAATGATTTATCCACAACACTTTCAACTACTTTATATTATTATTTAATTTATCTTTAATAATTCTTTAAAATTTGGAAGTTTTAGCTTCTTAATATTGATTTAGTTAGATTTTAGTAATTCTCTAATTGTAATAGATTATCAGTAAGATAATAAGTATAATAAGATTGAAATAGTTAAATTTTATTATTCTCTTCTGGAAAACAATCTTATCTTTCAGTGTTATTTTTACATATTGATAGTTTTATTGTCAAATAATGGTACGTATCAGATGAAATTATTCCTTACAAACTCTAAATATATTCTTCAAATATTACTGGTTTAAGAATATCAAACTAATTATTCTTTATACACATATAATTGCTTAAATTAGTTCCAACAAAGTATTTATTTAAGTCTTAATTCTAAAAGTTATTCTATTGACAAGGTACTGTTTCTAATTATGTACAACTAATAATCTAATCTATATTAGGATTTTACTTTTTAGAGGTTAGAATAGGATTTTAGAGATTATTTTTGATTTTTTTGCAGTATTAAATTGATAGTGTAAAGTATCTCTCCATTTATTCTATCGGTATAAAATCTTTATTGTAAATTGCCAAGGCTAATGTGAAATTAGATTAATCAAGAGGGTATTCCTTAATAAGATATTAAATATATAATACTTTATTTGTGTCTAGTTCAATTTCAGATTGAATTACATTTGGTTTTTCTCTTTAAGTGAATTCCTCCAGATCATATAAAAATAATGCAATTATTATGACCATTAATAAAATAGTAAATGTTGATCCAAAAAATGTGTTTACTGATTTAGCTTTTGTGATTGTTAGCTTAGGTTATATGCCAAAGATATTGAAGCTATTTACTATAAGCTTTTTGAAAGAGTTGGTGTATTTAGATGATAATTATCGAAAACCTAGCATTAATTTGTTCTTTATTATATAAAATTTACTTTGGAAAATCCTTAACTTTCATTGTGTTATTAATAATACAAAATTATGTTTTTAAGTGATAAAAAGATGGTTAGAAAATATTAATAAATTAAAAATGAATTAGGAAAACAATTAGAATAATAAAGAAAATTTAGAGGCTTACACTCATTAATTTTGCAGTCAATTAAGATCTAATGAAACTGTTAAAATGTCAAGAGCAAAATATATGGGTTTATATAAGTATTATTAATATTATTCATAATTTAAGTTGGACCTATGAATTTTAGAATGATTAAACAATTATATTAAAAAGTATCTTTGAAGATTGGCTTTTAAAATATTTTGAGACATAAATGATTCCAATATTAATAAATTCTTAAGATTTCATTGAAACTTTTAATTTTGAATTAGGTCTATTTAAGAGTATTTTAAGGTATTTTTCAATACTTTTCAATAATTATGATACTTTAAAAGGATCTTCATCACTTTATATTGTAGAATTAGGCTTGTTAAATTTTGACAAACTTGTTTTGACTCATAATACAATTAAATAGCGATATAAAGATTCTTTAATTGATATATTAAATTAAATAAGACTAAGCAATAATCCAAATAAGAAATAATAACTAAAAAATTTCATTGAAGTAATGTGATTATTACTATTTAAAGATATTGGATTTGAATATATTGGCATAAAATCAAAGATTAGAAATAATCAGTGTTGAGAAAGAAGTCTTTATTAAAGTGAAATAAAAATCTCCAAAAATGCCATCACTTCCAAATCCTCAATCTACTTATGATACTTTTTTATATGATGCAGTTTAAGAAGGAACAAGAAAAATGTATTCAGAAATATCTCAAACTTGGATTTCTAGTGGATCTAGTAATGAGTATGTAAAATTAGCTACATAATAAATGATTATTGAAGAATAATTAAAGGATTAATTTTATAATAAGTTTTCAAGATCAGATGATATTTTCAAGACATTTATAAATGAATTACTTGAATTAAAAGTGGATTAAATTCTATAAAATCCTTAAGATGGATTATAATAGCAATTTATTTAATTGAAATGCAGTGAAGATTTATCACCAATCTCAAAGATTTATTAATTATATAAGAAGACATAAAATTATATTGAAAAATTATTAATAGAATTTTAAATATTTGTTAGAAATTAAATAACTTAAGTACTAACAGAATCTGAAGAAAATAGTTAATAATAATAAGTTAAATAAGGATAATAACAATAAGCAAATAAAAGTTTATAGATTCATTAAGCTTAAATTGATAATCTCTAAAAAATTTATGAATATTGCATAACATTAGTATAAATTTGTTTTGAAGGTTCACATAGGTTTAGAAATCATATGGAATTAACATTTAAGGAAAAATTAAATTAAGCAGAAAGATTTTTGGATAAATTATCAATGTATATTAATGTTTCATTGAAAGATAAATTAAAAGAAACTAGTAATGAAGAGGATAGATAAAAGTTTGAAAAATTCAATAAGAATATTTTAGCTTTTATCTAATTAATTAATAGCAAAGGAAAATTATTTTAAAAAATTACAGATAATCTTAAAAATAGAATTTTTAAAGGAGAAATAAAGAATTAAGGATATGAGGAAGAATTTCTAAAATCATTAAGAAGAGGACATCCTGAACATTTGCCATCAGATTTATTAACAGTTTGGAAAGATTTTAAATATTATAGAAATTTAGATAATGAAGTATAGACATTATTATTTAATAAAAAAATATTATAAGGAACTAATGTTTAATTTACTATTTTTACAAGAACAAATTCTTTAAAAGAATTTAATACATAAAATAGAAGAGATTAAGTGAATCCTCCATTAATGATTTAATAGGCAGTTAATTTAATGGAACAATTTTATTAAATAAAATAATAAACAGAAAAAAAATCATTGATTTGGAATTATAGAATAGGATAATCAACAATTAATTATAGGTAATTATAATATTTTATATAGATTTGGACCATAAATCTAATAAGTAGGCAAGATTATTGTGTCTAATTTATAACTCTTTATTATTCTTTATTTAAAATAATATGGAGGAAGATCTAAACCAGAATTATTAAATGATACAGGTATTAGTTATGAAGAAGAATTAAGTTAATAAATGGAAAATCTAGTGGATTCAAGATTAATTGTTGAAATTGATGGAAAATTTTATTTATAAAAAGAGTAGACTAAATTAAAAATGCAAATAATTCCCAATAGACCAATTACATTAGTACCTAAGAAAGTTGCAGAAAATTCTGAGGATTAAATACTTTTGAAAAAAGAAAGAGATCTTAAAATATAATCAAGCATTGTAAGATTGATGAAAACAAACAAAGTAATGTATTATCCATAAATATTTGCTGGAGTATAAAAAGGATTACTTGGATATTATGATTTTTCTGCTTAAGATATATTAGCTCAAATTGATGAATTAATAAATTCTAATTACATAAAAAGAGATGAAAAGATTAATAACAAGTTTTAATATACACCTGTATGATAATAATAATCAAACATTATAACATTATTAAGATTTAATTTCTCTTTCTATATATCTAATCCATTAATCTAATGGTAATAATTCTTTATTTTCTCCTCTATGCTAATAATAATTATATATCTTATTTACTCTCATTAATATTTTAGCACATATATCACTTAATTATTTATGTTTTTCAAAAGGGAATTTATAAATTTAATAAGCTTTACTACAAGCAGAAATAAATTTACAACCTTGTGTTTAAATCTAATTTTGTGACAATTCAAATTCTCTGATTAAATTTTCTAATAATTATACACTATTTAAAATCATATTTTAACAAATGACTATCTAATTTCCATTATTAAAAACAGGAAAATATTTATTCTGTATATTATCATAATCTAAGAAAATATTTCCTCTTGAACAATTATTGCTTTAATTTCAAATATAAAAATAATACCTTATAACAATTTCTTTATTTTTGTAATTAGCAAATAATTTTTCTTGTTGAAATCTTTTTATATATTTTTCTATATCTTCATGAGATAAAGTAGTTAATTTTTCTGTTAAGATTTAGTCTACCCAATTTATTGCAATAATTGTAGGATCACTTTTAGTTGGATCAAAAAATCTAGGCATTATTTTTTAAATTAGGTTATTAAATAAAATTTTTATATTTTAAGTATAATTATAATTTTTATTAATATTATTTTTAATGGATCAATAATAAGGAGAAAATAAATTATCAAAAAAATAATAAAAGAAATTAGCCAAAAAGGAAAAATAAAAAGAGTATTTCAAAGAAAAGAAAATTCAAAAAAAACAAATTAGAAAATAATAAAAATAAGAATAAAAATCTAATATAGTAGTAGATGATGATAATAAAATTCATAATTAAGAAAGATAACATAAAAAACCAAGAGAATAGTATTAAGAAGAAATGAAGAATGGAATCAAAATTATTATTGATTTACAATTCATGAGTTAAATGACTATTCATGAGAAAACATCATTATATAAATAAATAGAGCTTTGTCATTCAAATAATTTTAAATCAAAAAAACCTTTGAATCTTATTGTGACATCGTTAACAGAAGATTTTAAATAATTATTAAATAAAAGTAATGCTTCAAATTGGGGAATAGAATTAAATGAAAAACCATATATTGATTTATTTAAAAAAGAGGATTTAGTTTATCTTACAGGTGATACAGAAGATGTTATAGATGAACTTAATTAGGAAGAAGTATATATAATTGGTGGATTAGTTGATCATAATAGATTAAAATTAATAACATATAATAAAGCTATAGAACAAGGTATAAAAACTAAGAAGTTGCCAATAAATTTAAATTTAAAAACATCTTCAATATTAACAGTAAATTAGGTATTCGAAATATTATTAAGACGCAATAATGGAGAAGATTGGAATGATTCTGTATAAAATACAATACCAAAGCGAAAGCTTTTATGAATAAATCATATAATTATAAAGTTTAAATAAATATTTGTTTCATATTTAATTATTTAATAATTTTAATATTTTTTCATGGAGTTGATTGAGACTATTCACTATATTCTATTCTTATTACATCAAATTATGAATATCATATATATTTATATCTATTATTTCATCAGTTTAAGTTCCAATTTCAATTGATTAGACTTAATTATTTAATAATTATTTATCTCTTTAATTTTATTAATCTCTATCTTAAATATGATTATCTTAAAGTTATTTATTATAATATTATTATTAATTAAGCTTAATATTTATTTTATGAATCAGACATATTATTTATATTATTAATTTATGTATCCATGACTTTCTTTATATTACAATTAGTATTTCTGTTTTTATCACTTTTTAATCCTTCTTAATCATCTTCAATATATACTATTTTATGTTTTTCGACTAATTTACAAAAATTCATTTTGATAGGTTTCTTTTTTATAGTAGAATTATATTGATTATTTTATTTTTAATAAGTTCTTTTATTTTAATTACTTTTTGATTCTTCAGGTTCTTTATTTGAAAAATTCATGTCTAAATTTATCATAAAATCATTATGATCTTTAATGTCTTAAATTTCTATTTTCTAATCATTTTCTTAATTTCTTTATGTTAGTAATTTGTTATCAATCTTATTCTGTTTTTGTTATTATTTTTTGAATTTTAACTAAAGCATTTAAATAATAATAATAAACAATATTTAAGTCATCATCAATCAATTAAAGCTTAATTTTATCCTTTTTATATTTATACAATTAATATTTCTAAATGAAATAGCTTTATTATCAAAAGATTGATTACAAAATTTAAAATATTATAATAACAAAATTTCAATATTTTTTTTTTCTTATTAATATTATCTAAAATTCATAGTCTAAAATTGCTATTAGATTACTTTCAGATTCTATTTCTATTTTCAATATTGGATAATCAACTTCTAAACTTTAAATCATTTTACACGTTCTTAGACTTATTATATCTAATGATGGCTTAAATGTAGACATTAACAAAGTATTATTGTATATATCATATGAAGATAATGATATTTTTCTTGAATCTATTACTCTTAACAAATGATAACTACTCATATTCCAAATTTTGATTGAATAATCTCTTGCCTATGTCACAATTATTAAATCCTTATCTATACCATCAATTGATAATTAGCCTTATTGATTGGCATTCCATTACTTAATTGATTTCTAAGATTTTATTGAAAATATTAAAACAAACCCTCTTTTTTAAATGATTGCAAGAAAAGTTTACTTTTTGAAAAAACAATAATCTTCAACCTATTAATTAGATTCATAGAGAATAGTTTATTACAATTAATCTTTACTTAATTATCTAATTTATTAATTATTATGCAATATTCCAATTTAAGTAGTATTATTTAATAATTTAATCTTCTTAATCTATTATTCATAGCTTAATTCATACAACATAGAAAATCCACATTGTGTTTCTATACTCCAAATTTAAACCTATTTATCTAAAAAACCATAAGCTACCAAATCATTTAAATTTTATATAATCAACAATTCATTCACTTTCTTTTAATCAAAAAAATGTTCAAAAACAGCCTATCTTTTTGAAATACTCCAAATTTTAACATGTTATTAAGATTTCGAAAATCCAACTATCAAATCAGCATTTATTATTTAGATTTTTTCAACAGTCAATTATTAAGCTGTAATAACTTCAAATATTTCAAATAATAGGCACTTCTTATCATGTTTGAACATAGTATTGATCATTCAATCTACACTAAATGATAATCCTGTAAATATTAATGACGAATATATTATCATTTTAAATTTTATCTCAATATAAATTTATATTAATTTTCATTTAAAGTTTTATAATTATTTTGTCAATTCTTCAACTTTATTATGAACTTTAGTTAAATACTGAATTATTTCTTTCTCAATTTAAATATACTTATTTAAATCATCTTAAACCTTTAATTTATCAGATTTTAGAATACTTTCATTATCATCAAGTAACTAATCAAATCTCAGTTTTTTTCTTTTTATTTTTTAATTTATTTTCTCATTATTACGTACTAATTCATTTTTATGTTTATTTTTATCTCCATATTCTGATGATTACTCTGAACATTTATGAATTGAATCTTAATCTTATATTTGATTGCTTTATGGAATACTTATTGTAGAATTATTTATTAATGAATTATTAATGAATGTATTACTTATTATAGGATTATTTATTATTGGATTGCTTTATTCTTGACATTAATCTATTATTATTCGTTTTGATTATTAAAATGATGTATATTTTGATGGATCACTATCTTCAGTTTAAATATTCATTTTAGATATATCTTATTTTTGAAATTTCTTTAATTTCATTACATTTTATATGTAAGCTTATTCAAGCCAATTCTATACAGATTTATGTGAAGAGTTCTAATTTTCATGAGTGTTTTTTTTATTTTTCATGATTATTAAAATAAAAAACTTTATGTTGTTGATTTAGTCTCATTGATAATAATTACAATACTAAATTTATTAAATTAAAAATCATTTAAGAATATAGATTTCATTATGAATATAAACTTAATTTTGTTTGAACATACTCATCATTTGGATCAATTTATGCAGCAATCTTATAAAAATCTAAGAAATCATCTAAACCTATTTCTTCCATAATAACTGCTTTAAATTTTAAACATGTAAAATCTTTTGAATTTTCTTTCAATGCAAAATTATAGTATTTTAAAGACTCTTCCAACATTCCCAACATTCTTAAGCAATCAGCTTTACCAAATAATGAATTAAAATGTTTTATATCAGCTTTTAATGCTTTATCATATAATAAAATAGCATCCTCATATCTTTCCATTGCTCTTAGTGCTTCACCTATGAAATATGAATGTAAATTTAACCTTTTCCAAAATTATATTCTAATTTTTCATCTGAATCAAATTTCATACATCTATCATATTCTGCAATAGATTTTTCATATGCTTCAATATTTCTTAAAGCTTCAGCCTTAAAAAATATGGCTTCAATATTAGTCGAACAAATCTCAAGCGACTTATCAAATAACTTTATAGCCTCATTAAATTAACCCTTTTTGCATAACTCAAAGCCTAAATTATAGATTTTTTATTTAACCTTAATCAAAATATTGTTTTGATTCATTTTATTTGATTGATGATGGTGATGCAATTATTTATATATGGTTATTATTTCCTTGATTTTCTTATGAATTTAATTTGTAAAGAGAATTAAGAATCTGGGATAGTCTTCCTACTTATTCCTAAATAATAATATAAATAAATTCTTACGGTATAATCAAAAGAATGAATCTTTTTAAAAAATAAACCAAGATCTTCGATAGTCTTATAACTAACAGATTTTCTATAATTTTCTATTGGGACAATTAATGTTTGAACAGAATGATTGATATACTTGATAGCTGCTTAAATCTCATATTCCATCCTTCTTAAGATTGAAATCATATTCAATTATGAGGTTTCAATTGATACAATTTATTGCTCAATTAAGTTAAGTTCTTTGAGATCTTGATTATGGTCTTTATGTTATTCCTATTTGCATAATTAACAGGATGCAGTTCTGAAGGGACATTTAAGATTTAAACAAAGAGACAGAATTTATTGATTTTCATGTCCAGAGACTGTGCAATTAACGATGTTTTATTTCATATTTTATTTTCTTTATAAAGAATTAAATTAATATTAATTAAGAATAATTTTTTGGCAATTATCCTAATTTGTATAAATTCTAAAAGAGAGTATAAAAAACACTTATTTATACTTAATTTAATAATAATTAAAAATATATGTTCTTTCTAGATATTTGTATTACTGATTTATTTATAAAATGAATTCTTTTTGATTTTCTGTTGAATATAATTTATTGATTGATACTGTCATTTATAAAGATAATAAACAATATAAAAATAATAATAATATAAAATATAAACAAAAACTTTTAAGGTCTTATTTATAGAATCATTATATATCTTTTAAGAATGCAGGTTATCTGAATCCATTTTGAACAAGAAAATTTTTAAATAATTAAGAAGCTTATAGATTAGATAACTTAAGTTATAAATTATTAAGTTATTAACCATTCTTTAGCATATATTCTTAATCTCTTTCTTGTAATTTCAGTTTAATTTTCTCTTGAAGATCTTTCATTTTCAATTTTTAATCTGTCAAATTTTAAAGTTCTGGTTTAACACCTTGTAGAGTTCTTACACGATTTCCTTCTAAACTAATTTTATTTAGTTTTTAATAAGATAAATCTGTGAGAAGATGTTTAATAACTTTTTTATGTTATTCATCATTGGCTTTCTTTTAAAAATTGACAATATTATTCAATTTATTAAGGCTTGTAGATGTCTTAAAAAAGTTTTTGTTGTCATTAGTTATCAAACTATCACTTTTAACTAGAGATAGGGTACTTGATTTTTCAGTTCTTAAAGGTTTAGAATGATTATGTTTTGATAAATAATTATCTTTGGACAGTATTTTTTATAATCGGAACTGTGATCCTTATGAATTTAACAGATTATTCAAAGCTTTTGCATTCTATCTATTTTATACATTTGACATTCTTAATAAAATTAATGTTAAGAAGAGATAGTACATTAAGTAAATAATCTCTGGAAGATGAGAACCAGATGAAAATAGAGAGTGAAGTTTTGAAAATAGTTCAGATATTAAGCATGGAATCTTAAGAGAGAACTTTAATGTAATTGAATTATGTTGCAAGAAGATTAGAACGATCATTTACATATTTCAAGTATTATATCAATATCAATATAGAAAATTAAAATCTTAGTTGAGAGAAGACATACTCCTTAAATTAATAAAGTCATTATTTATAGAGAGGTTCTAATAATATGAGACAGTCTTCAATTAAGGAGAAACAGGACGAAAAATGTATTTTGTTTTAGAAGGGGAAGTGTCAATACTTGTTAAAAATTAGGATCAGATTGACTCTACTATCAATTTGAAAAAATGTAATAGGAGTCTTATATATATATAGGTAAATTGAAAAAATTTGAAGATGTTTTAGCTATTCGTTATCCAAATTTTAGATAAGTAGCTACCAAAAAGTAGTTTGATTATTTTGGAGAAATAGCAATAGAATAAAGAATACCTAGGACAGCTACTGTGATTGCTAAGGAATCTACAACATTGGCAGTGTTGACTTATGAATCTTATTAAAAACTTTTAAGAGATATTACATAAGAAGCTATCACAATAAGATCAGAGCTCATTGCTTAAATATACCCTTTTGACTAATTAAATGAAACTTCATTGCAACAATTATTACATGATTATGAAGAAATTAATCTAAATGGAGGAGCATTATTATTTAAAAGAATGTAGAAAGCAGATTGTCTATATTTAATAATCTCAGGAGAAGTCTTAGTATAAAAATGGGAAGCAGTAAAAAATAAAGAGGAATCTGAGGAAGAAAATATAATAGAAACTAATATGTTAAGTAAATCAAGCAAAGTTTTAGTTAATTTAGGTGTATTTGGTAGAGGATAAATGATTGGTGATTTTGAATAGTTTTTAAATTTAAAATAACCAACACCATTATTAAGATGCACTTAAGGAGTTGTTTAAAATTAAGCTAAAATATTTAGAATTTGGTAAAGTTAATTTAATGAAATTATCAGACATACATTAGGTATGAATTGGTATTCAAATTATTTAAATGAAAAATATTAATAAAAATAGAATCATAGTATTCCTAAAATCAAACTAACAAATAGAACTATTAGAACATAATCAAATATAACTATTTTAAATGGAATAAAAGATCCATCTTATATTAAAATATCAAGTGATAGATATAAAATTATATAAAATGTTGATGATAAATTACCTACTGTTCCAAAATAATCTCCTAAAAGAAAATTATAATTGACTATCGATTATAAAGATAAAAATAATCTTAAATATTATAATGCTGTTACTCCTAATCTATAAAATAAACCTTAATTAAATACTAATCAAAATTTTTCAATGAAATTCTTTGCAACTTCATTGAAATAGAGAATCTTAGATTAAAAAAATGAAGAAAATAGTTTAAATTTTGGATCTACTAAGTATTTAAAAACTGAGCCTTCTAGTGAATAAAATATACCATCATGCAATACAATTCTATTATCTCCTAGATATTCTAAACTTTTTAAAAAAGAAACTAGTTTTCATCGAATCAAATCTTGATTTTATTTTAATAACAATAATTGTTTAATTTCAATAGAATTTTTATTATTGATTTATATAATTAATTTCTCTTCTAAATCTTAAAGTAAATAAAATATCAATCTTTAATTCTTTATTTTATTTATTTAATGTATTAAAAAATTTTTACTTTAATATTAATTTTTTAAATTAATGGAAAATCAGAATTTTTTTTATTTATTTATAGCTTTTAATAAAATTTAGAGATCATATCTCTTTTTTTATAATTTATAATCATATTGTCATTTTTTTCATTAATCTATTTAATGGAAGATTTCTTATACATAAATCAGCTTTATCATCTGAAATTTAATCAAGATCATCAAATTCATTATACTTTTCATTATTAATTCCTTATATTTAATTAGTTATTGTAAATCTCTGTTCTGATCTATTTCTTTAATGTTTTCTATAATCATATTTCTACCATTTTTAAGTTTAGCTTTTCTATCTTTTTTTTGTTTATTTTCCAATTTAGAGATAATTATATTGCAAATCATCATCTTCAGATGTTGCTTTAGGTTGAAACCTATCTGTTTATCGCTTTCTTTATTATCTTTCTTATTCTTCTTCAATTATCTATCTCCTTATTTGAGTTCTAGGTTCATACTATTAGATCATAGAGGAACTACTAATTGAAGGAATAACTCTTTTTTCTTGAGAAGCATTTTTTTTCTTATTTTACTCCATTCTGTTCCAATAAAAAAATGAAAGAATCATTAAAGTGAATGGATTGTATAAACTTGTTTTACAAAATTAAATTTAATATAAGAGTATGGATTTAAAATAATATTAATAATTAGAATTAATATTATTTTATTAATCTTCAATCAGAAATTTTAATAGCTTTATAATCTTCTTATTATAGGTTAATAAAAAATATGATTTAGGATTAATTGAATTTATATTATTGTAATTTATTTTCTTAGTAAATAGTTATAATGATATTTAAAATTCGAATTGAAAAGATCATAAATTTTTTAAAGCTTAATTTATTTGGTGAATATTAATTAATAAAATAAAATGACAAATAGACATTTAATTTTCTTTAACTTAAATAAAAAGGTAACAGATAACTCATATCGATCAGATTAAATTTTAAAGACTTCTGTTTCTGAAAACGATAAAACACCTAAAGATTAGATTATAAAATAATTTGTAGAATAATCTAAACAAAGATTATGTAAGCAGATATAACAAATTTAATAGAAACATCATAATTTTTAGAGAGACGTAATAAATCTAATTCAAATGCATTGAAATCCATTTTATAATCTTAACAACATTGTGAATTTATTAAACTTCAAAGTCCAAAGTCTAATAAATGTAGTTAAACTATATTCTAAAAACTTATTAATTCTTAAGATAATGTATCAAAAAGACATCAAATTTTAGAAATTGAAAGAAATTTCACAAAAAGTATTAATAATGAAAACAGAAGTGAATATTTATAAAAAATGGAAGGTTTTATAAAAGACCTTTTGTTTGAAGAATTTAGAGAATTATCATTTCTATTTAGTTCTTTTATTAAAGAGATGTAATTTAATTTAGCAGAACAGCAAACCTAATTAATGTATAATTAGAGATAATAAGAAAAAGTAAATTTGGATAATATTTCGATATAAAAATAATAATTTTTAGAAAAGATCACTAATTTAGAATTGATTATTAGTTCAAAAGATAAAAAATTAAATGAAATAAAGGAGAATAATTTAAAATTTGAGAAAGATATATCAGAATTGATTAATAGGAATAGTACATTAATATAGAAAGTAGAATAAAGAAATAAAATAATAAATAAAAATGATAAAATGATAAAGTAATAAGAATCTGAAATTTCTATTTTAAGATAGAAAATATAATGTTATGAAAATAAATTACATTAGAGTTATGAAACTATTTCATAATTAAATCTTTTATAGAATAATAAATAATCTAATAATTATCTATTAAATAGATAATCAACTACCTAATTAAATCGATAATAAACTTCCTTTATAAATCGTCAATAGACTATATAATTAAATAGACAATAAACAGTTTAGACTCATTCTCCTAAACTTTTAGATACTGAAGATTAAAATGATAGTCCTTTAAGTGATTCTTTAAATGAATAATAATAATAAGAAGAAGAATAATTAAATTAATTGGAGATTAATTTTGAAAGAATTATAAAATAAGCATAAAAAGAATAATAAGTAGAAGTAGATTTACTTCCATTTTATACAAAGGAAATTGAAATTTAAACTGAATTAACATTGATTGATTCTTAATTTGATATTATTTAATAATCTAATATAAGTAATGCTGTTAAATACACAGAATTTATTGAAAAAGTTGGTAGAAAAGGATCAGAAGAAAGTTTGATAGATTAAATTATTGATGAAACTTATGATTAATTGGATGTAACTTAAAATCATAAAAAAAATATTGAAATGAATAAATCTTAATTCTCAATGATCAAATCAGGTTATTCATAAAATGGATAAAATATATAATAATAATAAATGCCTACTCTAACTAGATGTGATTCAAATATCATAAATAATTAAGTGCCACTTAAAAAAGATCCTAAATCAAAATAAGTCTTATCTTTTATTACCTTCTTGAAGACTAGGATGCAATAATAGGAATAGGAATTACATTATAATAGCGAATAAATTACTCAATACGAATTAAATATTTAGAATGTAAATATGTAAATGGATGAGTTATAAAAAGAAAATGAACGATTGTAAATTTAATTAGCATAGATGAATTCGAAAATTCAATTATCTCAATTATCTCAAAGCCAATCAGAACTTAAATAGTAAGATGATGATGTACATTAATCATAAGATTCATTAGTGGTTAATAGTTAGAAACGTTTATCAGTCTTAGTCAAATAAGGAACATTTAAAGATACAAAAAAGTAAAGAAAGGCACCTTAATTAGGTTAAAAAGTTGTAATTTCGTATGATTTTTAAAAAGATTAATCTAAAAAGATAATAGAAAAGTTAAAAAATAAATAAATGCAGAAATTTAACAATTTTATGCCCATAAAATTAGTGTTGAAATACATAACTACATTGTACAATGAAAAATTACAGAGTTAGAAAGAGTACAAACAAATAAGAGATCAAGATATGGGTTCATATATATATAATTATTATTTATAATAATTTGGATTTACAAAAGTTACTGAATAAAAATATTAAGTATTGCTGTTATCAGTTAAAAAGAATATAAAGATAGTTAGGATTAATATGTTTGCAAGATTTATGGGACTATTGGAATAGAATGTTAATTATACTATTGAAGAATAATAGAAATATTTAGAGGCTTGGGATTTTATGAATAATTAATAGAATTTAGGTTAAAGTTTAAAAGATAATGAATCAGAGATGAAGATGTATGTACCTTTTGTTAGAGCTTTGTCATATGTTGGATAATTAATATTTAGCCCATAAAATGAAGAATTATTTTCATTAAAACATGAAATAGAGTAATTGAAGGAAAATGATCCGAAAAATATCAATAAATAAGGAATAATTGATTTTGATTTGATGATGATCAAAGTACTATAAGTATTTAGAAATACAGTTGAGAAAACAAAGTTATATGTAATTAATGCTTTTGCAGCAAGTGATTTGGATGGGAATGGGATGTGTAATTTGGATGAATTTTTAATTTTAAATAAATATATAGAAGCAGATAAATATGATGAGGATAAGTGGATTGAGATATTTGATGATAATGCAGATATTATTACAGAAGAAGAAAGAGCATTATCTTTTGAAAGATTTTCAATTTTGTGTATGGAATACAATTTGTTTAGTGATCAAGCATAGAATAAATTCTTATAAATCAAACGTATATATTAAATATTATTATAGATAATAATGATTGTTAAGTGAAATTTGAATAGCTTAGAGAGTAATGGCCAAAAGATTATATAAATTTTAATTAGAAATTATAAAATGCTTAAATTGATGAACATTATAAAGAATAATGGTCAAAAATATTAGAAGTGTTGAATTAAAAAATTTTAGAAAATCCTGAGTAAAAGAAACCTCTTTTAATTGCTTACAAAATCTTTCTAAATGAAAGTAAGGTTAATAAGGCTTAATGATCAATTTTATTATATAAATATTAAAAAATGGGAAATCAATGTACATCTGGTGACAATGATCCATATATAAATACCACAAAGGCTATTATAATAAATGAAGAGTTCATTGAAGGATAAAGACCTATGATAAGTTAAGAACATAGTAAATTCAACGATGACGATGCTATTGTACAATATGAATAAATAATGTCAAGGATGTCGTCATTATGGCTGATACAAATTATGGCAGAAAGTCTTTGAGTTAGAATTATATGAAGTAGGCCAACTATGTTCTTTAAGACAATATTCAATTGAAGCTCTATTATTGTGTAATTTGATTGAATAATTTAGGGATTGCCTACTTAAGGTACTTAAGCAGTATTGTTATCTATATAAACTAAAAATCAAACTATAACTACTAGATAAGGAATTGATTTAGTAATAAACAATTAAACCATTAGATCTGTTTGATTGATCATAGTGGAAGTATGAGTGGAGAAAAGATGAATTTAGTAAAGAAATCTTTAAAGCATTTATTAAGGATGCTATAACCTCATGATAGATTGTGTTTAATAGAATTTGATGATCAAAATTATAGATTGACTAGATTGATGAAAGTAACATAAGAGAATATGTACAAATTTTTGATTGCTATTGATACAATAGAAGCTAATGGATCAACAGATATTGGAAATGCAATGAAAATGGCATTATCTATCTTAAAACATAGAAGATTCAAAAATCCTATAGCATCAATATTTTTATTGTCTGATGGTGAAGATGAGGGAGCAGCAGGAAGAGTGTGGAATGATATATAATCAAAGAATATTAAGGAACCATTTACAATCAATACTTTCGGTTTTGGTAGAGATTGTTGTCCAAAAATAATGTCTGAAATTGCTCATTTTAAAGAAGGTTAATTTTATTATATTTCTGATATCTAAAAAATAGATGAATGTTTTTTTGAAGCATTGGGAGGTTAAGCATCAGTTATTGCATTTAATACTCATATTACTATATCATGCAAAAAAAATACAATTAAAAAAGTTTATGGTGATAAATGGACATTAAATTTATAAGAATAAACATTTTCTATTTATTAACCATAATTATAATTTGGAGTGAGAAAAGATTTTATAGTTGAGACAGCTGTTCCATTAGGAATGATGGATGAAATCATAACTGTAAAAATGTATACTGATTCAGTTGAAACTGGTGAAAGATTTACTATTGAATAATTTATTAATATAGTACCAAATTTAGTAGCTGAATAAATTGTATTTTAGTATTTAAATATATTTTATCATTAGGGAAGTAATGTCTCATTATTATAGAGTTTAATCTGCTGAAATTTTTAGAAATGCACTCAATTTTTGCTATAATTTATAATACTAATAGGCTCAATAAAGCATTATTGCATTACAATAATAAATCTATTAAATGAATCTAAATAATCCTATGGTTAATTTAGTTTATTTAGATTTACAATCAAGTTTAAGATATTGTGATTAAATGTAGAAATCTTAATCATTTTAGGTTTTTCAATTAAGAGGGTAGACATTATCTAACATAATTCTACATGATCCACATGTATTAATAACCAAGAGGCATTGAGATTGTATCCAACGATCCAAAAATGCAAGTGACATGCGTTTATTAGAATGAATTGCAAAGACAATACATTCTCTAATTAAGACAAACAAAGATGAATAATCCTGATTAATATTAATATTGAAACAAATCAAAAACAAATAATTATCTTTTAATGATATTTATAATTTCAATTCATTTCTTTGTTTATTTTTTTTTTGATTTCTAATTTTCATTTACTTAAATACTTTCCTTTTATATATCATTATTATTTATTTTTGATTTTGTATTTTTAACTTTTTATGATTATGATTTAGTTTATGTTTATTGTTATATTTTTTCATCATCATCAGAATTTATGTTTTAATTGACCTACTTCTTTTCTGATTATTATTTGAGTTGTTGTTGATGTTTTACAGCTGGTTATATTGATTCAGACTCTATATCATCAAAATGATAATCTTTTCCTGATTTTACAGATTTATCATCAAACTAAAATCCTAATTATTTTAAGTACCTTTTCAGATTTCTTTCTCTTTTTATCATTCATTATTATACCATTTTTATCGTTATAATCTTTTATATCGTTCTCATATTTACTTTTTGCTTCATTATATTAATCAATGTAAGGCTAAAATATAATAAGAATTTTTTACTTGTTTCTCTTCCTCACTCATAGAATTCCATTTTTATCCAGCCATTTATGAAATTTGAGTCAATTTTACTTCTAATTAATTATTATTCAAATCAATACCTGGATTTCTTTCCAATACTTTTTCACGATACTTCTAACTAAATAAGAAGAAAGCTGTTAGAGGTCTTTTAGGAGCATTAGGATCTCGTTCCTTTTTTTGTTCAGATTTATCATTACGAATTTCAATCATATGTTATCCCTTCAAAAATTATTAGCAAAATTAATCCATATGAGCAAAAAATATCTAAAATTTCCTAGCTATATCTAAACTCTAAATTATAATTAGATATTTATATACAAATTGTTTGTCCTCCATTTTTTTGAAAAAATGATTTTATTAAAAAAAATAATATGTAACCTTGTAATATTAATTGTTAAAAATAAGAATTATATTAATTGCTTAACATAAATCCACCTAGTTAAATTAACCATAAATCTATTTAGAATTCCATCTCATTTATATATTTCATTATCTTTCTCAATATATTTTAATTCTAAATCATCCTTTCTCAAGTATGACAATAACAAATATGTATTTATTGCTATGTCCAAAAATCTAAAATCAATTAATAAACAATTAATATATTAAAAAATCAAATGGGTGTTTGTTAGTCTTAAAAGAATTCATCGAATTTGAAAAGAAGCGGAGCCTAATAGTTTATCTTCATTGATTTTGACAAATTAAAGAAATATAATGAGGAACGACAGAACCTTGACAAAAACAATTGTCAATAACAATCCTTCTGTTAGATTATTTGCTTGGATAATAATAATAATAATAAAAGCTCTAATCCACAAACTTAAACTTACAATAATGTTTAGACCTAATAAATTGAAATTAAAAAAGAGTGATTTCTTTATTTTTATTTAATCCACTCAAATATATGAACTCTTTATTATTTGCATTATGACAATGAAAATATCTTTCATTTAAAATTAGTCATTGAAGTCCCAAATATAAAATATATCAAAAATTCAATTCAAGAAGCCCAAACTGTTTAGTTAGAATATAATAAAAAGATGTATGTTCGAGAAACATTTACCCATCTTATGAAAATTTATTACATCAACTAAGAATTTCCAATTCTTAAAAATGACTTTCAACCATAAATTTGTTGAAATCACTTCATTCTTTTGGACTCTTACAATAACTCGAGCAGAATAGATAATGAAATTTATGATAATTTTATTTTGTCTCATATTGAATATTAGACATTGTGATCATAGATGCTTTTGAATTAAAAAATATTTATATATACATTAATCAACTTAAAAAAAAGATATCATAGATAAATTAAAAATAAAAGGAATAGGAGTGGAGTGGATTTTTTTATATTTTTTTTTAAATATTTAGAAAAATATATATTATTTTTGGATTTTAATAGTATAAGTCAATAATGCACTTTCTAGAAGTTTTATATATTAAAATAAAAAAATTAATGATTTTATAATATTATTTATATAAAGTGTTTATAATACAATTATTAAATTATTGAAATAATTATATTACAAATTTACCAATAAAATAGATGAACACAAAATTAATACAAAATAACTATTAATTAGTATCATCAATTTTTTCTAGAATTATGATGTGCTTTATACATATCCAGAACTTATTCCCAAGTTTATAATTTAGCAAGCAAGTATGTTTTTAAATTTTTCCTAAAAATAATAATCTAATTAATACTAATTATATTCTCGAATATCTTCCATACCAACCATTCCATTAAGATATTTTGCTAAGAAAAGTAATTACTTATCTAGTTTATTATCATAAAATGGAATAATTGGAATACCATTATCAAGTTAGAAATAGTAACTTATAGCAGAATTATCAACTAGAACAGTTTTAGAAAGTGGACGATTCTTGATAATGGATAAATCCTTAACATATTAGCCTTGATCAGAAAAACAACAATGTTCTCTTGATAAGACTCGAGATATGATTTTTTTTGGATCAATATATTCGACAATCTATATAATAGAATAAGTTTTACTCGTTTTGCATATTATCCATGTGAGGCAGTAAATACAATAATTTCAAAATTAGGTTCTAATAATTCGAGCATAATTTATAAACCAGGTCGAACAGAAACGCCTACTTAAAATGTTTCATCTTAAGAAAGTTTGATGATAAGCTTTTTATCACAAGGCAATTTCAAATCTAAAGAACAATGTACCAAAGTTTCATCCAAATCAAGTAACACTGTATACTTTTTATTATCTAATTTAAAATATTAAGAATTACCTTTAGGATCCTTAGGGATTATCACTGGTTTTGGTTTGTAAATTATCTTAGAATTAATACATTATTTAAATGCCATAAAGCTTGATTAAAAATGATCTTTGAAAAGTCTGTTAAAATAGTTCTCTTTACTTTCAAAAGCAGTGACAACATCAGAAATATAATAAATTTAATTAGTATCATGAATGCTTGTATTTTGAATTATTCTTGGAGAGTCTTTAATAGAAAATGCATCACTATTTTATTTAGTAATTGGTCTATATATTAATTTTGGAGCTGTTTGTTTTCTGCTTAATATTCTTTGATTATCAGGAATGTTTTGTTTTTCAAAAGTATCATTAGGTTCTGTTTTTTGAATGAAATTTTATTTAATAACTCGAGATACATTCTTTAAAGTGAGTACTCTACTAGGAGTAACTTAATATATTTTATCAATAGACATTGAATTCTCTGTTTGATTGTTTCTTTAAGTTTTTAGTATATCATATCGTAAATTAATGGAATCAGTTCTCTTAGGTTAACGAGCAGTTAATTATGGCTGTAGAAATCTAAGATTTGGTGAACTCTTTTGATGTCCTCTCATTTTTTATTTTTATTTTATTAATTTTACCCTATCATACAAAACTATTCAAAAATCAAGGTATGTCACTGCTGCACTGATCTCTATTAAATCAAATGGTTTCGATATGAAATAATCCATACCATTTCTAAAACATTCTAATTTACTATTTAAATCAACTACTGTAGCTGTGGCAATTGCAAATCCTTTATCCATATTACCCATTTACATCATTTATTTGATTTACTATACAAAATCTCCTCCTCTTAAAATCTATAATATATATAATTTTCATTACTGGAATATTCAAATCTATTATATATAATAAATAGAATCGATTGCCACAATGACATGGTTATCTTTTCTTTGTTTCAATTATTTCCATTGCTTATAATCCAGAAAAACAATAATCACATTTAATATCATATTTCTAAAGTACTTACTATAAGACAATAACTGAAAATGGATCATTATCTAAAAGAAGTACTTTTGAACAACAATTATTTCTTAATCTATATTTAATAACATGAGTTAACAATTTAGGATAGAAATCTGGTAATCTTACTTAATTAGCTGCTTATTCTGTTTAACCAAAATCAATAAGTGTAAAAGTCTATTGAGATTCATGAGGAGATTCACTTTTTCCTAAAACACTCAAATTATTTTTATTAAGAATACGAGTAATTTATTAAATACTATCTGATTATATCTATTATTTTAATGTTCCTGAAAAGCTTCCACTATGTTCTCTTGATTATTTTTGAATTGTGCCACTATTAGGAAAAGCTTTAGAATTTGATGTTTCTTATCTAATCTTGGAAAGTTACGAAAAATATGCACTCTATAAATCTATTGGATCTGTAGGTTTATAGGAAAATTATTTTGATAATTGAGTAAACGACAATAATTTAGATTCACCTCCTCCTGGATTATTTGAATTCATATTTTCTTATAGTAATAAAGATAAGGATGTTTCAAAATATTTTTTTTTACCAAGAATTTTTATAGGTCCTGAATCTGCTGCTGAATTTTAATATTTCATTTAAGAAGTCTATGATTCAATTACAAATGTGAATGTACAAAATCCTTAATTATCAATTAAGAATTCAAGTCCTCTTTTAAATGAACCTGCTAATTACCAACAAAGAAGTATGCTCATTTATAATTCTAATGGATTTGTAAAATCTAATTCATTAACAGCCTTCTAACTTTTTAATTATTAATTTAAGATTTTAGTTAGATTTATTATTCTTTATTTAGTTAATTCATCAAAATCAGATTTTGTATCTTTGATTGTAATCATTACTCCTTATAAAGTGTAACTCTTTATCTCTAATTTAATAGAACTTTATGATGATGATTATAAAAAATAATAAAGTAAACAAGAAATTATTTATTTAATCTAATTAAATTAAAAGATATATTACTCTTTCTGCATCACTAAAAATGATTGCATTTCCATCTTATAAATCTACATTACTTGTCAATTTAATTTATTTTAATTGTAATACAGGTTCAAAATTTAAAAGTAATTCATCAAGTAAATCTTCCATTTTAATTGCATTCATCTTAAAAAATAATTAATTTTTTAGATAAAATATATAATCTTTCATTGAATATAAAAAATATGTGTATCTTTAACTAGAATATCTCATATTTTATAAACTATTAAAAATATATTCATCTTTTTAATTGTTTATTTAATTCTATGATTAATATATTAATTACATTGCTATTTTATTCATTATTTTATTAATCAATATGATGTATGAGAATTAATATATAAGTAAGTATGCAATTAACATAGTTAATAGATTCATGTGAATAAGTTAAATAAATATTTTATAAAACTAAACTAGTTTCTTAATTATGTATTTTTGGAGGAATTGGAATATGTTCTAAACTAAATAGAATAAATTTATGATTTTCTATTTGATTAACAAATAATTTAATTTGAATTCCATCTAAATCTAAAAAATCATTTTTCACTTTAAAAATAGTTAGAGTAAAAAATCTCCATCTTTATTATAATATAATTATAATACTTTTCAAAATCTTTAATTAAAAAGTTTGATAGATCTCTAATTGAAAATTAACCTTTAATTTTACATTTATGTATTTCATTTAAATTATTTAATAAAAATGAACCACTAAATATTATTTAATATATTTACTCACTAAATATAGAATCACTAAATCCTGATTATCCTAATAATTCATTTATCTCTTTGCATCCAATTATTATAGTCGATTCCAAAAATGTAGTTTCACAATCCAATTTGTCAACAATGTTCTTCTATAACTTTCCAAGATAGAAAGTTTAATATACAATTGTAAAATCTACATTGTAAACTAAAACAGACTAATTTGAGAGCCACGACCTGTAATTCTTTTTACACTCATTAGTACATATTAGTCATGATGAGATCATCTTCATTCAACACTTGCTGAACACTGTTCAATTACAATGGTTTAATGTCTGAAGATGACATTCCAGGGGATTTAGAATTTTCATCTTGTCTAAATGATTTAATTTCTTGAGATTTTGCATGAAATGTGGGAGGTGCATCTTGTGTAAGTTTCTGAGGTAGCTATTATTTTGATTATTGTTGATTGGATTTATAATGTATTCCAATTTGTAGAAATACAAAAAAACAATAAGAATAGAAAATCAAATTTTATGGTAGTGTTATGAGATTTGAATGATCAAATAAAATAGCTTAAAGTGCTAATTTACTTAAAATTGCTAATTTAAGATTGTATTAGAGTTCTAAATGATTAATCAATAATAAAGCTAGTTCTTGGTTTGAGAATGCAAAATATAAAACAATTGTTAGTAATCTGAAATTAAATAACATATGAAAATGCTTTTAATATTACTTATTAAGTATATAGTTTTGTATTTTACAATAAGCAATAATAAAAGTAAAGAAAATGTTAATGCAAGCAAGGATGAGAGTTTGAATGTTAAATTAATTGAAAGTTTCTTATATAGAGATATGTCATACCATATGAAATTGTAAGTATGAGTAGAAGTTCTGATAAGAGTATTTCTGATATTTATAATTTAGTATTATTCATAATAAATTTATTATATAGGAATATAAAAATATTTAATTTATTTATGACATTTCTATAAGCACTTAGTACTTTAATAGGATGGACTTATTTTGCAGTATGGAGTATAAGTTTTTATCCATAAATATATGAAAATTGGAGATTGAAAAAGTATTTAGATAAGTTAATTATTAGTGTTAATGGATTAAGTGTTGATTATGTTGGATTAAACATTACAGGATACATTTGTTTATGCATTTATAGTACAGCAGGTTATTTAGATAAATCATTGGATGTTGGGACAATACATCTTGAAGACTTGGCATTTGCATATCATGGATTATTTTGTACATTAATCATAATTGGTCAAATGATATTTTATCCTGTATTAAATCCTTAGATTACAGTTAGGAGACAATAAATTGTCAAAATTCATTATAGCGATCTTAGTTATTCTTTGGACATTGACACCTATCTATTTCTTATTGACATAAGTAGAATATTATTAAAATAATTAGACATTTGATGTTATTGATGTATCTGTTAATTACAATGCATATAGAATAATTGGATATGATAAATTATTAATAAGCTTTATTAAGTATATCCCTTAAGTATATTGGAATTACAAAAGAAAGAAAACAATAGGTTGGAATATTTGGGTGAGTCTTTTAGATATAACAGGTGGAATTTTGTCAGTTATATAAACTATAATGGATTAATTCATTTATGATGGTAAATTATTATATATATTAAAATAGATAATAATGAGATTAACCCAGTTAAATTTGCATTAGGATTGTTGACAATTGGTTTTGATTCAATTTTGATTTTTTAACATTATTTTCTTTATCCACCTAAAAAAGACACTTAGGTTATGGATTATGTTACAATGAAAGATAATGGATTAGATGATATATGATAAAATACTAGATTATAAACATTATCATTAGAGAAATATCAATGATGATGATGATGGATCTCCATTTTTCTTATGTTTGCACTTTTTGCATCTTAATCTATATTGATTTCAAAATCAGTAGTAATTCCTATTTTTAAACTTTCATTTTGATATCTTTGTTAAAAGCGAGATCTCTTTTCAGTTGGACTTAAAGATTCATTTTAAAAATAATCTAACTATAATGCTTCTTGAGCATTTACTCTTTTAAAAGGATCTATTTCAAGCATTGATTTAATTAAACGAATTGCTTGATTAGGTGTATTGGCTTTTTCTAAGACTTTAAAATCTATAGAGCCATTCCTTAAAATGTCATAAAATACATTTGATTCTTGCATATATCGAATAGGATGAATATCTTCTCCTGAATATAATTTATATAAGATTGCTCCACAACTATAAACATCCATTTTATCACTATAAATGGGATTATCTTATAATGCCTCAGGAGCTGTATTCATACCACATAAAATTGGTTAAACATTTGTATCATTTTATCTAATAGCAAAATTAAAATCTACTAATTTTAAACTATCTAATCTTCCAGATTATGCAAACATTATATTTGCTGGTTTAATATCTCTATGTATTATTCCCTCATTTTTCAAATAAACTAAAGCTGACAAGAGAGCCTAATAATATTGAAAATAATACTTAAATAATGACTTTGCATTATTAATGAGTTGTAATAAGATTTTTCTCTAATAATTTTGATAATGTTTAACCTCCCATCAATTCCATAATTATATAATAATATTATTCTCCTTAAAAATATTCTTTAAATTAAATGATATGATTATGTTCTAAATTCTAATGCATCCTTATTTCCTAATAAAAATCATCTTTCCTTTCCAAACATTTTAATGCCCATAAAGATTTATTAATATTATCTTCTACTTTAAACACTTTACTATCTGCTCCTTCTCCAATTTAATTATTGCATTTATATAAGCTAACTATTCCATCAAAAATAATCTTGCATCCTATTAATCTTCTCATTTCTTCCAAGTCTTTATAATTTCCTTTAAAGAATTTTACTTTCTTTTTAACTATTATTCCAAAAGCATGGATTTTTTGTTATTCTGTATACCAATAGATTTTATTATCAAAAGTAAGTGTACAAATATACTTTGTGTTTTGGGATTTAAACTATGATTATTAGTATTTAGATATATACCTAGTTAATTCTAATTTAATCAGTATGGATATTCACTGTATAATAGGAATTCATGAAATAATGAATACGTTCACAAGTAAAGGAATGAATTACTGGTAATAACATAGTTGTTTCAACAATATATATTTTATTATTAATATGAAACACAATTAACATATATAAAAGGAGTAAAAGAAATATGGACAATTATTTAAATAGTGATAATGCATTTCAAAATTGTATTAATTCAATCATTATTAAGCAATAAATTTCTGCCATACTTTTTCAATGCATAAACTACATCCATAGCTTAAACGGTATTTCTTTAAGCATGTTCTGTGTAAATGATAGCATCTTTAACCAATGATGATAAGAAATTAACTATGACATCTCTAAATTAATTGTTCAATATTAAATAATACCTAGTTGTTGGATAAGAATCTGATGAAATTCTTTTAACTCCTCCTCTTCGAGCCAGTCTACGTATATCACCATTTGTAATGTGTTATCCTCCCTTTTTCTCTTTATTCATTTTACTCTTATGTCTTTTAGCACCTGCTAATTTACCTTATCCCATACGTTTCCCCTTTTAGTTGTCCATTTCTAATTAGATTAATTTAAATTTAAATAAAAATAAGCGCTAATAATTTTGTTTATTATAAGTTATATAATCATTTTTTTAATATTCGTAAATCATCATCAACTAAAATACTTCATGTATCTAAAAATGAGATCTTCTGAAACAAATAAATCATAATTCAATAATTCTAATACTTCTAATTCCATTTCATTCAATAATCTCAAAGAAATTCCACCTAACTTTGCGAAATATTTATTTGAATATTTAGGATCATCCCAAAATTTAATACAAATAACTAGTAAGACCAATGTAAGTGTATATAAACTAGCTTAATCCAACCATAAATGTTCATTTTTAGTAGTAAATCTATCAAGATAAATTAACACTATTGCATAACATTGAATTGAACAATCACTATAAAGCAGAAGACGTTTCAAGTAGTCAGAATAACCAATTTTTGGAAGAGTTCTCTGTGAAAACTTACAAATTTTTCCACTAGAATTCCATCTATATATTATTTAACCACTTAATTTCACAAACATTTCAGACGTCTAGTCTACATTGTAGTCTAGAGCTGAAGTCATCCTTTCTTGATTGATAAATTATTTTTTTAAAATATAATTAATGATCAATAATATTTCTTTAATTATTTAAGATTTCTTACACTAAATATATCTGATTATATTTTTATCATTTCTTTATTGCTCTCTTCAAAACTGCTATTCCAAAACCAATACCTAATCCTACAACACCCATTCCCAAATACTTCTTTGGATCTTAAACATCCCAACAATACACTTTTAAAATTGAATGTGTTCCAAATACTCTATTCACCTCAGAATAAATTTAAGCATTGCTATATCCTTTCCTCAACAATTTCCTAACTATATCTCTCTATTCTTTAGCACATGAAGTTTCAATGAATTCAATTGTAGAATTCACACTTTCACCATCCAAACTACGAATACCTTTGCAAATCTCTAAGAATCTTTCTTCTCTTTCCATTTTTATAATCTTAATAATAAAATCAACTTAAATCAAAATCCTTAAAAAACACCCAATCCATTATTATTTCATACTCTTCTTCTGCTAATTATATTACTCTCTTCATAATCCCTATTTAATAATTAACTTAGATTAATGTTTCAAATTGATTCATATTAAATTCAAAAAATAAATGATGTTTAGCTGATATTTAAAACCTTATTATATAATCTATTTCTATTATTCTTTTTATATTTATTTGATAGTTGTCATAACTTCCATTCGAATTGTTTCTATTTGAATTAATTCATTCACTATATGTATTCAATGAAACTATACTATTCGAATTCAATAATCAAGTCCATCATATTCAAATACTCAATTTTTTCTTTGATATTTAAATGATAGATATCATACAATTATAAATATTATTGTTAGAACTCATTACTTCATAATTTTATATTATTTTTATTTCTTCTTATTTATATAAAAAATCACTTCTATTAATAAAGCATAATCATATGTCTTCTCTTCCATAATCTTCTCTAACTCTACCAAATTTTGACTAATCAATTTTATAATTTACATTACTCGACATATCTCTTAAAGTAGTTCTTCTTCCTTTAATAGGTCTTCATAATTCATCAATTACTTTGACAAGAATCTATGCTCAAAATCCTATTATAAAATTAAGCAATTTATATATCTCCTTTTCATTAACTTTTTTTATATACTGATATCTGATTATATGTAGAAAATATTTATGAATCCTAACTTGATATTAATTCTAATAATTATATTTTCAACTCTAAATGTTTAATAATAATCAATAGCCATTCCAAGGATAATAATAAAATCCAACTAGCTCCAAAAGTAGTGAAATATAACCTAAACCATTTCCAAACAGCTAATAAAATTAGATATAATAAGGAAAAACTTTTTATCCTAATCAATCAGTTGTTTCACAATAAGGCTAATAAATAACTGGTAATTCTAAGAGTTTAATAACTATAACTCCAACTTCATAAAATTCTTAATTCTAATTATAAGTAAACTTATAATTTATAAACTTAGCCACCTCAATAGATATATCCCAATCCACAAATTTAATAGGTAGTTCAAGCTCCTTCAAATCTAAATAATTAATCAAATATGAGCAATCAACAAATCTAATAGCCTTAATAAATAAAGTCATAGGTGGTTCCACCTATGATATTTCCAAATTTATAACCACCCCTTAGTATAATTCTATTAAAATATTATTTAGATTAAATACCAAGATTAGATTTCATTTAAGTTTAAGGCAACCAAAATATTTAAGGCAACCAAAATATTGAATTAAGTAATCAAAATAATAGTATATTATTCTAGTTCAAAGAAAGTAACAATTAAATGAGTTGGAGAAGAAATTTCAAAACCTCTCCTAATAAAAATATGAATTTGATTAAAAAATTAAGTCATTGAATTAATAGAAAACAAAGTGTTAAGTTTTGATATAAAAGTTAAAAGATAAAATTGAAGAGGAGGAAAAAAAAAAGAATAACCTCAGTTAATAATTAGAAAATTAATAAAAGAAATTAGATTCTGAACTTTAAGAATTATAAAATGAATTTGATAAAATACAAGTGGAGAGAAATGAATTATAAACTCAATTAGGTATGGAAGATTAAAAGATTAATTAACTAATTTAAGAATTTAGAGATTCAAAAAGAAACACAAACATTGATTAAAATAAATAGTTATAGTCAAAGATTGAATAATTAGAATCTGAAAATAGAAAATTGAAAGAAGAATTAGAAGTACAATAAGAAAACTAATTAAATAATTAAACTAAAGATAATGAAATCTAGAAAATATCTGAAATTATTGAAAGAAAAAAGAAATATTTATAACAAATCTAGACTGAATTAAAATCTGTTAATGATGATATAGAATAACAAGAATCTCATATATAATAGAGGGATCAAAATATAAACCAGATGAGTTTTGATTTAAAATAAGAAGAGAAGAAACTTAAGAATTTGGTTTAATAGGTTGATTCAATGAAAGAAGAAATCAAACTCAATGATGATAGAATTCGTTTAAAGACTGAATAAATTAACTAATTAGAATAGAAAACCTTATCTGCCCTCAGAAATTCTGTTCTTGTATAGTAAATAAGTAACCTAAAAAAAGATGTTGAACATTAAGGTTTGATTTATGATTAAGAAATAAAGAGATAATAAGGAGATCTCACAAAATCAAAAATAATGATGGGAAATAATAAAAAAGAATAAAAATAATTTGAAGAATCTCAAAGATTACTTAGAATAAAATAAGGAAAAGAATTACAAATGAAATTTAAAGATAGTTTTGGTTAGCTTGAAGTTTGTTTCTTGATTGATTCAACAGCGTAATTAAATACAATTAATTATTAGATCAATGGAACCTTATAAGTTATAAGCATAACAATGTGTTAAAGGGAGTGTGAAAGCAATTAAAGATTTAACATAAAGAGACGTAAATTGGTCTACTGTATGTTATGTTGATACAGATATCTTATAAAGGTTGGGAGGGATGTATAAATAGTTTGGATTTACCAGAGATTCAGATGAATTGGAGAATTTTATTCAATCAGTCTAATGTACTGCTAATAGAGATTTGCCAGAAGATGTAGAAGGTGGTATGAAATAAATGCTGAATAATATACCTTGGTAAACTAAGTTTAAGTTAGTAATATTAATATGTGATTGCCCATGTCATGGAACTAAATACCATAATTATGGTAGAGATGGTGATTACTAACCAGACTCTGACATAACTCCAACAATTGAAAATATGATTTAATAAGAAATATTCTTTATTGGAATTATATTTACTAATGAAACAGTTAAGATGTATGAAGAAATCAGGAAAATATATTAGAGAAACAACAAGGAAGAATATTTTATATTATCAGATTTAAGATAAGTTCCTAGAGATTAATAATTTCAAAAATTAACTGAAGTGTTATCATTTGCATCTTAATAAGCAACATAAACAAATGTTAGAACTACAAGAACTATTAACTAAACTAATGTTATTAAATAAACAAAAAATTAAAAAGACAATTCTGAAGATTATAGTTCAGTTGAAGCACTTTGCAAAGTCAATCTTTAATAAGGTTTAAATGCTGATAATGCTATAAGAGAAACCTTTAAAGTGTTTAGACTTTAAATGAAAGAAGAATCTTTTTAATAGAAAATGAAGATGATTCAAAATATAGGAATAGATGATTTTTAATTAATTGAAGAAAATGATTGGGATTGTTTAAGATCAAAAAATGCATTTGCTAAAGGAGCTATGAAAGCTGCCTTTTTAATGACTAAATCTAAATTTATGAATTCAAAAAATGAATTCTATGTTTGTAAAACTCCTTTGAATATGCAACCCTATCCAAATAAGGAGAGTGCTTTAAAAGAATGTATATTACATTTAGTGAGTCAGAAATGGTTGAGAAAATTTTATAAAGAATTGGAGGGTGTCACAGAATAAATAACAAAATAGATTCCATAACTCAGTTATTCAGATATTCTATTGCTTTAAGATGCAAATAGTAAATTTATTTATTATAATAGATAAATATTGGTTGGCTGAAAGATTTTTTGAGGGATCTTTTGTTAAATATAATAATAATTGGGGTTTTGTGAATAGATCAACAGATGAAGTAAATAAAATAGCTTAATGCTTTTCTTATTATACATATTTCAAGAGTGATTATCAATATATGATATGTGATATATAAGGTGTTGGTGCATGCTTGACAGATCCTGCTGTATGTACAAAAAACAGTATGAATATTAATTTATTATTTTAAGACTACAAAATTGATCCTACTGATACAGGTGAAGAAGGAATAGGAAGAAATATTGTATCTTTTGGTGCAGTTAAGAATATGTGTACAAATATTTTAAATGCTTTAAAAATAGAATTATGAATAAAATAATAAAATAATTAAATAATAAAATAGATAAATTATTTTCTATTAATGAAGGAAATAAATTTATTAATCACTGTCTTATAGTGATTCCATTTAATTCTAAGAGCTTATCAAGTTACATTTACATAGTTTCCAAAATATTAGTATTCTCTTAATTAAGTTGAAGTACAATAAAGAAGATAACAAAACAATCATTAATCATCTCTCCACTATATTCCAAATAATGTGCTTACCTTTCTCCATCATCATTAGTTGGTATGATATTTCCATAAATGAATAATTTAATAAAGGCCATAATGAATGTTACTATTATTATGAAAGATTCACAATATCTATATTTGTACATCAATGATGTCTTATCTTATTGGAAAATGAATAAAAAATCAGTTAATGTTAAAAGTAATTAAACACTGTATTCTATCCAATGAGATGCAGGTTCAAAAAATTCAGGATTAAATAAAAATAGAATCAATGCTATTAATGTTCCACCAATATTGATTATTATTAAATATATCTTGTATGAATCCAATGTCACAATACCTGTTAATATGAGTACACAACCTTCACTTAAAGCAAAAAGAAATGCTCCCCAAAAATCTAATTAATGGAAAGGTAAATAATAATATTCTTCTATTACCTATTAAGTTTGAAAATTTGCAATCAATAAAGACAAATTACAAAAGAAATTTATAACAATCACTAGAACAAAGAAAGCAAAGATGAATTTTTTGAATTTATGTTCATTATAAATATGATTGTACAATAAGTTCTAATTTTACAAATTTAATGTGCAATATTTTGAATTCTATTTCTCTACAGTTTCTTCTTATGAAATTTATGCATTAGTTTGATCCAAATTTTAACTCATTTTAGTTGAAAATCTTTAATTAATGAATCACCACATCTGATTTAATCTGATTATTAAATACAGATAATCCGTCATTAAATATAAAACATATTTATTTTAGAATTTATTATCTTTAATTAAAGCAATAATTATTTGATATATAAATATATGAATATTTATACATTAAAATTTGAGGAAAGCACTCTAGAGAATTCTTATAGATTACATAAATGTAATTTATGGCAAAGTCCTATTCTCATCTATACCTATGTTTTATCAATAATACTTGTTGGAAGCAAACTAATATATTAATTAGTTAATCATGATTATACATATCTCATACACAAAATAGTAATACTCTTTATAGTAATGATGCTATGTGTATTTTTTAAACATTTTAAGAAGTTTCCTAATTTAACCTTACTATTAATCAACTTTCTACTAGTATCACTTGAAACTGAAACAAGTTAAAACAATACCTATTATTAAGGATATTTATTTGGTTGTAATTAGATGCTTGCACATGCAATTTTATTCATGGGTACAGATTTTTTAGTTGGTTTGGGTGCTAATGTAGTTTTAGCAATAGCTAGAGGTGCAATTACATATGTTAATCAAGATTATTTAACATTTCAATAGTATCTATACACAATCTTAATTACTATTGGAGTCTCAGGATTATTATATTAATCAGAATTATCTTAAAGAAGATCTTATTTATATTAAACAAAAGATACAACTTGGGGTATTAATTAAATAAATGATTATTAGAAAAAATTTTACCATTTGTAATATGCAAACCTTTTTTAATTTTCAAATTTGATAAGGATACTTTCTCATTTTAATAAATTGCAATTAATAAATCATTAACAGACAGTTAAGAAATGTAATTTGATTCTGTTGGTGATTTTTTAAAGGAATGTAAATATGATAAATTGACTTTACAAAAATACTTATTTTAAAAATATGAAAAATTTAATACTTTGATTAATAAGATAGAATGTGAAAAATTAGAAATCTATTATAAAAAAAGTAGAATGAAAATAAAATTATTGATTTATTGTGTTGATACAATTAGATTTATGATTGTTATTGAAGCAGTAGATTAAGCATTTATAGATTTGAAATATAAATATTAGAATCATTTAAAAGAAATTACTTAAAAGTATAATAATCAATTAAAGAAACTTGCTAAAATATTAAATAAAAGATTAAAAAAATGTAAAATGTAAATGATGAGTGAAGTAGCAATTTCAATACTTGAATTTAGAATCTTACAATCAATTAAAATTACTAAATTAATAAGAATCAATATGTCTTAATTATTTAAGAAATTTTATCAAATCTTTCACATTTATTATAAATATAAAATATATTTCAATTCTAAATAAGATTATGTTATTTATACTTACAAACCAGAATTATATTATTTTATAATATCAATAATTAGATAATCAAATAGATAATCAGAAATATCATTCATTATAGATTAAAATTAAGAAGCATAGGCACCATAACTATCACTTACAGGTATTGATAAATTACCTATGGATAATTAATTTTTATACTGTCAAAAAATGGTTTTTGAAAAGCATATTTAAGTTTTAAATTGTAATATCATATATTAATTTATAGCTCATTTTTGGATCTTCAAAGAAGTACATTCCTCGTTTAATTAACTCTATACTTTTGATAATATTTCAAATGATCAATATAATCTGTTGAACTAATAATTCTGAGATTCATAATTTATAGATTTTATTTATTTAATGATGATAAATAAATTAAAATGTTATTTCGTTGTTTATATAGGTTTCATTATACATTCCCTCAAAGAATAAGTCAAACAACCTATTATTTACAAAATAAATAATATTTTGATTAATTGGTTGATCAACCAATAACATCTTAATAATTTTAAGAATTAAAACAATAATTAAAAAGTATCAAAGAAAATGAAGCCAAAATTGGAATCATACAAATAGCATTAGATAATGGTATAATGAAAGAGAAATTGGGAGAGATTAGAGAAATAATGAATCAATATAAGTAAATAATTGAATCAAATAAATCATCAAATTAATTATATTAACATGATTTAGGAGATTATTATGAAAAAGAAGCATTATTATTATTGAGAGAATGTAAAATGTAGGAATCATTTGATCCTTTTAAAAAGGGATTATAATAGTTTATTGATTTATCACATGATAAAAATTCATATATTATAAGAAGAATAGATTAAATATTAGAGAGTATGATAATAGTGATAGAAGACATGGGTTCATTAGAATAAGCAAGAGAACATATTAAATAGGGATTATAAGTAATTATATATATATATATAATTAATATTATAGATATTTGAAAATTTACTTGGAAAATAGTCAGAAAAATACATTTAATATTTGAATAAGTTAGCTAATACATACTTACAAGTAGATAATTAATAAGCTATTAATTTACATAAAGAAGCTCTTTAAATAATAGGAGACATGAATGAAAATAATTTTTAATTATATTTAAAAACAGCAATAGAATTGATGATAACATAATTCAATTAAAAATTTGATAAAAATTTATATGAAACAATTAATAAAGGATTATAAGAATATGGTAATATAGACAGTGAACTTACTGTGTATTATCATGTAGTTATGAGTCATTTATTTTATGAAACCAAAGATTATTAAAAATAAGAGTTTCATCTTTAAGAAGCATTTAAGGTATATTAGAATGAAAAATCGAGTTTATTAATGAATATTATAGCTTAAAAATCTTTGATATTGAAAAGCGAGTGTAAGAATGAGTTTTATAATGTGTTGATTACTGAACTTGATAAGGAATTTTAAGATGTTTTAGAATTACAATATTACAAATGTAAACTAATGTATGAAATAAATAAATAGAAAGGCATAATTGAATTCAAAAAGATTGTACTAAATTTAATCAATTATCAATTAGTAAACTAGATTGTACAATTAAAAATTAACTTAATATATTGTTGATTTCACTTAGTAATTGGCTAAAGATGGTTTGAAAAAGGATGCGATTCTAATAATTGAGGATTATCCTGAATATGATCATTTACTCAAAGCTTGGGAATAAAAATGAATATTTAAATATTAAAAGTAAAGAGCTGATTAATAAATATTATATTAATTAATGATGTCATAAATATAGGATAATTTCTAGTATTAAGAATTAATTATTAATGAATAAGTATACTCTATAATTTAAAGATGCTACAATTGAAAAAAAATATAGATAATAATCTGCAGATAGTGTTTAAATACCAACATTTACTTTTTGTGCTTATTCATCAATTCTATACTTTATGGTTTCCTTAGCAATTTAAATAATTGAGTAGGATGTTACTAAAATTATTGTAAGAGTAATTGAAATTGTATTACTTATTGGTACTTTACTTATAGTCAACAGAAATAAAGGCAAAGTTAATATAGGACTCTTTTCTGTTAATATATTGATTGCTTTATTTGAGTTTGAGACAGATGATTCTTATGATAGATTAAATTATTACCTTTATGGATGTAATACAATGCTTGTTCATACCATAATCATATTCACTCAAAGTTTTAATTATGCAGTAATATCAAACTTTGTTATGTTAGTGATAAGATTATCTGTCACTGGTCTTTATACTTAAATCATCTATATTTAATTAGTTATTGCAATTCTAACAACTTTTGGGTTTATCTTCATTTTATATCAATCAGAGAAATTTTAAAGATCTTCATTTTTGATGACTTTAAAAGATAATTCATGGGGTAAAATACAAAATCATTATTTTAGAAATTATGTTACCATCTATATTGACTAAACCATTTCTTGTGTTTAATTTTGACAATGATACATTCTCATATTAATTAAAAATGATAAACAAACTGGGATTTCCTTTTGAAGATACAAATGCTTTACATTCATTTTTAAAAGAAGCTAAATATGGAAAGAAAACATTATAAGAGCATATATATTTCACAATAATATCTTGCAATCCCTAATAGTTTTAACCTTTTGTCTAAGAACTAAAAATAGTATTTAAAAAGAAATAAATATAATTGTTGCTTTCAGGTTGTTATTTAGGACAACCAAATTTTATAATTGTTTTATAATCTGAAGATAAGGATATAAAGTAAATGTAATAATAATTCAAATAATAACATTAAATATATTTGAAATATTTTGTAAATCACATTAGATAAACATGCAAATATTTAAAAATGATTGTAGAACATAATCATATACATTAAGCAATTAAATTATTAATTTCACATAAACAAAGTTTATTATTTGAACATTATAAATTTGAACAATAGAAAAATATCTCTCCACACAAAATAATAGATAAATTAGTCAATTATTTTAAAAGTATTAATTATAAAATTAAATTCACAAATACTAAATTTGATGATATATATACCATCAAACCTTGCTTTTTAAACTTTTTATATGAAATATTCAAAAATTTGGATAGAAATTAACATTATCATTTAAAATCTTTTTCATCAAATAATCAATACATTATTTCTTTAAAAGGATTATAAGAATATCCTAAATCTAATCTATTCTAGTTTTGTACAAAATGTCTAATAGAGTAAACAATTTAAATTGATAATTGTATTTAAAAATTTAATTTAATTAGGTATTCAATTTATATTTTTGGAAATTCCAATGATCTCATATTATAATTCAAATATGAGAACATAAGATGATCCCTATGAATGACATAAGGAATAATTTTGTAAATTAACTTTGTTTATAAATTGCTATAATTAATAAGGAAAAGAGTATATATAAATTCTAATACAAATCATTAGAAAAAAGTATAGAGAATATGTTTCTCAAGATTTTGAAAGATGTTCTTTGAAATGTACTTGAATTTGTTCGAATTATTTCAATTTGTTTTCTAGATTCCCCCCATCATTTAAATCATCATCTCCAAAATCATCTAATTAAATATCATTTTTAGGTATTTTTTATATTTCTAATTCTTCAAAATCTTGAAATTATCCTACTTATTTTATATTGCCTTCTTTTTTTTTACTTTATCCAGTCTATTATTTCAATAGAGAAGATTCTCTTGAAAAAGAATTTTATCTTGAATTTTATCTAGAACGACTTAATTCAATAAAAATATATAATACCCTATAGATTTTTATCCAAATCGACCACCTATCTATTAAATAACTGATGGTACATAATTTAACATTACAGAAGATTATTAAGTAAGATTAGATTCACATTATTTATATTTTTTATCTGGTTTCTCTGAAATTTTAAAAATCTCATCTTATCCAATTTCAAATTCTTTACCAGATTATCTTGGTTATTATCCATCTGAAGATTTGGTTGAAGTAGTAAATTAATCATTCCAATCAAATTTTCGATCTAATTAAAATCCTTATTGTTAAGCAATCTTTTAAAATAAACTAAACAAATATTTATAATCTGGAGTTGAAGTAAATTTAAGTTTTTAAACATAATCCATATATCTTTAAATCTCATTTGGCAAACCTTTACATAAATCCTTAGTTTCTAGTTCTATTTTTAGTTTACCAACTAATTTCGTTTTTTCTTTATCAGAAGACGAAGTAATATTTTACCATGGTAAATTACCTAAGATTTTGAAAGTAATTACCTTTTAAAAGATAAATAAAAACATATCCCAAACTTTCTAAATCATCACGTCTTGATAATTCATATCCTTTGTGTGCTGAAATACTTGCATATCTAGTAGTACCCATAAATGGTTTTTATTCTTAAAATGGACTTAAGATTATTAAAGAAAATTACATATGCTATCCATTAATTTTGTATTTTTTAGATATTCCAAAATCAACTAAATAAACTACATTAGTATCATTGCCTCTTCCCATAAGAATATTTTCTGGTTTAATATCTCTATGTATCACACCTCTTAAATTTTCAATAGTATTAATTACCTTTTGTGAACTTCTTCAATAATATATAATAATTATTCTGCCAAATTACATACACATTTTAAAGAGAATTTTCTATATCTCTTTAAGTAATGAGAAAGATCTCTACCCAATAATTACATGGCCATACAATTTGAGTTATATTCGTTACCATACCAATAAAGTTTTGGAATGCCTTCATGTATATTTTATTAACTTACCTTAAATACCTCTTAATTCTTCTATTATTTGTATTTCTCTATCCAAACTCAACATATTATTATTTTCCTTTTCTACTTTCATTGCAACATATTCTCTTGAAACTTTGTCTTAACAAATGTATACTACTCCAAAAGAACCTTTTTATATTAATAATTAAATACCTGCACTCAGTTTCTCTTTCTAAATAAATCTTCCATAATAAACTCGATTTTTTTCTTATGATTACATTAATTATATTATAATATTTATTTATGTTCCTCATTTAGATGTAAGTCCTTTAGCTTTTGGATAGTTTTACTCTTATAAATTGACACTCTTTTTGGCAGATTCAATTCTTTTAGATGATGGTCTCTTTTTTGCTGATTATGGTTTCTTGGCAGATTGTAATCTCTTTTAAACCTTTTTCTTCTCTTATGGTGCTAATTGTTCCTCTCTTATCAATCCTTCTTCTGTGTAAGCGAAATAAACATTAGGATGATTTAATAATTCTTACAATTTCTCTTCACTATTAATTTGATCAGTCACATTCATTTATTATTATTCTTAAATTGCTTATTATATTTAAGTTTTAGTTAATTTCCCAGAATAATCTAAACCTTATATTGTCCATGCTTCAGCTGCTTCATTATATAAGGCTAACATCTACATTGTTTCTAAAAACTTAGGAGGTATAAAATAATCCAAAATAAATTATTTTAATTTAACTTCTTATAAAATCTCTCTTTTTCTTATTTATAAATCTTCAATTTCTTTAGCCATGAATTCATCAGTCTCTTTATTCTCAAATTCTAATTAACGAGTCTTTTATTAAAGTGTTTTAATTCTTCTAGTCTTATCTTCTAATTCTTCCTTAATTGAATTATATTTAGTTTATAATTCTAAATTGAATTCTTCCTTCTTCTATAATTCCAAAGCTCTCTTTGCAGCTTCAGCTTTCTCTTTTTCAATCAATTTCCTTGCCTCTTCTAATTCTTTCTCTTTTTTTCTTGCTTCCTCAACTTCAGTATGACCATTTACTAATTTTTATTCCATCTTTTAAATAGTCTTTATAAGTTTTTATTGTGATTCCCTTGCATTATTAGCCTATTCCTCTTTCTCTTGTAATTGCTAAATTATAATATAATTTTATTATACTTTTAATAATTTCATCTTCTCCTCTTCACCTAAATTTTTTTATTAATCAATCTTCCTTCTTTCCTCTTCGATCTTCTTTTTTAATTCTTCCTTCTCTCTCTCTATTATATTCTCAGCTTCCTTTATCTTATCTACATTCTTAACCTTCACTACCTTTTATACTAACACTTCTTATCCAGGATTCATTACACCTCCTCCACCTTCAATTGATAATTCCAATTATTATTTCAATCTTAAATATATGATTAATTTCTATACTTCATAATTTCCTCTTAAAATTATCTAATCTAAGCATCCTTTGGATCCTCATTAATTTTTGGTTCATTCTTAATCTATTTGGCTCTATGAGCATATCTTAAAGTTGATATAGTTTCATCAAAATTGTAATCAGCTGGACCAATATTTGCAATCATCACTGTCTTTGTATTTCCTCCCAAAGAATCTTACAATAGTCTTGTTAATTTTGAATCTCTATAAGGTATATGCTATGATTTATTATCAACCAATGCACTAATCACATTACCCAAAGTTGTTAAAGACTAATTAATATTGATGGCTTCCTTCAATCTATCTCCTGTTGCATGAGTCTTACTCTATCTCTCACTACCTGCAAGATCTACTAAATTTAATTTGCCTACAGTCACATGACTCTATCCTTACACAATTTCATTTGTCTCAACTGTTATCTAAAATAATGAATGTGAACGAGATGAATCCTGATTCATTGCTGTAGCACCAACTGCTCTGTTCTCTCTACCATGTAATAATTTCTCTCTCATCTCTTAAGGATTCTCTATCATGAATTTACTTAGATCTTTTATATATATTCCTGTATCTGGATTCTCACGTATATCCAATTTATTTTTTATATTTTTGGAAAGTAAATCACGAATCTCCTCATTATATAATTCCAAAAATGAAACCTTCACTAAAAACTATTTATTCTTAGCCATGTTCTCAATCCTCTAAAATATATGATCAAATGTTCTAGGGATTATTCCCCTTGAAGTAGGAGGATCATCCTTACCTTCCATTGTATGTGTCTTACCTGTTCCTGTTTGACCATAGGCAAATATGGTTCCATTATATCCTTCCAATACACTCTCAACTATGGGAGAAGCAGTAGAATTATACACATTTTCCTATTAAGATTAAGTGTCAAAGATTTAATCAAATGTAAATTATTTTGGTACTTCATCCACTACTTTTGGATTTCTCACAGTCACTTAGCCATTCTTAGTGTCCATATTTACTATACAAACATGTCCATCCTTCTTTTCAGTTTCATTTAAAGGACGACATCTTATTACGACTCGTACACATTCAAATTTCTTACTCATTTAATTTCTTTTATAATTATATTTATTATCATAATGTATAATTGAATAATTAATAATATTTCAAAAATTGATAAATATATAATAAATATTCACAAACTTATATTATTTAAACAAGGGATTTATAAGCTAAGTCTTACTTAGAATATCGTTGTCGGCCATACTAAGCCTAAAGCACCGGATCCCATTCGAACTCCGAAGTTAAGCGGCTTAAGGCGAGGTTAGTACTAAGGTGGGGGACCGCTTGGGAAGTCCTCGTGTTGACAACCCTTTTTTTTAATTAAAATTAATTAATTAATTTTTGAGTGATTCATGAGTATTCTTAACACTGATGATTAATATTAAATCTCAGCTAATAAATAAATTTGATTTAACTTTATAATTAATTAGTCAATCCAATCCATAATTTATTTAAATATAAATCAGTATAAATAACCAAAAATCTGAAATTTGGTTGAATATTAAATATAAATTTATAAAACTTATACTTATATATTTCATCCTTGAATTATGGGCTGTTCCATTCAAAAAAATAAGCTTCCCTTATCTCAATAAACTATAAATGTATATCAAATATATTATTTCTTAGCTTTCAGATACAACTCAAACTCCTTCATCTTCATAAGATGATACTGAGCGGTAATAAAATTTGAACACTCTGAAATCATTACTACGAAGCTCAAATTTTTCCATTTCAAATGTTAAATAAACTAATTGTAGAAAAAGAGCTATTCATCTATAACAATTATGATTATGTTGTTATGTTTATGCAATTATTATTCAATATTAATATCACAAAATGTCTTCCATATTGAATGATTTCATATATCATTCACCTATAAATGTTTTTAAACTGATTTAGATTCCATTAATGACTTTGGTTCTTAAAAATAACTTGAATAAGTTAAAAATAATATGAAATGTTGTATTACATTAAGAAATAATAAAAAACCAGATGAAGGAATACAATTTAAGAGTTTAGAATGTATTCTAGAATTTCTAATAAAATATATATATAAAAAACGTTATTTACGACATAAATATATAAAATACACATCCAATTATATAAATAGAAATCATAAAGAGCCTTAAAAATAAAAGAAGAAAGTTGTAATATATTAGAATTTATTAAAATCAACTTTATTAACTTGTATTTATTTGATTTTTAATTACTTTTTTATTTTTTAATATATATAATCAAATATCAATAAATTCGCTAGCTTAAAATGAATAATGTCTTAATTTTATTTTAATATTATATATGTAATCTATTAAGAGTTCGTTTTTCCAACTATGCAATAACTTAATCAATCTTTAATCAATTTANTAAATATCGTTGTCGGCCATACTAAGCCTAAAGCACCGGATCCCATTCGAACTCCGAAGTTAAGCGGCTTAAGGCGAGGTTAGTACTAAGGTGGGGGACCGCTTGGGAAGTCCTCGTGTTGACAACCCTTTTTTTTAATTAAAATTAATTAATTAATTTTTGAGTGATTCATGAGTATTCTTAACACTGATGATTAATATTAAATCTCAGCTAATAAATAAATTTGATTTAACTTTATAATTAATTAGTCAATCCAATCCATAATTTATTTAAATATAAATCAGTATAAATAACCAAAAATCTGAAATTTGGTTGAATATTAAATATAAATTTATAAAACTTATACTTATATATTTCATCCTTGAATTATGGGCTGTTCCATTCAAAAAAATAAGCTTCCCTTATCTCAATAAACTATAAATGTATATCAAATATATTATTTCTTAGCTTTCAGATACAACTCAAACTCCTTCATCTTCATAAGATGATACTGAGCGGTAATAAAATTTGAACACTCTGAAATCATTACTACGAAGCTCAAATTTTTCCATTTCAAATGTTAAATAAACTAATTGTAGAAAAAGAGCTATTCATCTATAACAATTATGATTATGTTGTTATGTTTATGCAATTATTATTCAATATTAATATCACAAAATGTCTTCCATATTGAATGATTTCATATATCATTCACCTATAAATGTTTTTAAACTGATTTAGATTCCATTAATGACTTTGGTTCTTAAAAATAACTTGAATAAGTTAAAAATAATATGAAATGTTGTATTACATTAAGAAATAATAAAAAACCAGATGAAGGAATACAATTTAAGAGTTTAGAATGTATTCTAGAATTTCTAATAAAATATATATATAAAAAACGTTATTTACGACATAAATATATAAAATACACATCCAATTATATAAATAGAAATCATAAAGAGCCTTAAAAATAAAAGAAGAAAGTTGTAATATATTAGAATTTATTAAAATCAACTTTATTAACTTGTATTTATTTGATTTTTAATTACTTTTTTATTTTTTAATATATATAATCAAATATCAATAAATTCGCTAGCTTAAAATGAATAATGTCTTAATTTTATTTTAATATTATATATGTAATCTATTAAGAGTTCGTTTTTCCAACTATGCAATAACTTAATCAATCTTTAATCAATTTAGGTATAAATTGTAACATAAAAATTAAGAGATTGAAAATTATGTTGGAATTCTTTGTAATCCAAACATACATCTAATAATCTAATATGATCAAATATAAGTTGATATATTTATTCATTTTTATCTGTATTATTTTATAAAAATGTATCTAATACTTTCCAATCATTTTGCATTTAATCAAATATTTAATTTGGTATTTTTTATGTGGTTTCTGTTTTAGATTTGAAAAACCCTAAATTCCAATTTTATTATTTTTATTATTTAAATTGTAATTTATCTATAACCTCAACATAATGATTCTTAAATTTTATTAAGTTTTATTTCAACTTATCTAATTATGTAAAATGATATTATTTGTCAATTATTTCAGAAAGATTTGCCTATTCTAAACATTATTTTATTTATTTTTCATATTTTTCAATCACTTTTACTTCATCAAAAACTGGATTCTATAATGCTATAAAATGTTATCTATATTTTGATGATATTGTTTTTATTAAAAACTCTTAGATATCTATATTGATATAATTAAAATATGTAAGAAATCCAACGAGAATATTAATCATTTCACTCTACCTATTTATATGATAATTCGATTTAAGAATTAGATTTTCATTTTTAACAAAGACTTAGATATTATTTGATTAAAATAGAACTTAATCCATTATTTATTCTTCTTATTGAATTAATTCTAATTGATTAAGAATTAGCTATTGAAATTTTTGAATCATTGTTTAATTCAACTCTGGCAATAAAATACAGTTACTCAAAATCCATTAAACACTTTAGATTGATAAATTAGATAATGACCAATTTGATATCTCACGTTATGAATGATAATCTAAATTTTTTACGTGTTTTTCAAATTGTTCAACACAGCTTAAATAAAATGTAGATTCTTTAAGAGTTATTTGATCAATCAATTATTTGAATTCAATAATCAACTTAGACTACAATTTATCTTATCTAATTAATTCTTGATGATCTAAGATCTTTATTAATAATTATATTTCATCATCATTTAATTGTGGATGATAATCGATTGCTGGTAATTATGGAATTTGATTGAGTGCTTCTAATAATGGAGATAGATCAATATTTTAATGAAGTCTTTTGTGAAATTCTTCAATCATTATTATAAATTATATAATATCTCTATAAATGAATATTTTATCTTAAAGTTAAATTTAATCCATTTATCAGATTTAAATAGTTGATAAATTTGATAAGAGCAATTTCAAATAGTATAAGATAAAAATATAAAGAAAAAAAACTAATCGTTTTTATATAATTTGATGAATTAACTTATTTTTTTGTGTATACTCACAATAAGTCTAGTTTAAGCAGATCTTCCTGTCCATTGTTTAAAACATTAGATCGCAGGAAAGTGGAAGATGGAAGTTGGTTAAACAAAACTTAAAGGAATGGGTGCTGTTCCATGTGGACATCATGTTCCAGATTCATAAGAATCATCTTATTAAGCTGGTTGGGATGAGTTTAAAGCAGTTGAAACCTTTGAAGTCAATTTGAGCAATGATTACAGTGTTCAAGATAAAGACAGAAAGACAAGTGGATCATGGACTATGGTTTATGATGAAGGATTTGAAGTAGAACATAATGGAGTCAAATATTTAGCATTTTCAAAATATGCTCCAAATGGATCTGATTACAAATCTTATTGTGGTGAGACATTAATTGGTTGGTATAATAATTTAAAGACTGGAGAAAAAGGATGCTATAGAGCAAAGAAGGCTGATGGAGAAATAGAAGCTACAGATTCTTATCAACTGATAAGTGTAGTTTAACCAGAATTTATTTAAAAAAGTACAAGACATGGGGATAGAGTAAAGTTACATAAGAATTTTAATAATCATAAAGAGGCAGTTGAAAAGTTGAATAGTATTCCAAAGACATGGAAGGCTAAGGCATATGATAATTTTGAAGGTATTTCTATGATGGAGTTGAATAAAATGGCAGGTAGAAGAAAGCATTATTAGGGTAAAACAATAAAGAAGGCATCATTTACATAAATAAAAAGTGGTGACGTTTCTGGATTACCTAAATAATTTAGTTTAGAATAATATCTTGATCCTCCTAGATAATAAAAGTAATGTGGATCATGTTATGCTATATCAACAATGGAAATGTTATCAGCTAGATTAAAGATGAAAGGTGAATAAGTGACATTATCTCCTTAATATTCAGTGGATTGTAATTATTTCAATTAAGGATGTGATGGTGGTTATCCATTTTTGGTAGAGAAATTCGCATCTGAATAATATTTGGTTACAGAAGAATAATATCCTTACAAAGGTGATGTGGGAACTTGTAAAAAGATTGATTTTTCATAATAATAAAAAGTTTATGGAGCAAAGAATTATAGATATATTGGAGGAGGTTATGGATTAAGTAATGAAAGAGATATAATGATGGAATTGTATACAAATGGTCCAGTAATTATGAACTTTGAACCTTCATATGATTTTATGTATTATGAAAGTGGAATTTATCATTCAGTTGCTGAACATGATTGGTCTACATAAGATCGTCCAGAATGGGTATGAAATTATTAATAAAATAAGGAAAAAGTAGATCATTCAGTTTTGTGTTTTGGTTGGGGAGAAGAGAATGGAGTTAAGTTTTGGTTATTATAGAATAGTTGGGGTAGTCAATGGGGAGAAAATGGAAATTTCAGGTAATTAATTATAAAAATATAATTAATAGAATGAAAAGAGGAGTTGATGAATCAGCAATAGAGAGTATGGCAGAGGCAGCTGATCCAGTGATTTATTCAAGATCTAATAGTGAATTTATTGAAATGAAAAAGGAATAAAATCTAAGAAAGTAATGATACCTATATTTAATAATCATATATATTATTGATAAACTCAAAATTATAAAGAGATTAATAAACATATATCTCAATGAGTTATTAATAGTTAATTATATTCACTAGACAATTAATCTCCATTGTATGTAAAATTAGAGAATTCCTGAAATCTTCCCAACTCATTGACTGGTGTATCATTTACACTGCTTTTTCTAATTAGATTTTGATCAAAAAATTTGAAAGGTCTTTCATTTTACATTTCAAATGGAGGTTCAATCTCTTTTCTTTCAATTTTTTAGAAATCAACATCTTTGAAAAAAGGATGTTCATAGATTTCTTGAGCATCTCTTTATCCACCTAATCTTTCATCTGGATTTCTATTTAATAATTTTTTTAATAAATCTATTGCTTCTTCAGATAAATAATTTGGAATCTCTATATCTTTTCCTGTTGCATATTCTAATATTTGTTTTTTAGTTAATTAATAAAAAGGAGGTTTACCAGTCAACATATCATATAATAAAGCTCCATAAGTCCACCAATCACAACATTTAGTATACATTTCTCCTACAATAATCTCTGGAGCTATATATTCAAAAGTTCCACAAATACTTTTAGCATACATATCACCCCAAGAACATATTTTAGATAATCCAAAATCACATAATTTTATATGTCCTTCTGAATCTAATAAAATATTTTCTGGTTTTAAATCTCTATATATAATATTTTATTTATGTAAATAATCTAATCCAATTAATATTTCAGCAGCATAGAATTTCATTTTTTTTTCTGTCATTCTACCTTTTAATTTAAGATGATAGAATAATTCTCCTCCTGATACAAATTCCATAATCAAATATAATTTGGTTTATGTCTAAAAAGCATAGTATAATTTAGTAATGAAATTATGATTTGTTATTTCTAGAACCTTTCTTTCTGTTTGAACATGTTTTTTCTATGTTTATGTTTTAACTGATTTCTTTATTAACACTTTCATTGCATATAATTTCAATGAAACTATATGTTAAACTAACATTACTTTTCCATAACTACCCTTTCCTAAATTCTTAAATTAACCAAAGTTAATACTCTTAACATTATAAATTGACTTAATGATATCTTTTTGCCGTTCTCATCTTGTTAAGGAAACTCAGAAATCACTTCTTCATTCTCATTCTCTTCCTCTTCATCTCTTTGTTCTATTGGATCAGCACCAAGTACTACTTATGGACCTTCTTTAAAACAAACCAATCCCATATTTATTTATATTTTAATATTACCAGCGCCAATCAATTAAATTTAAAAAAAATTGAGTTATGATTTACTCTCTACTGTAGTAACATCTTCATAAAGAACTTCTTGGATCAAAGTATCAACTCACTGAGTTTCAATTACTCAATGTTTCCGATAATATCTATTAAGATACTAAAGATTTCAAATATTTCCTTAACATTACAAATCATATACAATCAATCTTAGTTATTCAATCCTATAGATTTGAATATGAATATAATTTTGAGAACAACACTGTAGATTAACTAAATTGCATAATTGATAAAGTCAATGATGATCAAACTAACATTTCAATAAATTTGCTATAATACTAACATCCAATACCAAGCCTACTAATCAAAAAAGCCTTCATTAAAAAACAAACACCTTAACCAGCATTACAACCTCATTAAATTTATACTTTAATTTCTTAAAATTCCAAATATCAAAGGATAGATGTTTCCTTCTGCAATTTGGACTTCATTCAAAGATCCTAAAATATTACTTACAAATAACCTACACAAGAAAAATCAATTAAAAAAAGAGTCAAAGTTGAAAAACCATAACCAATAGACATAGATTCAATTAAACTATCTAAAGTACAAGATACAGAAGATTCAAAAAACAAAAGAGAATTAAATGTATCTAAGCAATTGTTTAAGTAATAATAAAATAAACAAGAAGAAACAAAACAAAATTCATAATTAAAAACCTTAGTTAAGAAGTTAGACATTCCAGAAAAATGGAAGTAAGTTTCATAAGAATTCAGTGAATCGCATAAGAAAGTTTGGGATATCAAATATTATGAAAAATTAATGCTATTGACTGAAGCTATATCCAAAAGTATTTAAAATTCATTTATTCTTATAGAATATTTCTATTAGCATATCTTTAAAGAATGTATAGAGGAAGAATATTAAAAGAGATTCATCAAATATGCTTTACCTCCTGATTTAAAAGATCAATCTATTATAAAAAAGAGAAAGATCTATAGTAAAGATGTAGTATGTGCTCTTTTTGAATGATAATATAATATATATAATTAAGGATCAATATTTAATGTATGGCTAAATTATTGAAACTATCAAAATCAAAATTGTTGTTATTAGAGCTCGGAAGGTGGATCCTATTAGATGTTTATATGACAACTTATAAAATTTTGAAGAATACAATATTTTTGCTTAATTTAACTATATTATGGAGGTTCTATGCTTGTATTAGTGTATCATAAAATACTCTATTGGTTTACAATACATATATCAATATGGATTAATTATTTAATAAAATAGTACGATTATTAAATATAAATTTAGATAATGACTATTAGAATTCAAACTATATAGAAAAAAATGAAATAAAATTTATTAGTTGGGTTTAATAATAAAATACTTATTTCAGAGTAAAAAAAATATTGATATACTCAATTTAGATATTCTATTTCAATTAATCATTATTATAAAATTACATTCAAAAAATTGATTTAAATAGAGAAATTAAGAATTATAGATAGGATTATTCGGAAATCAGGTAATCTTTAAGCATTTAATATTAGAATAGGTAAGGAGATATATTTAAATACAATCTATATTAATTATTTATAACTCTCCTTTCTTAAATTTATTCTGATTTAGATGATAAAGAGATTTTAATTAGTTAGTAAAGGAAAAATTAATATTAAAATAAATAATTTACACGTATTAAATGTCTTTGAAGTTCGAGATAAAGAAAAAACATGTTGCTCGTTCTGAAAGAGTTAAGAGTGTAGAATTGCATCCAGAATATCCATGGGTATTATCAGGATTATATAGCGGTGTTATAACAATTCAAGATTATTCCACATAAGTATATGAAATAAATAATTAGACTATTGTCAAATAAATAGAAGTTAATCAGAAACAATAACCTGTTAGATGTGCAAAGTTTATAACTAAGAAATAATGGGTTGTGGCTGTTAGTGATGATCTTCAATTAAGAGTATTCAATTATAATACAAATGAAAAGATCAAAGTAAAAAGAAGTTAATAGATAGGCATTTGAAGCTCATACTGATTATATTAGATGTGTAATAGTACATCCATCTTAACCATATTTAATTACAAGTTCAGATGATACAACTATAAAATTATGGGACATTGATAATAATTTCACATTAATAAGAACATTTGAAGATCATGTTAATTATGTAATGATGGTTGCATTCAATCCAAGAGATCCTAATACATTTGCAAGTGCTAGTATGGATAATACAGTAAAAGTATGGACAATTCAAAATAACAAACCTAATTTCACATTAAGTGGTCATGAAGGTGGAGTAAATTGTGTTGATTTTCATCATGGAGATAAACCTTATTTAATATCAGGTGGAGATGATAGATCTATTAAAATATGGGATTATCAAACTAAATAATGTATACATACATTAGAAGCACATTAATAAAATATATCATCAGCTAAATTCCATCCAGATTTACCACTCATTATTTCAAGTATCTATTATTTAATATTATTTTATAGCTGCTGAAGATGGAGTTATTAGATTCTGGCATTCAAATACATATAAATTAGAAACATCACTTAATTATAATATGGAAAGAGTTTGGAATTTAGATATAGGAAAAGATAATACATTAGCCTTTGGTTTTGATGAAGGAACTGTTGTTGTTAAAATTGGTTAAGATGAACCTATTGTATCTATGTAATAAGGTAAAGTAGTATATGGTAAGAATTTTGAATTCTTTACTATTAATCTCAAAGCTATTAATAATACATCAAATGATGGATAAATAGTATAGACAAATTCTAAAGAACTAGGAATTAGCGATATATATCCTTGTGGTGTTAGACATAGTCCTAATGGACATCTATTTGCTATATTTAGTGATTCTGAATATACTATTTATAGATCATAGAATTTTAAGAATTCTGGTTTCGGATCTGGTACAGATTTAATTTGGTCATCAAATGGTGATTATGCTGTTAGAGAAATGTATTCAATCAAAATATTTAAAAATAATACTTTGAGTTATGAAATGAAAACAGATTATATGGTTGAATAATTATTTGCTGGACCTGTGTTGGGAGCTAGAAGTTCTGAATTTATTATATTTTATGATTGGGAAACAGCTAAAGTTATCAGAAGAATTGATGTCTCTCCTAAAAAAGTAATTTGGAATGACACAAATACTATAGCTGCTTTGGCAACTAATGAAGAAGTGTATTTCTTATAATATGATCCAGAACAATTACCAATATTTTTATAATAAGATGAAGAACCAGATGGATTTGAAGATGCCTTTTAACCTTTATGTGACATTACTGAATCTATCAACTCTGGCTATTTCATCTAAGATGTTTTCTATTATACTACTATGAATGGTAAAATAGCATATTCTGTTAATGGAAAAATTTTCATTGTAGATTAGGATAAGAGATATTTCATTATTGGTTACATCCAACAATAAAATAAACTCTATCTTATTGATAAAAACTATACTATAATTAGTTATGAGGTTAATAGCAATGTTGTTGAATTTCAAACTTAAATACTTAAAAAATAATATTAAAAGGCAGAAGAAATATTATAAACAATTCCACTTCAATACTATGATAAATTATCTAAGTTTCTAGATACTCTTAATCTTAAAGAATGGGCTTATAAATTAGTCTAAGATTAAGATCATAAATTTGAGCTTGCTCTTCAACTTACATTTGTAGATGATGCTTTTCAAATAGCATAACAAACTTAAGATATGCTAAAATTAAGATAAGTTGGAGATCTTGCCTTATAATAAGGTAGAATTAAAATAGCTGTTTAAGCCTTAGAATAAGCAGATGATTTTGGAGGACTCTTATTAATATATTCATCTTTAGGATTGAAGAATCAATTATTATAATTGGCAGATAAAGCTTTCCAACAAACAAAAATGAATATTGCATTCTCTTCCTATTTCTTATGTGCTAATCTAGATAAATGTCTTGAAGTTCTTATCAAAAGTAATAGACTTCCTGAAGCTGCCTTCTTTGCTAAAACATATTGTCCTTCCAAAATTAGTCCTATTGTTAAATTATGGAAAGAATCTTTAGCTAAAACACATCCAATAATATGTAAAATTTAAATATTAAATCTTAGCCTAAAAAATAGCTGATCCTTTTGATTATCCTGCTCAATTTAATGATCTTAAATTAGCTATTAAAGTTGAAAAATTCTATGAAAATATTAGATAATAGGCTATACCAGCTGATCAATTTAAATAAGTATTTATTTTTATTACTTAAAAAAGTTTTAAGAATTTTTGAATCAAGATCTATTTACATAATTGCAAAATAACCCAAATTTGGATCTTTCACAATTCACTTATGGATCTGGGTGAATATTAAATATTGTATATCAAATTATATATTATATTAAGTAATATGAATACAGGAAATAATCTTATTCATCTTAAATACAATTATGTATTTAATTAAATTTGTATTAAGCTAAAATTAACTATTAAATTATAATAACATATTATATTAAAGAGTTTAATAGGATTAAGTAATTAATATAATAACCACTATCTAAGGTTTAATTAGATATTATATGTATTTATAAAACACTTATTTAAATAAGAAAATAATAAATATTTATGATAGTCTATTTTAAATAAATTCTTTTCAAAATTCTTCAAATTATTAATTTCGATATTTAAAATTAAATGGTATGAATAATGGTCTAATATTATGTTAATTACTTTTTTTATTACGTATAATAATAATAACAAATAAATTATTTAACTAATTGTTATTCTAAATCAATTCTTTAAAGATTCTATCTCTTTTTCTAACTATTTTTTATACTAAGGATTTATAGCAATACATTTCTAAAAGCATTCTATTGCTTACTAAATCTGCCCTTTGGCTTTCAAAGTATAACCTAAATAATTACTAGTATTCTAAATTACCTTTAGAATATTGGATCAATGCATTCTTAGGGTCGATTAGCTCTCCTTGATTGAGTACACTCAATGATTCATCATATTTTCTTTAGCATCTTAATGAATCCCCTAATATTTAATTAATAGAGTATACCTTTTCCAAATAGAGTTACAGCATTCTTGGAATTTATTACTAAAGCCTTTTCAAAAAATATCAGAGATTCAGCAAATCTTTACATTTTTCTTAGAGTCTCACCTTTATAACTTAATGCAATAAAATTCTTTTCATCTAATAATAGGGTCCTATCAAAATATTATAAAGCTTCTTCATATTTGCCTTGAAGTCTTAGAGTATCTGCTTTATGGCAAATAGCCTCCACATAGGTTGGATTATCTTAAATAATCTAATCAAAAATTTAAATGGCTTATTCATAAACTCCCGACATTTTTAAGCACATACCTAAGATGATTATCATTATTCTTACCTATTCTCCATTTACAATTGATATTAATTGGATCAAGTTTTAAACAGTAACTAAACAAATCTTTAGCTTGCTGATACTTCCCCTATATGTAAATTTAATTGGCTTATTTTAAACATTCTTAAAACTCTTGTTACTCTCCATCAGTTAGATTTGATTGTGAAAATTCAATTGCTATTTTTAAGTCGTTTAAAATTTCTTTGGCTTTTTTTAATTCTGCTTATGTCTTTATGGCAATTGATGTATTTGATTGAGGATTTTTAGAAAAAATTAAAATCTATTTTACTTTATTAATATCCTCATGGTTGGAGATTCTTTAGACACTTAATATATTTTGAATAATCTTAGTTATCTCTATTTTTATTAAATTCATCATTTGTATCGTTTCTTCACAAAATTAGTAGCTTTGTTTCATATACTAAATTTATTCTTCAAGTTTTTATCTTGTAATATCTATCGTTTGTAAATCATCATTATGATTTGTGTGCTTTGGAAAACAACTAATACATAATCCAGAAGCTGCTTAACAATCTTTATTTAAACAAACTGCAATAATAGGTTTTTATTAATGTTGGATTTCTTTACAGTATAAAGCATTCTCTATAATCATATTGAATTAATTTTTGTTATAAAATTTATTATCAATCTTTGACAAGTTTAATAGGTATTTTATTTATATTCATAATTAATATAAGAAGTGTAGTTATTAAAAATGTATTAAGTGACAATGAATTTAATAATCTCTTTTTTAATATTCTACTTAAAAGAATACATAATTATTTAAATTATGGGACATAACTTATGATAATATATCTCAAGAAATCTTAATTATAAAAAGATTTATTAATCATAAAAGTATTTCTAATATATAACATATTAAAAACAAACAAATTCTAAAACATTGAATGAAGAACAATACTCAACAGTCTACAGTTTCTCCAAAAATGACTATGTATAAGAATGCCATGAAAAATAAACATAATCAAAGCACTCGATTAGGTGAATAATTGCAAAAGAACCAGAGTCTAGCTTAATTTCAGGAGTAACAACAAAATTAAAGAAATAAAGATTAAGAAAAGTATGATAAATGATGAATTAATAGTTCATTTAGATCTGTAAAATTTTAAGATTTGAACTCAGTTTATAATCCTATTGATGTAATTAGGTTAAAAGACATTCTTGAACAAAATAGAAAGGTAATTAAAATCAATCAAATTTAATCTAATATTTAACATTTAGATTAACAATAAAAGAGCTTCACAACTCAAAATCAATCTTTTAGTGAAGTCTTTTAAGAACAATAAATTGATAATAAAAAATTATATTTGCCTATCCAGGAATGTAAATAGAGATTTAAAGAGAATGTTAATTTTGATTTCGAAACTCCCAGATTTTTTGGAATGCCATGATCAATAATACTTTATTGATAAATTATTTTTCTTACCTATTATAAATTTTTATATTGTGTTTTGAACCTCTATACAATGTCAATCAAACATTAATAAATTGATGAACCTCTTTACATATTAAAGGGATTTAAAATACCATTACTTAATACGTATTTTCAAGAACCTTATCTATCTCCTATAAATGTGAAGTAATAACTGAGTTCCAGATGTAATAATTAACCATTTTTTGAATCTTCAAGCACTAAAGCTAATGCAACAAGTAGAGAATTTTTTCGTTTCGAATCTTAGAAAGTAGATAAAACACAATAGAACAAGTAACTATATGAAAAATCACTTTCTCCAAATAAACCTAAATTTCTTGAGGATAATAAATTAAAAGGATTATTAAATATAGTTTCAGATAGAAATAAACAAATTCATCTAAAAAAATATGATTTTCCCATAGGAGGTTCAACTACTAATACAAAAAAAATAAAGTTTAACTTTAAGAAAATAAATATAAAAATACCATAAAAAATACAATTTTCAAAGGAAGATTTAGAAAATAACAAGAAATTTTTAATAAATACACTTCGAAAAAATTCAGTTATTCAAAATTAAGTAGATATTGAAAGACCTGTCAGATCTAAATCAGATTTTGAAAAAGCAAGATCTAAATCAAATTTAAAGTAAGTTAGTCCCTTCAAAGATTTATTTATTGAAGAATAATAAAAGAAGAAAACTGTCAGATTCAATGAGTTAGTAGAAATAAAAATGTTTGATCGAATAAAATCTCATTTAATGAAATAGTTAATATGAATGAATTATTTTAAGATGATTAAAGATATAAATTAATTTGCTAAAATTTTTATTTATTGAATGAATCCATAATCCCTTAGAACTCGTAGACCATCTTACATCAAATCTTATCAACAACTCTTATTAAATAAAGTATGTTTCCCTTCACAAAATCTTGTTATTTCAAAATTAAATTGTATCAAACAACAAGATAAATGTTACAAATAATAATCATAATAATTACCTACAAAAATGAAATTAGTCTAATTTGATTGCAATAATGAACCTTCTTATTTTATTACTAAATTAATAAAATTATGTGGTTTAGAAAATGTTTAAGACTCAAATGAATTTTAAATCAAGGCCCAATAAAGAAATTAAAATGGATTAGTGTAAAGATCAATAAATCAAGATAACTTAGTTAGATTAAAGTCGAATCAAATAAGGGTCCGTTAATTGTCAAATGATTTTTTAACAGATCGAGTCATGAGATCTAATATAACTTAGAAGACTAAAAAGGTGAGATTCTACGAGAAAGTAGAGTATTGGGTGTAAAATAAAGACAAGAATTTTGATTATGATTACAGATATTTTGAGGCTTTGAAATTATAATGAGTACCAACATTTTAATTATTAATAATCCATAATTTATTTGTTTACTTTTAATAAATAATTACGCATTAATTGTAATTATTTTTTTTGAACATTTAAAGGTGTAATCTAAGATATTTTAAACAATATTATTATTTTTATGGATGATAGAGTATTGTAATTACATAAAAAAAATAAAATAAAATAAACTAAAAACAATGTTTTTATAAGGGTCAAAAATCAAAACACTTGAGCCAACTGTTAATTAATAAATGAAATATTCAACAAGATAATTAAATTAAGAGCCTAAATCTTCACATTCACTACATCGTCGATATTCTACTATTGGTGTAATTCATCAAGATGTTTACAAGATCGAAGATAAATATTCAAAAAAGTTAAATCACTTATTACAAACTAAATATTATAATATGCATTAACTGTTCAAGAAGAAATAATATATTCCTGCAAATTTTAAGTTAGACAATAAACCATTTGAACATGTAGTAACAAATTAATTCTCTAAAACATCATCCTAATTTGTTCAGAAGAAAAAGAAATTTAATGTAAAAGAATGGCATAAAATTAATTATGATAGGTTTAGATTCTTGAGTAGGTAAGAAAGTATTGAAAAATTAGTAAGTAATAGATATCAAAGTATTTAGCCTTGTTTATAAATTTCATAGGCTAATAGATAACATAGATCAGTCTCGTAAATAAATAATTATAGAACTGAATCATTTAATAGTTTTAATAATGACAGGAGTAAGGGTCAAAGATGTAATTCTTTATAAAAAGAAAATCTTGTTATATTTTTAATTGACTAAAATTAACACAACTAAAAACATGACAGAATTGCTTAGATTGTATGAAAATAATTTCACTATCATCTTATATTTATTTATAATTATAATGAGTTAATTAATATCAAAAATATTTTTCTAAAAAACTGTGTTAGTATTAAGAATTCAAGGTTCAATTAATTCTTAATTGTAAGAAATAGGTTTATAAATAATAGAGTGAGTTAAATTTCTCATTAGTTGGAGCATTATAATAGAGGAAGTGTAGTGGCTTTAGGATTAATTATAAATTCTTAAGGAGGATGTCCATACTAAGTTGAAGTGTTGAAAAAGAGAATCAAAAATTATCTAAATGATTTGCCACTTTATACATTTGCAACTGAACATAGTTTAGGAAATGCATATCAATTATTATAATTGGGAAATAAATCATATGCTTAAAATACATCTAAGATTGGTTTTACACATATGTACCAAAACAAATTAAATTTTGCTGATTTCCTCAAAAATTATGGGATAAATGTAATGTTATAATATATATTATTAGACTTTGTAATATTAATCAAGTTAAATAGTTAATCATAATTTTGTTGTAAATTCATCGATAAAAAGCAATAATTAATAAGAAATAAATTATTTACATCAATATTATGGATTGAAATCTAAATAACTAACAGAGGAATGTTGGACAAGTAGAAGGGAAAAAATAAAAATAAATAAGGAATAATTAGAAAATAATGTATTTTTAGGAGTAGAAGCAAAAGAACTAGGATTGGTAGATGAATTAGGCAGTTATGAAAAAGTTTTGATGTAATAGTATCCAAAAGCAAAGATAATTCCAATAAATACTGAAGGCAAATTAAGAGAGTATGAGAATTGGTTTAATTTGTTCATTAAGATATCATAATCAAGTATAGATTGATAATTTATTTATAAAGGAGGTTTTTTGGGATTGGTATTATTGTTTGGAGTTAAAGTTATGGTGAAATGGGGATTGATCATTTATGTATGGAGATAATCAGTCAAATAAAGGAAATTATAAAAGTAATAAGAATTATAATAATGAGTTATATTATATTATATAAAAAATATTCTTTATAATTTAATTTATTTATTATCAAATTTTAATTGAAATATTCTAATATTACAATTTATATGATTTAATTTTTTTATCAAAGGAATAATGAATTTATAATATGAATATACAAAATATTATAAATATTGATTATAATAATCATCATAAGATCTAATATTTCCAAAATTCATCAATATAAATTATAATCATAATAAAAATGAATCTTTAACAATAAATGGGTTGATTAATGACCTGACAGATAATATAACTTTAAATCTCTTTCATTTTCCATTTCATCATCAATAAAACATTTGGCACACTCATAACATATATCTACATGTTGACCATCAAATTTGCCTGGTCTACAATTTAAACAAATATATCTAGGTAAAGGATCAAAATCTTTTTCTTCTCCTTTCTCTCTTTAACATGGATGACAATCTATAGGATGATACTTATTCAATTATTAATTCTTTTTAGGGAATAAGTTACGTCCAAATTTATATGAACTTAATCTATTTAATTCTTCATCAGATGAACCAGATGGAATGTATACTAAATTACTTAAGATTTTGAATTCTATTAGTTCTGTTTTATCATCATCATATTATCCACACTTAATACAATAATATTTGCATAACCATGGTGAATAGAATTATCCTTTTTTAATGATTGATTCATTACATATACTACATTATTCTCCTTTTTTTATTTAGAAATCTATTATAATAAAAATAAATACATTAATAAAGATCAGGGAATTAAAGTTCTTTTGAAACTAATTATCCTGATTAAGCTTCTAAATGTAAATTAACAAATTCATCTTCTTAATCACTATATCTTTATAAAGCATAGTATTCATGTTCTTAAGGTGTTGAAACAATTAATGGTATTATAGCTATTCCATTTTGTTTTACTAATTTATTATCTGCTTAATAAACAGCAAAACCATAATTAATAATATCAAATTATCCAAATTACATTAAGGAATTTCGACAATCATAAATATCAAACTCAATTATTTTATTTTGTAAGAAATCCTCAAATCCCATTTCAATAACATTTTTTGCTCTTTCAATTATTTAAGGAATATGATCAAGACATAAGATTTTAAATGTCCCTTTTGGTTTAAGTTTCTCTAATAATTTGAGTATAGCTGTAGCTGTGAATCCACTACCACAACCTATATCTAATACTGATAATTCTTTATTTAAATCTTTTTTAACATATTTATAAATTGTCTCTAAAATTTTAATTTAAACTTCAAAACTTTCAATAAAACTTCCCTCTGCAAAATCAAACTTTTCAAATTCATTTTAAAATAAAGGAACATTATCTACATAATCTTAAATTTCTAATTCTAACAATACTTATGCAATTTGAGGATGCATTTCTAAACCTCTTTGATATAATTTCTATATTAATTTAGCTTAATTGCTATTCATTAGAAACAAATATGGTTCAAAGAAATCTAATTTTTCATAATCCAAAGCTTAAGTTGGATTTTTGATCATTGGTTATGTTTTTGATTGTGTTTATTATTATTATTCAACCAACATAGATATTCCTTTAATGATTTTCATTGATTATTTTTATCCTTTGACTGTTCTAATATTATTAGTATTTTCCATTGGTTTTCTTAAATACTTATTATCAGTCATTCCATATTATAATATTTGAACATGTTCTTCTCCATCAAAATTTTAATAATAATCATGTAGAAATTAAATTAATTCTTCATTTAATTTTGGATCTGTAACTTCTTTATGTAATCCTAATTTAGTTTTGACTTCATTCATCATAATAATATCATTGATTCTATTGGCTTTGGTTATTGTTAATGATTTAGTTACTGAAATTATAATAGATATTGTAGATGATGCCAATGAAAGCATAAGAATTTCTATTGATTTTTTATTTGGATTTAAAAATAAGTAGATAACTTATAATAAAAATTATGGTAAATCTTCTGCAAATGTTCTAAAAGTTGCTGCATAAACTCTATTTGGAATTCCCTTCATCCATAAAAAGTTAGTTGTATTTTATATTGTCCATTTTTCTAATAATGAACCTACTAAATGTATTTCAACAAAAGAGCAATAATTACATAAATAATCAATATAATTTTCATCTCCATCTTATCTTGATAATAATAAACTTAATATATGAAACATTGTTGTACACAATGTCAAAGCCATAATAGCTATTGCACAATATCCAATAGCAGTGTTATCTCCACAAGTCATTACAGTAGTAATAAAACAAATATCAGAATATACATCAAATTTTGCCATTTAACTTAACAACAAATCTTTACTCTTAAAATATTAAAAATTAATTATATACAAAAAACATTATTCTCTTCCAATAAGGACCAGTTGAAAATTCAGCATGAGTAATTTCTTTATCTATGCAAGTCTTAGCCAATCTAAGTTCCAATAAACAAACTAGAAATGCATAACCACAATATATAAAATGTCCTGTCCATTAATGTCCTTAACATTCAAGTACAAAATAAACAGGTATGAATACACAAATAAAATAAAAAGCTAAAAAGTTAATCCAAAATAAGATATTTAATGAATATTTACTATTTTCAAGATGTTTTTTGAGATCATCCTTCTTATTATTATATTCATAATCAGCTGTTTTAATACCTAAAAGATGTGTGATGAAGGATCCATAATTACTTTATAAAAATACACAATAACAACATATAATGTATTTTTAAATAAAATAAATGGAACAAAAGCATTATTTTAAGCATTCAATAAAATTAGTTTAAATATTTTAAATCATATCAGTACACATCTTAACATATATCATGATAAAAGCACACTAATATTAATAATATAATATTTTACAAAACATGTTTTAATTTCATCTACTTATCCTTCATCTTATCTTTCATACAATTATAATAATGATTAATCCCAATAATAGTTCTAATTAGAATTTACTATATATAAATAAAAATTCATAGGAAATTCATCATTATTTTATTATTCAGTCCCTTCAATTTCAGAATTTTTAACTTACTTTTTTTATTCATCAGATAATTGAATTGTAAATTTTTCTATAATTTATTTAGTAAAGAATTTCATTGCAGATTCAGATAATTCTTCACTAAATTCAATAATTAATGTTTATGTATTTTTTAAAATTAGATTTTTATTTTTAATCAACATTTCTAATTAAGATCTAGTTTATTCTCTAAAGAGTTAATTACCAGATATATCTAATACTCTTATATCTTCATTATTTTCTAGTGTCCTTAATAATTTACAACCTTCTTCATCAGTAAATTAATTATTTCTTAAATTAATAATTGGAATCTTTTAAAAGAGTAATCTATAAAAAGAATAATCATCATCAGATATTAATTATTATTCATCATCATTAACCATTTCTAAATTCTAATATCTCATTTTCTATTTCATCATAGGTTTCTTAGATTAATTACCAAGATAATTACTAGATAAATCTAAATATTTTAATTATGTTAAACGAGTTATCTTTTTGATATCTTCAAAGGTAATTTTATTATTACTAAGATCTAAATAACTTAATCTATCAACTTTATTTATTAAATCAATAATATAATCTTTAAATGGAAGTTTAACATCAAATAATAATGAACAATTTCCAAGAAGTAACATTGTTAGATTTTAATATTGTAAATTCTATAAAAGTTTTGAAATAATTAAGTATCTATCATCACTAAGTTTCATATCATTATATTATCTAAGATAAGCATCAGCAAGATCACTTAAATATAAAAACATTTTATTATCTGTATCTTATGCAGTATCAAAAAATTATTCAATTTTTATAAATTGTTTCTTCTTTTTCTATTTTGATTATTTTCTATATTCCTATTTTTCACTTTCATTCTTTTTCAAATCTAATTATTATGGATTACCAATTCCAAAAGATTAAGGCAATAGATTTTATTTAACACTATTTAATGACCATGCTAATATCTATATACGTAATTCATATTTCTTTCTTCTATATCTTAATCTTTCTTGAAATTCTGTTTTATAGAATTCTCTATATTCACTCATTTTTAATATACCATCATATAATGGTTCAAAGTATTATTCTCCATTTAACATTATCTATTAATTTGATTGAGTTTTCTTGTCAATTCCTGAAAATCCAATATAAAATGAAGATTAAAAATATTATTACAACACAGGTTTATAATTAAACATTTCTTAAAGTTTCAATTCTATAAAATATAAAAATGGCATTTAAAGTAAATTATCAATTTTTTATGTATCAAATGATATAATTTAAATGAGACCATTTTCTGATATCTATAATAAATTTGGAAATTCTTAATATTAACTTAAAGGATAAATTTATTTAGTTAAATCACTTAAATTTTAAAGATATAATCTTTCATCACTATTTTAATCAATATCAATAATAAACAATTATCCTGTATTTACTACAACATATAATTTATTCTAAATTGGAAAGAATTTCATATCAAATACCTCAGCTCCATCATAATATGAGTATTTTTTAATTACCTTTCCTTTTCTATTTAAATCCATTATATTAATCTTGTATTCTAAACCATTTACCATCCTACATTAAGCTACTGCTAATAATCGCCCATCATTACTGATTGTAAGTTTATTAATTATTTCAAATTATTCAACCACATATGTTTTTGCATTCCTTATATTTGAATTTATATCTTCCCCTAAAAATGTATACACAACTATAGAACTATCTCCTAATGCAATTACTAATTGATTTGTCTAATGACAATATGCACTTGCACTTATACCAACAATAAATTTCTCAGTTATTGTTTCAATATCTTATTACAATAATTAATATTTATGGTTTTCTTCTTTTTTCTATTTCTATACCATTTATGTCAACTAATTAATATAAAAGCATTTGATGCTACTCAAATCAATTACTATAGCTAAATCACCATTTGTTAAAAATATATTCTAAATAGAGCATTC